TGTAGGTATGTAGGTATGTAGGTATGTAGGTATGTAGGTATGTAGGTATGTAGGTAGGTAGGTGATCAAGTCGGTCCATTCCGGTCCAGTCTGGGTCGGGTCCAGCACTGCAGACTTCTCTATGGACCGTTGTGGTCACGAAGGCAGGTGTCCCGGAACGGTGAGGGACATCTGAAAAGTCGAGTTTGTAGAGAACACCACGAGAAGGGGCCCAGTGCAGTCATGATCAGCAAGATTATCAGCAGTGATACATGAACTACATGGGTAGCTTGAGAGTACTCCGTACTAGCAGAATAGGAAATCATAGCGATGAAACCCACGGCACGGTCGAAGACTCAAGGGATGCTCTGGCACCGATGACTTCGACAGAGTCTCCATAATTCCCCAGAGCTAGAGGGACATCAGCCCCGGATGTGCAGCAGCTATTCCTGGTTCCCTCCCGAAACACATACATAGCTGAGCACCTGGTTTTGCCTACATACCGACCGAACCTGGTAGGGTCCCGAATACCACGCGCCGAGAACACCCAGCTAAGCCCGACGACGTATCTCCACACCTAAGCAATAGAAATTATTGTCCTGTCAAAGTTCTGGTCTAGTCATACCAGACACAAGAAGAGCACGAGTGTAAATACACCCTCTCGATCACGTCGCGCCTAGACTTGCTAACGCGCCTCTCAACTCGCGGATCGCAGTGGGCACGTCTTCGAAGTTCAATGCCGAAATCGCCCAGCGGGCGTGTTTCTGAGCTTTCATGATGGATTCCTCATCGATAACCACGTTGCTGGCCTGAGCAAGTGGCGCTATCGGCACTGGAGGGGCTTGTTGTGGGGGAGGATGAACGGGCGATGGCGCGAATACTGGTGGTGACAGTGGTCCAGGTTGAGGTACTTGTGGTGACTGCTGGAAATGCGGGACAGGCGGGACAGGACCGCGTGCTTGACGGGCCTGAGGCGGGATGATTGGTTGTTGAGGAGGTTGAGGCTGGAAGTTCGGGGCGATTGGGGAGGGCTGGCCGGGCGAAACTTGTGTGAGGAGCGTTCCGTGACGGTGAGGTGGTAAGGGCGGCGATTGACGGCTAGGGGTTGCGTTGAGGGCAGCGCCGAGGTCACTTCGTGCTGATGCTGATGTTACGGACGGTTCCGATGGCGCGGACGGGAGGTCTGTGTTGACTTTGCCTACTGTTGTAGGTGCGGAGGGGAGTTGTGGTGGTGGTGCTCCGCCTATTGTTGTGGGCGCAGAGGGGAGGGTTGGTTCTGGTCCCGGTCCCGGCGGCACGACGGGAAAATAATTGCCTCCGACTGAAGGTTTGCGCTCCGCGGATGGGTCGAGTGGTGAGATTTCCGCCGGCTCGTCGGCCGTGTTGGTATAGAAAGTGATTGGGTCTTGCTCAGGGAGAGGAGAAACGTCGTTCGTTGGCGGCGCGGACGGTGCTCTTGAAGGATGCAGGGATTGGTCGATCGAGGACTGTGTGGCAAGAGTGCCCTGCATTCGATCCGCTTCGTCGGGAATTTCAGTCACAGTAGGCTGTCGGGCAAGTGGCGGTGGCACCGAGGGATCTCTCGAAGGGTGTAACGATTCGTCCAGCATGGACCTTTGCGCAAGGTTTTTCTGGATCTTATCGGCTTCGTCCGGAACCTCGACGACGGAGGGTTGTCTCGATTTTGTGGCGCGGTGCCCCTCCAGCGCTTGCACGTCGGCATCGCTGGGGTCGAGTGTCGGTAGACCTTCGTCAACCGGTGTCTGTGGCTTCGGGTTGGACATGTTGGGATCCTCACCCGCTTTCAACGCTTTCGCTATCCTTAGCGCATGGTATTTGGCGAACTTGATCTTCGCCGCAAATTCGGGTTCGAGGGGACCCCATATCTGCAAGAGGTCGAGGAACGTGGCTGATGCCTGAAAAGTGTCTGCCGTCTGCCTTGAGGCCTTGTTCGCGCGCACCGCATTGTCTGCTCTTTCAAACGTTTCCAGCCCAAACTGTTCCACATAGGCTTTGCCCACGACATCGTCCGTAACGGCCGGCTCTTGTGCATGTTCAGCTTTGAACTGGATCTTCGTTAGGCCGAATGTAAACAGGTTGGGAAAGTAGGTGTACCTGTTCCAATTTATCCATCAAGGCCGTGGTGTAGGTCAGGCTCTCTTGGTCCGCATTGTGTAGGCCTTTGGACAAAATCTGGTTGACCATCCAGTACTCGCCTGTGGTCAAGTTAGCGACCCTGCGATGAATTCACGACAAGCAAAGGCCTACACCAGTATGCTATTATAGGCTTTGCTTTTTCGAGTTGAACCGCTCGATGGGCGAAGCGAGTGATGTCGGCTGCCTTTAACGCGGCTGGCACTTGAGCGGCCATGACCACCCAATGGTGAAATCAGATGTGTAGACCCTGCAGTCGAAGTTTACGAAGCTTCAGGGCCAAAGGCACGGGTTGACTTTCGAGTGGTACAGATTCAATGCAGCCTGGATAGCCCCGCAGCCATGGAAGTCGCCGACCAACGAAGCTCTCCCCGCGAAATCAACGCGAGCTCGGTGCGGAGCGAAATTTCCGGACAAGGCTGCACGAGGCCGGGTGGCGCTGAGGCGCGAGGACGGCAGCCACTGCTGACAGGCACTAGACCTCTTTCGGGCGTACCTAGGTAAACAGCCCAGCTACAAGTGACGCGCAATAAGTTTGAAGACACCCAAGAATTAGGTAGAGAAATTCCCGATTGGACTGGGTAATTCTGAAATTTACCCATTGGCCCGCGTGGGGCTTGGTATCACGTGGTGTATTCCAACTTTTTGCGCGTCACTGGTATCTCGAACTCGGTCTCGATCCGTCTCGTTTGGCAAGATGAGCTGCGCTCAGGGGTACCAGGACAGTCCTCATTTTGAGAAAGAGAAAGTACCCATTCTGTATCGTTGGATCCGTTCCTGAAAACAAAAATTAATTAATGTGCCATTGCTTCCCTGACGTTGGTCTCACACTTTCTCCGCTGCCATCGACCTCGGCCATCAAGACTTCGGTTGAAGGACTATCCAAGAATAAGGTCGTAATTTTAAATATCTTCTTCATCCTTCGATCGAACATTCCAAGCCGGCCAACATGACTCGAGGCAACTTAGTCACCATCAAGGAGAAAGACGACATATATCGCTGCAACAACTGTGAAAGAAATTTCATTTCCCAGCACGGCCTTGTTCAGCATTGTGAAAGGGCTACATGCCACCTTGAAGGAGACCTGTGGTGCTCACGATGTTAATGGCTGTTTGTCTCAACACTTGCTTGAAAAGCTCATATCAAGCATTCCTCTCGCCACAATGTCTGCGACAAGTGTGATAATGACTACCCCGACCACCAAATGCTCACGAGCCACAAAGTCGCCGTCCACAATTTTTGTACCAACTGTGATCGCTACTTTGGTAGTGAGAACGAACTAAACCAGGTAGATAGCTCATCTCAGATGACTGAAGAGGAAGTTGCTGTGAACTGATCTTGCTTATGATAAATAGCATAAAAGATCCCACCTTCCACGCACAACAAAATGCTATGGATGCAATCGGCGCTTCCCCGACTTCCCAGCATTGGTCCTTTACCTCGAAGCCGGTACCTGCGGAAGTGGCATGGACTCCCGCAAGGTCGACGAGTTGGTCGTCGGTTCGGGCCGTCTGTGTTGGAGGTTTCACGATTCAGACCTCCCAAACATCGAATACAAATGTCCCAGCTGCGAGCACACATTTCGGTACCTGAGCGCCTTCTGTCAGCATGTTGCAACGGAGACCTGTGAAGAAGAGGCTGAAGGGATTTCCATATCTCTAAAGCAGGTGTTCGAAGAGTGGGAAATGTCCGAGGGGCGAGGGATGGCTGCAAGACTCTGAATGGTTCGTTACCAATTGTGTGGGAAGCTACTGAAATATTCCAGCATTCTGGTCTGTACGCGGCTTTGGACTGGCGTTGGGGGAAGTCATGTCCACCTTAGTTCGTGCTGAAGGGAGTGTCATGCGGGATACATAATAATAGTTCGTAACTCATCGTGACATTCGTTCCTCCCGCGATGTCCTCTGAGCCAGTCGATCGCTTAGACCTTGCGGAGTAGGAGACTGTCGAAATGGACAATCACAGCTCGGAACGCGGTCTGATGCGATGCTGCAGTATGAGGTGGAGCATGAGAGGCTGTCGTGGATGTGGCAGAAGGGCGAGAGCTGGACAAGGAAGCCAACTACCGTCGATCTTGTTCTGCATCATATACCGAAGTACCACTGTCAGGCTCATTGCTACATCTTGGGGTTCGACTTCAATGAAACTTGCACCTATGAACGAACTGCTGTGTAGGGAGGAGTGCGCTTTCCTGCTTCCCTGCCATCGGCTATTCATGCTCATGGCGGCTCGGCTGTTAATTTCGGTCTTACTTTGAACCGGCCATGAAACAACCTCAGTTTTGTATTCAACCTTCCCCTTACGGAGTACATCTGCTCTACTCCTTCATCTCACTCTGCCTGGGACTGAGACAAGGCGCCAGATCTCGCGCGGAGAATTCATGTCCACGTGTCTTCCTTCAGATCTGCCGAAGCCCGAAGTGCGCAATTTTGCAGCTTGGTCAAACACCAGCTGTGTGAGGTCAGATAATCGAGCTTCCGTTTCCTAGGATACCTCCCTCGCTTCTTCCGCACCATGTCGCTGCTCGGTCCCGACCAGCTCGCCATTGCGCCGACCTAACGATCTATCTCCTGTCACACCATTATCGCCACCCTACTCTGCACGGCGCAATCATGCCGCCTTCGTCAGAACCGGTTGAATTCAAGCTTTTCCAAGCTCCTGCAAATCTCGTGGTCAGCTCAGGCAATTGCCCACAGCCTTATCGTGGATATCTGGTTCAGGAACTGTGTCAAGATGGCTGGCCGCTTGTCCCAAGCAATACCAAGGGCCTCGTAACCAGCCGCGGCTCAGGTGAGTTAGTGAGTGTAGTCCTACCGCCAGGTCACCACCAACACCAGGGGCTTTCTATATAAGGCGGCACAGATCTCACTTTGATCTCAACTTTTCACGCCTGACAATCCGCTCATCTTGCAATCATCCATTCGTTCTCCAGGTTCTGCGAACCCATTTCATTCTTTCACTTCGAACTGTACAATTCCCACACGACAGGCCGGCTCCTGATTTGTTTATTCGCTCCTGAACCATTGTCATTCGTTCAACATCGGATTGCTTTTGATAAAATTTGTTCAATCGCCTTCGCACCATGAGGAACGAGATTGCGGCGGTGCTCCTCGCTGTTGGCTTGTCCGCGGGCAGCCCATTTGCTCATGAGTCCCACAAGCGTGAAGTGCCCCAGGAGCATTCTCACAACCACTTTCTCGATCTTGTCCGCACGTCCCTCAACCTGAACAATCCCAGGCAGATCGCCGACCCTGTCTTTGGCCTCCTTGGAAACGCTGCAGCTGCGGGCGGTGCCGGACGAATCACCAACCTCGATTGCTTACAGCAGGAAACGGCAGACCAAGCTTTCACAAATGCCAAACAAGCCGGCGACCTTGTCGGTATGGCTGGGGCACTGGTCTACCGTGCGCTCGAGAGGAACACGGGTAGCGTAGGCCTTGCAAGCGTCCTTTGCACCGAAACTGCCTCCAATCCCGAGATTGCAGCCCTCTCCCAGCACCAGGATCCCGCTTCCGACAACGCTGCTTCCGTCAACAAGGGCATCACGCTGGCCCTTGCTCAACAGCTGGCTGGTATTGGTGTTGATCCGCTCCTGGCTCTTGAGGCCGGCACTTTTGCTCCAGGCCAAGTAAGTTTGCCTTTCCGGACGTGATAGTGATTACTGACGTGTATCTAGATTGGTGACCCAACTGCTAAGGGTAACAGTTGTGACACTGTCGACGATGAACCAGGCTGTATATTCAGCGAAAAACTCCTTGTTTTCGATGCCACTGAAGAGGAAATCAATTCCGCTGTTGCCGGAATAAGCCAAACTTTTACCGGAACTGGAGTGATCAGCGCAACGGATATCGATTTAGCTGCTCTTCCCGTCGCTTCGGCAGCCGGAGATGTCGCAGTATCCACGCCCGCTACTGCTGCTGCTGTAGTGACTTCTGTGACCGAGTGCGTCGTAGCAGCTTCCACTGCTGCCCCAGCCAGTTCTTGCACAGTCATTACCACCACGGTCGGGATCAATTCGGGCATGTCTACTGTGGTGACCAGTGCTGCTACTGCAGCTACAGCTGTGGCTGTGGCTGCTGGATCTGGTAAGCTTTCAGGACGCTTCCTTCTTTGACGTGTCTTGCTTACGCTATGAAGGTGTCAATATCCAATCGTTCACTGGTACCCTAGGGGGCTCTCCGCCCCCTGTGGTCTCTGGAACTGGCGATCGCCCTTTCACCGTCAAGGGCGACACGTTTGTGAATGCTGCTGCCGCACTCCAACGCTCATGCTCCGTTCAGCACAACGCCTGCTCCGACGCCGCCAACAGCGGTGCTCTTGCTGGCGGCCAACAGCAGTGCGAGACCCAAGAAGACGAGTGTAACGCTTTCGACGGGCTCACCAAGAAACACAAACGCGCCCTGGACTTCGGCAGCTGTGGCAACCCGACTATTCTGTTCGAAGCTGGACTTGATGGCCGCAACACCGAGGCATTCATCGCCGAGGACCAGACGAACTTCAACCATGGCTCTGCTTTGAACATTGCAGTGATTGCTGGATTCATCTGTCAGAGACTTGGATCGCCTTGCAACGCGCCAGCCGACGTGCAGGCGAGCTGCACAAGCGCCAGCGCTCAGGCTGTAGCGACTAGCCAGAACCAGGCGGCTGCTGATGTGTTCAATAGTATTTTGGGCGTCGGGTCTGGAAGTGCTGAACAAGTGACAAATGCCGTGGCTGCCGTCGCGGCGACGCCAGCAGCCACTGTTATGACCATCACAACTTGCACATGAGTATATGAGGCTCACGTTCCCGGTAGCAGGTAGCGCAAGTCTCCGATATACATATGTGTGTAAGATAGCTTGACCCGCCCCAGAGGTGCCAGCGAGGGTTATGTCGAGAGAAATCATTCTATCCCGAACCCTATCATCAAAAAGCAAGGTTCTCACACGGGTGCATACATGAGAAAAAAGCGAGAGCTTCAATTACCCAGTTCTTTTGAGATGTGTTTGACAAGACCTGAGACTCTGCCTTCTTCCAAACCCGGTAGCGAACAACAATGGAATGTCCAACAACTGGCCTCACTTTTCTTTCACCGCCAAGTGACTGCCTTGAAGCAAAGGCAGTGGCGACAAACACACCCATTCTGTCCATCTGAATCCACCCATCCCTACTATCTGACCGTAACCAGATGTATCTCAGCACAAGTCCTTCCCAAAGCCAACATGGTCAAAGCAAGATCCAATCAGCTGTACATCAACCACGATACTCGAACGTACTTCTGCCGCTCGTGCGATCGCCACTTCAGCACCGAGAACGGCGCGTTAGATCACTGCCGACATGCTCACATCCATCGGGGCGAGTGGTGCGAACGATGCGAGCGGCTGTTCGTCTCGCCCGATGCCTGCCAGTCGCATATCACATTCTCCCCCCATCATCACCTGTGCGAGCCCTGCGACCATGACTACAGCACTGCCAAAGGCCTCGAGGATCATGATGTTGACGTTCACAACATGTGTCGTGAGTGTGGCAGATTTTTCGGCAACCCCAAAGAACTTCAGCAGATAAACCAAACCTTACCCTCATCTTCCGCCCCATCGCTCCGAATGTCGGATGGTTCCACACCGATTGTAGCCTTAACTGACGACCTATAGCACAATCGTACACATCTTCCCGCGAACATCGAGTGTCTGGGCTGCGATCGTGAATTTTCCGAGTTCGCAGCCATGATGATCCACCTCGAGTCCGGTACCTGCGCTAGCGGCATTGATCGCGACAACATCGACAACTGGGTCTTCGAGAGCGATCCCTGCTACTTGTATGGAAACTGGTGGGAGGCCAATTACAAGTATCAGTGTCCGGGTTGTGGCAACGACTTCCGATTTGTCAGTGGATTGTGTCAGCATGTTGCGACTGATGCGTGTGACTGGGATCCGGAGGAGACTTTTGAGGACATTGAGAACGCCATTGCGTGCAATATCTAGGTGTCGGGCCGGGCTGTCGTGTGGTGCACGTGGACTGCTTGTTCCGAGCTGAGCCGAGACGTGTACGCGGGCATGGAGACCCAGAGAGCCAGAAGACGGTAGCGCCATGATCGGGTTCTTCGTCGATCGGCCTACAGAGCGGTTTCGTGTCCGGAACCTTAAGACTGACGGCTTCAACGGAAGCCAAAGGGATACCCAGTGGCCTCAGCCATGGCGGTCGGGATGATCAAAGGCATGGCAGGGCTGTCAGTTGCATGGATCATTGTATTGCTTGAGTCATTATCGGCAAGGACTTGGATGATAACAAGACCATGGTGGAAATCGCCGATGCAGGATTTGGATATGCCGAGTGGGCACATCCCGCAGTATCAACAACAACGCTTCGTACCTCTAAATGGTCTTCGCCTTTCGAAATCAACGCAACTAGTCCGTGCGCTCACAACTTCGAGGCAAGGCTGTCCAGTCTTGCCTTTCGAAGTATGTCTTGAGCCTGTCGAAGTTAGCCTCAGCGACACTCCAGAAGCGACTCCGGCTGTCTCACCTCCTTGATGGCATCGTACTGCTCCAGCCAATTATCAAACTCATGTGAGAGCGGGTGAGCTTCGCTATTTCCCTCTAGCGGTAACTTCAGCTTCTTGTCCATCGCTTGCCGCAAAGCGGCATCCCTCTTTTGCTGCAATCTGCCGTCAGGTAAGCCCCATGAAACCCCGATATACTTAGCATGTCGATGGCAGCGATCTGTACGTGGTTTTCGCAGTTGCTGATACGTCCTAGCCAACTCCTCTATTCGCCTGTCGTCAACCGGGGAGGCGAGGCGAAATAGTTCAGCAAGCACGGCAGCGTCTTCAACACACATTCCTGCTCCTTGGCCCGAGTACGGGACCATGGCGTGCACAGCATCTCCAGCTAAAATCACGCGCCCGTTCTGACTGACCCACGTCGGCGCGACGCATTCAACAAACCTCCACTTCCACGCACCTTTACCTAAACTCAAGGCTTCCGGGATGATGCCGCCGAAGTCTTTATACCGCCTTCGTAAATGGGTCATGTCGGGGACGAAGGCATACCATCTTTCAGGATCCATGTCTTTGTCCCATCCATAGTCGATGATCAAGAACTGCACATCGAGGACGTTCCGTGACGGCACTGGACTCACGACGATCCCTGTGCCTGGACTCAAGATGACGCTAGCAAGCGGATCGCTGATGATCCGTCGTGCTGCATCGCTCTTCAGGTCGGAGAAAGGAAGCTGTAGTTGGAAGGTACATTCTGGTTGAACCTCGATTTCGATCGAGGGAAACAAGGACTGTCGAACCTTCGATCTGATGCCATCCGCACCAATGACCATGTCTGCCCGGATCGCAGTGCCATCCTTCAGCAACAATGCCGGCAGCGATGCATCAACTCCAGCGATATCCCTGCCGAAATGCACTCGCGCTCCCGTAGCGAGTGCCTTTGCAAGCATGGCTCTCCGGAAATCCGACCTAAGAACGTACATTTGATAGCCGGCCACGGGCGCAACGAGTCCCAGGGGCTCGCCCGTGCTGTAACGTCTCATGACCACCCCGCCACTGACGTGGGCGATGTCTGAAATGTCAATGCCCCAGGTGTCCAAGATGCGCATTGCATTAGGCTGGAGCTGGATACCCGCGCCGCCTTCGTTGGCAAATATGTCTTCCATCTTACGCTCATATACGTCGACGGAGTGGCCGTACCGAGCGAATGCAAAAGCCGTCACAAGGCCTGTGACGCCGGCCCCAGCGATCGCGACGTCGAGCATGGTAACAGAGGGTCAAACAGCCAAGTTAAAAGACTGTACCACGGGACGAAGAGGGAGATGGCGTTGTAAAGGTCTGGTTTATGTACATGACACCAGAGGTATTACAATGAGGGATAAACATCGCATAAGGGAACGGCGATTGTTCTCGCATCTCCCTTCAGGGGAAGCCTCATGTGACGAGTCTTGGGGTACGGAGTACATACAACATTAGGGCCAGATGGCACGCCTAAGGTAGATCAACTTTCGTCGACGTGCAAGCGACCTGGCCTCGTGAGCCTTCGGATGAGCGCGGACATTCAGCTGTCCATGACCAGAAGTGTAAAATGCCCCAGCTCTCCTCACTGCGGCCAGGCTTCGCATATACCGAAGTGGCCCTCATCGACCAGGAGTGAAACCCTACTTGTCGGGTGCACTCTTCTCGGACTGTTACCAGAGCATGTACAGGTCAAGCGGGCAACGGCGGTGCAGATTCAATGATGGCTGATCAATATGTTTTTCTATGTTTTTCCAAATCTGAAGTACCTCGTAATGAAATGATCGAGTGTTCGCATTCTTGTCGTCCGAAGATCCGCCGGCGGCGACGAGATTATCTCAGAGAATTTCGATTGACATGTCAACTGTCAAGCAACTTCTGTGCAGTCACTGCCGCTCTCGACAACGCTCCTTCTTGCCTCCGCGCCGTTACAGTCGTTGCAGTCCATCTCTGCCCTTCAAAATGCGCCCTTGAGTGCTTCGATTCCCTCCCCGTGTTCAAACCTCACAGTCACCATGGCCACAGCAGTTGGTACGCGAACAGCACCGGCGCTCCTCACTCGCTCCTTTATAATCACTCCTTCTCATAGGAACCACCGTGCGGGCAAATCCTCTCGTCACGATCCAGCCCTTGCTTACCGTGTCTTTCTAGACCTGCACCGAAACATCCGCCGAAGTCTCGATCCTTACAAGTTCCCGGTCAGGACCGTTCACTCCACACCACGACGTGTTTCCGCCGAAGCCTCAAAAATGGCGCCTAATTCTGCCATTCCTCACATATCACTACATATTGCGGCTTCATCGAGTGGAAAGGGACGGAAGTACCGCCCCGAACTCAGTACATATGACTACATCCCCAGCAACGAGGACGGGCTTGGTCTGCAACATGGATCAACGCTTGACGAGAAGAGAGCACGACGTCCCGATAGCGGCCAGGACGCATATTTCGTTGCCCGCGTGGGGCCCGACTCCGATACCACAGCGTTTGCAATCGCGGACGGCGTGGGCGGGTGGACCGAGCATGGCATCGACCCAGCGGACTTCTCGCACGGCCTGTGCAGCTACATGGCGGAGACGGCGCTTGCATGGTCCGGAGGGGAACGCCTCGGTCCGAAACAGCTGCTAGAGATAGGCTATGAGAAGACAATCCGAGACCCTGCCATCAAGGCCGGCGGAACCACTGCATGTGTCGCAGTGACAGATGGCAACGGTCGCATGCGCATCGCCAATCTGGGTGACTCGGGCTTCCTCCAACTCCGCCTGGGCACCGTCCAGCACTACTCCAATCCGCAGACGCACGCCTTCAACACCCCCTATCAAATGTCCCTTACTCCGCCGGAAATTGTCGCCCAAGCAATGGTCTTTGGCGGCTTACCTCTGAACGACAAGCCCGACCGCGCCGACATGGCCGACCACATGCTCCGACACGGCGACGTGCTGGTCCTGGCCACGGACGGCGTGTGGGACAATCTCAACTCGCAGGACATTTTGTCCATTGTATCCCACCATATGCGCGCGACTGGCGCGTGGCTCCGATCCGAAGATCAAGGCTATGTGATCTCTCCTGTCCTGTCTGAACTCGTGGACCTGAATCTGGCGCCTCAGAAACACCAACTGAGGATATCCGACTCGGTCGACGTCACGACGCAGCAGTCTCCCTTCGCCACCGGATCTTTGCAGAGTGTCTTGGCCGCAGCGATTGTCGGGGAAGCAAAGGCCGCCAGCTTGTCCAGCAAGAGAGACGGACCCTTTGCCAAGGAGATGCAGAAGCAGTTTCCCTATGATCCGTGGCATGGTGGGAAAGTCGACGACATCTCCGTGCTGGTCGTCGTCGCTGTCGATGAGAGTCAGCCCAGGACGGAGAACAAGCTCCTAAAGGCGAAGCTGTGAGCCAGCAGGACAGCAACACGGCCTGCGGGAGTCGTGTGCAGCAACCGGCCTACCGAACACCATTTTCACCATTTGTGTCACCACATTACCACGTACATGAACTTTGAACCAGCGTATGAGCACGAGTAAGAGCCGGAGCGCCACAGTATGAGCTGCTGGATGAGGGACGGCCATTCTGGATATTTTAGACATGCATTCATGCATTCATTGTATAACAAGCCAGAGCAGGCAGATGAGATCGTTTTGCGCATTAAGCATAATTAGACCATATAGCATAGTAGACTGCGGAATATAGTTTCGACTTCTATCTATGTACACTGCACTAGATGCTTTGCTTAGAAGTGATAAGCGTTCCACAACAGGAAGGCGATCAAACTCTGTGGCGGCCGCAATTATGTTGATAATGGACAACGGTTGTGCCGATGGGTCGATGAATGGCCGAGACGAGTTTGCCAGTGCTTCCGACCGTTGGACTGACACGTGGTAGCACGTGGTGAAAATGTGACTCAATTGGAGGACATGATGAATTGCAGAGTCTGGGCAGAAGCCCAGCTATATAGTTACGGAGGCCTATGTACACAATACGGTATCGTACGATAGGGGGGGGTATGGCCCACCTTGCGCAGTACACCTCTTGGCACTGTCTGGCCACCCTTCGGATAACCTTCCCAGTCACAATAACCTCGATAACTCATCATGCCTCCTACGGATGAGTAAAAGTACGTTGGGGGGCCCTCCGTCGGTGGCGAAATGCAATGCCCCTAGCACTCCCTCGATACCATTATCCAGGTCTATAGGACCGGTCCTCAAGCCTCAAACACCTAGGCATATATTTGCACGTTGCCTGCCAGCCGTGTTTCATTCCCAGCTGATTGCAGCCGGGACGAACTGCGATGAGATTGGAGTCGACGCGCGGGGTTCCATGCTTCGCTTCACCCGTCGGCAGCTCCGACGGGATGTACTCAGACTCCCACAGACATCAAGGATATTAAAACGTCCTGCTCTCCCACGCATGGCCGAGCAAAACGATCAAAAGCAAGCTCAGCCACTATGGCCTCCGTGACAACAACGACTGTGCCACCAACAGCCACGTTGAGGGCGGCTGGTGTTGAGAATTCTCCGCAGAATGGCATGGCTGCACGTCCACCACCGTCCACGTACTGGACCATCGACGGTCTGTTGCGAAAACATGCTTCCGAAGATGGCGAGATACCGATGCTCGGATATCCTGCGACCGGTGCGTCAGATTATGAGGTCTATACTGTCAAGACCATAGACAGATATACGGATGCGGCTTGTTGGTGGTATCAAAAGCAGGGCTTGCAACCAGCAGATCCGCAGTCGGATAAAGCACCAGTGGTTGCACTCCTTACCCCTTCATGCCTGGATGCAATCATATCTTTCTTCGCCCTAAACCGACTAGGGTGGGCCGTTCTCTTCCTTTCCACCAGGCTAACGGCGCCTGCATATGCGAGCCTCATGAAATTGGCGGACTGTTCAACCATTGTGGCTCCTCCAGCATACGATACTATCATAGAGGAGATGCGGTCTGAATTAGACATTAGATCACTACCACGGATCAACCAAGAAGACTACCGTGCAAATGCCGACACTCCCAGATTCTGCCGACACTGTGACAACGAGAAGGAATCGAGGAAGGTCGCATGGATCATCCACTCTTCTGGCTCAACAGGCTTTCCGAAGCCCATCTTCATCACCAATTTCGGATGTCTTGCCAACTGGCAGAAAGGCTTGGGCTTCAGGTCGTTTACCGTCTCTCCACTTTTCCATTCCCATGCCCTTATGGAATTCGGCAGAGCCATATACGCGAAGAGGCCGATGTTCTTTGGCAATCACCAGTTGCCAGTCACCAGGCAGAATCTGCTTGCAGCGTTGAGGGTCGCTAAGCCGGAAATGGTCTGTGCTGTCCCTTACGTGCTCAAGCTCCTGGCCGAGAAAGGGGAAGGAATTGCTGAGCTTGCAAAGGCGAAGATTGTCATGTACGGTGGCAGTGCTTGCCCTGATCCACTCGGAGATGAATTAGTCTCCAAAGGCGTATTTCTGGCAGGAAACTACGGCGCCACAGAGACGGGATTCATCATGAACTCCTTCCGACAACCGAGAGACACCGAATGGAATTACCTACGACTACACAAGCCGGTGGCAGACCACGTCCTGATGGACGAAATCTCTCCCGGGATCTTCGAATGTGTCGCATTACATGGATTACCATCTAAGGTAGCTGTCAATACGGACGATCCGCCGAACGCATTCAGAACGAAGGACCTATTCATGCGGCACCCCGATCCTCTGAAGTCCAACTACTGGAAGTACGTGAGTCGACTTGACGATCGACTAACGCTGGTCAATGGCGAAAAGGTCCTCCCCATACCCATCGAAGGTCACATCCGGAAAAGCGAGCTCATCAAGGAAATTGCGGTCTTTGGTGCCGGGAGGACAGTACCAGGCGCTATTATCTTCAAAAGCGAGCAATCAGCGAAGTTAGATGACGACGACTTCCTCGACAAAATATGGCCTCGGATCGAAGAAGCCAACAGGCAAGCCGAGACCTTTTCACGCATTCCTCGGGACCTCGTCATCGTCCGACCATGCCATGAAATCTACCCTCGAACGGACAAAGGGACCATCATCCGAGCACAGCTCTATGTGCAATATGAGGATATGATCAACCAAGCTTACGACCGCTTCGAGTCGGGTGTAACAGGGACGGGCGAGCATCTCCTGCAACTCGACATGCCACAACTGGAAGCCTATCTCATGCACAAATTTCGCCATGATCTCGACACCCCTCTCGAGTCTGTAGATGCAGATATCTTCTCCGCTGGCGTTGACAGTCTCCAAACGACGCGCGTCTGGAACATGATTAAGAAAGAGCTTGACCTCGGCGGAAACCAGGCCAAACTCTCGCAGAATGTTGTCTTCGAGCGGGGCACAGCTCGATTGTTGGCACGACACTTGTACAACTTGCGATTCGGCATCGATGAAGCAGAGCCGGACCTGGACCAAGCCGAGATCAAGACCATGCAAGACTTGATAGAGAAATACTCCGACTTTACACCGCATGATTCAAAAAACAAACCTACTGTAGTCAGCAAGACCGTCCTGCTTACAGGCGTGACAGGTGGCCTGGGGTCGATTCTTCTGTCCAACCTGCTGAGCCGCAGAGATATTAGCAGAATATACTGTCTGGTCCGCGCCAGTTCGCCCACCGCCGCGCACGATCGCGTCATGTCAGCCTTGAGATCGCGGGACCTTCTCCACCCCACTCTTCAGGACGCCGAAGCAAAGATCGTCGCCCTCCCAGCTGACCTCAGTCTACCCACGCTCGGCATGGACCCGATTACGCTTGCAAGCATGCTAAGCAGTCTAACACACATCATTCACAGCGCCTGGGCGGTCAACTTCAACCTGCCCCTCCTTTCCTTTGAACCACAGCATGTCCGAGGCGTGTACAACCTACTGCAGCACGTCGCGCTACGGACCACGCACAGCCAACCAGCCGAGTTTTATTTCTGTTCGAGTGTATCTGCAGTAAGTGGAACACCCAAGCCTGCGACAATCACCGAGACACAAGCCATGGATCTTTCACATGCACAGCGTATGGGCTACGGACGCAGTAAGCTTGTTGCGGAACGAATCACGCATATGGCTATGCAGAGCACAGGATGCGTGGCAAGGGTTCTGCGTATCGGGCAGCTGGCGGGTGACACGAGACAAGCTGTGTGGAACGATACGGAGGCCATTGCGCTGATGGTGAGGTCCGCGTTACCTGAGAGTGCAGGGTGTCTGCCGCTGCTGGATGAGAGACCCAGTTGGCTGCCTGTAGATAGGGCGGCTGAGGTGATTGAGGAGTTGGCCATTCCCAAGGTAAATGGAAATCAAAGGGCCGAGTACGATGCAGATCTAGTCTATCATGTGCTCAACCCGAAGACATTCAGTTTTGGAGAAGAGTTGATACCGATGCTGCAACGACATCCAGCGTTGCCGAGGTTTGACGTGGTCAATCCGAGGATTTGGCTGGATCGGCTCAAGACAAGTGACGGCGATGTGAGCAGGAATCCCAGTCGGAAGTTGATTGATTTCTGGGAGGGAAAGTACGGGCGTGATGATGATAAGGAAGTGCAAAGCGTGGATGCGCAGGTAGGTGAGGTAGACCAGGATGCAGACAAAGGACTGAAGTTTGACACGACCCAGACTATCAGAGATAGCAGCGTCCTTGGGCAGGTTGAAGATCCGGTAACTGATGGCTTGATGGAGAGGATCGTGCATGTTTGGCTGCGAAGATGGAAGGAGCAGTACGGCCAAGTATAGGGACATGTGGCCGTGACTCAGCGTTCCACCGTAGAATTTCAGTGGACACGTGACACGTGCATGAGTCCAAAGTGAAGACCAGCAGCAACTTGGTTCTCTCTAGAACGTTGACGACTACCCTATGACTCCTGATTGAAGTGATCTTGCGATGGCTTCTTCCCAGCTCACTGGGACCCTGGCGTCCATCGCAAACCGCTCGAATGCAGACAAGACACAGGCATACACTGACCTGCTTCGCCAGTTGACTCTCTCGCCGTCCCGTGAGCCTGAAGAACACGCCGCGAACCTCACAGCCTACTTTGACTCGTTATTCTCTTCTTCTCTTGGTATCATCGCCATTCGTCCTCTCGTGGCCAACCTCATCGAAAGTCTAGCACCGGCACCGGCGGAGACTAAAGTCCAGGTGGGGTCACACATCACTGAAGCCCTACAGTCTCAGTTGGCCTCGTATGAGGAGCAGGATGCAAGAGTCAGGGAGATACTAGCGGACGGCTATGAAGCGGAGGGAGAGTACACGGCCGCTGCGAAGGCACTGCAGGGGATCCATCTGGACACCACCCAGCGACAGGTCTCCGACCGGTTCAAGGTCGAACTCTGGATTCGCATCGTACGTTGCTACTTGGAAGAAGACGACACCGTGGCGGCAGAGACGGGCTTGAACAAGATCAAGAACTCGGCGGCTGCAGCCCAAATCTTGAAGGACGCTCCCGACCTGCGGCTGCACTATCAATTGTCGCAAGCCCGCATCTTGGATTCTCGGAGGGATTTCCTGAATGCCTCGGCCGAGTATCTGAGCGTGTCACATAACACCATGATCGACGAGGCAGAGCGACGCATGATCCTCTCGGCCGCCATCAAGACAGCCATTCTCGCCCCAGCAGGACCTCAGCGCAGCCGCGTTCTGGCAAAATTGTACAAGGATGAGCGCTCTCCGGAGACGCCGCAATACCGTATTCTGGAGAACATGTTCTTGGACCGCTTGCTATCGCCAGGAGAAGTGGAATCCTTCGCTTCGACACTGGCTCCCCATCAACTCGCCAAAACGGCGGATGGCGGTACCGTCTTGAGCACGGCAGTGATTGAGCACAACCTGCGTGCCACCAGCCTCCTCTACGCGAACATCACCACCGCTTCGCTTGCTCGGCTTCTGGGTCTCCGGGATAGTATGAATCAGTCTGCTGCTGAAATAGCCCAAGATTACGCCGCAAGAATGGTGGAGCAGGGCAGGTTGCGAGGGCAGATTGATCAGATAGCTGGAGTCATCGATTTCGAGACCGTTCCCGGCGTAGAGCTGAGGGGTCCAGTCCGCGATCTCCGCGAGTGGGATCAGAATGTGCAAGGGTTGGTAGAAGATGTGGAGCGCGTGGCTGCTGGTATCAGTGAGAGCTTTCCGGTAAGCAAGACATGTGAAACGGATGTGCTTTTGGCCTGAACTGCAGGCTGACTGATATTTTACGCAGGAGCTTGTCGCAGAACACATGGTCCATGGATGACCTGGCGCCCCAATCTTCCATCTTCGAGCTCAGGTACGTATTACTTGATGCACATGGTGTGACGGCTGCTCCGGGGCCACTCGCTGTCAGCGTCGCCTACCACGTACATCTGACGCCATTTGACGACCCGACGACTACCTCCAAAACCGAGGAGTCGATATCTCGATGGAGCGTCTTGAGATACTCAGTAAAACGTCTTGCAAAAGGCGGGCGAGACTCGGGATTATGAAGGCTGCCAAACGCGGTATATTCGCAGTGGCTTGCAGAGCGCATGCGGACAAGCGCAGCGCTGCCGTCATATCCATGCTCGCCCCCGAGAGGCTCGCCGAAGCTCACATCCGAAATCTGGGGCAAGCCGCATCGATTGGTGGTTGCAGGGTTCGTTTTCGGATGATGGAATCGCTACGAATAGCCAGGCGTCGATGGCCGCTCCCCATGCAAAAAAAGCCAGCTCGGCTCCCGGCTGCCCACAGAGGTCTCGTCGATGGCGGATGGTCGCATGAACAGGTGCGGTCAGTGGCGGATTGGGCCGGTAATGCGGATGGCGGGGTATGGCAGCCCTTAGCTGAGAAGCATGACCTGGAGACTGGAGGACTAATCAGCGCCATGCTATTGCTCCTCTTCACTTCCCGTCTCCAACTTCCGACACCTACCAGCTTGTTCCGTCGAGCATCACCGCGCCTTCGTAGGCCCACCGCGCTGGGCAACGTCCCTCGGGGCACCAATACGAATTTCTCCTCGCCTGCTGTGCGTGCAGTATGCATCTCGACCTCATATCGTCTGGCCTGTGTCAGCCCCGTGTTTATATATATTGACCTCGCATCGCCGCTTCTGTGTACGTATAAGGATTACCAGCCATTCCCTGAGGTTTTACTGTCTGTTCGCCGTTGCACCAAAAGCGTTCTTCCGGACGGGTCCATCGCACATTGGGGTCACCAGCATGTCGAACAGCATCGTGGGGACCTTGGCCTCGCCATGGGCGCTCTTGCTTGTTCCTATTCTTTATTTCGTGCTTCCATACCTCCGGAATTGGAGTCTGTTAAAAGTTCCCGGCCCACTACCCGCTGCTCTCACGAATTTATGGCTTATGTACCAAGCCCGGAGGGGACGGCGGTACAAGGCAGTCGACGCACTGCACAAGAAGTACGGCAAGGTGGTTCGGATCCAACCCAACCACGTTTCGATAGCAGACGACAGCGCCATCAACGCCATCTATGGGCATGGCAACGGGTTCCTGAAGAGGTGAGCAAAAGGCCCCTCTCAAGAAGAGATAATATCTCTGTCGAAGCACCGTTCTCTAACATTTCTGCCCAGCGACTACTACGACGCCTTTGTCTCAATCCGTCGCGGCCTATTCAACACGCGCGACCGCGCCGAACACACGCGCAAACGCAAAGTCGTCTCGCACACCTTCAGCGCCAAGTCGATCGGGCAGTTCGAGCAATACATCCACGGCAACCTGGAGCTCTTTGTGCGGAAATGGCGCGACCTGGCGACCAACCGCGCCAACCCCTCGACAGGCTACGCCAGCATTGATGCCTTGCACTGGTTCAACTACCTGGCCTTCGACATTATTGGCGACTTGGCCTTCGGCCAACCCTTCGGCATGCTCGAGCGGGAAAAGGACTTTGCCGAGATCCGTAAGTCGCCGGACGCGCCGCCCCAGACCGCCCCCGCCATCGAGGTTCTCAACCGCCGCGGCGAAGTCTCGGGCACGCTGGGCTGTTTGCCTGCCCTTAAACCCTACGCGAAATACCTCCCCGACCCGTTCTTCAGCCAGGGCGTCGAAGCCGTGGAAAATCTCGCAGGCATAGCCATCGCGCGGGTCAAGCAGCGGCTCGACAACCCCAGCACGGACCGCGTCGACCTGCTCGCGCGCCTGATGGAGGGCAAAGACGCCCAAGGCCACAAGCTCGGCCGCGAGGAATTGACCGCCGAAGCACTCACGCAGCTGATCGCGGGGTCGGACACGACGAGCAACACGGCCTGCGCGATCCTGTACTACATCCTGCGCACTCCCAACGTGCTCGCCAAACTCCAGCGCGAGCTGGACTCCAACATCCCCGCGGGCGTCCCCTCGTACGACATGGTCAAGGACCTGCCCTACGTCGGGTACGTCATCAACGAGACCATGCGCATCCACTCGACCAGTTCTCTCGGGTTGCCGCGGTTGACGCCCCTGCCATCACCGGAGAACCCCCACCCAAAACCCGTGGAGTTGCTAGGCTATACGTTCCCGCCTGGCACCGTGCTGTCCGTGCCCGCGTACACGATCCACCACAGCAAAGAGATCTGGGGCCCTGATGCCGACGAGTTCGTGCCCGAGAGGTGGAGCGACGACCGGTTGACGCCGCGCCAAAAGGAGGCGTTTATCCCCTTCTCCACGGGCCCGCGGGCGTGCGTGGGCCGCAACGTCGCGGAGATGGAACTCAAGTGTATGGTTGGCACCGTTTTTCGGAATTTTGAGTTCCGCGATGAGCACGTCGGCGAGATGGAGACCAGGGAGGGGTTCCTGCGGAAACCGCTGGGGTTTCATGTCGGGATTCGGCTGAGGAGTAATGCGTAGGTAGGTTTTTGGAGACATGAGGAGGTGGGAGGCAGGGAGGTGAGATGGGTGGTGCTGCACTGCACCGCACTCGCCGGCACAAGACTCGAAATGTTGAAATGACATGTGCTCACCGGAGTGGGTGTTCAGCTCACGCGAAGTAATGAATTGTCTACTACGATTGACGGATCAACGGATGGATGAATGGGGACACGCCCAGGAGTACATACAGTATATATGCATACATCTATGTTGAGGAACCAACGAATTTGAACCGATCACACACCACCTTGTCAGGGTAGGGGATGAGTAGGTCCGTCCTGACTTCTGAGCGGAACCTGGCTACCAAATTTCAGGCACACCTATCAAATGCTCGAGATAAGATTTGGACTTGCAGACTGCTGAAACTGCATCGTCATGTTGTCTGTGTTCCGTTGCATTCCGTACGGAGGAGGGGGGCACTACTTGAAGGCCGTTGAGTGAGGTCCCTCACTTGGTTTCCATCATGGATGATATACTGTGCTGGATCATCTGCTCTCGATTGGGATATCTCGTATCTAGTATCTTGTATTTACCGAGCGGAGTTTCTGTAATGGACATGGGATAGTGAGCTGCCAGCTACTTTACGCGCATTGAGTGGTGAGAACTGAGCATTGAGCATCGAAGCATGGACATGTCTCCCCCTTGACTCAATGGGTGGCCCTGCTTTAGGCAGAGAAGAATTGCCTACGGCATGCTCCCCGGCATATGCCCAGGTAGAATATATTCGGACCTGCCGCCCCCAGCGTTGCTGCCCGACAAATACTGCTCAAAATAGGCAGACATCTCTCTAGCATTTTCGGCACCGAGGCCGAGATCCCACTCGTCCAGCATGCCGTTCCAATCCTCCTGGGAGAGCGGGAAGTCCGGAAGATCAATGTCGCTTGCAGGGTCTGGTGCGTACGTCGTCGTGTATTGAGCCTGCGGGGACGTGTTTGAGGGGACAATCGCAGAGGCTCGCGCGTCGGGCACAGGTGGACGGCTCTCGGCCGGACGGCTCATGTAGGTCTTTGCGATCTGGTAGAAGATCCGGCATGCGCGGTACAGCTTGCTCACGCTGGCGGACAGCTGGGCCGCGCTGTGCAGGGTGTCGACGCACTTTTCGAGCAGTCGGAGGTCGTCGACGTTGCGGTCCGCGATGACGGTGCCGACCAGCACGATGTACGGGATGAAGGGGCACCAAAGGAGCGTCCAGTGGATAAACATGCGCCATTCCTCCTTGGAACGCGTGTGCAGGATGCTCCACGCCCTGTTATGCGTGTTTAATGCTTTCCGCGCTGTCTCGATGGCCTCGTCGCAGAATTTGAGCGGATGGACTGGTGTCGCTGTCGCTGACGGTGCGGGTGGGATCATGCGGTAGACGAGACACAGGGTGGAATACTGCACGATCTCGATGGATAGCAAACCTTCCTTGAGGAAAGAGCCGAATGGCTCGTCGGCCAGCTGATCGTCGTCGAATGTGAAGCTCTTCTGGACCTCTTGGAGCCGGGCAGCCAACTTCCGCGCGAGCTCGGCCTTGACTTCCACGGATTGTTTCTGCCCCTGTGCACTGTAGAGTTGATCATAGATGTCGCCTTGGACTTTGGCAAAGTCGAACCAGCTGTTGAACATGGCTCCCCATACGCCGTGGACTTCCTCCGGGAACTTCGGTCGGTCGGTTAGGATGTCATAGTCTGGCATGGAGGGTGTGCGTCCGAGATTGAGCGCCATGCCTCGTTCCACGCAGTACAGAAACCAAAAGAGGCGCCGTTTCTCGGTCGCTTCGGGGGCCACCGAATAGGGCGGTAGACGGTGGTAGCCGGCATCCAGAGCCATTCGCCCTGCTGAGGTGATTAGTGTCCACGCGAGGGATGCCTGTGATAAGTCCATGGCTAAGGTAGACTAGGCAGCATCAGCAAGAGCGGAGCAAAGTGGCAGCAAGGCTGCGCATACCCCTTGTACCAAGGCTTCAATGTTCTCGTAGGTTGGCTGCATATATAGTCTCAAATTCCGAATGGCAGCCTCGGCATTCTTCAGACAGATGGCCACAATGCGATCCCGCTCGGCGCCTGACAGGTCCAGATCTCGAAGTTCGGACTGACACAGCTCTCTGAACAGGTTCAAGAGGCACACATGTACAGTGATGAAAGTGGCGATAGTGAACTCTTCGGCCGGGAAATAGACCTTCTGACACAGCGAGGTGAGGTATGGCAGGGTCAGATTCGGAACGTCGTTTAGATATTTCAGAGGATGTGTCTTCGCATATCTCAAGAGGCTGAGGACGGTCGTCATAGGAGGCAGCGTCAAGTCTTTCAGCTCGGGATAGTCGACCACATCTCTCACGGTATTCTGGAGTGGCGCTGATGTGTCAAAGGACGAGGGCTTTTCGTTCAGGACGCTCCTCAGTGTTGCAACCACGGCCGCAATGTCTGCGATCGAGTCGGCATCGGACGAAGTCTTCAACCCGGTCTCGATGACTTGAGTGATGTCCTTCAAATGGGCACTGAAGGAGGAATCGCCCTCGTAATCCAAGTCTCGCCAGACCAGTTGGCTGTCGCGAGGAGCCGAGAGCGTCCGGCCCCCCGAGGAAGTCGATGGGGAGTCGTTCGAGCTGTGGCCGGTCTGGTTGTTGACGAAATCCTCCAGCATTCGTTCCAAGTTGGCGAGCCTGTCATTCACATTGTCTATCTGTCGATCACTTGCGACCAGCTCTTAGTCTGAAAATCAATCGTAGGGGCGTCCTCGTCTACTTACTACCGTCCAGAGACCGATATTCGCTGTCTCCTCTCCGCAATCCTCGTCGCCGTACGACATTGTAGACGAGATGTCTGGCAATGCGAACATGGGGTCTTCCTATCGCAGCGCACCTGAAGGGGCCTGTTGTCAATCGAACCCGCTTGCGAGAACTGTGTCCGGCATACCTTGCGCACTCTGCAATTGTCACACTAGTGAAGATCAGTGATTCACCCCGATGCAACCGGAGGGCGGAGCTGTACTGCAGGGCCCCTAGTGGAGCTTGCTTCTACTTCTGATCGAGGCTCTGGCGGTTCCGACATGGCTCATGTCTCATGAAACCCCTCTTTCCAATGTTCGCATACTGCTCGGAGACCCAGCAGTGAGGAAGGAAGGACTCGAGTGAGCACAGGGGGAACTGGGTCTCCATCGTGGCCGGCCGGATTCTCGGGCCCGGCTACCCCGTCGCCGGGAGTCGCACTACCCCCGACAAGAAGCCCTTTGACGTCGTCCATTTCTTTTCGCCGTATTCTTGTCCTATCACAGAAGCTGCCATCCGGGCTCGTGCCGTCCAAGATACTCCAGATACTTGGCCTCTGGTCGACTGGCGTTGTGGGCGGCATCCTCGTGGAGTCCATGCTTTGCACAAGCATTTGCGCCAGGCAGCAGTAGATTGGCATGGCTCGGCGGAGACGATTACCAGAACTCGGAAACGACATGGCAGTGTCCGTGAAGCTTTTGCCCTGCACAGGGGGACAATATCACATATACACGCCGTCGCTCGCGTCTCAATCTTCCAGCAGTCACTCCATCCGTTCGACAGACGTTTGTACATATAACCTGACAGAACTCTTACACCTCCAATTCCGCGGTCCCTGGGCTTCCCGACAGCTCGCATGGCAGCAGACAGAGAAAAGCGAACATCAAGCCAAGATGGCTCAGAGCAAAATGGCGGCGACAAGACGGAAAAGACGAAGGGCGAGGGCAGCATCAAGGACTATTTCCGCGTCTTTCAGTATGCCGACAAGTACGACTGGGCCCTCAATGCCGTAGCATGTTCCTCTGCCATCGCTTCTGGTGCTGCCCTTCCATTGATGTCCTTGATCTTTGGCACTTTCACCACCAAATTCAACAACTTCGCTACCGGGACCTCGACCCCGGCGCAGTTCAAAGACGATGTCGATCATTTTGTGCTGTGGTTCGTATACCTCTTCATTGGCAGATTCATTGCCACCTACATCGCCACGGCGGCAGTCAGCATCGCAGCAACGAGGACAACTCGCACTCTTCGGAAAGCATTTCTCGAGGCAACCCTTCGGCAAGAAATCTGGCATTTTGACAGCAAAAGCAACGGCGCTACAGCTACGCAAGTCACCACAAACGGCAACAAGATTCAGTCGGGCATCGCCGAGAAGCTCGTCTTCATCATTCAGGGCCTCTCCACCTTTGTTACTTCCTTCATCGTGGCCCTGGCTGCACAATGGAAGCTGGGTCTGATTACAATGACCGTTATACCCGCAATATTCATCATTACGGGAGCCTGTGTTGCCATCGACGCAGTCCAGGAGGCCCGGATCCTCCGCATCTACTCCCGAGCTGCCGTACTTGCTGAAGAGGCTCTATCGTCGATCCGGACGGTTCATGCATTCTATGCCCAGAAGAAGATGGTGCAGAGGTATGACACATTCCTAGCACAGGCTCATAAGGAAGGTAATAAGAAGTCACCCAACTGGGGCGTGCTTTTCTCGACACAGTTCTTTTGTGTGTATTCGGCAACCGCCCTCTCGTTCTGGCAGGGCTTCAGGATGTATCAGAGCGGTGAGGTCGGTAGTGTGGGCACGGTCTTCACCGTCGTGCTCTCAGTAACCATTGCCGCAACCTCGATCTCGAGCATTGCGCCACAAATCGAGGCCATCACCAACGCCTCATCGGCTGCTTCCGAACTGTTCAGCGTCGTCGACAAACCGTCACTTTTAGACCCTCTCGACCCGTCTGGCGCAACGCCTTCATCATGCGAAGGACGCATCGAGATCCACAATCTGGACTTCGCGTATCCGTCCCGGCCAGCTGCGCAGGTTCTGCACGGATTCAACATAACCATCCCTGCAGGCAAAACTACCGCTTTAGTGGGAGCCTCGGGCTCAGGGAAAAGTACCCTCGTTGGCCTGCTGGAAAGGTGGTATCTGCCGGCTTCCGGTCGCATTGTGCTCGATGGCCGAGACCTGGAGGAATACAACGTCAAATGGCTGAGAAGTCAAATCCGCCTTGTTCAACAGGAGCCGATACTCTTTCGCGGGACTATCTTCCAGAATGTCGCCAAGGGCTTCGTTGAGTCCCAGCGGCAGCTTCCTCACGAGAAACAGATGGAGTTGGTTCGCGAGGCTTGCAAGGCAAGTAATGCTGACAGCTTCGTCAGCGAGTTACCGCAGGGCTACGACACCGAAGTGGGCGAACGAGCCGGGACTCTGAGTGGAGGTCAACGACAACGGATCGCCATCGCTCGCAGCATTATTTCTAACCCAAAGATCCTACTTCTTGACGAAGCTACGAGCGCACTCGACCCCAAAGCAGAGAAAGTCGTACAGGATGCTCTTAGTCGGGTGTCAAAGAATAGGACAACCCTGGTCATCGCACACAAGCTGGCAACGGTGAAGGCGGCCGACAGCATAGCAGTCATGTCTTCTGGGAAGATTGTTGAGCAAGGGACACATCAGGAATTGATCGATTTGGACGGCCGGTACGCGGCTCTAGTCCGAGCTCAAGACCTCGGTACGGCCAACAGCGAGCCGCCTGAGATGTATTCCACCGAAAAGCAGATCCTAGAGGAGTCTGTCGACCGACCGGCTCTGCAACGCATCGCCACTACTGCTACTTCGGTGGGTGAGGATACCGAGAAGCAGCAAAAGCCTGTGGGGACTCTTGGCTACTCTCTCCCCAGATGCATCTTCATTATGTTCTATGAGCAAAAGCCGCTGTATTTCTGCTTCTTCCTGCAGGTCATTGCTTGTCTCATCGCCGGAGGAACATTTCCCGCCCAGGCCGTCCTCTTCTCCAAGGCGCTGACTGTCTTCCAACTGACCGGGGAAAATGCTCGTGAACGAGCGGACTTCTATGCGTTGATGTTCTTCGTTCTCGCACTGGCCAATCTGGCCGCCTATTTCACCATTGGATGGACTTGCAATCTCGTCTCGCAGACAGTCACGCACCGCATCCGGTCGGAAATGTTCGGACGGGTTCTCGACCAAGATATCGCGTTCTTCGACATTCCCGAAAACACATCAGGTGCGCTGACTTCAAGACTCTCAACACTACCCACCCACCTGCAGGAGTTGCTTTCAACCAATGTTCCCCTCATCGCGAATGTCTTGATCAATGTGGTATCGAGCAGTGCGCTTGCACTGGCTTATGGATGGAAACTGGGGCTGGTCGTCGTCTTCGGCGCATTGCCTCCACTGCTCCTCGCAGGTTACATCCGCATCCGGCTGGAAATGCAGCTCGATCGTCAGACTGGCGAGAGGTTCGCAGAGAGTGCCGGACTGGCCAACGAGGCAGTCTCTGCTATTCGAACGGTCGCTTCGTTGACCTTGGAGGCTCATGTGCTCGAAGAATACTCAGACATGCTCAGCAACATCGTGCTGAAGTCGACCCGGGCGTTGATATGGACCATGTTCTTCTTCGCGTTATCACAGTCCATCGAGTTCCTTGCCATGGCGCTCGGATTCTGGTATGGTAGCCGACTGCTTGCATCGGGAGAGTACACTACGGCGCAGTTCTACACGATCTTCATCGGGGTCCTGTTCGCTGGCCAGGCGGCCGGCCAGTTCTTCGGATACACAACGTCCATCACTAGGGCTCAAGGCGCGGCAAACTACATTCTGTGGCTTAGGACGCAGAAACCGACCATCGCGGAGACGGAAAACAACAAAGAAAACGGACCCTCGGCCGATGGGCCGGTTGCCCTCGAAGATGTGGAGTTCCGCTACCGACAGCGCCAAACCTCGCGGGTCATCCGGAGCATCACAATGAGCATCGAGACCGGACAATTTGTAGCGTTGGTTGGCGCGTCAGGCTGTGGCAAGTCCACGCTCGTCGCCTTGCTCGAACGCTTCTACGACCCCACGAGCGGCCGGATCTGTCTCTCCCACGAGGACATTGCCGCCATGTCACCTCGCCTGTACCGAACACACATGTCTCTCGTACAGCAGGAACCGACGCTGTATTCGGGCTCGGTGCGCGAGAACGTCTCGCTAGGCCTCGACTTCGAGCCCTCCGATGAGCAAGTTAAAGAGGCATGCCGCCAAGCCAACGCGCTGGACTTTGTAACGTCTCTCCCCGAGGGGTTCGACACCTCCTGTGGTTCGCGAGGAATGCAGTTCTCAGGCGGCCAACGACAACGCATCGCCATTGCCAGAGCCTTGATTCGAGATCCCAAGCTCCTCCTACTCGACGAGGCAACATCCGCGCTGGACACTCAATCCGAGCGTCTTGTGCAGACGGCGTTGGACGAGGCAGCCATAAGCAGGACCACCATCGCGGTGGCGCATCGGTTGTCAACCATCCGCCACGCGGACATGATCTTTGTGATTGCCAGTGGGCGGATCGCCGAGCGTGGCACCCATGCGGAGTTGCAGGCCCAGAAGGGCATTTACTACGAGATGTGTCTGGCGCAGTCGTTGGACAAAGCATAGAGCAGGATGTAGCGGAGTATAGCTCATTGAGCAGATATCACGCTATTGGAGACGCAGTTAGGGCGCATATTACATGTTGTATATTACACATTGTACGATCACAAAGGCACTCATCTCGATTATTCTGTTCCTACTCTTCTCGTCCGCTTCGGAACACAACCAGCCAAACAAGGAATGTAACTATATGTATAATTACCAACTGGACAAGATCGTCTCATCTGTTCCTAGATACTGTACGTTCATAAGGTTGCAACTTCCGAAGTCCTTGACGAGTCCTCCCTACCTCCTTACTGCCCGTTCTGCTTGCCGTCTCTTCCTGCTAATACACGTACACAAATATGTACGTACATGACCCAAGCGCATGACTTGAGCTAGCCACGCCACAGCCTTTCCGTCCCTCTCCACCACTGTACTCTACACTACTGGAGTGTGAAGAGGAGCCATCTCGAAGTTGCAGACCATGGACTGTACAGAGAACCCATCCCAAGGATGTCCACCATGGAGTGTATGTCATGCAATGCCACGCCATGTCACGCCCCCCCATGCCATGCACCCACCATAGATACGGCGCACGTACCTAGGTACATAGGTAGGGAACACAGTAACGCCAGTACACCGACGAGTAATCTAATCAGTTTAGGTAATTAGTACGACGTACCCATGCATTCGTAAGGAGACGGGGAGACGCCTTGTCCTCCGAGACTTAATTAATGATTCATCAGTGGAAAGGAGGAGGATCGAATGGGCTTAATGCAGCCTCAGACACATACGGAGTACAGTACTTAGCTATTTGCAAAGCGCGATGTGATCTTTTGATTGGCGACTACGGAGTACTTACATTATGTATGATACAGCGCCAAAACAACAGTACGTACACTGTACTCGTGACACGATGAAGTACCTGTGTACTGTAAAGCTCGCTTGAACGCTAGGTACAGCCGTCTGCTTGCTTGCTTTGCTTCTCCTGCCCCGATGCCACACTCTCTGGCTTAGAGTAGAGTGCCATACAGTCGGGATCCGAGTTTTCCAGTGGCCACTGCGTACTACACGCTTCCTGTTACTTCTCAATACGCCATGCCGAATCTCTAAGTAACACATGATCGTTGACTCGTAAATTATATAGTAGTTCGTTGGTGGTCTCCATCTCCCACCCTTCCTTCTCTCGTTCGCTCGCTCGTTCCTATACAGACAAAGTATGCGGGGCGGGTGGATGGGGAGGCTCGCACCTCCTCCGCCACTATCCAACTCGTTCAGTGCTTGCGGTGCTTATCCAAAGCTGCACGTGACAGACCGACGGTGGAGGCGGCTGATCAGAGAGTGAGGAATGAAGGAGATGATACCGATATCCCAGACGCTCCTCTTCCCCTCTTGACATATTCGCGGACTTCCTCTTTTCCGGACTGCGCCGCCTTCACCACGCCGTGCCCTCCAAATTGGCCTGTCTCAACTTCTCGTAGAATGCGCCCGGCCAGCCCACCATCTCGCCATCAGAAGGCAAACAGCTGGCCTCCTTGCCATCCTCGCCGACTTGACACTGCATCTCGCCTTTCGCTTTCAAGGCTTCCTCCCTCCGCCGACAGTATCCGACGACATTCCCGATGACGCGGCCCAGCATTTCGGGAGAGATGGCCACGGGGTTCAAGAACGGGTCCGTCGCAGAAAGCAATTCGCTGATGGTTGGCCGAAGGGACTGCTCCCTCGTCAGGCATCGTTTCAACGTCTTGATGAGCCCAAACGGGACAACGCTCCCGCCGATACCCGTGCTGGGGAATTGAATCTCCACCTTCGGATTCGGGATGGACATGATGCGCTCGAATTGCTTCTGGATGTGTGCAAACGGGGGCTGTCCATACGTCATCTGGTACAGGATACAACCCAGACTCCATACATCAGAAGGTTTGCCTAGCTTGAGGATTTTCGTGCCCGGCAGGGCCCCTTGTCCTTGTGTCGCGCCTACCGCGACGAGCGACTCGGGGGACATGTAGTTCGGGGTGCCGATTTGGTTCTCGCGGTGCACGTTGACGGTGTTTTCCTGGATCGCGTTGGCGATGCCAAAGTCGATCAGTTTCAGCTGACCTTTGACCAGGAGGAAGTTGGCGGGCTTGAGGTCTGAGTGGACAATGTCGTGCTCGTGCACGGCTTGCACGCACTCCAGCATCTCTTTCCAGTAGTGCCGCGTGAATGTGATGTCCAACTTTGCATTCTCGGCCTTCAATTGCTCGTTGAGCATCTTGTTGAAATCCGTCTCGCCGAGCTCCATCATGACGTTAAGGACGCCCTTTTCTTCGTTGACCTCGTAGTCATACAGTCTGATGACCCTGTCGACGTTTTCTAGTTTTTTTAACAGGTCGATCTCGCCCTTGTAGCCCGCAATGGCCGCCATGTCGGCTTCTTCGAGGTTGACCCGCTTCAGCGCGAAGATTTTATAATTCTCGGCCATTATGCGGAAGACTCGCGAGGAGCCGCCTCGACCGATGCAGTCAAGGCGACGGTACGTTTTGCCGTTCAGTGCGTAGTGGACGGACTTCTTATTGCGGGACCCGGCATTCGAGGTGGCTGCGTCGAGGATTGACATTTTCGGAGGGGGTACTGGGGCCGGTCGGTGAGGTGTATTGTTTGACCGAGGAGCCAGAGGTTGGCGAGAGGGAGATATCTGCATCGGTGTGGGCTCAGAGGCTTTCCGATCTGGGTCACCTCCATCTTCGTGGATGTCCAGTATTGCAGCGGATGGTCTGGTACGGCGGAAGGTCGGCGGTGGGTCGTTCTCTTGGTCCTGCGCTGGAAGGGGTTGTAGCGGTGGGATCTTGAATACAGGTCTGTTTTGAGAGCTTGAAGACTTTGACGAAGGATGAGAACCGGGTACAGCAGGTGTCGGCTGCGTTCGAAGCAATGAGCCTGGTCTTGACGCGGGACGATCGAATGCTGTCTGCACGTCCACCTGTATGGGAGATCCGCTCCTTGGGGACGGGCGTAGTGGCTTGATCGGCTGTGGGCTGCCTTGGAGCGCAAGCAAATCGTCGGGCAAGTCTTGTAGATCTGGTTCAGGTGCTCGACGACCAACCTCCAACTCCGGCGTTGTCGCACCAGGATGGTCATCTATGTTGGCACCATCGTCATCCTCGCTCTGACGGCGGACCATGCCCCTCCTTACGGGTTTATTGAGCAATGCTCCGCCTAGGCGGCGGACGCGCATCGTGCTATGAGCACCGTTCTCATCTCCTTTCCGGGGACGTGTAACTGTAGACGGCATGGCAGAATTGTGCTCCTCCACACTGGCCCGCGAAGCCCCAGATCTCGGGCTGACCGATCGTTTTGACGTGTATGGTGCATCTTCAGCTTGAGGTTCCTGCGGTGCTTGATCAGAAGGTGGTGACCTCGACAACCGCCGGCCATTACTGATGCGGATACGGCGAACCGGGGGCGCTGGAGTCTCTGAGTCTTGAAGGGTAGTCTGGGCTCGCGTTGCTGACTTTTCGTGGATCTTGTACATGAACGATCCGTCTCTGCCCAGAACTCCTGGTGCGCCAGGGCGAACGCTAGAGGTGACGCGGACGACCCGGGGAGCTGGACTTCCATCTTCTTTCTGCGGAGGGCTTGAGGCTTTGAGCGCCTCGATAGGTGTCCCTTTGCTCTGCCTTCGCAGGCCCGTCGAGGTGGATGGTATTGTAGGATGGACCCTTGGAGCGATATTCTCTTTCTCAGCTTCAACTTGCTGTTCGTCCTCTCCAAGTATCGCTTGCGCCTCGGCGCTCAGTTTGATGGGCGCAAGATCTTCGTCATCGGAGCTGTCCCCTGTAAAGCTTCGATTAAGGTGCGGTCTCTTGCGTGTTTCTATTAGTTCTGGCATGGCTGGGGCGCGCTGTGCAGCTGATCGCGTGGTGGCTCGGAGCGGTCGACGAGAGTTACTGAGACTGGACGCTAGGGCTGCTGGGCTAGGCGAAGCGTAGGTGGCCATCATAGTGTTATTGTTGCTTACTGATATTCGTGGACAGGCTCATCATCGAGGCATGCAATTCTGTATTTTGGGCTGACAAGGGACGCGCCATTCAATTGGAGCTCAACACGAGGCAGATGCAATTGGGGTGTCGGAGAAACTTCGGTACATGGAAAAACACGCGTTGTCTGGGGCAACCATTGGAGGAGCAAGCATTACTATTATACCGGAAGAGGCTCGACAATGGCGACCTCTCATCCTAAAACGAGACTGCTTCGTATGCGAGGACGTCGCGAATTCCAACCCAATTCATCCTGCCAGCGCCAGTGCCAAAGCTATCATTGAGAAACCTTTAGAGCCGGACAGGCCCAACGTCTTAGAGCATCACGCTGAAGCCGAAGAAAATTCCTGCAGCGACAACTGCGAGTCCATACATCTCACCAACGTTGATGACCAGCCTTGACGCAGCAGAGCTCCCAGAAGATCCGCTGCTGCCTGATGCATCGGTTGTGGTAGCGGCGGCACCACCACCAAAGCCAGTGTAAACAACGCTGCCATCTGAGGCGGTCGAGGCTGCCGCCCCGTTTGTCGTAGATGTTGCTGGCATCGTGCTGATAGTGCTTGTGTTGACTCTTGTAGGGTTAAGAGCACCACATGGATGGTCCTGCACGCACGCAGCGGCACAAGTATTGTCATTACCACAGCCCAGCTGACAATTGGTATTATATTGGGTGCAGATATAGTATGGCAGGGTTTGCGAGTACTCGGAGGCGTTCGGAGACAATCCGTTGGAGCAGATACAGGAGTAGGTAAGGGAGGCAGAATCGCATGTATTATCATAAGTGCCGGCGGAGTTGCCAGCTTCTTGCAGACAGATAAGTGGACATTGGGCGATCTGTGAGTTGCACCACGCCTCTAGACAGCTGTTAGCGAGGTAGGCCGAAGCCACCAGGTGAGGAGCAACACTTACGCCTCGTTGATAGGGGCACTGAGTTGGGATCAATCGTTTGCGTGACGGCCATTCGAGCAAAAGCTGCTACAGCAGCAGCAAGGCGGAAGTATTGCATGTTGATTAGGAGTTGGGTTTTGGTGCAGTGCAACAGGTTACACGGATTAATAAGTCGGTACGAAGTTTAAGAAATATGCTTCTCGCTCGTTGCTGTAAAATGAAAGAGATAGCGAGTGTATGAAAGGAATGAAGCGAGTCGTTGCTTGAAAGTTGAGCGAGTGGTCGGCGGTCATCGCAGCCACGGGCGTCCATGGGCTTGATATAAAAGGGCGGACCCCTAGCATTCACCACCGCCGCTTTGGGTTGGTGTTGATCAAGGTGAGTTAGGGTCCTCCAGGCGACATGCTAATTCCCCGCCACTCGGAAAGTCCCCAGTAGGTGCACGGTCAAGATTCTAGCCCATTGCGACTGTTTGTTGCATGTGAAGAGCTCCGATCTGAATGGCTGGCACTTGCGGGAGCATGCACGATCTGTGAGGGAGGTTGACTTGTCTCAGGCGTGCGTCCTTCAAGGTCGAAAAAAGTCCGTGGTGTTTGTGGAGCTGTCAAAAATGTCAGTCGCAGGTTGTTGTCGGTCCAATGGTGTCGGCTCTCGGGCTCCATGACGCGCAATCCATCGCCAATAGAAGGTCCGCCTGACGCTCTGGCCGTGCGAACATGCACACCAGGTCCACAACAGCGGAGTGAACTGCTGTTGGAAAGCAGTGGCGGAGGGAGTACAGGCCTTCTTCAACCGTGCGATGCATCTCCCAAGAGGCAAAAGACCACAAACTAGACTCTCTAGAGAAGTAACTGAGTCGAAACACGACTCGCTGCCTGCAAGATCAATTCCTCACCACTCCCTCAGATGACTTGCAGGGCCGGTCCTGAACAAGGCTAGCGGTCAACAAGAGATGGCGCTACAGACGCCGCTGTTCTCGATGCAGTTGACGTGCGCTGGCGGCATGGTCTATCTCTGCTAGCTCGCGGATCCTTCGGACTTTTTCCCTTCTTTGCTGAAACATCTTCTCGTACTTTGTCACCTCACTTGCATCTTTCAGCATTTCTTGCGTGGCGGGACATCCCACCTCGCATGAACAGACATCGTCCATGCAGAACGCCGGCTGTCTTTGACCGATCTGGCCTCTACTTGGGCCTCGTGCATTGAGCACATGCATGGAGAACCCCGGTTCCCTTGCGAAAGCAAAATTGGGTCCAGTTCAATGGGGTCAAGATTCTATGGATTCGGCTGGTGACCAGTCTCGTCCCGCGCCTCTTCCCCCGCCGTACTGGAAACCCAGCAGAGAATCATCCTTTGATGAATTGTCTGCCCTCCGTCCACCTCCTATAACACTCGAAGACCATACTCTATCCCGTGAAGCCAGCAGGGCTGGTCTTTGGGCCAAATCCATCACCATCGACGAATATGTCATTGTCCGAGGCAATCCCCTAGGCGCTGGGGCATATGTCGTATACAACTGCCGTGTCCAGACGCTCGATGGAGGACCCATGATTATTCGAAAGCGGTATTCCGAGTTCGATGAGCTGCGTGCGAAGTTGATCAAAGCCTTCCCGCAATCGACCAAGTCGTCACTCCCCCCTCTTCCTCCGAAAAGCGCCGTCTACAAATTCCGACCTAAATTTCTCAACAAGAGGCGGGAAGGCTTGGAGTACTTCCTCAACTGCGTTATGCTCAATCCAGAATATGCAGGATCTGCACTCGTCAAAGATTTCATCTTTCCACCTGAAACATGAAGACCATAATCGAACGCCGTGGCCGGTCTGCTAAAGCACCTGGGAAAAATTGACCTATAATTGGACAGGATGACTTATATCATGCAAGCTCGATGGAGATTACGATTTCTGCGCATCGTGTCCCCAGTTCTTCAGGCTCTTATACGAGTTGCTGTTCGTGTCTTGTTTGGCCTTTTCCTCCTGCGCGAGATGGCGCTTGTTATAGGCGGCGACTTTTCTCATATGCGCTATATCTTCCTCGTCATATTGGGACGGGTCTTTATGCGGGTTCTTTTTCAGGATCTCAACGATCTTCCTTCCACTATCGAGACGGTCAGGCACCGCGCGTCATGTTCTACAGCACAACGACACAGGATGAAGCGCAAAATCGGGCGACGGTAAAAGCCGGCAACGCCGCTCACCTTTCATGGCCGATGCTCTCTCCTGAACCGTCGTCTTTCGACCAGCCCGACTCTTGACTGCCAGGTCCTTTGAGCCATTGCTCTAACTCTTCAGCTGTCATGTTGACAGTGTTGTTGAAGTCTCTGCTCCCCTTAGCTTGCAACATCCGTGTGACACGGATTCCCAGCTACTCACTGGATGACTTCGTCCTTGCTTTTGACCATCTTGTAAGGGTTGCTGGTGAATGGTTGCACGAGTCGGGAAGGAGACTGGGGAGATAATGGGCTACGGAGACATATCCTGAACATAAACCCGCCTGCAGCGATTTTCTTTGACAACTGGGGTGATGGTGATATTGTACTGGCACCCAGCAGTGGTTTGTGAGCCTCGTTACGTCATGACTTGAACTTTGACATTTGCTGCCAACTCCCGTGGAGCTCAGGCCAAGTTGCGATAAACCCTTTCAGACTCCATTCAAAGAGCCGAATCGGCGAGCCTGAAGCCAGGCTGAGAGGTTAGCACGCCGTTGGCGAACGCCACAGGGCCGTTGTGGTACATGTTCGGTGCGGCAGGATACTAGATGATGATGATCCAGCCTGATGTATGGAGTAGCCAGCCGCAGACACGAAATTGCCGGCATTCCACCCGCCTCGTGTTGTTGAAGCAAGGGGACACGAAATTCAGGACATGTGCATGAACCCATAAGGGCGCACAGGAGTATAAGTATCTCAGCAAGGCTTTATCGCGATTCAGACTGGTTGAGGACATCCTTACTTTCGGACCAATGTGCAGCACACATGCACAAGTCAATTTCAGCAGTCGCGTAAAGTCTCACCGATTGCGGCTCCAGTCTAGCACGAGCAGCACCCTTATTGTGACGGCATTCGTGGAGCGCAGTCCGGCACTTCACTCGTGGGCTTGCACCTATGCTTGGGAGAACGGTCGAGCATGACTGAGTGCCGAACTGTCAACACTGGCTCTGATCAGATGTCGCCTGGTTTTGCGCAGCCTCGATCTCGTGGAGCTCATCGTTGCTGATCTGGAAAGATGATTAAGACCTCACCATGATCACCACGATCCAAGCAAATGAGGACCGCCGGCATGGAGCAATAACCTAAAGGCCTAACCCGAATAAGTCTGTCGGGCGCTGGGCTAGAGACCCGGTCTAGGACACGCATGATACGATGTTGATCAGTGGCTGGAAATAGTCCACGCGTGTCTCATTGCTGTTTGAGGTGCAAGCATCTGGTGGTATGAGGGTCAAGTTGCGTTAATACACCACTCCACCTCCCAAGATTTGCAAGCCTGAAGCTGTGCCGGTGGGCAGGCGCAGGTGGCTCTTAGGCTAAGGACGAGGTCCCTGAGGCGTCGATAGCACTAGCCTAGGAGTGGGCGGGCCAGCTAACCGGATTTTCGCTTCCAAACCACCAAACGGCCCTTTTCAAGTTACGGCACGACACGTCGCGCTGCAACGCCCGAGAGGCTTCAACTCCATCCTCAGTGCCTCACTGCACTATCACCTCCTCCTATCCTTGACCTTATCACACATTCTTCACTTTCTGTTTCGCTTCTTGTTTTTAGCAAAAAAGGTCGCCATTCTGCCGACCAGGCTGCCACTTCACCCCTTCACTTCTGACTCTTACCGGCCCACGTTTTTGTGCATTCGCTGTTCATTGAACCAATTGTCCGCTCAGAATACCTCAGCCGTTCGTGTTGCGGACCGGCGCATGAAAACCTCGTCATCTTCATATTCTTTCCCGACGTTCGCTTGTCCTTTTGGATTTCAAATCTGGAACCTCCTCCGTCCCTCCCGGCCTTCGAGTTACCACTCGCTAATTCAGCCAATGCCGATAAACCCCTGAAATTACTGCGTACGCACCTCCAGACTTGCATATGCACCCTGCCTGACCGCGGGCACCGCCTTCAACCTGGTCAGCTTCTTCCGTCACCTTCATTGTCGCCGGAGCGCGCAGCTCAAGGTTGCGCCACGACTACTACTTGTCACGGCCTTGGAAGTGAGGAGTTGAGAGATCAGTCTTGGGTTTTTGTGCCGATGCAAAGAAACATCAAGCTTATGGTCCTCCTCATCTGACACCTCAGTCCCAGATCATGCCGTTCTTCTCAAAGGTGTTCAAGAGCAGGGAAGGTCAAGCCAAGAAAAATGTCGCCCCCGTCGCAAACGGAGATAGTCACAAGAAGCCTCAATGGTCGGATGCTTGGGTGCGCACGAGGGTCGACCCAGAGGAGGTCGCGGAGCTGTTGCATCTGTGTACCGCCGAGTTAAAGTCAAGAGGTCGGCCTCCATCCTGTCCAGAATGAATGCTCAATGCTCACCTCGAGTAGCGCTGGATGTCCCCTTCCTCCTCTTACCGTTTCGACCGTCATCGGATCCTTCTGCTGCCAGAACATATGTGCGCAACTTCTTCCTCCCGCCTCACGACCGCGAGCCTTTGCGCGGCTCATCATTGGAGAATGAGCTCCGCATGACCGAAGTCATGGTAGGCTTGAGCTTTCGTGGACATGTTGGACTGCGCTTACCAAGTGCTTAGGTCATTATCAGCGTGATGAAATGGTGTTGGGCCCGCTTACCCGGCGGTGTGGTGACCTGGGAGGTCTACGAGGGTTTTAGAGTGGGAGAGAAAGGTATGACAGTGCCCAGCCGAGAAAGTCATACGAAGCTAACGACTCAGACTCCGGATTTGCGCGCGACGCTTTCAGTACTTTTGTGCCCATCGGCGTAGACTCACCTGCTCGGCTTCAGATCATCAAAGACTTTTTCGACTTGCTTGCCGCGGTCGCTGCACACGGCAAGGCTAATGGACTCGGAGGGCACAAACTCTCTAGATATGCTGGGTGGTGGGCATTCGAACACTATGACGCCGGAAAAGGCTTCGAATCTGGATATCAGTCCTGGTCAAGGTACTGTATACTGCTCTCCGCCCATGGCCCCTGCGATCGCTAACCTTGGTAGCGCCGCTGACGCGACATCTCACCTCTTCTTCGCCTACCTGCGATCCATGTCTCCCGGCGCTGGGAAATCAAGTGGAATCCTAACCCTACCTAGGTCGCTCCAGCAGCTTGTCGACTCGGTCACATACCCCCCTAAGAATGCGCTTCTTTCCAACGATACCACCAGGGTTGTTATGATTGTCGATGTGGTCTCCCCGACTCCATATGCTCTGTTACGACGGGCCAAAAACTTCGAGTACAGAGATGACGATCAAGGTCTTCAACAGTTTGCAAGCTACGATGATCCGATTCAAGCTCTCACAGACGAATGCCGTCGTGTGCTGAAGGCCATATCATCTGCCAACCAGTCCCAGGTCTCAAACGCGAAAACATCCACAAGTTTGACGGACCCGTCGTGGTCGCGCTTCGAGGACGTTGGGTTCGGCAGCTCTCTTGATGATGACGAGGACGACGATGATGGTTTGCTGGGCCGCAGGCTTGTGTCGACGAAGCCATTGGCCTCCACGACTAGACGACGAGGCTATCAAGATTTAGCTCGACCAACCACTCCCTCCTGGGCAGATTTCTTGTCGTCTGGGTTTGCAGACGAGCACGGCAATAAGGCTCCGGCACCTATCCTGCTTCCACCTGACAAGATACTACCTCCCATCAACACGGATGCGCCTAGAGGCCAAAGCTCGCAGTCGCACCGGAGACACCTTGACATGCAGCAAAATCTCGACCCCGGCGAATTGGCAAGCATTACAAAGGTCAATGTGGATGATTCTTTCTGGTGGGTCTGGATCAGTAGTCTTGCTCCAGAAGAACCGACTTCAAGAAAAGCCGTGTTTGGCCGATGCGCCTTGATTGAGACCAAGTTCCATTTTGACAATTGGATGGTCATGGAGGAGCAAGTGAAAGGGGCCGCACCGGAGCCGGCCGCTGGAGCATATATCGCGGAGAAAAAGAAGACATTTCTCGGATTCACGACAAAGCGTGGGCGGATAACGCGCCGAGGCTCCGGCTCCAAGAAGAGCCCTCTGTCTCCAGATCCCCAAATCGCGACGAACAACCGAGCTACCTTGGCTCCAGATCAACATGCAAAGATCCAACAAGCTGCCGCCGAGCTTACTAGAAGGAAGCAAATCGAGGAGAGGGAAGAGAAAGCTGCTCTGGCGACCCGCCGTGGACGTACTCAAGAACCAATATTGGCATCGAAGACCAACAGCATATTCACCATTGGTCCGCTAATCAAGGACGAGGCTTCGCCGGCACTACAATGGGCCAGCCAGTACGACAAGAAGGCGATCCGGGCTAAGTATCTGGGCGACTCGCTTGCCGGTAAGGGCTCTCGTGAAATGTTGACGCTGCCCAACAACAGCCTAGGGATCAGCAGGTCGACTTCGACTCTCTCAGTGGTCAGCAAGAACAAGGATCTGCCAGCGCCGCCTGTGGTGAACTCGTCGCGTCCAGCGCTCGTCGAGAGGTCGCAATCAGCAGAGCAGAGTACAACAGCGCCGCCACCGGTAACCGTGGATTCTGCGCCAATTCCTGTCGAACCTGCGCCGTATCCTGTTGAACCTGCGCCATATCCCGTTGAACCTGCGCCAATTCCTGTTGAACCAACGGTTCTGGTCGAGACCAGGGCTGCGCTAGAGGCGGCAGAAGTACCATTGCCACCAGCAACGCCAGAAATCGTACAGGCTCCCTCTGCTAGACCGCAGCCGCACAAACTGCGCAAGTCGTTCGAGCAGCAGCAGCGTCGATCTCCACCACAGCAGAGGAAGCCAAGGGTCAAGACTCCAACTGGACCACCTCCTGTACACAAGTCCAGTGGGATCCGACGGCTATTCGGCACCAAACGTTCTAAATCGCGGGACTCGAGGCCCTCAGACCCTCCTTTGTCACCCTCTCAAACCAGTGAAGACGCTGCTGTCATCGCTGCCAGACGGGCTCTGGAGGGCCAGCCCCCTCTTCCTGCGGAAGGGCCTACCTCGCCTCCGTTGAGTCCCGGACATTTCCATCGCCTTGCAACGGTTAAGAACCAACCAGCAGCAGTGGCGGAGGAGGAACCTGAGCCAGTCCCTCCCATGGCGACGCCAATGCAGAGGGATTTCACTCCCGAACTCCCTGCCGAGCACGAAGAGTACGAGAATCAACCATTTGCACCACCTCGGACCCGTCGCGACGAAGAGTATGACCAACTCTCCCGAGTGGACACGAATGAGCGTGAGCACGCCGACCGGGAATTCTCGACATTTGATCAGGGACCTCTGATGGATCAGCCGGCCTTTGCCCCAGTTGATACACCTCCGAGGGAAGAGTTCTTGACCCCAGCCGAAGAGCCTCGACATGGCCCTATCAGCTTGCATTCTGGTCCATCTTTCCAGCAGACAGAAAGTTCCATGGATGACGAGGACGAACCGGTCCTGACCCAACAGGTCAGTCCCAATGACCGATGGGCGCAAATCCGACGAAATGCCGCCGAGCGGGCGGCAAGGCAGTCGGAGGAGCAGACTTCCCGGAGTCGGACTGAGACACGAACTGATGATGGTGAGACCAGTGGAGAAGAGAGTAAGTCTCGCGATGATAATGTCCTCGATGGCGACTAACAAGGGTCACAGCAATTGAATCACGAGTTGCACGAATAAAGGCACGCGTGGCCGAGCTCACCGGCAATATGGATGCAACGCGACGATAGACTCACGCGACTGGATTTCTGAACAACAATTACATCGTACAAACATGTCCTCGGAGCACTCAGTGCAATCACGCCCAGCGACAACACTCTTTCTTCTCCATCTCGAATGATTTTCTGTGCAGAAAAGACAGCAGGGCGTTCCAGTGTTGGAATGGGATTCAATTCGTGTGTCTCGGAGATACCACCTCAGCGTTTCTGCACAGCAGATCATCTTTCCCTCGTTTTCCTTCTCATTTTTCGTGCGTGAGCGTTCTGCAAGATACACCCCTCGGGCTGCAGGACAGCACACCTATAATACAGTCTTCACACTCTTCCTTTTGTTCCCCTGTCAACTGGGTTTGGTTGTGGATACACGGGATGGGAATGTAATAACTAGCTGCTGTTGCTTCCCCTTGCCGAGCACATAGATTCTTGCAATTGAGGGCACTCAGGCTCTTGGTTGAGCGCTCGAGTGAGGAGCGAGATGGGAGCGAGGCGGAGGGACCACCGGACAATGGACTGCGGCTGGCATGACTGCCGTCTGTTGTTGCGGGAAGTACACGAGCAATATGGAACGAACCTTCGCAGCCGGGATACTGGCGGATCTCCGAAAAGACTCTATCTCGAGTAGCGAGTTGGTCGTGTCATAACATGCGTCGGAGGGCGGCGCAGACTGCGACCGATAACGCATACTACCTTGCGAACTCGAATCATTTCTTGACCTTGATTGGCCATGACCATGCCTGGGCGAGACGACGTCACTGTGAACTTTGCATCTCATGCACTAAATGGGCAGGAGACAACGAGGACTTTGAGGCGAAGCGTGTTCAAACATTCCCTCATCCTCCCCACGGTGGCTTACCCGTAGGACGCCGACATATTGGGGTCTCGGGGCCAAAGCTACGCCAGGCTATTGACCTCATACAGATCACACTACGGCATCAAGCGATTGTAGCGAGTTTCTTATTCTTATTAAGCCAGCTGAGCAGTCTATTCCCGCATCACGTCAGGCGAAGACATGTCTGTCGCAATTGATACCAGAAGGGGCTGCAGGACGATTATACCACGACTGGTATCTGGTCTAAGGCGAGTAATTGTCCCATGATCCATGTCCTGCCAGCCCTGAGGTGTCTATGAGCACCAAAAATAGCAAGCAACAAGTCAGTGTCAATGAATGTCACCGATGAGGGAGTCAATGCAGCTTTGTGTCCCGCAAGGCTCTGCTTTACAATGGGAAGACACGCCTACCACAGTACACAGCACATCTTGAACCTCTCCCACATTAGCTTGCGAACTGGATGCTTCAGTTGTCGAACAGTCAACAGCAAGTACGAGGTAACACATTCCACATGAGAGACGCAAAGAAAACACTGAAAGCCTTGTCCGATCTAGCATGCATCAGTCCCTGCTGCCTTAGTCTCCTTCCTGCTGCTGTCACCTGCAGGGCTTTGCATGACAGCCTCGTGGGTTTCTAAAAATACAACGCCGCGACGAAGCCAATGATGATGCGCCGCGGCTTCTCATCCGAACACGAACCAATCGTGGTGTTGCCAAGTAAGAGCCGCATGCCGGCAGAACCTGAAACGTTAGATGCGGCCACCGGCAACGAATCTCTCTCGCGCTCTCAACCATAGGTTTGATCTAGGTTTCGGCGCTTATTTCTGATCTCGACGATGCCCAGTGTTCGGCAGATATCAGGTCTGGGATGATCGTGTCACCGTGGATTACCGATGGAGTGAGAAGGCGAGTTATCGCAGATGATCGCGATGCGCAACAAACCGAGAAGTTAAAGATGTTTGTGGTCGAGAAAGAAATGCAACTGGTGATGAGAGATAACGTGGTTCGTGAGCAAGCATGAATGTCGTGACTTCGGGGTACGTACCTCGCACTGGCACACTGGGTACTGTACACTGCCACAGGGCACCGGCCTCGGCGTCAAAGGAGAGTTCCGGGCTTGCAGCCACAGTCCAGTGACGCCTAGACTCGCCTTTGGCGCCTCAATCGGATTCCTTCTGCGGCATGGGCCCTGGGCGAGTAAGCCTGGGGATGTGCCGCCCACAAGCGCCAAAGGTGGGCAGACGTGCAGCTGCCACTCGGCTCCCGTCGCCAGTTCTCTTCAACTCGCCCTCGCCCGCCGTTTTGAGGCTTCTTCTCTCTTTCTATCTTTAGCAAACCTCTCCACACCCACGTTCACGGCTCAACTTTACACGCCTAAACAGACGCCATCGAGCCGCTGCTCGGTCGAAGTCACTGCGAGCCTCAAGCAAGCCACAATTCTACACTGATCCCGTCATTGCTTGCTTTGATCGTGATTGCGCCTTTGTTCATCATTCATACAATCGCAGCGGAGCGGCGACAAAGGAACCGTCCCTCGACTCGACCGCATGCGCTTGGTCTAAGTAGGCTTGATACTGCCCTCCTGTCGTGGTTCTTTGTCGGACATAGAGTTCTACCATCCGGGTGCAGGCCTTGTCCTCGGCCACCCTCGATTTCTTGTCCACCTCGTTACAGCCTCCGACTCGATCGCCTTTCCGGTCGCCAGTACCTGGCATATGCGAGACACAAGAGATCTATAACCAACCATGGGTCGGAGGAAGATCGAGATTCGGGCGATAAAGGATGATCGCAATCGCTCAGTGTAAGTTGTGCGCTTGCTGTTAGCCGTTTGATATGAGTCCGCTGACCCTGGGGCAGGACGTTCCTCAAGCGCAAGGGCGGCCTTTTCAAGAAAGCCTACGAGTTGTCGGTCCTCTGCTCCGTCGACGTCGCGGTCATCATCTTTGGCCACAACAAGAAATTATACGAGTTTTCGTCGGGCGACATCAATGAAACCCTGCGGAGATATCAATACGTGCGTCGAAAGTGCTATCCACGTTTCTTGGGGACGAGTTTTCTGACGTGGTGACAACAGTACGGACAACCTCACGAGCACAAAGGGCCTGCCGACTTCAAGAACAAGGGCGGTGGTGGTGATGACGACGATGACGATGACGACGACGTTGGGGATGAGGCTGCTCATGGCCGAGAAGAGTCCCTCCCGCCTCCACACAGTCTTCCGCCGCAGTTACACCACAATTCGTTTGCACACATTGGCCAACCCATGGCCTCAGTCTCCCCTCCAATGCCCAACGGCATGTTCCAGCCTCGACACGGAACCCCCCAGCCGCCGCATATGATCTCCAGACCCCCATCCCAGAACATGATCCGACGCACGAGTTCGAATCTGGTGCCCATGGCCCATCCGCATCCCACACCTCCTCCGCCGCAGAATGGCTTTGCCTACGTGCCCAATCCACCCATCTACAATCCTCAGGCCACTCCTCCCATCCCTCCTCAGTCCTCTCCTCAACCCCAGTTCCAACCATTTTCTCAGCCGCAGCAACCTCCCCAACCACCTCCTCAGACGCACCAGCAATTACAGCAAGCCCATCAGCAATATTTGACAGAACAAAGACGACACTCGCAACCCCCACCGGTTTCGCAGCCTCCATTACAGCCTCCACCGCAGCCACAGCAACAGCCTCGCGCCTCACCTCAACCCGAGTCACAGAATCTCCGCCCACCCGAGCAAGCCAGTCCACCCCAACCGAAACATCTATCATCAAAGTCAAGAAGTATATTCACGCCCATCGATGAAGGAGGTTCCGTGCTAGCCCAGCATTTCTTTGGGGCGCCAGACCCCAAGCCACGGACAAAGAGGGAAGAAGATTTACCAGATATCAAACCGCCGCCGCGCAGCATCACCGTCTCTGCTCCTCCTCGACCTAGTTCACAGCCATCTCGTCCACAAGGCACTATTCCCGAATTCGCTCCACCTCCAAGAACGAACACGTCCGGGTCGAAATCGGGTGCTCGCCCCAAGCTCAACCTCCAAATACCGTCTGAAGCCGAAGACAGTGATTCAGCCGTAGGAGGGTCGCCATCGCAAGCGGCCAACGCCTCGGCCAACCCAGCCCGAAGCGGCGAACACATTGTTCTGCCACCTCCTTCCCCGAGTGCTTCGACCGTCATATCAGCCGGAGCTGTAGGGCCCCCCAACCCCTTCGCTCGACCGCCGCCCCCGACATCAAACGCCAATCGCGATGCATTCAACGACAACCGAAATAACAATGTCGAAACTCCAATCTCGGCATTGCCCAGTCGGTATATGAACATGGATCTTTTACCGAGTCCGAGTAATTTCTTCAGCGAGTGGGTTGACTCATCGAGGAACGGGCTCGGTTCTGCGGTGTTGCCCAGTCCATTGGTTTTTCCAACGCCGGCCGACCCCCGGGGTCTAGGCTTCGGAAGTAGAGATGCGGCGAGAGAGGCTGCTGACCAGGCGAATGGGGAAAAGAGGAAGGGAAGTATAGAGTTGGCGGAGAAGGAGGGTGACGCCAAAAAGGTCAAGACGGGTCCGAGCTGATTGTGGTTATCTCTAAGCTCGAAAGGATCAAGACCCCGGTATAATGTTCGCAAATCAATGCTTACGACTGTCACGAAGGTTGCATCTCCCCGGGATTTTCTTGACCACGGTTCAATTCGCTGAAGACATTCGACTCTGGATTGTTTTAACTTTCTGAGCCACGTGCGGAAGGAGCGTCATTTCCATCAGCATAGCGTGTGGGTGGGCGCTTGGAGTTTTGCGCGCCATTTGAGGGCGAATTGATCGATTGGGGAGGGACGAGGATTCAGGATACGATTTCATTCTTGCCCTGAGACACAAACCTGCTTGATACCACCGAACTTGCTTGTGACCAACACGATGGAAAGCAGGAAGGAAGTCTCGGACTGTGCGCGCCGGACTTGATATGGCTGGGCTCCCGAAGAATGGTATCACCAGCACAGAGTGTTCAGCGATCAGATCACCGCTGGGATCCCATGTCATGTCATTCGGTGACGTCTTGCTACGGTAGATACTTGGGCAGCATGTGCTGGAAGTATGAAATCAAGCTACACAAGATAAACTTGAGCTTTTTGACTCGCCATGAAGTAAGGGATACAAATTTCCAAGCTCTGAGTGGTGGTATAGGTGCGTACGTAGAGGATTTGCGCTGCTCTGTTGCTCCACCGCCACAGTTACATACCGCTGAAGCCACTCAATCAGCAGTTACTGCGCGGAGTACGGCATACTATAATCGTGGGAAGAAGAGCAAGGAGAGGCCGGAGCTGGTTATGCCAGTGGCAATGACTGCCGAGCCTCTAACGGCAAGTCTAAGCATGCCTATCAGTGATATGGCATTATCGATAGCTAGGCCTCTACCCCGGTACTCTGTACTCCGTACTTCTTTTGTCCTTGTGATGAGCCATTGCTTGACAGTCGATCTCTCGTCTCTGATGCGCGAGGCAGGTCGCTCAGCTTGAAACTAGCCAATCATGCTCCAACGGTGGCTTGTGCCTTGCAATCGTGTCATTGGATGCTATATTTGTTTGGGCGATTTCCTCAGCCTCGAATCACCGAGGATAAACACTCACGGTGCCTCCACCCAATTTCATGATACATACTAATGCAGACTATGAAGCTACGGGATGTCTTTGACGTCGGATTTGATACATGTGATGAGCTTGTGCCTGCCTCAGCTCAATGGCCGAGCAACCACCGCCGCCGTCCGCAAGCAGGATCAAGCTGCCTAATGCTCAGCCTTACTACAATTACCAGCCGCTTCGTGAGGGATGGATCAGGCTCGTGAGAATCAGGAGTGTGCCGTCTTCGAGTCGGCGTTTGCATCCCCCAGACGACGCTCTCGAAGCGGACATCCATGTGGTCTTTGAAGAATATTCTCTGCAGAACTGCCCCACCTACATCGCCCTATCTTATACCTGGGGCAATGCCACCGTTACCGATCCGACGTCTACAGTCTTTACCACTGAATTGCGCTGCTATCCAATCTTCTGCGAAAGAGAACTCCTACGCACGACCCGCAATCTCCGTGACGCCCTCCGCCGTCTTCGAGGACCGAAGCACACCCGTGTTTCATCTGAAACAAAAACCACCAGCAAATTTTTAACAGAGGCGTTCGAAAATACTGATCTATACTGGATCGATGCTCTATGCGTCGGTAAGTCTTCTCTAGTCCGAAGATGATGATATCTCGGCTCGAATGACACTTCATGTAAATTTCTAACCGCAAATTGCAACGCCTCCTCAGACCAGGATGACCTCGCAGAGCGGGCGGCGCAGGTAGCCTTGATGAGCAAGATCTACGGTCAAGCTTCCAGTTGCATAGTCTTTTTGGGGGAATCAGACGAGCACTCTATGGTGGCCTTGGAACTTGTTCACAGGTTTGCCGAAGACAAATCCTTGAGCGATTTTACCCACTCCAATGAGAACAGAGCTAAAGACAAAGTTGCTCTTCGGTTGAACGGCCTCCCTCGGTATCAAAGACATGCCCTCAGCATGCTACTGGCCCGGCGTTACTTCAATAGGATCTGGGTGCTCCAGGAGATCATGTTGGCCTCCAGGGTCATCGGATTACTCGGATCTCTGGCCATCAACTTCGAGGTGCTTTTCACTTTTGGTCAACTCCTACTTTCAGCCAAGACAGATCGAACTTGTGAGGCTCTGGATAACATTACGGTCGAAAGCGAGCAGCTTGCTGTACTTGAAGGTGATGGTCCTTTCCCTTTTCAAGCAGTAATGAACATGGCAATGGTATTGGGTGCAAGGATGAGCTTTCACCGCGGTGACACGCCTAGCCTCATTCATATTGTGCCGATGTCTTTCATGTGTCGAGTTACCGATCAACGCGATAGGGTTTATGGCATCCTCGCTATCAGCGCCGAGCTACAAGAGAACGACAGGCCCAATATACCAGTCGACTACAACCTACCAGTGGACCAGGTATACATCAATGCCACTGTAGCGTTTTCTCTGCGACGGAATGACCTGGAGTTCCTTGCTCTCGTGGGGGAGCACGCAAAAGTCAACATTACCCTACCTTCTTGGTGTCCAGACTACAGTACACGATACTTCTGGCTTCGTGCCCTTGGTGGTGCTGTCAAGTGGCATTTCGGGCCATTATGGACGTTTCCGGCGACGATCGAGTTTCGAGACAACCGGAAACTCATTGTACAGGGCATTCATTATGATACATTGGCCGGAACCGCGACAACTGGGCTCTTTGATCCAACTGATACCTTACGGTGTGTCAAACCCAGCCAACTTTTGGGACTGGCATTGAACCTACGCCGGGAAGCCTCACAAAGCGTCAGCATCAGGTGGGTATGGTGCGGCAGATTCCTCTCGCCGAACAATCTGCTGACAAGACAACAGGTCCACTACGAGAATAGAGATGCTGTGGAGGTTATTGTTCATGCCCGACTTCTTGAGCCCAACGAGGGCACCTCGCTGCACGGTGCTGTTTTTGCCCAATTTGATCATCCAGATTATGCTTTTGCATATCCAATGGTGGCAAAAGGTCTCTGGAGTCTCACCACGCCCCGATTCGCAAAGTTCTCTGGTCACGGAGGAAGTCGAAGCAACGGAGGACATCATCAACCGCATCTGTCATCTGGAGCCTCAGAGCACCCCTTTCTTACCCGTTAACTCCGCCTGGAGGCTTTTACTAACCGCCAAAGCTGATGATCATAGTGTCCATCGCGTGCTACTCACCTCTATCATGGATCGAGCAAAGCAGTCAGGGCTGACTTCTGAATTGAGGGACCTCCTATCCTCCATACCCGGGGACGAACTTCCTACAGCAAAACACGCCGGACTTCTCGAAAAATTCTTGTCAACAGCCATTTTGGGAAAACTGGGAGTTGATTTCTACCGGCAGTCGTACTTCAGCACGACACAAAGCGGTCAATTCGGGATAGGGTATGCTTCGATTGCTGCTGGGGACGAAGTTTGGCTTCTCCATGGACATTCTGCGCCTGTTGTTCTCAGACGTCTGTCCAACGGCAACTACCGTTTCCTAGGTGAGACATACATCCCGGGGATGATGTCTGGAGAACTCGCCGAGGAGCTCAAGGCTACAACTCAGCCCATTGAGGGAATACAGATTGAGTGATTGATTCAAAGGGAAGCCTTGAGATGTAGAGGCTATGAAAAAATTCCGGTCCTTCGACAATAACCTCGATGACCAGATCTCTCGCAACTAGTAAAACTACTTGGTACTCGATTCGACGACTGTTCGGCCGAGGACCGCTTTCATACAGTAGCTGTCGACACACGCATGACGCGCCCCAGGATGGCCTCTGCGCAGCACAGGGACTCACGGCCCCGTGCAGACTTGTCGAATCATCAGTACTTCCCGCCTTATGCTCACAGTGGGTCCACTCAGATTGACGCCTTTCGTACTTCCAGACCCTTCTTCGTGACCATTAGCAGACAAAGCGAGGAACAGATTCCAGTCAGCTGCATGAGAGTGTATCTCGACCTGTGCGCGCGACCATCGGGGCAAGCGTACTCCGTACCTAGGTATTCAATCCAGCCACAGCAGTCGCAAGCCCCTCCCAGCTCGCTTCGGGAACTTCTCCAGTGTCTGACTTCTTCCCTCCGGCAGATGCCCTCCCCCCAGTGGCCCATCCTGGTTCGGGTGCGACTGAGGCGGGGCACAAGGCGGCATCATCACCCTCGTCTCGATTGAGCGTGCGCTGGCCGTGGGTTTCTGTAACCTCCTCTTGGCTACAGTAGACTACTGACGGAGTCCATGTTCCGGAGGGCTGATTGGGCCACTTGGGCAATGCTGCAGATGGATAAATTAACTGGTGTATGGAGTATGCTTCCGCGCGTGCATAGTCCGCATGTTCAGGCATTCTATGTGCGTGTGATCAGAGCTCCGCCATCACGGCGCACAGCATACAGGAACGAGAACGTCTGTGAACGTGCGTTTATAAAGTATAAAGCCAAGACGAAGAGTCCCAAGTACAAAAAGGGCGCAGTTTGGTTGCTTGCGATGTGGTGCTGTGCGCAGAGTGCAAGTTGCCTGCGCGGGCAGTCAGAGCTCGGCATTTGCGGTAGAATGCTTCTTGGCGACTGCGCGAGGCTGGACCGGCGTGACCGGCAAGGCTGTGGCGTTCAGATCGATGCACCCCGTACGATATGGGATGCCAGTAAGCAAGGGAGTCGAGAAATATTCCTTTGAGGGAGTACTCCACCTCGTACTACAGTAAGTACAGGATGGACGATGGTAAGCCAGGGATGACGGCTCTAGTACTTCGTCTCCGAACTGTGCGTGAACACCATGTGCGTGTGTACCGTCACGCCCACCGTGTGTGGACATTGCTACGGGCTCGCAGCCCAGAATAGCTAGCGATTCTTCTTTGCATGATCCGTACCCCGTACTCCGTACTGAGCCCGGGGATGCATACGTCTGGGCATGCGCAGACACAAACGCATACACTTCCGATGTACGCTCAGGTCGAACGCATCCACGTACGCACGCATGTAAATAAGCTTACACACACACGCATCCGCATACACACACGTATATGCCATCTAGTACTGTCCCGCGTAACGTGCTCCCTGCCTAGAAAACTACCGCCGCGCATCTGCTCACAACACCAAGGCCCCCAGCCCAGCGGCCGCGACCACCAACAACCCACGTCCCACGACCAGACCATTCGCGTCACTGCTATCGTCGCTGAGCTGGCCGACACCCGTGGATGTGGAAACGGATGAGCCCGTGGTTGTCGCCGTCGCAGCCGCGTTGAGCAGGTCGTTAGTCAACGTCGCGGAGGTGGACCGGGATGAGGTGGCAGTGATGGATCTGGTGGTGGAGGTTAAGTCGTCGGAGAGGCTGCATTTGCCGGAACTGCTGGAGCAGGTGTAGCCTGATTCGCAGTAGTCTAGAACGATTAGGGTAAGATTGTTAGCTTTGCTTTCTTTGCTTTGCTGCGCCGCGTAGGGGGAAGTGTAGGACAGTGTTACTTCGGCAACCCAGGGGATTGTCATAGAGTTCACAGAAAGGCCACTTACATCCTCCTGCGCAACAACTCTCGCCAATATCAGGGTTATAGCACGCATCCGAGCCGCACGGGATATTTCCCTCGCCCCATTGCGCGGCACAGCTGGATGCCGTTGTCGTCGTGCTGCCGCCGCTGGAACTGCCGCCCGAGCTGGAACTTCCACCCGAGCTGGTGCTCTCCTCCGGCGGACAGGTATCGTACAGCGGATCGGCAGGGTCGTAGCAATGGTACCCGTCGTCACATTCGAGGTACGTGGCCCCAAAGCAGCTCTGGCACGTCGCGCCCGTCTGGTAGCACAGGTCGTCCACGCCCGCCGGGTCATCGCTGGTCGAGGTGCCGTCGCCGGAGCACGAGTCTAGCCCGTACGACGCGTCGCCAGGCAAGTAACAGTAGATCGCGGAGCCTGGGCACGAGGTATACCCTTCGCCGAAACATTCCTCGCACGACCCCGTGCAACGCTTCGTCAGGTCGCGCTTGAACATGAGGTTGGCGGCTGATGGGTTGAGGGTGCGCTCAAGTCCGAGGCTTGGGGAGAGGCCTTTGGAGCTGGCATCGGCGTCGCCCGGTTTGGCGGTGGCGAGGAGGATGAGGGAGGAGAAGACGACTGCTGCTGTCGGGAAGAACATGGTGGCTGAAAGAGGGTAGTTAAAACGTAATGTAAATGAGCGACTTGAATCAAAAGCGACTGTGTAAGGTAACGAGCGACTGGACGGCGAGCAAGGGCTCTGCGTCAACGAGCACAGTGAGTGGGAGAATGAGTGAGGCCAGATGGCGGGTGGCGGTTTGCGCGAAATACCTAGGTAGATATACTGGGTACTCCCTGCTCCGTACTCGGCCTAAATCAGACTCGTGCCCCTCGGTCGTGTAGAAGCTAGAACCCGAATACGATGGTCCTCATGTAGGTTCGGTGACCCCTGTAGGTGCCCTGTCCTTTACCAGAAATCTGCCCCGTCGTTCTTGGGGAAGGGAATGCCATTTCCCAGGAAGACATAATGTCATTGGCCATGGACAGGGAGACCGCGCTTTCTTTAGAGCTAGAGGCATACAACAAGCACACAGGTACGGAGTACGGAGTACAAGCGCACAGCTCCGCAGACAAGACAGCATGGGTGGGTTGGATCGTCCAGATTCAAAAGAGGTTCCAGCCAGCCCAGCAGGGCTAAATACAGTGTAGGGGCGGGGACCGGGGAAAACCATCTTCGCAGCCTTGTCAAGGGAGACACCGGCATCGAAATTAGTCAGGCGATCTTCACCAGTCCCTCTCGCGCCTGCGGAGGGCCGGCGTCACAGATAACACGCGCCTGCACGCGCCATGGTGCTTGACCGACAGAAGGTGGAAGTTTGTTTGATTAGCGAAGCACGCAAAGTCAGGGGTAAAAAGGAGCCATGCGGCTTGGCATGAGGCTTGGCGTCCTGGGGGCGATGCTTGGCTTAATTTAAGCATCCAGACTGAATGTGAATTTCCCGACCGGTTGACCTTGGCTGTGAACTGTTCTCTTGTTGCTATACGAGATGGGTGACACGGCCAAACCGGTGGAAGGCGATGATGTGTAGTATATTGTGATACCTAAAGACACATGCACTGTGCGGTGGATGGTGTCTACTTTGTTGGATGGTGCGCAATTACGCTTCCTCGCTGGTCAATCCTGCGTGGCACCAGTGGTGCGCCACATCGCATCGCTAATAAATCCAGGACCGAGTGCAACGGTGCACTAGCCCTCAACTCTAGGAGTCTCTCCGGCGTTTCTGGAATTCGAATTGGGTAATTAAAGAAGCCAGAGATCTGCCCGAAAAGTCCACGGCCGTGCGGTGAAAGTTCTCAGTCCAGCACAGGTTTGGTAGGTTTGGCCAGGCGGTTAGTCTGTATGTAAGAGTCGTGTTCATGGCTCTCGTCAACCCTGCCGATCTCGCAGTCTTGGTGCAAGGCTGACCGCCGGGACTCCGTACTGACCAACCTCTCCCCCGGTCTACCCCATCTTCAGATTCTTGAACTCCTTGGTGGTATTCGTGATGGCCACTTCGACTGGTAACCGCTCCATGCTGCTGGCGCCGTAGAACCCGTGGATCCCTTTCACGCGGCTCAGGACATAGTCGGCATCCTTGGGCTCGGCGATCGGACCGCCGTGACACAGAATGATGATTTCAGGGTTGATCTTGTTCGCGGCGTCTCTCATCTCCTGGATCAGCTGGACGCAGTCATCCAGTGATTTCCCCGTCTTTGCACCAATACTGCCCGAGGTGGTCAATCCCATGTGGCATACGAGTACGTCTGCCCCGGCTTTGGTCATCTGTTCAGCTTCGTCCACGTTGAAGGCATAAGGCGTGGTCAGAAGATCCAGCTTTCGGGCTTCTGCAATCATGGCTACTTCCTTATCGTACCCCATGCCCGTTTCCTCGAGGTTTGCTCGAAAAGTTCCATCAATGAGGCCGACGGTGGGGAAGTTCTGAACGCCGCAGAAGCCCATACTCTTCAACTGCTGCAGAAAGTCCGGGATGATGCGGAAAGGATCCGAAGCACAAACACCGGCCAGTACACCCGTGTGGCTGACTATGGGGAGGACTTCTTTGGCCATGTCGACCACGACGGCGTTGGCATCGCCGTACGGCATGAGACCGGCAAGGGAACCCCTCCCAGCCATGCGGTAGCGGCCGGAATTGTATATGATGATCAGATCGCCTCCGCCTGCTTCAATGAACTTGGCCGACAGCCCGATCCCAGCTCCAGCCCCCACGATGGGCTTGCCATTCTTGACTTGGTCGCGCAGATGTGCCAGAACCTCCGCACGAGACCGAGGAGGCGCCATGACCACGCCGAAAGAGTAGCGTGCGACGGTCAGTGGTCTGAGTTAATTTGACCGAGTTGCAAGATTCAAGACACACCGAACGGCAGGATCTTTTCACGTGGCGCCCGGCCTTTCTTGCACGTCATTGTGCACACCACGATTATACAACGGATGTGAGTAGCCGGACGAGGCGGTGGAGGTGCGGGGATTCATGCTTCCTCAAGCGAATACAATACGAAGATCACCTCACATTCGAAGAGGGGCAATGAGATGATTGGTCCCATCAGCGGCCACAGAGTGTCCGGTTTCCAGTTGCGAGTACAGGTCCTGCTCGTTGTTGCAGCTGTCCCTAAAGCTTAAGAAGAGCTTGCGTCGACTGTGTCTGTAGCAGATGCACCCGACCATCTTGTGAGCAGCTCCCTACCGACTGCCTCTTGCCCACTAGGAATAAACATGGTCAAACCCACGGTCCTTATTGTCGGAACTCCCGACACCAAGCTTGACGAGATCCTGTACCTGAGAGACCAGATCCTCGCCGAGCACACCTGCAACACCAAGATCCTCAATGTAAGTCACACTACGCCACCGAAGGTGAGGACGCGTCTGGACAGCCTCGCTGCCGACGAGGTCATCTCGCCGCTCGAAGAACATAGCTCGACCTTGAAAGATCTCTCCCGCGGGGAATACATCGACAAGGCCATCGAGCTATGTACGCCAGTCGTAAAAGATCTGGTCTCCAAGGCAGTAGCAGTCCACGGCATCATCTCCGCAGCCGGCAGCAGTGGCTCATCGCTCGCCACGGCGCTCATGCGTCATGCCTGTCCCGTCGGCTTCCCGAAACTGATGGTCTCGACCATGGCCAGCGGCGACATCAAGCACTACGTGGAGGAGACAGACATCACCATGATGTACAGCGTGGTCGACATCGCAGGGATCAACTCGATCCTCAAGCGCATCCTGGCGAATGCCGCCGCCGCCATCTCCGCCATGACTGTCTCATATGCCAAATCTCTCGTGGACGCCTCAGCCGTCGAATCCAAGGGCAAACGCATCGCCATCACCATGTTCGGTAACACGACTCCCTGCGTTGATGCCGTGCGCCAGATCCTGACGTCGGCGCCCCACGACGCCTCTGACTACGAAATCTACGTCTTCCACGCAACCGGCTCGGGCGGCCGCGCCATGGAACGCCTCATCGCCGAAGGCCAGATCGACGCGGTCGTCGACCTGACCACGACGGAAATCCCGGATGAACTCTTCGGTGGAGTTCTATCGGCAGGACCGGACCGGCTGGAAGTCGCGGCCAAGAAGGGCATTCCTTTGGTGGTGTCAGTCGGGGCGTGTGACATGGTGAATTTCGGCCCCAAGGACAGCGTGCCGGAGAAGTACACGAAGGATCGCAACCTGTTCGTGCACAACCCGGCCGTGACGCTCATGAGGACCACGCCCGAAGAAAACGCCCAGATCGGCCAGTTCATTGTGGACAAACTCGCCACCCACGCCAGCAACCCCAGCGCAATTCGCGTCCTCCTTCCAGAACGGGGAGTCAGTATGCTTGACGCGCCTGGCAAGCCTTTCCACGACCCCAAGGCTGACAAGGCCCTGTTCGACACGATTGAAGAAGGCCTCGAGGCCACGAAGATCGACGTGGAGAGGCACGATCTGCATATCAACGACGAGCTGTTTGCAGGCCACGTCGCGAGTGCCATTCTCGAAGTCATGGGCGTGACGCAGCGGAACTATCGACTGGCAAACGCACGCCGGCGGAAGTGGAGCTTTGACCACGGCGCGAGCGTCATGTTGGCGAGGAAGAATTCCCAGATTGAGATCCCCGATGCTTGAGTGTAGGAGAAAAGCGAGATAGGCACGGTCGAGGGAGAGGAAAGCGAGATGGGGATGGCCGTGGGAGAGGAAAGCGATATCAATATCAGCTCCCAGTTTGACGCCACGCACAGCTTCAGGCCATGTATGGTATTCAAGAACGAAAATACCCAATCAATGTTGCTTTCACACGTCGCTCGTAAGTACATTCACACGTCCACTCATACGTAGTGGCTACTCCCCCTACAACTTCGACGAGGGCCCCCCCTTGGAGCCCGGCACCGCGCGAATCCTCCCCCGGTACTTATCCTCAATGGCATCGGCGTCCGGGTCGTCATCCAACTCGGGCAAGCTATTATATTGCTTGCCTCCCCACTTCGCACCCTTTTTCAGATTCCACTGCTTCTTGTCGCTCTTCCCTGGGACCACCTCGCTCTTTCCATCGAGCATACCGCACGGGAACTTGCCAAAGTCCCGATCGCGGATCGACCGGTGGATCTTCTCGTTGGTGTTCTCGACAGGCCACGCGCGCCGGTCGTCCATGAGGATCTCCTGCACGCCTGTCTTGAGCGTGTCGAAGAGGCCTCCACCCTCCTTGGGCTCCGGGTCGAACGGCTTCTTCAGCCGCATCCACGTCTTGTTCGGGTTCGGCACGCCTTTGGCCCCGTCCTCCAACAGGTACGAGTCCGACGAGTCCTCGTCGATAAACGCCAGCTTCTTGTCCTTGGCGCACTGCGCGAGCATCCACGCGAGCGTAATGTCCGATCCCCCCGGATCATACCGCCCGCCGCCAATGTCGCTGTGCACACCGGAGAACCAGGCCTGCTTCATGGCCTGAAGCCCCACGCGGGATTTCGGCGTGTAGGCCTTGGACCGGTCGCTTGGGTCGCGCGGCCACTGCCACAGCGTGGGTTTGTAGAGGCTGCGCCGCTCGTCGAGCGACAGCGCGTGGTACGCGTACTCGACTTTCGTGGAGAGTTCGGCGTTGTGGAACTCGATCTGCTCGCCGCCCCAGCCTTCGCCGTGGAACTCGACCGTGTCCCACACGCCGACGACCTTGATCGCGTACTTGGCCTTTTCCGTGATATCCGAGCCGATGCGCGCTTTGAGGGTGTCCGAAAAGTGAAAGTCTGGCTTCTTGCCCGCATCGGCGTAGTACTCGTCGTAGACCTGCGGGAACCAGTCCATGCCGCGCTTCGTGAGCAGGCCCAGCTTGGTCACCAGCCCGGCGATCGAGCGCGCCGTGTACGCGCCCCGCGAGAAGCCGAAGAAGAAGATCTCGTCGCCCTTGATGGTCGGGTCCGGGCCGTTCGAGTCGTAGTTGTGCGCCAGGAAGGCGTACGCTGCACGGATGTTGGCGGACAGGCCGGCGCCGTAGACGCCTGTCAGTACAATTAGCCTCGACCACACGATGGCACGCCATCCAGCACACGTCTGGTGTATGTGCAGGCCAGATACAATGGGAAAGAAGCCTTACCGCCACGGATCTGATCACCCAGCCCCGTCCCCACGCCCGGTTGGTAGTAAATGATCTGCTCGACCTCTTTGCCGTCGACAATGGCCACCGGGCTGATGGCACGAGCAAACCGCGCAACGTTGCTGGGGTGGCTGGGCGTGTTGACGTTCAAAATGCTCTGCCATGTGCCTGGACAAAGAACAATCAGTGGGGGCACATAGTCAACGTGGTGCGAGTGCATAACACAAGGCTGGAGCGTCGAGGATACAGAAGGCAGAACGCTGGTTCGGACATACCATCGCAGAGCACAATCAGCCGCTTATAGCTGGCAGGATTGCGGTTCATGGTGAACTTGTCCTCAGTTTGAAAAGTGAAGCTGTATATTCGTCGTATTGTGGTTTGACTGGAAGCCTAGTTCAGGTGTTTGTCTCGAAGGCGAACCTCTGTCTTATACAGTAGCCACACCATAGATTGAGGCAACGTGGCAGCGAAAAAGCGAAGCATGCCCACCGTGTGACAAAGGCGCCATCCCATGTCTCTTCAGTGAGTGAGCCTACAACTGTCCGCACAGCGATTCAGCTCCATGCGAGTACGGAGTATGGTTGCCTTTGCAAGTAGAAAGATTTTAGGGCTGGCTGAACAAGCTTCTTACGATTGGCCGCGCTTCGCGACGCCTGAGTGAGCGAACAAGGGGCAGGCTCAGCCGTACACAAGGGTCCAAGGGTCGAGACTCTGACGCCCGGCAGCTGGTGCTTGCAGAGGGTAAAGGTGGTATGCCTTCTGATTGGCAAATCGAAACGAGCGAGCATTTCCTCTGGCTGTGGGAATGACGGGAAGACTTACCTGGAAGAGGCGTACTCGTACCGTGTAGGGACACACTCGGCCCTTCCAATTACAGTAGCAGGCTGGCCGCAGAGTCTACAAACATTCCCGAGACCACCACCACGACGAACAGCGTCTAATGTTTGAAGGAAAGCGACGTAAGATGCCTCATGGCAGGCACTGCGTCTTGATGTGACTGCAGACTCTCAGTAGATGCTGTGATTGTGGTAAAGGCTCCAAACGCTGAAAATGACACTTGATGGCTCTTGAGCTGCTCTCACTCATAGCGTATCCAAATCTGTCAAATAGCTTCTGCAAGCAGGTCAAAAGAAACATGGAGTGCCCCGTCCACCGCTGATAGATAAACAAGCTGCCTGCCGGCCGTCATATCATTGAGTCCCTAGTCGTAATACTCCTCTTCTCGTGGCCTGCCATCAAACCAGTCCCGTGCCTTTCTGAGACTGAAGGTCGGTCGTGCTCTGGGCTCCTTGTAAGCTTCCACGCCCGTATACCCGCGTGGCTGGGAACTGCTATGGGGTACTGGTGGATCATACGTCTGCCTGAAATCCTTGCCAATGATGCCATTGCCTCTCAACTGCTGTGGTGGCGCCATAGGTTGCGGATCGCTAGGGTTGATGCCCAGGATACGTTCCTGCTTGCTGAGGCGCCGCTGGGGAAAGTTCCCGCCTGCATAAGCGTTGGTCGTGGTTGCCGTTGGCGGCATGGACACAGGAGGCTGAGCTCCGACCGGCTGTGGACCTGCATAGTTTACATTCACGTCGTTATTTGATTCCTCAGCACGATTCGGCCGTGACCCGCGGCCCGAGATTGTTAAAGAGCGACGAGTACTTGGATGAGACGCAGGCCCCAGACTATGACTTGACGGTGGCGGGTTATGGGTGTCATACAGCTTGTCGTGATTGGACGGCCCAGTCAAGTTGTGTGAGAGCCGATGATCATCGTGTCTAGATTGATTTGCTGAGTGGGAACTGAAACCGTTGTCTGTCTGCTGTCGTTGCTGAGGTTCTCGACTTTGGGGAACAGGGTTTTTAGGCTCGTCCTCGTCGTCATCTTCATAGTCGCTGTGATATTCTTCCTTCTTTTGCCGGCGACTGCCGAAAAGGCTGAACCGTCGCGGAGGTACAGCTCCAGCTTTCGGAGCGTACGGATCCGGGGTGTCATCCTCCTCTTCACTCTCCCCCTGATCCCAGTCACCCTCTTGCTGTGCAGATGGCTTCTGATGTGTCTTCTTGCCCCCAAGTCCGACCAATCTGTTCAACAGGGTTGGCCTCCTCTGGATTTTGGTGGATTCGTCAAGCTTTTCACGATCAGAGCTGCCGTCGTACCATAAGGCTGGTACAAGCAGCCTGTAGGGTATGGTGATGCCGGACGGATCTCTCTGATCCACTTCCACGTTCAACACAATGTCGAGGCCTCCTTCCAGGTTCACCTGATCATTGACGTCGATCTCATTACCCTCGGCGTCGATGGCGGGTACATTACCCTTCCTCGCCGCCTTCTCGGAGAGATTCGTGGGGCGACGCTGAAACGTCCCAGTCGGTCGCACAGGGGTACCGGAAGAAGTGTGGTCGAAGGACGAAGCACGTTGCCTGGGAGCGGCATGAAATTCACCCGAAGACTGGCGGGAGCCCGATGTGTTCTGGACCTGCGTCGCGCCATCATAAGATGCTGAGTGGCCTGGATCGTACATCGTGTCACGGTACGACGTGGGAGGCGCGTTTCTTGAGCTTAATCTACGAAATAACGATCGTGGATTGGCGTCGTCCTTGGTGAAAGAGAAGCGACGTGGCCGAGGGTCAGGGTTAGCCTCAATATCCTCGTCGTCGTCAAACTCGTCCTGACTCCCTGGAGACGAATGTGAAGGCGAAGGAGGGGGCGTCGAGCCCGGAATGTATTCTCGTATAGACGACCAGTTACGCCTCGGCAGGAGGTGCTTGTTGTTCCGTTTCTTGTCATTGACATCATGGGTGAACATGGGAATCATGTTTTCGTCGGTGTAATGGTCCAGGTGATGCACCTTGTTCCGTCTGTTCAAGATATCAGCCAACATATCAGATGGTGGCATGTTCACAATGGCCGAGGATATCACATTCGGCATGTAGCGATGATCTTTGTCCTTGGGGATCTTGAGCTTTGGATTCGAATGAAATTGGCCGATCGCGGCCAGGTGGACGTCACCACTGAGGATGGTGATGCGGCAAGACCTTTCCGCTGCAAGATCCTGCAGGTCCTTGACCAGCTCGTTGCGCTCGTGTTTATGGTTGGTGGAAGTCCAATGGTCATCGAGATCGTCCAGTATCTCTACACCACCATCGAACTTGTTGAGAAAGCCACCTTTGAGGATCCCGGCTCTTCCCAGAGCCTTGACAGGGTCCATGAGACGGCTGGTCAGCACATTCTCTAGCCAGACTAGACGAGGATAAGCCACCGGGACGCCAAGCAATATAATGAGGTGCTTTGTCTCTCCCTCGACCAGCTCTTTGCGACATCGGTCCAAAGCTGTATCCAGGGTCTCCAGACTCAAGACCTCATTACGTCTCCGTTCAGTCCGGCAATCCAAGCCCAAGAACGCAACGTGCTTGCCCATGTGCATGAAAACGCTTCTGCTCGGCTGCTTGATGTAGGGGCCCGGCTGCCGGCCCAGAACCCAACTAGGTTCATGCGAGGTCGTCTCCTCGGCCACGCTCTGGTGTTGGAAGAGCATGTAGTATTTGAACGCAATATTGCCGAGTCCTGAAAAGACCGGCGTCTCCATGAAATGGCTGGGGTAGGAACCGAATCCATCGATAATGTCATGATCGTCCCAAATGTTGACCATTGGGATCTGGCTGGCTGCCATACCGAACAGTCCCTGGGAGAACCACATTGCATACCTGTTCAGATAGAAGCTCTCCAATTCTTCTTTCATTTCGTGCGTGAAGGGAGCGTGGTGCTTGTGCGACGGATTCCTCAGCCTAGTCCATTCTCCAAAATGCTGGGTTTCCAGCACTACACGATCATTGTAGATCTGATCGCCTCCACCAATCATCACGTGGAAGGGGCGTGTCTGATGCGTGTTGAGGACATCTCTCCACATCGGATCCGGCCCGCTGAAGTTGTCCGGGTTGACAGACAGGCTGAAACCGTTGCAGGTATGGAACATCATGTGCATGGTCTGGCCGCGAGCGGGGACCCAAAAACCCACGGATGGACCACGGTTGATGCGATAAGCGATATGTTGCTGCTCATCAACGAGTTCCACTTCCAGGTTGAATCGCCAGAAGGTCACATCACGGTCAGGATCCGCATACAGTCTAGCGCCAGCCACTTCCTGATATCTGCCAACCTTCTCACCATCTGTGTCCAGGGTTCGGTGATTGGAAAACGGAATGGGACCGTGAGGACCGCTGTGCTCGAGTGGGCTGGGCGAGCTCTCGAACAAACCATCATCGTTTTCGATCTGTGAAAGGTCTTTGCCTTCTTGCAGGTGGTCTACGGGTCGAACGTATAATGTCCTTCCGGTTCTAGACGGCTTAGTCAGGCCAGCGATAGGGTCGACATATTCTGGTTGGAGCTCATCGGTGGTGACGTGGTGCGGCGGAGGCGGCAGTAGGGTCTGTGGTTGAGAGAAGAGTCGCAGAGTCGGGGCAGGATCGTAGGATGATGCGGAATTCTGAGTCACGATCAGAACACTTCCTCTCCAGAATTCACGCTCCTCGGCCGCCCCCAAATCAGGCTTCTGCCTTCTCATACCCTTGTATCGAAGCAGAGGCCCGCATCTCAGATATAGATTCGGCTTGAACTCGGCAGTCTTCTCGTCGATAATGTCTGGGACTTTAGCTTGCTCGGAGATCTTCGACGACCTGCTCCTTCTGCGACCCGACGAAGTAGCAGGCTGTTCCCACCATGTCTTACCCCTATCAGCAGGTGCCGCAGTCTCCGTGGAGAAATCGATAGCCGTAAGCCTCGCTGTTCCGGCCTCTTTCCATTCATCCACGGGTCGATTGTTCAGCGGCTCTTTGAAGGACACACTGGACTTCCTCTGCCTTTGCCGTGTCACATCCACAGGCTTTGCTGGGGGAGACTGAGGGCTGCCTGGAATTGGTGCGGAGTGGAGTCCAAGACCTATCGGCGGCGTCCGTGGCTGCTGCTGGACTTGCGGTGCTCCGGCCTTGACCTGGTTGTAGTGTTCTGGCCGGCCAGATTGTGCGGTTATAACTGAACTTGGAACAGGTATTCTGCTCGGTATTCTGGAGGTCGATGTAACATTTCCATCCACGCCTCCTGACCGAGGCTTTTGGAGCTTGCGAGAGGCGGTTGGGGCGGCTGTCACAGGAGCTGACACTCCAGTGAGTTTTTCCAATGCAGCCTTATGCGATGCATTCCTTTGGTGTTGCAACAAGTTATCTCGGGCGTTGACGAAAATTGCTTGAGGCTCAGACATGCGATGGGGCGCCTTCGCCGTTGAAGCATCTAGAGGTTTGTCTTCCACACCAGTCGGTGAGATTTCATGCTGCCTTGCAGACCGGTCTCTTTGTGGCCTGGATACTGCTTCCGCCGGCACGGCTGACGGCCCACTGACTGTTTGATCTGGACTGGGTTCTTTCTGTCTTCGGTGCTCTCTGGTGGACTGGCGTCGTTGGGTGGTAGGGGACGGCCGTAAAGGACTGGATTTTGTGTATTCAAACGCTGCTTGGCCTTCCCCGGATAAGCTTCGTACATCGGGTCTGTGGCTATCGACAGTTGTACTATGTTGTAAACGTTGTCGCTGAGTTGTGCTAAGGTTTCGGACCAGACCTGCATCTTCCAAAGTCGGGGCTTGCGGCTCAAGATCGCGGTCACGTTTCGACATTGACCGTGTGGCGGAAGCAGCCGGCTTCCTCGAAGAAGGATCCTCTTGGGGCGAACTTACAACGCCACGAGCCTTTCCAGCCTCACGATCCCGCAACAGCATCTCAGCCTCCTGGACCCTCGCCCGCTTCTCTTCCTTGCTGATATCATTGAGCGTTACTTCGAGTTTCTGCAGCGGAGACCTATCTGGAGCCCAATCCCTCCTCTGAGCTTCGTCACGGAAAGCGCTTGACCTGCTGACGGCCGAGACGGGCTCTTCGATACGGCCAATGGTGTCAGAGGTGCGACGAGAATGTTGCGCGGATTTGGGCTCTTTGAAAGGCGGATCATGAGCCGTCTGGTTTTCTCTTCTTGGTTTTCTTGTGGAGCCGGAGCCTTGGAGATCGGCAGTATTTACGCGCAAGCCGTCTGTGAGCGCCGGTTTGCGAGAAACATTGTGCGCAACGTCTGGCCGTATCGGTTCGGACGCAATCCGTTGCTTGGGTGTGACATTCTCTGGGGCAAAGTCATTTTCGAGGTCTGCGAAAGCCTCTTGATGGAATGGCCTTCCTCTCGCTCTCTGGGAGAAAGACCGGTGGAGACCTGAATCGGCGGTCTGACCCTGACCTAACGCTCGATAGGAGATGGGAGGCCCACGAGGCACCTCAGACGCAGTTGGGGGTGGGTGTATTCCTCCAGTGTCCAAGTTTTGAGAAAGCGGACGCCTCCCATCACCGTTCCCATTGCTATTGCCATTCCCCACACTAGACCGGCGGTTTGTGCCATTGTGCCTCGCGCGGTTGTTGTCTTGGAAGACCAAGGAATCGAGGGCTGGGTTGTGGTAAAGGTCGAGTGGGTTTATCGAGGTCGCCATGATGTCCAGGCGGAAGGAAGATCAAGCGTGTGAGTTAGCAGGACTGCCCTAGATCTTATTGTCGCTGGTAGAAGTCGCCATGAGCAGAGATCCCTACACTCTGGGTTGGTACATGGAGCTCGGGTGCGTAGAGTTCGCGACAGAGAAGTGGGCGAGATGTGGGAAGGCAATGGGGGCTGTATCTGGAGTGGTTCGCTCAGCGAGTTGAACAAGATGAAGCGTAGCACAACAATCAATCAACACTAACAAGTGACGAGAAGCTCTAATTGAAACCTGGCATTATATTAAAATATGTACAAGAAGGCGAACATGGGAGCGGACGAGGCAGACTGGCAGAAGGGAGCAAGGTTAACTTGGGAGGCTGGTATTTTCTCGACCGACCACGTCAATTGATGGACAAACACGAGGAAACTTGCATAGGTAAGAGATGTTGGCTGCACGGTGGAGCGTGGGCCGTCCAGGGCCGCCCAGAGCCGTCGTCACTGGGCCCGGTTAGCGCTGGATCTCCCGCCGGCATAACTCAGGCGATGCCGGGCTGGCCTCTAGGCGGGAGGAGTTCCGTAAATGTACGCTCCGCGGGTCGACTGCCAATGATCAGCCGTAGGAGCCCCTAAGTAGACCCGCTAAAGTGCTAGCGGGCTCCGGTAACCATGCCTTGTGGCCTAGAAATCTTATGGCCAGAAGAGGCTGAGTGTCAGATTCTGAAGAATGCTGCGCGTGGAAACAATCAGTGACAGCGACTTCAACATTTACACCGTCACCTAATACCCTGCTCACTCGCTTTGTCCGTGCCGTTCTTTGAGCCTCAGGCTACGGATCACCCTCGTGTTCGACCGTCCAACTCGTTGACGTTTCACGAAACTCTCAACTGCGACTGAGACCTGCATTCGCTCGATCCAGCCTGTGTTGTCAATATCCTCCTGAAAATCCGACCACAGGAAGCACTTTGCTCTGGCGAGGAGGTCGCCTGGACGAGTGCTTGCTGATCAAGACCGCTCGAGTCACTCGCACCGAGACTCGCAAGCCTGCGAATATATACAGTAATCGAGCCACCACCACCAGGAACCGCTCTCTCTATCGTTACAGGCATGCATTCATCTGAAAGATAATCGCGACCGACACATATTATTATCATGCGGTTGCCAACATGGCTTCCGCTGGTGCTTCTGGTTGGGAACGTACAAGCAGCCTTGCGCGACTACGACAACCGCGACTATTTTGCCCTCCACCTCCATCCCACTTCTGTTCCCGAAGACGTCGCCCATCGGTTAGGTGCACAGCTTGAAGGGCGGGTCGGAGAGTTGGGTCATCATTATACATTTTCGTGCGCGAAGGACACATGTCAAGAGCTTGAAGATTCCCTGCAGGAACTGCGCAGGCGGAAGAGGCGAAGGCGACGGTCTGTTGATGGGGTGGAACGACAGATGGCACATGACCTGCACGGCGTATTATGGTCAGAAAAACTTCAGCTTCGACATCGCCATGTGAAGCGCATTCCTCCACCCCTACCTCGCACGCTTCGCGACGCCCAGGGTTCAGGAGGCCTGAAATCCGACCCGACCGCGGACCAGGCTCAGCAAGACGCTATCCAACGCTTGAATACGATTGCGGAGGCTTTAGACATCAAGGACCCCATCTTCAAGGAGCAGTGGCATTTGTTCAATCCTTTACAAATCGGTCATGATCTGAATGTGACGGGTGTATGGTTGGATGGCATCACTGGTAACGGCACCATCTCAGCCGTCATTGACGACGGGTTGGACCTCAACAGCAATGACCTCAGGGACAACTTCTATGCGGAAGGCTCTTGGGACTTCAATGACCCAGGCCCGGAGCCACTACCGAGACTGTTTGATGATAAGCATGGTACTCGCTGTGCTGGAGAAATCGCCGCGGTCAAAAATGATGTTTGTGGCGTTGGCATGGCCTACGACAGCAAGATCGCTGGTATCCGGATCTTGTCCAAGCCCATCAGTGACGAAGATGAGGCAGCGGCTATCAACTACCACTACCAAGAGAATGACATCTATTCTTGTTCATGGGGTCCGCCTGACGACGGGCAGACCATGGAGGAGCCAGGTCTCCTGATTAAGCAAGCCATGTTGAATGGCATTCAGAATGGTCGAGGTGGTCTCGGCTCTGTTTTTGTCTTTGCTGCGGGCAATGGTGCCGCCAGTGACGACAACTGCAATTTCGACGGTTACACCAACAGCATCTACAGCATCACTGTCGGCGGTATTGATCGAGCTGGAAATCATCCATATTACTCCGAGTCTTGCTCTGCGCAGTTGGTGGTAACTTATAGTTCCGGAAACAACGATGCAATCCATACCACCGATGTTGGAGCAAACCAATGCTATAATGGCCACGGCGGAACATCGGCTGCAGGGCCCCTCGTGGTCGGCGTTGTAGCTCTCGCGCTAAGTGTTAGGCCGGACCTGACGTGGCGAGACTTGCAGTACCTATGTGTCGAGACTGCTATCCCTATACACGAAGACGATGGCAGCTGGCAGAACACGACGAACGGAAAGAGATTCAGTCACATGTATGGATACGGCAAGATTGATGCCTATCGATTTGTTGAGGCTGCAAAATCATGGGAGCTGGTTAAACCACAGGCGTGGTTCCACTCGCCCTGGCTCAGCGTTCAGCATAAGATCCCGGAGGGTGACAAGGGCCTAGTGGCCAGCTTCGAGGTCACGGAAGAGATGTTAAGCGTAGCCAACCTGGAAAGGCTTGAGCATGTGACAGTGACCATGAACATCGAGCATACCAGAAGAGGCGATCTCAGTGCCGACTTGATAAGTCCTAGTGGCCTGATCAGCCACCTCGCCACTGACCGGGCTCACGACGGAGCTGCCGAGGGGTATGATGACTGGACGTTCATGTCCGTGCTTCACTGGTGAGTTCGTCGTATAATCAATCCCTGATCTTGCATTGACTGACCGTGTGGCAGGGGCGAGTCTGGCATCGGCAAGTGGACGGTCATCGTCAAAGACTCAAACGAGAATGAATTTAACGGCACTTTCATCGACTGGCGGCTGAACCTCTGGGGTGAAGCCATTAACGCCCAAATCCAACAGCTTCACCCACTACCTGACGAGCACGACGATGATCATGAAACCGCTCCTGCTGTAGTGAGCACAACCAGCGTCGAAGCTGGCCGCCCAGCAACGGCAACCCAACCTCCCGCCCGGCCTACTGACCATCCTGACCGGCCCACCAAGCCGAAGCCAACTGAGGCCACAGACTCCGTCGTGATTGTGACGGCGACCAACACTGTCTCTGTGCCTGCTGCAACAGCAACGGCCACGATCGAGCCCACGGAGACACACACGTATTCTGACAGCTTCCTTCCGTCGTTCTTCCCTACCTTTGGTGTCTCCAAAAGGACACAGATCTGGATTTATGGCTCGATCGGACTCATTGTGGTCTTTTGCATTGGACTTGGGGCTTACTTTCTTGTTCAGCGGAGAAAGAGACTTCGAAACAACCCTCGTGATGCATATGAGTTTGAAATGGTCGCGGACGCAGATGATGACGAACAGCGAGGCTTGACCTCCCGTAGAGGACGTGGCAAGGGAAGAGCCAAGCGAGGTGGGGAGCTCTACGATGCGTTTGCTGGCGAAAGCGAAGATGACCTGTACAGCGATGATGATGCATATCAGGACACTCCCAGTAACGACACTGGTAGCGGCTCGAGGTCCGGCAGTTCCGAGGGCAAAGAAAGGGAGAAGTGAGCGAAACATTTGGCGATAAGGCGTTTTGAGACATTACAGTAGCACCCGCCAGCAGGGAATGTCGGGCTCTGGCCAGACCCCGACGCCTTTGTACAGATATTATTATCACGCGAGTATCCATCAACTGCATAGAACCGTGTGGCTTTTGGAAGAGGCTGGACGCAACGCCGTATTCATGGTAGGATGAAGGATTTGTACATTCAGGTGAAGGAGACCTGATTTGACTCGCACTTAAAAAATTCATTATCAGCCAGAGCAGCTGTGCTAGGTGCTGGGGCCTGCCGCTGTTAACTAGCTTTTCGTGCGGGCATTGCCAGCGTTGAAATATACTGTACGGGGCAGGCGCCCATATCCAGTGCACCGGGCGAGCCCTGAAACCGTCCTTGGTCTTTGCAGCAGACAACAACAGCTTGCATCAATTACGTCCCCTTCGCCGCGAACGCACCTCTCTTGGGCGGCTCGGTAGCATCATCATGAGCTTCCAAATACATTACATACCATGGTCGGCTCCCGGTCGTCATTGAGGCGTCCTGATTTACGAGGTCACAGTCACAAGTCCTCAGCGTCCAGGTCTAGCAGCCCGATCAATGACGAACCGCCACCGCTCCTTCCAAGGTCCGGCAATGAGGGCATCGCCCTCAGATCCAAACGCCTACGGGCTGCTACCGTGTCTACACCCGAACATGACCTGAAAAGACGCCGATTGTCGTCGGCCAAAGGCGAGAAACCACAGTTACGCATCCCATTACGCAGTCGAGGCGGGTTACCTAAAGTCCTCCCACAACCTCCGCCCGCCGCAGCCGCGACTGTGCGGCCACCGCAGGCTGCCAATGCTGCGAAAGCCAGCACGTCACACATCTCAAGCCTTCAGCCGTTGGACTCGCCGACTTCACCCAGCGAGAAACCGCAGTATGATCAGATCAAAATCATTGAAGAGAAGGCAAAAGCCTCCATCACAGAGGGCAATTCGGCCACAACCCACGAAGACCGCCGAAAATTACGCTCAGAGGATGGAGGGTCTCGGGCTAAAACGGAGCTGGCCCAATACTTCCCAGACTTTGAGGAAATGCTCAGTCTGAAGCCACCAGATCCAGGTATGCAACGGCCATCTACCCCAGCGAACTACCACTGACATCAAGCAGAAGCATTGACAGTCAAGACTAAGGTTGTGCTGGTCGATGATACTCCCGACTTTCGGCCGAAGTCCCCCAGGCCTGATCCATTCGGAGCCCACAAGCCATTGCACAACACGCAGATCATCCAGCTGGGTGGGAGCGGTATCTTCTCAAGTGATGCCTCCGTCGACCCTTTGAACGACGATGTCTATCTTAAGATTCACGGTAAGGCCGAAAGGCATGAGAGGCAAATCAAAAACAGTGATCGGGAGCGGGCGCAGCACGAGAAGTACCAACTGGAAAAACTCCTAGGAGACTTGCGTGGGCCAGACTGGTTGAAGACTTTGGGCATCACAGGCGTCACCGACACCGAGAAGAAACGTTATGAACCGAAACGAGCACTATTCATCCGTGAAACTCAAGCCTTAATCAACAAGTTCAAGCGATGGAAAGAAGAAGAGAAGCGCCGGAAGCTAGAGCGGGAACAGGAAATGCTCGAGGCTGCCATGGACGAGGACGGGAAAGGTGATGAAGGTGAGAGTGAAGACGAGGCTGCCGAGAGCGACGCGTCGGAGGGAGATAGCATTGCCAGTGCGTCGACTCAGGCGCCGAATTCCAGCGAACTCGACGACCTTGCATCGCAGCAACTCATCGAGGAAGCAAAGATTGCCATTAAGCGCAAAAAGCCGTCGCCCGCCAAAGTGGCCGATCCCCCTCCACCCAAACCCTTTGTTTCCTTCTTCGACAAACGCCATTTACGGGACGCTGCTGTCGCTGGTCGTCAACGTGGGCGGACCCTCCTCGCGTTTGGTCTCCCTGTGCCTGAGCTCGTGGAGAAGGATTTCGAGCCACCAGAAGACATCCTGACAGATGAAGCAATCAGGCTAAACCAACGGTCTCGCAGAAGGATGCGAAGGGGTGGCGACTAGGTTCCCACCTTCTGCGCTGTTGATACATTTATTATCGGTTTCGAATTGTACGGTATAGGGCAAGGGGGTATACGGAGTACTTAGGATTGTACGCGAAGGAAGCATGCTGCTATGCGTGTGGTGTTTGGGGTACGGTTATCACAAAAAGAGGTCCTGATCCGTCCTCTCGAGTCAATGTTTTCTGAGCGGCCTCTTGGATTGTTAAGCAACCAGAGAAGACTTGTCCTCCTGCCACAGCAGATTGGATGCAAAAGCCTTCGTCTCCGCTTCAAAAGGAGTTGATCCCACCTTTCTACAAGCCTGACACTACCAGAACAAACCTAAAATATGGCACACTTTGTCTACCTTATTGAGGGGGAGTTTCTCGGTACCGGGTACTGCTTCATTGCATAGGTAGTCCTGAAATTAGCCAGGCGAGCGGTAACAAATGCCGTCGTAGTAGTCTGCGACTTCGTATCGGTCCAGCTCTCATGCCCACCTACCCAGAAAAGGTGTTCAAATGGTGCCTCATATGCTAATGGCGAGCAGCCGTGGGATTGGCTCTCAAAGCTCGAGGGAAGGGCTGCAAGTAGCGTTTGCGGAAAAGCCTTCAATTTTGTTCATGCTGTGCCTGTTATTGCGTACCGTGGAAATCATGCGACTGTCCAGGGCATTGGAACCATATCTTCACTGCAGCAATCGGGCCATGGGAACACACGCGCAACGGAGGGGTTCTGGCTGCTTGTTCTCGCATGAGTTCTAGGTACTTACTTACCTCTGCTTTTGCCGAGAAATATAAGAGCGGTGGTCCGACAGGCTAATAAAACTGAGGACGGAATTTGCAAACCAGCAGGTACCGAGTTTGCTGTTTCAGTGTCGATAGTGGCTGGATCTGAGTGCAATGAGCGTGCCTGCGTCGCTGCCTTGAAGCAGCATCGTGCCAACTGCTTTTCAGACCTACTGTGGTACTACGGTACATTTGTTGGCCAGAGCACAAGTACCTCGTACGATGTTTCTCAGCCCCATTCTGGGCTCGCCTGCTCCTTTCTCAGAATTTTCCGATTCGTTCAGGAGGCGAGGCGCTATGCGTGAGTCCCCACCAAGTTGGGGCCTCCAGTCTCAGCCGCAGCTGCGGCCGCTCCAACTGCTCAAGGCTGCCTCACACGACAAGATATGTTATCCTGCCGGAGCCTGGGGGCGAATGCGCACACCATGGACCTCGATGGCCTATGATGATGTCCAACCGCCCTCATCCTGATGGTTTCTTGTGTCTATGAGGTGGAGGATATCGTCTTGAGTAGCCTTCTCCTGCCGGGCTTCTGGCCGTTGTTCATCTCTGGCTGGACGCCTCTACCAGGTCACAAGCACGGGCGGACGTCCTTTCCTGCGCCTCAACCACCCGTCGCTCGTTTGAAGATTGTGCTTGTCTATATGAGTTTTTGAATTTCCTTCTTTGACAACCTGACGCGAAGCGTGCACGATAACTCCGGGCTGCCACAGATCGACGTTGAATCACGAGTCCAGTCGATCCAGAGACCACTCCTGTTGAGATACAGAGACTGAACCGGCCCTCAAGAGCCGACCACCTAACATCTGACGTGGCGGTCGCGTCGATGGGCAAGCGCCTCTTATGGGCCCTTAGTGCCCTCGCTGCTTGTGCGTTCGCGCACGACTCGTCCATAACCACTCCTTCTAAGGCCCTCCTGCCTCGAGCCACGTCGACGAACAGCGCCTGCGCACTGGCATCGAGTGCTGCGCATTCCTATCTAGCGAACGAAGAGACGGCAACTACTGCCCACATTCCTGCAGAACTTGCTTACAACTGTTTGAAATCGATCCCCAACTACAAAGAGCCGGCGGTCAGCCTCTTGAACTCGTTACGGACGTACATCGAGTTCCAGAGTACCAAGGAATATCTGCGAGACCCGCCCACGGGCTACCTTCTTCCAGCTGTGGACATAGATGCGGGATTGGATGGCATACAACAAAAGCTGCAAGCGGGTGGATATGATAGCGAATATGATTTCCAAGGAGAAATCGTGTCGTTGCTGCTGTCTGCCCATGACGGGCATCTTGATTGGCATGGTGACGTTCACGGAGCCTTCACCTATCTCCGGCTTGGTGGTGGCTTGTACTCTGTCTCCTCGGATGGAGTGGAACCGCCGCTTGTGTATGTCGCAGGTGAGTGTTCGATAGCCTCCGGCCGAAGGGAATCAGGCTCCGTTTGAGCCGTCGAAGACGATGCCCTGTCCGGAACCGCAGAGCTGACTGAAGACAGCTGATCTCATTGTGAGCGACCCGGACACCGACATGCGACGAGCAGTTACGGGATACCGTCCCTCGCCGGTTCAGAGCATTAACGGCATCGACGTCATGGACTTCCTATTGACCCAGTCGCTGAATCGCCGGTCTCAGGATCCGGATGCCCTGTGGAATATGATGTTTCGATCTCTTCTATCTGTACACGCGTCTTTTGAATTTCCACTATTCTATCCCGGCCCCGAAACCAACATCACCTTTGCAAATGGAACCACGAAGACATACGAGAACGTCGCTATCACGAACGTGGATTTGGCGGGGATCAATACAGGAGAGGAGGCCTACTCTATGTTTTGTTCCGGGGTCGAAGTGTTAGAATCGTTGTCTGCAACAGCATCTGTGGCTCCTACCGCCAGCTCAAGCATTTTGACCACCACCTCAGACATCACCACACCAACAGAGGCTCCAACGAGCTCACCGACTATTTCCGGCTTTCCTTATCCGGTGATTAAGCATAGTGCTGGCTCGGTGGCCGGATACTATTTGAATGATACCGGTTTCACCGATGTCGCCATCCTTCAAATCCTCGAATTTGGGTCGCAAACCGATGACTCGGCAGAATACGAGAGAGAATTCCAGTCGGCTGTCGAGAAATTCCTTGCTGCGTCGGTCAGGACTGGTAAGAGGAAGCTGATTATCGACCTTCGAGGCAACCCAGGTGAGTTGACCAATTGTTCCTCTGGTGCTGCGCAGACTGACCTGTATAGGTGGTTTTATCGACCTTGGCACAGATACATTCGCACAGCTTTTTCCCTCGTTGACACTAAATTCGAAGTCGAACATGCGAGATCACTTGGGGTTTTGGATTCTCGGAAACGCGGCGTCCGACAACATAACAGCTGCGGGGCGAACCGCCAACACCACGGATGAATTGGTATCAGAAAGATTTTACACCCCTTTGGCTTACCAGACGGTGGTGACTGAGAACCATACGGATTTTCCTGATTTCCAGACATATTATGGTCCGAATTTCATGTACGATGGGATGTGGACCTCCTTCTTTCAGAACAACTATACAGAACCCAACGCCTCGGACTTTGCTGGGACAGGCATCATCATTACGGGGACAAACGACCGGACCGGCTATAGACAGCCTTATGCTTCACAGGATATTGTTGTACTCACTGATGGGTACTGCGCGAGCACTTGTTCAGTCTTCACCGAATATCTGAAGACCTACGCCCACGTGCAGTTCATCGCGATTGGAGGACGGCCACAGACAGGGCCCATGCAAGCAATTGGTGGTGTCAAGGGAGCGCAGGCCTTCACCTACAGCCTCATTGCAAGCTGGACTGATCTTTTCAACGACCCATCGAACCACTACATCGGTGAGGCGAATGGCACCATGTGGGAGAACTTCACCTACGAACCCTTGCTTCGGGAATTTGGCTTTTCGGGTGGCAGTGTCAACGGACGCAATCATTTCCGAATGGACGATGAAACAAACACGCCCCTCCAATTCGTGTATGAAGCTGCGGACTGTCGGATGTGGTGGACTAGAGAGATGCTTTATGATCCAGTATTTCTCTGGAAGCGTGTGGCGACCATGGCGTTCCAAGAACGCAAGGGAACACAGTTTAACTCGAAATACTGCGTCGCCAATAGCACGGGCCACCCGACCAGTATTTCAGGCGGCTGGAAAACTGGACTGGGACCGCAGACTCCACCAGAAATTGCCAAAGCGACTATCAAAGGATGGAAGTTGACCGGCACTCCTCTTCAGGCGGCAAAAGCTGGCACTTCTCTCGCAGGTTCGGGGTCTGGGTCGGGTCTGGGCTCAGACTCGACGACCGGGCTGGGCGATGCGCATGTGGTGGTTGAGAATAATGCTGTTGCTGATACCACCGACACCGACAGTGAGGATCTGGCTTCGTTCAAGCAATATTGTTCGAGCTATACTGGCGATGCATGGTTTGTCAAGCTCATGTGCGGGGCGCTGCAGTGAGTGGCATCAGTGTCACTCTTGGTTCGTTTGAATAAAATTAGCCAGCGAGCATATGGGCGGCGTTTGTGGCTCGGCTATGGTCTGTCTCCTCTGATACTCTGGATGACTATGAAAATGTCATATTGGGCTGGTGGTTTGTCTGAGCGGCGTTGGGTTTTTTCCGTCTGTGGTCTGGCTATACTATCGTGTCGAGCTCCCTGATCACAGTCGTTCAGCCTCCAGTCTTCGCGGAGCACTGTAACAGATATCGTGGTGTCTGGGAAATGGGCAGTAAGAAGCAAATGCTTGCCAATATTGCCAAGGATTCTAATGACGTTAAGCTTCCTCGAGTCTTGGCGCCCTCTTCCCCTTGCTGCTTAGTCCGCTTCCTGTTTCACGTCCTTCGACGACAGACAAGCACGTTGACCCTCTATCAACACGGTGTACTTCTCTAGATTTGTATTTTCTTGCTCAGTTTACTGTGTCTTTGGAGCTTGCACATAGATAGGCCCCGTGCCGTCAACGCCGATCTCAGCCGGTAAGGCCATCGCCGTCCAACCAGCATCCGCCAGGACTCTGCGTGCCATGGATAGCCGCAGCACTGCACGACCAAACCCGGAGCACAGTACCACCGTCGACTCGGACGACGAGGCAGATGTCTACGATTGGACGGCGTCGCGTGTGCCCAACAGCCAGGACGAGGCGCGGCCTCGAAAGGATCCCACCCGGAATGGATCTAAACAGGCCCAGAACGGCAACGAGGGGGAAGACGAGGCGCATTACGAAGCAGCTGGACCGGGCGAAGGAGACTCCTCGGACGATTTGCCTGAGGACGGACATATGCCTCACCCATTCTATCACTATGCGGCGGAGAAGCGAGACACTTTCGCCGACTCCAAACTCATCTATCAACGCCACCGGATGGACACCAAGTCCGAAAAGGAACTAGGAAGCCCCTTGCTGTTGAGCAAGTCCTACACTATGCCCGTTGGTGCGATGGATGGAGAGGCCGCGGCCCTGCACCGTACGCCCAGCACGACGTCGAGACAATCGCGGCTCAGCCAACGGGGCAATGCTCCCAGTGGCATCCAACTCGCCCGTGCCAAGGATTCGATGCCTTCTTTGCAAACGCAAGTGGGCAATCTCCAGGACATTCGCCCGGACCCGACCCTGCTCGCTGACGCTGCTGCACGAGACCATAAGCGCCACCCAGGCCTCCCTCACGAGTTCAAGGACCCCTTGCTGGCCCACGAGGGCATGCACGGTGCTGGTGCCGGTATGGGGCTAGGAAGCGGACCCGGCGGACTCGCTCCCAGCGAGGAGAGCGTCGTCAGCGAAGTGCGTGCCATCTGTGACAAGATAAAGACGGTGCTCGATCTACGGCAGAAGTATTTGAAGATCTCGCTGCAATGTCCCGGCGACAACCCGAAAGACGACGAGAACTGGGAGATATACCCGCCCCCACCGAATCCCGTTTGGAACGAGCACAAAGCTCGTGAACAGCCCCCAGACTACATTGCCCCGAACAGCACCTCGAGCAGTCTGTACATGGCGGACCTGAAGGCGCGGAACGCTAGCGGGGCCGATCTGGAGACCTGGGCCAGCAACGTCAGCCAGGCCGACTCGGAACGGGGGGCGCCGCCATCGCCGACAAGCGTCAAGAAGGCTCGCAAGCAGGGCCATGACGTCGGGGAAGATTTCGACCTCAACGAATGTATAATCCCCGGACGGCAGGCAAAGAGCCTTCACTACGAGATGGACGCCGGGAGTGTCTTTCAGGTGTATGGCACCGACGGGAAACCGCTGGTCGAAGTGCCCACGTTGAGGGACTACTTCGTGGCACTGGACACGATCCTGGACATCGCGTCCGACGGGCCCGCCAAGAGCTTCGCCTACCGCCGCCTACAATACCTTGAGGGACGGTACAGCCTGTACACGCTGCTGAACGAGTACGAAGAAGTGGCCGACACGAAAAAGGTGCCGCACCGAGACTTTTACAACGTCCGCAAGGTCGACACGCACGTGCACCACTCGGCGTGCATGAACCAGAAGCACCTGCTGCGGTTCATCAAGAGCAAGATGAAGAAGTGCCCCAACGAGGTGGTCATTGAGCGGGACGGCAAGCAGCTGACCCTGAAGGAGGTGTTTGACAGCATCAACCTCACGGCGTACGATCTGAGCATCGACACGCTCGACATGCACGCGCACACCGACTCGTTCCATCGCTTCGACAAGTTCAACCTGAAATACAACCCGATCGGGCAGTCGCGGCTCCGCGACATCTTTCTGAAGACCGACAACTTCATCAAGGGTCGCTACCTGGCCGAGATCACAAAGGAAGTCATTACGGATCTGGAGTCGAGCAAGTACCAGATGGTGAGTGCCATAATGTCTCTCAGTTGAGCAGAATTGTAATCAACTAGTGAATGTTTGCCGACTCAGCTGACTTTACGGCATGCAGGTTGAATGGCGCATCAGCATCTACGGCCGCAGCATCAAGGAGTGGGACACGTTGGCCAGCTGGGTGGTGGACAACAAGCTCTTCTCGCACAACGTGCGGTGGCTGATCCAGATCCCGCGGCTGTATGCGCTGTACAAGTCGCTCAAGACGGTGGACAACTTCGAGCAGCTCCTCCGGAACATCTTCGCGCCGCTGTTCGAGGTGACGCAGGACCCGTCGACGCATCCGAAGCTGCACGTCTTCCTCCAGCGCGTGATCGGGTTCGATAGCGTCGACGACGAGAGCAAAGTGGAGCGCCGGCTGTATCGCAAGTTCCCCACCGCGCGCGAATGGGACACCAAGCAGAACCCGCCCTACGGGTACTGGATCTACTACTTGTTCGCGAACATGACGTCCCTCAACGCGTGGCGCAAGCGGCGCGGGTTCAACACGTTCCTCCTGCGCCCGCACTGCGGCGAGGCCGGCGACACGGACCACCTGGCCGCGGCGCTGCTGTGCTCGCACAGCATCAGCCACGGCATCACGCTGCGCAAGGTGCCGCTGCTCCAATACATTTTCTACCTCGAGCAGATCGGCGTGGCCATGTCGCCGCTGAGCAACAACGCCCTGTTTCTCACGTACGACCGCAACCCCTTCATCAGCTACTTCAAAAAGGGCCTCAACGTGTCCCTATCGACCGACGACCCCCTGCAGTTCGCGTTCACCAAGGAGCCCCTGATCGAGGAGTACAGCGTCGCGGCACAGATCTACAAGCTCAGCGCCGTCGACATGTGCGAGCTGGCCAAACACTCGGTCGACCAGTGCGGGTTCGAACTCTCGCTCAAGCAGCGCTGGCTGGGCAAGTACTGCTACCTGCCGGGCGTGCTGGGCAACGACGTGGCCAAATGCAACGTGCCGGACGTGCGCGAGGCGTTCCGCCACGAGACCCTCAAGGCCGAGCACGCCTTCATCGCAAAGTACACAAACGACTACTGCCACTACGACCGGTGCACGCCGGACTTGCCTGTCCCTGCCTCCACAGACCCCACCACCCCCGTGGACGAAGCGGCGTATCGAGGACTCGAGAGCCCGCGCCAGTACTACGCCACCATGGCCGTCAGCGCTGCTGACCACTCGATCGCCCCGGCGCAGCAGGCCCGCGAACGCGAGCGCGAGGCCGCCCTGCTCTCCAAATCCGTGTCGCATTCGAACTTCACTGCCGCCCAGGGTCAGGCCAATCCAGGGGGAAGTGGCGGTGGCGGAAACGTCTCGCCCACCCGGCCGCGCCGCACGTCCTCCATCCACGCGCTGTACCATGCCGCGTCGACCCCAGCGGTGGACGCGCACATCTCGGGCCAGGAACCGCGCGCGTTCCCGGGTCTCGTGCACCAGCGCGAGAGGCGGCGGAGTCTGCGCGTCGGGTCCGGCAACTCGGATGGCACGCAGCATTCGAGCGATATGACGTCGAGTTTGCACTTAGAGCCCGGGCTGGCCAAGATTACGCTCAAGGAGGATAAGGAGATGAGTGAGATGGAGGATGACGCGGAGTGAAGGGCTAATATATAAAGAGGGCCGTACACCACCGCGAGAGGCGGAGGAGTGTACGCGTCGGGGTCCGGCAATTCGGACGGCACGCAGCACTCGAGCGAGATGACGTCGAGTTTACACTTGGAGCCCGGGTTGGCCAAGATTACGCTCAAGGAGGATAGGGAGATGAGTGAGATGGACGATGAAGCAGAGTGAATGCCTACTTAATGCATGGAGAGGGCGTCTGGCCTTTTCATTGACGGGTTGGTGACGGACACACGTTAGATAGATACTTAAAATGAGCGTTACAGAGGTGATGAAATTGCACTGCTTGAGATATGAAACTCCAAACCGCTGTCCTGCCCATTTGTGTTGGTTCCTCCACCGCTTCTCTTCTTCTCATATCAGTTCATAAGAACGTCTTGCAAACCTGAACTTGAGCCTGCACTCGAACCCGCATACCGTGTTGTGATTGACCAGATAGGTAGATACCGAGCTCGGCCGGACTCCGCAGATCGTAACAACGAAGGAACACAACAAAGATGGTCGGTGGTTTGGCAAGGGAAGTAAATGTTCCAGTAATGGCCGCCATGGGAGATCACTGCTGATCATGATGGCCGTTGAGCGAGCATGATGCACAATCTGTATAAGTCTCTAGGCCGCGAGGATGAGCGTAAATGACGAGCTCTGTTCTGGTACAGTCACGTTCCAACCTGACCCAGTCGAAATGTAATCCGACCGATACCTGATGAGAAGTCTGCAAATGTCTGTCTAAGGCCAGCAGCGTGAAAAATGATCCAGGGCTGGAGTGGCAAGACCTATAAGTACACTTGTAGGTGCCATGGTCCTCTTGTAAATGTGACTCCCTCTGAAATGCAAAGACCATGGCGGAGCAATGGTTGTGAGCACATTTGAAAAGTTCGTGCTTGTCTTTTACATGTTGCATCATCTTGTCTTTGCGGAAGAATGCCTCTTGGCAACCGGGGTCAAGGCATGGATAGTCAGGTACACTATTATGAATGGTCGTCACGTGCCTCTTGAGATCAGATAGTTTCCCGAATGGCTTCTTGTACGAACAGCCTGGATGCGTGCAGACCAAGGGAGTCAGGTGGACGTTCCTGACGTGGGCATTCAGTGATGAGCGGGTACTGAAAGTGGCCTTCGAGTCACAGCCGCGCCAGCGACATTTCTGCGGCCCGGACCATTTGCCGTTGACTTCTTTTGCTACGTTTGGCGTTGAGGCTGCAGCGGCCGGCATGGTGTCTCCGACAACCGGGTTGAGCCTGTGAGCCTCAGGATTTGACCCCCCTATTGTACCCTATGCGCCCCATTAGCGTCAGTCTAAAAAAAACTTACGATGATTGGGCCAGTCCGTGGGACGTGCATACTGCACGCGCCCTGCGCGCTGGCATTGTTGAGCACGACTGGATGGGATGGCGCATCGCTGTCCATGGTCTCAAAAGGCAGCTGCGCTGTCGAAGAACCTGCGGAGTTGTCGAAGGGCTGCACGTCGTCGCCTAGGCAATGAGAATTCTCAGCACCCAGTTTGACGGTTGTTGCTTGGTCCCTGATGGTGAAGACGTTCGAGGCTTCGGGCTGCATCGTGCCAAGGGAGTCAAGTTCCAAGCCTCTCGCAGCGTCGCCCTCCATCAGAGATGGATGACATTGTTCGGAAGTATCTGGACCATTAGAGAACGACATCCCGATTCCTTGTGAGAGACCCAGACAGTTCCCTGGCATACCAGACGAAGAAAGTTCGGTCATTGCAGCCAGAGTAGAGTTGTCAGAGAGCTCGGGGCTGGGAAGTTCGAAGAGCTCAAGCTCGGGAAGGCTAAACAGGTTGAGGTCGGGGAGGTCATTTTCGACAAATTCCTCATAATAAGAGTAATCGTACCTTTGTTCGCACGACATTGTTAAAGGCAGTGCGACCTCGATCGCGTTGATCGCTTGATAAGAAGCTGTGATGGATTGTCGGAGGTGGCGGTCGAGCTGGTTTCGTGGTGCACATTGCAACAAGAGAGGAAAAAATGAATGAATAATGGATGACGACCGCGACTCAGCTTCCTGCAAGTGCGCCCTCAGCGCCCATGCACGCGTAGGAAGTACTCCTGAGGGATTTTACTCCGCAGTAGACAACGTGGATTGTCCGGTGAAGAATCAAACGCTGCCCGTCCGAGCGACCTCGAGAGCCTCCATCGCCAACGAATTGCCAGAGGCTTTAAAGCCTCGAAAACACCGAGTAAAATATTAGCCGTCCTTGTAAGTCGTCTACTCAGAAATGAGGTCCAAGACCCACACGGTCGTCATGTCCAGTTGTACGAGGTACCGTGATCACGAGAGACATGTACTCGATATGGTCGAAAGTCTTTTTGCAAACTATCCATACCGCAGTCACAGGAGAACGCTGCCCAGATAATGCTTCGTGGATCTACCATCTACTCGTGCAGATAGATTTGAATCTATTCATGCCCGCGCGGGAGGAAGCATAATCGATGCGTGAGGCTGCAGGGGAGATGCGAGAGGTGCAGATGGACCCTTGGCAACGCGGAAAAACTCGGGTGAAGGTGATGAGTCAAAGCAGCGGTAGGATCAGCGGCCAATAAACATTCAGTCAGAGGGGTAGGTCGTCGCGGGAATCCGGGGAAAGGCTGTACATCGGGGTCTTTCGTTGGCAGAAAGGACGGAGTTGGAGCGGATGGGAGTTAATCCAAGGTGACAGGTGCGTCAGAGAGAAAACAGTCGGGTGAATCAGGCCGAGCAGGCTGGATCAGGTACCTGTCCGACATGTCGGTCAGGAATGTTGGATAATCAATGCCAGGCAGATATCGAAAAGAGAAGTGTTGAAATGCATGAGGTTCACCGACTTGTCGCCAATCATGCCAGATTTGTGGCTTTTTGGCATGTCAGGTAGAGACGCGATCCCCATAGTCAGCGGTCTCGCCCATAGGCTTCTCACGTGTCACAGAGTCAAGATACAATCAAGCATGTGTTGAGCGGAAGTCAAGACGAGGGCAGATGGATCGATAATGACGACTGAACGGTCGTTGATTTACCCTCCGGCCAGCGACCGAGCCCACCGCGCCTAACTTCGGTGTTATGGGGGGAAGTTTGGGTGTCAGGCCAAAAACGGGCATGCCCACAGAGACCTGATTAGTGGCTGGGGGCCTGTGGTAATTGGTGAGAGGCATCAGTGGCCCGCCCACAACATCGTCATCTCGCTTCGCTGGCTCGACGGGTCCCCACCCTCGAGGCATTCGAGGTATCCTCGTACCTCGTATCATTCCACTTCTCCAAACAACAATGCACCCGTCGTTCATCATTGCTTTTCTCAAGCACGACATCCCCACGTACCATACCGTATACATGTTTGGTTCCTGACTGTTGAGAAGAGATCCAACGTCCCGTGCCCAAGTCAGGCCTGAACTCAGCTGAAACCGACCGAGACTGGTGGCGTCCGCATTCGTTCTTTCCTACTCTCTCTCCGCCTTATCACTTCTCACCTCTATTCTCATACGATCACAGCTCCCCGTGTACACCCGATCGCTTCTCTTAGATCTTCCCGTCCCCCCGCATTTCCTGGCGGTCTTCCCTGCTCGCGTGCTTGTTCTCCAGGCCAACCGTGGGTTCCGACAAGGTGCTGAGTGAAGGATGCGCTGTCGAATAAGAAACGCTATACCTATACACCAGCCATAGCAACATGGACACTTCCCCACCTGTACCCAGGCGCTTCGTCCCGGAACCTATAGAGACCACGGTCAAAAGCTCCAGATCCGCTCGAAACCAGTCAGACAACCCCTCCTCGAGTGCTTCTTCCGAGGGCACATTCTCTTCCCCATATACGAGCGATTCCATGACTCCCAGTACGAAGCCTCGCCGGTTCCTGCCCCAGCCGATAGAAGAAAGCACAAGGAGTTCTCAAACGAAGAATAACGTGGACCATGTAGTGGACGCTGCTACAACGACGCAGGACGGTCCATTCTCGGACTCGGGCAGTCCACATTACTCCCATTCGGATGATCCTACCCTCCCTGGAGTACCGAACAGCAGGCCTCCAAGGCGCTTCGCTCCAGAACCGGTGGAGACTACTGCACGGTCTTCGAGGCGGAAATTCGTCCCTGAACCAATTGAGACGAGTACGGGAAACAGCAAGGACAAAGGGAATTCAACAGACGAGGGGGCCGCCCCTAAGCCTCGCAGGAAATTTGCACCCGAACCTGTGGAGACCACCGCAAGAAGCTCCAAGGACAAGAAAGCAAAGGACTCTGAAGAGACAGCAGGCTCACGACCGCGGCGAAAGTTCATCCCAGAACCCATAGAAACCACCACTACCACGAACAGACGACGCAAGGTCAGCCTTGATGAGATATGCGAAGAAGAGCCTCCCAAGACCGACGATTCTTCTCCCTCTAGTCGAGCGTCTAGTGGACCTCGAAAATTTTCTCCGGAACTACTAGAGACTGCCAAAGGATCCTACCGAAGATTCCATCCACAGACGCCCGAGACCAGCGTGTCGCCAGCCCCTAGTAGGCGGGCACCGTCGCCACCACCCATCGAAGAAGACCCCACGTGTGAAGAGGTCCCTGAACCTGAAGAAGAATCTCGCTTCTCAGCTGCAGCTTTGGCCCGGAAGAACCCTGAATCGCTCCGACAACATTCATTCATCGTTCCTGACCTACCCATAATCGAGTCGACCACCGAGGATGAAGATTCAGAAGCACCTTCTTTAGCCGACTCTTCGTCCTCATTTGGGTCGTCTGTTGCGAAGAAACCGCCGCCCAGCACAAAAGACAGCTACACCGAATATGTCCTCCGTCTGGCCGCCGAGACGGTGACCGAAAAGGAGCTACAAGAGCAGGCTATGGCGGCTTACATCAACGAAAGACCTCACGAGCCCGTCGATCACTTTGCCATTGACCACGACGAAGATGAGGACGGGCCGCTGCCGAGCCCCATATTCCAGGGGGAGAAAGGAGTTGATGCTCGCGCTTTTCGACGGTCTTCGGCTGCGGAGCTGGCATTGGAAATGGACCATATGCGCAAACATCATGAGCGGTTAGAAGCAGCGAAGCGGAGCCTCAAAGCTGACACTGCCGGTCAAAGTCGATTTAGTGCCGCAGCGCTTGCGACGCGACACGCTCTTGAGGCGAAGGGAGTAAAGAAGCCGAAGAAACCACGAGCCGAGGATGAAGATTCAGAGTTGGCCCGTATGAGAGCCGCTGCATCTCCGCCAATGCTGGGTGTCGATCTCGTGTTCCCATTCACCATTTCGCCAAAAATGACCCGCTGTGACCCAGATCAGGCTCCGAGACCGAGAACTGCAGACAGCGATGACGACGAGTTGGAGCCAAGCAGTCCCGAACTGTGGAGATCAAACAAGAAGCGCGAAAACAACGCTGGGGAAGGCTTGTGGATGGGTATGTGCCAGGCAGGACTGTGGCAACCTCAAAGTCCCAAGAATGGCCAGCGAAGTGGCATCCAGACCCCTTCGCCATTGACTCCAGCCGGTGAAAGAAATAATCCGTTCGAGAGCACGACCCCTGGCCGCGGGACTAGGACCCCCGGACGTCGTAGGGTGCTGTTCGCATCGGGCCAGCCGCACGTCCCGTTGACGCCACCGCGGAGTCAAGATGGCGATGACGTCTTCACCAGCACCATCGACCGGAAACTACAGCTCGAAAAGCAAATAGAGGAGGAATTCCCTGATCATGTCATCACACAGATATACAACTATCTCTCTCTGGGCTACCCCAGCTTAGCTCACATGTTCGACGACGAGTTGAGCAAAATCTCCCGGATCCCGATCGAAGAGCTTCGCAAAGATGATAAGCACGTCGATGCGAAGGGCTACGTCGGAGCTCCTGAAGGAGACGGCTGGGACGAAGCAGAGGTCATCGGCCGCTGCAAGCGGTGGGAGGCTCTCAGGCTATACGTCAAGGAATGGGCAAGACAAAGTCCCAACTTTGCGGACGAGAGGAAACGGGCTGCGCTGGGTGCAAATGAAGATTGGGGTGCCAGGGTTAGAAGAGGGAGTTGGGCTCATTAGGCTCACCGGTCGAGCCAGATTTCGGTGCGCAGGGTGGTTCCCCATGGCAAGTCCTTCTGAGGGTAATGGTCTTGGTTTGTTTATGTGTGCATGAAATATTAGCGGTTTGGTTCTGGCCTGCGCTGGGTTTCGATGCATCCCTGCCGGCTTTCTTTTTGCCTGGTGTCACTGTCCGCGGAAGACGGCGATTTGGTCTTCTGCTTCGTTTGTCCGAGATTGGTTCTCGCGGTTCTCTGGGTCCAAGAACGCAGGGCGGTAGCGGGGTATAGGATAGGGTATACCCTACAGGACAAGACATAACGATTACATCAGGAAAGCAAGTTGTAAAAATCGGTATGGTTCCAAGGTTATGTTTGACGGTACACGGCTTGTAATACGGGGCCATGGCCTGTGCAGGTTTGAGAGGGTCAAGCAGCTTGCCGTTCGTACCTCGTGTTCATCATCTTAGACAGGTGCTGGCAAGTTCAAGGGGTACAAGTAGAGATATTGCTGCTTGCCACAGGTCGACTTGGAGCCCATATAACTGGGGGCTTGTGGTTCTCAAGAATTGGAACAAAACACAGTCCTGACAGGTAAACACGAGGTGAGTAGAAATCAAACCTTATCCACACACAATACGGAGTACTGTAGCCGTGATCTTCATGCGGACGGAGTTTAGGTACAGGCCGAATCTAACGGAATAATTAATACATGGCCAAAGTAAGCATCGGCTTTGCTTGACGAAGTGGAAACAAATGTTCGTTTGATGCCTGGAAGCTACCGCCTACAGTACAGTACGTGCAACTCAGGCCATTGGCAGTCTCCCCGTGCTTGGTCGTCTCGCGGCTTGGTTCTATCTTTCCCCGGGGTTCGTGGCCTTCAAGCATGATTGGTGGGCGGTTCATGTGAAGTGCTCAGCCGCCTCGCCTCTGTCCGGGTGTGGTTCACCTCAAACAGCACACCTGGTGAAACCTGGAAATGTACAGTATCTGTTTCGGGCCCCCAAGACACCTCGTATCACTTAAACCGCCACACAAGGAAGCCTCGCCCAGCCCCTGTTGGCGGCGCACGGCGCGAGGCTCAGCCACCGTGTGACCGTCCGGATGCCTCCAAGGCGCCTGACCAGCAAGGGTTATGTGTTTGCCTTTCTGCCTGGATAGTTTGTCCCAACTCTCAACCTCGAGCCTTGACTCGCTCGAGGCGCTGGATATTGTGTGTGATGCTGCAATAAATGCACATTGGGGTGACTACGCGCAATGGCTCAGCAGACGCATTCGAACCTGCCCGGCGGCGACAAGGTCTATGACCTTGACGAGCCCGCCGCATTCACGGCATGCAAAACCGTCCTGCAACAGCCGAAGACCGAGAACTTTGTCGTCGGCTTCAACAGTGCCAAGGCACAATGTGCCGTCGACATCGACCAACAAGAAGCGCTAAACTGGTTATATGGCGAATCCCGCGACGAGAGCCGGACGTTGTGGTTCAACTTTTGGGCCTCTGAGGCGCAGAGACCCATTATCGAGGCCGTGGCCAAGCATTACGACCTGTCGCCTAGGCTTGCGGGATTACTGTGTCCTGCTATGGCCACAGCGAGCGAACAGCAGGGTGGGACTCCCGCGACGGACAGCAACAGCGGTAGCTCGGGATCTGGGTCTGGGTCTGGATCCTCAGGGCCGGAGAAATCGACGGCTGATGTCGAGAAGGGCATTGCGCGTGGACAGACACTGCAGCAACCGCTGAAGCCCAGATATCCGACGGGCCTGGAAGGCATGACGTTCAGCGAAGTCGTCCAGAGGTTGTGGCATTTCTGTTCCGTCGACTTTGGCCGGCGATACATCTACATTGGCTTCAACGCGCTGTACACGCTGCCCCAGGACGATACCACGTCTCCAGATGATGTGGACGATGACGAAGTGACCACAAATAACAACAGAGACGGCAGTGGTCAGGCAACAGCCGCGAGCCACAGTAAACCGGCTGGACAGCGGGTGTGGTCATCCTTACTCATCTGCGATGATGGCACCGTCGTCTCGGTTTTCGAGCGTCCCGCGGGGTCTGACTCAGTCACGCACTTCGAAACACGACGCAACGTGCTCAACGTCTTCCGCCATCTCTCGCGGCAGCACAACCAGGATAACGACAACGCAAAGGACGCACTGTTTCAGGTCCGAGTCCGATGGCTGAACGAGACGCAGGCTGCGACCAACAATAATGCCGCGACGGGCTACGACCGGAAGGAAGCCGCCAGTTTACTCTTCTATTACCTATTCGACGACTGGGTCTCGACCTTCAAGCTCATCGCCCGCGTAGAGCACCCTTACCGCGAGAAGTTGGAGGTGATGAGACAGCAAATGTTCACCGCGGCCAAGGTGTCGCTGGTGCAGCAGGTCCACGACGTGGGCAGGCAGCTGACGGTCCTGAAGCTCATGTATCAGAGCTATGAACTCATTGTCTCGCGCGTTATCCAGAGCCAGCGGTCGTCGGCAAGAGACGTCAAGGTTGGGACTCTGTCGCCACGGGAGACATTGGTGCGTGACCGCGACCTTCGCAGCTCCGGCGACCTAAGCGGACACATGTCTCATTTGCCGCACATGGATGAATTCCTCATGGACGATGACTCGGGGTCGAACGTCAAATTGGGCTCCTCTGCGATCTTCAGATTCGAGCGCCTGTTCGATAGGATCCGGCTGTACGCCTTGACAGAGATCGAAGAATGCATAAAGGAGAAGGAATCGCTCGTGCTTATGGTGAGTTTTTGGACCCCTTATCGATCCCAGCCGACCCTTCCCGACTAATGGCGTGGCAGAACTTCAACCTGGTCGCCCTGAAAGAGTCGCAAGCCGTGGAAAAGCTGACGAGGACAACGATCCTCCTGGCCAAAGCCACGATCCTGTTCCTTCCCGTCAGCCTGATGACGGCGTATTTCTCCATCCAGCTCAAGGAGATTGACGACAAGTATAGCCTGAAGACGTACTGGTTTTGCTTCCTCGTGGTGATGATCCTCTCGATTCTGTTCCTCGTGGTCTTTGGTGGGATCACGCATACCTTGGAGGGCAAGACCGTGTATCGCTCCGTCACCAGGACGCTGGGGAGGATGATTCTGAACGCGGCGGGTAAGCGGAAACGGAAGGCACAATGAGAGCGTGGGTCGCGTCAGCCAGCATCAGTTGCTCTCACCCGCGGCATCAGTTGCTCTCAACCCGCATCACCTGCTCTCACCCACGGCATCATCTCCTTCCTCGAGCTATCCCACTTATAACAACCGCCCTCGCCGACATTATACCGATAATAGTTCTCCGTGCCGGCCGGGACCATCGCTCGCCGGAACGTGATGTTGATCCTTCCCCGGTCCGCCTCGCCACCCTTACGCTTCGGTATGCTATGCAACCAGTTCGCCTGCGTGGGACCGCGCATGAGCACCATATCCCCGCTCCCAAGCGCCAGCTTGATGTCCCTCGTTTCGAGCTTCGCCTCGCCCTCTTTAGGCGGTTTATGCTTCATCAGGAAATCCCTCTTCGCGCCCAGCGTGAATGAAGCGATCGCCGGGTTCTCCCCCAAGAAGCGCTCGTCGTCACTGTGGAACGAAATGCTATCACTTCCCGAGGCGTAATAGTTCACCAAACAGAAGTTGTAGGCGGTGTTGGTGTTCGCCTCCGTTACCCGGCGCAACAGGTCCAAACACTCCGGAATCGGGCGCGGCTTGCAGCGGTACTTATCCCGCCTCACGGTCCTGTTGTCGGGAAATCCGACGATTCGGACGCTGTCGCCGTCGTCGACGAACCGGCTCGTGGCGTCCAGGCCAAACACCGTCGTGAAGCGTGGCGTGTTGATCACCGTCTCCTTGCCGAAGCGCTTGATGGTGTACCGGACGCGGTAGAAGAAGAGCTCCGAGCGCAGAAAATGGAAGACCTCCCTTTCGATGGATTTGGGGATGAAGGGCTGGAAATATAGCAGGTCGAGGTGTGGTTGGTCTTTGATTTCGCGGCCTTGAGCTGTCACCTGGGGTTCGAATTCCCGGGAGATATGCGCTGATAAATGCGGGATTGGCCACGGGTAGGTTGGATGATTCGTAAATTGGGATGGGGATGGGTTTGGGTTTGGATATGGGGTTGATGATACTGGTGGTTGTGATTGTGGTTGTGGTTGTGGTTGTAGTTGTGGTTGCAACGCGGCTTCGAGTCGTGGTTTCTTTGGCGTGGTGGCGAAGAAGCTGTCGAGCGTCCTCTTGGCCATGGTGTTGACGACAGTGCTGGTGCACTCAGAAGCTAGCTACCTCGTCATTCCGTCCCTTCCTTACCAGGGCATATACTCTCGCGTCGTGAACGGACTGTATTAATGGCAGGAAGATACCACGATACCTAGGTATACTATTGCAGGTCTCCCTGTCATGCGTGTGTACTGCGTGCTGGGTACCACAGTACTGTGTAGGTACGACGCACTGAGTCTGGGGTATTTCGATGATCAAGGACGTCATAGACAATGGCGTACGTACACGGGGTGCGAAAGTCAGTTACCCTTCGACGCGTAGGACGCGTTCTTGCGCGCGTTGAAATCGGCAAGTACAAACGCAGTGCCCAGTGCCCATTAATACCGTCCACCGTCATGTTATCCCTGCACATGGCGTTCTTCTTTTGCGTTGCTGCGCCTCGTCGTGTACAGAGTACCTACATGTAGGTACTGCCCGTGTTGTTTCTTTATCGCTGGTCTCGTTCCCGTTGACAGTGACGTAGTGCTCACCGTGAGTGAGAGTCAGCGAGAAACCCGGTGGACTACTCCGCATTCTTGGGTCCCCCATCTCAGCCTCGGCGGGTGCGTTTACCGGCAACAGTACTTTAATCCATCCCGCTCCGCTCGATATAAAGACCTGTAAGTGAACTCGTACTCAGTGCATCTCGCTCGAGGTATAGACGGCTGGTATCACTATACCTCGTCCATGTCGACCCACACCATGACCTGCCAACCAGAGACATACTACCTCACCCCGAACCAGCACTGCCCCAACAACGACTGGCCGGTCCTCATCTATCGAGACTGTCTTCCCCTCCCTCTGTCCGAGGAAAAGACCACTGCGTTTCTAGAATCTCACGCCTGGGAGAAGAAAGGCGTCTGGGGCCATATCGCGTATAGGCATTTCCACCCAAACACACATGAATGCTACGGTAAGACCACGTGGGTGCCACGGCTTGCTCTCAGCCTGGCCAGTGCGGTAGGTAGCCTAGCGGAACTGATGATGACGCGCAGGTGTTTTTCAGGGCGAATCGACTATCCTGGTGGGCTGCGGCACGAATGACACGGGTGGTGGCCAGGAAATCGATGTCCGAGCTGGAGATGTCATTGTTCTACCAGCGGGGACGGGCCATTGCTCGCTTCAGAGTAGTCCAGATTACCGATATATAGGTGTTTATCCTGAGGTGAGACGCCGCATTGTGTCAACTATGGAAATTACTATGCCTTGACGCTGTCGCTGACTGGTTGTGTATAAAGGGTTCCCCGAAGTGGCGTAGCGAACTGGGAAAGGAGGCCGTTGGGAATAAGTATACGGAAGAGATACGGAGCGTCGCGTTGCCGGCGCAGGATCCTGTCAATGGCTCCGAAGGGCCGTTGTTGAGCTTGTGGAAGAGGGGATGATAAACAATAACCAGCTGAGATGACAGTGAGAATCTACGCATACTAGGAATGCGCTGTGCTCCACAGTAGTCTGCTCGATCCGTCATAGCGTCTTGGCATTGAGCCTGACATGATTCGTCTCCAAAATCTGTCTCCTTTTCGTGGCAGGTAAACTCGGCCAACTTCAATCGAAATTGGGCGACCGCGCATGGCAAGCTTCTTGCGTCGACTCTACTCGACAGCTCAATCACCCCTTTCAGATGTGGTAATCAGAAAGATGAATCTCAACTCGGCAGATTTGCCAAAGGTCTTTCTCCCGCCAGTCAACCGGTCGATGCAGGTTCTGGATAAATCCTTCTTTCAAAAGGTTGTGCCCTTGGCTGCAGCATCGATCTCCGACGTCAAACAGATCACCAATGTGCGGAAGGATCTGGATCGCTCCGGGGACATATTGAAGATCAGTCCCATAAGGCACCTGCGAGAAGACGACTCCGCTCCTGGCGCGAAATGTATCTTGCTACGACATGGAATTGAAGCACACAGTGTGTTTGGGCCGCCCGAGCTTGTTAATCAAGTCTGACGGATTTTCAGAACCGGACACGTGGTCGCCCACACTTACCAGACTGGTGAAAGACAACCTCGCTAGAATCCGACCTTACGACCTGACTCTCACCTACGACGACTGGACGATGCGTACGTGAGTCTGCGGACGAAGCACATTTCTCCGACCGTGAACTAACACGCAATGCTAGATAATATCCTTGAAGCGATACTGCCTGAGATTCCGGAAGAGGAAAAAGAAACTCCAGCAGGCTTTGCTCAGGTCGGCCACGTTGGTACGTGCTCCAGAGCCATGCACTTGCGGAGCTTGACTAACACATCTAAGCCCACGTGAATCTGCGAGAACCGTACTTACCTTATAAGCATCTAATCGGGCAAATTCTCGTGGACAAGAATCCCAACATCACCACAGTCATCAATAAGACCTTCGACGTCGGCACAGAGTCTGTCTTTCGAACGTTCCCGTACGAAGTCCTCGCCGGCCCCGATGACTTGGACGTCACAGTGCGCGAATCCGACTGCGAATTCAATTTCAATTTCGGCAAAGTCTACTGGAACTCGAGGCTGGGCACCGAACATGCTCGGGTATTCGAGACTTTCCGCGAAGGCGAAGCCGTCTGCGACGTCATGGCCGGCGTAGGACCGTTTGCCATTCCGGCGGGCAAAAGAAAGGTCTTTGTCAGGGCCAACGATCTCAATCCAGATTCCTACGCCAGCTTGGAGGATGCCATCAAACGCAATAAAGTCGATGCCTTTGTGACGGCTTCGTGCGATGACGGCAGACACTTCATCCGCGCAGCCACCGAAGCATTGGCGAACTCACCGCGAACAGTTAAACTGCCCGCAAAGGTCAAAATATCGAGGAATCAGGGCAAAGAAGACATCCAAGCGCTCAAGAAAGCCGCCGACGATGCCGCCAAAGTCCTACAAGAGCCGACTGTATTCTCCCACTACGTTATGAATCTTCCTGCAAGCGCTATCGAGTTTCTCGACGCATTCAAGGGACTATATCACGGTCGCGAAGCCGAGTTTGAGCCGCACACGTCGCAGAAACTACCCTTGATTCACCTCTATCTGTTTCAGACGAAGCTCGCCGCCGAAGAGGAAGAGCTACTCGAGACCTGCGAGAGGATTACAAAGCATATCGGCTCCGAGGTGGAAATGGATGACCCGGAACTCGACATGGACATTCGCTACGTGAGGCTCGTCGCGCCGAAGAAGAAAATGTTTTGCGCCAGCTTTAGGATTCCAAGAAGCGTGGCCTTTGCCCGACCTTGAGGGATTCACCAATCGTCGTCAATCCAGGTCTATTGGACAGTGCCCGAAAATATCCATTTCCAACTCAACTCAACCACCCGTCACCATGATCTCGAGAGCTAAACCCACGCTTCAGCCAGACCGGTCATTATTGATATTTGCTTCCCCATTAGACTCGTCGGATCCGAATTCGACTCCGACTTCGACTTCGACTCGGACTCCCATACCGATTTCGAGTTCCCCTCCGACTCCGGCTTCGGCTCATCCGCCTGCCCGCCGATGTGTCAAGTAAATCCCTGGCCCCCCGGATCGCCAGCGCCGTCACCGACGCGGCAAGGACGCCTTCAATAAAGCCATCGTCATTCTTCCTTCGCCGTACGAGATAATGAGCTCGACTCGATGGCCCACCCGTACGTGTGCGGCTCCGCCTCCGACTCTGGCTACGACTTCGCCCACCTCGCTCTCGACCATGCGCCTGAATCCTCGGCCGAGGCGACCGTGGCGGCGGTGACAACGTCCGCACACCCCTGCCGTGACCACGACCCTCGCTTCCCGAAGTGGTGGAACTCTCCCGGTCTTCCCACACCCCTCTAATCGGTGATCGAGCGGGCACTAGTGTTTCGGCACGGATCGATCCTTCTTGAAGGAAGCGGGTTGTCGACCTTGACCTCGATCGCGGTCGTGGTCTTGAGTTTGAACTTGTGCGACTTCTCTCATAGGACGTCCGTCGATGGGGATTTCCTTCGTAGTATGGATGAGGGAATCGCGACGGCCTGAAGATTGATGTGGGTGTGGCAGACGGGCGGCGCGCCATTATTGCCGGCGGAGAGGGTGATCTAGCACGAGGGCCGATTAAGGATGGTGGAGATGGAGAGGGTGATCTGGGCCTGCGAGTTCGGATGACGCGTTCTTCTTCGATACGTCGCCGGCCGTTGGCGAAGTGGGTTGTCCTGGTGGTGGTGGTGGTGATGTATGTTGTTTGCTGTGGCCGCGTTAGTAGGGACGTGTATGTCACGGGCAGGGTGGAATGAAGGGCACTCACGCGTGTTCTGCGGGTAGGCATGGTCAATAGTCAAAATCTGTGGATTGGCTGAGGGGTGATCGGTGGTAGGTCGGTACCAGAGCAGAAGTATGTTGTGTTTGTATAAAAATATGAGAGACGGAATTGGAGGCACCGGACGAGGTTAAATACTGCTGCTACTGGGTTAGCATCATTCCACTGCCTTTTCTGTCACGAGTGAATACTGGAAGTGATTGGAGTGTTAGTGCGTTGGAAGGCAGTACTTGCGGTGACAACTCGTGGTGAGCTAGCTGTTCTACATTCAACTGAGCTTCGACAGGCAAAGTTGTGACATAAAAGCGAAAGAACAGCAGCATCACCGGGAGAAAACAATTCCCGCCGCTGAAGTAGGTAAACGGGGAGTAGAAAACAAAGACAGTGCTGTTGCGTCTTGTGATGAGTATCTCCCGACATGTATTCTGCAACCGACCGGCCTGAGAGTACGTTCTTGTTCTTCTAGCCAAGCTGAGGGCTGATGGCAACAGATCTCGTTCCATTCACGTCCTCATTTCATAGCATCGCAGCCCTCAGATCAACTCCGTCGCTTGAGACAGCACAAGCAACGTTTGATACAATTCGTGAACGTGCTCGCCGACAGCGTGAAGACTGCTGGCACGTTCCACGCCGATGCCGACTTCTTGGCTGTGACTTGACGACTCGGTATAGTATACAGCAGTGGCATCCGCTCGGTGTCTTGGGAGCTTGACAAGGACGCCGGCGAACATGGATCTGATTCCGGCCTGGAGATCTGTCCTGGTGGCTCGGCTGTTTCGCGCCATCCAGTATCGATTGATGACAGCGAGGTGAACGTGGGAGCAGAAGAAGTAAGAGAGCACGATCGGCGTCTCATAGTCTCTGTGCGGTGGTTTACCGTTGTGTGCCACGAATCGAGTCCAGTCTCTCCCGAGAGGAATATAGGAGCATTCGAGGAAGGAGGCTTGGCCGGCTCATTGTACCCCGGGTGGATCGTGGGCAGCGAACACCAGGCAGAGCCAGAGTGGTCAGAGGATATAGAGGATCGTGACCTCTTGCTCGCTGAGGGCACTGGGTAGACAGGGTCTTGTAGGAGGGATGTCGCGACTGCGGGCTGGGAGGACTGGCTGATTGACTCGGGCTCTATAGCAGGAGTGCTCTCTGATGTTGGTTGCGATTCTGCATGTTGTGGACGGAACCGTTTCCAGAGAAGGAGCCTGTGGAGGCCCAGTCGTTCCCCGAGGCCCATCAGAGCCCGTGTGGCTGAAGTCAGATCCGTCGTCTGTATCATCTTGCCAACGTGGCCGCAGATTTAGGATATACAGGTGTGGGTGGGCTGTTGGGATTCGGGGTGGTGGAAGCAGGGAGGTGAAAATTTGTGAGAGAATATGTAGGAAGAGGAAGTGATACAAGCAGCAGGCCTTTAAGTTGAGCTGGAGATCCGGTTGTAATTGCTTCATTCTGAGTAAGGGTGCTTTGTTTATCACCTCTGTTCATGCCGACCAACGCACCTGTCATCAAATGACGGGGATAGCGAGTGGTAAACATGGCCGTTTGACCGCTGGCTCACTTCTCGCGCTGAGTCTTCATTTAAGGACAGGCTGGTGAGATGGGCTCTTCGCGCATAAGGTCCTTCTTCACTCCTTTGTCGCCATCGACAATCATGCAGCTCGCTGTTTGACGGCCACCTTGACGTGGATTGCTTCGACGACCAACAAGCAGGGAGGTATGAAGACGCTGACCATCTTCAAGGCGTCGTCAGCACGGGGAGAAACTTGTCCTCCGGGTGTTTCTGTCCCTGGCGCGGCATTACTGTTTGCACGCGCTCATTTCCCAGACGTCATTGTGCGGCTTTCCGCCCAATTTGTCTTGTTGTGAAGCAGCCATGTGGACTATGGCCAGCGTCATCCAACAAGACTCGCCTGGGAATATTCCAATCCCAAAAGAAATGATGCGTAAAGTGTTATCCACTCATAGCGCTGCCTGTCTCTTCAACCGCTGCAACTCCCGACAAATGCCCTCGATTTCCTCCTCCCCAACGATGCCATCCTCTACCTTCTTCTCCAGGCTGGGAATCAGTGCCTTCGCCTCGTCCGCGCATGTCGGGACCAGACTGCCCAACTGAGACTTCTCAAACCTCTCCAGACTCGGGGCGTACCCGTTGATAATGCCTTCGACCTCTTGCGCCTCGGCGAGGTTCTTGAATACCGCGAAGATCTCCAGGTAGTCTTTTGTTTTCTCGAGATTCTCGGTGGGGTTGACGACCGTGTTGTTCTTTTGGCGGGTATCGAGGGTCTTGAGCAGAACAATACGTGCTTCGGAGAGGTTGAGCGTGACTTCGTTCGCGAATTCGCCAAGTTTGAGGACCGCGCCGGCTTCGAGGTCGGACGTAGCGGTAGGAGCCACCCGTGAGGGCGCTGCGTGAGGCATATTGGGCCTCTTTTCACGGCTGGCCGGAAGTCAGGATCTTGAGATGCGGGTTTGGACAAGATGGGTAGAGCCGAGGCATTGGTTAAGGATTGCTAAAGTGAACGTGAAGACATCTTGAACGGCAGTCGAAAGATGCGCGGTTCGCAGACTTGGGCGGAAGAAAGATAATCCGTCCACAACTTGGGACCCCGATGTTGATTGCACAGACGAAATATAGAGATACTCGAGTTACTGTACAAAGTCTCGCCAGTAGAAAAGCAACGTCCCTATGAGTCCCACACCGTGAACTTGACACCTTGCGACAAGTCATTGTCATATTATCACTGTGTCTCATTAACACCATCTTGGCCGTCAAGAGGCCAGAGCAGAAATTGTTGGGAGAGGCCTGGTACACAGTAGAGAGGCGTGAGAGGGCGTCTATGATTCCACCTGGTTGTGCGCTATCACGTGGCTCTTGAGGCTGCTAGCCGTTAAGAGCTTTATCAGATGCTCAACAACCTACCCAGAGTTGCTCTTTGGTTGGGACTTGTTCCGTACAATTCGTCAGCTTTGCAACAACCCTCCGCCCACTGCACAGTGTCGAATCACGGCGCCAGTATCGCGATTGTGGGCTTGAATCAACTGCCGGGTCGCTGTTGCCTTTGCAATCACGCGAACGTCTAAATCTGCGTTGCTAACCTACCTAGGTACGGAGTACTAAGTACAAAATAGACCCCTCACCTACCACAGTAGACCTCACACGCACTCCCAAACTGGGGTGATCCCGCCGGTGCTCTAGCCCAGAAGTACTGTGCCATGCACCTGTTAGCCTTGCAGGCACCCAGCAAGCCTTCCAAGATGTTGCTGATATCCCCAAAGTCTGGAGCCTTGAGGTTCGATTCCTTTAGGACAGTTCTCTCAGTGGAGAAAGTACTCCGTACTCCGTATTCCGTACGTCGTAGCGGAGGGTGTGCACGGGCACCATGGGTGTGATAAAGGGCTTTCTCGGCGGGTGGAAGATTCCCCGGTCGTGTCTGACACACCAGAGGAGGATGATAGCGGGCAAAGTCATGAGGTTGTGAGGTCAGACAGAATCACTTTCCATGCAGTCAGCCTTGCCAACCCCTGGCGGCTCGTCAGCCACTGGGGGCTGCAGAAGTCTCCGACACGTTGCAGCTGGACCCTGGTCTTCAGCGCGTCCAGGGACAAACAGCTCTGACCTCCCCCCGAGGTACGTATCCAACAACCTCGTCCCTTGACGATTCTACCTCGTACAGTTTTCAGTCCACAGTACCGAGCACGCAGCCAGCTCAGCGATCTTCAAAAAGCGCGGAATAACCACACAACAGGAAAAGAGTTAGGCTCTCCATGCTACTGCTCGCTTGCCCTCTAGGGGTGTGTTGCAAGGGTCAGTAACTAGCCAAATCTCCCTTTGGTCCGGCCTCACACCCATGCACTTCAACAGCTTCTACAGTACACGTTTTGTCGGCGAACCCGGGTTTCTTTGCGAAGGAAAGGCGGCTTCAACCACTGCCGGCGAAAGTATTAGAGCCTTGCATACATTGGGCTCGTTGAGCCTAGCAGCGCGTTTTCCGTACGGCGTCTCCGGGTGAATTACAGTGTACCAACGCTGCGTAGGCCTGCCAATGTTCTTGCGTACCCTTCGTCACACATATCCACACACCCAAGAGGCCATTGGGGCCTCAGATGCTATCCAATGGCGGCAGGACCAAGCACGAGCGAACGTGATTTGGTGAATTGCTTCATGAGGCCGGAATTGTGGCGCCGACACAGCCACGATGCGGCTCTCCAAAGGTCTTGAGGGGCACGAGGGGTTCGACTTTGACACACCAACAGTCTCTCCCCCGGGACACCCAGCGCTAATTTCCCCTGGAATGGACTTGCTACGCTTCACCGTGCCGTCGCCGTTGGCCCCTCTGATGCCCGCAGAAGATATCACTCCGTCCTCGGTCTTGCGCGGCATCCGTTGGGTGCTGCCCGGCTGTGCTGGCTGACATAATTTGACGCCACATCTCTGCGACCGCTATCGTGACCCGCCATCCAACCCTGTTTTCACGCAGGCAAACGAAACAGCATGGGGGCTAGAAGAAAGGCAGCCCCCATGGGAACACGCAGGTAGGGAGACGTGACTGATTACACCACGGGGCGTGCCGTACTCCTTCAGAACCCGTGCGAAGTTCCAAGAACCTCGGAGCAGGTCGACTTGGGACAATGGACAAAACCCGCCAGGCCAAATCACCAGGCTGCCTTATTTCGCCATGCGAACCAGTGTGGAAATTCGCCCAAAATGCGGTCATGCCCATGAGCAGCCAACCTCAATCATGATCTCGCACCGGTGCGTTGGGCCAAAAGGATCTTATCCCTTGCATTGAATACCAAAATCCCCAATCAGCGATCTCAATCTTCGTCCAGCCCGACCGGCACAGGATCCATTCCATTATCTCGGTGAACCTAGTTGCGTCTATACCGTCTTTGACGAATCAGCTGGTCGACACCATAGCCTTGAGGAACGGAACCGGAATATACTTGTGGCAAGCGATTTTGTTTGCACCAGATCACCATGATCATGAGCGTGGTTCAAGGCCATGTCTCCTGACAGTCGTGGTCAAAAGTGTTTATAACCCGACCCTCCCTCAAGATGTCGATGATCTTCAGCCAAGAAGGATTCTAGGCATCTATCGAAAATCAACAGTCAAGGCACGAAGTCAACCAGAGAACTTATTGCTCGTCCGAAATACTCTCCTGCCCCTCCTCATCCCTGAGTCATCGCCATTGGCATCCTCCCGCCACAAGACCATCTATATCTCTTCTGGCAGTGTGTAGAGAACGAAGGATCGATCTGTCATCATCGGTGACACACTTGACCAACCATCTGTCGGCCATTGAATGTCCGATCGGCGCCGCAGAAGCCACGAATACTATTCAGAGGATCCCGTCATCATCGAACGAGAACCACAGGTGCGTACATACCGCATCATCCGAACGAAATCACCGGAGAGGGAGCGACTGACCGTTGGATCAAAGCTCTACAACCTCTTCCGAAGCCGTAGGAAGAGAGTGCAAATCATCGAAGAAGTACCTGTGCGAAGCCGCCGTCAGGAGCGTCGAAGCCTCACTCCTCCGTCCTCGCCTCGAGGACCATACCACACGATGGCGGCAGACCCGGAAGACGATATCTACACGCCGTTACCTCCCAAGTTACCACCAAAGAACAAACGCGATCAGGATGAACCAAAACGTTACGTCCTGGAGGAGAGGTCTCCTCCACGGTACCGCAAAGTCAGAGTGGTCCACGACCACCTCGATGATGATGACGCTCATCCAAAGGTCGAAAGCTCCTCGCCGCCTCGTAGCAAGCGTGACAGCGGCAAGTACGACATGAGTGGAGCCCGGTTTGACGATGAGCATGAGCGGCGTGCCAAAGAATACGAACGTCGGCGTCCAGTATCGGACCCTGAGGTCCAAAGGCTACGTGAGGACCTTGAGCGACTCAAGCTCGAGCGTCGCCATGCCGAGCTTGCTGCGCTGGCCGCCAAAGACAAGGCTGAGCGACTTCAAGCCGACCTCGAGTACGAAAAGCGGCAAAGGTCTCTGGAGAAGCGTGAGAGAGACATTGCCAAGCGAGAAGACTGGCTAAACCGACAGCGGGACCAACTCATGGAGGCCCGACCACCACGTGAACGACAAGAGGTTGTCGTTGTCCACAACCCTCCTGCTGGGGCACAAGCCCGTGATCCCACCCGATCTGCTTTAGACAGAGCTAGGGATGACTACCAGCGCGGACAGCAGGCCGGGGATGCTCGACGAGCTGCCACAGGAGACCGCCAGGCCCGTCGGGAGAGAATCGTCATCGTGGACGACGACGAGCAAGACCGCGCTCCGGGACATCGACGCCGATAGGCCCCAACGGGACGAGTGGGTTTCGTTGGCGGACTTGGGGCTACATCACACCAAGGCATGATAAACAGGGTTGCTGCAAAGCAGGGAAAAGGTTGGGGGCGTTGAATGGCGGACGTGGGCTCATCGAGGGGGTACATATACCTTTCATGGCCAACGGAGGCTTCTCCTTCAGCAACACTTTGTGCCATCTACGATTCCAAATCTGGTCACTCTTTTGTCCAGCTCCAGGCACAGGGGCCTATATGTTTTGGTGGCGTCCAGAAGGAATCGGCGAGCAAGGCACTTGGAGGCTTGTCGGCGGAAGGTACATTGGACATGAACACGACTCTCTCTTGTCAACACGTATATAGATCAATGGATATGACAGGAACCATTTCACATCATGGCATCAGCCTCAGCCTCGTGGCATCTTCCCATGCTTGACTTGTCGATCCTTCAAAGATTTCATGCAGCAAAGATTCGACGATCGGGTCGCGGTGGATCTTCATGTTCGGTCGGTGGAACGCGGTGGGCCAGTCGGTTGTTTAGGCAGGATCGAGAGGCTAGAGAGGCCTAGACGCCGCCCCGGGGGGCCTATCACCACCGCCAACACGTTTTAAGGGCCCAGACCAGCTGCCCAAAACCATAGCTTGCTGCACCGATTGCACGCAGCGGCTGCTTATTGCGCAAAAGCTAAGAACACGCAATCACCCGCAGTCATTCCCTGTGCGTCGCAAACCAAACCAACCGGATCATGGCCCAACGAGCTAGATGAGCCCACAAGTTTGGATCCTCGGGCTTTTGTGAGAACCCGCGTGACTCATCGACCTTTTCTAGAACTGAAGATTACATTAACGTGCAATGAAAGAGCCGCTCATCATGAGCGTCATCTGATTAGGACTGTAACTGCTGTGGCTCCTGCTTGGTTGGACTTGGTAAATTCCTCAAGGCCGTAGCGCTTGAACCGTTTGTTTCTTTCTGTCGTCGGGCGCCGTCCAACAGGGTTTCCTGCATCATCGATGCTGTCATTGCAACTGTGATGCGGACTGTGCCCTCGCCTGTCCAAGCCTGATCGTTCCATTGGGAGTTGGCAATGCTCCCGTCTCCCGCAGCTCCGCGCCTTATTCATCCTGGTCTCGAGCCGTGTATTGCACGGAGCTCAAAGTCAAAGCTGCGCTCAGCCCACCAGTTGCCCAATTGATCCTGGTTACGACCACAGGTCTCTGCCCAACATCCTCCTCTCCCCGCAGGACTGCTATCTGTCTATTCTGACCTTCGAGAGGCCTGCCGCCGTCTTTGAGACACGATTCATTCCGCCTCAATCAGGCAGGGGTGGTTGCGCTCGACGAGTCCCATTTGACGATCCTGCAAGGCTGTCCGAGGCCCCGAGAGGAGCACAGTATCCAACCCAGCCCTCGATAGGAGCTCGACCATGACAACTTGCCGCCCGTATCAGACAACAGTAGCGAGACGCGTCTCTCCGCCTACGCTCGAAGTCGGCTGATCGGGACGAATACTACGCAACGCACAGGATGGCGAACAGAGAACCACAAGAGCAGGCCACAGACACAACCTCGTCACCCAAGTTACCTGCCCCTCCGGACCCGGAGAACGACAAAGGAATCATTCCCCCTATCAAGAGTCCGCTGCTAGAAGGGTTGGATGATATCACACCCGAGAACGTGGACATCTTCAACCTCGAGGCTGTCTCTGCCCTGAAGCTATTGTGCCGCAGCATCGACACGCTAGTTCAACTGACGGGCGATGTGCCTCCCACGCCCCCAGCACGCAGCCGAGGTGGATCACCGGCCCGCAGCCTCTCAAGACTGCGTGATTCCATGACAGCAGACGCCTATGCTCTGACCACCCCCAAGAAAGAGAATCTTGGATTACAGCCGCCTCGCCACGAGCACATCGACGGCGTGCCTTTTGTGAAGACGCCGATAGGGTCGCCGGAAGCGCATGAGCACGAACCCACGTCGGCAGCCAACATCGTCGGGGCGGGCGCCCAGCCTCTGTACGTTCAGCACGGCGCTCTGGCCCGAAAATTCTACTCGAAACGACCTCCCCCAATCTCTACCGAGGACTACCTTATGCGCATGCACAAGTACTGTCCTATGTCCACGGCGGTGTACTTGGCCTCTTCCCTCTACATTACACGTCTGGCCATACAGGAGAGGATCTTGCCCGTGACACCACGCAACGTGCATCGCCTGCTCTTGGCCTGTCTGCGAGTCGCCATGAAAGCGCTCGAGGACCTGTCATGGCCGCATGCCCGCTTTAGCAAAGTCGGTGGCGTGTCAGAGGGTGAATTGGGCCGACTGGAGATCACCTTCTGCTACCTCATGGACTTCAGTTTGAAGGTCGACTCGGCCATGTTGCAAGCCGAGGCCGAAAGCCTGTGTCGCCAGAATCGCTACGATTCTGTGATTTTCGATTCTCCGATCAGTCGCTTGGATCTACTTCTGCCGGAAGACGCGGGTGACAGGAGGTCCAGGGGTGCTGAGAAGCGAAAGGCCAGCAGCACTTTGCCCAACCGGCCCGTGGTTCAAGTCAGTGGTGGCATCGAGGTGATGGGGCAGTCATGAGGTAGTGTCTGGAGGGTTATGCAGGGTCGAAACTGTACGATTTTATGAGGAGATTCACGAGGCAACTTGGGATGGATTTGGACAGGATAGGAACTCCCGCGGTGCAGGAGTGCGCAATAGCAACGGCGTCAAACTAGGGTGGACAGCTTGACGAGCACGCTGGAAACTGAACTGCGCCTGATGCCCCAAGTACTCCAGTGCAAGAACTTGCAACCCCAATCTTTTCCAGCAAGACGAATTCCAGATGAACTCAGTCGTAATTACCGTGTAAACTGTGGCCACCGGTCACTCTGCGTCTCGATCTTAGCTGCTCATGTTGTTCCACAGCAATAGGAGTACTGCGGATCTCACGAGCCCATCACACGTCGCGCACGAGTGGATCAGCATTCTTTCATGCCGAGGCGCTGCAGAAGTCTGTGCAGCATCAGACCGGCAGCAGAGAGCACGACGGCTGGGTCAACCACGTTGGAGATCCAGCTTCGCGGCTCGCGGTATCGGCAAACAATAGGACGTGATTGACGAGAGAAAAAGCCCGCTGACATCCAAGGGATGAGGTAAACGCGACAGAGGCCACCGAATGTGTATTGTCTCGACTATGTACTGATCCGTCCTGTTGCTTGGCTTGGCGGTCGCACCTTGTCGGCACAATGGGAAAACGGTCAGCCGGCGATCATTCGAGCCACTTTCGCAATTGCCGATCTGCCTCGGACGTGAATCAAGACTGACGAAGAGCCCCGAAAAGTCTTGATCGGCAACAAGAAACCACAAGACTTTGCGGTCCGGGTCCTTTCAAGCGTTTCCGCAGCCGACAACGTATCATCTCATCCCGGCAGTCCTCGACCCTGATGAGTTTTAGAGCCGGCTTTTGGATCTGGTGCAAGCGATGCTACCTCACCACAAACCTGTGGAGTAGAGCTCGTCGGCGATTGCTCGCACCACTCTTGCCTCCACCAATGGCTACATGTGCCTATGGGAACACAATGCGGAATCACCATCTCGCGGCCTGTCACGTCTTATTGGATTGACGCAGCCGCAGATGTCGAAAATTGTGACGGTGGAGCTGGCGCTGCAAGCTCGGTCATGGCTACCCGCGTGACTGTCAACCTTTCTCGAATTAATGTCTATCTAGGTAACATACTGTTCCCACCCCCTCTCTTTCTTCGAATGTACGTACACAGTAATCCTTGCATCTGCTCAAGGGCCGCCATCGGGCAGTCGTGATTACCCCGGACTGGATCGGCATTCCTATCTCGTGGGACCCCCGCAGACTAAACTAAAGCCGTGGAGGAATATAAACGAGGAGCTGGCCGGACGATTGGCGGGGTGATCGCATCTTCTTACTTGGAGCTCATCTGTCCGTTTAGAGCTTCGATACCCATCGCTAGAAGCTGAACACGGAGGGAAAGGCGTGGGTGTCCAGCTACAACTCCTTCGCGATCGTCACCACACGACCACACAGGATATTTAGCTAGACTGAAGACCTCGATCCGTCCGTCAGGCTCCGGCCAGCACTCGCAGCCATGTCTGAAAAGGCGCTCGAGGAGAATGTCGGGTCACCTGAAATTTCCGGACTTGCACCCGAGCACCATGACAATATGAACCGGCGGAAGAGTCTCGACAATGTCATCGTCAACGCGCAAAGAGCGACCGAGAAAGAACACAGGATGAGCCTGTGGCAGGGCATCAAGCTTTATCCCAAGGCCGTCGGCTGGAGTATCCTCATCTCGACGTGCATCTGTATGGAAGGTTATGATGTGTGCTTGTTGAGCAATTTCTGTGAGTGCCCCTTCGTGAGACTTTCGATACAACCAAGCACTTGCATATGTGCCCCTTCGCGCGACTTCTGATACTGACGGGCACTCACGTACTGACTTCTCTCCCAGACGCATTCCCCCAATTCCGCAGAAAGTACGGCGAGCAACTCTCCGATGGCAGCTACCAGATCCCGGCACCCTGGCAAGCAGGTCTCAGCAACGGCGCCAACGTCGGCGAAATCATCGGTCTCTTCATCAACGGGATTGTCTCGGAACGCTTTGGCTACCGCTACACCGTCATGGTCTGTCTTACCTTGATCATCATCTTCACGGCCGTGTTTTTCACCGCCCAGAATGTGGAAACCTTGCAGGTGGCCGAGATTCTGTGCGGTATTCCCTGGGGAGTCTTCCAGACCCTGACCATCACGTACGCGTCGGAAGTCTGTCCTGTTGCCCTGCGCGGCTATCTCACCACATATGTGAACTTCTGCTGGGGCCTCGGCCAGGTCGTGGGCATCGGCGTCATCAAGTCGATGCTCCCGCGGGACGACCAGTGGTCGTATCGCATCCCGTACGCGCTTCAATGGATGTGGCCCGTCCCACTCTTGGTCGGGATCTTCCTCGCACCGGAATCGCCGTGGTGGCTCGTGCGCAAGGGCCGGATCCAGGATGCGAAGAAGGCGCTCCTGCGCTTGACGTCGCTGAACCGCGAGACCGACTTTGACGCCGACGAGACGATCGCCATGATGGTGCACACGACGGCCCTGGAAGAGAAGATCACCCGCGGCGCCACCTACTGGGACTGTTTCAAGGGGTCTGACCTGCGGAGGACCGAGATCGTGTGCATGGTCTGGGCGATCCAGAACCTATCCGGCAACTCCTTCTCCGGCTACTCGACGTACTTCCTCGAGCAGGCCGGTCTGGCGACCAGCAAGTCCTACGACTTCGCGCTCGGCCAGTACGGCATCAACATGGGCGGCGTGTTCGGCGCGTGGTTTCTCATGACGCTCGGCGTGGGCCGGCGGGCACTGTATCTGTACGGCCTGTGCGGCCTGTGCACCATGCTTTTCATCATGGGCTTTCTGGGCCTGGTGCCGGACTCGCACCGCGACGCCGCCGCGTTGGCCACGGGCTCCATCATGCTCGTGTGGGCGCTGTGCTACCAACTCACCGTCGGCACCGTGTGCTACTCGCTCGTGGCCGAGCTGTCGACCCGCCGGCTGCAGATCAAGACGGTCGTGCTGGGCCGCAACCTGTACAACATCGTCGGCATCATCTGCTCGGTGCTGACGCCCTACATGCTCAACCCGGGCGAGTGGGACTGGGGCAACTACGCGGGCTTCTTCTGGGCGGCCATCTGCTTCTGCTGCATCATCTACACGTATTTCCGGGTCCCCGAGCCCGCGGGCCGCAGTTTCGCCGAGCTGGACCTGCTGTTCGAGCGGGGCGTGAGTGCGCGCAAGTTTGCGAGTACCAAAGTAGACGTCTTTGACGCCACGGTCGTGCATGAGACGGTCGAGGGGACCGGCACGTTGAAGAACTACGAGGAGAAGAGAGGGAGTGTGTTGCATGCGCGGTCTGGAGAGGAGGATATGCCGCCGAGGCAGCTGATTTGAACTACTGTACACTGCCTGAGCGAGTCTTTTCTTATAGTCGGTCGATATGTGACCTGGGTTGCAGTGGACACTACCGGACACAACTGGGCTGGGCTGCTGGGCTAAAAGTAATCAACGGTCCGACCCCTGTCAGGAAGCAGGATGTTCCGACCTTACGTGAAGTTTGAACTGGACTTGCGTTGACCTGAAGATCAATGGACGGCTTCAACTCGATGTTCCGGCTTTAGATGAACCGGACTGCACTGAACTCAAAGTCATTGAACTCGAGTCCCCCAAAGTAAATGACGAATGCAGACGCCCCGTGGATCTGGTGTTCTGACCCTAAACGAACTGAACTGGACTGTACAAGTCGCGGACTCTATGGCGCTGAAGTCAAGCACCCAAAAATGAACGGGTCAAAGCCTGTTTATCAGTCGGACCTCGAATGGGACCGGCCTGGACTGGACCAGACCGAAGGCCCGAAGTAAATTATTGATTTAAGTAAACACAAACACACACTTGGCCGCGATCTGAAGTCAGAAATCAACAAAGGGCACCTCATGGTAGAAAAGTCCGATTCCCGTGCGTCCAAACTGAACCCAAGTGGACTGAACTGAAGTGACCTCAAACGCAGTCAAAAGGACGGGCGAAGCGGTTGAACTGTTACAGTAAGTACTCAGTCGACCTGGATTGAAAATATACTGAATTGAATTGAAATGAATGGAAGTACTGTACAAGTAGAACGAACTCAACCCAAACTCAAGTCAATGAAGTAATGTAAGCGAATGGGAGGCTAATTGGTTCCAGTGAATCTGAACCACGCCGGTGATCAATCTGAGATTGTACTTACACGTAGAGGGCAAGGCACACTGCACAGCGATCTAGGAGTCTCTGTCTCTGTAAAGCGAAGCGAAGCGGTTCCTCCGATTGGTAATTATGGTTGGCTACAGTATGCGAGGCCCGCAGCATATAACCAATGATACCAATACTACCAATGATACCAATGATACCAATGATACCAATGATACCAATGATACCAATACTACCAATGATACCAATGATACCAAACTAACGTCAACACGACGATGTACCGTGCATGTACTATCCTGTGCTGGCCGACTGGCGACAGTAGCTAGGATATTGTACAGCTGAGACTCACAAAGACTCACAACCAGACACGGACTTTGGTAAGTAGAACCGGACTCGGACTAAGACTCGGATTCGGACCAGAACTGGATTCAGTCTCGGATTCAGACTCATGGTCCGGACTCGGACTAAGACCCGGACTAGACCCAGTTCAGGCTCAGCTCCAGACCTACTATGTAGATCTGCTTCCTCGAATGATCTGAAAACACTTCAGTAGCGCCTCCCACCACTCCCATAACCAGGACCGTCGTTGTCATTGTTAGAGTTGCTGTGCAGTGTGCACTGGTTTTCTTCGTACGCCTACGAGTAGCTGCTCGCCCCCAGGTACGGCCGGAGGAGTCTGGCCGAGGAACCCACCATCCACATGTCCACCATTGCGACCAAATCCATATCCATACTGATAGCCATAGCCATAGCCATGCCCGTAGTCGTAGTCGTAACGCGGGCCGGTTATCCCGGGTGACGGCGTCGGCGTCGGTAGCGCTGGTTGTATATTTGGCGAAGGAGACTTATAACTCTCGGATCCCAGTCCTGGTCCTGCTGGCGGTCGTCCTTCAGATCCCCGTCCCTGTCCTTGTCCCAGATCATAGACGGCCTCTTGGTCTTGCTCCTGCTCCTGAGAAGGGACCCGACCGTACATACAATGACCCCCTGCGCCAGTAATTGGCGCTGGGCCGTTCGATGTCCTGTAAGGCGGCTGCACCCTGTTGGGAGGGCGCTGACTGTGACTGTGACTCCTGTCTTCTTCCTCTTCGTCTTCTCCAGCACCTCCACTTCCAGCCTTTGTGTCGTACATACGGGACCCCTCGTCACACTCAGATTCAGGCCGTCCCATCTTGATAATCAGCTCATGAGGCCTTTCGCCACGCTCGATCCAGCACCACGTTTCTTTCAACTGGTCGTCTAGATGCTGCTTTTTCTTCTTCTTCCGCTTCTCCTTGTTGCCGTTCTTCTCCTTCTTGACGTCCTTCTTCTCCTTGCTCTTGGGCAACTCCCGGCTCAGCCGTCCGTCAAAGTCATCTTGCCGGTGGTACCTCTCGATGATTTCCGCAATGTTACTTCTCCGCAGCAGACTTGCCGCGCCGAGAAGCCCCACGGGTTCCTCCGCCAGAATGCTCGGGTGGAAGCGCAGGTAGAAGAGGAGGTAAGCCGTCGAAGCGCCCAGGATGGCGAGGGTGACGAGCATGGCGATCGCGACGGGCGGGACGACGTGTAACCGGTTCTGAGGCACGGCTAACGTCCCCGTGACGGCGAGTGGCGGGGCCAGTTCCGGGTAGAAGTACGTCAGGGCCAGTATCGTGTAGATGGCCGGGTAGATCCGGTTGACGGCGTTGATAAGAGTGTCGGCAGTATACGGCTGGCCGAGGGCCTCGATGCGCCGCACGACGAGCTCGGCAAGTCGCAATGGAGCGTTCGTGTTGCCCGCGCTGGTGGTCGCGGGGTTGAATGTCTGCACGGTCATGACGCCCTGCTCGAACTGTTGGGCCGGGATACCTAGGTCGTGGACGTCGTAGGCCGAGGCGTCGAACCTGGGCGTTTCGACCACACGGTCGGAGAAAGTGCTGTTGGTGGTCACGACGGTGAGGATACCCGGTGCGGACCAGTAGGTTGGGATGCACGAGACGAGGATGGAACTCGTGAGATCACCGGTGGCAGAGACGGCGCCGTAGAAGAACCCGATACGGGAGTTGCCGGCGCCGTCGGGGCATTTACTCGTCAATATGGCCTCGAGAAAGTCGCTCCCGTCGGTCTGCGCTGGGATGCTGCCTTCGATGTCGCACCCTCGGTCTCTGGTGGAGAAGCTGACGGTAACGAAGTTGTCGGTCTCGTCCACGACGTTGGGGTTCGCCGATGATATTGGCACCTCTGCGCAGTCCATGGTCAGGCGGGACGCGTTCGTCGGCGCAGAGATGGTGAAGTTGATCGCGGGTTCCGTCGGCTCGATCCGACTAAAGGCGAAATCTCCATCAGTGCCGCGCGGTAAAGGCGATTCGTTGATCCACGAGGCCGACACGGCGTCCATGAGTGCGCCATAATCGACGGTCCCGAGAGGTGCGCTGGTGTCAAAGGCGGACAAGACGTTGATCGCGGCCTCCTTGGGGAGAAGCTCCTCGCGGGCTGCGAACAGACGCGCCGTCAGGGGCACAAGGCCCAGGGCCTCGACAAACGACAGCACGAGGCAGATGCTCAGGAAGTAGTGCTTGTTCTTCCATGCCTTCCCGCAGGCCACGATCGCGAAATAGGACCGATAGTCAAGATAGACCGACTTGCGGGCCTTGACGGGGCGGTCGCGGCTGGTGCGGGCCAGCTCAATGTACGGCGTCTCCACGACCAGCGCTGCGACCACGGCGTCGCGAAACAACTTGTACAGGCCGATAATGAGGACAGGGAATGTCGTCCACAGCAGGCCCTGACCCCATCTCAGGGCACCCGGGAAGCTGGAGAAATCCAACGACCGTTCTTCGAAGCCGACGTCGACGAATCCCGTGCGCTGTCTCGACAAGGCAAACAGGGTGCCGATAGCAACGATCAAGGCCACCTCTGCGAGCAAAAGGAGTGGCACACACCAAAGTCGCAGGGTGATGGATCGCCATCTCTTTCTTTTGTCGGGGCTGGGAAGCTCAGGAGCGTCGCGGAACCGCATTGCCAAGGCGGCTTCGCTTACAGTAACGAAGGTTGACAATCTGTCAATTCTGTCGACATTTCACTTCATCGAGGAAGAAAGCTCAGTGCAGGGCTGGGCTCGAGAAGTCAAGGAGTCACCATGCGCGATTATATGCACATCCTCGTGCCAGACTATTGGGGCTGTTCGTGTTCTCGTCGCGATGCCCAGACAACGACTTCCGGGCGGGAAGATTTGATTCGATTGTCGACAGCCTGAACACGAGGCTCTGCTCGTGTTCGTGGCGAACTGGCCCGCGATTTCCTGGGCAGCCGTTCCCAATTGACCGGTGACCAGGGAGACTGTTTGCATAACGTCGACATTCGATTTGCTCGACCGGTTCTCCCCATGCTCGGCAAAGGCAAGTCTACAGCCTAAGCCGGAGAGCTGAGTCTGAGCCTGAGCCCGCAGTACAATCGCCCGCTGGCTCTCTGTCTTCCACTACAGCATCTGAAAATTAACATGAGCGTTCTGTGAACCTTTCTGCCATCGCAGGGTTGCAAATATATCACACATACTTTGGATACCTACTGACTTGTCCGTCAGAGGGATGAAGCCGTCCATTACTGCCGCCGCCATTTTGCTTGCAGGGACCAATCTCCTATGGGCAGCATACGCCCAGTCAATCGCTCAATCCGACATCAGTCTCCCGCCAGAACAATGCTTGTCCCCAGTCACCATGAGCAGCTGCGGCGCCTTCTATGACAAGCTCAACACTTGTGGCGACGCAAGCAACACGCTCGCAGGTATTAGCTGCTATTGTCCACAAACTGTACTGGACATTCTAGCCGGGTAAGTCAGTCAGCTTCAGAATGTCTTGAATGGCAACTGAACAGAGTACTTAAAAGGTGCCGACAAGAGTGGTGGAACTGCTGGCGTACAACAGCCGTCGACCAGCTCTTCCTTGGTAGCGAGGGCTTGTTCGCCGCGTGGTCGACGGCATGTGGGGACGCCGACGCATGGGACGTGCTCAACTACTCGCCGACCACCATGTCCATCACGACGCCACTCCTGGTGGAGCAGACCTTCTGCGACGACATCGCAAGAGACTGCAACCGGCTGACCGTGTCGACCTCCTCGTGCGAGAGCGACTTCAGCGTGACGACAGGCGCCGGCTTCCAGAGCTGTATGTGTAACGCCGACATGCTCTACCTGGCGTCTCGGTGTGACATTGATGGAAGCATCAGCTGTTTGCTGCAGACGCCAGTCTCTACCATGCTCTACTCATACATGACGTGTCGTAATGTTCAGGCCGTCACGACAGGCGTGCGGACGTCATCGCCGACATCCTCAACCGCGACGGTGACCAGCACGTATAGCCCTGCCGCGCCATCCCCAACGTCAACTGGTGCAACGGCGGTCCCATCGGCGTCTAGCGAAGGAGGAGGTGTGTCACTTGCAGAGGGCAATCCCGCGGAATTGGCCCTCATGGTTGCAATCGCCGTGCTGGCAATTTAAGCAGCAATGTGTAGCAAGAAGATGTAATATGGCCCTCATACTTGCGATTGCCGTGCTGGCGGCTTGAGCAGCAATGTGTATCGAGAAGATGTAATATCGTTCAGCGATCTCTAGCGACTGATTGAACGCGCACTTGATTTGATCGCCTTCGTGTGTAGCGAGCCAACGCTTCATCGGTGGTCAAGGTAGTGGCAGAACACACCGGAGCAGATGATGGCCCTGAGCTTGTTGGTCTCCTGAGCTTTTGCAGAGCAACGTAAATCCCATCTTTGAAAAGTCTTAGCATATTGGACCTCGAATTTGTGGTGCAGATTCCCGCCGCTGCTGGCATCGTCCTGCCTCTGGCCGGAGGGGAGGCGTCATTCGTTCTTGTGGCCACCATTTCGACGCGGTTGCTACCCACTTAATGACTGCGGCGGGGTTTCGGACCGCAGCACAGTTCCCCGTCTCGTCCGTAAAGACGTCGAACGAAGCCTTTCCGTCGAACCACTGCGCGAATCCACAATTTCAGATAAGACAAGTGCATTCAACATACAATGGCCGATGAAATCTGGAAAGGTATCCACAGCATAGCGATATGAACATGCAGATGAAGCTGCTGAGCGCAGAGACATGTCACACTTCCGACTTCGGTTCATCATTGCCCCAGGCTCCCAGTATCCTGCTCTTGAAAGGCGAGTAGTAAGGCTGAGGAGGGCAGGCTATCAACTAGCCGCCGCATCCTCTTGCGAGACGTGACGCGTCCTGTCCAGTGCAGACCCCTGCTACAGACAGCACAGAGCACCAAGTAGTCGCAACGATCTTGACCACGACACTCACCGTCAAGATCCGAGTCTCGAAATACACTCTGGCAAAGTTGAAAAGAAGGTGGATCACAAAACTAAAGCAATGAAGGAAGGAGAAGCAATTCAAAAGTAGGTAGTTGCTTAACTTGTCTTAAGACTGGACCGTGACCTATCCGAATAAGCAGCACGAGGTCATTCCAACTTACCGTTTACTGGGAGACTTTCACGCCGAGAACCTCACAAGCCCGTTTCCAATAAGCAATTCTCGCGTCGTCAATAGCAGTGTTGACACACCCAGCAATAAAGGCAGACGCCCAGTTGGTCTGGCCTCCAGCTTGAACCTGCCTCTTCTGCGCGTCAGTACAGTGCTCGTTGTAATACCACGCCGCAGCCGCGAATGAGTACGCATCGGGCTGCACCAGAGCGAGCGTCGCATCCAGATCAGCTGGAGTGGCTCCCGCGCCGACGTTTGCTCTCAACTCCGGGATGGACTGCGCGTAATCATGTACAAAGGTTGGGGACATCATGCATCGTGTGCCTTGGCCCGGGTTTCCGGGACTAGGGAAGTGGTTGTGATTATACTTGAAGTCAGCGGACTCGTAGGCCATCCAAGACAGTAGCGCGGCTTGTTCTTCCGCAGTCGAAATTTGGTACTTCGCGAAGCTGTTGATTATTGCTTGAACAACAAAGGGTGACGAAGTAACACATTCGTTGGGGAATGGTGCTCCGGCGCAGGTGTTCGATGTGGGTGCAATATGGAGAAGCTGCTGGACTGGATCAGGATCTGTAGCACCAGTGTTAGCACGGGGATGGATGATACGGTGGAATGCGCCAGAGGAGTTGAACAGCGAGCGATCTGTCTCAGGTACACCATCGTGCGTGGTATCGGTCAACGGATGACGGTTCAACGAGGAGATGGCGGCACCAGAGGCGGCTGCCGTAAATGCAAGGACCCGGATGATACCACTCATATCGGCTCGACTCGTTCTGGGGCGTAATGTATTCGAATTTTGGCAGTGTTTTGAATCGGCAAGATTAAATGCCTGCGTTGTGGGACTCGGTGGGAATTCTGATCTGGAGCCGCGTATGCCGAGCTGACCACGCGATAATATGGCCACGGGCAGGGGAAGACAAAGAGCAGCCTCTGAAAGAACCATGGTCCATGAGCCGGGCACGAGATATTATGCCCAACGCGCAGCAGGAAAACAAAGGGCACCGTCTGAAAGGATCAGAGGGACAAGACATCGACCGGTGAAGAGCACGGAGGGAAACAAAGCCATCAGACAACGTAGTTGCCCTGAAGAGCATGGAGGGTACTAAAGTCATCAGACAATGAATGTGTTTACCCTAGACAATAACCCGAACAAATGACAAAGCGATGAGACCATCCCTGTTTCTCGCAGCCTTGAGACCCGGCCGCGCCGCAGCCGTTGGCCATCCTCTCGTCTGCAGTAGATAGCCTTCTGGAGTTTCGTAGCGAGGACCGGTCGGCAGTGCGACGAGGGATGATCTGCATTCCATTAAAATTGAGTAGCAAGGACAGATTGGCAGTGGGACGATAGAGGATCTGCATAGCAACATACCGACAAGGTTGATGCGCTGCATTGGTTACAGTAGTTGTGAAAACGAACGTTGGGCTTGGGCAAGTCGAGGAACGCAAATGAGGGCGAGGACAAATATTTGAGGCTGAAGAAGATTTGCAAAGGCGACGCTACTAATCAAGCCAACGCGTCGCAGAACGTGTCTTGGCCGCTGACCAATCAGAGCGTACGTGATATGGTGTTGAGGTCGGTTGTGGTGGATGCGGTCAGAGATCCCTTTCTACTCGTGCCAAGACGAGACATGGACACGACCAGCAACAGAATTCGGCAACTTTGTACGGAGTACTATCTAGGAAATCCATGCGCTTTCATCTCCTGCTCAACGACTATTTGGGTATCATTATATCCGTCACATATGTCCACGGTCCAGTCATTTGGTCCCACCAATACCTTATCCAGGTGCCGTAACGCCAGTGCCTCTGAAAGTCAGGTCACATACCCCATGATGGATGTGCACGATCGGTCATGGGCCATCACTCATCGTACTCGGCTTCGGCATCGAGGTCAGAGTCGGACTCAGCGTCCCCATCCTCCGAAGTCTCCTCGGTCTTGGCCAAGACCTCCTCCCGCTTGACCTCGATACTCTCGTGCTCCTCGTCGTCGCTTGTACCGGCGTCTTCCCGCGAAGCATCGCTGTTGTCCTTCTTCGAAGCTTCCTCGTTCACCCCAGCCTCTTCCTCCATTACGAATCTCTTGCTCCTGCGCTGACCTTTCACCCCTCGACCAGTGCCAGCGGGCTCGAACCCCAGCAGCCAGAACTCACCCTTCTTCTTGCCCTCGAAGACCAATCCCTCGTTGACAGCCCACTGTTTGAGACCGTCATCCATGGCTTCATCCTCACTCTTGGCACCATCCCGCTCAAAGTGTCGTCCCACATGTTCCATTCTCTCATCCCATCCTTTGGAGCCCTTGCCGTCGACGAACTGCTGGCCGCAGAAGCCGCACTTGGTCTTGTGTGGTGCCTTGCGCCGATCAACCCAGCAACGAGCGCGGATGATGTCGAGCTGCCTCTCAAAGCTATCTTTCTCTCTCTTCGACACGCCATCTTCGCCCCTTCGGATGCCGGACCAAGGGGCGTGCATGCGTCTGCAATGCTGCGTGAAGAGATCTTTACGGTTGAAGTCGTTGAACCCCTTCTGGTGGTCTGCGCAGGCATCCATGTCACACCGGTAATAGCCGAGCTGCAGGTGCTGAGATGACACATGGCGCTTCCACTCGTTTTTATTGGCAAATGTGGCGCAGCACCCGAAGTGGTGGAAGGCACAGGGAAAGCTCTTCGAGTCCGAGTCGGTCTTTTTGGTGACAGGGGGCTTCTTCTTGGACTTGGCACGGGCATTGCCGATATGGAAAGCTTCTCGGGCCCGCGAGGGTTTGGTAATGTGCGCTTTGGGATCGATGATTGCTCTCGGCCGTCGTGGCTCACGCAACGAGTGGCGTCTCAAAGTGCTGCTGCTGCGCAAGGGCTTCGCTTTGGGGTTGAATTCGGAATCATTGTCGCTCTCGACAGCAATGGAATCTTCTTCTTCATCTTTCATCGTCTCGTCGTCGCTTGCGCCACGATCAGTCCCAGAGTCAGGAGGACTTACCACCTGTTCTGTGATGGCAAGCTCCTCGGGAAGGTTGATCCTGGGCTGGAAAGCATCTCTCTCATCTGTGGGCACCTCTTCGTGCTCTGGTTCAGGGTCTGGCGTGACTTGAAGGTGCCTCATGCTTGGCACAGTGTGCTGGGAAAGTACGGGCAGGGGCAGATGGACGGGCATCAACGACGAAGTGGGATCCCAAGCTGGTGCTGTGACTTGGGGAGTGGCCATGGGCGTGTTATAGACTCCCTGGCTGGTATAAGTGAAGGCATGATCCTGTGAGTTGCGGGCAACGTCCGGACTGAGAGCATAGTCGCTGATGGACGAGTCTGTGTTGCTGGACAGCGCAAAGCCCAAAGGGTCGGTTGGAGAATAATGCCGCAGGTGGCGGTATTGATCAGGGTCGTGCTCAGAGTCGAACAACCCCCGTTGCGGGAGGATAATGTCCGAGTCCATGCGCAGAAAGAGGGGGTTGAAGCCGTGAGCATCAACATCATACGAGGTGCAGGAACGCCGACCGTCCAAAGCTTTCATGTACTGGGTGCTTGGGTATGTGTTGTAAGCCGGCGATGAGTGCAGGTACGGGTCAACGTAGGCCACGTCTGCATGGTTGTACCAGGATGCAGGGAGAGTCTCGGATTGCTCGGGATATCCGGGGGAGTAGTCGGGGCCTTCGCTCCCGACAAGGTCGTGGTAGTGTGGGTGAGTATGCATGGCGCACGTCGCCAGACAGTGGAAAGAATTCCAACAGAGGTACCAAGCTGTACTGGATGAGGAGTGCTGCACAGCTCTCGCAGGAGCTACGAGTCACAGTGCCTGTGGTCGAAATGAACATGGACGAAGTGACGAGTTGCCGGTGCTGAGCAGAGGAGCACAAGGTATGGAGTATATCAATCCACGGCAGGTGGGTGGGTAACCACGCCGCCTGCTCAATTGATCGATCAAAGTTCCCAACTGCTAGCAAGCGAGCGGAAAGGGGCCAGGACCCGCGTCCCAAACTCGGAGCGAAGATTGGCATGACTTGACAGCAGCATGGCGACGAGGTAGGGAGGGCGCATATCCAATGGTGGGCTGGAACGCTGCCACTGGGCCAGCAGAGCCGCATCGCCGCTCAAAAAGGGCCCTCAGATTCTTGGACTCCAGCCCTCGGACGGGAACGGGCTAGCCTGCTGCCTCGCCGGGGGACGATCCAGACCGCTTCGGGCGCTAGAGTGTCTCGCAGGCGAAATCTTCGCTTGTGAATGGGCGATATGGCCAGGGCGGCGCATCATGTAGAACGCCTGTGATTGGCGTACCAAACCGGTGTATACTGGACGGGCGCCATAACGCCCGAGTTGCCTTTCTGTCGCTTCATGCTTTGATGTGCTGGCCGCAGACTCGAGGCTTCCCCAGGGCGCAGGGAACAATTCATGCTACATAGCCACCTGGATCCCTCCCCATAAAGAGGCGCCTGTAGCTCTCTGGCTCCTGTTTCTCGCGGGCCAGTCCACCTCAGCCCCTTGCATGATACTGGGGGTGGTCGTGGCCGCAGACCGCACGAACCACAAACGAGACCACCTTGATATGACCGCTGCTCTCTTGGTTGGGCATACTCGTCATGCCATCCCGCTCACAATTTTAGTCCAGGAGCTCGCTTAGCACGTGGCTGTCAGTTTTCGGCGCGATGTTCAGTACCTCGTCCGGTTCAAGTAATCGCTTTATGAATCTAGGCGTTGCGGGCAGGGGGAATCGTCCTCAATCGAGCAGGAGGGAAATAGAGAGGTCATAGTCAAGTGACGCGTATGCGACTTGCTAGGTCGAGAGACGACACGAAAGAAAGGTTTAGCTCATCTCGTACTCGGAACCAAAAGTCCATCGGGGGAGCAGAAGACGTGGGCTTGAGATGGACCCGGCACTGAGGTTCAGAACCTCGCTGAGTCGGCAAAAGATGGCGTCCAGGGAAACACGAGTCGCGGAGCCGTTAGCGTAGATTGCCTGCCGACTGGGACATGGGATAAAGAAAGTTTCTGGAGGGAAGCAGCGGTCGAGGCTCGTCACGGAAATGTCAGAACACCCTAGTGCGGTGGATGCAGGGGTAGACCAAGAATAAGTGACAACACGAAATGTCGCAACCTCGTGCATAGTGGCGCTCTCAAGTTGGTTTCATAACGTTTTACGTTGACGCTCTGCTCATTGTGCCGGGCCTGGAGGTGCTTTGCAGAATTGAGACTGCGCGCTCGTTCGGGGATGGGGAAGACTGCGCTGTCGCATAGGTCTCGTTGGCCCCCAACGTGAAATGGGAAGGCCGACGCGAGCGGGGCGACTAGAGAATTTGACAGGCAAACAGAAGGCAGCGAACAGGCACATCTACTGATAGCCCCAGCCCCAGTGCCGTTGAGTCGCCAGGTAGATGTGACGAGGATTTGTGGCCGCAACGTCTTATCACCGAGTCGGATGTGCAAGAACAAGCAGGGATCCAGGGGTAGCGAGAAGCACCTCCATGGGGGCTGGAAGTGGTGGAAGCAGCGGAAAGCGATGCAGCCGCTGACTACACAGAAAGGAGGCCGATCGGCGTTGAACAACGGCGAAAAGAAACTTGACTAGTCGATCTGGTACCTCGTAGCCAGGTTAGAGTTGGCCGGAGCCGTACCCATAGCGCCTGCGATGACTTACTAACGCGAGGTCATGGCGACCACCTTGGATGTTGGTATGCCCGGATAGACGTAGAGCCCTATGGAGGACGACGTACTGAGCCGCAAATTTCGAGCGTGGGCACAAAGCAGCGAGGTGGAAAAGAGACAGACCATTTCTCGCTAACGACGCCGCCCACAGGACAAATCCATGATATGAACCGCAAGTGCTCGGATTCGGCGATGGCTTGAATGTTTGGAGGTTGCACACAAAAGTGGAGGTGGCAACCACTTCCAGAACTGAAGTTCAAATGAAGAGAGGTGGAATATGCGCGCTGCGGGTGGTGAGAGGTACAAGAACTCCATGTGTGGGTCTGTACGACAGCCTGGAGAACGCGCCACCCAGCTGGTTGTCAGTCTTGTAGGCGGGGTTCGCGCGTGTTGCTGCCCGGTGGAGACCTTCAGTGGGTGCCTTGGACGCCTGGACTGGTCCGCGGATGCGGAATGATCGAGAGTGCGTCGAAGGGACGAAGTTCAGGTCAAGCGTTGTGAAGGCTGCCCAGAACTCGCCGAATGTCCCATCGAACGCACGGTGCATCGCGCAGCTGAGAGACAAGAATGTCTTCAGCCAGTAGTCCGATGCTGAAAACTCGGAGAATGAGAGTCAGTGCACGAGCAAGAGCAAAGACGGGCTGGGTGCATGTGCACTGTAAAGCCCGACGTGGAGGGAGGCTAACTTAACTACTATGTACTTAGTTGATTTGGCTAGCTGGCTTCGGGCTCGGGAGGCGCCTCGTCCCCCCAGAATCCATCTGAACTCTCCCAAAGCATAATTCATACTCCGTACAGGTAGGAAGTTGCCGGCGTGGCACATCACCCGCAAGCCAAACCTTGGGCCTCCAGAACTGCTGGAGTTCTGGCGTGGCGTACTTTGACACGGATTCGTCTCCGCTTGCTCGTGACAAGTTCTGCCTCAGTGATCATCACCAAAACAATACGAGATATGCTCTGCAGCGCCCGACGGAGCCAATCTTGCGCATCGCACAAGGCTGCACCCTCGCTCGTGTCCGCCGCGAGTGGCCGGTACTGTGACTCTGATCTATTTTTCTGTGGAGCTCGTCGCCGCAATGGCGGTTGTTGGACATGCTCGTACCTCGGACTGTCTTCACAGTACAACGTCTGTCGCTAACTACCTACCTGGGGACGCTCCCATCTCAGATGAGACCAAGTGAACGCCGATCGCAGTGACAGCCTGGCGCACAATGATACTGGTACTAACTATCTCCAGCGCCGCTTCTTCGGATGCCGCCCCCGATCTACTCGGAAGGTGCATGGTTAGTTCGGTTGCCTTTCTGATCGCCTGGTCATAGTACGGTTGTTGCCTTTTCACCAAGTTCTGCCAGTCATGGCCGCATTTGTCAATGAATTTGCTGTACTCCATAGTTGATAACGATTGCCTACAAGGCACAATTCATCCAGGATCCACCACACCGCCGCCTATCCTTTTGTCTTGCTTCCTACCGCTGGAAGGGAAAGTAACTGATGGTGTGAGCGCCGCCCCAGTCGTGACTATCTTCTTAGCCTGGAATTTCGCGCCCTCCAGCAACCCTGTCCCTTGTCCCAGCTTCTGGTGGCTAGCTAGTTGAGCTAGTTCCTTTCGCTTCTCGATGCCTTTCGTCCAGATTCGGCTGTTGTAGGATCGCTCTTTTAACTAAGTTCAGATCTCGATCCCCACGTGGTATGTACGTAGCTGGATTTGGCGTGCCCAAGTCCTTCCCCTCCTAGTGCCTTGTCCCAAAGACTCCTCTCCTCACCATCTCTTAACTATTACGGGTTAACGTCTGGCACCTAATTGCTCGCGAAACGCCAGCTGAGCGCGTACGCATGAAAGATGGTGAGGAAGCCCTACTGCCACTCCGTCTTGAGCTGGTCATATTCGGCCATATATCGAGCATCCTAGCGCGATTGGAATTTTACGTCAAACCCCAGAGTCTAGAACACACGAGGACATTGTCTATTCCACCCTCGGCCCGCCCCTTCAAGTTGTTGCTAGTGGTCTGGAGTCTTGCTCAGCTCCTCCGCGATTGCGGCCTGATCCTCTGCGTCTTCGTCTCAAACCGTCTGCTGGAATTTTGCATTTGGCTGCCGCTCGCGGTGCAGTTCGCTTGTCCACAACCGATCCGGCGTTTGTGGCGACCGCGCACGTCGAAATTTAGTGCTCGAGGTTATCGTGAAATTTCGCGTACTCTGACCCTGATTCCTTCGTCGTCGTACCACTCGTAATCCCCATGTGTTGGCTCGTGCCGCTCAATCACCGTCAGTTCATCCCCAGGCCTCAGCACTTCAACCTGAGATTCTTCTTCCTCGTAAGCCTGGGTTCTTGAGCGCTGACGCCGGCTTTTCTGGGGACGGGCTTCGTGGTGCTGGGGCTCGCCATAGTCGCCTTCACTCATGTATCCTAGGGACGATGTGCGTGCAGGTGGTGGGCTGGGTGCGTACACCGCCGTGTGCCCATCCTCTCGGCTGTCACCTGCGTCACAGAGTCAGGTCTTCCTATGTGTTGGAAAAATGGGAACATATTCACCATCGTAAGTTTGGCTCGCGTGTCTGTACCCACCCCACCCACGCTGAGTAGCTCTCGACGGAGAGCGTGTGTACTCTTCGTGACGCCCACGATGCCCGCGGGCAGCCGGGTCTGATTCCCCTCGGTGCCAGCCAGCTTCAGTATGGCTCGGCCTTGAAGTTTGTTTGCTCCAGGGGGGAGATGGGCCGCGTTGAGGCGAATAACCACTACGTTGACTATTCGGGTTACGACCGTCAATGTAGCTGGTGTGATTCACAGGTGGATTGGCAATGTGTGGAGTCCCTATGAAGGGATCCGAGTACTGTCTTCGAATAATCCTCTGACCAGCCGTCGGTCCTTTCGAACGCGACCGTGTTCGCTCGAGCGCCTCGCGCCCAAACCTTCGATCTTGAGTTCGGCTGCCACCGTAGCTTCCACCATCCCGCTCTCCAAGAGGAGAGAGTCGAAGTCTGCGAGTTTGTCTGACCATTTCAAGATCCGGGGGCTCCGGTCGCCGATATCTTCGTCGCTCAATGCGACGTGACGTTGGTTCTGGACTGGACGACTCAGATTCCGAGTATGATGCTGAGCTGTGGCGCGCGTATCTGTTGTCGGTTCTCCGATGGTGGTGCCTCGATTGTGCTTTGCTCCCTGATCGATGTTTCTCTCTTCGAATAGATCGACGAGATTGGTGGCGGCTTGACCTGGATTCTTTGAGGCTGTCGGAAGTACTGGTCTCATCGCTCTCTGTAGCCTCTGCCCTGCATTTGAGACAGATTGTCTTGCCTGGAATCTGCCCAGGTGGGATGGGATGCTTGTAATGGTACCGTGCAGATCTATAGCGTCCACAGATTTCACACTTGTATCTCGTCTCCGCTTGGGTTGGTTGTGGCGCAGGGAAATTAGCCGCACTGGGGTGTGAACCATGAGGTTGACCCTGCGGAGGCAGTGAAGCCGGAAGTGGACCAATTGGTGGCATCTGAAACTGGGGTTGTGGAAGTGGAAAACCCATTGGTTGTGGGAACACATTCGGTGGCTGAGTCGCCAGAGGATGAGGTGGAAAGGGAAGCATGCCTGGCGGAAGGTGTGCTGGAATGAACTGGCTCAGTGGCTGCAGAGCAGTTGGTTGGTTGTTGTTGGCCTCTTTCATATCTAGAATATTCGGATTCTGTGGGGGAGAAAGGAGGTACATGTTGACAGGTTGAGGTTGGGACTGAGATGTAGGAGCCATCGGAGCAGTTGGTTGGGGGTTTTGGGCCGAGGGAGGATTGGAGGCATTTGGCATTGGCAGCGTAGGTTGGCTATTAGCCTCAGCAGGAGCTACGTGGCGATTGTGAAGTGAATCCCTAAGAGAAGAAAAGAGTGAGCGAGCGCTTCCGACTTTTGGAAGCAGCGTCCAAGAAAGACCCTGCCTCGTCGAGGCCGACTCTGACTTTTTCCTGACGAAGTAGGGTCGCCCATCACGTCCGCGTTCAATCCAAGTCGAACGTGGACTCATGATGGCGGACTGGGTTGAGACTCGGTTGCGGGAATTGATGAAGTGGTGTACAAGTGAATGAAAAGTGCGCACTTACCGCGGAGGAGCTTTGTTGTCGTCCGGCCAGCCAAAATAAGCGTCATACGAAGGGTAGTAGATGCTCGGGTTTCCTGGCGGACAGTTGTACGGTGCTTGCCACATGATCGTGCTGGTGACGGTGATGTGCAAATGAGAGAACAGGAAATCGAGGCAGACTGATAGACTGATGAGAAAGATCGGTAAATGGCACTCGTTACGGCGGGAACTTGCCCGGCACGCGTTATCAGATCAGTGATGATGATAGCACAGCTGTTGTGAGAGAAGCTACCAGCTTGCCGATTGTCGATGGACGGGTGGACGTCAATCTCAATAGCTAGTCAATCCTGATGCGTCTGGAAAAATAAATTGGGTCTGGGACGTTTTGGCCATATATCCATTGCAACATGACGGCTAAAGGAGTCGTACTCGGTTCTTTCACCTTGCTGACGAGAACTCACCTTGCAGAAGCATTGAAGGAAACTGACGGAAAGTGAGGCCGTGATCCCTATGCCCCGTTACCTGTTTGAATGGTCATTACCAGGCAGCGCCCATCTACGACATTGACCCTTCACTCAATGGTGTAGCTTATCCTCCTCTTCCAGTGATTGTCACGGAATCATTTGAGCGTGTTCGCTGTGCCTAGTAATTGAAGCCTGATATCGCCTGGAGTAGCCGTGCATGCTGCTCGACTTTGACGAAGCGCAGTCTTCTGCTTCAGGACAACTACTGTGATTTGGTCCCAGTTATCTGCAGCGGGAGGTGCAGGTCCGCTCTCAAGTTAATACTTTTGATGTTGGTGGATAGTTTAAGCATTCATCTTCTGGGCCTAAGTGAATAAAGGGGCTCCTGGTCGCTTGGCAGTTCATTGGTGGTGCCCAGCATGACGTAACAGAACAGCCGCTAATCAATACTAGGCACGAGCGAAACTGGCGCGTTGGTCTTGATTCCCCGCTGCCGCGTCTGCCTGCAATACTGTGTACTGTGTAATAAGACCCAATTCAATCCCTCCCCTGCAATGGATTAGTTCTCCCCTCTTGTTGTACCCCTGCTGTGCTCCATCAAATCAGAAAGAAGATAACCCGAACAGACGTCGATCGCGAGATGCAAGCAGCAATGTAAGGTCTGAACACCATCTCAAACTCACCTCAGAAGGCTGAAGGAAGACCCAAAAGGAGCCCAGGATCATCAAAAGAGCTCGGCGACATGGGGGTAGACGCCTTCTTCACCATCGCACATCACCCTGGCTGCCTCTACAGCCCGACTCTACAGCCCGAAACCCCGGAAATGGCAGGACACATTGGTCTTGGCAATGAATGCAGGTGCTGAAGACCGCCCGGGCGCCTTTTGGATCGTGTTTGAGGAATGTGGCAAAGCCTGATAGGCTGATAATACGGAGTAGTTGCGGCTGAGATGGTGGGCAGCACATCTTTCCCAGCCCGCCCGACTTGAGGCTGTGTCTACGGCCCGTCACTCCTCTTTTTCTACACTCAAAAGCTGTTCCCACGACTGAAGCAGCGTATCTGGGAAGTGGCTGATTCGGTTGTAATCATGCATTCAGGACACTTATTGTGAAAGAAAAATAGCATACCTCTTGCAGCAGATTGCTCGCAGGTCCCCAATTTGCCTCCCGAACGACACAGCCTGACAATCTTGACCATCTCCGCAGATGGCTCCTGGCACCAGAACTCATGGCGACTATACCGTGGGATGGGTTTGTGCCCTGCCGAAAGAGCAGACTGCGGCGACTGCCATGTTGGACGAGAGACACGGGAACTTGCCCAAGCCCCCACATGACAGCAACACCTACACCTTAGGTGCTATCGGCCAACACAACGTCGTGATAGCGTGCCTACCCAAAGGCAAGTACGGCACAAACTCGGCGGCAAATGTCGCGACCCTCATGATTGGTACCTTTCCATGTGTCAAGATTGGTCTGATGGTTGGAATTGGCGGTGGTATTCCACCCAAAGTCCGGCTAGGTGATGTCGTGGTTAGCACACCTGTGGGACAGTTTCCCGGTGTAGTCCAGTGGGACATGGGCAAGGCGAGAGTGGGCAGCAAGTTCGAACGAACCGGAGCGCTGAATAATCCGCCCAATGCTCTGTTGTCGGCTTTAGGGGCGCTTGAGACGCAACATGACTTGTCGGGTTCAAGAATTCCTGAATACCTTGACGAGCTGAAGCAGAAATACCCCAAAGCGGCCAAGAAGTATTTGAGGTCCGATTCAATCCAGGATATATTGTTCAGAGCAGATTACGATCACGTCAGTGAAGCAGGTCTTGAAGGTGCTGCTGATGTAGATAACAATGATGGTCATGAGGAAGAAAAGCGAGAGGACGATATTGAGGAGAGCGATGATGATGAAGCGGAGAGTTGTCATTTGTGTGACAAGACCAAGATTGTGAGAAGGAAGCGACGAGACATGCGCGTGCATTACGGCCTGGTCGCGTCCGGCAACCAAGTCATCAAGGATGCAGCTTTTCGGGACAAACTGAACATGGACCTTGGTGGCAACGTCCTCTGCATTGAGATGGAGGCGGCTGGGTTGATGAACAACTTCCCTTGCTTGGTGATCCGGGGCGTATGTGACTACTGCGACTCACACAAGAACAAGGCCTGGCAAGAACACGCAGCGGCCGTAGCAGCGGCGTTCGCCAAAGAACTTCTGGGTTTTGTACAGGCAAGTGATGTCGAGGGAGAGCGTCCGGTGAAGGACGTACTCAACGACGGTCAGTGACACCCGTCGTGGAGACACATATGAGGAGATACTGAAATATATATTTTTGACAGTCAAGCAAGATCTACGACATGTTCGTGAGTTAGTCGAAGACGGATTCGTGCGAACGAAGAACAATCTAGGTGATATCCTTGGAGGTGTGTCTGCGATTTGTCTGGAAGTCGAGCGTATGCTTACTCACTGGCAGCAAACGAACTCAAAAAGCAAAAGACCCTTCTCGACTGGCTCAGTCCGATTGATTTTGCACCTCAGCAGCATGACTATATCTCTAGGCGTGAGCCAGGAACTGGCCAGGGGCTATTCGAGTCGGCAGAATATCACGATTGGTTGGCAACAAGCAAGCTGACACTATTCTGCACTGGAATCCCTGGGGCTGGGAAGACGATGCAGACCTCTATCTTAATTCACGACCTAATCAGCAGATTTAAAGACCACACCGGAGTTGGCATTGCGTACATCTATTGCCATTTCCAGCGACAACAAGACCAAAAGGCGGATTTCCTACTGGCGAATATCATCAAGCAGCTGGCTCAGAGCCAAAGTCCGTTCCCGAACAGTGTGCAAGCGTTGTACGATCGACACCGAGAACGAAGCACGCGGCCCTTGCTCGACGAACTATCAGCAACTCTCCATTCCGTCAGCAGTCTCTATTCAAGAGTCTTCATTGCCGTCGACGCACTCGACGAATGCGATGACACCGATGGCAGTCGCACGAAACTGTTGGATCATCTGTTCAGCGCACAAAGCCAGGTCGGACTGAACCTTTTCGCAACTTCGAGGTCCATCTCAGCCATCAGCAAGAGATTTGAAGGCTGTCTATTGAAAGAAATCTGCCCTAGCCATGAAGATATTTTTACTTTCCTCGACAGGCGCATGACTCAGCTGCCAGATTTTGTGATCGGCGACATGGATCTTCAGAACGAGATCAAGACGGAGATAGCGTCAGCAATCGAAGGCATGTAAGTGTCATACAATGTTGGTCTCGGGCATTCATATGGGCTAAACCCCCTAGGTTTCTCCTCGCACAACTCTATATCGACTCGCTCGTCGGCAAGAGGTCACCGGCAGCTCTGCGGGCAGCACTGAAAAGTCTGCGAAAGGCCTCTGCAGTGTCGCCCGACGGGTCGAGCGCGCTAGACGAAGCGTACAAGAAAGCCATGGAACGAATTCAGCACCAGAGAGGCGACCTGCCTCGGGACGCCATGCTGATCCTCTCGTGGGTCGTTCATGCCCGAAGGCAGTTGAGGGTACCGGAGCTCCAGGACGCCCTTGCAGTCGAAGTTGGCAAATCTGCGCTGGATGAGGACAACATTCCGACTATTGATCACATAACCAAGGCATGTGCCCCATTGATTACGGTCGATACGAAGAGCAACATTGTTCGGCTGGTCCACTATACGACGCAGGAATACTTGGAACGCACCCAGGATATTTGGTTCAAGAATGCACAGATCGATATCGCGAGGATCTGCATGACATATCTCTCGTTCTCTGCTTTCGAGACTTCGTGCTTCTCAGGTTATGAGTTCTATACTAGGCTACACGCAAACAAGCTCTCCGATTATGCAGCTCGCAACTGGGGACATCATGCCCGCGAGGCCTTTGCCCTAGGCTGGGAACCCCTAGAGGTTGTTGCCTTCCTCGAGCGCGAAGGAAGTCTACAAGCTTGGATTGTGTTATTGCGGTTATCCGAATATGATAAAATTTGCCATACAATGTTCCCATTTCCCACACAAGTGGCTGCTCTACACCTTGCAGGATACTTCGGCCTCCATGACGTGGTGGTGATGCTGGTCGCAAAAGGGCATGACCCGAAAGCCAAGGACTGGCAAGAAACAACACCGTTATTGTGGGCCGCAAAGAACGGACATGCACCGGTGGTGAAGCTCCTACTAGACCTAAATGTTGACCCAGACCCAGGCTTCAGCTTTACTGATCACACACCGTTGTCGTGGGCCGCAGCAAACGGGCACGGGCTGGTAGTGACGCTTCTGGTGCAAAAAGATGTTGATATTGAGTCTAGAGGCAAGTCGTCTTTGGCACCTCTGGCCTGGGCAGCTGCGCATGGACATGCAGCCGTCGTGGAGCAACTGCTCGAAAGAGGCGCCGATCTGGAGGGTCAAGGCATGCCTAGGAGAGAGGATTGGCACAGGCAGACGCCGCTATCCTCGGCTGCGGAGAACGGACAGGAAGCCATGGTGAAGTTGCTGCTCGCAAAGACATCTAAGCTGGAGGCCAAAGACGAGGATGGTTGCACCCCGTTAGCTCTAGCCGCTCGGAACGGTCACGAGGTGGTCACGAAACTGCTGCTTGAGAGCAAGGCTGACTACAACGCCCAGGACGAGAATGGAACGACAGTGCTGCATGGGGCAGCCTGGGGAGGGCATGACGCAGTGGTCTCGCTGCTGCTCCAGTGGGGCGCAGATCTCGAGATACGAAACGCTGGTGGCGGCACAGCGCTAGCTGCAGCCATCGAGAGAGGATCCGAAACAGTCGTCAAAATGCTCCTGCAGAATACGGTCAATCTGAATTATCTGTATCCTCTCTTTCCCCACAGAGAATTTTTGGATCCCAACAGCCGTTTGATAGTAGATGTTGCGAGGTATGTCGCCCCGGAGGAAGATAAATGGGCAGTCGTCGATATGAGCGAAAGAGACACTGGACGCTTGCCTATGGCCGACGAAATATTTCCGCTAAGACTGGTCACCCCATTATGGCGGGCGGCTGAAAGATGGAACGATACAATCGTGAGGTTGCTGCTGGATAACGGTGCTCAGCTGAACTTCAACGATGGCAGTGATCTAACGCAGTCTCCACTGCTGTGGGCTGCGACAACTGGACACGAAGGGGTGGCCAGGTTGTTACTGGAGGCAGGCGTGGACCCGAGCGCAAAAGATGCCTCTGGTAACGACGCAATCTTACTGGCCGCAAAGAACGCAAATAACCTACGCTCACGGTGTGCGATGAGCGGCCACTGGGCCGTTGTTTCGCTGCTCCTTGCCTTAGACCAAGTTGATGCTGATAGGAAAGATGGAGTTGGTCGCACACTACTGTCGTACGCGGCCCAAGGAGGAAGCCAGACTGTCGTGGCGATGTTGCTTGCGTCTGGAAAGGTTGACGCCGACTCCAGGGATATCGGTGGGCGAACGCCACTATCCTACGCTTCTGACCCCGACGTTGCCAAGGCCCTGCTCGCTTCCAGAGTCAAAATCGAGTCAAGAGACAACGTCGGCAGGACACCACTGTGGCATGCTGCCGGCGAAGGGCTGATTCACGTGGTACGGCTACTACTCGAGTATGGCGCTGATCGCGATTCGAAGGACAACTTCGGCCAGACGCCAGTCACGAAGGCTAGAGAGAGACTAGAGGTTGCCAGAAAAGAAGACGAAATGAAAAAAAGACCTCAAGGCACTAGGAAGGAGATTACTGTACGCTATCAGAAACTCATCAGTCTGCTAGCGTAGTCGCAGGTCCTCCTTCTATAAACCGCTAGTTCCTCCTCAGACCGATGAAATTGACACATTCACCTGCCTGTGGAAGAGAACATAGAGCAGACTGAGAGAGGAGTGAGGTAGAGAGTGGGCAAAGACTGACGAAAAGGTCGGTGTGTTGAGATCGTGCCAGCATCCCGCTCTCACCGGCTCTACTGTTGGTACTGCATCGAGAGCATGCGCCATGGGAACGTGCCAGTGGGCTCTTCAGCCAATCATGGTGTCTCCTGCCTTTCTCTCGTCAAGCTCGCCGATTGGCGGAGTGGACTTTGGTTAGGCTGTCAAGAGTCAACGCTCGTTACGCAAAGCCCACCAAGCCTGACGCGCAATCGAAGTAGGTAACTTGCACTGGCACTTCCAGCTGAGTGGTAAATGTATGTGCCCTTGGCCGAAACTACGTACTACTACAAGAGACCACGTTCACAATGGTCTTACGAGATTCCATGTCTGCCCGCTAAAATAAATAATTACCTGTCACCCTGAACACTCGCTTTCCACTTCAACGCAATGGCACCCTTCAACGAGAAGGACACCAAACTATACCGCAATGATGTCGCCTCGGGCGGTCGAACGCTCTCAGCGTCAGAGCGCGAAAGACTCCTACAATCATACCTCCCCGCTCCAACTTCACACACACCAGAGACGAATCCCCAGTCGGCCAGCCAACCTGCTCGTCGAAAGTCCCGTGGTCACAAGCGACGGGTCCGACCTTTCCTCAAAGCGAAGCTTCACTTCGTGATCTTCTTCCTCATCCAACTCGTGTTCGGTATCTACATCCGCCTGCGCCAGATCTACCATGCCACGGTCTACAGATTACTGGCCATCCGACACTACCACCACCGCACGCCCGAATACATCCAAAGAGACGTCCAGAACCTCGACCGCATCCCCGAACACCTGAGCGTGATTTTGAAGTTCAAGACCGAAGAAGACGGCGGGCTCGAAGCCCTGATGGACGAGGTGGCAGAGTTGTGTGCCTGGTCCGCAGCCGCGGGGATCCCGCTACTGAGCGTGTACGAAAGGTCGGGCATCCTCAAAACATACATGTCTCCGCTGCAAGAGCTGGTGAGGCAAAAGTTGGTGTCATACTTTGGACCACCGCCTGTGGCGCCGTCGCTTCGAGTCTTTGCGCCCAACCACCCCTCGATCAGTCCGTCAAGAACACCCTCGCCGCACATACAGCCGCAGTTAGCAGATGGGTCAGATGGGCGACGACCGCACCTCGATCTATTCCTCCTGTCGGCCACAGATGGGAGAGACACGCTGGTCGACCTCACCCGCACTTTGGCGGAGATGGCACAAGCCCACAAGATCGATCCCAAGGACATCACATCCAACCTGATCAACGCCGAAATCAGCGCCACGACAGCAGTTCACAGTCCAAGGACACAGAATGGGCACAAGCCTGCTGGCAAGGAAGTGGAAGCCGGCGAGCCTGACCTCGTCATTGTCTTTGGACCGACCGTGAAGTTGGATGGCTATCCGCCCTGGCAGATCCGGCTCAGCGAGATCTATTGTGTGGGCGATTCAGGCGGAGACGTCTCCGGGAGCGGCAGCACGAGAGTCGAGTACCAGGCTTTCCTGCGGGCGTTGTGGAGGTACGCGGGAGCCAAGTTCAACTTTGGAAGGTGATTTGAGTCGCCAGTAAGAGTATCATGGATTTTCCCGACACGCGCTGTGCAAGCGCTATAAGATTAGATTGTCCTTCTGCCGAAGCCATCAACTGTACAGCAACCTGAAATAGATACCCTAGATGTTGATTGCATTCGAAGCTCGAGTCATGTTGACGCGGCTCCTTTCAATAACCATTACTAGCATGTCTCCCTCGTAGATATCCCCGCGAAAGCCAGTTTCAGGTCCCGGTGCATCACCGTGGAGTTGCCTCCATCGCAACCGGGAGGAGCACCGCTGCCCGTCGCGCCTGTTTTCCCATTATCCCTGACATGCCAGCCGGTATCCGTCTAGCAGTTGAGGCGATCAACGCACAATGCTTGAGCGTGGCCTCAAACTTCGAGATCTGATGCTCAAGGAGCTAGCTCCCTGTACTCAACGAATGTGCCAATGCGCACAGCGACCTGAGTATATCGTCAGTGCGTACTTGGAATATGTGAGACTGAACCATTCACCATGAGAGTAATCTGACGTGTGTGCAGCGCGACGGTATGTTTGAATGAGGCGCGCCATCACTCCAGCGGAGGGGACTGCTCTAGGCAACCATCAAGATGAACCACTTTGGGAGGCCGCTGGAGGGTTGCTGCATTCCGTACTCTAACGCGAGGCTCGGCCACGTCGGACGGACCAAGTGCGGGCGAGTAGACTGCCTGGAGCCTGGCGTGTATCATGTGCACCGGCGAGGTGGGTGCTGATCATGCCGCTGCCTGCACCGTCACTTCAATGGCCGGTCCGTCGTGGTGACACCACTCGTCTCCCTGTCAGAATTTAGTCATCACTCTCGTCATCGTAGCCTGTGAATATCTCCCACATCTCATCAGCTCGGTTCGACGCTATGAGCGAATGCAACACGCGTTCGTACGTCCACATGGTCACTGCTGAGGCCGGAGCAGCCTATTTCGACCCGGCCTATCAGTGTTTGAACGGACTGCTCGCGAGTTTGGCAATCACTCACTTTGACCAGGCTAACAGTCAGACCCCTGTACCATCCGCGATAGCCTTCCTTCATCCAGATCGTGGCAAGCGCTCGAAGCACGCCCTGGTTGTACTCTGGGATATTCGTGTGGATGTACCGCCCCCGCGTCGGGCCCTGAACTTGCAGTCTCTTCCGCACGAGGTCCAGCGGGAAGACCGCCGTCTTTGCAAACACGCTGGCAAAGATCCCCGCGGTGGCGTCGCCGGATCCGAACGGCAGGGTTGTCCCGCCGATATGCTGATGGAGGAACTCATAGCTCATGAAGAACAGACCCATGTACGGCACGATCTGGCCGACCGCAGCGCTTAAACCTCGAAAAAAGCCGCCGGGGCCTTCGTGACGAGTGATGTCTCGTACGGACCCGATCAAGCTCGTGTAGATCCGATCGGACCCCTGGGCGGCAAACCTCGTCCGCAACAGATCCAGCGGGTAAGTCACCGTCGTGGCGGCGGCGCCGGCTCCAGCACCGCTAATGAAGCTTTCCACCGACGGGGGCGCTCTGGTCGCTAAAAGAGCCTGGGCTTGCGTGATCGTTCGGTACGTCGTGAATTGGATCCCTCCATAGGCAACGTACATGACCTCGGCGGGGATGTTGCCCTTCCACAACGCTCGGATCCCTTCCTGCCTTGCGATGGCGCGTAACGTGGAAAAGACGCCCTTGTAAATGGGTCCCTTGATGCCATCGCATGAAAAGGGGTCCGAGAGCGAATGAGGTTGGAGCTGGAGGCGGATCTTCACCACGTCGAGGGGTGCGATCACGAAGCGGGACACGAGGCCTGCTATGCCGCCGGCGAGGACGACTTGCTGTCTCGTGCCCTAAATTATGGGAAATGAGTGACGGATGGCTAACGCGTAAGGACGAAGAGGGACCCAACTTACCTCATCCTTGAGGCGCTCGATGTCCTTCGACATGCGCGTTGGACTCGACACGCAAAGCCGCTATACAGCGGCAGAGATTGTGGTTGACAGCTCGACGGCTTGCACTGGGCGTGGTAGAGAAGAGGAGGAGCGGGCGATGATGTCGTTTTGGCTCTATCAAGATGCTTGTATCCGGGTCACAGGCTTGCCAGATCGAGGCAAGTCCTAGCGAGGTGGATAGTTGCGCACGTGACTTCGCGTTCTCCTGAGTAAGAAAACAACTACGAGTTACTGCTTTTTTGCACGATCAAAAAAATGGGGGTTTCCAGTAGCTGCAACATTACGGATGGGAGAGCGAGTCGTTTGATGGATAAGTATATCTCTTGCTAGGACGTGAGCCGATGGCTACATCTTCAAGAGAATGGCCGTTCGGTGACCGGATCCAACGCAACAGCCACACAGTATTTATATGCGTTCACCTACCGTATTCTGTGCGCCTCTGCTCAGTTCCCGTGATTCCGTGACTGCAATCGCAAGAACACTGTATTGGATTGAACGTGCCATGTTGTGCCTCGTCGAGGTGGTAGAATGCAAGATCCGGTGGTAACTAAAACACGCTTCCTCCTCGGTTTCCACAGCGACAAATCGTTCCAGATGGCAATGTTGGCATCAGGAGGCATGTCTCTTGTGGATGTAGTGGTAGAGACGCGTCTTGTTATCAAGATTTGTGGTCTACGCCGGTCGTGTTCTATGTACATACTGTGGTTGAGATGAGGACCGAGATACGAGGCGGGGCTGTCCGCCATTCGAAAACTTAACCGCGTCATGAAGCCGCTCGACTGCCTGTAGCAAGACAATGAGCTGAACGCACCACGGTATATTCACCACCTGGTAACAAAGACCTCGTCCTCTAGAACACCACGATCAATGATGATTCTAACTGCTCCGGTGGCGCTTCTGCACATACGAAAATGTTCCGCAATCCTCGAGAGAATAAATCCATGCCGGTAGACGACCGAGTCCTGCCCTCCACTGGCCGCGCACCGACCCCCCCTTCCCCGGGCCTGAAGGCAAGCCCTTACTTCTCTCTGCCCACCATGTCCGCAAAGACACAGGCGAAGCCGACTGGGAAGAACCGCTCGCCAATGGCAAAGACTCCTGTGATCGGCCGCCAATCTGCCTCCAAGACCCCGTTTGCGAAGAAGACCGGCGGCAACCAGAGTATCCTGAACTTTTTCGAAAAGGCGAACACACGCGAGGAGGCCCAGGCCCTTGCAAGCGCAGCAGCCCCGCTGTTCTTCAAGGATGCGCAGCAAAGTGGTATGGCCCCGGCACCAGCTGCGGAGGACACGAAGTTCAATGAAGATGCAACACCGGTCAAGAGGAGGCGGGTTGATAAGGACGAGGATTTTGAACCGTCATTTGGGACACCCCCACCTGAACACCAGAAAAGTGCCACCGACGATACTAGCGACCAACATCCACGTGCCGCGGTTACAGAGCAGGTAGAGCGACCCAAGAAATACAAAGCTGGCTTCCTGGACGACTCGAGTGATGAGGAAGATAACGACTGGACTGCAGCTATCAGTGGTGCAGCTACCAGGGACACCAGTGAATTGAATCATGTACGGGGTCTGGGAACTGAAGAGTCGCTGGACACCATTGACCCCGACACACGGCGGAGTCTTACGAGAATTGCCGCCAAACAGTCCAGCTCGCGGTCTAGAGCTGGAAGAGTCGAATCTACGGCCGAAGTTATCCTTGGAGATATAGGAGTCATTGAAGCAGGTGTTCCAGCCTGGGACCGTGAGGCCACGTCTACGGCCGAAATTAGCCCTGGACATATAGGAATCATTACAGGAGATGTCCCGCCACTAAAGCGTGAGGCCACAAGTGTTTTCGAGCCTGGCGAGTTCGGTGACGAAGACTTTGCAAATGACGAGTTCTTCGAGGGTGGAGAGGAGTTTATGGAGCGCCGATGGATGGAAGAGCAACGAGACATGGGCATGGAATTCGAGGACGAAGATTCGAAATCAGAGGCTGACAGTGTATGGACACCACGGAGCTATGCCGAAGATGAGCCCCTGGGCGATCCGAATGAAGACTACCCTCCCCTCACAGTATGTCCCATATGTATCGGAAGCACTACAGGACTGTCTGAGGCACAGATTACGAGCCATGTCAACGCTTGTCTCGACAACAAGGCCATCCCACTGCCAATGAAACCTGAACTGGATACCACAAAACTGAAACCAAAGCCAGTCAAGCCAAAAGCCTCAGACGCCGCTTCGTCAACTGCTTCTCTCAAGCGATTCCAGCGCGCAGCTATTGCACGCCCGGCCCAGCCCAACCCCTTTGCCTCGGACAAAGACTCGAAAGCAGGCTCAGCGTTTACTCGACTCATGTCTGGGCACGCAGAAGACGCCGCCTGGGCTGAAGCCGCAGAGAACGAAAACCAATCTCGTGGAAAACCGGCATATCAGCGAACATGCCCCTTCTATAAGATCATGCCGGGCTTCTACATCTGCGTGGACGCCTTCCGCTATGGTAAGGTCGAAGGCCAGAACGCTTACTTTCTCAGCCACTTCCATAGTGATCACTACATTGGACTCACATCCTCCTGGTGCCATGGCCCAATCTACGCCAGCAAAGTCACATGCAACCTCATGCTGCAGCAGCTAAGAGTCGATCCAAAATGGGTTGTCCCGCTCGAGTTCGAGAAGAAGGTCGAAGTCCCCGGCACAAAGGGAGTTTTCGTGACGATGATCCCGGCGAATCATTGTCCTGGTTCATCACTCTATCTCTTCGAGAAGGTGACAGGCAAGAACAAAGATGGGTCGCCCAAGCTGACTCGAATACTTCATTGTGGCGATTTTCGAGCTTGTCCTGCGCATGTCGCCCACCCGCTTTTGCGTCCCGACGTTGTCGATGCCATCACTGGTCAAACGAAGCAGCAAATAATTGACACTTGCTACCTAGACACGACTTATCTGACGCCCAAATATGCGTTTCCCAGCCAGCAGGATGTCATTGATGCTTGTGCTCAGATGTGTGTTAGCCTATCGAAAGAGATTGTGGACTCGGGCGACAACTGGGAAAAGGTCAAAGCCGAGCGCGCCGGGAGCGTGATGAAGAAGTTCTTAGAACAAGGCGAGAGCGAAGTCGTCGACTCGGGGCTCGAGCAGACAGAGAAGAAACCAAAACCGCGTGGCCGCCTTCTCGTGGTCATCGGCACCTACTCGATCGGCAAAGAACGAATCTGCCTCGGAATTGCCAAAGCGCTAGGCTCCAAAATCTACGCGCCTCCAGCGAAGATGCGTATATGCAAGTGTCTCGAAGACCCGGAACTCAACGCTCTGCTCACCGACAATCCACTCGAAGCACAAGTACACATGACACCGCTGATGGAAATCCGCGCCGAAACGTTGCACGACTATTTGCTCGGCTACAACGGCCGTTTCGCCCGCGTCGTCGGTTTCAGGCCTACAGGTTGGTCCTACCGTCCTCCGACATCTCGCTTCACCGAGAACCCGGCCGTCAGCACGGTTCTACACTCCGAGGGCTGGAAGACGCGCTATTCGATGCGTGACCTCGCTCCTCAGCGAGGAAGTACGCGAGAATCGAATTGCTTCGGAGTACCCTACTCTGAGCACAGTTCGTTCCGCGAGTTAACCATGTTTTGCTGCGCTTTGAGGATTAATCGCATTGTGCCCACTGTCAATGTGGGGAGCGCGAGGAGTAGGGAGAAGATGAAGGGATGGATTGAGAAGTGGGAGGTCGAGAAGAGGAAGAACGGCCTATTCAAAATCGAGGTTGGCGCAGAGGGATGGGGCTCTGGAGATGGGCAGTTGAGGTATGGCGTGTGAGACTGATGCTGGGTGGTCAACTCGTAGTTCTTGTAGACTTTAAATGGTTGTACGAGGTACAATTCCACGGAGACGCGGCCGATGTGTTGTGCCTCGAGAGAATACCGTACGTGTGCATGGCCACCGGACGATATTGTATCGTTGTGCCACTGTAAACGCCCTGGATGGACACGCTATTCCAGTGCCAACCTCAGCGGGAGTGGCAACCAGATAATTGCCCCAGCAGATCTTCACGCTTTCCGCCACTCTTGCCGCGTCTTGTAGGCCCCGCGAGAATCGATGCTCCTTGCCAGCTCCACTGGACGCTCCCCAGCAGCACCACGGGCCTGACAGCTGGCATTTTCAGAGTTCAGTACCGCAGAACGCTCTGAGCGCATCCACGGTGGCCATTGCAATCATGGAGCGAATCCCGCTCTGGACGCTTAATATGTCTTTCGGCGCCCACTGGATATCTGCCCATTGTATGCAATGCTCATTGTATGCCATGCCATGCGCTGGGCCTTTCGGCTCTTTGGCTCGCGTAAGTCCCGATGGACTTAACCCTCAATTCTTATATCTCCCACGTTCGACGTTCTACCTTCGACCTTCAGGGTACTCGCTCAAGCCCCCTTAGCCTTCCCCTGCAATGCCTCCCTCCGACACGCATCCTCCAACAATCCCCTGTCGACCTTATCCGGCGGCAAGTGCACATACCGCACGACACTCCCGCGGATGAAAATGTTCCGCACGCTCGACAGGTGCGGGTACTTCAGCTCATCCAGCACCACGATGTCGTCGAGCTTGATGTTGAGGTATTGGTCGACGGATTTGAGGGTGCCGCGGATGGAGATGTCGTTCTTGAGCTCGACGGTCACGGTCTGTTGGGTTAGGGTTTTGAAGAAGCTGTTTTTCCATATGCAATTAGTGAATGCGTCTTGCGGGAGATAGCAGGAGCAGAACGGAACACGGGTTTGAGGCATTTACCTGAAGAAGAGCATGTTGGGTAGGCTTGTGGGAGGTGAGGTGAGGTGGATGGGGAAGAATTGATTTGATCGCTACTGTGTAGTGCTGTTCTCGTGGACTTGAGTTGCGTGCTCCGGGTACGCGTGCGGGGTATGGGATCTATCGAGCGAGTGGCTTCGGTGTGCTCATCGAACTACGAGGGACCAGTGAGGATAGCACATAGTACGAGTCGAATGTCATTCAAGCCGCACCCACGCACTGCAGTCTACGGTGTAGTGGCACTTCGGCACGCGGAATTAATGCCAAGAAAGTGTGGGGAAGCTGCGATTAGGGTTCTTTGATCTGCAGGACTCGGATACGGCGCATCATTCTGGCTGGTCTGTGCTTTTCCTCTGCCTGTCCAACTTTTATTCTTCAGTGTTTGCAAATCCATCTTCTTGGCCTTCCTACTGGTATCTGCTGCTTTTCGAGATTCTTAGCATACGTCCATCTCCTCTTGTGACTGACCTGACGCCTGATATCACCATTGCAGCCGATATCTGAAACCTCTCGCCTGCTCTGGACGGATTTCTCGCTTACGGTGCACGACGTTGACGAAGCAATGCCAGTGGCTCGGTAACGGCGCGTGTAGCGACAATGTGGCGCAATCGCCGTGGCGAGCGTTGCCTTTCTGGTCGAGGCCAATCTGCGGCTATGATGTCAACGACAACTTGGATCTGTTTACGATCGCAGTTCTCCTTCCTCTTTCCCTGCGGTTGAGGTCCCCTTTCCTGGCGGATCGTCAGGTGCTTTTGCATGGTAGGTTTGGTAGGCGACGGTCTCAGCCAGTCAAGCTTGCAGCGCAATATTGCCTTGAAATCTCAGGCTTGTCTTGATTGAGGCGACATGTGCCTTTTGTCGATGTACTGCCCAGCTTTCCCTGTAGCAGGACGACTTTCGTTCCATTTCTAGTCTTGTTCTCGCCGTTTCTACCCAACTTAATTTCACATATTGCTGCAGGTCTTACATCGGGAATTCCAGTCACCTTCGACGCAAGGTGGAAAGTGATATCTTTACTACAAGCTAAGGACATCAACACGGCCACTCAACGCGCAACACGCGGTCCAAGAGGCCTTCTCTCGCTTCCAGATGTCACAAACTCAGCTGCGAACACGGGCACACGCAGCTGTCGATTACGAGGAACAGGCCAAAAAGCTCTCTTTGGAACCCTCGACGAACGGTCAAGATCCCGATGCATCAGGTCATGCGGTCGAAGCCACCTTCATCACCCCCCTCGACCCCGTTATCGAGACCGCCGATGGCAACAGGCTGCCAGCGATCCCGATCCAGGAAGCGCACAAGATAAATCTGCTGAAAAACCGTTCGGAAGGCAGACCATACCATCCTGTGCGACCGAGAGGGTTAACGCGCTTTGACAGGCAGAACGCAGGGGTCGGCGCGGTCGACAGGAATGAGCTGTTGAAGGACGACCAGGAGAGCGAGTCGAGTCGGCTAGATGAGGCCATACCCGTCCTACATACCCATCCGCTCTTTCCGCCCCTGCCTCTATACGGACCCCCTTCGCTGCTGCGCGATTTGCAGTGCATCTTCTTCCGAACGACATCGGCATTCCTGTCAACGGCATTTCTTGCTGTTGTTGTCCTCGGAGCGATCTTCACATCAGTTCCCCATCTCTTCAAATACATTTGGCTGTGGCTCACGTTTCGAGATCCGGCCAAGCAGAGACCATTCTACGAAGAAGAACAAAGCCGTGCGGCGATCCGTAGGGAGAAAGAGAAGGAATGGAGCTCACGAAAGAGGAAGCGCACTGCACCCACCAACGATGAGACTAGAGAATGCCCGAATCTGCCGCGAAACGAATACGAACCCCTAGAGGGAGGCCCGGACAAGTTGGTCTGCGACATCAGATACTATGCCCGTCGTGTCGGGCTCGATGCGGAACAGTTCAAGGTGCAAACCGAGGATGGTTTTATCCTGACGCTGTGGCACATCTACAACCCAAAGGAATACAAGCCTAAAGCGGACTCGGGCCGAGAGCCTGATTCTCCTGTTGTTTTCTCAAAATGCCAAGAAAACCTCCAGCCACACGTTCCCAAACAGTATCGCGACGGTGATCGGAGGTATCCGGTGCTCTTAATGCACGGCCTGTTACAGAGCGCTGGAGCTTACTGCTCAAACGACGATGACAGCCTGGCATTCTTCCTTTGCAAATCCGGCTACGACGTGTGGTTGGGTAACAACCGATGCGGGTTCGTGCCTGAGCACAGTCTTCTTCAATACCATGACCCGCGTATGTGGGCATGGAACATGCGCCAAATGGGAGTGATGGATCTACCGGCGCTCATGTCTCGTGTTCTTGAGGAGACCGGATTCGAGAAGCTTGGCCTGGTCTGTCACAGTCAAGGGACCACGCAAACATTTGTTGCGCTGGCAAAGGAGCAACGGCCGGACCTGGGAGACAAAATTAGTGTCTTTTGCGCGCTGGCTCCAGCAGTCTACGCTGGACCTCTGATCGGCAAAATGTATTTCAAGTTCATGCGCGTTATCTCGCCAGCGATGTTCAGAATTTTCTTCGGTATTCACGCCTTCATTCCGTTGATGATGGCGATGCACCGCGCATTACCTGGCAAACTCTATGGCGCGATGGGGTACCGAGTCTTTTCGTTCCTGTTCGACTGGACCGATACACGATGGGATCGCGGTCTCCGGAATCGCCTGTTCCAATTCTCCCCCGTCTACGTCAGTGCAGAAAGTATGCGATGGTGGCTGGGACGCGAATGCTTTGCGAGACAGAAGTGCATCCTTGCTACACGAGAAGATTGGCAAACGGAAGATGTGGAGGATGAGGAAAGAGAAGAAAGTCGCGAACGCGCGGAGGCTCGAAGTTCTGATCGTGGCAAAACGGCTTGGTATGATGAACATGTCCCTCCCATAGCACTCTGGGTGGCGGGGTGTGACGAACTCGTCGACGGCCGGAGACTCCTTAGGAGGTTCGAACGCGGACGCGAGCCCCATGTTAAGGTGGTGCACAGTAAGGTCATTGAGGAGTACGAGCATCTCGATGTGATTTGGGCGTTGGACTCCATAGAGCAAGTCGGCAAGGAAGTTCGTCAGGTGCTCTGGCAGACAATGCCGGAGGATGCGAGGCGCATATGCAGGAGGGTATCTGGGGTTGACGATGCGGTGGAGGAGAGAGAACAACACTCCGACGACCAACTTCAGTAACTCTCAGGGACGAGCATAGCGTTGATGTCCGCATGTGCAGAAGCAATATACAGAAGACGTACGAAGTATTGATAGACTTCTCGGGCAATCTCACAAGGAGCGAATCAACGTAGTGCCTCCGCGCGAGCGAAGGTCGCAAACCCCGGGAGAGACTCGATGCCCTTTTGACTCGATTGGGCAGGCCTATGCGGTACTCGACGAGTCGCAAGCTGCCTACCAGCGATTCACCCTTATCATCAGGCCAGGATGATTCCTATGCTGAGGTTCCCTTTCGTTGTACCTCTACTGTGTAGTCTCTATCCGACGATTACTGTGTCGAGTCAGCACGAAGATAGGGAATTAATTATTACGTGCAGAGAGGAATCCGTCACAGCGCTTGCCTCACTGATAAGAGATGGACATGAGAGGGGCGACCATACCACGCAGCCACGGTCCAGATGTATTTTGATATACTGCTTGGGATGGTGTATACTATATTATATCGACGACCTCGTGGCATGCAGGTCGAAACCGATGACAGGCATCAACACCCTGAAATCGAATATTTTGATATCCGGGGTGTTTGCGGTGTCTGCGGTAAAGGTTTCAAGCGGACGCAGACACGTTTAGGCTTGCCAATCCAACGACTTGGGCACCCTTGGCTACGTCAAGTTGGGCTCTTAGGCTCTTAGCACGGCGCCGGCGGCATCGGCATCCTCCAGCGGCCGGTCGCGATTGTTCTCCCTCCTCCACAACTTTGTCCCCTCCCCTCGTGCTCTTATCTTTCGCCTCGCTAACCTCCGCCCACTCATCATGCGCTAAAATCTCTCCCTCTGCCACCCTTCGTGATGGCCCTGGTGGCCCCTCGTGGCTTTGGAGAAAGCTGTTGCTTCATCCTCTCCACCCCCTCCGATAACCAAGCGTCAAATTACCCGATGAAGCCCTAGCTGGGTGCCTGGAAGGGCCAATGAATCCCTGATGCCTCCACTCCCGGCGGCCTTTCTACGTCTCTGAGAGGCTCGCCAGCTTCGTCGGCCGCTTCCAAGCCGGTGCCATGCTTTTTGGCGTTGTGGTTTCCTTACTAGTGATGCGATGCTTGAGTATCCACGGCCTTCGTTTCTGTTATGAATACATGTACTCCGTAGGCGGCCCTCATCTGTCGCCCGTCCTCTGCGCTCTCCTCCAGTCGATTGTTGCTTATTGCGCCGCTGCTGTGGGAGCTGGTGACAGGCACTCAATCACGAACCCACGCCATCGCCTCGGACTTGACACGGCCAGACGTCACTGTACATATTCCATGAACACACCCTGCAGTCCGGCGACGCAACAACATACGCGACCCCCGCAATCATGAGCGCCGAGCGCAATTTCAGTACTGCCTCGCAGACACATCGCAGGTCTGTCGCAGAAGAGCCTGTTACATCAGTGTTGGCTGGGACCGAAGTGCCAGTGTATGATCGAGAATTGACGGCCGACGAAGAGGTTCTCGCTGCTCTTGGTTACAAGTATGTTTGCAATAGCTGTGCACCTCGACCGAGATGTATGCTGATACAAGTCCAGACCAGAATTCAAGCGTGAATTCTCATTATGGACCTCCTTTTGTGTGTCGTTCGCCGTTCTTGGCCTGTTGCCATCGTTCGCCTCGACGCTGTGGTATGGCATGGGATATGCTGGAACTCCTGGCATGGCGTGGGGGTGGCTGATTGCCATGGGCTTCATTCAATGCGTCGCTATGGGCATGGGTATGTCAGGACTTGGCTTCGAATCTCATCTACGCGCTCTGCTGACCTTGTGCCAGCTGAATTGTGCTCGTCGATGCCCACATCGGGTGGTCTTTACTACGCTGCAGCAGTCCTTGCTCCTCCAGGATACGGTCCTATCGCTGCCTGGATCACCGGTTGGTCCAACTGGCTGTGCCAGGTCACAGGCGCGCCCTCGGTCAACTATGCACTGGCCTCCATGATCCTTGCGGCAGGGTCGATCAACAACCCCGGCTACGTGCCGCAAAACTATCAGGTATTCCTTCTGACAACCCTGATAATGATCATCCATGCATGCATTTCTTCGATGCCCACACGTTGGATTGCGACGTTTAACTCGTACGGCAGTACCTTCAACATCATTGCGCTGGTGATCACGGTCATCACCATCCCCGCGGCGACGAACCGGACTTCGCAAGGACTGCCTCGCTTCACCAAGAGCAGCACAGTGTGGGGCAACTTCTACGAGGGCACAGATTACCCAAATGGCGTGGCTGTACTCATGTCATTCATCGCCGTGATCTGGACCATGTCCGGCTATGATGCGCCCTTCCATCTGGCAGAGGAATGCAGCAATGCCAACATCGCCAGTCCACGTGCAATCGTGCTCACGTCTGGGGTGGGCGGGTTAATGGGTTGGTTCCTGCAGCTGGTCGTGGCGTACACTGTCATCAGCATCGACGATGTTCTCGACTCGGACCTGGGCCAACCTTGGGCGTCTTACTTGTTGCAAATCCTGCCTAGGAACACGGCTTTGGCTATTCTATCCATGACAATCATTTGCGGCTTCTCCATGGGTCAAGGATGCATGGTCGCCGCATCGCGAGTCACCTTTGCCTACGCCCGCGACGGCTGCTTCCCTGGCTCCAGGTATTGGGCCCAAGTCAATCCAATCACCAAGACTCCGGTCAACGCGGTCTGGTTCAATGCGGCGATCGGTATTCTACTAACCCTGCTCCTCTTTGGAGGGGAGGCATGCATTGGAGCCATTTTCAGCGTCGGCGCCATTGCCGCCTTTGTCGCCTTCACCATCCCCATCACCATTCGAACTTTCTTTGTCGGCAGCCGATTCCGCCACGGACCGTGGCACCTCGGCAAGTGGTCCTATCCCATCGGCGTGGCATCGACCTGCTTCACCTTGTTGATGATCCCTATCCTCTGCCTTCCCAGTGTGACTGGCAAGAACCTGGATGCGTCACTCATGAACTGGACATGCTTGGTCTGGGGTGGTCCAATGTTGGGGGCCCTGGTGTGGTGGGTGGTGGACGCTCACAAGTGGTTCAAGGGCCCGAAGGTCAATATCCAGCATATGATGCTCGGGAGGGGGGACAACGTTATCGAAGGAAAGGACCAGGGCTCGGATTCGGGCAGTGGAATTTCTCCAGCCGTCGTGACTGGTGCGGACAAGGCCGATACGAAGGTGTGATTCTACCACGGTAGAAACATGTTACGAGAGCATACGCCGCAAATTGATCCAGGCAGTATATGATGTGTCTCTTGCCTGGCTGTGATAATTTGAATTAAATACCTTCGAGGGCCTTGCTTCACATTCTTGTCCAATCGTGCCGCATGAATCACATCATGCATTTCAGCCGCTCCCAGACCAAGCCACATCTAATTTCGACTTCCTTTCGCCAGGGTCCCTAAGGTCTTCAGCGGGACAGCAGCACGTGCCTTGCGTCAGAGGGGGAGGACGGACAGTACCGCGGGGAGATGCGCCTTTTCATTGGCGACTTCGGTGTGGCCGGGCTGATTGCTTCCAGAAAAGCTTGCAAGACACGCACGATCGACGCCGCATGTGTTCAGTTGCATTGGGAACTCGTGGCCCGGGACAATCTCTCGGTCTTGCCAATGGCAACGCTGGCTGGGCCTTGACTTGACTCGTGCGATAAGCTTCGAAAAGCTTTGACAAGACACGCCTCAGGATCGGGCTTAAGACGGCCTGCACTGTACGTACGCGTACGCCGGACGAGTACAGAGCCCTGACGGCCACGGATACACGCTGCCGGCCTGCTTCTCCTCCAATAATTACCCATGTTACAAATGCAGTTGGTAGCACTGGGTATCTCTCTGTCACTCTTCGCCGACCCGCTTACTCTCCAGACCTCTCGCCATCCGACCTGCGCTACGCTACCTACAGTTACATCACCAGCATGGCTCGGCCACTCGTATGGCGACAACCTCGGCGATGGACGACTTCGAGTATTGACGACCTGCTTCAAGAGGCAACGATCCTCCGACCAGCCTCCACTCTCCCCCACAACTTAAGCAAGACGAAGGTTTATCAAGCTCTATCAAGCTCTTGTGAGCAGGGTATGAGCAGCACCAGCGCTACAGTACCTTGATCAACAATGCAACCTTCCTATCGAGGGTAATCGTGCACGCAGCACCAGAGCCCGCACGTCATGCTCATGCGACAACTTGCCAGTCGCGGCGCACAGATCTGCTGTGCAAGGGTCGAAAGGTAACCCAAAGGCAAGCTAAGAAGGTTAAGAGCCATGATGGGGCCGGCCCATAAATACAAACTCTGTGTCGCGGTGCCACAAACATTCTCTTCTCTGTCACCTCTGCGCCTGTCCAGAGCTTCTGGCAATCATGCATTTCCCGACATTGCTGACGGCATCGCTGGCGGCTGGCGCGCTTGCGCAGTCCGTGTCGGTCTCCAACCCGCACAAGAGAGCGAAGAAGGTGGTCAAGCGAGCTCCCTTGCAGCGTGATGCCTTGCCTCTGGCGAAGCGACAATCGCCAAGCTACTTGACGCCTCAGACCGAGCGTGGGTGTCCCATCTTGCGACTCCGTCGCAGCCCAGCGGAGGACTGACAGAGCATAGCATTCGAGGTCAACGGCACCGGTATCCCCGAAGTCAACTTCGACATTGGCGAGTCGTACGCCGGCACGCTGTCCATCGACGGCAATGCCACCAACGAGAACCAACTGTTCTTCTGGTTCTTTCCCTCCGACAACCCGGCCGCCTCGGACGAAATCACCATCTGGTTGAATGGCGGTCCCGGATGCAGCTCGCTGGATGGCCTCCTCCAGGAACACGGCCCCTTCCTCTGGCAGAGCGGGACCTACGCCCCGCAACGCAATCAGTTCTCCTTCACCAACCTGACCAATATGGTATATATCGACCAGCCCATCGGTACAGGCTTCTCCCCGGCTGCAGCCGGCGCGCCTGGGAAGATCAGGAACGAAACCGACGTGGCTCGACAATTCGCGGGCTTCTGGAAGAACTTTATGACGACCTTCAACATGACTGGCCGCAAGGTCTACCTGACCGGCGAATCGTACGCGGGCATGTACATCCCGTACATTGCGAGCTATTTCATCGACCAGAACAACACCGACTATTACAACGTCGCCGGCATCCAGATCAACGACCCGAGTATCGGGCTCGACTCGGTCCTGACTGAGGGTAAGTTTCGAAGCTTTGACAACGTGTTGCCTTACTGATATGCCTCCAGTTCCTGCCGTGACGCACCTGAACAACTACGCCAATGTGTTTGGACTCAACCAGACGTTCATGACCGCGATCAACAAGCGGGCCCACGACTGTGGATTTCCTCAGTACATGAACAACGCATTGACCTTCCCTCCCAAGGGCAAGTTCAAGGAACCCGTCAACGCCACCAACGAGAGTAAGTGACGCAAGGAAGGCCGCACGCAACGCTAATGGCCATACAGACTGCTACATCTGGGAAGACATCATCGCCGCGGCCATCTACGTCAACCCGTGCTTCAACTTCTACCATCTGACTGGTGAGTTCGCGCTGTGCACGTTCTGCATCTACCCGTTCAAAAACTGACCCACCGGCCTCCAGACTTCTGCCCCTTCCCCAACGACGAATTAGGGTTCCCCTCCGAAGGCGACGGCCCCAACAACTACTTCAACCGCACCGACGTGCAACAGGCCATTCACGCCCCTCCCACCTCCTACGCCATCTGCGGCGACCCGACGCTCTTCCCCAAAGGCGACCCGTCGGCGCCCTCGTCCTTCACCGTTTTACCACATGTCATCGAACACACCAACAACGTCATCGTGGGTTCCGGCCTGCTCGACTATCTGTTACTGACCAACGGCACGCTCATGACCCTCAACAACATGACCTGGAACGGCAAGCAAGGGTTCCAGACCAAACCGTCGGGCCAGTTCTTCGTGCCGTACAACCCGACGATCGGGTACGCATTTTATGAGACCTTCACGCAGGCCCAGATCCCCGAACTGCCTGTGGGGTTGGTCGCTGGCGGAGGCATCCTGGGCACGACGCACACGGAGCGCGGCCTCACGTGGGTGACCGTCGATTTGGCCGGGCATGAGATCCCCCAGTACGTGCCCGGCGCCAGTTATCGGCAGTTGGAGCTGTTGTTGGGGCGGATCAAGAGCCTCACGCAGATCGATCCGCACTTCACGACGCAGAGCGGGAATTACTCTGGGAGTACGCCTTTGTAGGGTGGGCGTGCGGTGGTGACGAAGGATGAATACTTTACGTACGGGAAAAGAAAGAGAAGCTGCGGCCGTAATAAGTCGGTGACTCTATTGATCTTCGAACGAGGGTATGGACCACGTTCCGTAATCTACATGAGTGGAGATACGTGTGTGGGTATATCTAGTGTACCCAGTATGGATATCCACATGCAAGATGAAATGCAAGATCATGAATTCCAAAAGCTCTAGCGGACTCTCGTACAGTGACGCGGAGGGCGGGTGCCTTTTCAGTGGATGTGATTTCGGGTGGAAGGGCGTAATCCAGGCTCGAGACGTGAGCGGCGAGATGCGTATGGTTACGAGATTGAAGATGCAGCTGCATATCGGGGCCCGTGCAAGCAGAGGACTGATCATTCTTTTCCCACTCGCGGAGAACCACAGTACAGTACACGTCCCCGCAGAGAAGGGTTACCGTGCACGTACTCCGCTGGTACCTACTGGAGTGTGTTTACTGTGTCGGACCGCAGCCGAAATACGTGAGGGTTCGCCGAGAAGTATCGGAGTCTTCCCGATCTTATGGCTCCAGGCTAGATTATGTATCGACAAGTCTTGCGCACGCGGACTTTGACGACACGCGTAGATAAATGTGTAGGACAAAACAAGACACGAAGAAGTGCGCTTATTCGAACATCTTAGATTCTTTGATCTTTGTACTTCCTTGTGTATATGCCGCGATGATCAGTCTTTCCAGGTGAGATCAGGGAGTGTGTCTACACCTGCCCTTACCCTAGGCATACCCTGCCCTGCCCAAGCACCTGCTTCTATGTAAATACTCGTCCTCGCGCTCTCTACCAATCGATCATTGCCTCTACTACAGCAGAAATCCCCCCTTGACGATTCTGCAACATGGGCTCAAGCGGCCCATGCCCTCTCGACATACACATACCCAGCCTCAACATCGAGGACCTCCGCGCAAGCTATACCGCCCGAACCCTCTCCTCCGGGGACGTCATCCGGAACGTCTACGCGAAGATATCCGCGTACCCTGACCCTGCCGTCTGGGTCTACCTAGTCCCGCTCGCGGAAGCGATGACGCGCGCCGAGGAGCTCGCGGCGACGTAGTATCTCGACGACAGCTCGGCGAACGACCCGCTCGCTCTGCCTGGATCCCCTTCTCGGTCAAAGACAGCATCGATATCTCCGGCCTACAGACCACCCTAGCATGCCCCATCCTTCGCATACACAGCCTCGGAAACCGCGCCCGGGATCACCCGCATCCTCGCCGCGGGCGGAATCCTCGTCGGCAAGACCAACCTCGACCAATTCGCCACGGGGCTCGCTGGTGCAAGATCCCCCTACGGCGCGCTCCGCTGCGTGTATGATGACCAGTACATCTCGGGCGGGAGCCCTTCGGGGTCCGCAGTTAGTGTGGCCGCCAGCTTGGGTCTCCTTCACCGTATGCACGGACACGGGCGGCAGCACGCGCGTTCCCGCGGCGCTGAACGGGATCGTCGGGCCTAAAGCCTACGCTCGGCACGATCAGCAGTGTGGGATTGGTCCCGGCCTGCAAAAACATCGACTGCGTGTGCGTGATGGGACCGAGTGTGCGGGATGTCGAGATCGCGTGGGATGTCATGAGGGCGTTTGATGAGCGCGATGTCTTTGCGAGGAGGCAATTGCCCACGTGGCCTGCGTGGCGCAATCCCGTGCGGTTCGCGGTCCCGCCGGCGGACGAGCTGCAAGGGCAGCTGTCCCCTGCGTATGCTGCGCTGTTTGGCAAGGTTGTTGATGCGTTGAGTGCCACGACATGGTGTACTTGTATCGAGGCTCCCAACACGTTCGACTACGCCCCCTTCGCCGCCGCCAACCAAATGCTCTATGACTCGCCCATCGTGGCCCAGCGCCTCCTGGCATTCCAGTCGTACATCGCCTCGCATCCAGGCCTGGAGGATCTGCACCCCGCCATCCGCACGACTTTCCAACAAGCGCAGGGCCAACGGTTCAGCGCCGTCCGTGCGTATGATGACATTTTCAGGCTCGCTGGGCTCCGGCGCCAAGCCGACATTCAGTTCCAGAATCGCGTCGACGTGCTTGTCGTGCCCAGCACGGTCGACCACTTCACCGTGGCGCAGTTGGAGGAGGAACTATGGTGCGGAACAAGGCCATGGGTCGGTTCACGAATTTTGTCAACTTGCTTGATTTGGTGGCCGTGAATGTGCCTGTGGGGTGGTGGGAGGGGGGGAAATGGCAAGATGTTGCCCTTTGGGGTTACGGTGGTGGGTCAGGCTGGGAAGGATAGAGAGCTTTTGGCTTTTGGGGGAGAGGGTTATGAGGATAATGGCTGTGGAGAAGGCGGTGTGGAAGGGGTTCATGATGATATGTCTGACGTGGAATTGATCTCCTCGAAGTAGGAGATACTTGTAGGTAGGTCAAGGTCTGGTCGTTCCGTTCCTCGCGTGCGTGTGCGTCTAACATGTCTGCAACGTTTGGTTCAACTGTGGTCAATAAGGCGAAACATCGACATATCACACCTCCCTGCTACTCCGTCCTCTTGGCGTGGATCATGGATGATCGAGGTTAGGTACATGTGGTGAGAAGATTGCGCAAGTGAGACTGAATATCCGGTTGATGACTGGGAGACGCAGAACAAGGCTCACCTACTACTGCTCCTATACGAGAGTAGCAACGTCTAATTCGAGGCCGTCCCGTGCATCGCAATCGCTCAACGTCGATCATAATCGTCGGCCAGGCGTCGTACTCCTAAGGCGGCCGCGAGAGATAGACAACAGACAGATCCGACGGGCTCGACCTCGTCGAACTTCTGAGTCTGCCGGAACATCTCCGTCGGATGCGGAGGTCAGGGTGGATGAGACCACTCTGTCTGAACGCCGTGGTGCTGAACGGGTTATGGGTACTTATGTAGCCGCTATGTTGGCAAGGGAAGTCTGTCCAACAGGGCGGATAAGGTCAGCTTTCAGATCTAGCCGTGTACCCAGGCCAGTTGGGAGAGATAACTAATTAAGGGGCCTCCCAGATCAGGCGTACAGAGAGGCAATCAACCGCGAAATTCCTGTGGTGCCTTCGACGAGGGGATCGAGGACATGTTTGGATCCGAGGCTGGCCGCACATAGTGATGGGCGAAGACTGTCGAAACACATCCCCGAACATACAGTACGAGGAGAGGACGACCGGTCCGTGCACGACGTGACCGCGCTCAGTCTTGGCAGCGTACAGTACGTGGTTTGTATAATTACGTGACCAGTGCAAACGATTCCTTACGACTTATTTCGCGTACACCTCTCACGCCTTTCTGATTGGAAATGTTTGCCAGCACCCTTGCCCCCAAGCAGAGCCTCGCCAACTGTCCCGTCAGGAGGTAGAGTGCCACAAAAGCCGCGCCGTTGCACCGACGCGCTTCAAGCGGATGATGAGTCGGCCAGCGTGGGTGAGTAAAGCTTCGGCCGGGCTCGGCCGTCAGCGTGGTTTCGCTTAATCATCACAGGCGACTTTCACCGAGATTCGGCGTGTCCCAGTCGTGGTGCCTACCCAATGATCTGCCGACATGACGGGCGCGGATTGGGGACAATGAATCCATGAGAACACTCTACGTCGGTATATAATAGCGCTCCAGGGGAGACTGACGGCGCATCATGAACTCAGGTCGGACCCATATCGAGTCAAAGGCTGGGATAAGAGTCCAGCAGTCTACGATTTGGAGGATGAGTATGTGGGCTTGACCTACAAGATCTCGCCACGGGAATGAAAGGGTGTTGGACTTGCAGAGGTAAACACGCATCAGGGGGTATGAACGTTTAGCGGGCTGATTTCTGCTTAGAGCGCAAAGTCCGATGTGACTTGCACCGGCCGAGATGTGGCAATTGCACAAAGGCGCGGCGCGTCTGTCAAGGCTATGGCATTAAGCTCTCCTGGCCACGAGATGGCGACAGAAAAAGGGCCATCATCTCGCGAGATACGCGCCGTGCAGGGAGCACTCTTCAATCACATGTCAAGATGTTCTTGAATGTATCTTCCTGGGACATATCGCTGTCGAAGGAGGTCGAGAACGGGAGGATTTCGGGTGACACCCACCTCCGCCACACTCTCCAGCTGCTTGATACTAACGGCAGTTACCGGCAGCTCGTTCCCTTCGGACCATGAAAGTCCCTCGTCCGACCTATCTATCGCCCACTGTCATCAACGGAGAAGAGTCGCATCTACTGGGGTTCTGTATGAAGGACGGCTCTCCACACCCGATCGTCATGCTGACCAAACCGTCCCAGTCAACAGTTCAAGATCACTGATACTAGGCCCTACGGACGAGGAGGCTTTGGCACAATTTATCTTGACAATTGCCTTCTCCAATCCATCCGATGCGACCAATCCTGTCCTACAAGGCGTGTTTGCTCTCGCGTCACTACAGCTTCACGGCAATTTGAAGAGCTATCGCTACAAGCATCTCGTCATATCATCCGTCAAAGAGTCAATCAACTGGCTCGACGAGAAGACACTGCTTCAGAACTTGATGGCAACGATGCTTCTGTATCATTATGAGGTAGTAGAACCCCCGGTCCGCACAGGCCTGCCATGGCGGGCTAATGATAACAGCTCTCGCTCGAATCAAATTCCAAAGGGAGCTGGGTAATATACCTCTGCGCAGTGAAAAGGATCATCAACACATCCCCAGCAATTCAGAAGCTGGTCCGGCAAGAATATTCGGTCTTCCTTGATTGGATTTATTATCACGAGGTCCTCGCAGAATTCACAGTCAGGCATTGGAAGATCCCGTATGAAGGTTGCGGCTTTGTCCCCACCGCAAGATCACCCAGAGCCATCGAGGGAAGCGGTCCAAAGGTAAGTGGCAGCACTTTGCTCTTTCCCCTGACATCATCTAATACTGCGGGCAGGGAGAAGACAACATCGGCTGTCCGACCGATGTGCTCCAGCTCGTAGTACATACATGTAGACGAGCTCTAGCCACGAAACCCTCCGAGATGAATGATGCGAATGCTACAGATGTGCTGGAACACCACATTTCCAAGTCAATAGGAGATTATGGCCCGATCCACGTACCGTCTGCGGACCCGATAGACCGGAACACTATGGTCGCCGATCTTCATCGACTCGCGTGCTTGATCTACGTCAATCGGGTGGTCCATTGTGTTTCAGGAACAGAGTTCCGTCACAGGCGACTTGTGAGAGAGGGAATATTGCTGTTGACCAAGATGACAACATGCCAGAACGCGTGGCCATTGTTCATTATCGCCTGCGAAGCGATGGGCGATGACCAACGCCTTGCTATCCTGGACGTCTTTGAACAAAGTCGGCAAGACCGAAGACGAAGATCAAGTCACATTCATCTGATTCAGCATATGGTCGAAGCAGTGTGGAACCAGCACGATCTGAATGCGGAGAATCAAGTCGATTATCTAACAATCTTCGACGCGGTTATTGCTGGCGTCCCATTCATACCACCATTTGCCTGACTCCAGGTCAAACTCATGGTCCCCCTCCATTCTACTCGTTGTGCCGATGTTCTATCAAGATAGGTCCCCGTTCAGCTTCTGGGCTAGAACCACTCATCATGATTTCCGTGATGTGTCAGAAACTTCCCACTGTCCGCTTCCGTCAAATTCTGAATCACCTGAAGCTGATCGGTAACCGACTCATCCACCGAAATCGGCCCCTCGACGGTCGGGTCGATCTTATGGAATGCATTCAGCATGAATTTACGGATTTCCGGGTCGCCTGTGACGGCTTTGGCTGTTCCGCAAGTCAGTCATCTGTGCTCGACACGGTTCGCCTTGCCGATGGGCATACCGGCATCTGTGTTCACCCAGCCTGGACTCATCGACAGCGTCTTGATGCCCTCCTGGGCCAACTCCGCGCCGAACTTGGTGGTGATAACGTTCATGCCGGCCTTGCTGACGGAATACCCGAGCAGGGTGGCAAGGCCAGTGACACGGGTGAACTCGACGTCTCCACACTGGCTGGAAACGAAGACAATCTTTTTCTCCACGCCGTTACGCACGAGACCGAGGAAGCAGTTGACGAGATAGATATTGCTGAGCAGGTTATTTTTGATCTGTGTGCGCCGTCAGTCAACTTTTGCTTCACAGGCGTTGCTCAAGTGCTAGCTGGAAAGCATACGTTCTCGTGAATCTCGTTCTCCAAGGCGTCCTCTCTACCGTGACTGGGGTGCGCAATGTCAGCAATCTGCAACACTCAGTGGTGCGTTCACTCACAAAGCACTGGGCGGTAGGGTGCTGGTCTCTGGCCCCGCGGAGCCGGCGTTGAGAATCAAGACATCAAGCGACCCGCCCGTCACTTTGGCGACTTCGGCGGCGGCCTCGTCCAATTTCCTCGGGTTCGACATGTCAGTGACGACAATGTGGATGTTTTTGCGCTTTGCCGCAAGCTCCTCGAGCGGACCGGCCGTTGCTCGACTTCGAATGAGGGCAAACACCTTGTTCTTTGGATCGACGGACTTTGGGCGGGGGCGGTCAGTGTCAGCGGCTGGCATTCTGTTTGCCTGTGGCGGTAGACTCACAAGATTGTCGACGAAGCCGAGCTGCAAAGGATACTCTTGTTAGCATGTGAGGAACCAGGATGCTCCTTTTAGCATGTGATCGACGTGATTATGGTGTTGACCTGGGGGAAGCTTGCTTACGCCGATGCCTCGCGTCGCGCCCGTGATGGCCCAGGACACCATTTTTCAGTCGCGTCGAGATCCAGGTAGACAGGGTAAGGAATTGACCAGTAAGCTCGCTTTACTGTACTCAGTTCGTTTGGTTGTGGTTGTGGTGTTCCATCGACAGAAGGGGGATTGCTGTCGGACTCCCATCCTCTTATACCCATCGCCGCACCCATCGCATGGAAAGGAGTGTTTACTGTAATCGCCGGAAAGTATTTGCGATGGTGACATCAATATTTCATGTTTGATGTGTTCGCTGATACGGGACTGTCGAACGGGCTGGGCGGTATTTCACGCAGTATGTAGAATCATGTAAAGTGAAGCAACTTTCTCCGACTTTTTTTGCAGGTGGAAGGAAGCGCAATTGCTAAGCAATGGCCGCGCCAGTGTTGACGTCGGCCCCGAAGTGCTTGCTCCAGCACCGCATGGCTCGTGGCAATGTACGACCCGGAGAGAAATCTTCACGATGACCAACTGACCAGGTCGAAGGGCTGAATCCCCCTCAGCCAGATATTGATTAATCACGGGACGTGTGACTGTCTTGGTTGCGACGAGGTATGTAATTAGTCCTTGTCGGTCACAACGCTTCTTGCATGGCCTTGAGGCGCCCGCCGTCTGACGCAAATTATTAGCATTGACCCGTGCTAGCAAGAATGAGTGGTAAAGAGCATGCAGGCATGCACAGAGCCAAGTCTATTCACCTTTGAGTTTCACATCTGACTGCCACGTTGGAACAAGATTCCCCATCCCTTGATCGATCTCGTGTCTACCCCGCCGATTCGACACAGATCCCACAGCACCGTGGCCACGGTGTCCAAGACAGTGATCCCGCTCTGGGCCTCCCACCTGTCCACCAAGTGCGCGGCCCTGAGCCCTGTGCAAAACACGGAGACAACACGCGCCCCTCGTCGTGCTAACTGCCGGAACCCATCATCCAGCGTCTCCTCGGAGATGTCTGCGAATCCCGCGTTATCGGATTGCCCCAGATGATGTTCGACGGAGCAGTCCACGCCAAACGCGCGGTAGTTCTCCATGATGGCCAATTGCACGTCGTCGGTATACGGCGTCAGCAGGCCCATCTGCGTAATTTCGAGAGTCCTGATCAGTCGGTTGAGTCCCAACACCGATGTCGTGGCGGGGATGCCGGTCGCGGCCGTGATCTCGTCACACAGCTTCGCGTCTGCGTCGAAGCCGAGCCATCCTGCCGACGTCCCGCTCCAGCCGATCACGTCGACTTTGGCGTCGGCGAGTAGGTGGGCGGCTTCGATGATGGCACTGTTGTCGAACTGGGCCAGGGCAGCGGGGTCGAGGGCGATCTTGAGTACTCGAAAGCGCGAGAAATGAACTGAGACATCGTGCAGTTGAGAGACGATCTGTTGCGTGAGCGGTTCCAGCACTGTGTTGGAGGAGGGCACAAGAACGCCGAACTTGATGCGGCGGATAGGCCTTTGCTTGGTCATGGCACCACTTGCATATATGCTAGACTTCCGAGGCAGTACCAGGTTGGGCTCCAGTGTCAATGTGTATGAGTGTGAGGGAACCACAAGATGAGCTGAGCTGTACTGGCTGGCAGCTGACCTTTTTCATCTGAGGACACGTTCAGTCTGACAGCACTCTGCCTTTGAATAGATGGACCCACGGGTTGTTGAGCCTCCTGCTGGAAGAAGGTTCTCGGCTTTGAACGCCGACTACGAGTTCCGCTTGTGGATCATGAACCCCCCCAGAAGGACGCGTTCAAGAATGTCTCGGCGAATCATGTTCAGAATTGCATAGCCCTCACCACATTGAACCCGGCGGCGGCTTGACAAAAACAAATGATCCGGTGGGGTCTGAGGATCTCACTGCATTGCCGTCCGTGTTGTCGGGTCGGGCCCGATCCGACAGCTGCAACATGACCGTTATCTCTTAGTCGTCGATTGGAAATCTCGCTGCAGACTTGGTCTAGCCACAGGAAATCCACTAGACTAGACCCAGGATCAGAAACCTGCGCTTGTGCCTCCATTGAACCATCCCAAGCCCTCTTCCTCCAGAAAGGCTTCAATTTCTCGGAAGTTCACAGGGTCACACTCGAAGTCACTGTCCTGGGTTTGGACAAACTCGGACATCGTCTCCCAGACGTCTATACTGTCTTTCGTCCAGACCTCATTCCCCGGTTGCTCCGCGTCGTAAGTAGCGGTTGAATGTGGCAAGTCAGTCCCGAGGACGGTGTTGCGGACCGTAACTGGTGCGTGAAGCGGTGATGGGAGGTGGACGGATACCGGCGGTGGTTAACTACTCGCGTGGGAACGCTTGGGACTGAGGATATACTCAGCCGTCTTTCCCATGATCAACTCGAAGGTATCGCGGTACTTCTTCGCCCCTGCGCCCCATTGTTCGGCAATCAAGTACAGCACAGTGGAGCAAGCGCCCAAGTCAGCCGCCATTTCAGCGTCGTAGAGACCGGGATCCGACCACGCGCAGTAGATCATCGAGAAGCCAGCCACAAACACGGAGTGTAGATCAAGCAGTGTGAAGGGGACAGATCTTGAGCGGTGAAGACGCCGGTTGAGCTGACAGACTTCGCCCGAAGACCTGGCGAAGGAAGAAAACGGGAATGCTTGATTGGGCAACTGGATTTCGGTGAGGATGGTCTGGAGGAGCATTCGGCGAGCTCGATGGTAGTTGAGCAGCAACACAAGACGCTGTGCTTCCGGTAGGGGAGGCCGCGACGCAGGGGTCTGAACAGGGGTCCTGGGAATTGAGTACATCAAGTCCGTCGAGCCCTCACCTCCGGCCGAGTGACCGAATATGGCACTTTTCCAATCTTCAATTTCTTGGAATCGCTTTGTAATCTTTCGCTCGACCTCTATTCTGCGACCTACTTTGGCGAGACGCGAGAGTGTGAGGCGGCTTCTCGCGTTGAGTTGATCTAGCAGAATGTTCTGGACGTGGAACAGAATGTCATTCCTGGCTGCTGTTGAGGTCGTTTCTGGCTTGCTTCTGGGGTGCGGTAACCCATGACTGATTTTTGAAGGCTCTGGGCTGTCCACGGAATGGCCGTCTTCGGTCTCACGGGGTAATGGAACGTCAATCTCATCATCGGTTATGGCCAACGGCCTTCCCAGTACCAAGGCGATTCTACGTTCTAGATGATAAATGCTGCAAAATAACCTCCGCTTAAATTCGTCCGCCCGGGCTGAGTTCTTATCTGTTCGCAATTGCCGGTGAAGCCCCAGCTCGATACATTGCCTGATCATCAAGCCGCACAGATGCCACACACTGGATCCTATTCGAATCGTCAGAAGATTGATGGCCAAGGGCGCTCCTCGAACGAGTTTGATGTCGCATTTGAAGCTGGATGAAATGATCATGATGCAAAAAAAGGGACGAATGAGCGCAATGAGCCGGACTGGCGACGTACCTGATGGTGAACGCAATGCATAGACGGCAACCAGGAGGATACTCTGGATATTCTGAATACTTGGCTCGTTAGCTTGATCTTGTATCTTTGCCATTGCTGAATGGTAAAGGTTTTCTGGCTCCGACCCAGCCACATATTCCGATCCCACCAGTTTCAAACAGCGAGAACCAATGGCATATACTAACTGCAACACCAGCTGATCATGGCGTGCTTCACTATTGGTCGGCTCATCCGCTTCATGCCGACTGTAGTGAGCCGTCCACAGTTGTCTCCGAGACAGAAATGGGAAATTAGGGTGTATGTAGGTCAAATAGGCGGCCATGAATGTTGTTAGCCTTTCTAAATCGGCAAGGGCGCAGCAGGCGGAGGGTCCCTCCGGCTCCTGCTCGAAAACGGACTTTCGGCCGCCTCTGCGGACAAACATAAGCTGGGGGTAGGCCGTGCTTTCTCGTAGACAGCCGTCTCAATCATCAAAGCTAAAGACACCCCAGACGACACTCCAAAGTATTGAGGTTCGGCCGCTGCATGGAGAGACAATAGCCCAACACTACTGGCAAGATTTGGAGTTGCTGCGTGGCAAGCCGAGCCCTCGTCTGAGCTTGTCGTCGTAGGATTGCCATTGTTGACGGAGATCTGCTCCTCTGGCTGGGACGGCCGCGAGGCGTCCAGTTGTGCTTCCAGGCACCCAACCCGAGTTTCCAGAGCCTTGACATAGGATGAGGGGTACTCATTCTCAGGAAAGACTCATTTGAGCTTTGCCCTGGCGCAATTGGAACAGGCTGGCAAATCGTTGTCGCACTGGAATTCGTTTAGTGTTGTTGTCACATTCTCGATGACTGGTGGCTTCCAAGGAGCAAAAGTACCTCTGGCGTCTCGTTTTACACCTCAGACATGCGACCACAACCCGGGGCCGCTTGTTTGGCCTCTGCAAGCACGGTTCTGATGATGCATTTGGTGGCCTCGAGCGATCGTCATGTCCGCTCATATTGGACAAGATGGGTCTCGCGAGCTGATTGGGCTTATGCTGATGCTTTGAGGGTGCGTGCATGCCGGAAGGTGAGATTTGCAGCAGAACAGTTGCATCGGGATTTGACCTGCGCTTGTCATGGCCGTGGGCTCAATATGCCAGACATCAAGACAGGGGAAATGGATCATCTCCACCATGAGACCGTACAGAGGCACCCGGCAGCCTTATCGCCTGCCAGGCCACGGAGTGCTTCTTATCTCTTATCGCGGGAATGGCTGTGATTGGATAGGGTGAGGAGCGAGAGGAGTACTCCGTTAAGAGGAACGTAAGTCGGGATGTTGAGCAGCTAAAAAAGCGGCGCGGTTTGGCCAAAGTCCGCATGGGAGCCGCCGGCAGGTGTCGCACGGCTTTCACTGCCAAGGCGCGTGTTGATGACTGTTCTGCCATGCGAGCGCGATGAACAGGTCCAGCACGGAAGACCGTGTAAAAGTAGCTTCTGAGCCATAACGGGAAATGGCATCCAAAACAGAGTGAATGAATGGTGGGTGAAAGGTAGGGTTTAGGCACCTTAGAGGGAGGACGGGGGATTCGGATGTCGCTTACATAATCTCTCTGCGTCTCGTGACAGCGCGTCATCTTAACGCGTCGGGGGATTGGGGGGATATCAAATTCATCCTTGGCAGATAGTGACTCAGTACGTTGTGCAGGACAATGTCCTCGTAGCTGGCGAGAACACGACTGCATGGCTTTCGAGCCCAGATCGTCGTCAGCACACAACCGTCTGATGGGCACCCGAATACCCCATCCGCTATCCACGAACTATCATAACGGTGACGAATTTCCTTCTCCTCCTGCAAAGCGAGTGAAGACTGCTGCTCCCAACGGCACCCCTAGCCCGAAACATAGGTCACCGAGGAAAATCCTTCCCGCGAGAAGAATCAAGGATGAGGTCCCAGACTCTGAAAGCGATGAGGATGGTGTGGATACAAGAGAGGAACAAACTTTGGATGCCTTGAGCGGTACACAGTTAGAGGCTACTCTCCCACCCGTCCAGACGGACGAAGAAGCCATCGAGGCATATGAAGCCTACAAGGCCGGCGAACGTTTCGAGACGGGCCCCGAGCAGGGGGACGAAGGTACAACACTGTCGCGGCTGGAGTCGCGTTCTTGGGTTCGAGGACGCACTTCAATATATGTGGATGCCTTCAATCTCGCTCTGGACACGGTTCTGGAGGAGGAAGGGCATCTCTTCAATGAAGCAGAGCTCGACCTCTTCCGACAGTGGCGGGCCTTGGATTATGAGGTGCAGTATCTCTACGTCAGGCTGTTCTTGAGGAAGACGAGCAAGTGGTTCCGAGTAAAGGATCTGCAATATTACGGCGATATCGCGGACATGGAATATGCCGTTGCAGAACTCCTGAAGGAGAGAACTCTGCCCACCGTTAGAAGCGAGCCCGAGGTCCACCCAGGAGAGCTTGAACCTCCTGAAGGAACCGTGTTAGGTAAGAATTTCACCTTCGCAGAATGCTCCTCCGAGCACATCACCACCTTGGACGAGGCAAGCAGTCTCCTGCTGTTAGATGAGTTGAAAGCGCTCGCGAGGGATGCCAAAGTCAAAGGCAAGAACAAGCGTGAGCTGCTACATAACTTTCGACGGACGAGCGGCAAACAAACAGGACTGGACTTTAAAGGCCTGAAACGCACAGAAACAGAAGAGTCCATGGGATCCGTCATGTCGGAGGACGACCCGTCCGTGTACGACGACGACGATGACGGGGATAGCAGCGGATCCAAAACCCCGGTCGCCAGCTTGAGCAATCGAGACGCCCACTTTACGAAGAAGATTCTCAATCGGACAGGTCGGTGTATTCGGCTTTCCTTGACGCCTCTGAAACTATTTGAGCGAGTCCACCTTGTCTTCTACCGCAGCACTGAATGGACGGAGAAGAGTCTGACCACCTTGATCCTCGCCAAGATCTCCCGGCGCAACTTCCCCCAGTACATCGTCAGCCGGTCGACCACGATCTTCGAGTCACGGGCTCTGCTGCTGGAGTTCGAGGCAAGCCTTCGGACGCAGTTCAAGGTCGACAACATCCTCGAGTTTAACGGCACCCCGGGTCGGAAATCGCTCGAGGATGTCAAAAAGATCTTCGAGGCCGTATACCCACGGTGGAGAGCCCTCCTGGCAGAAGAACAAAGAAAAGAAGAGCGTTTGTACGAGAGCGGCGAAGGTGCATACCTACGCCGCTTCAGCCCTGCTTGGGTGTACACGCGCATCGTGCACAAAGGACTACACCCGCTCGCAAGATTCAAAGAACATCTACGTGAACACGAGACCCTGAGCGAACTGCTGGACCAAAGGCTGTTCCACGCCGCGCGAAGAGGGGCCTGGTACCAGCGAAAAGCACTCCTCGAAGAACATTACATGCACGCTCTAACGCCCGACGCCGGCCGCGCTGCAGAGGCGAACAAAAAGCACTGGAAACGCGTCGCACTGCAGACCTGCGAGCAAGGTCTGCAGGACAAAGAATGTCACGTCATCTACCACTACGACCTGCAGAAACGAATCAAGAAGCTCGAAAAGCAACTGCGCATCCCACTGCGAGAGCAGCACGATTTTGGGCACGTCAGGCTCGGCAAACCCTACGAGCGAACGGTGGTGGGCATCAAGATCGAACAAGACCGCGACTCTACACCGCATGGCCTCGGTCGCAAGAACAGCCTCAACACCGACAAACCCCCTCCCTCTCTAATCCACCAACCCAGCACAGGTGGTGCCACCGGCTCCAAAACAGTCTGGCTCGACCACCTGGACACCAACCTCCCCGTGTCCGTCGAGTCCATGTGCTTGTCCCACTACCGCCACATGCTAGGCTACAAGGGGTACCACTCCGAAGGCGGCATCCTGCGCACCCTGTTCGGCCTGCTCTTTTACGACATCCTCTTCTTCAACCCGTACATCCCCAACGTCTTCCAAACAGCGTACCAGACGTGTCCATTGGATCTGCACACGGATTCATTCTTCTCGGCCCGCATGCCCGAGATCCTGGGCCGCGTCAACCAGCTCTGCAACGGCGAGGCACCCGACCTGATCAAGCGGGTCTGGGACCAAGAGTACGAGAATAGGACATGCATCGTCGGCGTGCGGTGGGATGAATTCGACCGCGACGATCTCCTGGAGCTGGTCGCGTGTTTTCGCGGCCAGGCTCTGGGCACGATCATGCTGGTCATGGCGCAGGAGTATCAGTCCCGAGGCGGCGGCGTGCCGGATCTGGTGCTCTGGAAGGTGTCTGACGCTGCCGAAACCGAAAACGAAAACAAAGGTGGCGCCCACGGTGTCCTTGCAGACGAGAAAATATCGGCCAGTGCCGCAGAGGGACTCAGCAGCAGCAGCAGCAGCGAAGCAAAAGGGGAAGTCGTCTTCGCGGAGGTCAAGTCCGCGAACGATCGGCTGAGCGATACCCAGAGACTGTGGATCAGTGTCTTGCTTTCGGCGGGCGTCAAGGTGGAGCTGTGTCACGCTGTGGCTGGACGAGACTCCAAAAGATTAGAAGGCTAGAAGCATTGAAGGGCGTCCAATTGCGTGCAGAAGCATGCTCTCTCTGCTGTACGGAGTACAACGACAGAAACAGACATCTACAGAGACTCTGTTCAAATTACATTTTGTAGTTTTGGGCACTTGCTGTCGAGGCTGCCTGTTCCAAGTCATACGCATGCATCACTACAGCTTTACACAAGAGGTGCAAACCAGCTCGGCTGGGTGGCATCCTGGGTACAAGTACAGAACATGAGCACCCGCAGCCTTGATCAGTTTCTCGTTTCCAGGTTCGTGTGCATTACTGTAAAGGGAGGCTCTATGCTGTCTAGATCTAAACTCTAGCTCTAGCTCTCTTGCTCTAGCTCCAGCTCGATGCCGAGCGCCAGTGCTATGCTAGTTCAGTTCAATTCAGTTCGGTTCCGATGCCCAGGAGACCGACCGCCAAAAGCTGACCATCATGTGGCCAGCCCGATATGCAAAGAAACGCCGTTCGTTGGTGTGGTGTACACATACCATGCATGGCGCTCACTCCGCGCCGTCCGTACACCCCTGTGAGCCTGCTGCTCGCCGATTCCTCAGGCCTCTCACTCCAACTTCTTGCCGCCGAACCAGCCCACGCCCCTCTCAACCGCCTCCTTGCTAGCTGCGGCGGCCGCGCCGATCGTGCCGTCGCGGTTCCTCCGCACCCGTCCGAAGTTAACGTCCAAGTCCAGGAGGATCTTGAGCGCGTTGCGACTCCGAAGGTATGGCAATGGAGCCTTTGCCTCCTTCAGCCCAATGCCCGGTTCCATCTTGCCTGCCACGCCCGCCACGCCGGCGCCAACTTCCTGCTGGCTGCCCGGGTAGGGGAGGACTGTGGACAGGACCTCATACGCAGCGAGGGTGAATCCGAACTGTGGCGACGAGCGCAGGATACGGGCCGGTCCGCCCTTGAAGAAAGCCTTGAAGCCCTCATCTTTCAGGATCTTGCGCGCGCAATCCGTCAATCCCGAGTACGTGGCCTCGCCTTTGCGGGCTTCGACTTGCAGGCGCGTCTTGATCACGTCACAGGGGGTGGTGAGGTACGCGGCCGGCATGCCGGCGATCGCACCGGCGGTCAAAAGCTGCAGCACGCCGAGTTTCTTGGTTTGCGATTCGCCGAACATGTCACGCTTGAGATGGTTGTACGTTGGGAAGTAGATTGCCGAAAAGGGGACATCGCGCAGCAGGCAGGCTGAGGCGCCCTTGTAGAGACCCATCAGGCCGAGATTGCGCACGATCCACATGGCCGAGCGTTTAGGCACGGCGTCGGACTTCTTGGCCAGTTCACCTTGGACTTGCAGACGGATTTTGACGATTTCAAGAGGGTTGGTGAAGACCTATGAGAGCTGTGAGCGGCCGAAATCGACCAGACGAGGAACGAAGCACTTACCACTTGACAACCACCGGCCGAGCCACCCGCCAGAATTTCCGCCCACAAAGGAATCGTGTTGGTCTTCTTATCCGTAAATCGCCCTCTCACGAGATCGTTCACAGTGAGCTTAATAGCCTTCTCTGGCGCTACACCGACCAACTGAGGCAAAACCCCCGAGTACAGGCCCCTAAACCCTTCGTTTCGGATCACCTTTCGGGCGCAGTCGATTGAGTTTTCGTACAGACGCTCACCAACCCTGGTGCTTCGCTGGTTCTGCATGCGTGTCTTGACGAGATCGATCGGGTAGACCATGAAGGCACCAAACGCACCCGCAATGGAGCCCAGGCCGAAATGATGCGCCGATTCGAGCAAGCTGTGCAGGAATTGCCTAGATTTCGAGACAGCGCGGTCGGCGGCGTCGGCCATGGCGGTGAGCCTTGCCCCGACAGTCTGGTAGGATGCGTCGAGGACCTTGGCAAAGTCGTCGAGACTTAGCCTGCCCTCGGGCGAATCCAGGCTGGCGAAGTGGAACAGAATATCTGCCTCCATGGGCGTATAGAGGGAGAAACGGGTTACCCGCGCGGCTTCATTGAGGAAATCGGTGCGGTCGATCCTTCCGTCGCTGGATTTTGCGGTTGCGTTGCGGATGATCAGGTCAACGAGATCCATTTCGCGGATGACGTTCTGGAAGGCGCGGACGTTGGCGTAGGAGATTTTGGTACCGGCGGAAATGTTGCACAAGGTGGCCAGGTTCTCGAGGACGTGGTCAGACAGCTTGTGGCCCGCCGTGGACCGGATGATGCGCTCAAAGTCTTCAGGGTCGATGTACCCATCCTTGTCGGTGTCATACAGGTGGAAGGCCTGTCGAATGCGCTCGCCCTGCAGGCCACGCATCATCTGCGCAAATTGAGGGTATGTCATCTCGTGTCTCTTGGTCTTGCCTCCAATGTACAGTGAAGCCCATTCCGAGTTGAAATCGAAGGGGATGCTATTTTCTCCTTTGTACTGCTCGTAGATTCTTTGAAAGTCGTCCGACTTGACCGAGCCGGTCCCATCTTTGTCGAACAGTCGGAAGGCAATCTCGTACTCTGCGTCGGGTTTGGCAAGGAGGTTGTCAAACGCTGCCCACTCAGACATGGAGACCTTGCCCCGTTTCTTGCGGTCAGCGACACCGAAGAGGATGCCATACTGCTCACGTTTGATTTTGTGCTGCATGTGAAGGTCGCGTCAGTAATCGCCACTATAGGTCGCGCAAGGGCAAGGTGGCCCAGCGACTCTTGAATGTGACACAGACAGCGACTCACATAATCTTCTTCAGGCGGAGCAATGGCATTGATAAAGTCCTCCTCATTCATGTAGAGTTCACCATCATCATCTTTCTTTGCAAACTTCAAGAATGTGTTGCGCGACTCCGAGGATAAGCCTGCCGGAGCTTCTTTACCCAACAGGGACTCCTTCACAGCTTCCGTGACAGTCGCCATATTGGCGGAGAAGGTAGATTGTCGCCGCGGCGACCAGGTCGGCAGTGCAACTTAATCAGATCGGTGGGTGACGGGTAAAGGAGGTCAACCGGTCGCAGGCCAGGGCGCGCAGATGAGATCGAACAGAAAAACGCCAAAGACGCGCAAGTAAAGTGAGAGTCAGACGAAGAGCCCGGGGTTAAAATCGACGCCGCCAAGCAGCAAAACAGAAGACAAGGTCTATAAGAAGTGAAATCTACCGCACCTAGAAAGCCAGTATGGACTCTCAACGGGATAAAAGAAAGTTTTACCCCTTCTGACCCTTTCTATTTCACTCAATCCGCCGTTTCGGAGAACCGAAGATTAAACCACAAAAATTTGGAGCTGCTCCAAAGCCGCGTTTGCAGGTTCCCGTTACGAGTCGCTGGCTATTTAGCCGTGCCCCTAACTGATCTAGGTATCCCGGTCCAGGGGCAATCGGCCGCCATACCGTGCTTGGTTTAGACCTCGGCATTAATGTTCCGCGAGCCGGCGGTGAGATCGTCGCCGACAGACGGACACTACTGTGGCATGAAGCTTTCTCGTCGGGAACTGTTGGAGAACTATTCAGAACGCAATGCTATATAACCACGCTACGTCTTGGTATTGTGCACGCCAACCTTTTTTCCAGGTCCCGCTGTCCAACCTCTAACCCACTAAGATACATGTAATGATATACTGGTCCATCACCTTCACGCCGTATATCTGATACGCCAAACAAAGCAGTCCCAGGTCGTAACATCGTTAGAAGTATTTGCTGCCAGAAGGCGATGTGGTAGTGCTGTGCTGTCCTGTTCATGTTTACGTCGTATAGTGATAACCTCCTGCCTCCGAGAGGAGGTGACCCACAGAAGGAAGGCTCTCCACGGAGGACGACAAGGCTTGACCCATCTCGCTGGGTCGACGACTATGCAATGGGTTGCCCAGACTAATGCCACTGTCATCGGTATGGTCGTAAGGTTCGTCATGCGAGGAGCCACGCTCATACTCGCTCATACCCGCTTGGCCAGAACTCGCTCGTGATCTGTTCCGCGTATGGCTGGATCGTGCAGGGTTTCTTAAGTTTCGGAGTCCTTGTTGGAACATCTATAGAGATAATGGTCAGCTTGTGCTTGAGAGGCACAGAGATAAAATGGAGACATACCACTTTCTCGACGTCTGACAAGGATTCTCCAAGCTCGTTGCATAGTGGCGCCCATATCGAGCTTCGATGCTTGTGGTATGCATCCGTTACCCTTTGGATCCTGGCTTCATCCCAATTGGTGTTGCGCACCTTCGCCAGGACCCTTTCATGCCTCTTCCGACAGGCATTAGCCGACTTGCCGGGAAAGTGTTGGCGGTGGATCTCTTCCCAAGACATGCCTTTCAGCTTGGCCTCCATGAGAATACTGTCCTCGTCGTTACTCCAAGGTCCGCTTTGCCCTGGCTTAGGAAGTGGCTCCCTTGGCATTTGAGGAACGGCAGGCATGGCATTAGGGACAGGCAGATAAGTGGGCATCATGTGCTGCTGGTGATAGTGTAGGCCATGGTCCGAGTAACCCATGCTGTGCATCTGTGGAGCATTCCAGGGAGCCATGGCCTGTGGCATGCTGGTCACCATGGTCGTCGATGTTCGGAGATTGTAAGGCGCGGGTCGCTGGTATGGACGATGTGTGGTTGGCTGCTTTGGCATTACTTGCTCATGTGCAGGCCGTGGAGTCGAGGCCTAGGTCGAGGGAACGGCTGCGTACAACAAAGGAAAAGAGGTCGGGATTAAGAATTAAGAAGGCGTTCGAGCAGCGAGCGTACACAAGGAAAGGGACAGTAGCGATTGACTCGATTTCCTCGACAGCTGTCTGGGGACCGGATGGCATGAGATAATGTATGCCTGGATGATTCGAGCCTGACCCACGTTTTAAGAACAATTGCGACCCGCGCAAACAACGTCGCAAAAGAACTTCAAACACACGGGCGTCAATTTCAGACTTGCAAGAGACGCGAAGCCCGACATATCTGGCCGCGACTTACCGAAGTCTCATATGTAAAACTGCTGGTGATCCATCCTTCAGGCGTCTAGCCTGCAACGGCGCCTCGGGGAAATGCACGAGGTGTTCGTCGATCGAGCACCGAATATGCTCCCCATTGGAGGATCCAGCGTAGAATAGCAGATGAAACTCCAGCCTTTCGTGGTCCTGCAACGAGGTGGACCGTACCAACGTAGCTGCCGGAGTTATATTGGGAAGCGGCTCCTCGATGAGGCTCAAGCGAGCCATTGGTAACACGACATCAAGCGGTTGCCGATCAGGTCATTTCAGTAGCCGCTGCGTAGTTAAGAACGGCAGTCCAAGGCGGCTTCGGGGAATTCTTGGACGCACGACTCCCACTGACAAGAAGTGGAAACCATGTATGCCCCAGAAGCCTAAAGTCGTCTTGCTCCTCTTTGTCGCGATTGGTCAGATTGACCAGAACGCTGTCTGATCGTATCTGAGGCAGCAAGGTATAGCCGCTCATGGTCGAACCCACGAGGCTTTCTAAGGGCCGACACCCGTTCGACTTCCAGTCGCGGGCCCCGCCACTAAGGAAATCGTGGGCGGTGTGGGACGTTCACTCACGGTCCAGTGCGCTCGATGCCTCTGTCGATCTTCTCAGAATGTCTACACAGACTTGTGCAGTCCTGCTCTGCTTGACTGAGGCCGGTGGAGGTGAAGCTGGAGTCGCGTAAGTAGGCGCTTAATCTTTCGTTGGGTCTAAATTTAGCCACCATCTCTGGGCACCGATGTTATGCATGCCACTCGTTTGCCTGCGTCTAATTGGATTATTTCGGCGTTCGATCTAGCTGTCAGATTCCCAGTCTCGATTGGTCTCTCTAGACAGCTCAAGCAAACGAAGCTCAGACGTGGAACTGAGAGCCGACAATGCAATCAGTATGTGGCCACAACCCGCCAAGACTCATCTCACAGCATGGCTCCGTCCATATCCGCGTAGGAAAGGCTTCTACACATCCTCTGGGGTTGGCAGCAATGATCTAAGGTAGTCGCAGATGTTGTCCTTGCAAAAAGCGGACTGTTCGAGAAGTCACGGAACCGGAGCGCAAAAGTTCGACGGAGCAAGGCCATACATTGCTATTTTCTGAGAGTACCGGGTAAAAGACGGTGTTTCCCTGCTTCAACTCTTGGAATTTTCTACCGCCAGCCTGAGTCCCCGTGGGGATTGATCTGATGCCTTACATTCAGATGATACATCATTCCCGCAAAAAGGCTATTAGTGGGCGTTCTCGTCCGCTCGGTGATTCATGTCGTGACACATCATATCGCTAATAATCAAACAAAAATGCACTCCAGACACATCAAATCTGTCATCTGCGGGACCATCGTCGCTCATCTCGGGACATCTTGACGTGGTTGCCATAGTAGTCCTCCTCCTCGATTGGCGTGACGCTGTACACGACAGGTGACTCTGAGAAGGACAGCTGTCGACGCTGTGTGCTTGGCTTGGTGGGCGAAGACTTCTTCAAGATGCTTCTTGAGGAGCTCGAGTTCACATATGCGTATGTTGGCTGTTGCTTTGTCGAGTACCCGCGCTGGTTGAGCCGCGTGTTCCGTGCTGTTGGGCTGATGGGAGACGGTGAGATGGGTGACTTGAGGGGTGATCTCAGTGGCATCATGGGAGACTTGAGTGACAGTGTTGGTCTAGTGGTCTGGGCGGTGGAGATGCTCAAGGCCAACTTGGGCTTTGCGGATCGCGAGGCAAGCATATTGATAGTGAGCTGGTTGACTATTGGAAGGCTGTGGTGGTATGATGTTGTATGGTGGCTTGTATATGCTGTTGTGTTGAGCGTGTGTTGCGAGGCAAGAACTTCAAAGTAGACTAATAAGAGCCGGTGATATATATCAAAGATATGAAGACAGAAGCGGTGGCAGGTATTGGCAAGAATAGCAGCTGAGTTTGGTAGGGGCAAATATAGAAATGGGCCAGCCAAATCTAAAATGCAAGAACAGGAAAGAGCTATGAATAGGAAATGGCCCAACAATCAATGTGTGGATGGAGAGAAGAAAGAACCAGGTCGAGAGAGTGGTCGGGCGACGGGTTAGATATACATCTTGAAACGCAAAGGGATTCGAGTCTCCAGATGTTGCTGCCGGACTCGATGCTGATTCGTCCAGCCTCGGCAAGTGGGTAGAGGAGGTAGCCAATCACGACTCCCCTTGACGCGCTCACCTTGTGACGCTCTGCCAATTCTCACCACACATCCAATAGACAATGCAGTCTCTCCGGGCACACGCAGCTAGCGACTGCATGTCTGGTGTGGCCAATGCGACTCATATCACGAACTCTCACATGAATCTGTGCCTTCATAGGAGCGACGGCACCCGTTTCCTCTCATTGTGCGTTTCTGCCAAATGTTTCTGCAGGAGACTATTGGTTTTGAGCCCTGTCTGCTTGCCTATTCGGGGTTCTTGTAGGTGTGACATACGTGACCAAGAAGTGTGCCTGCAGAAGTGCCTTTTCCTTTCAAGTCGAGGTGCCAATGCAGCAGAAACTGGAAGCGTCAACCAGTGACAGGCCGACAATCTGCTATGATGGAATCTTATCCAGAGGCAGTTGGTTACTGGATCTTCCATAAAGAGAAACTCGGAACAGTCAAGACTGTCCGAGTTTGATGGCACAACCCTGGTCGATGGTGGAATGACCACAGCTGCGCAAAGTATCTGGGCACGCAGGAGATGCGGACAACCCGCCGCACGTGCAGCAAGTCCAGGGATAAGCCGGCGAACATGCTAGCCTGATTGCGAGAACAAGGGCCAGAAAAGCCTAATCTGTGATAGAACTCTGCAGTCACGACTCTCAACTCACCAGGCAATACACGAAGCAGTGGACCCGTGCCATCACCACCCGCAGATCGGCAGCCTCCATGCAGATGTGTTTGGACAGGCAGACTGATCGGTAGAAAGGCATGTCCCGGTGACTCTGCAGCGCCTCGAATCCTGTGAACCGGGACAAGGTGAGCAGCAACGCTACAGGTAGATGTTAACCGGCGGCTAGACGTGCAGTCTTGCCAAACACGGCAGATAATAGCCATAACGGCTCTCTGGAACAGTCGTCATGCTGGTGGAACGCAAGCTGTGTCCGCGAGATTGGTCAATCCGCTATCGAGTACAGACGGCATCATCGATGTGGATCAGAAATGGGAGGTAACCTTGGGGAGTTAGTACATCATTCCCTTCTAGGACGTACCTGTTTATTGCTGCAGGGCCGCAGACGATCGCAAGCACGAGAGTCGGCATTGTACCAGCTGAAGACGTGTGGTTTTCGCAGTTGGAGGCTTATGCCGCGGAGCAAGCCAGCACAGCGACGAGGGTGTACCGTGCTGAAGGAAGGACGGCGTAAAACCGACGGAGGCGACTTAGCATTGCCGATAGAACTACTGGCGTATAGAGCAGGGCGGATACGGTGTAAGGCGAGTCATCTCTTGGTTATATCCTGTACGCAATGCGTGTCAAGGCGAGCATGCGAGTTGGATCTTGACGCCGATTATTGTTGTGGCGAAGAAGGCGAACTATCGAGGCTGCAGGAAGGTGCGCTGAAGGAAAATGTGCTGACTGATTGCATGCCGTAGCAGGATTATGATGATAAGCAGTCGAACGATAGAAAGAAAGCCGCAGCCGAAACCGTTGTGATACATGTCGACACTCATGCCGTCAATAGCGTCATAGAGCCGAGCAACCGAGACTTTGCTTTTGTGCCGTTGCTCATACAATGACCGCGATACCGCTGCGCCGCATGAAGTCGACCATTAACCTGATCCGAAACAACAGGATAACGCTTTTGTGACCGAAGCCAGGGGGTGCATAGAGCAAATACATTGGTGGGAATCGAAATAATTGGCTTGGGTCCCGGAATTCCACAGTCTGGGGACGGATGAAGACGGTGCCGCTGCTGATCCTCATTTGTGTCCGTTCGCTTACCTGCCGGCGTAGCGATCATCGCGAGCGTAGTCGCGGCCACCAGCGTACTCACGAGGGGCCTCATCCCGGGCCGCAGGAGGGTAGCCACCACGATCGCCAGCACCTGCGCGGTCGTAGTACTCACGCCGGTCACCTCGATCACCTCTGTCTCCGCCACGGAAGTTGCCGCCGCCACCGCCACCGCCACCGCCGCCGTAGCCATCGTCACGTCGGCTGCTGCTCTCGTATCGATCGATGCCGCGACTGCCGTAACTATCGTCTCGTCTGCTTCCATAGCCACGTCGATCATCGTCATATCGAGAGCCGCCGCGATAGTCGCCACCACGATATTCGCCACGGTAGTCATCACGGCGCGGGGGGTAACCTCCACGACGATCATCGTAGCGATCACGGTAACCACCTCGTGACGACGGGCCGCGGAAGTCACCTGTTCAGAGTTAGCCGGAACATCTCGTCTTGATGCGAAACGTACCACGCTTGGGAGGACCAAAGTATTTTCCTGGCGTGGGAGTGCGAGGACGGGCACGACGAGCCTTCTCGATGCTCAAAGTGCGACCTTCAATGACCTCGCCTTGCAAGCCCTCCTTGGCAGCCTCAGCTTGCTCGTTGGACACCATCTTGACGAAACCGAAGCCACGGGACTCTTTGGTATGGGGGTCAAGCATGATAGAGCAGTTCTCAACATCACCATACTTCTCAAAGAGGCGGGAGACATCGGTTTCGGTGAGGCGCGGGTGAATCCCGGTGACGAAGAGATTCGAGCCGGTGTTGATGGACTCATCATCAGCATCCTTCATGCGGGTATCGGATGGAGGCGGTGGTCTAGAGTGGGCGGTCAGGACAGAAACAGAAACTGAGAGAGTTGAATGGTTCTCACGGTCGATCACGGCCATTAGGAGATCGGCTACGGTTGCGGTCATCACGATCACCTCGAGGTGAGGCAGATCGGTCGCGGCGCTCATAGCCACGATCATCTGGAGAAGCTTGGTCAGACAAGAGCCGTGGCACAGCATTGACGATCAGGCGACGTACCTTCATAACGAGCAGCAGAGTCGTCGAAGTCAGCCATGGTATGAGGCTGCGGATGAAGATGAGGTTGATCAAGGGGTCAGGAGGTGAAATGAAGACCTTAGAACGCGAGACTCGAAGCGTGGGGCGCCAATAAGACACGGAGGAGGACGAAGATCTACTCCTGGAAGTAACAGTTCAGGTGTTGACTTGATTGAGATGGATAGGTTGATGACTGCTTGTGACAGTCAATTGTTTATGAGGCTGTGATGAGATGACCACGCAGGCGAAATTTCTCCAGTCGACACGCGCCAAGGCTACTTATGCGCTAACGGAATCCGGAATCAGAATCGGATGCGGGGAAGCATTCTTCCGGCACCCGGTCGAGCTGGTGAACACACAGGAATGTATGTGAATGAACCTCTGTACTCCGTAGACTGACAAGATGTCCTTCATGGAGCCCGCTATCTGGCTCCAATCAAGGCTTCTAAGGCATACCCATAAAAGAAAGCGACTCCTCTTGCCGCTTATAGCGCCCACCGTGGGTGCTAATTAGAAGATTTAGTTAATTGACCGTTCCTATTGGGTCCTCCACCTGGATCCGGAGGGTCATGTCGAGGACCACAGCCGTCATGGCAGCTATGGGCAAGTGATAGGTATCTCCATGCAAAGATGGAACCGCGAAGACAGCATTCTGCTCAGAAGTCTTGCTGCTCTTTGTCAGGACCACGCCATGTGTTCCCTCTCTACTTACCCCGATGCCTGATGTTCATTTCACTGCCTACACGCTTATCTGCTCCTGTTTAGGAGTCGAGCCTCAGTATGGCGGTAACCTTGAGAGACCGAGTGGCCGATGCCTGAATGTACCTCATCATTGCTTATCCTGGTGTGCCAATAATGCTTTACTACACGTGGTCTTTCTACTTCTTTCTAACAGAAGACATTAGCGAAAGCAAGCAAAGCTTAGCCACCCTAGCACGAATCGTCTATTTGTCGGGTCGTCTTTATGGTAATTCTCAGTGCATGGTTCCATAATCGGACCGAAGGACGAGCGGTTCGTGGACATAGCGGATGAGCATCTTGAATTGAACACTAATAATACTCGCTCACATGGAGCGCCACCCAAGGAGGTTCAGCCTATGAACAGGCCAATTCATACATCCAATAACTGGTTTTTCTACCATGCTCATCTCCTGTTGCGGAAGGACCTTTGCCCCCAATCTGAGGCCTTGTTACGCTTGCCCCTCAGGATTTTCTTTTTGACCATCACATCTATGGTCGCGCCGTCTGCCTCGTCACCAAGGGAAACGCCATTTCGATTTTCGACCATTTCGTCACTTGGACCTAGCCCCTGAAGCTCGTCTTCATCCATCTCACTAAGTTCTTCGCTCATGTCGCGTAGCACTTCCGGGCCTGTCCAGCGTTCTTCGAAAACCGTAGTGCCTTCGGGGTCGAATTGCGCAACATACCAGGGGATGCCGCCTTCGACCGGGAGAGTCTGTGAGTGCCCTTGCAGGCTCATTGGAGGTGTTGGAGGTTCCACCTGTTGTACTTGTTCTGATGAAATGTCCCCGTTCCCTTGCAGCTCGTGCCTGAACCCGTTCATGGAGGCTGGCGGAGTGTTTGCCGACACAAGTTGACTTTCCATGGACAGGTCTTCGTGCTTGACGAGGACTGATTGCCCGACAGGCGCTTGAAACTCCTTGACCGTCTCTTGGACTTGAGGCAGCTCACCGCCCGCGATCGGGGCATCCATCATCTCGATGTCACCTTCCGCAGGGCTGGCGATACCGCCTTCGGGCTTCAGGTCCACCGGCTCGAGGACCGGTATCTCGATTGACTGAGCCATCGAGCCCCGCCGAGAAAGGAGCGCCTGGTCCATTTCCCGAATCTGTTCTGCGTAGGGCCGGCCATTCAACTCGGCTTCCTTTCGAGTTGCGTCTTCAAGGAGTGGTTCGATACCCTTGACAATGCGTCGCGCAAGGGTCCGTCGATCCCGCTCTTCGGCAGACATGTCCTCAGCTCTGCCGCTTACAAGGGCGATTAGTTCTGATATGCTTGTGGCACTATTGAGGTATTCCGAGCTGATCGCCAGCACAACGTCGTTAGAGAAGCTTGTCACCGTAGTGTGTTCCTTTCTGAGCACTCTGGCGCGTAATGCTATGAGGCTGTTACGGAAGAGTCCTCTATCCAATCTGTGGTCCGTCAGCCAAGCACTTCATGATTCAATCACTGAGAACTTACTTGAGCGCCTTCTCGACGATGGGTTCCAGGAGATGGGGAATGGGAAAATACACGGTGTCAACGACATCCTTGAGCAGTTTGGCTTCCTCCAGCTTCGCGGCTTCACGTTGTTTGATCAGGTCACAAATCTGTACGATTCGTTCCATATCTTTTGCCAGTCTTTGGGCAAAATCGATGCGACGATCTAACCTGGCACGGCCCGCTGCACCTTGGGCCTTGTAATCGCGACGTGTGACTTCGAAGGAGCTGAAAGTGTCCATCTGTAATTGCAGCCGCTTCAACAGAGCAGCCCCTCTTCGTGCCTCTCGTTTCAGGGTCCAGTATTTGCAGATCTCGGAAACATATTCTTTCTTTTTCTGCACAGTAAATCTGACTAGAGACTCTTCGATCGACTTCAGGATGACCTCTGGTATCACAGGTGCACCAGAAGGAAGTCGCCAAACGGTCTTCTGTTTCTGACCCTTCTTGTTCGTGAGGATGACTTTGAGATGGCCTCTTTCGGCCGTAGTGGTATCGTGCGTATCGTGGATTGCAAGCGCAGAGGCACGGCTGTCCGCCCATATCTGTCCCTTGAAATGTTCTTTGAAGTACTTGACTGCCTCTTCATACGCTTTGTCGGTATGATGCTGACGCTTCCAATCACCAGGCGTGTGTTTGTGGCAATATGCTTTCAGCTGGGATGCGTCCATCAGCGTATTTTGTCCACCTCCGGTTTTCATTTGCAGAGACAGCCCCGCTTGCCGAGCACACGTCAGATGGAACGGTTCATAACAGCGGCCGTCGCTGCACTGGATGCTGGCACCCATCTCTTGCCTGCAGATGTAGCAGGTGAGCTTCCACCGGCTGTGAGGTACCTTCTCCACGTCTGTGATCGGTTCCATCAGCGAAGGATTGCCGATCGTCACCTCTGGTATCCAGATTGCACAGAAGAGATGCGCCCATTTCGAATTGTTGGTCTGTTTAAACGCACCTCCCTCATTGGGGCAGAAGATACAGCTAGGTCGAGAGTTCCCAACAAGCTGACACTTTCTGCACAGCCACTGACCCTCAGGAATGTAAGGTACGCCATAGCATTCTTGATGTACAGCTAAATCGCAACCGTCACAGAACACTATTGCATTGGCGTTCTCGCAATCGCCGTCGTCGCATATCGCGCACTTGCTGTCAGGCTCTTCACCAGTAGGTTCTCCATTGACAGCAGCAGCGGAGCTTGACCGAGGCCGCTGTGTTTGGGGAGCCTTTGGGTTCGGCTTTGGTATCCTCTTCTCCAAAGCGTGCCACTCCTTTTCGATCTTTGTCATGGTGATCTCGAAAATAGCGGGTTTGATGCTTTGGATGTCATACTTAGTGCGTCCCTTGTTGAAGGCTTCGAGCCATTTGACATCTTGTTCATCCATGTCGTACTCTACCCGGCCAACACCGCTGCTGCCTATTGCTGAGTTTTCGCCATTGACGATCAAGTCCGGACTTAAGTCAAGGTCCTCTTCCGCGGATCCTTCCATTTGTCTTATGAGAGTGCGCTCCGGCCGCAGGAATATTTCGCTCTCCTGATACCCGACATTCGCCATGGACTTGTCGACAAAATCAACCTGCGCGATGTCCTTATTCTGCTCGTACGATACAAACGGATCGAGCTCGCGGTACGAAGGCTTGGGCAATGTCAGCCGTTCCCGGGGGTTCGGCCCTGGCATAGGTATGACCTTGGGGACCTCAGGTGTCAAAAGTGCGTGCACCATGGAGTTTTTGGTGCGATGGGGTCTCCCGGGCTTTCGCTTGACGGGTGTAGAGACACCAAGCGCAATAACGTTCCCTCCGGCCACGCTCATGCCATCATCGGTCGCTTCATCAAGCGCAGGTTTCTTAATCAGGCCGTCCACCTCTTCTGACGGGATTACCGCAAAGTCACCATCGAGATCAAGATCAGGGTGAAACTCCTCCCAACCCCGCTCTTCTCGAGGTTTGTAGCCGTCGCCATGGGTCACTGCGGCGGAAGCTGCCGCAGCAGTGCTGTATCTGGGACGGGCGCCACCTCTATTCCTACTTCTGGCCGAGTATCGCGGGGTAGTGGCGGTTGCCTTCTTCCGTTCTCGGGTAGGCCTGGGACGAGTGCGGGAGACCGTATAATCATCGTCTGCTTGAGGCGTTCGCGTTAGAGGTGGAGTACTCTCGTGATCCGCACGTCTCCTTCCGCCTGCTCGGGCGGCAGGGGTCCTCTTGGGTGAAGCTGCCGCCCGCGACGAAGTACGAATGCGTTTGCGGGGAGGTTCGTCGTCCTGAAAAGTGGCGAGAAGTTCAGGGTCGGTATCGCTGACAATCTTTGGATACTTTGTTGCTTCTCTGCGCGGACGTGCTCTTGCCTGCGCAGACCTCAGCGGGGCCATTCTGCCCGCCTCGTAACGGGCAGTTGACGCGACTTGAGGACAATTAGGAGGCGCAGGCGGACTTCGGGTCGGGTTCACGTGCGAAAGATGCCATACAGACAGGAAAGAGTGAGCCGGAGTAGAAGACAGCGAGGAGAGATCGCGGCAGTAATGGGAGGGGCCAGTGGGAGATGTTGTCCGGGGTCTGGGCGTCGCGGTTTGGGGCAGGATTTCATCGAGTGTCGTCTCTACAAGATGGCCGTCAAACGTCGATTTGGTTAAGCGCGACTGCCGACGATCGATAAGTGGATCGCGCTTGGCAGTTGGGGGCTTGGCGTCGTATCTGCGGGTCGGTCGCGCCTATTCGCAATCACTTTCACCTGGCAGTCACCAGTGTGTCGTTCTGCCGCACCCTCTCTTCTCCCATGAATCCCAGTGAAGAGTAAGTACATATAACATCGTCCAGCTCTCATTCTGTACCTCTCTCCATTTGCATTGCATGTCGTGCGCTTACCAAATGCCCCACAACAGAAACCGTGCCGGACGCCGAGGAACCGATTCCCGAGGTGCCAACTCCAATCCGCATCGTCAGTCGACCTCTGCGTCTGCAGTGTCCCGCGATGGCGCCAATGCCACTCAGAACAGAAGAGGAGGGAGAGGATCCTCGAATTTGAGCAAATCTACAGACAACGTCCAGAATGGTCCCACCGCACCTGCAGCCTCTCTTCCGCCACCAGATGATCATGTGCCTATGGCGGGGTTCAACGCCGGCGCTGTGGAGGCCCTGCTGAAGCAAGGATACGAGCCCAAGACTTCTCTCTACAAGCCAGAGGCGAAGTCACAGACTCCGAGTCCATCGAGCCCATGGGGCGCGAAGCGTGAGTACACTGGCTACCCACCCGCTATGATGGCTAACGCCGTGGTCAGCTGGATCCATGGCAAATGGGAAGGACTTCTGGCTTGATCTCCGCAGACAGGTTGCCGCTTTGCAACAGACCGGGGGTGTCAGTCAAGGAGGCTGAGGTTTGGTTCTAATCCAGTCAACATCGTTCCCTCGTTCTTCAGTGGCATCAGGGAGGCGTTCTCGAGTGCATTCTAAGATACCCACGGGTTGGCGCATCTTTCAGCATTGCCGGGATACCGCATGTACGCTTCATCCGGACAAACCTTTGCCCATTGTGTTTCAACAACGGCATGTATCAACGGCTTCGGCCCAGATTGAGCGATTCAGCATTGTCAACTAACATGGTTGGATATGGCCATCTTGCAAGCAGTCCGGCCTCATGAACATAATGGTCGGTTACTGTCCATATCGTATGGCATTGTGTTGTTACGGCCAAGGCTTGTCTCTATATGGGCCATGGGCCTTTCCAATGGTGACCTACGTGTCGATGTCGACCTCGTATCACCTTACACTCTCAAAAGTAATGGACGGATTCACAAGAAGTACGTGGAACATTGCTCTAAAGCGTTGAAAGAACAAGATTCCGTGCACCAGAACACTGCTAAAGTGCGAAGGATCCTATCTTGATCAGGCTTCACCTACTCATGACCAGCCTTGGAAGTTGACCTAGCTTTGGGAACACTCTGCTCGGGGCAGTAGGCGTAATCTACGCTTGTCCTCCGCCAGCGATGATGTTGCTGAAGATATCTTGTGCATCGCTGATGCTGGCGCCAATCGACTGTGCCATTGCCCATCCCATTGCTTGCCCCCTTAAATACCCGCAGCTCGTGTCCACCAGTCCCTCGTGGCGAACCACAGGCATTCCTCCATCCTCGGACAGGCTCTCCACAGTGTGAGAAGAGATACTCTTATGCCACCATCGTGCTAGCCGTCGCACTCTCGTACTTCCAGTTGGGCTGCAGAACACCCACGGTCTTGTAGTATCTGCTCAGACGGTGGATTCTGGATTCGATCAAGATGAGTCGGAATTTGGAGTCCTTATCCTTGCGATTGCGCTCGAGGTGCTTGCGCACGGCAACGGCCTATTATTCACAGAGTTAATCTCCACAGTACATGATCGATGAAAGCTTCTTTAGCACAGAAGATGGAGACGAGGGTTGTTGCGCACCTTCTTGATCAACATGTAGAGGTCTTCTGGGATTTCTGGTGCAAGACCTGTAGAACATCACTCTGTCAGTCTCGTGGGACCAATCTCAGAGGCTGTGCTGAAGATATGATTTCCAAATGGTGTAATTCAAGGATTAAAGCAGCGTTTTATTGCTCGCTTTTTCGCTGTATGCCTCCTCCTTCACACAGGGATCATTCGAGATGTGCGCATACCGTTCGACTTGAGAATTCTCAGAATCTTGTTACCTGCGCCCTAGAGTCAGCAAATTCTGCGCCAGGTGCTAGCTGAGCGAACCCATCGGTTATGGACTGACCGGTAACAACTTTGACTTGCGCAACACCATGGCTATCCCTCAGCACGACTCCGATCTGCGACGGGGTAGCACCCTTGCGTGCAAGTTTGCAGATATTGTCGACGACCGTCTCGGGCGTGGACTTGAACCAGGTAGGTACGGAGCGGGAGTATGGGATGGCGGAGGCACTGATGCCTTTGCCTTTGCTGTGTAAGCGACCCATCTTTGCGGTTGTTGAGAGGAGCGAGGTTGAGAGTCTCGTCGATTGTGACTTGAGTAAAGTTAGAGCGCAGCTTTGATGGACCGGCCTGTGTGTGGTGGGTCCACCATAACTCTTGGCGTCTTTTGAAATATCTGACAGCTTCGGAGTTTCGATTGGGACGTGCTTGCCTTGCGATCCTTTTTGAACTCGAGTCAAACTTCGATCTCTACTCTCGACTGCCTGTTTCTCGTGCAAGAAAGCGCTCTGGACTAATCATGAAGAACCACGCATAAACATGGTCGCCGCCTGAGCTGGCCGCTTGGTGACTTTCGTCCGTCGACTGCACCACCCTGGCGATTTGGCTATTCCATCAAGGTACGTACGTACTTTCATTCTTCAATGTTCCTCGTTATTGCTTTTCTATGATGACAAAACACGAAAATATTATTATTTCTGGTACCTCTTATGCCAGAAGGGAAGCCCAGCAGGGTTCTCTTCGATGATCTAAATGGACTTCTGATCCTTTGTTTCCTGTTCAAGTCTGCTACTACCCGTCATGATTGGGAACTGGGGCGCTGACTTGGTTCACGGTGCAGGTCAGGTGCTCTCTCATGCCGTGGAATTCGTTCCCGAGGCGATGTGAAGCGCAATGCGTCGAGCAACAACTGTTCCCAGCACTCTAACATGGAGGCCGTTGACATTCTGAGGTAACCATACACGTCCCCATCTATGCCCTGTATTTCCATCCCGTTCCTCTTGCTACGCGCGATGGGACTTGTGCACGCTTTTGAAATGCAATATTTGCTTTCCATCATTCCGCTACTGAAAGGGTATCATATTTTATTTCCCGCATCCATGCAAAGGTCTTGAAAACGAAATGCCGACGCTATGCAACCTAAGGTCGTGACAACCGTTCGCTCATGACGTCCCTCCCATATCCGTATCACCGTCTGTTCCCTGGTGTGTTGCGCCTCCCTCCTCTTTAATCCCATTAACAGGTGGAACATCCGCTGTAACGGTTGCCTGTGGCGTGGATATCTCATTGGTTTGTGCAGGCGGTGCTTGCTGTGTAGAAATATCGGAAGCCTCATTCAATGAGACTTCGGGTTGCTCTTGGAGAGGGACCCCTTGCGGCGAACCACTTGTTGCAGATTGCGCTGCAGTCGGCGGTGGTGCTGCGGAGTCGGCAATCGCCTGCTCTACCGGCTTAGGGTCGTCAAATTTGTAGAGGAACCTCTCGCGGATATTGGTCCTATCGGAGTTGCCTTCGTAAAGAAAAGATTGGTGTATTAGACATTCTCCCAGCCACTGGAGTGGGAATTCCGCTCTACTCGGCTACGTTAGCGCTCTGTCTCTTCGGCGAACCAGGCTTTCTCGAGACTCCAGGGGAAGCACATACTCGGCATTCAAACTCTCTGTAATGGCTTTCTTCAAGAAGGGCGCAACGCGTGCGTTGAGGTAATCTCGTAGTGGAACCTGCTGTCTGGCGTTTGCGGCGTTTGAGATCACAGACGGCACGTTCGGTGTTTGCGACATGGTAACGACCGAGGGTTGTCAGACCGACAGCAGGAGACTACCGAGTGGTCTCGTGGGTGTAGAACCGACTTGAACAGGGGGATTGGACAAATGCGGGCGGAGTATGAAGTACGGAATACGCGCTTGGAGGGTTGTGGACAGCGGGAAGGTTTCGCGGAAGAGACCTACCACGTGACCATACTTTGGCTGTATTAAGAGCAGGAAGATAGACTTGGTCTTTTGCCTCGAAGGGTCTTGACTTCGAGGGTGCAAAAGTGAAGAGTCGCTACGGATGTATCTTCTGAGTGGTCCACTAGAATTCTCACGCGACGGGACTCGTTGGTGATAATAAGGTAAGGTCCGCCTGCATAGGTCAGCAGCGGAAATGAGTGCATTGCTCTTCAGGGAAATACAGAACGTTGACAAGCAAGAGGAAAGGGCTTGAGCGCAGGGACACGCACAACCGATACAGGACAAGCTGCCCCGAGCGAGCAATACTTGGACTCACTTCCTCCGGGCACGCAAAATGAGCTTCCACGATGGTACACGGTCGAGATGGACGTATCGTGGTTATCCCGCTACCAAAACAAAATTGGCAGCATTCCAAGGCTCAGTGTCCAGGAAGCTGTTATCGCAACAGGACTCCTATGTACCTTGATAGCTGTGTCCATCGTGGGATTCAGTACATAGTTCAGGTACAGGATCAACCAGTTCAGCCTCGATGTTTGTTCTTCTCTTTCCGCCAGTGGCGTTCAGGATTCTTTTCTGGCTTTGGGAGACGCCAGCATTGTATGTGGTGCTCGCCTCGCATGTGCCATCTGACATTGAAGCAACGGCGACAGGTCACCCGCAACCACCCATTGCGCTGCTATTTTCATGAACATCCTGGCATAACATTATACCTGGCCGGATGCTAGAATTTCCTCCTGTGTGTAAGCCAACAGCAAGGCTGTACTTACCCCCAGTCCTTTATATTTTCCTTGCTGGTTTCCCTGGGAATCTTCTGAAAGTTTCGCGAGAAACGGTCCTCTCTTTTGATACACGCACCTGCCAGATGCGTCCAACCTCAAGCTCAAGATCCCTTCCTCGCTGCATCGCACCAATCGACGCGCCCGTTAGAGCCCGCATCGTTGTCACAATCAATACGGAGTATCTCCAAGAGATTCTTCCATTGAGATTTCTGCCTGGCGTCCGTGCAGCAGGTACATATTTCCCTTACGTTGACAGCCTGATCGGAGGCTCGCGCACTCGCCCTCGACTGTCAGGGTCAGCAAAAGAGGTAAGAGAATTTCCCTTTTCTTCTTGGTCAAGTCAGATCGGCCCATATGAGCACTGCCACGTGTAGACACGAGAGTGGTAGCAAGAAGAACTCAATTTTCCGGCGATCACCCTGCTGCAGGATTTGTTCGCTGAGATGGACCCGGTTAGATGGCACCAACGGCACATCGACCAGCACCTGACAAAGATCGGATGCGGCGAATGCTGAGATGACGAGATTAGCGCCTGGATCAACGCATATAACTGCTCACTAAAAGTGAGGCGAATGTCTGTTTAGCTCCCGCGGCGAGAAAAGGAAAGCTCTCGTACCGCGCAACGTGGCTCTGCGCCAGCGCCCAACTTCCGTCATTGCTGCGTTGGCGTGGTTTGGCATATCCGAATCGCACAACAAATAGCGGTCAGAACGACAACAGCAAGTCTATATAAGAAACACTCGTTGCACAGGCTGCTGAACGTAGACGCGGGCGGAGGACGAGTGCACGGCGGCGGAAGCTCATCAGCTCGCACAGCATCTCGAGTCGTAGGCCTCTTTGCACCGGAGAAGTCCTCTTTCACCATGCCACCATGCAGCACTTGCTCCTAGCCCTCACTACCTTTCCGCCCACATGTTCGCGTTGAGACGATTCCGCGCCAGTGGTAATAGACGAGGCTGCCGCGGTCCAGAAAGGTCCATTTATCTGGGAGGAATTGTTGGATGTTAGGCAACGAGGCAGTTCTGATTGAGATTGGGATGGTTGGGTGAGGGCCATGACGGGCGAAGGGTCACACCCGCACTTTCGAAGCTTGGGCGTACTCTGGCCGCTGATTCGGCGGTTCGGGTTGCCCCCAACACGTCGTTCGGCGTCCCCATTCGACCTTTCACGCCCGCGACGGCAAGTCCGCTGATTTGCGGATGCCTGGAACGTCGCATCCACTCTCCTCTATCAAAATCACTCTGATCAACTGTCGCTCCGATCATCGTCGAGCATGCCACTCGTCCTTTTGCAGCGACAATGCACCTGAAATTGAAAGGCGACCTTCAATCTTGGGCATGACGCAGGGGCGCGGAGACGGCCGTGGCCAGTGACGCGAACCCTGCCACTGAGTTCAGGAAACTGATGGGGGATCAAATCTTGCCAGCATGAAGCCAGCTGCACCAAACCGCACCCAAGACATGGCTGTGCTAACCACAATCGAACTGGATTTCCTGCAGGAGACAGGCTTCTTGCCCTCGTCCACCACTGACATCCCGCCTCGATCTCGTCCACCTCGGGCGTGCATCCACCAGCGCTCTCATCAGAGTCTAGCCTGCTGCATGCTAACTAGCTCTGAATGTCTGCAGCTTCGGACGGACCCAGACTTCTCCAGGCTCAGCTTCAGGGCCGTGGGCTCCGCGACTCACAGCACCGGAACCCGCACCACTTGACAGCTACGTTGACTAAGTTGCCAGCATCAGCAGCTTTTGCGGACTGACTTCCCCTACGGAACCTTCCCTCAGACAACCTACTCCGTACCTCTAATTCCCTGCGCAGACGGCCACAGCCGGCCACTCACAGCGCGGCATACCATGTCTTGCAGCTGCGCGCGACATTGGCCCAACCCACGTCTCCTGATCATCTGCCACTGACATTCCTTAGACTGGCGGTGCCCAGTTGTTCTTCCCAGATGGCTAACTTAGAGTCTGCGCCTGCCTCACTGGCCTCGAGGCAGAAGGACCACCAGACCTCTGTTCCATGGTCCAGGAATTTTTGTTCTGCCTTGTTGCTTGCAGGGCACCCAGTATACCACGCTTAAAGGTGCCCAACACCCTCCAGCAGAATTACCGACTCACAGTCCTTTCCGTCCTAGACATCAGCCTCGACCTGAGCGCCTTCTGATCTAATACTCGATTTTGGGTGAACCGCCCTGCGGAAACAACCGTGCCTACATGCCGCCCACGATTGCGCACTGGATGACAGTCACATGCAGCCCGTCGTCTTCAGACCCTAGCTTGCGCTCCCCGCCCTCTCTTCCCAATGTCAAATCTGTTCAACCAGCCATGGACATCCTCGGAGCAGATTGCATTGTTGACCAATATTATTCAAAGCGCTGGGCAGGATGTGCCACAATTTCTGCTGCGCGCGATCGAGGGCGGCAATATACAACCCAGGTGGGAGGAAATGGCTTTGCCTGCAGGTACGTAGGCTTCAGCGGTCGGCAGGACCGATGCGCGCAACAGCAGTTGGCTGTGCTACGAGGACGTCTCGGCCGACCAGTGGTGTGCATAAGCGTAAACATGCGCTGACTGGATCTAGGGCGCACTCTTAATGCCTGTCGGGCAATGTACGACCACCTACGGCGCTCACCTCGCCCATTTTCTGGGTCTGGGCTCTACCATCAGCCAATAGCACCATACCCAGCAGATGTAAGAGGAGTCCCTGAAGCTGACTTGCCTCCGCCAACACAACGGCCCATTCAGCCTCGACCTCCTCGCTCGACAGACTCGCCAGTTCCTCCGACGTCAAACGGCGAGCAGTTCAGGATCTTGCGTGCGTTTGGGCCACCTGAACCACTCGGAGAGAGGCGTAGAAAGCGCGGCCGTCCCACCAAGGAGGAGGCAGAAGAGCGCGACCGCCGACTTGCTGAGTCGGGGCAGACTTACGAGCCGAAGAAAAGGCCTACAAAGAAATCGAGGCCCTCTGGTACGCCTAGTTCGCTATCTGAACTGGCTCCTACGACTTCGCCTGTCATGTCAACGCCGCTTCAGCAGCACGTCGAAGCGAAGGATGAGACGTCCAGCGGCAAGAGGAGGGCGAAGCGCCGGGGTGACGAGGGAGAACCCTCTCAGCAACAGATACCGAGATCTCCCCTGGATGATTCGGGCGATGGACGCAGTACGGACGCAGCTCAAAGTCCTTCCGACCGGCTGTTAGCCAGGCCGGAGCGCTCTCAGGCGGTCGCTTCTCTTTCCCGAGATGTGCAGCATGTTCAGAGCCCGTCTCTGGAATTACAAGCTGGGCCCAGGCAGGATGATCCGCCACCTGGCCATTCACAAGCCTGATCGCCGCGGGTGAACGGCCTGCGAAGCAGAGATAGCCGCTGGTACGGCTTTCCGACCACTCCGCAGGCCTCACCCCTCGACCTGTCCCGCGATCTATCGAAATCCCTCTTTTGTTCTCTTGCTTCAGTTTACACGATTATAGAAGGGAAAACATGTGTATATGATACCCATGCGCACTATGAACAGAAAAAGAGTGGCTTAATTTTGCCTTGTCTGCGACTTCATTTTACACACGGACAACAACCGAGCAGCAGTGCTGGCAGGTACTGGATGCGCATTCGACCACACAAGGATGTACACTTGCCTAATTTCTTGTATTTATATAATCTACGGGGGACTCGGTGTCTGCTGGTCAGGCGCCATCTGATCTCGACACTTGGGAAGTGCCGCTCGCACCTGGATGGGGAACCCATCGGTCCTCTATCCCATGGAGCCACGGCTTGCTTCATAATACCTACACTTGAGCCCTCTTGCCGAAGGGGATGAATCCCACCATGGGAACCATGATTAACACTGACTGATGGAGTTGCTGGTTCTATGGGAGATATAATTTACCACGACCACCGGGTGGTCGTTTGTCAAGCCCGGCTCCTTGGGCAAGGGCAGATACCATGGAGCTTGACAACACGGCCTTTCTTACGGAAGAAACATGTGCCATGAGTTGACGATCCTCCAAAGCCTTGTTTTCTGACCAACTATCCGCTGACCAGTATTGGGATGGATGACCGGAAGTGCTCAATGTTGGTGGCGTTTCCAACGTCTCCGTCTCAGTCACAAAGCGGAGTATCTCGGTGGCTGGATGTCTCACGCAAAGTAGGCGACTGCCTCTCATGCCGGACATCGCTTGCGGCGCCTTGAAGCTGAGCTACTTTCCTTTCCTTCAATCGCCCTTTCCACTCCACTTCCACAATGCAACAGCGTTCCCGTCCGCTTTCCCAATATAAGTCTCCGTCGAACGCCTGTTTCAGCAAGCGAGGAGATTGCGCATTTTAGTCTCCGACGAACGCGGCTAGTACCCACCGTCCCCCCTGAGCCATGCATGTGGGAGGAACGGCATGATCTTCCACGAGTTCAACCTCAACATCGGGATGAGAGGTCGCTTGGAGGTCGCATCCACCGCATGCGCAAAGAAGAAATCATCGGTGATTTGGTAAGACATCTCTGATTACGCGCCTGCACTCCATACCCCTTCTGGGGACATGCTTGCTTCGCTTGCGCTTTGCTGCCGACAAATATTGCGTGCCTGCGGAGTAACATGTAGGAGGATGCACCTGGTATGGCACAAGAAGCCCAATGGTGCTATGGGACCACCTGCGACTCGTTGAACAGTAGTGACTATCACCCACGCGCACATACAGAAGACCCGAGGTTCACCAACGCAATAACAACGGCGAAGGGCCCCTGATCTCACGAAGTTCACAGGGATCTAGCGTCCGACTGCGTCGCCGTTCAAGAACCTGATCTTGCTATCAGCGGCACGAGATGACGAGTTAAGGCAAGTGGCTGGGAGGAATTCTCATGACCTGCTGCAAGTGTCAGCAATGCTATTACTATCGCTACTCATACGCTGAACGCGACGAAGACTGCCTATATCCAGAGAGGCATCCCTCCTGAGCCATCAACCACGGTTCCTCACAATTTATTCTGTACATGAGTCCTGCAGGATGGACATCACAACCCCTACGCTCTTCGCGCGCCCTGGACCCATTTGCTCAACCAGAAAAAGAAGGTCATACCCAGTACTCCGTAAAGACGCAGAATATATAGCGCGTTTGCAGACTTGATTCCAGCCATACGGCAACGCAGTCTGGCTGCCAGGCCATGTACTGAGTATGTGCGCCTCAATCCTCGTCATCTCTTCCCTTACTCTCGACCTTTCTCGCCTCTCCGATTTGTGAGGTTTCGAATATCTTCCTTCTTTTGAAACGACACGTTCCGCCCATTTCTATCCACGTCGACGGCGATAGAGCGGAAGGCGAACCCAAAAGCTAAAGCCAGCTACTATTTATGCATACATACAAGTGAAAGACAAGCGACAGTTCCCTGATTCGCACAAATATGCTTGTCCTCTCTCTAATGATGTTATGGCCCCGGCCATGTCTTTTCTTCTCTTCTATTGTCTTCTGTCCACAACTCCACTCCCTTTGAGAACTCCCTCCCATAGCCAAAACACACCCCAGCACGTCCTATCCCGAAAGTAGCCGGTTGCCGAGACGAGCGAACAAACCAGTGTATCCTACGAGCGAAATATGTAGATAGGATAGCTAGGGATAGTAGTACCGAACAAGGGGAGAGATGAGGTGACCAGTTCTTGAACTCCTGCATGACCAATAAGATACACCAAAACCAAATGCTGTCCATCATGATCATGGTTGATGTCACTGGCACACACACCGCACAGCAAGACACACTGAGGTGCGCACGCGCACATACGTACATCCTCATCAGGATATTTCTCCGGAAAAAGTACTGAAAAAAGCACGAGCATGGTAGGAGACAATAGATGGCGGATGGGAGACGGGAGACACGAGATCCCAGGTTGGTGAGTGTCATGAACCGCGGCAGCGTCCCGGGTTCAGAACAAGCATATAAGCTAATTATGTAGGAGGTCCGTAACCCAGCACGATCAGTCGTCTTTGGGGGTGATGCCCGGAGGCTGTGGACCTCTCCTTGACAGTGAGAAGGAGGGATACCCGATCAGAGGGGACCAGATAAAGCGGAACGGAGGGACGCGAAAACAGCACCGAGCCTCGCGATTCCAAGACTGTACTTCCCGGAGCTACGAGCACGACATTGGGCGGCACCGGCTCGATGCTGTAGTCTCTCTGTCCGTAGAAATTTCGTTCTCGGTGGAAATCAGGCATGGGTGGCTTTTGATCATTACGATACGCATGTTGGATCGATGTCGCAGATGGCGTAGAAATCGTAAGATATTTGCAAATACTGGAGCTGTACGGAGTAGATACTGGAGATACTCGAGAGCGCGTTACAGGTACTTTTGCTGGCCGGTCGCTGACTAGAAAACGCTTCAATGGCGGCAACTGCCCACATCCGCCTGTTGGGCGGGGCCCTTGCCTTGTCTTGCCTTGCCTTGCCTTGCCACGTTACGGCATTGTAGATACGTATATATGTATAAGTCTCCGAGGGGTATGGAGTTGGATAACACCCGGTTCCGCATGCGTCGATAGTCCTATCCTATCCTACCCTATCCAATCAGTCATCATACAACCCCTCGTCATCACCTTCCACATCGTCCACGAACCCATCGGGCACGGCTTCAGGCGGCATCTCTCGTAGCGAGTCCTTGTCCTTACCCTTGCCGTGAGATTTCGTCTTCTCTAGACTGCCCGACGAGGCTGTCATTGTCCCGTTAGGCACACCGGCCGCGGCTTTCCCATTGACGTGCGCCATGGTCCCGGTCCTGGGACTGATGACGCCAAAGTCCGAGTTGTCGGCGTCCGAGGAGTTGCCGGAGTTGGGATTGCCTATGGGGATGGGCATGGAGCGCGGGGCCGTTGTTGACTTGTGGAACGAAGAGTTGCGCGCGGGCTGGAAAGGCAGGGAGGTACTGTTTGTGGTGGTTGGATGGGAGTTGGAGATGCCGCCGCTGCTGCTGCTGCCCTCTCGCTGCTTGGATTTGCCTTTATTGGGCCCACTAGGCTGGGATTGAAGAGCTGATGGTGCAGGATCCCCAGCGTGGTTGGTCGATCGTGGCTCGGGAGCGGCCGAAACAGCTGGGGCAGGACGAAAGGGCACAGGCACGGGCACGGGCAATGGCGCAGCAGCTTGTGGACCGCCGCCATTCCTGGGCGGCTGCGGCCCGCCGGCCGTGATGTCCTGCTCTTCGAACAGTTTGCGGATCCTCTCAAAGTGCTCGAGCTCCTTGCTGCTGACGCTGCCGACGAGTTCGTTCTGCGCCGCGGAAAAGTCGGTCTCGTTGACAACAACCTGCACGTCCTCGCTCGTGGCGAGATGGTCGAAAAAGTAGCCCGTGCTGATCTCTTCGCCCCGCGCCTTGCTGATTTGACGCACTTTTTCGTCGACGGCTTGCGTCTTGCGCGTGATTGCTTTGAGCATGGCGTCGCTGCATAGCGCGTACAGGTCGGCGCCCGTGTAGGTAAATGGCAAGCGGCTTGCCACTCTCGTGAGCTCGACATCTGGCGCCAGTGTGAAGTTGCGGGTGAGGGCTTTCAGGATGGTGACCTGCTGATCATGCGTATCGGCGACGCCGAGGTATAGCATCTTGTCAAACCGGCCGGGTCGAAGCAGTGCTGGGTCCAGCAAGTCCGGTCTATTCGTAGCGCCGATGACGAAGACTCCGCCTGCATTTGACGTTTCCTTGGAGTCGGGGTCATCATTGCTTCCGCCTCCGCCAGACATGCCATCGAGTTCGGCCAAGAGTTGGGAGACAATTCGATCCATCACCCCTCCACTGTCGCCTTGATTGCCACGCTTTGGCGCAACAGAGTCTAGTTCGTCGAAGAAGACGACACATGGACGAGCATCTCTCGCGCGCTGAAAGACTCGGCGTACATTTGCTTCGGATTCGCCAATGTACATGTTCAGTAGCTCCGGGCCTTTGACGCTGAAAAAGTTGAGACTAAACTCGGTGGCAATGGCTTTTGCAAGCAGTGTCTTTCCCGTGCCTGGAGGGCCGTAGAACAAGATACCGGAGCGCTTTCGAATGCCATTAGCGAAAAGTTCGGGATGCGTTAGAGGCAAAGAGATGGTTTCCATGATGGCGTCTTTCTGGGACGAAAGCCCGCCCACGTCCTGCCAGGTGACTGTTGGGATCTTGGGAGCCCCAATCGCGTCGGAGAAGGTCGATCGCGCCGCAGCTATTGCGCGGCTGAAATCGCTCGGTAGAAGATTGCTTGCTGCCTGGCCACCGGAGATGAGGATGTCGGAGACGCTGCGGCTGTGACCTTCTGCGAGGGACAACAAGCGGGACATCCGTGCGGTGTATGCTCGATTCACAACGTCCAACAGGTCACCTGCGACTAACGCTGCAGTCTGCAGTGCTATCGATTTGAGGTTGATGGTGCTGGAGAGCGGCGTGGAAATGGAGGTGCAAGCATTACGGAGGATGATTTCTCGGGCTTTCTCGTCCGGCGCAGCCACTTCGAGTTCGTGGGTGAATAGGCTCCGCACTCCTGCCGGTATATCGTCAATCTTGGTCGTTGTGGCGATGAGCACACGAGACTCGGAAATGATCTCCTGCAATACGGGTACCATCCTATCCGCAGTCAGGGCATCGATGTGCTGGATGAGCAGGGCTGTCTGTTGAGAGCCTCCTGAAAGCGCCCGCTCAGCTCTCGTCCGCAACAATGCTTCGGTCTTCGTGTCGCCGCCACCTGTCGTTGACGCATTCTCGGATAGTAGATCATGGGCAGATATCGGAAAGACGTGCACCCCAATCTCTGAACAGGCCGACTTGGCGATGTATGACTTCCCAATCTGCCTTTGAGTGGAATAGAGCAATATGACCAAGGGCGGCAGTCCGAGACTGATGGCGCGATTGCTAACAGCGGCAGAGATGAGCGCAGACAGGCGCTTTTCCAGGGGCAGTCTGTCCGACTGGGGTATGTCTGCTGCTATAGGAATATGTTCGATCCGATGCGAGTTCTGGTGGGGCAGTTTATTGATGCCAAACCAGTAGCGACTCCATATCTCTATCGAATGCGAGACCGACTGGACGCTGCTACCACTTTGAGAGGCCCTTGTTTGGGTGCTGTCCAGTGTGACTACTCCACCCCAGGTGTTTTGGCCATCGTCTGCCTCAGTTCCGGCTTGGTCTATGTGGATCTGCTGGACGGAGAACCAAGCAATTGCGAAGCGTGAGGAGCCGGCAGTATCCGGTACATTTAGGTGCTTGATCGTATCGTCCTCACTGGGCGGCTCATCCGAGCCACCTGCAGAAGTAATGGCCCTGCCCAGTTCCTGGTCTACTGGCACAGCAATGAGGTCGCCCTTCTTCAGAATACGCTTCTTACTCTGGAGGTGTAACTGCAGGGATGAGAACAATGTAGACTGGAAAGAGGGGTTGCTGGTGGTTGGATCAGCAATCTTCGAAAGCACAACCTCCTTCGCCACTGGAGGAGCTTTGAAGGTGCTGGACCGAGGGGGTTGCATCGACCGATGATCTGCTCGAGGGCTTGTAGGCAAAGCGCCGAGTTTCACATATCGGGCATTTGACAGATTGGCAAGCAGTATTGGAGAGAGATAGATGGCTGGCGAGAATGGCGGCAGTAGATCCCTCTGCGAGAAGCTGGACCTTCTGTCACCAGTCTTGTCCACGGCGTAACGTGGTTGCAGGTTGGCTAGGCCGGAGAGACCAAATACTCTCACCGCTCGCCAGTCTGATTCCTCTTCTGTGCCGAATCCGGTGAGATTCTTCATGGACAACGGCGGAAAGCCCTGAGCGCTCACATTCTTAGCAACCTCAATGCGAACCCAGTCTCCGGAGAAACATCCGATCTTGGCAAGCGTGCTTGTGTCGATAAAAACGAAGGATTCGTCGTCATCTTCGAGACCAGGTCTCGGATGCATCAACTCGACGGGGACTTTTCGAAGCAGTGCCTCGGTCTTGAAGACCTTCCCAGGTCGGCTGCTGCCTCGGGTTGTCGTCGAGGTGAAGCCCGAATATATCGAGCCCGGAGTATGTGTGCCGGTTGCCCTCCTATCACCCGGCCTCGGCGTCGCAGAGGTCATGGCCGATAACGTCCCCGCTTGCTGAGGTGGCAGACCAGGAGCACTCAGAGAGATCATATCGTCCATAGAGTCGTCCGACTCCTCATCACTGCCCTCGGGTTGTGAATCATCGGCAGCTGAGTCGTCGTCAGAAGAGTCGTCACCATCAGATCCTCCCTCCGTCTGCCTGTCTTCGGCAGCGGAATAGAACTGATCGTTCGCAGTGTCCTCAGCGGTGTCCTCAAGAGACTCTTCTATTATAGGTTGCACTGGTGCCAGCTTGCTGAGCGCTTTTTCTTGCGAAGACCCTGTCTGTATTAGAATGATTTTGGTTCTCGCACCGAGTTGTCCCTGAGACACAGGCTCGCACTCCACCACAATGGCGGGTGGGGGTCGGACGTGGGTGATGGGATGTGCCGGGAGCGGCAGAGGGAAGACATCTCCCGAATGGACCACTGCTAGACGAGACAGCGCTTCGCGAGCAAGGGAGGCAAGTCGGCCTGTGATGGGAGGCACATTCCGCAATACACCATTAGGAGTCGATGGCTTCCTCTCCGACTGTAATTGCTTCCCGTATTGGAACCCTCCACCAAACTTGGTTTGTATGTCATCGATCTTTTCAAGTAGCCCTTTTTCGACGGACACATAGATCGTGTCCAGTGTGAGAGGCCTGGTCGGAATGGCGTGAATCTCGATTGACTTGGGGATATGGCCCGGGTGACGATCACGGTCGATGGCCGCGTAGGTCTTCAGAATAGACTGGCATGCTAAGGATGTTGGCGGGAGCCTGATGACATTGTCCTCCTGTTCGCCATCCCCTTCGGAAGGCAGCTGGACGGACAGAATCGTCCACGTTGACTCTTGGAGCTCGGTATGGAGCGGGGTGCGCGGCGTCAGGGCTACATAGGCAGGAGAGCTGGCCGTGAAGCCATCTTCAAGATTAGTCTCAGCATGTGCTCCACACAAATGATCGAATTTTGACATACCGACATGGCCATCGACGAGTTTTGTCCAGAGGCTTCGAGGAACCACAGCAGCATCACCCTTGACGGAGTCGTCGAAAGCCAGCCGAGTCGAGAAAGGCCGTCGCTCGATCTCACGCCGCCGCCGCTTCTTCGGGTGCTCGAGATCGTGTTCGGAGCTGTCCATGACTGCTCAACCGACTGCTCTGACTGATGGCATGTCCACTCAATGACTGCAGCTCGATTAACGGACAAAGATCCGCTAAAGGTCCAGGTGAGTGTCGAGAATCGAAATGTGTGTCGGCCGTGAGCGGGCGTGTCGGCCGGCAGTCTTCAGCCACTTGTCGTGCCGAGGTTCAGCTCAGCATTCGGAAAATGAAAGCTGTTGCTTGCTTCCTTTGCTCTCGACTGACTGAACATACGGCCGGTCCTCTCTATCTTCTGCAAGCCCCAATTCGAGAGGAAGGTTTTGTCCAGACCCGAGTGAAGATTCTAGGTCACCCAAGGCCCTAGACGGTCCTTCTCGCCCTTTCTCCGGATGGCGGTTAGCTGATTCGGTCTCTAGTGGAACGAGCCAACGAGGACAGCGACATCTCACCTCCCCGCAAGCCGCGACCCAGGCAGCTCCCGCCTCTGCAGCACTCTTTGCGGAGGTGGCGCCCGTCTTGTCCTATGAATCGCACGAACTCCGCCTCCGCCAACGGTGGCCTCACGTCGTTTATTGGACTCTCCCACACTCTTGTCGACATGCTGAGTGACACTGCTTGGGACTTCTAGCCCTAACGGCAGGAAGCTACCCGAAGAAACATCGCAATGGTCGGCTTGTTTGGACAAGGTACAGGTCACATATCTTAGGGATGGCTGAAACAGGGGAAACAACTCTTCGCATCTAATCCTTTGTGCAAGTATCCAGTATGAAAACGCAGTCTGATATCTACGTCAATCGAGGCCATGTCTCGTCAATGGTCGTTTGACCTCAATGCTGCCCAAAAATAGAATCCACCAACTCGCCGCTTCGAGTAGACAATATTGAGAGCAAGGTATCGGACAACCCGTGTGTTTCTTCATTACACCCTTGCAGCCAGATCCCCGTGGCATCCTCAACAGTCCCCCGATCAAGCTTCAGCCCATAATCACGCCCGGCTTGCCAACGCCCGGCAGGATTCGCGTTGATACTTTGACAGTCTTTCAGCATCTCGACGTGGGCGTCCCGTCGGTATCCGGTCGCCACGATCACCGCATCAAACGACCATACTTCCCTTCGATCCTGTCTCAACGGATCTGTATTTCTCAACACCAGATCCACCCTCTCATTCGGTCCGTTGTCGACCACGTCTGAAATCTCTCGAAGGGGCAGGATCTGGTGCTGCCAGCGAGACTTATCTGGCTGTTTGATGCTCTGCAGGTAGAGCTCGTCATACAACTTCTCGAGCAACTCAAGCCTTACAACACTGTAGTTTGTGGCCTTGTTCTTCTTCAGATTCGCGGACCTGACATTTTCGGGCTGCTCATAAAAGGCGTCGACAGCTTCCGGGTTGAAGACCTCGTTAACAAATGGCGAGTCATCGCTGGGTCGCAGTGATGAATCGCGGAAGATCAGCTTTGTCGTCGCGTTGGGATAGCGGGAATGAAGATTGCTGAACACCTCGGCAGCACTCTGGCCACCACCCACAACGGCGACATGATACGCTCCGTTCTTGTCCGACAGAAGACGCTCGATCCTGGTGTTATACTCAGATGAGTGCAGGATGCGCTCGTGGTACGGTGGGAATACGGCTGGCTTTGCTGGTCGGCCGCCCGCTGCTATCACGACGTTACGACTGAGAAGCCGCAAGGTTGTCCCTGTGGAAAGATTTCGCGACACGATCTCGAAGCAATCGTACTTCTGTGCTCCTTCCTGTTTGTGAGGGAGGATCGAGTCGACCTCTTGGCTATATTCGACCACGTTTTCAAAGTGACTGGCTGCCCACTGAAGATAGTCATCGAACTCTAGCCGAGATGGCAAAAAGGTCCCAAGGTTTGAAAACTGAACAAGCCGATTGTGCTTCTTCAAATAGTTGAGGAACGTGAAATGACTTGTCGGGTCCCGAAGCGTGGCAAGATCCTTGATGAACGAGATTTGCATCTTTGCGCCGGGGAGAAGCATTCCGGCATGCCATTTGAATCCGCCTTGTCGTTCTAGGAAGCGTACTTTGGGGCTCGCGCTGTGGCTTGCAGATTCCTTTTGAAGTTGCAAGAAGTCGTGGAGTGCGACAGCTATCGCTAGTGAGGCTGGCCCAAAGCCCACACAGACCAGGTCGTGGATTTCACTTGAGTCTGGCGTAGGCAGACTAAAGGCAGAGGCTGCAGATTGAGATCCATTTCTCATACGAGGAGAGTGCCAGCCATTGGTGCTTTCAACCGGACTGGCAGGAGCTGAGGGATGGCCATGCCCGTTCGCGTCAGATAAAAGACCCGGAGCCATGAAGACAATCAAATCAAATCAACATTGGTCGTCAGTATTGGTGCCGTGATGCCTGCGAGCACAGAGACGAGTATCAATAGACAGGCAAAGGCTTTCTCAAATCGTCGAGGCAGGAGGAGACGCCATTTGTACCCCGGCTCGATCCAATAGCCCCCGTCCAACTGCCAGCGCGACCTGATGGTTACCCAGACCGCCGTGAATGGTGGCATCATTGATGCGGAACCGGCCGCTGACTGGCCATGTCGGTCAGGAATCCCCCTACCTCTTCCTGCACAGCTCAGGACACTTCGGAGCCTGTACCATGAAACAGTCAATGCACCCCGAGATGGTTGAGGGCCATCGACATGCTGCAAGCCTTTATGTCTATCACTACGTCACTTGAGTTGGCAACAACCACCAGCAACGCCGGAAGCGAGAACATTTGCTCAAGATCCGATCACGGAGGCAGAAGTTATCAATCTAATCAGTAGATTATCTGATAATCTTTTGTCACCGGATCATCTCTGGCCAATCGGCGCTGCAGCTGGAGGTGGCGGCTGCCCCGCCTGCACCTGCGCTTTGCTCAAGGGTGGCGCGGCAGACCTCATACAAGGCTTCAACGGAAACAAAAATTTTCAGTCGTCTCTCTGACCCCAGGGACGTACGGCGAGTCACCTAAGCCATCGACCCTGGTCGGCGGAGCCCATAACGCGACTAGCTCCATCCGGTAGTCACATGTGCTGGATATGCAAGCATCCCCGATGCTTGGCTAGAGTAGCCCATCAGCGATCATGTCGACGAATGCTACACCACGACGTCAATCGTCAAGGGAAGAAGCAAGAATATACAACGGCTACTACCAAGCGTCTCATCCGCTGCGACTGGCCTCCTGCACCAAATACGCCAAAGGTGGTTGCACCCGATGACGTGGGCCAGTGAACGCGAACCGCTGACTTTACCCGGACTTTCCTCGTGTCAGTCCAACGGCGACAACCTCGTTCAATACTTCAGATTCAAAATCACCATAAGAGCGCTCCTGGAAGAAAGCTACTGCCGTTTCGCGGCTCTCCCGGCTACCTTGACAACCTCACAACTACGCGATGTCGCCATCAGTCAATGGGTGTCATACTCCCCGCCAAGAATCCATCGTTAACGCGAACCGTCGAATACTACCAGGCCCTCAATTATTGCACGAATTAGTGGCCAAGGCGCCTGGGGAGGCTATCATTTTCGACTTTTTACAGGCTGCCGACCGCCGTGTCAGGCTCACATATGAAGATTTCCATCGCATTACGGACCTTCTGTCTCAGGACATCCGAGAACAGTTATCAATTCGATCAGATCGAAGGCTCATAATTCCTGTCATTGTACCGCAATCTCCTGAGCTCTATATCTCCTGGGTGGCCGTGCTCAAGTGTGGAGCCGCCTTCTGCCCGGTCAGCCACGATGTACCAGCGGAGAGATTGAAGTTCATCCTGCGCGATGTGGAAGCGACCTTCGTCTTGGCAACCTCTGCCACATCAGATCTCTTGCGAGACGCGCTGTCACAGGTCAGGTGTAAAGTTGTGTCTCTCAAAGACCTCCTGGACAGACTGAAATCTACCAGAAATGGTGAAATCAGTTCCCAAATCGGGCCGGCTATAGATCCTTCGGGCCCTGCATATGTGATGTATACATCAGGCTCTACAGGACTGCCCAAGGGGGTCATGGTATCGCACCAGTCGGTGTCCCAGTCACTACTAGCGCACGATGAGCATATTCCCCACTTCAGGCGCTTCTTGCAATTTGCTTCACCCACGTTCGACGTATCCATATTTGAGATATTCTTTCCATTTTTCCGAGGCGCCACATTGGTTGGCTGCGAGCGAGAGCGCATGCTCGCTGATCTCCCAGCTACGATCCAGACGTTGAACGCAGACGCCGCGGAGCTCACACCCACTGTGGCGGGAACACTGCTAAGAACGAGAGAGGCAGCTCCTTGCCTGAAGACGCTCTTGACGATCGGAGAAATGCTCACAGCCCAGGTTGTCTCGGAATTTGGCGGAAATACAGATAAACCTAGCATGTTATATGCTATGTACGGTCCCACCGAGGCGGCAATTCACTGTACTTTGGCGACGGAGTTAGCTGCGGATGCATCCGTTCGCAGCATAGGGCAACCGTTGGCCACAGTCACCGCTTTTGTCCTGAAATCAGGCGATCCGCCTGCGATAGCCCCTGTCGGGGAATCAGGAGAGCTTGCTATAGCCGGTCAACTGGCTGATGGCTACTTGAATCGGCCGGAGCAGAACCAAGCTGCATTCGTGGATCTTCCTGGCCATGGCGCCATCTACAAAACCGGTGATCGAGCGATATGTCGTCCCAATGGCGACCTAGAGATCCTGGGCCGAATTAGTACCGGGCAAGTGAAATTAAGAGGCCAGCGGGTGGAACTGGGAGAAATCGAAGAGATCGCGTCCAAGACCAAAGGGGTCCACATGGCCATTGCCAGCATCATAGACGATGTTCTGGTGCTGTTCTGTGTAGCAAGGCCTGACGTCGGAGCAGCCGCCATTCACGTTCAGTGCAAATCCTGGTTGCCGCCATATATGCGCCCAGGCGAGATCATCTTCCTCCACCACGACGTCCCACGACTAGCTTCGGGCAAGATTGATCGCAAAGCGCTGGAGCGTAATTATCGTGAACAACGATCGTCAGCGACACACGAGGGCACATTTGAAAACCAGATTGAGAAGGACATTGCAGAGGTTTTGAGCAGCGAGCTGAGAACAAAGATCGACAGAAGCACATCCTTCTGGTCCCTGGGACTAGATTCCCTCCGCGCCATAAAGGCAGCATCTCAGCTACGCCAAAAATACAATTCCATCAGTTCTTCAATCATTTCCGAGGCTGACAATGTAGCCGAGTTAGCAGCCATTGTGGGGGACTCATCCACTTCTGGTAACCTTGAGCACACCAGACCCGGATATGAGACCTCCAGGGAATGGCAAGACATCAAGCAACAGCTGATTCGTGGCCCTGACCTGGCAAGCCACGAACCACCCTGGGAGGAGATCCAGCCTTGCAGTAGCATGCAGGTGGCAATGCTAGTCGAAACTTCCACGAAACAAGACCGGAATTTCAATGATATCTGGCTTCAGCTTGCTCCAGGGTTGACAATTGCTGACCTACGTCTGGGGTTCAACAAACTTGCGGAGAAGAACAAGATTTTGCGGTCTGGCTTCGTGCCAACAGGAAGACAGGAGATGCCATTCGCCCAAATTATTTGGCGTTCCCTGGTAGACTCGGACCTCACTCTTCTACGACCACTGCAACTGAGTCAGGACGCGGATGATGTTGCTCACGTCCGCATTCACCACGCGCTCTATGATGGATGGTCCTGGGACTTGATATTGGACGATCTTAATACCATATTGTCGGGTCATGATGCACCAGAAAGAACGCCCTACTCCGTGTTCTGCTGCTTTGAACAGCGTCAACTCCAGTCTGAAACATCAACGACTCGCGAATTTTGGGAGAACCAGTTTTTAGACTTCAAGCCTTCGGCCTTCCCCAACCTCTCAGCAACCCGCAAGGAGCAACGGTGCAGAGGTTTCACGGAGTTGTCATTGACAGTCTCCTATCAGCAGCTGTCAGACCTTGCTCTGTCATTACGTTGCGGTCGGGAGACCATCCTAGAAGCGGCGTGGTCTCTCCTGCTTTCATCATACCTCAATGAGGCTGACGTCGCGATTGGCGTTGTGTCAGCAGGCCGCCATCATTCTCTCCCAGGAATTGAGTCCATCATTGGTCCCTGCTTATCGACGTTTCCTCTCCGTATTGATATCAATGCTTTGAGAACGGCACATGATCTTGTCAATCACATCCAAAGGCTGCGCAATCTACACCAGAAATACGGGAACATAACCCTTCGAGATATTCATCATGCAGCAGGCGCCGGTGCTGAAGATGGACTCTTCGACACCCTTTGTGTATGGCAACAAGACAGTGCGGACAATCACAGGGACCGTTCCAAAGTAACAACCATCTCCACGTATGATGCCTTGGACTACCCCGTTGTGCTGGAATTTGAACCTCGCCAGGGCAAAGTCCATGTGAAGTTGGGCTACGATGCGGTGCGTGTTCCAGAAGACCAGGCACGCCTTTTGGTGAGGCAGCTCGATGATGCCGTCGCGCGCATTATGACGGGACCCGAACTCCGCCTAGGTCATGTCTGGGATGACATGAGCCAAAATGTTGCGTCGATGGTAAATACCGACTTCGAGCAGTTTAGCGGGACTTTCGACCTCATAAGCACAGTCCGAAGTCTTGCCGAGTCATGCCCTTCGAGAGTGGCAGTCGAAGTCGTGCACGATATGGACGTATACACAGGCCGAGCCGACAAGGAATTCCTCACCTACAGCGACTTATTCAAGCGGGCCTCAAGCATCGCGTCGTCATTGCAGAGGAAGTACACCGTGGGTGTTGATGACCTCGTATGCTTGGTTGGGTCAAGGTCAACCGAGCTCTACATTGGCATACTAGGTGTCATTATGGCTGGAGGAGCCTACATGTGCATCGACCCTCGCACGCCTGCGGAGAGAACTCGCTCGATCCTGGCTGAAGCGAAATGCAAGCTTGTCCTAACAGCAGATAATGCCCAGGCGCCGGCTCAATCCCCGGTGGTAACAATCGTGTCCATTACCGACCTTCTTGCCCAAAACTCAGCTTCCGGCGTGTCCAAGTGGCCTGAATTGACAGGAGGGGAGTTAGCCTACGCTGTTTTCACAAGTGGCAGCACGGGTGTCCCGAAAGGTGTCCTCCTTACTCGGCGAAACCTGCTCAGCAACCTTGAAGTGCTCTCAGGTATCTATCCCTGCAAACCAGGAACAGATCGTCTATTACAATCCTGCTCGCCAGCATTCGATGTGTCGGTCTTCGAAATCTTTTGGACCTGGCACACGGGAATGACATTGTGTACGGCCTCGAACGATATACTGTTTCGAGATCTCGAATATTTCATCCAGGAGCTGAACATTACCCATCTCAGCATGACACCCTCGGTCGCTGCCTTGGTTAATCCTGCCAAGGTCCAGCACGTGAAAATGCTGGTTACGGCAGGAGAACCTATGAACTCGAAGGTCTTCTCGGCTTGGGCCGATCGTGGTTTATACCAGGGTTACGGTCCCTCCGAGACAACAAATATTTGCAACGTCCGACCTTGTGTCTCAAACTCTGATGCATCAAACAACGTCGGTCCTCCGCTACCAAACACATCAGTCTTCGTCTGCCACAGACAGACACAGGACTCCCGACATACCGTCAATGGGACCAGTGGTAAGGCCGCTTTGAACTTTAGACTGGTTCCCACAGGCGGAGTAGGAGAAATCTGGATCGGCGGAGAGCAGGTTGGACGCGGGTATATCGATCCTGCACTGACGGCAAAGGCGTTCTTCCACCACCCGAGGTATGGTCGACTCTACCGCTCTGGGGACATTGGAAGGCTTCTTGCCGACGGGTCTCTGACCATTTTGGGTCGCGAAGACGATCAGGTCAAGCTTCGTGGTCAAAGAATCGAGCTAGGAGAGATCAACTCTGCTATCCTCCGGTGCCAGGGTCTCGAAGATGCGGTGTCTATGATCATTGACGCAGATGGTGGTGCAGCTGCCAAACTTGTTTCTTTCCTGACTCGGCGTCAGCCCAAAGAATCAGCAACACGTTCCGAGGCCACCGACGCCATATATGACCAATTGTCAAACACATTGCCGACCTACATGATACCTGACGCACTTATAGATCTCGACTCCATACCACTGACCCGACAGGGGAAGGTCGACCGGAGAAGTCTCGTCGACAAGTACCGCGGCCTTGATGCGGAGCAGCTCCAAGCAGTTTCGCGAGGGAACACTGCTTCAGAGGATGCTCGAGACTTCTCTGAAGACGAGAGAACAATAGCTGAGACTATTTGCGATAGTCTCGGTGTGCAATTCCCGACGATCACTCGCAATAGCTCGTTCTATGCTCTGGGGCTGGACTCGATCAGTGCTATCCACGTTGCAAGAAAACTGAGGGACCATTATTCATCCATTGAGATCTCCACCTTATTAAGAAACCCATCGGTTGAGCGACTGCACAGAGCCCTGCGCTCGGCCACGGGGGCGGGGCCAGCGCCATGTCCTCAGCGTGATCTGACCCGACACTTCACTGGTCCCTTGGGTGATCGGATTCGCAGCACCTACTCTCGTGCGGGACTTGAAGTCGAGAAAATGCTTCCATGCACCCCTTTACAAGAGTCGATGGCCACAACTGCTATGAATGGCTCTTCCCAAGCTTATCAGACCACCCTTCAACTTGAAGTCCAAGGGGATATTTTAACGCTGCGGGAAGCGTGGGAGCACGCACTGGCTAGACATCAGATCCTTCGCACTGGATTCACAGCAACAGACTCCGCCGCTCAACCCTTTGTGCAGGTGGTTTTGAAGAACTTTCAGCTTCCCTGGAATGGGGACACTTCTCAAGATCCTCAATTTCACCAACTGGAAGGTCTAATGCTTCCGCCATGGAAACTTACGGTGACACAAGGAGATGACAATAGCTCCAAATTGACTCTACAGATGCATCATTGTCTCTACGATGCCGAGGCGGTGTCAATTCTTCTATCTGACATCGAGGCTTACTATCATGGCTATCATCTTCCAAAGCCGGTGCCTTTCGAGCGCTATCTGTCTTTCATGGAAATCTCCGACACGAACGGCACATATGACTTCTGGCGCACCAAGTTGGACGGAGCTTCCTTGTCCAAGCTGTCGGAGGCTATCTTGCCTGAGAACATGATTCGATCAGGCAGCGCTTCGCGGGCGCAGTCTCGAAGCACGATCGGCTTGTCCGAATTTTGTCAATCTATTCGAAAGCTTTCTTCAACACCTCTCGTGCTGATGCAGGCGGCGTGGAGCCGTTTGCTTAGCTGCATCTTCCAGACTCAAGATGTTTGCTTTGGGAATGTTTTTAGCGGTCGCAACCTTGCCATTGACGGTGTTGACCGCATAGTCGCACCGTGCTTCAATACTTTACCGATGAGGGTCCGTCTGCGGCGCGATAGTTCCAACCAAGAACTATGTCACAGTTTCCAGCAGATGAATGTCGAAGTATTGCCCTATCAGACTAGCTCACTCCGTCGCATCCAGCGAGAAGTCGATACCATGGGGAAAACACTGTTCGATACCTTGATTCTACTGCAGCAAGACCAGCTCCGCCTCGACCATGACATTTGGACGATGATTGACGAATCTGGAGATATGTCATTTCCTTTCATTCTGGAAATAGTGATGGACACAGACGCCGACAGCATCTCTCTGATATTACACTCGGAGGTAGCGGATGAGAACACTTTGAGGCATTTCCTCCATGCCTTTGACAGCCTTCTCGTACATACCGCCAAGTATCCGCAAGCAAGAGCATTGGACTATTCTTCTGCGACTCATGCGTTGCCAGAACTGAATCCTACCACTCCGTTCATTGTCGGTCGTCCACCAGCAGCCGCCACAGGAGCAAATGGGTCGATCCATGATGAAGAAAACCCGACAGACGCGGAGACACTAGTCAAGGATATCCTCTTGCAGTTGAAGCCTGGTGTTTCTAGGAACATCTCCAAAGACACCACCATTTTCCATCTGGGTTTCGACAGTATCAACGCTGTGCAAATCGCGGCAAGGCTACGCAAACAAGGCTTCAACCTGTCTTCTGGTGATGTGCTGGAAGCTGCCAGTGTCCGCAACATCGCCAGCCTTTGTAACTCAAGGAAGGAAGAGCCGGAGCCGGGTTTTTCATTCGACCTCGACGCATATGACAGGCAACACCGTCAGTCGATCTGTCAAAGTAACGGCATTGGACGACCGACAGTGCAGCATGTGTGGCCGTGCACACCGACTCAAACAGGCATATTATCACAATATATTCGGTCGAATCGAAAGCTGTACTTCAATCATATGCACTTCCAGCTGGAACAAAACGTCGACTTGTCGAAGCTAAAGCGTGCTTGGGCCGTGGCAATGAAAACGCACAAAATGCTCAGGACCGGCTTTGCTGAAGTGGATGACCCCAAGGCCCCGTTTGCTATGGTTATATACAAGACAGGTGCCAAGCAGCTGCCATGGTTCGACGACACCACCGACCCTCCGAGAGACCTGGAAGACCTTCGATACCTGCAATGGTACGTTCGAGTGTCCACCACGGGCCAGTCTCCGTTCCTCGAACTCTCAATGCTGCATGCACTCTACGATGCTCGCTCCTTGGATATAATTCTGAACGATGTGGCCTGTATATACCATGACACGCAGCCACAGAAGATCGACATTGCACATACTGTCTCCAAGATTCTCGCTACAAGCGCAAATGAAAGCTCAAAATCATTCTGGTCTGAGATGTCAACCGATATGAGTCCAACTCGCTTTCCAGATATGCGAGTCTACAACAACCAAGCCACGAATCACATCGTAGCAAAACAACAGTGCAGCCTGTCGTCTCAGACCCTGGAGGAAGCATGTGCTGAGGCAGGAGCCACGATGCAGGCCTTGGTGGCCGCCGCCTGGGCTTCTTTACTCGCCGCATATACCGCGCAGAGCGTCGTCACTTTCGGAGTGATACTGTCCGGAAGAGACTTTGACGAGGACGTGGGCAAGGTTGCCTTTCCGTGTATCAATACTGTTCCGCTAGCAATCCCAATCCATCGTGAAGGGGCCAAGCTCCTGCAAGTCGCTACCAAGCGATGTGCCAGCGTTCTGAAATATCAGCATACCCCACTCAACTCTATCAAACACTGGGCAGGCATTGATGAAGAACCATTCGACTCTGTGATCGCCCTGCAACGGTACGGCTCCGCACAAGATTCGCACAGGCCATGGGCTCTGGTCGAAGATGATGCGAGTGCCGAGTACGCGGTCTCGCTGGAAATACTACCACGCGAGGACGGTACTATTGACCTCCAGCTGACATGCCGTGGTGATGTCGTACCGGCAGAGCACGCTTCTCACATCCTCCAAGAGTACGATGTGCTTCTCAAGAGCATAGTCGGCCCAGCTACCGAGTCCTCAAAGCTTCCGCAGTCAATTTTGTCAGTCGTGCCTGCCAAAGACGAACGTATCCCTACCGAAGTCCACTTCCTACACGAGCTTGTCGAGCTGTCTGCAAAAGGACGACCTGACAAAATTGCTCTTGAGTTTGTGACAAGCTTAGAGGACTCGGTCGCAACCAAGCAGACCTGGGCTTACTCTCAGCTCGACTCAAGTGGCAACCAGATGGCGCGCTTGGTCCAGAATAACGGAGCTCGGGCCGGAGATCTGGTGGCTGTCTGCTTTGACAAGTGCCCCGAAGCTTCATTCGCTATACTTGGGATCCTCAAAGCAGGATGTGGCTATATCGCCATTGACCCAAGCGCACCAGCTGCCAGGAAGGAGTTTATCCTCAAAGATTCTGGGTGCAATATGGTCCTTACCACAGAAGACAAGGTATCAGATTTTGCGCATCTGGAGAACGTATCTGTCGTAGCTGTCGACAATGATGCCTGGCAAGTCTTGCCGCCCGGCAAGCCTAAACCTAGCAGAGAGCCATCTCCCGAAGATACGTGCTACTGCCTTTACACATCGGGCACCACTGGCACACCAAAAGGCTGCCTGATCAGTCACGACAGTGCTGTTCAGGCCATGCTGTCATTCCAACGAATCTTCGAGGGCAGATGGAATGACAGTTCCAGGTGGCTGCAATTCGCGTCCTTCCATTTTGATGTCAGTGTGCTCGAACAATACTGGAGCTGGAGTGTGGGCATCTGTGTCACATCTGCTCCGCGAGACCTCCTGTTTGAAGATCTGCCAGCAACCATCAGCGCTCTCCAGATAACCCATCTTGATCTTACTCCAAGCCTGGCGCGGCTACTTACCCCCGAAGATGTACCAAGTTTGTGTGATGGCGTCTTCATCGTTGGTGGGGAGCAAGTCAGACAAGATATCCTGGGGACCTGGGGTGATGCTGGCTGCTTGTACAATTTCTATGGTCCAAGCGAAGTGACCATCGGCTGCACAGTCCATCGACAGGTACCCAAGCACGCGAAGCCCACCAACATTGGCCAGCAATGGGACAACGTCGGTTCCTTCGTATTAGAACCAGGCTCTGAACAGCCAGTTCTACGGGGCGCGGTCGGCGAGTTGTGCCTGTCAGGTCCGCTGGTCGGGAAGGGATATCTCAACCGACCACAGCTCACTGCAGAGAAATTCGTGACAATGCTCAACTACAACGCTAGAATCTATCGGACGGGCGACCTTGTCCGTCTCTTGCACGATGACAGCTTTGAATTCCTCGGCCGTATCGACGATCAAGTCAAACTGCGAGGTCAGCGATTGGAGATCGGAGAGATCAATCATATTGCGTTGGCTTCAGACTCTAGAATAAAAGACGTTGCCACAATGGTCTTGAAACACCCGAGCCAACAGAAGGATCACCTTGTGGCCTTCTTTTCCACAGCACAACAGAGAGTCAAGAATGAGAGCTCGAACACCCTGACTGACAACTTGAGTCGAGAGTTGATTGCAAAGATTCGGGAGAAGTGTTCCAATAGTCTACCGGCGTACATGGTACCAACTTACATTCTAGCAGTGTCATCCTTACCTCTGTCGGTCAACAACAAGGTCGATCACAAAGCCTTGAAGGCATTGTACCAAACCAATATGACAGATTCGGAAGGAACATCGGCCGAGCAGGCAGAGGCATTGACAAACGGCAACGTGGGAATCGATCGAAATGTGGCCGAAGTACTGGCATCCTTTCTGCAGGTTCCTGCATCAAGCATCAAGCCCAGTTCGAGGTTGTTCGAACTCGGTGTGGACTCGATATCTGCGATCGGGCTTGCCAGGATCTTCAAGCGGCAAGGGTTCAAGAACGCCAATGTGGCTACAGTACTTAGACATCCTGTGGTGCGGGACCTCGCACAAGCGATAGCGCAAGAATCGGCCTGTGATGGCCAACAGGCTGTTGAGGCTGCTCGAGAGCAAATTCGAGCATTCGCAGAAAATCACCGTACATCAGTTTGTCGAGCCATGAAACTCCAACCGGCCGATCTCGAGCACATCGCACCTTGTACGCCACTACAGGAAGGCATGATCTCGCGCGTCATGCAGGGTGGAACCGACGATACAGTGTATTTCTCGGAATTCCGCTTCGAGCTGGAACCGGAAATTGACATGGCACGATTGAAAGAGGCATGGCAAGCTACACAGCAGTCTGTTTCAGTGCTGAGGACTTTATTTCTCTCCACAACGGATGGATCTGCTCAGGTTGTGCTCCGGGATTGCAAGAACGATATCAAGATATTAAGTCAGCAAGAAAAGAGCGAGCAGACACGAGGGTCATGTTTCAGAGACTGGGTCAAATCTGTCAGGTCTCTGTCGATGTCGTTGCCTTGGAGCGTCAAGTTGACGACTTTCGGAAGCAGCCAGCGCATGTACCTTTACATCTTTCACGGCCTCTACGACGGAAACAGTCTGCAGAAGCTACTCGACCAAGTGAAACGACATTACAGCCGTCCTGGAGATGATCCCCTGCCCTGCATGCAATTCTACCACGCACTACCTTATGGTCCCTTGTGTCGCCTGTCCGACGAGAGGATATTCTGGCAATCACAGCTCCCCTCTTTCAAACCGCACCGGTTTCCATGGAAAGGCTTGAAGAACGAGGAGTTGCACGGTCCCACTGTCTTGCGGAGCAAGCTCACCCTTGACAATTTACAAGCTCGGTGCAACACATTGGACATCACGACCTCCGCGTTCTTCCAAGCATTGCTATTGTACGCACTACAGACGCAGCTCAACGCGAATCCTTCCATAGGCATTGTGGTCTCAGGCCGAGCAATGCCGCATGAAGGGTTGGAGGATGTGATTGGCCCAATGTTCAACACCATACCCTGCGCAATTAACGGTCTCAAGAACGGAGCGAGAGTTGCAGACCTTGTCCAAGCCTGTCACAAATTCAACGTAGATGTCATACCCTATCAGCATACACCCCTACGAAAGATTGCACGCTATCTCGATCAAGACATGAACAAGGGTCTCTTTGACACCCTGTTCGTCTTCCAAAAGTCGTCGAGGAACTCCGCTGGTGGCAAGCTATGGGAAGAAATCCCAATAGAAAGCTCGCCGGATTATCCCTTGAACATTGAGGTCGAGCAGGAAGGATCCTCCTTCACAGTGACCCTTGTTGCGAAGCGGGCACAAGCGCCTGAATATGACGCCAACCACCTCTTCAAGACCTACTTAAACTTGGTCAATGATCCAGCTATACTAGAATCGAATCTATCACCAGCGTTCTGTGAAGAAGCAGTCGAACCGGTGCCAACGACAAACGGCATCCACCATAACGACCACACGGAGTCGGACAATGTTCTAAGACAACACAACGACACTTCTCTGAGCGAAATGGAGATGGCTGTTCGATCCCAGGTCGCGGAGCTTGCTTCTGTCCAGGAAGGATCTATCTATCGGGATGGGCCGACAATATTTGAACTCGGTCTTGACAGCATTGAAGCAATGAAACTCGCAGCCCGGCTCAAGAACGTCGACTTGAAGGTCCCCGTAAGCGCCATCATGAAAGCACCTACCGTTGCGGGCATTGCACATGCGGCGACCTCGACTGCCCATGCTGAAGGCCCAATACGCAATGTGGGAGAGAGGCCCGATTCCATTGCCAGTTTGCAGGCGAGCTACCGGACTGCTCTGCAAGCCCAGGGAGTTGACCTGGAAGAGGTTGAATACATCCTTCCTGTTACACCCATGCAGGAAGGCTTACTTCTGGAACCCGAAAAATACATGAATGTGATGACTTTCAGACTGGAGCCTGGTGTCGACCTGAAACGGCTTGTTACAGCTTGGCAGACTGTTTCACAGACACAGCCAATACCGAGGACTCGCTTTGCCACCATCGAATCGGCTGACCAGGGCGCAGCATTCGTCCAGTACATGGTCAAAGAGCCACATAGGGTGCAAATATCCAACAACGACACGTTACACCATGTTGTGGACAAGTTCAGAGGCTACCCATCAGACCAAGACCTGTCAGCCCACGGAATCCAGATTGCCGTCGTGGATGAGGCAGATGCAGCCTTCCTGGTGCTCGCTATGCCCCATGCACTGTACGATGCCTGGTCTCTGTATCTCCTGCATCAGCAAGTCACCAAAACATACCATTCACCGACTCCACCTGATCCCAGGACCGAGGAGCTTACCATCATCCCACTGCGAAGCCACATCCAACAAGTCTCCGATGAGTCGAGCAGTGGGGATGCGCACCTCTTCTGGGAGGATCAGCTGAGGGGCATTCAACCCAGCACATTCACCCCGGAGGTCGCACCAGACAAACCTGCCTTCCTGCTCCAAAAACAGTCCAGCACACGTCTGGAGAAGGTCCTCGGTTTCTGCAAGCACCAGGGCGTGACGCTCCAGTCCCTGGGACTTGCCTGCTGGACAATCACGCTTGCTCAAAAGACTTGCCAGCTGGATGTTTGTTTCGGCCTCGTTCTGTCCGGTCGCACTACCGAAGGCTCGGAGCAACTTGTCTTCCCCACCTTCAACACTGTCATATTCAGGCCCCGGATCACGAAGGACAGCACAAAAGCCAAAGCTGTCAAGCAAGTGCACGACGTCGCAGTCGGAGTTTCGGAACACCAGCATTTCTCTCTTCGAGAAGCTCTCCAAATGTATAGGAGGTCGGGAACTGAGACACAGCTTTTCAACACACTGTTCACATTTCAAAAGCTTCCGAGCTCTGGCGGCGATCTCGCGGCACTTTACCATGAGTTCACCCCTGAAGCGACACCCGTTCGACCGCCGTATCCTGTCAACATCGAGTTGGAGAGTGGAGCGGACGGCCCGGTCTGGACAGTCGCATGTCAAGAGGGAATTGCTACTGAAGACTGTGGTCGCGAATTGCTAGAAACGCTTGACAATGTCTTGTCGGGCCTAATGGAACAGCCCAACCAGCCCTTGCTGCGAGAAGAGGACGAAATGGCGTCAATTTGTGGCTTGCCCAGGATACACCTTGTCAGCAGGGAGGTACCAGAGCGGGAAAATGAGTCGAGTGCCGTCAAGATGAATGGAGACGACTCGCAAACAACACGACCTTGGACTGCAACGGAAACCATAATCAGAGGAGTCCTGGCCAATATTGCCAATGTCGACAAGAACCAGATCAAGCAGGATACCGGCATCTTCCACCTCGGTCTGGACAGTGTCAGTGCTATCAAAATCGCCAGTGTATTGAGGAAAGAGGGAATCAAGATACCGGTCAGCGGTATCATCAGAGCGCACACGATTGAGAAGATCGCAAGCCTGGCAGAGCAACTCAAAACGCAGGCTCCAGACGTCCGACCAACACTGAATGGTTCTACTATGAATCAGTCAGCTTCTCGAGCTCTTAAGCAGAGTCTGGCGATCCCAGAAAGCGACGTCGAAACAGTTATACCGGCAACCGGTGGTCAATGTTACATGCTCGACATGTGGGAAGCAAGTGGAGGTCGCTTGTTCTATCCAAAGTTCTGGCTCAGAGTGGCGAATTGCTCACCAAAAGACTTGGAGCGAGCATTCCGGCGGCTTGCCCGTGTTGTGCCTGCGCTCAGGACTCTGTTCGTCCACCAGAAGAGCAATGAAAAGGTCCAGACGTGGCAGGTAGCCCTCAAGGGCGAGGCTGTGGATAGGCATAACCTGCCATGGACTTTGCACATCGATGACCAAGGAAGCGAGCTTCTTGTGACGCTTCACATCCATCACGCTTTATACGATGCTGTGAGCCTCCAGCTGCTGGTAGGAGAACTGGAAAGACTTTGTGTTGAGATCAGTTCTGACATACGGCACAATACCGACATGAGCAGCTTCGTCTCCAACACCCAGTCATCTGCAGGAGTCGCGCAAGAATTCTGGACAAATTACCTCGGTCAAAAGGCAGATATAGCACCACCCGTTGCTCAAGGCTCCTTTGGAGCAAAACGAGTTGAGATCTTCAATCCCCGACTTCTGCCACTCGGCAAGTTGACCAAGTACTTGAAACACCACGGCCTCAGCATTCAAGCGCTCTTCTTTGCCGCCTATGCCAGATCATATGCGAGCATACCTCGTGCGTCCCTTACTAGCGACAACAAAGATTCAACAGCGAGTGACGTTGTCCTCGGAGTCTACCTTGCGAACCGCTCTCTCGACATCGACGGAGTCACGGATTTGATTGCTCCGACATTCAATATCATCCCCTTGAAAGTCCAGCTCGACGGAAAGAGCCTGTTGGCTTCGGCACTGCAAGTCCAACAAGACATAGCCGAGATCACCAAGATGGAGAATTGCGGTGTCAGCATGCGGGATATCTATGCCTGGACAGGTGTCAAGGTCGACACGTTCGTCAATTTCTTGAGCCTGCCTTCCGATCAGGAAGCCGATAGCGCTCGAGCTAGACCCAGCAAGCAAGTGAAGATAACGCACGCCAAAGTCGACGCAGACCAAAAAGCGAAGCTTGAAAATGCGACGAACTCACCGTCACCGTCACCTTTTGTGAAAGGTACGGACCAAAGCCCGGAGACGAGCAAGTGGTGCCTGGTAAGTGCCGAATAATAGCGATAGCTCCTTGAATCGGCGTATACTAACTTTAATCGCACAGCCTGCCATTGACATTGAGGCAAAAGTGGAGGACGGATATCTGGGCATGGGCGTGTTCGTACCAGAGGACATGCTCTCTGCGGATGGAGTGGCCAGGATGATGGAGGAGATGAGGAGCTTGATCATGGGCTTTCATTAGGTGTGTTAGGAAACAACGTGACACCAAGCGTTGGTAAGGGGAAAGGATATGCCGGTTGTTGTTTTGGTTGGAAAGCACCTCAAGGGACAGAGGAAGGCTACGGACCGATCCCCAGATAATTTGGATTTGATGGGCGTTGGTGGCCTGTGTGGGGTTATAACGGGCGCAGGGAACTGTGAGATACTGTAAGTAGATATTAGAGGAGGTGTTTGGCCGTGATATTGTACTTTTGGCACGAAGATGCGTATCGGGACGAGGTATCATTTTCGTAATGTGTCCAAATAAGAAGGTACTTTGGTTGTCTACAAAGTTGGATTTGGCTGAAACTCGACACGTCGATCGCCCCGATCGTGTACGACAAGTCCCCTTGGTTGCCAATTGAGGGCTTTTCCTTCATGCACATCATGGATGCACTTCACTGCGGACGCTGGCCGTAGGCCCTTGGAGGTCCTTCCAGTGTTTATGACAGAGTTGTCGCCCACGGTGCCATCACGCAATATCATATTTATTACTCCGTACTCGTGGCGGACTCTCCCTTCAGCGCCAAGTCCGCGCCTCACCGCCTCGCCTCGCCTGCACCCGTACGGAGTATGTAATCAGTAATCGAAATCGTCGGCGTGCGCGAGGCCGACGGTATGTAGTACGAGCGAGTCATATACAGTGACGATTACGAATACACTGGACGAGCACGTCGCTTGTTTGATCGGGAATAATCCCCATGGAGTCCCTCAGGAATTACATGATTCACTCGCTTCGTGGTAGGTGGATACAGTGGCAAGGTACACAGTGGCAGGTGGTATGGGTAGGTGGGACGGGAGGTGCCTTATGTAGATAGGTGGCCAACTGACTACGAGATTAGTTACATACTGACCCGAGCTTGATACTACGTTCTGTGCAGGTTTGTGCCGACCATGTTTGACCACATCGAGGAAGCGTCAAGGCCATATATAGCATCATGGCACGCAATGTACAGGACAGGCTCAGTTGCAGTACGTTGCTGTGCACTGGAATCACCTTGCTTACGTCCAGCACTGTGTATTTACTCTTCCTCCGTTTTCCGTACTCGGTGCTGAGTACTGCATGTGCAGAGATTGGATCTTTCTGGTCTACCGTGCACAGCAGTACGTTCCCCGAGTGTTTGGGGTTTCTTGGTAAACCACGGCGTGGGAACCAGAGGACCGGGAACGAGGACGAGAAGGACAGCAGAAGAAAGGCACACCCCAACCCTCGAACGACATGTCGAACACACGCTCCGCAATGACCGACGACATGCTTACGAGTGACAAAGAACCCAAACTCGAAGCCGATGAAGAGCCGGAACCAGTCATAGCGGGCCCGTATTCGCTGTACGACGGATCGTTTGTGTTGGAGTTTCTACAGCCTCGGCGGTCGAGGAATGCTTCGTGAGTGCGCCCCGGTCTGTCTCTCCAGTATGCGGTGGGGACCTGATGTCCGTGCGTGGGGCGTGCGTCTGTGTCTGTGTGGCCGCGTGTGCGATGGCAGACGACGAAGGAAAGCGCGGAACGGAGCTGGCAGGCAGAGCAGAGCGCCAGCAGCTGCAGGTGGAGGAGGAACTCCGCCGGCACGCGACAGCGGCGGCAAGACGGATGGCGGAGATTGCCCCGCTGGCGAGGCTCGTAACCATACACCACCGACTGGGTGGTGGTGACAAGCAAGCAAGGCTCTGGTCCTTTCAAGCTCACTCTTCCGCCTTGGCTCGGCTCTCGAATCCCAGTCAGACGCACGCACAGGTCGAGGACTCCGTGCACGTTCGTGTAGGAAATATACATGCGCATGCATGCCCGCTGACTCCCACACCTCATCTCCAGTGTCTTGATGCGGGCGACGTACAAGCATGATCATCCGTGGTGTAAGCTGGGGAAAGGGCACGGTCAGGTAGGCACTTATCGGTCTTTACCATGGTATTGACACCGCCGTGGACGACCCCCTGTTTCCACATCTTGACTTTGACATCGACACCTCCCACGGAAGACACGCGCAGGAAGACAAACATTCGACCACCACTGACTGCTTGTTCCCAGTCACCCCCTCTACACCTGCACTTCCAACAAGCCGAATCCTTCATCGTCCTGTCCGGCGAAGTCGGCACCACGACGACCTACTCCCTCATTGACACCATCCACACGCCCCAAAACACCCCGCCCTCGAACCCCTACCACATCGCGCCGTGGATGCCGCACCGCTTCTGGCCCAGTCCCGCCGCGACAGAGGACACGGTGATGCTCGTCTGGGCGCATCCGAACCCTGAGGGCCTCGCCGACAAGATGGATCGGTTGTTCTTCCAGACGCTGTTGATGTACGTCAGTGATGTGAGGGAGGGGAAGGCGGCCCTAAGTCTGTGGCAGGTGATGGTTGTGCAGTGAGTGGGGCCCTAGCCTCCCGCCTCGGGCGCTTCTTGGCCACGATTCCGCGGCGCTCACTAACTGGACCCTCTCTCACTCTTCTCTAGACACTTCTCGGCCACCGCGCTGATCATGTTCCCCGGGCTATGGATCTTGGGGCCCCTGCGATGGTGGATCCCTTGGGTCGTGCAGTCTATATGCGCTTACCTCGCCCTGTGGATGGGGTATACGCCGTTGTTGGAAAAGTACATGTCCCAGGAGGATTGGGAGGACAAGGTCGTCCAGGAGAGGGTGGGGATGTGGCGGCGTGGCAAAAAGGAGCAGTGATGGACATGGAACGCGACCGTGAGGAGGACGGGTTGGCAGGGCATGGCAAGGCACGGCAAGGCACGGAGGTGGCCGAGATCTAAGTACAGCATGGTAGGGCCGTTCCTCATTCTCAGAGACACTGAGCCAGCTCTGGGCCGATCATTGCATAGTGTTGCACTCACCAGCCTGTACCGCACCTGCTTGGATCCTATTTCTGCGACTCTCGCTCGAGAATGAGATGCCGCAGTAGTGAGGAAAAAGGGACGGCGGCGCACAGGCTTCGCAGGCACAGCCTCGGAGAAAGACTCGGTGCTCGCTTCTTTGCGGCTCGTGGCTCGTGAGTCGTGGCGTATTTCCTTTCGTTGATCCTTCCGGCGCATGCTTGCTGGCCCTACAGTATTGACCTAGTTTGCTGCATCCGTTGTGTCGTGCCATGCTGTGTCACATCACACGAGGTCAAGCCCCCTCCTGCAGTGGGATATCCCCTCAGCGATAATCACTCCGTCCAGAAGGTACTCACAGACTCACTCACCAACTCTACGGACATGTGGATTTCTCGCCTCACCGACTCAAGGACAAGAACACGCTCACGCACGCATGCACATGCTCACGCAATCTACTACATGCCTGGGAAAGGAAAACCAAAGCATAGTTACTCCGTACTCTTCTCCTACTCGTTCGTGGAACTGAAAACTGTACCACAACACGCAGTTCTGTGGTCCACAACGCTCACGCCATGCCACGTCGCCTCAAGCGGTGAAACGAGGTCCTCGACCATTTCAACCATCAGCCTGACATGGGATACGGGATACGAGACACGGGCATGTGATGTGTGATGTGTGTCCCGCTGTCAAATCTAACGCGCGGGCGTCATCATCTTCAGAGGACCTGCTATTCGCTCGCTCGCTCGCTCGCTCATTTAGCCGCGCACACGCAGAGCCCTCGGTGCACGTATATATCATAAAGTCGAAAGGGTGTGGACTGCCCACCGACCTCACCACTCATCAACTCACCGAGCCCACCAAAGGGCTGCCGGCGCGTCACACGGCACTGTTGTGCGCTACTCGACTGGTCGACTGGTAGGCTGGCTGGCTGACTTGACTGGCTTGCCAGTCCCGTGTATGGTTGCGTGGTTGTGGTGTGGCTGCGTGGCGACACCCTCCCTCACGCAGTACCTCGTACAGTGGTACAGGACCTCCGCTCGCTCGTGCCCGATCTCCCGGTGCCGTGCCGTGCCACGCGTGCCTCAACTCCGTCGCATGCATGCACGCACGCAGATCCAACCAGTCTTCGCGACCGTGATGACAATCCCGCACGCCGGATTGGTCGCGCCTATCCCGGCACGACACTCCGTACTGCAGGACGAGAATGCAACGAAATGATGGGTGTGTGGCCCTACTCCCACCCCCACCCACCTTACTGCCTGTCACTCGCCTGTCGTCGGAAACTCAATCTTCGGGGAGGCGCGCGACACGACCACACGACATCGCGCGGTGTGCGATGCTTTGTTCTTCTTGCCGATCGCATGGCAAGTCCGCGAATTGGAATCGGTGGAAGCGTTGAATCATGGAGGCTCAGAGGGTAGGTGAGAGGTTAAGGTTAAGCTTCACGGACACGGCTGGCGAGCCGAGCCCATGTATGCATGCATGCATGCTTGTGCATTACAGTACCACAGTCGAGTAGTTGGGTCGCTGCTTTAGCATGTGACAGGACGGACCATCCTTATCAGATTGATATCGTCTTGGGATGCGATCTTATCTGATGGAAGGACCGCCGATGTCGGAATGGATGCCTACAGCACTGTCCGGAGTGTCGGCCCTGCTGGCTGATGTCGATTGTTGAATGTGCTGTGTAGGTGTACCTAAGTACATTGGTTGGTAGGTAGGTAGGTAGGTAGGTAGGTAGGTAGGTAGGTAGGGAAGTCATACTTCCACTAGCAAGAAAACGACATGTCGTCCGGAACGTTCTGTATCGAAGGGATATCAGCCGTATTCAAGGTCGAGTCGACAAGGCTGAATATACACGCTTGAGAACACTCCCCGGCATCTCATCTCGCATATAAGTCATATGTAATGTCGGTAGTGTTTGTACCATACCGCGCCTATGCTGAGAACATACATTCTTACAAAGGCTCCTTGGTCCTGCTTCCAAACTTCTAGTGAAGGACCGATGTGTACGCGAAGGGTGCGTAGAGACGGCGAGTCCAAAGGCAGGCGGACTTTCAACGGCTGTCCATTTCTTCCAGTTGACACGTGCCCCAAGTCCAAGAGGGAGACCACGTTGAAGCGGAGTGAAACCACTTCCGGGCTCTTACCCTCACACCTCTTCTTCGTCATCCAGTCCATCCCCGAGCAACTCATCGTCCTCGACAACCTGACTGTAATCTTGCCCTCTCCTTGCAAACGCGTCCCTCGAACGATATGGCGCCCCGTACCCACCAACGTTCGTGCCCCTCCCGACACCAAACCTCCCGCCGCCGCGAGAAGATCCGCCACCAAGGGGCATATACCCTCTCGCACTCCGGAACAGACTCATCACAAGCAGAGGCGTGGCCTTGGCCACAGCGACAACGCCACTCACAATCACAACAGGGACTTTGATCCACAACGGATCGCCACCTGTAGGAGAGGCTGAGAATCCCTCGCCCAGACGGATCTGTCCGAACCCACCCCCTCCACTCTGCCACTTCGTGTATGCCCAGTATCCAATCCCAATAGCTATCGCAATAGGCACGAAAATCGCGAAGAAGAGCCCTGCACCACTGATCCCATGCTTCTTCTCGTATTCTTCCTCATGGCCAGGACACGGTTTTGATTCCAGCTTGTCGAGCTCACGGCCACCTTGACACGTTGTCAGTGGGATTCTCCGATATCCCGTAGGATACCAGAATTCCACCTGATTCGGGTTGTCCTTGCAATTCGCCTCGTGATCGGCAGGCTCAAGACCAGGCACAAGCTGGCACGTCCCATCTGCTTGAATCTCATAGTTGTAATCGCACTCGAAATCCTGTCGTGTACAGGAGCAGTTTCTAGCGATGCTGTGGAGGTGGTCGATTTTCTTGCCATTGTAGCAGTCACGATCGATGCGTTTGCGATGATACCGAGCCACATGGCCAAAAAGGCAGTTTGAATCTTGCATAGGATGTTTCGGTTCCCAGAGCGTGTAGTCGCCTTTTTCGGGGTCCTTTTCGTCAAGTTCACATTTGCGCTCGCGTTCCTCGAGGCCCGAGAAGTCGACGTGCACGGTGAAAATGCCACGTTTTGCTTGAGAACCAAGTTCTCTGCCCCAGAGCAGAAAAGCGCGGGAGTTGTCCGACGGGACGGTGGTAATGGCGTCGATCTGCATTTCCACGTTGGGCGAGAACTCGAATTCCTTCCAAGTCAGCCCTTCGTCGAGTGTGTAGAAGAGTGATTTCGTGGGTTGCGATTCCTTTACAATGACAATGATGCTGCCTTGGTCGCCATACTCCCACATATAGCTTCCTTTTTTGACCGACTGCCACGTAATGCCCGCATCGCGAGTGATGAACGTGTCGGTGGCTTCATCGTCCTTGCGCACAAGATACTCGCCTACATTGCCGACAGCCATCATAAGTCCGACCGCACTAGGGCTGGAGAAAGTGGCCGATTTGTCGCCTCGTTCAGTGTAGCTGTGGATGTGTAGAGAGCATTTGCCCGTGGCCTTGTTGGCCTCGCCGACGCATGGGTAGTTTTTGCCTAGTGCGTCCTGTTTGGGTGGTGGGAGGAAAGCCCATTCTGCACCATCGTTGTGGGTGATCATCGACTTTAGCTTCTTCTTCTCGCCGTTGTTGGTCTCGTCCCTGTTGGCTACGACGTTGACCATAGCAACGCCTTCTAGGCCCTGCATCTTTTCAAAATCGACGTAGCCTTCGGTGTCCCGGTTGACGCCTCCAAGAGTGTAGACGTATGAGGTACCATTGCTGTTCGATTTGATGATGGCACCATACTCATGGTCTTGAGCGGCGTTGACAGTGACGTGGAGGAACACGGCGTGAGTGGAGCTGTCCAGGACAGTATAGGCTTGCTGGTGTTTGACCTGGAAATTTCTGGGAAATTCGGCAGGTGCGAATGTCCTCCCGTCGACACTTGCGTCGACTTTCAGGCTTTGCCGATCTTCTGTTTTCGCCGCAACGATGATGAATTCCGACATCGTCGCAAAGTCGAGGATATCAGGGAAATGGACTGTCGAGTCGGCGAAGAAGTTGTCGCTGGAAAGCAGCATAAGATTTTTGGTCGGGTTCTCGTCCTCGTATTGTTCGCAGAAGATCAACTGGTCACCATGTGCTCGACCTTCGCGAGTCATGAACTCGCACTTTCTGCCGTAGCGAACCATTACATCCCAGCGATCGCCTCGGTCTTTCGATAGCCAGATGTTGGTGTGGTCGTCATTACCCACCGCGCCAGACCATAATAGCCAATCCTTGTACTCGGGATGAAACCTCATAGTGGGCAGTCTCAGAGTACTCGGCCGTTCCGGTGCCGAGAATTTGTTGAATCGGTCTCCTCGGTCAATGGTGTAATGAACTTCCTTTGAACCCGTGAGAAAGAATACCGCGTCGTGATGATGCGGGTTAGGCGCGATGGCCGTGATCGGCTCTCCCTTCAGGATCGGTTGCCACGTTTTCCCGTGATCACGGGTCAAGAAGATGTCTTGCTCGCTCGTACGCATGACAATGGTCTCATCGCTGCCTATCGACGTATCGCCTCTTTCCAGGTAGTACCACTCGGAGAAACGATCTGCGTCGAAATTGGTCTTCTCGACAACAATTTCTCCCGAAGCTGGCCTTTTCACCGAATCCGAGCACGGTCTTTCGATCTCGAGATCAAGCTCTTCGCCGCCTTTGCGCACACATTCGTTGCCGGGAATCAGTCGCCAACCGGACGGGCCCTTGAAGGTGTCTTTTTCATTCTTGCAAGCTCCGTCCGGGACAGGGAGAGTAACTCCCTCTGCAGGAACGCAGTTTTTCCGATCCTCGGTTCTCACAAAGTTGTAGTCGCATTCAAAATCTGCCCTTGTACAAACACAAGGCTCGAATTCAGGCACGGGATCCTGGAACTCTACATCAATGAAACACTCAGCATCAGCCTTGCGCCGCCTAAAGAACTGCTTGTGTCCCATGAGACAGCTGGGTTTGCCGTCCTTGTCAACACGAGCAGGCCAGCGGTCGAAGTCTTTATCTCCACAAGCTCGCTCATGAAGCCCTTCGAAGTCGATCTTGAACATGACCCACTCGGTCTTGGAACCAGTACCTTTGGCACCCATCATGAGAAATTTGAGCGTTGTTGAATCCGGGACAGTGGTCAGGAACCGTGCTCGGACCTTTCCCTCCAGATCGGCCTTTTCCCACGTCCTGCCGTGGTCGATTGAGTATCTGATGTGACTGGTGGGCTCTTCATCATCAACGGCAACGATCACGGCGCCTTGATTGCCGAACTCGTACAGATGAGCTCCGTCCAAACCTTCAATCCAGGTGACACCAGCATCATCCGAGACAAAGAGATCGCCATCCTCGTAATCCTTGAGGAACTTGCCAGTATTTCCAACACCCATGACGATTCCAGGCGCTGGACTAGAAAATATCCGCCCATTTTGCCGTGCATCTGTCACCGAATGGAGGTGCAACCGTTTGTCACCGACTTTGAGATCTTGAAAAGTCCTTCCGTCGTCGAAACTGATTTGTGAAACAATTTCCTTCTGAGGAATGGTGGAGCCCTCGACCTCCTTCCAGTTCTGCACCGTGTTGACCATGACTATGCCCTGAATTGTCTGCACTTTCTCAAAATCCACATTTCCAAAGATGTTGCGGTTGGTGTGGTCGATGTTGCGAGTGAAGTAGGTGCCGTTCGAATTGGAGGTAAAGAGGTAACCGGTAGGGTTCGTGGGACGAGATCCGAGCACATCAACTTGTAAACTGTAATTCGTGCTTTCGAGGATAGTGTAGGCGTCTTCACTGATGCGGTGTTGTCCAAACTCTGCCCGATGCCACTGCGAGCCATCCTTCGTCACGTAGAGAGCCAGCTCGTCCGTGCCCTCGGATTTCGCTGCCGCAACCAAGAAGCCTTTGACGGCAGCCATGCTGATAATCCCCGTCACTGCCCGGCCATCGTCCAGCGCCGGCTCCAGTTGATCGCGAGTGAAAAAGTCATCTGAGACGAGTAACCTGTTGTCTTTAGGCCAAGGCGAGTACAGACCTTCGACGATACAAAAGATGCGATCTCTGACCTCGGGGGCAATCTCTTGGGCGAATTCCGGAGTGCTGACGGCCCACTGGCAGCCTCGCGTCATGGACCCCAGATTGTTGATTGTCTCAAAGTCATCGTCGGTGTAGAAAGCTCTTTCGATGCAAGCCAAGCCCACGCAGTGTTCGGCATTCCAGATCACCCTGCTGGGATCCCGGCCATGGAAGCTCAAAGGAGCATTCCGGAACCGGGCCAAGTTGTCGTCTTGGTCGACCGAGAAGCTCTTCCAAGTCTTGCCCGTGTCCGTCGTCACCCAATGCTCCGAGTCGAATCCGATGATGTACGCGCGTTGATTGTCCCACGGATGCCGGTACACGTCCAATACATTTCCTGACTGGCCTTGATCGTTGACTTCTTTCCACGACTCGCCGGCGTCAGGACTGCGCCAGACGGTGCCAGTCTCTCCATCGTAGCCGAGGACGACGTCCGAGTCGTCAAAGTAGAAGACGTTCTCCAACGGGTTATCGAAGGCCGTGGAGGAGATGGTCGGGCCATCTTTCTTCGCTTGCACGGACCGCGGCGAAGATGCGAGCAGTAAGAGGAGCGCAAGTGACGGGGCGACGGCGCGGCGCCAGTAGGATCGAATTATCATCTTTGATTAGCGCATCGAGCGGCGTAGGGATTAAATGTGAAAAGCACGAAATACAACGCTCAAAAGGAATCAATGGCAAAACGGACACCGTGGTGGATGGAGACACGAATTGCGTTTGCCTGCGACCAACAATTGTTGCTGAGCGCCTCGTCTCCTCATGCTCACTCGACACTCACTTGCGGCGAATCCCAGAGTACCAGGTATCAGGGTCCGCCGAATGTGGTAAGCGTCACCACCTCAAACACGAAGCTCCTTGACTCCTTCCTCCATCCCCCTTCACTCGTAGTTCCGTACCACTGCATCAGCACGAGACAGCGGTACCAGCTGCCCTGTACGGAGTACACAGCACAGATAGAAACGTTGTCAAAAGGTGTCGAGCTGGATTCTGTCACTACCTGTTGGCTTATACCACTTATCTATCCTCCAAAATCTCCCTTTTTATTATCCTCTCCAGGTTCCCAAAGCCGGCCACCCGCCACTATATGCCATGGTCATTCCACGTGTCTGGCCCATCCCCTGCTCCCACTCTTGTGGATTACAATGGCTTGAAATGCACACATATTCAGCCTGAACGCCTACGCTCAATGACGATGTGGTAGATATGCCTTCTCTGCCGCTCACCCAAACACAATGCAATAGCGATTAACAGAAAAGTGCCTCCCAAGTCGTGCACGTGCTCACTTGAGCTTCAGTTTCCGAAGAAGCCTCTTCATCTTGGATTCTTCAGGGGGGAGCGTGTCCCAAATAGAGACTGGAGTAGCCTCTGGCGGTAGTTCGGCCTTCTCCAATGGTATTTTGTTGACCTTCTGCATGTCATGGGGTGATTGCAGTTCCTCTGGGGCGCGGAGATCTGGTCGTGTCAGAGTCATGTGTAGCGTCATCTCTCGATCCGACGGAAGTCCACGGGCATATGTTTCGGTAGGTCTCCGTATTGAAAAGGGTCGTAGCGATCTGGCAAACCCGTCCACACTACCTTTCCGCGAGGGACGGTTCATCTGGAAGACCGGGTCTTCAGGGGTCCTCGGATCGAAAAGGGTGTCTGGTTCTTCTGGATCGGTCTCGTCATCACCTGATAGTGATGGCGTGTCGTCGTGAAAGAAGGTCCTGTTGGTTTCTGGTCGCTGCTGTGGGCTTGTCATTGGTCTAATCGGTGTTCGAGGATCTCTGCCTTGCACCGACGGGAAGCCAAACTCAACCGCCTCGTCGAACTTCTGTGGGGAGGCAAGATAGAGCCGCAGCTTCATCCGAGCAGCTGGGTCTTGATAATGAGTCGCGCGGGGATCGATTGATGATATAGATGCCTGGGAGCGAAAGTGCTTGAGTGAAAATGACGAAGCGCGAGCGTGAGGAGGTATAGGTGGTAGAGCTGGTGTTGGGGGTACCTCGACGACTGGCCGATTCGACGATGTGGACGACCGGCCACGACGTATGGAGAGGCTTGACAGGGAAGGATTTCGTCTCGATCGCCGTCTGGCAGGGCCTGATGCAGACATTGTTCGCCGATTGGTCTCGGCAATGGCCTGATGGTAGTCGTCCAGCTTGAGATCCAGGTCTCCTTCATCGTCCAGCCACCGGAAGCCATCTATTGTGTAGTCGCCACCCATATCGATTGCAGAATCCACTCGAACGTCGTCGTTGAGGTCTTCACTGTCCACGATGGTGTCGTCGTCTTCTTCTTCGGAACGCCGAGGTTCGAAAGCAGTGAGTTGAGTAGTATGCCAGCTACGGCGACGAAGGGTCTCGTCTGCGGCGTCGAGGATGAGGGTATCCTTCTCTCGCGAAAGGAAGGAACACTCGTCCTTCGAGAAGAGCTTCCTCTGAACCGCAGGGGGGAGCGAAGCGAACCAGGCGACAGTGTTCGGGGTGATGTCCGTTGCTGAGCTCCTCCTCCTGCGCAACTTCTTGCTATTGCCAAGCCGCGCTGTTGGTACGAAGACGTCGGTCACAATGGTAAAGGTATCTGCGCCCTTGATGGTGACACCGAGATCGTTGGAAGGGTAAAGCGACAGTCGAGAAGGGGGGCGTGGAGAGTGTTTGCCATCTTGGGCGAGCCTGAGACGCTCTAAACTGCTAAAATACTGGTGTAACACACATGTTAGCTCGTGGACCTGCAGGATAAGCGATCGAATGAGCCGGACAGCTGCCAGAGCTCGCACGAGTCAAGTCCAGCTGTGGTGGGGGGGAGGTGATGAAGCAGGAGGTGGTCCCTGCTTTGAGGTCGGAGGACCGTGCCGCGACCAAGAAGCCTAGAGGGTGCCCGTGAGTCCCGTTTAGGCAAAGAGTTTCATGCCTAAACTCCAAATGCACCAAGCCCGAGGCGCCGGTCCCAGGTAGCCCTTGGGGGCGTGAGATGATGTGGTGGCATGACGTGGAATATGCTCCACGTCTGGATGGGGCTCTGCTCGTAAATGGCAGTGATGTGCGTCCTTCTTCCTGTGGGCGGAAGCTCGGGCTGGAAACCCATGTTTGATCACCATGGCGATCCCCAGACTGCCGGAATGCTTGAGCAAGGGGCTCTGCTGATGATTTTCCGGGGGGATGTGCACACCCAGGGCAAGGGAGTCGCAAACACGGACGCAGTAAACTCACCTTTCGAAGTACGACGGGTGGTAATGTGTCGACGGCGACATCATTGGGCAGAGACGCGTGCCTTGAAACTCGCATGTTGATAGCTTCGGATGCTGGCTGCAGAAGTAGTGATTTAGTAATTGGTCCGCTGTGGAATCCGTTGTGGTGGTTGCATGTCTTTGCCAGCCGTCGATAGTCTCGCCGAAACCTTCAGGGACGATCTCAGACTCAGGAGCGCTAACCAAGCCGACAATTTTGGTTGCGCGGTGACTCGATGTCCGATGATAACCCTTGACCTGTTCCTTGCTCTGCACAACACGTTGGTCGCTCGCTTGGTCATAGAAGGCTGCTTAAGCGAGAAACGGCGAATGCGAGTATATGGAGACTCGGATATTAGAAGAGATGCGCGGCTCGAATGAAACGCTGATCGTGCATGCCGCATTAATAAGTAGATGCGAAGACAAGGTGGTGGTAGGATGAAAGAGGAAGAGTCAACATGCGCTTCTGGCGCTGCCACTTGTTCAGGTATGTATATGAATGTTTTGATGCCTGTCACTCTCGAAATGATGCTCATTTCTGAACCCGTGCCTCCGTGGTCTGCGCGTTGAGATTAAAACTGACCCCATGCATGGGTATGGCAACCCTGCCATGGCTGCCAAAGTGTCCTTGCGGCTTAGAAAGACAGGCCTGCGACATCTCGAATTCCCGTGGCGCGCCTGCTGCCGGTCTAGAACTGACAGGTCGCGCCTCTTCCTTTCGTGCTTTGGCTGACTTTGACGTACACACCGCAAGCCCTCGGCTGCTCTTGAAACGCTCATACGCTGGCAATCCTCCTGCTTGCCTGGGAACTCCACTGAAGCACCTCGTGGTTCTCGTTAGACAGACAAAAGTTCATGCCGCCATGCGAGACCAGGCGATGTAAGCTGCCGACGAACCGGACCCGCCAAGCAAACAGACTGGCTCAGTGGCCTGGAAGATCAGCCTGTTCATGGCATTGGGTGCTGGGGGTGCCACAGAATTGTTAAATCGCCTCGGAATGCCCTACTCGTGGAAAAGGATCGCGCCATCGGACAGATCGTTCGATGGTAGGAAGTGCGAAGCACTTCCGCGAAGATTCACCCGAGTAAATTCGGAGTATAAATGTCAACTGAAACTGCGACATGTTATCCTCAAAGAGGCTGTGGTATCCAAGTTGCCCCTGGCGTGGACTTTGCTGGCCTCTCCAGATGATACTCTCGCCTTGCAGATTCCAGGCACCCATGTCATGTCAGAGGCAAGATACAAGAGGCTGGACCTGCTCCGGCGTCTCGCGTGGCCTGTCAAGGATGTTTAAAAAAATTCCTGCCATTCATACCTGGGAATGCGGCTTGTGGCTTGCATCAAGCGGTCAAAATGACGGCTCATCGCGACATCCACAAGCGAACAGGACGTAGGGGAAACTGTGTTGGGTCACGATCTTCTATCGAAACTTAATAAGAGTTACTGTACCCAGCGACGGCAAAAGACGCTGGCAAATCGCAGCCATGTCAGTACTCGTATGTAGGGCAATGTGTGCTCCATCTCCGTGGAATTTCACGCTCGTGCACGCTACTGTACATCTTCCAGGTAGTTCAGCGGTTGTACGGAGTACCGTATGACCTTTCTGGAATAAAAGCTCGAGCTAAGGGTGCACAAGCCCTTCAGCTGGAAAGAGCATGCAATTGCTCCTCGGACTGAGACCGGAAACATGCCAGGCCAAATTGTGACTACAAGACACGTGTGAGTGGTGGCTACGAACGCTACGCTTTCGATCACGACACCCTTTTGTCTATCGCTGGGTGTGCACGTAACCAAGGGTTCCGCTGACATGTCTCGAAGCATGCAAGGACAGTCCGGCAACGAATTTACACTGCCTCTAGGCGTCGCTCTAGGTATGCAACGTGCATGTATCTGGAGTCAGCAGGAAGCTTCTGCCTGTACGGAGTATTAAAATACATCATGCTTGCTTAGTGCGCGTGTGTCTAGCAGTCCAACCGCTGCGACGTCGCAGACATTGTGACCCTCTAGACGTTCAGCTCGCAAGCGGCTCCTACTGCTAAGCAGGAAGGAGGAAGCACAAGCGCAGTCGGCCACAAATAATCCCGATTCGATATGTGTCTCTGGCAGTACGTACACAAAGCCTCCCTCGAGCCCTTGACATGACTCACTACTACTGTGTACAGACAGGATGTTGCTGTGCTATGTATTCACTTCTCGATAACAATAAAATGCGCCCCATAGTAATCCGAGGATGTGCATATTGCTGACCAGAACTTTGCCTACCGAAACTCATACTATATCAACCGGCCACCCACTCAACGGTAGGACCCGCTGACTCTTTCGAGACTTGATTTCAATGTCGCGAAGGGATGACTGTGTCCAAAAGCAGACGGGTGCTGGGGTCAGATCCCAGCGCGCGACGCATGTTTGTACAAGCATCTGGTAACATCGACTGCCGTGAGATTGAGCAGGAGAGGTTCGGAGGCTTGGGAGAATAGACGAAGCGAAGGGGACTCGTGCGTTTTGCAAGCCGAATACGAAATCAGCTCGAGCCACTACTCAGCCACAGTAGAGCTGTCGAGTTTTCTATTCGGGGACTCGGCGAGCCCTTCGAATTACGTACTCTGCAACGAGGACAGAAAACTTTCTACTGCGGTATGGTTATGACTTGGAGGTGTTCTGAAATCTCTCCAACCACATCGCGGTGCCTGGCATAAGACGCTGAAAATGTCGATGCGAGTGACACGTTAGCATTGGCCGCAGCGCGAAAGGATGGCGACCAAGGCTCTCGGAGTCCGCAGTGGTGATTGATGGTTAAGCAAGCGCTCCTAATTGAAGATTGGGCGACTTGCCCCTATTCCAGTACGAGCTAGGCTGCCCTGACGTACTCGTGCTGATTGACTGCCAGAGGGCGTGGATGCGGGCGCTAAGCGGCCGAAACCCCCGGCCAAGGGTTCTTGTTGTCGCGGCAGACTGGAGTAGCGGCGTCAATAATACTGTAATGGTTGACGCGTTGAAGATTGCCCCCGGATGGGCTGTCTCAAAATCGCAACACCCATCGTCGCTACCGCTGACTCCTGACTTCTATCTCCTGTCACTGCTATCTTGTCTCCAAAACTCTCTTCCTGATTATATTCCCCTTGTCGCCGCCGTCGCATAGACCCGATCTCCACCAAGTGCCCGTCGCATACACCTCGTACGCCAACATGCGTTTCGCTTTCGCCGCCGTCGCCGCACTCTGCGCAGCAGTCGTTTCCGCACAGAACAATGCCATCAGTGTTCCTGGTGGTGCTGCCACGCTGGATGTGACGGCCGGCCAACCCTTAACAATTGAATGGACCAACCCTTCGAGCGGTACCGTCACCATCAAGCTGCAACAGGATCCCGTCACTCCCGACTCGGGCGCCGTGCTGGCTGGTAAGTGGGCTACCTCTCTGCGTTGCGCTCCGCCATCCGTGCACCGTCGGTCTGGTAGCACATCGGCTGGGATGCTCTCAAGACAGAGCAAGCACCATTTCATGATTGAGCGCAATCAAGCGCTCAAGGCATGGCGGGTGCCCTGGAACTGTATTTCACATTACCTCGGGTTGTACTGACATACCATGTGTGCAGCTGGCATTCCCGCCTCTGCTGGGACGGCGACCGTTCGGATCCCTCCTCCCGGAGACGTCAACTCCCACGTGTACACAATCGAAATCATCGACGACACAGACCCTACCAACATCAACTTCTCTCCCAACTTCGGCATCCAAGGCGCGACCGGCACAGCCACTGGCGTCGCGACCGGGTCTGCTACCTCCACCGGCTCTGCCACGTCGACGGGAACCAGCACCGACAGCTCTGCCACAAGCAGCGGCACTTCCACAGACAGCTCGAGCACCTCTGCCACAAGTTCTTCGGCGAGCACCACGAGCTCCGAGGAATCCACGTCATCCACTTCATCCGCCACCCCAACTGAGAGCACGACCGCTCCAGACCCTAACAGCGGTGCCGGCAGCCTCAAGGTCCAAGGGGGTGTCCTCGCCATGGCCATCGGACTCATCGCAGTCATGTGAACAAAGCCTCCTTTTCCAAAAAAAAAAAAGGTGTATAATGTGGCTCAGTCCTCCTGTATACATCTTCACCCACACGTCATGCCCAAGGTGAAGGCATCATGCAGCGGATCTTCACCTGGACTTGATCTTCTCTTTCTGCCCTGTACAGCAGTTTTTGGCCCTTGATGAGGAGGAATTGAGCGTTACTTGGATAGCAATGTTGCTTAAAAGGGGGAGCACCGGGACAGTAGATGGTTACATACTGCCTAGCTGCGGCATATACATGAATTTCAGAGCATGGCGCGGTGTGAAAATGGTTGCTTGCTGGTCCGTTAGCATCAATGGAGTAAATGATACATGCGACTCATGCTCTGTCGACGTCAATTCACCTTCGTCTTCCTTGCATGTATGTGACGTCCAGGCTCATCGCGAAGAAGGTGGTCTGGACACCGACCCGACAAGAAACGTCTGTTCCGCAAACAGCATACTGTAAGGGAGTGCGCATCTAGCAAACAACAAATAACGATAAACTGCAGGGTCGACGCGGGGCAATTGTGATGCACCTTCGAAACACTGCTGGAATGCGTGGAAGATTGCATAGCACCATACTCTGAACGACACCCGCAGACGAGCGCGGATCTCAACCCTCAGCTCATGGCAGGCAGGAATACCAGTGGGCAGAGCAAACAATACCCAGGCAATGATGTCGAATCCGAACCTCTTCAAGGCCCATTGCGGTGAATGTCCCTTTCCCTCATCTTCAAGCAGTGCTTGCTCCTGCTTCGAATCTTTACAGACTTCACCATCTTCGCACATGCACATTCCATCCATTTCCGAAACCCTTCGGCACGCTAACAATCAGATCTATCGACATGCCATCAATAACAACCAATTGACCTTCAACCTTTCCCCACGCTTGCTTGCATGCAACTCGGACGGTCCGCGACACGTTGCTGCAAAGATAACAGACATGCGCGCATTTTACCAACATTCGACCATCTTTCCCATTCATCCCTGCCCCGTGGCGCCTTCTGAAACCGGTATTGTGCAACGGCTCCAAGTTCCGTACAGCAAGCATTACCAGGCGCTGAACTCCACCGGAGAGTCGGTACGAGGTACAGTCCAGCCAAGGTCGACTCTCACCCGTCTTCACCTCCTTCTGTTATCATGCATTATCAAACTCCCTGCGCTTGCGCGGGACAGCGGAATGCAGGGTCTCCAGAGCGCAAACAGACTGTACTGTAGCTGCAGGCCACACTCTGTATCACTCACCAGTCACTCATCCTGCATTATCACAATCGCCATCGCTATCCGCTATCAGCATCGACATCCTAGACCCATGTTTGCAGCATATCTCAAAGCAGCCTCAGACCAGTGTCCACTGTCAAGTATTTCCATGTGCCAATTGTTTGCAGGCCAAGAAGTTTGACGTACGCTTGAGGCGCTGGCTAGCGATTCGAATCAGACTTCTAGACGAATGTCGCTATCTTGTCAGTTGGAGCCCTCTCGCATCAATGCAAGTCATGTCTATGCGAGTGCCGCCAGCGCCACCAGTTTCCAAGCCAAGCAGCGAGCCGAACAAATCCCGTCACACGTCCCGGCATGGCCTATCCGCCCGGTGGTGGCAACAAGCTTGAAGTGCCTTTGAAGAAAACATGCTTCGAGCGTGGGAGACCGTTCCTGGAAACCGGCTAAAATGTAGGTGACGCGGAAGTGGACGATGAGTCGTCCTCTGAACGCGGCCTTATGATTGATCCCGGACGACAGTAGGGTTCTCGTGCCGTGGAAGGTCCGATGCAGTCACGGTGGGAGGATACCCGCTAGTACATAGGAAGGCAACCGTACTGGAGCTCAGCATGGGGAGCACAACGTGTTTCTCGTATGCAGTGCTTGGCCTGGGCTCGTCTGGCCAGGAAGTCATCGGGACCTCGGGATTCCTCCATATCTGGCCCTCGTAACCAGGCATCAAAGTTCACATGACTTTGGCAAATGTCGAAAGTGGCCTGAAGTATCGAGCCACCTTTACCACAATACCCGTACAGGACAGAGCTGAAGTACGAGCAGTGTTGACCTGCTGGCCTCTGTACACAGACGACCTTGCCTCTCCTATCAAAGACCACAAACCTTCTCGCACTTCGACAGGAACCCCCACAAATTCCAATTTTCACCTGGGAAGTAATCTCAAAAGCAAGCAGCTCGGAGTGTTCATGCTCATACTCTCGCGCAAGCAGTCGATCGCGACCTCATCGTGATCTTCCGCGCATGGTGACTCGCACTTTCGCTTCCAAGGGCTAGGGGGTCAACGGTCGAACACGACAATGACATGCGCGGCAGTATCGTACGGTGTCTCATATATTTGAGGACCGCGAGCACGTTAACTTGGGTCGTGAATGTGTACTCCGTAGGTGGTATGCAAAGCAGACTGCAACCATGAAACCAGCTCCGACCCTATATGCGATGTGGCTATTCCATTATTCGACTATGTAATTATTTCGTACTCCGTACGGAGTACTCGTCCCAATGACCATATCATGGTCACCCTGCTTGAACTGAACTGAACTGCACTGCACTGCACTGCACTGACCTAGGGAACGCAGGTTTGAACCGGGAGTTTTCCCCGCCCGTGCCCATACCCTCTACGACACCATGCCCATCCTGTGCCTGTAGATCCCATCACGCATTACGTAGCCTACGTGCCTGTTGCGCTACGAGTTACAGAGTCCGTCACACACAGTCACACAATAACAATCGTCCTCGTCCTACTCGTGCGCTCGGCGAGGTCGAAGGGAAACTCGCGGACCACGAACGTCCCGCCCCTTGCCCCTGCCCTTGCCCTAGCCCTTGCTCGTGTCCCTGTCCCTGTCGAACGGTCCTTATCTCGCGCCATGATGTTCATTAATTCCACAGGCCTTTCCACAGGGACACAGGAAGAAAATGACGAACTGCTGCGCCAATCCATCCCGCGTCCGTTGCCGATGTTCTGTTCTGTGCTGTGCTGTACAACGTGCCAGCTGTCAAAGTCAAAGGTTTAAAAAAAAACTTTCCCGCTCTCTCACTACGAGGTCCAGGCACTAATGTAGGTATGCCGTGGTATGCATGTTATTCCCCGCAAAAACTGGGACATACACGACATAGCACAAGGGGCAGCAAGCTGGGCGCGGTCGATAGGCTGAAAAACATCCCTCCAATAATACGCTGTACTCTGCTCTTTGCGATGGACTGATTGATTAGGAGTGGGCTCAACCAGTGGCTACGCGAACGGCACCTACTGTGTACGGTCCCGATATGCTTTTGATCAACACATCTGGGGCTGGTCAAAGCGTGTGGTGGAACAAACGGACGGCGGGACATCATTTCATAGGGACGTCAATGTCCCAAGCACGCGAAGTGAGGTCACCGGCGTCGATGGCGTAATGCACCTAGATTGACGCTGACGCTGGGACCTGCAAGCTAAGCAGAACTGGAGCAGAGAGAAACATAAGGCTGCAAATGCCAAATGCAGAAAAGGATGCAAATCAGTCAGAGGCATGTGGTGCAGGCAACAAATCGTAACGTAGGAATGAGGTTCAGTGGTTTTGATTTGGAGTCGGCGGCATCACATGTGATAGATATTTCTCCGAGGGCCCGTGAATGACGATGCGGCGGCGAAGAAACGCCGCCTCATCCTATATGCATGGCATTTTTGATGTCTGGGGAAGCCCGGAGGATGTCGCACATGAAAGGCCTTTGTTGTTCACCCAGAACAGCAGTCCTAAGGCCACAGGTGATCGCCCTTGCCACAGAACGCTCTCACCCGAGTCTGCGATCGGATCGACTCCATGCCTTTCGTGCGACAAGTTCGCCGAGTCGCGCCGAGAAGGGCGTTCGTGTAGTCAGTCCACTTGATTGCCCGTCTCTTCTATAGGTAACCCGTCTATATTTCGCCAGAAAAGCAATCCATTTCCCAGCCTTGCCCGAGTTCATCCGATCCAAGTTCTTGGTCCTGATTCTGGTATGTGCAACGTTACCTCAGACTTGTAGATGTCGTCCATTTTTTCCGAGTTGTGAAGTTGAGAACCTCACTGTCCATTGACTGCCAACTCGCTGTTGTATTAGACTCGTAGCTGTGCAAAAAGTCCCAAAACACCGCGCTATGCTGCTGTGAGTATTGTCGCTCAAATTTGCCGCCCAAGTAAATCCGACCACATAAGCAATCATTTTCGATTCCAGCCGACATTCCACACCACATGAGCGATATCTCGGAATGTGTTGACGGCGTACATCGCCTGCCCAAACAAGGTGTTGTTCATAGCGGCCTCGTCGTCATCTTCATAGGGCATAAACATGCCCGACTCGGTTCGTCTCATCGTAGGATGGTCATCGACTTCGTCACCCTCGTCATCATACGGGGAACGTTTGCCTCCCTGAGAAGATTGAAGCTGCCAAGGACCATCTTCCACCTCTGGGTCGTCATCGATCAGGAAATTTTGATGCGGGTTCGTCGGTCTCAAAGTCTCCTGAGAAGGGGAGGGGGATAACTTCCGGCCAGTATGCCAGAATCCGCTGGCTACCTGAGGAGGTTCAGGTGTGTCGATTCTGTATTTCAGTGTAGTCGACGGCAATGGCACGATGGTCTTCGATTCACCGCTGAAACTGCCACGAGGTGTAGTCCGGCCACTGCCCCGGCCTGGTCTTTGCGAGGGAGCCATCATCAGGCCACAGTCGTCGTCTTCATCTGTATCAAACACCACGTCATTCTCGTCGGGCTTGTCGTCGTCGTCAGAGTCAATCGCTTGTACTTGTCTTACCTCCTCGTCGAAGAGCACATGCTTACACTCTGAGGGGGTAGGTACCTCGAAAGCAAAAGACGACTGTGAGTCCGTAAATGCCGGCGTCTCATGCTCGACGGGAGTGTTGGCCACAGATGTATTGTCATATCGTGGTAGGACGAACTCGGAATTGCCTCGTCTCAGCATTGGCCGCCCGCTTGCACTGTTGGATTGTTGGATCTTGATGATGTCGCCAGCTCTCTGCAACAAAGAATGCTGTGACCGCGACCGCTCCAGAATGGCTGCTGAAGCCGACTTCTTTTTCAAAATAGGCTTCTTGGTGATAAAAGACGACGCGTGAGATAAACGGCTCGGCGGAGGAGAAGTGTTGTGTAGTGACTGAGAGGTACTCCAGCTCGTCTGGAGGGGGCCATATAACCAGGTCACATCACAGTCCTTGAGCCAATTCAAAGTCTCAGGTGAAATCGTTCGGAGACGATTCTTGGCTTTCGTCCAAGATCTCCAAGAAGCATTTTCTAGCCGGGTTGCATTGGCGAGGCTCGCTCGCCTGTGACTCACGTAGCTCCATGACTTCCAGATGTCTTCCTCTTTCCATTCATGCGATAAATAGTCGACATGTCTCGTTGGTTCTGGTTCGATAGCCTGGTCATCTTGGATTGAGCCACAAGAAAGTGAAGGATCCTCGGTTTGGGGGCTGGGTGGTTGCGTTGGCAGATCGCCGTCAGCTTCGACCGCCGTAGACTCAATTGCTTTTCTGGATACTTCTGAATTTCCAAAGGCTGGAAATGGCATATCATCATCCTCCTCCTCCTCCTCGGCAATTTCGTCCCCTCGATCTAGAGATAGACTACTGGCTGGAGTGGAAGAATATGAATCCCGCCTCGAGGAGTACGTCAACTGGGGAGAGGACGGTGCCGTTGAGGGACCGGAGTCCGGGTAGGCTCTGGCATAGTCGTGGTGAGAGTAACGGGAAGGCTCGGAGTGGTGTTGGCCAAAAGGCGTCGAGGTATTCAGACTTGACAAGTTGGGATACGAAGATGAATGGATTGGGCTGCTTGAGAAAGGCGAGGCTCCAGCAAGGGGAGCCTGTAGAATAGTCGTCATGAGCGCCTCATGTGTCCCAACCCGATGGCGGCGTCCGCTGGTGAGTGTAAGAGGGCGTAGGGCGTTACTTAGAGCAGGCCGGCATAGATCTGCGGTTGAGCACCGAGGGCGATATCTCCACGCGTTCTTTGTCTCTTAGACCTTGACCTGTTTTTTTCTGCCTGGTGCTGTGAGGTGGAAGGAAGAGTGTCCTGGAAAACCGTTTGATAATATCTCGGCTACGCAGGCCAGGTTAGAAGGGGCGAAGCGTGAAGATCAGCTATGACGGCGATCGAAGGTCAATGATAATCGGGTAGCCTTGGTGGCTAGTGGGCGGCGGACAGCGAGCGATGTATAATGATCTGCACGCACAGGCAAAGGGCAAAAAGAAGGGCGATCGAGAGATCGAGAGGGCCCCGTGGGTCACAGTATGCTGGAGCGGGAGGGCGCGATACAAGTAAAACACCGTGAAAAGGTTTGTGGGAAAGGTGGAGTATCGCGATGTACGTCGCAGTTCTCGAATACCTGCGGCGGCTGGGTGTGGATTGGAAAAAGAGAAACAGTGGGCAAGCGGAGTGGGGGATGAACCTGGAGGAAGGGGACGCCCAAGAAAGCATTCGATCACTGATGGGGTCCACCGGCGACCCTGACAGCGCTAGGCTTAGCGGGCGAGTGAGCGTGCTTAGGGGCGGGTGGGAGGCGAGGACGACGAAAACTTGTGCATCCAGAGACTCCAGTCAGGGCACAGCTGCTGGGCTGTGGAGAATGTGGCCTAGGCACACGAAGAGCAGGCACAAACAGCCAGCCACAAGCCCTGGGATGCAATCAACGCGCCAGTGCTTTCCTGGTTGCCGAAGTGTGTTGAGGTCACTGTTAGCAATGCATTGAACACGTTCCCGAACGGTTGTGCAGGGCAGGGGCAGGGCAATCCTAGAGACAAAGAACTGCTGCCATTGCCCGGGTCCCGAGTTTCTTTTAGCTGAATACGAGAAGCCTGCTTCCTGCCAGCCAAGGCACGGTCTGCAGCTCGTTGTGAGTGGCTTGGAACTGCACGGATAACCACAGTCGCTCCCCCAGCGAACGGGCTGTCCAGACAAGCATGCAACCCGCGTGGGAGGACTGGTGGAGCAAATCTGCGCAATCCATTGACCACAATTGCTGACTAGAGAAGAAGAGGGGTATTTCTTCCCAAGGGCACTTTGGCAAGATTGAATATCAGCGAGTCTTGGTCCGAGGCGAGAATTACCGTCCACAGAATTGCTTCTTCTTGGATGATATAAAGTCTGTTGTGGGCTTCCTGTACAACTACGAACCCACGGTGTTTTCCTAGAAGCCTTCAGGACAACGGCGGCTATGATGGGACTTCATCAAGTTGGCTGCCGCCGATATAAAAGTAGATTGTGGGGAAATGACTTCCCAATCATGGAGGGGCAGGGCAGTCTTCCAGCCCCTACTTCAGAGCACCCCCCGCAACCAGAAGGTGCTCAGTACCCAGTACCTCTAGTGTCGTGGATGATTCGCCTACGCTAGAGGTATCCGATACTTAAGGTTGTCTCATCTCTTTCTCACGAGATATCAGATTGAGCATAATTTACCCTAAAAGCCTGTTTCCAAATCCTCCATACGAGGTATCCCAATGCCCAAACTCAAACCTTTTGTTGTCATTACTGAGAGACATCATTTCCCTAGACACCAACGCCAATCCTGCCGGCGCTGGCTTATGTCACCACGATTGCACGTACGTGTTCTCTGCCGCAACGCCCTTGTCACCGAGCTTGTACTCTCCCCTCAGAGTCGCCGGCGCAATACGGAGTAATCCTGCTGTACTCCCACGTCCGCCCACTGCACCTGCAAGCCACACAAAGGGAAAATCCTTCCCTTGCAGCTCGGAAAACACACCTGGCTACGCCGAACGTATGAGAAGGCAACCCACTCACAACTGCTCCTCGAAGCCCCCAGAGTCATCCGGTGGCTCAACGGGCACCTTCAACTGCTACCTAGAGGCGCCATGCTTTGAGTAAGCTGATCGACCTTGCTGTGGCCGAATCGCTTGCTGGATGATAAACGTGCTCGGCTCTCCGTTGTGCTTGCCCGCAACTATCCTTCATTGCACAATTCGCAGCGGGAACTCATCCAAAACCGATCATACAATACTGTTAGTCTCTGCCCAGCAGCAACGGCATCAAACTCGCGGGCGACCTCGAGAATTCTATCCCGGTCCACCCATTCAGCATCCCACTCTGCATAGCGACCATGAGTCACTAAGCCACTGAGGCGCAGACGCCACCCGAAAACTCCCTCATGCCGCGCACGCTAAATTTTCTGAGGCACGCTTGCTCTTTTCCTGTCTAACCTCAAGTCCAGCACCTGGCTTGATATCCCAGGTAGGTGCCAGGCCAGAGCCACTGGTGGAGAAAACAGGCCTCGATGCAGATAAACCTTCACTGGCAGCTATCTTCCACTCCCTCCAGTCAGATGTCGTTCAAGAGCCACTTGGTACAGAAGCGCATTTCGGCTCGTTGCTTTGGATGCCTCCCGCTGCAACATCTGCAACAGATACCCACCTGGAGTGAATCGCAGGGATGCTGAAACTCCACTCACCTAGCAGTTACCCTTTTGCATCGCCATCTGGCTCTTTCCAAACAAACGGTCGACTGGTGGTTCGCCTAGCCCCCCTCTCTTGTGGCCTTAGTCGCAATTGTGACAGGGTGCTCTGCTGGCAAAATGCTAGAGTCGAGACAAGATACGGCACGACGATGCTCTAATTACTCAATCGAAGGTGCGAGCGCGACATCACTAGCTTTGATTGTTTCAACCGCAAAGATGGCTTCTCGCTCATCACTAGCCTGGATCTTTCGAACGCATTGAGCTTCAGTGCTTCTCTCTGGGGCAGGACACCACAGTACTCTTCCTTGCTAGCACTGATGAAACTCCTTTTAGGCACTCGGGTCATTAACACATGCTGTGCTGGCAGAAGTATGCCCTCTGGAAATGTCTTGTTGCGGCACCGAAAGTGTCTCTAGCAGAAGATCAACGCCAGCACTGCTAACACCCAAGCCGACCTAAACCAGCATATCTAATAACAATTTGGAGATGATCGTTCCGAATAAAAGTTCGCTTCCACCCAGCCCAGTCTGAATGCTTATCACAACGCTACATCAGTTACTCGCAGGCCGGATCTAAGCAAGATGGCGACTGTTTAGGACGTCGTGCAGTAGGTGATCTTTTCTATATTCAGCAGGAGACATGCCATTCTTCCTTGCGTTCGATATGGAGATATCAATTAATCTCAGCTTAGCAGATTCTACAAATGACGGCCCTCAACGAGCCGGGTTTGAAGGCTGAATGATGGGCAGTAGCCAGACTGATAACGAACCGCGGTATCAAGGAGTCCAGCGACGGCCTGAGGAGAGAATACCGGAATGGTACACGAATTCTGCTGGGGACCAAGACTTGCCAGATCCAAAAGCTGAGTACGAGCCCCCTCCACATGCCTTCCCAGGAGTGCCTCGAGATACCACTTGATACGGCGAGTCACTGCTCATCAAAGTAGAACGTGTGGACCACCTATGTTCTCATAACCCCAGTCGCAACGGCGAAACAACACAATGTCGGTATTGATGGTACCGTCCATATCTGCTACCACGTGAAACAGTCACTCTGCGGTCTATATTATGGGCCGCTCGCATCGTGTTCGTGCTATTCTCATTGACGGACGGCAAGCCGCCTTCTCGGACAGCTTTGAAAGGCTGTACGAACTCGCGCCTCTGTGTTGCTGATGATGGCTGTGGCCAGCAAAGGCTTCAGCAACCATAGACGAGGATGGGTCTGCACAAACCTGAGGCCGCTAATAGACCAGATACGAGGAAACTGTTTTGCAGAGGCCGAATCTGGCGATACGGGAACGGACTCGGTAAACTGGCGCTCGCCGGCTTGCCCCGTCCCCTCGCCTTGTTGTAAACCTTGAGTCTATGAGCGCCTGGAATTTTCGCCTCTGGCTTGAGTTGTCGGGTTCTATGGGAACGAAGCAGTAACCCTGGCAATTGCGTGCTTGTCCGCTGCTCTTACATATGGTCAAGAGCAGGGGGTAATTCCCGGACGCGTTTCCGACTGCTAGGTTGGAACCCGTTCTGCTCCGGTCACATTAGTGACACGAACATATTGGATCCATGTGCCAGTAGTTCGAGACAAGACCCTTTGAATGTCTCCGTGATCTATGGTGGTCCTTCCCTCGGCACGTCACAGGCACGACTGAGTTGGTGTTGGTATCGATTGGGCTGATTGACACCGGCTTCCCCCACGTAGGCTTCCTGGACGAAAGTGTTCTACCTTCGAACCAAGTTGTCAAGGGTCGCTAGCATGCGGCTGGGAAAGCGGAGGATTCCGCCAGCGGTCGCCACAGGCAAAACGCCTCTTACCGTTAGTTTGCTCGGTACGAGGCTGCAGCTTCGGACGCAGAGCGGCGAATAACTCAACGCTGCCAGGATAGCCTTGTATGGCCAGCACGCAAAGGTGAATCCGAGAGTATTTGGGACCTACCTGGATCGGCATATCTGGGTGAATCTGGCTGAGATAGTGGGAAGATAAAGCTGCTAAATCATGGGGGTCGGTGATAACAACTGGGCCTTGGGTCTCAACGCTCCGAATCACAAGCAGCAGTTGAGTCCCTGCAGTGCCCTTATTCTGCGACGGCTGCTACTGCCCTTGAAAATTTGCACGTGAAAATCGCCACAGGCATGCGAGTCAAGGCCGAAGCAGATACGAGGTCATGGTCAGCGAGGTTGGAAGGAGTTGTTGGCATGCGTTGCATGTGATGTTGAAAGCGACGTTGAGAGGTGCTTGGACGTGTACGGACGTGCTCCACCTCCCACGCAATCGGTGATCCGATGATCTACCGGATCCGATGTGGCAGTGGGTCGAATGCCGGGCCGTAGCAAGTGGCATATCGCTTGGCAATAATCCTTCCCACCTGCTACCTCGCTAACGCAACCCCATGCTGCGAGTATGACTGGCAGTGTCATCTTATCAGTTGGATGAGTGGGCGAGAAGTGTTGCGAGGAGCCACATGCAACGACGCTGTCTGCGGGATTTATCACTATCCAAGGGAGTAACTTGACGAGAGATTGTTTGGCAAATCAGCCTAATTGCCATGGCAGACGTTGCGACAGAGCCAGCAGTTGCTGCCGGGCCACCTGCTCGGCATGTCATCTATTGCGGAGGTGGGCAGTCCCTGCGCTCCAAAGTCTTCCTTGAGAAGGAATGGTAATGCTGACATTGAGATTTTAACAGTCTGCAGTCTTCCTCCCGAGTACTGCGAATTCGGTGGCACCACTAAGAAGTGCGAAGAATGGCTTCAGATGAACCACCCTGACATGCACAAGAGACTGTACTCGGAAGAAGCCCTAAGTGCCAACCTCTCAGCTCTGTCCGTCGATGCTCAGAAGCGAGCAGAAAAAGACGCAGCCAAAAAGACTGCAAAGGCGGCCGCCGCAGAGCAACGAGAGGCAGAGCGAAAAGCCGAAGCCATAGTCCTCATTAAGCGAGTGGAAAGAAATAAGCGGAAGTACGTCACAGTCGTGTCGGGCCTGGAAGAGCATGGGCTGGAGCTGAAGAAGGTGGCCAAAGAGCTGGGCAAAAAGTTCGCAACCGGCAGCAGTGTCACCAAGACTGCGGCGGGTGGTGAAGAGATCACAGTGCAAGGCGATGTGAGTGATGATGTGTATGACTGGTTACAGGAGAAGTATCCTGAGATACCCGAAGATAACTTGGACATGAAGGATGAGACGAAGAAAAAGGGCGGGGGTTAGCACGGACTAGAGAAAATCAGTATGGCACCATGATGTGTTCATTTTTCCACACAAAGCCGTTCGGAGAAAGTCTCTTGACAAGGACCGTTCTGCTTCGATTGCAATGATGTACGGGAAAACCTTCCCTTGAAGAACCTGAACGTTCTGAAGTAGCGCTGCCCGTGTGGTTATGATTGCAGATATCACGAAGTCCTAAACTTGGTCCGGCAGAATGTGCGGAACGCGGCACAAGGCTGAACTGAACGCCGTTGGAAAGTGTAGAAGTCTTTAGCCGAAGAGCCTCGATATTCATTTTCATCTTCTCCCGCGATGGTTGACTGCCTTCAGCCATGAACTTCTTCCTGTGCCTTCCCAGTTTGGCCTTTGCCGTGTTTCACCACTCTGTAACGCGAGTCTGAGGTTTGAAATATGGCCTACCACATCCAAACATCCCCCGACTCTTCGTCTGACTCTGACTGTAATACCGCCACCCAGTCTGGGTCTGAATGGGTTTCATGTGACGGCAGCTCGACGGACGAAGACAGTCTGAAAACCAAGCCAAGCACTGCATTGTGGTCGACGTCCAAAAGAAACCCGCGGCTGACGTCATCCGCGGCCCTCTCCTGGCGGCGCTTCAAACTCAAGAAGACCCCAGATCTCGAATCTGCGTCTGAGTGTGCGGCTGCGGCACCTGAAACGGCGCCTAACGGTCTGACTCTTAGCGGCCGCAAACCCTTGCCGCTGCCAGAGGTGCCAAACCCATTGGGCCAGGCCAGCCAATTGAGCATCGGACCTCGAACTCACGCTTCGACTTCCCATTTTCGCAGCGACTCGCAGGAACGCGAACTATCAGCGCCATGGATACCGATCGCAGCACGCGACGCCCGCCATGGCGATGACCGACAGCTCTCGAAGGATTTCCTACTCCCGCCTATCTCGCTGCTAACATCATCGCCCTGCCTCCGCTCTCCCGCACATGTCTCGTCCGACCTCACCACGATGGAACCTGCTCAGAGTCCCAATTTGGCCGACTTGCTCAGCGGCTTGTCGAGCCCTGAAGATGCCAGTCGCAAGATGGCAGCTTTCAAGCTGCAGTCGCTGATCAATGATCCCTCCTTCGCGGAACATTTCGTGCTTGCCGGTGGACTGTCGCGACTGCGCACCCTCGTCCTTGAGAGCAGCGGAAACACGTTGGCTTATAGTCTCGCGAGCTTCGCGAGGCTATTGGAGGTTGACCAAGGATGGGAGGCTGTCAACAACAAGGTCGTTGAGAAGGTGAGCTGGTTTCTGTCATGCATACTCGGTGTAAGGGCAACACTGATATGTGAACTACACTCTAGGTCGTGGAACTGGTAGTCTGTCAACCTCTGGTCAACATCCTCCGAGGCGCAATGGCCATTCTCGTATCAATTGTCTCTCGACCATACTACGCAGACAGATACTCACAACTCGGTTCGAACCACAATGCTGGAGGCTTTCAAGCGCTCAAACCTGCCATCGCACTATATCCTCAATTTCTGGAAATGTTGGTGACGAGACTGTCATCTGCAGACCACGCCCTTTGTGCCAATGCGCTCCAGCTGATCAATTCACTCATGCGTGACGCCATCACGAACGACAACGAGACCGAGTGGCCCAAATTCATCAAGCGAATCCAAGATCTGGGGGTCATTAAGGCAGTTTATGTGCTGATGCAAAGCTCGGCCCTACAAGATTTGGCGCATCCGCTACTGGAGTTTCAGGCGTTGACAAAGATATTGCTGAGACGATGGAGAGACGTACCAGTTGATCTGGTGAAGCCGGAACATCGGAGGACGATCAAGGCCGTCCATCTCTCGAGCAACCCGGACAAGCCTGCGGAATCCGAGGCCCGAAACGGAGAGGCAAAGCCGAAGCACAATCCTTATAAGTGGAGGCGTCTTGGTTTCACTTCTGAGACCCCTGAACCAGATTTTGCAGAGACGGGGTTCCTGGGTATGATGGATCTCTCTGACTATGTCCGCAAGCATCAAGATGAGTTCCAGAATATTCTGCTTGAGCAGTCAGTAACACCCGAACAAAACCGTTGTCCGCTGGCTCGCGCGAGTTTGACCTTGACGGCCATCCTATTCGAGCATTTCGAGGTGGACAAAGTGGAACTGGAAGATTCCAAAAGCTACCTCGCTTTGGAGAGTCGGACAAATTTTGACAAGGTCTTCAAGCCACTCTTGTTACACTGGAGTCGACTGCACGTTGCCGGCTTGCATGCTTTCTTCCGAATCTGGAAGGCGACAGGCGCCGAAACCGCCGACTTTCCTAAAATCGTGGAGCTGGTGAGAATATTGGTTGAGAGTGTTGTCGGTGGCGCTGAACGCACCAAGGGCATCGAAGAGATCGAGAAGGAGATGGCGGCTTTCGAGTACCATAAGCTTCGCGAGCTGCAGATGGAATTGCTGGAGCTGACTTATGAGGACGTCTGGGGTCAGCATCTGCGTGGGGTGAAAGAAGAGCTGCACACCGAGGCCTTGCAATTTGTCAAGGAGCAAAGAATCCGATGTCTGCTTGCTGGGTCGTGGTTCCCCAACGGCACCTATACGGACCAAGAAGGCGGGGGCCCCGTCACAGAGGACAGCCTCGTTCAAAATTCGACCCACGGCTACCGCTTTGTGCGCCTCTCGGAGACGCGGAAATATCTCCACTGGGGAGATTTTGATGAGAAGGAGGAGCAGGCGCCGTCAACATCGAGCCTCCGTGACAAGATCGACCTGTCGATTGTCTCGTCCGTGGTATCAAATGTGACAGCAAACGAACGGTCCTCATTCAGCTCGGACTCGACACTGAAAGAACTGGCGCACGATCGATTTACCACCAACAAAATCACGATCCATGGGTATTTGCCCAAATCGCGTGGTGCACGGAGTGAGCATTCGAGGACTTCCTCCAAGACTTCTTCTGCCCGCAGTGCGTCCAAGGAGACAGTCCTGCTGACGTTCCATCCAAATAGCCACAGCGTTGCTTCGGAATGGCTCGATGGGCTCCTGATGCTCCTGGAGCAGCAACCGATCACTGCGGAGACGAATAGACTAATACACATGATTAGCGACTATGGACTGAAAGTCCGTTTGCTGAATGTACGGTTCAACGACGAGGAAGGCATCGTGGAGGGCATGGATGGATTGGATGGCCCTGAGATTCCCAGCCGAGAAGGTTTGGACGACGGCTATTACTACGAAATATGAGAAGCGAAGGCCAAATAACCGGACAATGAGTCGAGACGGGATATATTGTTGACCCTTGGCCCTTGGATATGAGGACATACAGTGCTCCAGTAAGGCAAGGTCAGGTACGAACTTTGGGAGGCATGGAGCGATGACTACCCAAACGGGAGGTTGTTAGGAGTTGCGATATGCATTGTCTCTTTGAGATACCCAAGATTCAATACGGACGTATGGGCTTTGTCAGCCTACTCAGAGATTGAAGTATCGAAGAATTGTATACTGTGTGGCAAGCTTGACGCCGACATGTCAGCTGAAATTGCTCCCGAGGCTCGTGGCATCGACACATGGAGAGCCTATGGAACCTTGGCTGGCTATCTCGAAGTCATGCGACCGTTTCCCTTCACCAGCCATCGCAAAGATCTTCTTGAAAGATAAGCAACTTCAAGGCTGGTCGAAGACTTTGGTCCATGGGACACGTGCATCAGCTGAAGCCACGATTGGAGACCTTCCTCGTGGGTACGGGAAGGGCAAGACAGCGGAGAGGAACTCTCTGTGGATTTGCTTTCCGATCCGGCCTGGGCGTTCGCCCCACGAGCTGGCTAGTTCCCTTACAGGCGGTTCTTTGCGGGCTGCAGCCTCTGAGGAGGATGCTGGAGGCTCACTGCAGTGCCCCTAAGCCGCACCAGGCTTAAGCCCACAGCATTTGGGCCACCCCGCTGTCGCCGGGCCTTAGTCCCCCGCTTGCGACACCGCATCATCTGTGCCTCGGTCGCCATCCAGGCACCTTTTACTGAGCAGATCCACCCAAAAGCCGGCTCGACCTTCGTCATCTGTACACAGTATCGTCCAAAGCAACCTCAGGCCCAGCCCTGAATGCAGCCTTGAATATGCGGATTGGCTACAGGACATCACGTCACTGGCAGCGTTACAGCGGAACACGCCCATCTTGCGCTTGTCGCGTGCAGACAAGAATCTGGGCAAGTATGTCCAACCGATAAGGTAGGATGATCGTTATTCTGCCTGCTCTCCAGAATCCACACAGAGCCACCTTAGCCCAAGCTAGTGAGCCACCTTCACGTCAGTCCGTGGATCGCTAACAAGCTGCCTGTAAGACCCTCGACAGGGAAGAAAATCTTTCCAGTCGAGTGTCCGAGATATAGAGCAGGGGTCCACGCTCCCTTCTAGCTATTGGGTTCTGCGTGCGATTTGATAAACCCCCGGCTGTCCCTGCTCGCTTGAGTTGAGCTGACCGCTCACCACTTCTGCGTGTGATTCGGGAGGAAAGCGCAGAGCCAGAAAGAAGCAATCCGTCACAAGGCAAGAGACGACGACGACCGTCTTTCTTCCCTGGTGGGCTTTGGATAGATACCCAATATCACCCGAACCTCGTGCAGGCGTCAACCATGTCTGCAGAATACCCTAGGAAAGAAGTGGCCGAGGCTCATGGCGACACGAAAACTCATGTGGATGAGAGAAACGCGCACAATAACCGTCACAGTTTCGGCGAGCGCGTGCGGAACAGCATATCAGTCCAGTCAATCGACGAGACCACAGTGGAAGGCCAGATCTTTTCCATGAACGATGTCGATCCGGCTTTGGACAAGAAAATGCGTCTTGTCAACAACGTTGGTCCCTCCGTGCAAGAGCCCGATTTTGGGTGTATCCCCACGAACTGAAGAGGTGCTAATTTCCGTCTTGGGTAGGCTATCGACGAGATTGGATGGACTGGCATGCACATGAAGCTCTTCTTTCTCAACGGCTTCGGCTATGCGGCCGATTCCTTGATTCTGTTGTTGCAGTCGGTGACCGCCGGTCAAGCTGCAATCGAATTTAACCCGTCACTTCGAAATGGTCTGACCGTCGCCGCCTACAGTGGAATGTTGATTGGGGCCTTATTTTGGGGACTGAGTGAGCAATCCTCCTCCGGTGAAAGTCGTGGTAGTGATTGACGCATACCAACAGGTGCTGATGTGATCGGTCGCCGCTTTGCGTTTAACGTTTCCCTGTTCAGCTGCTCCGTCTTCGCCATCTGCGCTGGTGCGTCGCCCAATTGGTATGCCTTGGGCGCATTCACGGCTCTGGCGGCATTTGGCTCTGGCGGGAACTTGATCTTGGATACCACGATTTTCTTGGAGTACCTCCCCGGCAACAAGCAGTGGTTGCTCACATTGATGGCGTGCTTTTGGGGATTTGCGCCTGTGGTGGCAGCTGCTTTTGCCTGGCCATTCCTCTCCATTAGCAGGTATAATTGTACCTCTCACGATACTTGTACCTACGATAACAACATGGTCAGTCTCCAAAATGCAACAAATCAATCGAAAAACTAACAGTCAAAGGGATGGCGTTATGTTTGGTATTCGAATGGGGCCCTGGTTTTCGTTCTCAGCGTTCTGCGTGTGACGGTCATCAGGCTTAAAGAGACCCCAAAGTACTTACTAGCGAAAGGACAAGACCAGGAAGTGGTCAACACTTTCCAAGAAATCGCCGCCAAGTACAACAGGACATGCTCACTGACTTTTGAGCAACTTGACGAGTGTGGTCCGATCCAGTCGACCTATGGCAAGTCGCGATACGGGGTTTCAGAATTGGTTGCACACCTGCGAGGCCTTTTCCAGACCAAAAAGCTCGGGCTTTCAACGAGCCTAATCTGGCTCTCATGGACATTGATCGGTAGGCAGAAGGGACAATGTGGAGAATATGGGACATGAGGCTGACGATGCTGCAGGTTTGGCCTACCCTCTATTCTATGTCTTCTTGCCCCAGTTTCTCGAAACTCGTGGTGCTCAGACCGGGCAAGGCGGCGCGTACTATACCTGGCGAAATTACATGATCACCAACGTTGTCGGCATCTTCGGACCGGTCCTTGCAGGCTTCATGTGCAACTGGAGACTCCTAGGACGGAGATACACCATGGTGATCGGAGCACTGGTCACCATGGCCTTCTTCTTCGCCTACACCGCAGTCCGCACCCCTGCTCAGAACATTGCCTTCACCTGCATGATATACTTTTGGGTCAATGTTTACTACGGGACGCTGTGTAAGAACTCCCCAGCCAAGCGCTTTGCTTTTCTGCGCGTTTGCCAGGATACATGCTGATCCACCATGGAAATGACTGCAGATGCCTACACACCTGAGGTGAGTTTCTCCATGTCTTTAGGAGCGGTGCGGGTCCGGTCAACTAACGAGTATGCAGAGCTTACCATCCGCTCACAGAGCTACCGGAAACGGTATTGCCGTCGGTTGCAACCGTGTCATGGGGCTTGTGAGTGCCTTTGTGGCCGAATATTCCGACACAGCGACCAGTGCCCCCATCTATATCTGCGCGGCTCTTTATATCGCCATGGTAAGGATTTCCCCCTATTTCCCACACAGGTTCCGAAGAATCGCGCCTCTGACACGCATTGCAGGCCATCATCGCAATCATCATGCCTTTCGAGCCGTACGGAAAGAGGTCCATGTAGAGAGCACGTCGAGCGACGCCGAGACAGCTTTGTCGTTAACGCTGATATGATAGCCTCGCTTAAATTTGATGCGATCCAAAACTATCCTCACACTGACCTTGTCTCTGTATGACTTACTCGTATGATCCGCCGCTTGAAACCGGCCCTGTCGGCCGCTGCTGATCGGGGAACGTCGGCGCTCCTCTGCTGGCTCCGACCTTCCTCAAGTAGTTTAAGGACTCACGCCGATCCCACTTGGGGGCCGCCACGCCATTGACCTCGTCTGGAGCTATCATCACCATGCCAAGCTTGTGATTGACCTTCCTCCTGCCTATTCCCTCGACAGCACGCGCGCAAGTCCATGCTTCGTTTCCCCAGCAGATATGCCGATTTGATTTCCGTACTCGTCTGATTGATGCAACCTATCGCCGAACCCAAGCAATGGCAAATAGCTTGCGTGGATGCTTATCCTGCCCAGAGCAACGTGCGTCGCTTGTGATGCAACGTACGTGTTTATCTGTCATGATATCGCCTTCCCTCCCCCGGCGGACTTCGGTGGGAGTGCCGCCCCAATATCAATATACATGCCATCTTCGTTTGGAGCTTGATGTTCACGGTTTGTGATTGAGGCTTCAGCGCAGCAAGTCTTTTGTGCCTTGTCCTGGACCAGGCATCCTGAACGTGTGACTTGCCGTGTAACAGCTCGCTATTGTTAACGTTGCTTTATCACGCCGCTCTCCCTCATCGACTGAACCATCCGGGGATTTCGTGCCACCACCAACCATGGCCGACATCGAAGGCAACGAAAAGTCGATCGACATCCACAACCTCCCCGGCCGACGCTCTGTGTCCCCCGTAGACAGGTCCGGAAAGCGAGCCTCTGCCTCGACCACACGAGCCGCGCAAAAGATCCTCGAGCACAGCAGCGATGCCGACGAGGCGATGAAGGCCTTTGCCAACGGCGAGGTCGTGCAGATCGACGAGGCGACGAACAGACGCCTCCTGCGCATCATCGACTGGCATCTGATGCCCCTGCTGTGCGTCATCTACGGGCTGAATTTCCTGGACAAGACGACGCTCTCGTACGCGAGCATCATGGGGATCAAGACAGATATCAACCTCGTCGGCGACGACTACCAGTGGCTGTCGAGCATGTTCTACTTTGGCTATCTCGCCTGGGAATACCCTACGAACCGCCTGCTGCAGCGGCTGCCGCTGGCCAAGTATTCTGCCTTTTGCGTCATCGCGTGGGGGACCGTGCTGGCGTTGTTTGCGACGGTATCCAATTTCGGCGGCGCCGTGGCTGTGAGATGTACGTTGGTTCAGTTTTTTTTTTCCACACTCGGGGGCGACTCCACGACCCCCCCCCCCCCCCCCCACCTCCCCTGGTCTTCCGGTGCTTGTGATCTGACGTCTCGCGCGACAGTCTTTCTAGGAGTCATGGAAAGCGCCGTCACGCCCGGCTTCGCATTGTTCACGTCGCAATGGTACACCAAGCGCGAGCAAGGCACGCGCACGGGCATCTGGTTCTCGTTCAACGGGTTCGGGCAGATCTTTGGCGGTCTCGTCGCGTACGGCATCGCCGTCGGGTCGCGCAAGACCGGCTCCGCCATCGCGCCGTGGAAGATTGTGTTTCTCGTCAACGGGTTACTAACTGCCGCGCTGGGCGTCGTCTTCCTCTTCGTGATACCCGACAACCAGCTCAACGCGCGGTGGTTGAAGCCGCGCGATCGCATCCTGGCTGTCGAGCGGGTGCGCGTCAACCAGCAGGGCATCGGCAACAAGCACTTCAAGTCCTACCAGTTGAAGGAAGCGCTGCTGGACCCCTTGACCTGGGCCTTTGTGTTCTATGCGCTCGTCGCGGATATCCCCAACGGGGGAATCACCAATTTCTTTTCGCAGCTGGTGGGTGCCTCCGAAGATCTTCTTCACACAAACCACACCGCATGAACATTCATTCTAATTTGTGTTTAGATCGTCTCGTTCGGCTACACCCCTGAACAGTCCCTCCTGTACGGCACGCCCGGCGGCGCCGTCGAAGTCGTGGCCCTCATCTTCTGCGGCTGGCTAGGCGACCGGCTGGGCCAACGCATCCTCGTCTCGATGGGCGGCCTGTGCATCGCGCTGCTGGGAATGATCCTCATCGTCGCCCTCCCCTTGTCCAACAACTCCGGCCGGCTGGCAGGGTACTATCTGACCCAGGCCTCGCCGACACCTTTTGTGGCTCTGCTGTCCCTGATCGCGACTAACGTTGCGGGTTATACGAAGAAGACCACCGTCGCGGCGTGCTACCTCATCGGGTACTGCGTCGGGAACATCATCGGGCCGCAGACCTTTCGGCCGGAAGACGCCCCGCAGTACCGGTCCGCCGAGATCACCATTATTGTGTGTTATGGGACGTGTTTGCTCGATCTGGCGTTCATCTGGTGGTATTGTCGGCGGCAGAATCGGAAGAAGGAGGCCCAGCGCGCGGAGCCGGGCTATGTCAAGTTGGAGAATCAGGAGTGAGTTGACAGCCCTTTTTCTCGGGAAACGGCCCCCACCTAACGTTTTGATTCCAGGTGGCTCGACTTGACGGATAAAGAGAACCCCGAGTTCGTGTACAGTCTGTAAGGCGGTAGGCGGTAGGCGGTGGATTGACCGAGCGTGGCTCGGGACCTCGACGTGCGCGACCGCTGGGCGACCGCGTAGAGCGGCACTGAGAAGCGACATCATCGTGGCTGGTCGCTGGGCGAGGCCATCGCAGGTCGAAGATACCTGACGAGGGTCCCAGGGAACCTTGTTTCAAGACCGACAAGCGTCCCTTTTGTGATTAGGAGCCATAGACGGACGCATCATACATACGGACGACGAGAACGAGATACGACTACAGAGAGGGTAGACTCCATCACACGCTCTTGCTCTACACTGTTCTCCCTCCTTGCCGCGAGAACTCCGACAATGACTGCACGGGACTCGTCTCCATCATGTATCCCCGGCTTCTTGGTCGTTCCTCGTCAGGTTCCGTCCGCTTCCATATCTCGTCCAGCCGTCCTGCGTCCGCGTGTGTCTTGTGGATATGTGCAGGTATAGATACGATCATGCGCACGTGCGTGCGTGCGTATTGCCAGCCTGTGTCTCCACCCGAAGTCGTCCCCCAGTTACGCCGTGTCGATGTCCCAATCATGACTACCACGACGGTCACCAGAAGAATATTTCCATGTTCATTCCATCCCCTTCCCTTCCCATCCACAATATTCGACCCTACGAGTGATCCTACCCGAGCAGCCCAGCAGTTGAGACTCCCGAATCACGAGCTCTGAGAGCGATCGACTCGCGGATGTCAATCCTCCACCGCAAAAGGGGTTGAGTCACACTCCTTTGACTGGAACGCGGAAGGTACTGACTGTAAGAAGCCACGAGAGGTGCAGGGAGGGTAGGGGAGGAATACTTGGACTCGTGGATGGAACTGAGAAACAACAGAAAAGAGACAGGCCACAGCAAGCCGTCGTGCAATTGATAGACGTCTCAGGACAACCACAGCGGGCACCCTATCTGGGCGAGACCATAGAAAATATAAAACCGCCCATGATTGGAGCCAGCTATATGGCGAAGAAGGTTCAGTCCGACTGTTTTTTAGCTATGTCAGCTGGGTCGATGGTGCGGGCGGCAAGGGCAGACATTGGGGACGACACGAAGGTCAGGGCCTACATGGCCATATTCATTCAAGGCACTGGTATCGAGTGTGAAACATGATATCTTCCACAGCATTGCGCTGTCCTGTTGCCGGGGTTACAGCAACGTGAGGCTGAATTGAAAGGGGGCAGCGGTGGGCATGGGCGTGATGATACCCACGGTGGAAAAGCTCAATTCAATAGAAAGAAGGCGGGAGAAGAGACAAAAGGAGCAAATAGTGGGAGGTGGTTGAGAACAACAAGAAATGCTGCGGACGCCCTTCTACATATGCATTTCCCTTGTTTGTCATTTCATTGGTTTATGTCAAGGTGTGAATCGCAGCTTTTGTGACTCCTCCGCTATGGCCGGCCCTTGAAGGTAAGGTTCTGTAACAGGAACACGGATGTTGACTATCACCAAATGCTCCACCCGTCTGCTGTCCGAATGTTTTGCAGTCGTCTGTCGTGGTCAAAGGTGCTCTGGACCGACGTGGGTTCGGGTGCTGAACGGAGAGAGGTGAATTTGAGGGACGATCGACAGAGCGGTGCAGGTCAGTCGTTTAAGCGAAAGCCTCATCGACTTGCTTCTTGGCCTCGTCCTCGGAGATGCCGTAGATCTCAGCAACCTTCTTGGTGAGGGCGTCTCTGTTGCCAGCAACGGCAGCGAAATCTTGAGGAGTGAGCTTGTCGAACTTGGCTCGGAGCTTTGCCTTGGTAGCTTCGTCGGCCATGGTGACTGGTTTTGTTGTTGAAGAAGAACTGGAACTTGAGGGGACGAAGGATGTAGAGATTTGGTGGTAGCTGTGAGGGTGGGAAGGAAAGGAAAGACAGGGGTGATCGTATGAAGCATCTTGTTTATATATCCCAATATTACCCCTCCACCCCTCATTTGTTTCAATCACGCTGCGCTCTGCTCTTGACACCTCAATCGGGCGCTCTGTGGATTGCACAATCGGGCTCCAGGCCCCACGCTTCTGTGGCTGGAAGGACGAAGAACCAAAAAGTTCAGTTGCAACGTCTGGAATACCCAATCAAGACAGATCGTTCTCACCGATTGATTGTGATGCTCGAATGAGAAAGCGTGTCCGCGTGGTGGAGGGTAACGGCCCGCTAGATCAAGCAAGGTGCCGCCGACGCCGGCTTAACTAGCTCTCAGGATGGAGGGATGGGAGGGGTCGAGTTCGCGTACACGCTGAACTCGACCCACGGTTGCAGTTCTGGCGGTGAAGAGTCCCAGATTGTCTGAGGGCGTCGGCGTGCGTGGAGGGCGCATTGCATGTGCAGTCACTGCAGAAGCCCACCGTCCAAAACGTCAGTGGCAGTTTCAGAGTAGTTTCAGTTCGTAAATGTAAACTCACCTGCTTGTTTTCGACTTTGTTTATTTTTGTTGCTGCCCCTCACTTTGTCCCCTGGTCTTGTCTGGCTTACCCCTCGATGCCTGGACGCGGGGCCTAAGTTTAACGTTCGCATCCCTCCCGAGGCCGCCAGGGGAAATCGGAGATCACCCTCCTCTCACTTCCTGTGCCTAAAACGCCACCATCACTATTGAACCCTGAAATCCCTGGGCGAGAAGCCAACGCATGTTTGTGGGTCTTCTCTTGGTGATATGGGTCGTCTTTCCTGGCCTCGCTGGCAAGGGAGCCGCTGGTCGTTGCCGGCCGCCGGGAGGAATCGAGTCAGGAAAAAAGCCGTTTCGGTCTCGACTTCTGCAAGACAATCAGTGAGGTAAGCAATTGGGTACTGAGTACAAAGGAGCCAGACCGCTTATCAGGTTGTCGAGACGGTAGATGGCTCGATTGACAGCTTTCGCTCGTTTCGGGCACCGGTCAGGCAGGCGGACAGTAATGTCCCTCTGAAAATTCGTGACGGTCTGACAACAGCCCGTGACCGTGGTGCCGTTAGCTGCCAATCGCAGAGAAGTGCCAGCTGTCGCTATCGAAGGATGCTACAGTTGACCGACCGCGAAGTGCCTTACCCCAGTCATACAGCCCGGGTCTGACCGAGCCATTCGTTCGTGAGCGCCTTCTGGAAGCTGTCAGCCTAGTATACATCGGTATCCGTTAAGGCGGAATGCACGACCGCCAAGGCACTGAACAGCTGTTAGATAACAGAATAGCAGAAGCGAAGAGCAGATAACAAAGGTTCATGACAAACGACCATGCCGAGCTGGGAAATTCGAGTAGCAGGACTGAACCCACGAAAGGCTTATTACGAAACCGTGGAAATAGAAGGCACCACTGTGACATGTGTTCTATTGCATCAAAGTACCGTTTTGAAGCCGCCTGATGTCCTGAGCAACAAGCAAGGATCAATTCTAGTATCTTGTCTATCGACAGCGATGAAAACAGGTGCGACCACGTCCACATTGTGGCTGCCATTTCTCCCAGGAGCTGTTGTCCGTCTTCACTGGCATCAATATCCTGGTCTTCTTCTGCCACATGGAGCATTGATTACAAACTTCTCCCAGTCTATGCTCATCTCTTCAGTGCTGCTTGCCCTTCTTCTCACTAGCCAAGACGAAGTTGATCTTGTAGAAGACGTGACAGTGGCGAAGAATAGCCCGAGCACGCATAACCCATGGTTGCACCTGCCGGAACGCGTCCATTAACTCCTCCTCGACCTCCGCTTTGTGATCGAAAATGTCCTTAACGTCCTTCTCAAGCTTCTTCAGGTGCGCAGCGATCTGGTCTAGCTGGTCCACTGTGATAATCGTGGCAGTATTTTGATCAATGAGAAACTCGTTCCTGAAGGTGTGGTATTTACCGGAATTGATGGCGGTCTGGTAAGATTTCAAGCCTCTCTGAATCCCTGCAATGACTATAATCTCGTCTGTGAGAGCAGCGACGAAGGCGGCCTTGGTCTTAGGAATGTCCGCGGGTTTGTCAACAGCACCAGAGAATCCGAAAGCGCACTCAAATCTGGGCAGATCGTGGTTGCGTAGTGGCGAAGCTTCGAGGTTGCCATCGACAACCGGCTGGGCTCGAGGTGGTACGCTGTCTCCCGCGAGGACCAAAGTTTCCAGCTTGCGACCAACTTCTTCGAGTATTTTTACAGTCGGTTCGCAGGAAGACTCGCAAGAGCCGCTTTTGTCCGGAGTGCCTGGGGACAGACTCGGTGATGTCGTTGGGGTAATGGTGACGACTGCAGACTCACTAGTGTGGGGACCGGAAGACGTTCTCGGGCTGCTGATGGACGATAGTACTTCGTTGGTGACCGGTACCTTCAAGTTAGCCATGTTGCCGACACCGGGCATTGTCTTTGGAGAAGAGAGTGCAAACGTGGTGAACAGGTATCGTGACGCGAAAGGCCTAGGAAAGCTCAGGTGTAGGGAGATGTTGCAGTCTCTACGGGCATCGGCAAGAAGGGAAGGGGCACAAGAATGCTCCAGAAGAATACAAAGCAGATTCCTCTCTGGAGCTCGACAACAAGGCAGTCCAGGCAGTACTTGCGCAGGACAATAAATGTCAATGTCAGAAGTTCTTTGAGTCCATGACCTCATGCAGAAAAGGTGTTCTTTGAGGAGATGTCTCCCACGGGAAAAAGAAGTCAAAGCCACTGAAGCTTCACTCACGGTTTTCACCAACATTGTCCATTGGCTCGCGCTCAATGTCGAAAACTGCAACTTACGGAGCTAGATATGATGCCAATTTGAGGCGAAGGATATTCCGTCTTTGCACATGATGCTTTGAAAGGCTCAACAGGCTTGGGTGTGGTGGTTACAGCTAAAGGTTTGCAAATAGTCTCGGACAGAGAATCGGACAGAGAATCAGACAGAGGTGAGAATTCTCGGAGTCAGAAGAGTCACAGAGTATACGGGATGCTCGGCCCGAAGTCATACCGAGTTTCCTACGGCGTAAATAGAGCAGTTACAGTTTAGTGGCATCTTCAAATGTCCACGACCAACTCCATCTTCACTCACAGGGGACTGTAAGGAAACGTGCAGGCCAACCTTGGAGGTCATTGTCGAGGACTATAAGCACGAGATTTTTTCATTGTGGCATATCTCTTTTGACATTCTACCCCATGATATGATGGTAGGGCGGAGGACAAAACAATCTCTGTACAGAGATGCCCCGGTCTGCCTTTGCTCCTTGATCATGTGGTAGACACGAGGGCATGGCTCAGGTATTCAATTGATGATAGCCACTCTGTTCAGCTAGCTTGCTTGCCCGGACCTGCGATTCGTAATGAAAGGAAGGTGCGGAGCGAGTTGGGCATGGCTGGCAGTTATGGCCTCACTGCCTAGTTGCTGGTGAAGTATTCTTCTTTGTCACCACCTTGATCCTTATGTGATACTGGATCGCACTATGTTTGCATCTTTTTGTTACTTCCATATATTCCTCTACATGATCGCCATCTTCAGTCATTCCGCATAACCAGCACTCTGGGTCACACCCACGAGAGTAGTTTTCAGCGCGCTAGACACCACAAAGATATTGCCAAAACATGTCTCAGGAGCGGCGACCCCCAATGCCCTCGATCGTACCTCCAACATCCGGCAGCGTCCCAGCAATCACCTTGCGCAGAGTAGGCGATCCTCAGCCGATCGCGGCTATGCGTGATTTCTATATGTTTTTGAGAGGGCAAGAAGATACCATCACTCTCACGAATGTCGAGGTGATCGAGCGCAATCAATCCAAAGAGCAAGGCGTTACGGACCTGGATCCTATCGCAAAAGAAGATAGCAGCACACCCGTTCCCGGAACAGCGGCCGTCATACGCAAAGCGAACCATGACAACGCGCTCGAATTAAATACTCCTCGTCTTCCACCACCATACGTCTTGCCACCCATGGCTCAGCCTTCCCTTCCACGTTCCCTCGATCTAGGAGCACCGTTAGCATGGGACCCGCGGCCGCGTCCTTTCCCTGGCGGATACGGCACCCCGGGGCCACCGCCAGTTGCCCGAGGACGGCGGCGCACGTCACACATCCCTGCGAGCATTTCCGTCATCTGCCGAGTCTGTCTCGAACAAGCGGCAGGTCTTATACACCTGGACTGCGGCCACGATTTCTGTCAGCCGTGCCTGAACGAGCTTGTCCGCACATGTATTGCCCATAGAATGTCGTGGCCTCCAAGATGCTGCAGCGGTCAGCTAGGACTGGATATTGACGCGATCCGACACCACCTCGATGAGGACGTTATTGCACGTTATGCCACTGTGTGGGCTGAGTACTCGGATCCCGACCCAATCTACTGCTCGAACCGAGTCTGCAGCCTCCATATCCCACCGAACACGGCCCAAAACACCAAGGGACAGTTCGTATCCTGCGACTACTGTCAGACCGAAACGTGTCGCGCATGCAAACAAGGGCGTGGTGAACATAGCGGTCTTGCTGGAGCCATTTACCCTACCCTGGAGCAATTGCTGGGCGAGGAAGACCACAGCCTTGTCAAAAACCAGCGCTGGAAGCAATGTCCTGGCTGCAAAAATGTAGTCGAGAGAAATGGAGGCTGCAACGAGATATTCTGCCAGTGCGGAGTCCGTTTCTGCTATCGTTGTGGTGTCAGGAAAGATCGTACACAGGTTCCTGCTTCTGGTTGTGGCTGTTCCGCCTTCGATATCCTACCTCCTCTACCTTTGCGCCGAGATGTGCTACCTGGAATCATGCATCTTACGGCTAGAAAGAACGAGGCGGAGATCACAGCACTCACAGAAGAGGCTGCCTCCATCATTTCGCCCATTGACAGAATTCTTCACCTTGGCTCGAATTTCCTTGCGAGCAGAAATGGACCTCTCACAGATTACAGAGGACCAAATTCGACCCCAGCACCCCAAGCAGAGCCCCTGAGTACATCCTCGACAAGACTAGATCCCACAGCACGTTCCTGGCAACCTATCGCGTCATCATTCGTTGGTAACGGAAGCTTTGTTGCGGGTGGAACGAGACCATTTCCATCACGCATCGAGTTCGGAGATGACAACCCAAGCATAGCATTGACTTCACGCCGAGATACGTTGAGGCCAGGCCTGCCAACAGGCAATGATATACTTCCACGGCAGGCAGAATCACTTCGACTTTCTGGGCGAGACGACGGCACGGGAAACAGACGTTCAAACATAAATCCGGCAGGTCCCTTAGTTGGCACGAACGCCTTTCCGAACGATCCCTCCGTTGCTGGTGAGCAGAAGTCTGGTCGTTGATGAAGGTTTTGGCCAAGAGAGACTTGAGATTTCATGGCAACGTATACCGATGAGGGTGTCAAAGAAGGATCCTCTGTTGTGGTAGTCGGAAACTGTCTCGAGGGAGGTGATCCTCACATCATGCATATGTTGCCCACGTGGTTGCGCTAGCGAGACATTTTAGGCTACACGGGCAACTTTCATTACCGAGTGCTGGCGGCATAGCACATGCATGGGCAGATATTTCTGCGTGCTCTTTATGGGTGCATTTCATTTCCGATTCAAATTAGAGTCTCTTCTATCATCATAAGTCTACCAGCTACCCTACAAGATTCTAATATGCAAGGTCCAGAACGCGTTCGACGGTGTGTCGGCTGTGCTCGCTCTAGGTCAGCCCGACACGCCCTTGGAACCTTGGTTGCTGCTTGGCCGGCGGCCCAGATCGCGCGATCTGGGCAGATCTCACGCCAAAATTTCGCCTAAGCCGACGATCGATTCAAGCTGCCCGTGCACGCCACGCCCAGATTCCCATTCCAGATGACGTTGACGAGAAGACGGGTTTCTCGACTTCGCGGTACTGTACCTCGTATCCTGCTTGAGGTGTAGCGCTCATCATTCTGTGTTCTTCGAGCTTGCGTAGGTGTACTCGTATCTTGAGGTTTGAGCTTTTTGTATACTCCGTACCCAATCTTATTTTCCTCTTCCTATACATCCGTGTCGTACACTTTCGCCTGTGCTTCAAAGGTAGCTACAGTACAGAAGCTACGTACAACGCGATCAACCTCACGTCCTCAGAAACCCGGCAGACGACCAGTCCAGTCCAGGATCTCCAGGTACAAACTCAAGTCATGGCGCCATCACAAGAGACACCTATCCAAAAAGACCCACACAGTCCGCCGACGCCTATTTCAACAGGAGCAGGTCGCACGGCCCAAACACAGACCCCGACGCAGCATCCTCAAGTCAAATCCACCGCTCCCGACCCGACGCCCGGTACGACGACCACCACTGCAGACTTGACTCCGCAATCCGGCTCCTCATCGATAGAACTCACCACGCGAAATGACCTCTCCTTGCTCTACCGCGTCCTCCGCCTCCTCATCAAGCCGCTGCGGCCGCGCCTGGTTCGCCCGCCAAAGACACCACATCCAGAAAGCAGCCCGCGGCTGTCCCCCCCGAAGAAGCGCAATATCGTGATCAAAGAGACGAAGCTGGAGGGCATATGGATGTATCATTTGCATGCGCTGGGGCCAGGGAGCTCGAAGAAGCAGGGGATCGAGAAAGCCCAGGGGAACGAGCAGAAAGAGGACCTCGGCAACGCGGACAGCGCAAACAGCGCAGACAGCGGGAGAAGAGCCAAGGGGAGAGGCTTCGAGCGTAAACACCGTGTCTATTATTTCTCGGGGGGCGGGTTCCAGTCGCCTCCCTCGGGCGAGCATTGGCGGTTCCTAGCCCAGCTTGCGCAGGACCTGGCGGGCCACCGATCCTCCGTCACCTTCCCAGGCAGCCAGCGGTCCGTAGACCCGGCGAGCGACGCGAAGATCGAGTTGATCATGGTCTCGTATCCGCTCGCGCCGAACAGTCCAGCTACCGAAAGCCTAAGGGTGTTGCGGAACTGGCTGTGCCGGGTGCTGGACGATGCCGCCGCCAATAAGGAGACCGTGTCGCTGATGGGCGACAGCAGTGGGGGCAACGTCATCATGTCGCTTGGGTTTTGGGCCGTGCAGAATTACGATGTGGAGAGTCAGAGCCAGAGCAAGAGCGCCGCCTTCGACGAGGACGGCCCCGACGACAGCAAAGGCGAGCGAGAGACGCAGAGAACGCACTTCCCGTTGATTTCGCTGCTCTCGATATCAGGCCCCATGGACTTGACGAATTCGTCGCCCGATGTCCCGCGTGCAAACGCGCTCGACTGCGTTCTCACCGAGGAGATGACGAAGGCTGTGGCTAACATATGGTGCGGGCATGATCGGAATCGTCCTTCGCAGTATTCCCCTATCGCGCTGTCGGCGCCCGAGGTGTCGCCGCTGTTCCAGCCTGATGAGGCCTTCCGGGCTCTCAGCGATAAGAAGCTGAACGTGCATGGAGTGTATGGCACGCATGATGTTCTCAGCCCCAGCGGGATAGAGTTCATGAAGAAGTGCCAAAAGTTAGGCGTGAGGGGCAGGTGGCTCGTGTGGGAGGGCCAGATGCATTGCTTCCCACTTGCGGCTGGAGGAGACCGCTTAGGGATCCGCGAGGGGAGAGAGGCGCGGAAGTTTGTCGAGTCGGTGTTGAGGGCAGATGCTGAGATGGAGGACTGAACGTGCTCGGGCGCCAGCAGAATAATAGACCCGGGGGTTTGTTTGTTGGGCCGGTTGTGCCATGTAATGATATGTATATTAACACTACTGTACGGAGAACGGTAGAGTTGGATCTTGGTGCTGGTTTTCATTAGCGTGTATAGTAATTTGATCAAGGCCGTGATTGAAGAACAGTCCCTGTGGTCGAGTGGTTTGATGGCTGGCTTTCCCATTACATCGAATCACCTTGCTCTGGCATCGACTTGGGTTCTGGCCCAACTCCCTGTGACGGATCATCAAGCAAGCCTCTTTGCCCCAGCACGATGATTGCTTCGAGGACCCGCTTCCTCTCCTCTTCTTGTTCCTTCTCAACCATCACCTCCCACAGCCCTTTCCTTCTTATGGGCTCAGAAACCTTGGACGGCAACACTCCACCCGACTTGGCCCGGTCCTGCATACCAGCAGCGGCTCGCCGACCCTTCTGTGATAGATCGTGCGAGTACCGACAATTCGACCCGTACTTGCAAGTTTTGTACTTGACAAGATGCTGGCAAAGCCGCGGAGCCTTGGCTTTGGCTCTTTGCGCATCGGAAGCCAGAGCCAGAGTATCACGGGTGTGGTGTTGCTGTTTCGTGCTCGTCACTTCTGGAGCCGAGTCTGCGTCCGAATCCGAATCTAAGTCTGGAGAAGTATTATCTGAGTCGGTATCGAAATCGGAGTCAGAGTCTGTGGTGGATGAACCGGACGAGGACGTCTCGTCTTCACCCAGTGCAGCGACTGGAGTCGGTAGCGGGTCGAGTGGCTGCAACGACGGGTCTTGACTTGCGATGTCATCACTCGGTACTGGTAGAGCCTCTCCGTCCTTCTTAGACTGAGCGAGCTGCAGCGCTTCCTCGGCCTTTTCGAGATCTTGTTGCGCTTTGAATGCCCTTTTCCTCAATTTCTCGGCTTTGAGCATTGCACGACTGGTCTCATCTACTGGAGCTTCGTCCTTGACGCGTCGTTTATTGACTGGCTCTTTCACCTTCTGGCGCTTCGCTCTTTCCTGCTCTTTCGCCTTCTGCCGTTCTGCCCTTTCCTGCTCTCTCTTCATCTGTGCCTCTTTCCTGGCTTCTAGCCGGGCTTGATATTCCTCTTCACGCTTCCGTTTCTTGAGCTCCGCCTCTTTCCTCGCCGCTTCTCGCTTTGCTTCGGTGGGGTATCGTCGCTTTCTCTCCGCTATCCAGGCCAGAATCTCTTCGCGGCTCCGTAGCAGGAGCGGGTTGCCATTGTATTCGAATACGTATCCGGACGAGACTGAAGCCGTTTGGTCTGCCAGTCGCTGCTCTTCGTCTTCATCGTCCTCCGGGTCTGAATCTCGCTCGAACTTTGCAGGTGTGAGGCCAAGGAGGTTCTGCTTCTTCTGTCCGGGTTTCTGCGGGTCCGATGGCTTCTGATTCGGCTGTCCAGTAGATGGCTGACGAGCCAGAAGATGTTGAATTGGGGCATTGAAGTTAGGGACCGCAGGCGGAGCTGTAGGGCGTGGACGGTGTTGCTGCTGCTGCTGTTGCGTCGGTACGAATGCAGTATTGTAGTCTCTCTTCTGATGTCCCTGGAACTGGCCGCCTCGGGGTGGACCGTTGTGCGACGGTCTACTTGGGTTCGACCAGTTCTGGCCATGATTCATAGAATTGCCCTGTCCTCCTCCCCGACGGTCGCCGCGGCCACCACGACCTCCTCTCGACGTGGCTCTGTAGCCATGCCCACCTCTAAATGAGCCTCTGCCATTCTGATAGCCTTGGTTTTGGTGCGGCTGGTATGTGCTGTCTGTTGTTCGCTTGGGAGGAGGTGGTGGCGGAGGAGGGAAGGAGAAGGGCTGGTTAGACATTGAGTCGCGTGGGCGCGGATCCTAGTGGAAAATCGTTGTGAGGCGCAAGTTGTAGGACAACATGGTGCCAAATCGAATTGGTGTCCTCGGCCAATCTAGATCTCGCTTTCGAGGATGATCTCAGTTCTCTCCGCGATCTGCAAGGCTGCGCAAGGCTGTTGCCCGCGCCGCCCCGCATCAACCAATAATTTCTTGCTCCTAAATACATGAGTTCGGTTTCTCGCCTTCGAAGCAACGACTTTATCGACTTTTTCCTACTTCGACCATACGTGATAGCACTTGGATAGCTCTACCATGCCATTGTCCATGTCAGCGGAACCAGAGCTACACACGTATCCGCCCCATCGGTAACGCCATGTTTATTCTAGTATGAACGACTGCCTCTGCTTCAACCAGAACATTTGACACTAACGAATGAGACAACCTTCGAGGATCTGGTCCAAATACCACCTCACGGACTGGTCAACAACAAAATCACGCGACAAGACCTTGAAGATCGAATCAATGAGAAATACTCGAATAAAGTCTGCTATTCTCCGCGCGAAGTCCAGCCACTACTTATGACTGACAGAAAAATGGTAGGTCGTGCAAAAAGTTGGACTCTGCATCTGCATGTACGATCTTGTGAAAGCATCGGATGGCTTGATCGGCCACGGTACAGGCAACGTCAACGTTAATGGTAGGGGCGTAGAGACCACGAGGCCATATTGCACGCTCGTTCAATGGCTGACATACATATGCAGTTCAGTTCCGGATGATTGTGTTTCGGCCGTTTAAAAACGAAATCGTGACCGGCCGCATCACGAAATGTACAGCTGAAGGCATTCGAAGTGAGTGCGTGTCTTACTGGGATGCGACGAGGCTGAATGGTCATGCCAGTTTCTGTGCGATTCTTCGACGACATCTTTGTGCCTTCAACCATGCTTTTCGACGGCTGTTACTAGTGAGTTTGTTCAACTGTGAGAGGGCATCATGAATGGTTACTGATCATCGCGTAATAGCGATGCCGACGAGCAGACCTGGATCTGGCACACGGAGCCCGAAAACGAGGACGAGGAGGCCAACGACCTCTTCCTGGATGTTGGGGACACTGTCAACTTCCGAATCGAATCCGAAAGTTGGCACGATCAAGCACCAGCTGCGCCCAAGGTTAGGAGGCCCGGCGAGCCTGCGCCAGAATCAGAAACCGAATACAAGCCTCCCTACTCGATCGAGGTATGGTGTTCCATTTCCAGGGCGGATGTGTGATGCTGACGTTGAGCTAGGCGTCAATGACCGAGCAGGGACTCGGTGGTGTCCATTGGTGGTGACATTTGACAACAGCAACAAAACGCTTTCACTGTTTATGCTTGAATCTGCGCAAAATGCATGAGTCTCTCGGACTCGATGGTTGCGACGACCAAGGTATCTTGCCAGTGTTGCAGAATAACCAGGCTTGGACCCCGTGCTGGCATGGTCTTGGCAATCCTAGACCCAGCGATTCATGAGTGATGATTGAGTCGGTTGATTGGCGCAGATAACCTGCCAGAACTCATGGTGCAAGTACTCCGTACCTGCGAATGAGCGAGCTAAGCACCGTTTGATCCGTGGTTAAGCGGTTGGAGGGTGGCGATACGGGCGAAACTGGCGAGGCCCCTGGCAGCGTTTGTCATCAGCGCTCTTTTAGGCCGCTAAAGCTCCAGGTTGCGGAGGAGGCGATGCCCGGGACGCGTGCTTTAACTAGGGCTACTTTAGTGCTGCCTCAGGGTCGCTTCAGGGTCGCCCATGCCCCAAAGCACGTCATCTCTCTTGCTCCTTTGTTGATTGCTTACCAGACCCTCAATGACTCCAATCAATTCCATCACCAACAAGCAGCCTCGATAGAATAATATTTCTCAATCAAGATTGGGTGTTGCTGTACGTACATAGTTCCAAACACCTCTTACTTCCCGGTCCCTTCCTGTTTCCCTTCCGATTATCCTCTGCCTCATCGGCTGACTGACTATATCCCCCCGTGCCTTGCCGGTCCTGGTCCTTGACACACCCCTCGTCGAATTTGTGGTACTCTTAGCAACTGCCACCTAAAAGTCCCTACTTGAGCCCATTGCTACCTGAGGGGGTTCCTCGTCCCCGCGGTTATAATGACTGTCCCAGTGGATGTCCCTGTCTCGCCTCGCCCTCTCCGCCCCCATGAGCGCATTCTCACCAACGAAGATGGCGCTATCAACACACCGGCTCGAGCACCTACACCGGTCCTCAACTTCGGCACTCTAGCAGTTCACGCGGGCGCACCTCACGACCCAGCAACGGGCGCAGTTATTGAGTCCATCTCGCTCTCGACCACCTTCGCACAAACAGCCGTGGGTAAGCCCATCGGCCTCTATGAGTACAGTCGCAGCGCAAACCCCAACCGTGACAACTTTGAAGAGGCGGTTGCCGCGCTGGAACATGCGAGATTTGCCCTTGCCTTCTCCTCGGGTTCAGCCACGACAGCCACGATTCTGCAGTCATTGGCAGCTGGGTCGCATGTCATCTCAGTATCAGACGTCTACGGTGGTACACATCGATATTTTACAAAAGTGGCGCTGGCGCACGGTGTTGAAGTTACATTCTCGCCCTCTATCGAACTCGACATTGAAGAGCTAATCCGCGAACAAACGAAGCTCATTTGGATCGAGACACCATCAAACCCTACGCTCAGCCTGGTCGATATCCGGCACGTGGCTTCAATCGCCCACAAGCACGGTATTTTGGTGGTGGTGGACAATACATTCCTTTCACCCTACGTACAAAACCCGCTCGACCACGGAGCCGATATCGTTGTCCATTCCGTAACGAAATACATCAATGGACATTCAGACGTCGTTATGGGCGTCGCAGCTTTCAATTCCGAACACCTGGAAGAACGGCTTACCTTTCTGCAGAACGCGATTGGAGCCGTGCCGTCGCCGTTCGATTGCTGGCTCGCTCACAGAGGATTGAAGACCCTTCACCTCCGAGCGAGAGAGGCGAGCAGGAACGCGCTAGAAGTTGCGAGGGCACTGGAAGCTTCACCAAACGTCATTGCAGTGAATTACCCAGGCCTGGACTCGCACAAACAGAGGGCTATCGCCGTCAAGCAGCATCGTGACGGTATGGGTGGTGGTATGCTTAGCTTCAGGCTGAAAGGTGGCCATTCAGCTGCAGAGCGTTTTTGCCAGCAGACCCGCATCTTCACGTTGGCCGAGAGTTTGGGCGGCGTGGAAAGTCTCTGTGAGGTACCGAGCGCGATGACACATGCCGGTATCCCGAAAGAGCAGCGCGAGGCTATCGGAGTGTTTGACGACTTGGTCAGACTAAGCTGTGGTGTCGAAGATGCAGATGATCTGAAGAAGGATATTCTGCAAGCCTTGGAGAAGGCCGTCGTTGGACCGAAGATTACGAATGGCTTGAACGGGACGAAGTGAACAGCTGCCATACCTTTGTGGCCTACGATGCGGGATTTGATCGAACGAGATAAAAGTCTTCTCCACGGTGTGCGACTACTTCGAACGTGATTCGGAATCTGCACGGTCCTTTGACGCTGTGGAGCGGCTCCAAGGCGCAGACGGACATCCAATCCATTCTGTATCGTCCTCGTAGAGCATGAGATGACGGTGTGAATAGCATCAGAATCCATGCTCTAGCGCGATGACACTGACAGAACACGAAAGCGCGACGCTGGATGAATCGGATGGAGCTGGCTGCAACCCAGGCCTCCACGCCCCGGGCTGTCACGACATCGGGAATCTTCACCGCATCTTGAGCATTATGCTTAGCAAAGATATGGTCCTCTTGTGGTATACTATGGAGGGCAGGCAACTGCCGCTACATCTGGGCAGAGTGCCGGCTATGTAGACAGGGATAGAACCTGTGGTCAGCGAGATACAAGCCACGAATATGCGGAGGAAGACAAGCGGCGTTTGCAGAGATGATTTTAACCACGCGGTACTTTTGGAACATGCCTACTCCGTACTCCGTACGCACATCGCCTTTATGACGCCAACCAAGCCTGACTCAGACAATCCCGCCTGGAACTTCTTCCGGGTTACAGTTGCTTGACGGTCGATGGCCGCTTGCCAGAGACCGTGGACTGCTCTTTCTACTGTCTACTTTCACAGTCACTGTCGATCCTATTTTCCCTTCTACCCACAACATTTACGACTACACACTCGTACCGTTGATCTCCTTTGTCGGTGAAGCCATTTTGCCGCTCCGTCTTGGCCTTTCCGTATCAAAGATGGCTATAACCTCGGGAACAGCAAGCTCCGCGTCCCAAGAGCGTCTTAAGCTGACCTTAACCACAAGAGGACAGTTTAAGGCACGGGCCGCCGAAAGTCATATCAAAGCGTCCTCCAGCGTCGTCGAGATTGGCCGTTCGATGTGGTTCTTTTGTAGTCGTTTTGGGGGCTGCTTCACCTCGTCTTCAGGCCCCCCCATCGACTCTCCTGGGCACCTGTGGTCGACTGTTGGCGACGGTCAGCAATCGCTTACATACTGGGACGCTTTCTTAGTGCGTCTTGATATACTCCTGGCATCTGAAAAGAAATACACGACTTGCGCATTTCATTGAACAGTGCTATGGAACCATGGCAAAACCCCGTGTTAAACGGCATCACCACAAGGTGAAGACCGGTTGCACAACATGCAGAGTACGTTATCTTATTTCCTTCCCATACCAGCACCGCGTCGATCCACCCGTCTTGCATGCATCGCACGCCAGCTCGGTGGCTAGCTATGTTTATGATAGCCAAGTCTAACAAGGAGAATAGCTTCGTCGAGTCAAGTGTGATGAAGGGAAACCGAGCTGTCGCAGATGCACCACCGCCGGTCGCATCTGTGATGGCTATGATCAACAGTCCAAGGCTGCCAACAGTCTATCGTGGGAAAACCATCCCTGGACGCATTCATGGACGCCATTCGTGATGCCGGCTGACGGCGTCCAAGCTTCGCCCGAATCCTACGCGTTGCCACAGCTTCTATTGCCACCTCGACTCCTTGTCTTTGACAGTCCTGAAGAACAGCAAAGCTACCATTTCTTCCGGTCCCGGTCAGTGGGTGAACTGACCGAGGTGTTTCATGTTGACGAGACTTTTTGGAACTTGTGCGTCCTCCAAATGTCCATGACCCAGCCTGCGGTACGGTATGCTGTCGCCGCACTTGGAGCCATGCATCGGTTATACGCCACGGGCAACACCACCGCCATACCCGAAGATACATCTGACTCTGAAACACGATTTGCCTTGGAGCAATGCAACCGATCGATCAAGTCGCTCCTAGAAAGGAGAGGCTCCGAAGCGAGGGCCGAGAAGCTTTCCACACTCGTGGCCTGCATCTTGTACACTTGCCTTGCCAGCATCCAAGGACATCAGAAGCAATCGATCATGCACCTACGCAACGGGATGAAGTTGCTCGACAACCTGGTACAACAAAAGGACATCAACAGCGGTCCGTTGACCTCTTATAGCACCCAAATTCAATCATTCCTGACCACCCTCGGTAGCCTCGAAATCCAGGCCCGCAGCTTAATGTGTGAAGAAGACCTACCAGCGTGGCCCACACGAATCAGAATCCGCGGCTCGTGGTTTTCGCAAGCCGACATCAGATTCACCAGCCTCTCCGAAGCTCGGGATTTCTTTGAGTCCGTTCTGAGCGACTTTCAATGCTTCGTCCTGGAGAGGGATGCGGAGAAAGAGTGGTTACTCGGCCCGGGCGCCAGTCCACGCCGTTCCGTGACGGACGACTACGAGCTGCTCGTGAAAAAGCACTTCTTGGGGGTAGACGCGCTTGACTCCTTTATCGCCAAACACGATGACCTAGACAAGCGAGCTCAAAAGACCATCCTCATGCTCAGGTTGCACATCAACATCGTGGAATTGTACCTCCGAGTCTACCCGCTGTCGCTGGAACACGGAGAACTGGCGTGGGATCACCTCGAGCCCTACTATTTGACAATTATTCATCTGGGTCGACAGATTCTAGGCTGTACGGAGGACCAGTTGTCCAGCATGATCTGCTTGCCTTCCGAGGTGGAGACGGGCCCTACGCATGATGACGCCGGCAAAGCACACAGATACCCGAAGGTCCCTCCGGCGGCATCGATCCTGAAGAAGGAGCATCATCACCACCGACAGCACCGCCCTGTCTTTGCGTTTAGCCAAGGAGTCGTGGGGCCCCTGTCCACCGTCGCTGTGATCAGCCGGTCGCCGAACGTGCGGCGCGAAGCAATTGCCCTGCTCTTGCTGTATCCGCGTCGAGAGGGCCTCTGGGACAGTCACACTGCTGGCCGTGTAGCATGGGTCGGTATGTGTCTGGAAGAAGAAATGGCTCTGAAACAGCGAGGACAGCACGGCCAAGAGGAATGTGAGATCAAAGCCGCTTCAGACATCCCCGCAGAGTGCAGAGTCAGGGTCGTGGACATGAAGTACATTGGAGCGCGCACGGGCGAGATCTGTTACAACACGGTGAAGGGGTGCGAGAACGGCGAGAAAGGCAACGTAGTGAGGATCCTAGAGTGGTAACCTACGGCCACTTCTCTCTCAAAGTATTCAAATGACTTTACCTGGTGACACGCATCATGCCAAACAACATCAGGGCCAGAAACAGGATTCTATGCTCCAACCGTGGCGGTGGTGATAAGATGATGTGTTTTTCCAGGAAGAAAGCGAGCGGCTGATCGAGCAAGCAGCATGCGATCAGGTTTGAACGTTCGTGGCATGTATATAATACATCCTGGCTTCTTTCCACGCATCACAAGACCTACAGTACCCACTCACTCACACACCGATTGCCGGCCGTAGATATATCAAAGCACAACGTACAGTAACACCACAGTGTACCGAGATAGCTTACCTGAAAGAATGCAGACTCCAGAATTCTAGTACTAGAAACCATACCGCTCTGTCCGTCGCAGGTGCAGGCGCATCATGCCCCGACATCCCCGAGCCTCGTGTGATCGGATAATTATGAGCTTCAGAAAGGGCGCCGCCGACTCAGTACATACGACTGACACTATCCTATCCTATGGAACGACCTCTTACAGTACCTCGTACAGCGTCACCTCACCACGCCCATCGACCTCGGCTGGTCCAACACGGGATTGGCGCAGTCGGTGTGTGTACGTACGTGTGTAATTTATGCACAGTATGTATACTTAGCTATACTTTATCCTCCAGCTTCTCTTTCTCTTGAGCCCGACCCAGCCAGAGCCAGTGGTGCCCCCCACCCCATCCACAAACGCGTCGTAATTGATTAGCATACTAGTACGTGAGCGAGTTGGACCGGGGAAGGAGCTCAGAGAAACAATCGAACCCGGTGGATGTCCTGGTACAATAGGGGGCGGCGGCACGGGACAAAGCATCTCTGAAGACATGGAGACGCCCGGAAAGGGAAAGTCACGCTGGGGGGTTTGATGATCCTTATCCCTGGCCTCGTTGCCGCCGGTATTCTAGCACGTTAGTTGGATGATTCTGTAGTGACTGCCTGGCTCGTGGCCGTATGGTGGATATTGATGATGCGCTGCGTCCTCGCTATGGGTATGTGGATATCTCGAAGCGTCAAACAAAGAGTAGAAAAGAATAGAATATGAAAAGAACAAGACTCGTGCCCCCTTGTGCCGCTCTGAAAGTACAAAAGTCTGTACATAGTCTCATAACTCGTCCAGCTTCCTCAGCCTGGGATCCTCTTCGCTGGTCTTTTCCTTCTCAGCCGACTCGCTATAACTGTCACTCTCATGCATGCCCGCCGGGACTTCAGGAAACGCCTTCTTCCTCTGGAAATTCCTCTCGGCGATTCCAGCCAGGATCTGCTTCACGTCCTCCGGCACGTTGGGTGCCACGACCTCCCTGTCCCAACTGAGGAGTACTCTTCTCTCCGCCTCGCCTCCACCACCGAGCCTAAGACTCTTGTTCCAACTGCCCTCGCCGTGCTGCCGAAGCCCAGCCTTCACAGGATCGCCCCGGAAATACCATTCCTTGCCAATGACGGCCGCGACGACCAGAATGACCACGCACGCAATCGTCCACCAGCACAGTCCCCAAACACGATCCCACGCCCGCCGGGACTTCTCTTCCCTGTTTTCCCACTCCTCGACCTTGAGCCGCGCGGCCTCCAGTCTAGCGGACAGTTCCGTGGCCCTTGCACTGGCCCGCGTGCCCCGCTCGGCCAACTTCTGCGCCCTGGCCTGTTGCGCATCGAATCCGTGCCGGAAACTCACGAGTCGACGCCGTGTATCTTCGGAGATCCTGCAATTTTCGCGGTCGAAATTGGAAATCAGTGTCCCGCTCTGTTGGGCCAGCGATTGGAAACTGCCGATCATGGACACCAGATTGCCGACCTTCTCGAGGAGGTTGTAGTAGCCATAATCTAGGCGTCTCGTGATTTCTACGCCTGTGGCGTTGATTTCTGATACCCGGGAGCAGAGTTCTTCCTCGCCGGCCTGGAGTTCCTGGTCGCGACGGAGAATGTCACTCTTCTTGACGTGGATGCGGCGGGCTATGCGGGCGGCGTGGCCTCTTTCCAGGGCCTCTTCTAGGGATGTCTTAGGCCGAAGCGGCGGTTGAGCTGCTGAACGGGAGAGGCTATCTCGTGAGGCCGGGTCAGAGGTCGCGCGGCGTCGTAGCTCGGGGACTCCGTCGGGGGAGTTATAGTCGTAGCGGCCACCGGGTCGGAAGTCGTTGGTTTGTGCGGCGGAGGGCCCAAACGGATGCTGGGTCTGTGCTTGTGTGAGTGTAGCGCCGCCGGGGCCGGGGCCGTGGCGGTTGGTGGACTTGCTGCCATTATGCGGGTTCCCTTGTTGCTGAGTACGGCGTTCACGTTCGGCATTCAAGCCGGCCACGAGGTGAGGGAGGGAGGAGAGGGGTTCTTTGGAGGCAAATCGACGAGGAGCGTGGGCTTCGGACTGGGTCGGGCGGTGCCGGCGGAAGGGGAGACTGTGCGCCGAGTCATTGTTCTGCGGGTGGGAGACGTTCGTGTGAGATTGAGTGTATCTGTGATGGCTTGACGTGTGGTCTTTCTCTTTATGGTGATGTCTATGCGAAGAGCCGGGCAGGTGTAATCGCGAGGCCGTCCGTTCCAAGGCATTCGTTGCCGAGGGTAACGTGTGTCCACTGCGTGGTCTGTCTTCTTGTCTAGATTCCGAGGGTGAGAGGTACGACTGGGACCGGACATGAGACGCACGTGTACCATGACCTTTCGACTCTGCAGTCCCGCGCGTCGTTAGAGGCGTGCCTACTTTGGAGGTATCGCTGTGGGAGCGAGAACGTGACAGACCCGGCCGCTCTCGAGTAGCAGCGGGAGGGGCCACGAGGGTCATGGGCTCGCCAAACATGGCGGCTTCGGCGTGGTGCTGTAACTAGTGCAACGGTAACATTTCAGGATATTGACCATATGCACCATGGAATGGAGAGAAGGTGCCTGGCTTTCTGGCAGGAGCACAGACTGACAAGCCGACGTCAATCAATGTATAGAGTCACGTGCGCACAAGGCTGAGGTTCATCGAGCAGGCTGGAGACGGGTGCAGTTCATAAAGTACGAAGTACATAGGTATCAATTGAACATCTTTGATTCGAGTACCCAGGAGACTGCAAGGCGCACGCTCAGACTTCGCAAAAAAGTCCAGTCGTTCCACGTTCCAGTATGCTTGTAATACCAATCGGTGTTCCAGTCTGTGCTATCAACATTCGCGTCACTTGACTCGCTTCATACACCCATTCTCATTGATCTCGTCAACTTCGCATGATCGGTAACATTTCACCTCTGGTGGGTGGTCGCTTATTCCGTCCGCTGGACTTGCAACAACACAAAGCTTTCATCTCCAACTTGCGTGGTTTGCGTAGTTGCTGGTGCGGCAGAGCTCGCCCACGTCATGAAGCTGTTGCAGAGCCATAGTCATCGGGCAGCATCTAGCCGCGGTCAATACTCGGCGCTACCCTCGTCTTCAGCTTCCAAGCTGTCGCTAGCAACTTCTTCGTAGTCCTTCTCCAGGGCTGCAAGGTCTTCTCGAGCTTCCGAAAACTCGCCTTCCTCCATACCCTCACCAACATACCAGTGCACGAAGGCTCGCTTCGAGTACATAAGATCAAACTTGTGGTCAAGTCGGCTCCAGGCTTCCGCAATTGCAGTAGTGTTGGAAAGCATGCTCACAGATCGGTCGACCTTAGCGAGTTCACCACCGGGAACAGGCATGGCTGAATAAGGGTTAGTTGCGGGAATTTGAAGAGTAGGGACGGAAGTCTTACGAGGTTGGTAGTTGATGCCGACCTTGAAACCAGTAGGGCACCAATCGACCAAGTGGAAGCTTGACTTGGCCTTGAGGGATGCAATGGCGGCATTGGCGTCGCGAGGCACGACATCACCACGGTAAAGTAGAGCAACAGCCATGTATTTTCCGTTGCGGGGGTCGCAGACTACCATTTGGTTGTTGGGCTCAAAGCACTGTAGAGTCAGGTCGTGGACCTTGAAGCTCTCATGAGACGATCGCTTGGTGGAAACAACGGGAGCGTAGCTAATGAGCGGATAGTGGATGCGAGGGTATGGCACTAAGTTGGTCTGGAATTCATTCAAGTCGACGTTCAAGGCACCATCAAAGCGTAGACTTGACGTCACGGAGGAGACGACCTGGGCAATGAGGCGGTTCAAGTGCTCGTAGTCAGGCCGTGGAATGTCCAGGTTGCGGCGGCAGATGTCGTAGACAGCCTCGTTATCAACCAAGAAGGTGCAGTCGGCGTGCTCGATGGTGCTGTGAGTAGAGAGGACGGCATTGTAGGGCTCGACCACGGATGAGGAGACTTGAGGGGCAGGGTAGACGGCAAACTCGAGCTTGCACTTCTTGCCATAGTCGACCGACAGTCTCTCAAGGAGAAGAGCGCCGAAGCCAGATCCGGTACCGCCGCCGAAGGAATGGAAGATCAAGAAGCCTTGAAGCGAGGAACAGTTGTCTAAAAGTAGGTGAGCTGGCCTGTTCCTGTTGGCGGCACTCCTGTCTCGCTCTCACCTGCAACGCGACGAACTTTGTCCAAGACGTCGTCGACGAGCTCCTTTCCAATGGTGTAATGACCGCGAGCGTAGTTGTTTGCCGCATCCTCTTTCCCACTGATCAAGAGTTCTGGGTGGAACAGTTGTCTGTATTGACCGGTTCTGATCTCGTCAATTGGGGAGGGGTCAAGGTCGACGAAGATGGAACGGGGAACGTGTTTGTTGTTGCTTGTCTCATTGAAGAAGGTCTCAAAAGCACCAGGGTCGCCGACTTGGGCATCCGGATCAGGACGACCATCGGCCTTCAGGCCGTGCTCGAGGAGGTAGCTGGCGGTGCGATTAGCAATCGGGTAAGTCGAAATGGCGGTGGGCGCGCTTCATACAGTTCCCAAGCGGCATTACCGAGCTGAGTGCCAGCCTGCCCAATATGCAGGTGGCAGACCTGTCAAGGAGTTGTTAGTATGCGTGTCCTTCTGGTCAAGGATGGCTATGGCGTCAAGGGGGGTGTGGTGTTGTTGTTTGTTGACTCAGGCCAGGCAGTGTGGAGGGGTACCAACCCAAAGGGCAGATCACTTACCTCACCGTGCATTCTGCTGAATTTGACAGATTAAGCACAATAAAAGTTGGAAGTTGAAGCAAGACAGGACACGATACAGACGTTGATAGCCTGTTCGTTGTTTGCGGATAGGCAGGACGAAGACAAACAGGTAACCAGGAAAGGTCGAGATCAAGATGCGCGGATTGTGAATTGGGCTCTGCTTGTGTATCACCTGCGATTGGCGCGTGCAGTTTTGGGGAAGGACGAAACAGGAATATTAGGTAAACACGCCAAGCCGAGCACCCCGAGAACGTGACTGGCCTCTGACGACTGCTTCACGGTCCCGTACCTGCAGCGAGCCGCTCTTTCGCACCACTTGTGCTTTGAACACAACGCGTTCTGTCCTCTTCATTTAGTGAAGACAAGGGCGTGGCTTGCGTCACATATATATTGGTTGAGGGGAATTTCAAAGGAGTCAGCCAGCTCTGATAGGAACAGCGGGTGGCATGCCCTTCCTTGTGTACGACAGAGCACGGGACGTGGCAAAGAGCTTTCTACGGCCAAAGAACACAGCTAGGGTTCCTGCTATGTTCCTTGCGAACCACTGTCACCTTCAAGACATGACTCCATGGTTGATAGGATCATCTGATATCTTTAGACAAGAGTATGAATTGTGCTTCCACCCTCGGGGTGCATAGCCATCATAATATTGTCGAGATTCGTGCCCAACCCCGGTCAGCGTTGAACGCATCTACTGAGAAGTTTCAACGACTCCCTCTCAAATTATTGATCTGTAGCGAGTATGACCGAAACCTGATCTTGATACTCCGTGATTTTGCACAGCTATGATCTTCAGGAGGTCAGCTTCTTGGTATTGGACTCCGCCGTCTGCTCTAATTGCACTCTGGCTGTTGATAATAAAGAAAGCAGCAAGTCGTAAGCTTCGGGAGACTAGCAGACGGGCGAGATGAAACAAGGCTTTATCACAATCGGCCGGCGGCCAACGGCGCGGCGCCACAACTGATAAGAGCCGCCGGTACTTTCGGCGAACAAAATCCCGACACCTACTCCGTACATAGCACGACCCTGCACGGCGTCTCGCACTGAGGAAATACGTACGACGATGAGAACTCGCAGCCAAGGAAGAGGAGAACAGCTTTTTCCAAAGATGTTAGAGGCCGAGTAAGCAAGGAAGCAACGTGCAGCAAGAGTAAGCGAGGTCATCTCATATCTACTCCGTACTCGGTCAGGCACTGGGCAGCTGAAGGTACTCCATAGCCGAAGCATCGCATTACAGGCGGAGAGCGAGTACACTAACCTCAACATGCACATGAAATTTCAGCTGGAAATCGCTTCTGATATTGGCGTTCCAGGCAGTGGTGCATGATTACTGGTTGTGCAAAGCTCCTCTCCGGGGTACACCTACCCGACTCTTTCAGAGAACTCGTAGAAGACGCTTACTCGGTCGCGATCACGCTGAGAGGGAGTTGTCTTTAAGTACGGAGTATCCGATCTGGATCTTTGCTGCATGAGTTTGTGTCCTGAAAGTTGAAACATGGCCGAGAAAATGATGCAACCGGGATCCGCAATGGCCACTCCACTTACCGGGAGTGAGGAGCGAAAGTTTTGGGCTTGAGCGGCTTTTTCAGGGGCGCTGTGAGCCTATCATGATTTGTCCGGGGCGCAGTTAGGCAGGCCCTCAAAGCTTCTGACCGCCCGCGTTCCACAAAAGGATTGGGCTTTGACCGTATCGAGTGCTCTTGGAAACCCACCAGGAGCACGTTGAGTGGGCATCCCTGTCAACCAGGCCCTCAACCGGCGACCTCTTTTCGTGCAGATGGCAAAAGTTACACGCGCCGAGTCGCATTTCAGCACCTGCATTTGCAGGTTGCATAAAATCGAGAGGAGCACGTCTGCGTCGAACCGGCCTCCGTTGGGCTTTCGTCACGCCTTTCATTGTATTCTCTCGTTCAGATAGGGACTCAAGGGCAATATTCATTCAGGTCATCGTCGTTCCATCTCCACGTCACATCCACGTTGGTCATTGCCTAATAACCGATCTCAGCGCCATCTCTGACCAGTTCATAGGTGCTCGCTCATCACCTCCACACTCGCTTTTGAGCCGCTGGCCGGCAACCCTTGACATTATCATTACTGACGGTCGGAAACGCTCTGGTTCCCTCTACCTCGCCCTCCAGGGTTGACCTCACTGTCACCGACGACCACCCACCATCATCATGACGACTCCACAGAAAGAGCTCCCTCAGTTCGAGTTTGACGCTGCGAGCAAAAGAGTCTCAGATGATGAAAGTACCGCGGTGGAAAATGAGAGGCATGACGGGTCTGTTGATAGTAAACTCCTGCACGACCGGCTGAAGGTGGAAACTCTACGTCGAGATACGGGTGGACGTTTTGAGGAGCCACGATCTCCGTCCAAGACACGAGAAGAGGCACACCGTCTTGAGGATGAGTTGGCTGTACAGAGGGCTGAAAGGCTCACCTCGAGAGAAACTCGCCAATCCGATGGGCGGCAGTCGACAGATCTACACCGTTCACGGTCACGGGCGCCGGAGCCGTTGGACGAATTCGATACAGCTACGAATCCGATCCACGAACGCACTGCCATCTACAAGCCGCCCGAGAATCCGAGTACCAAGATCTCCAAGTTTTTCAAGTACATTCACCACAGGAGCTTTGTCGTACGCTATTTTACATACATCGTCCCGGTCTTCGCGTTGCTCCTAATACCGATCTTGGTTGGTGCGTTCCTCCCAGCCGCAGAACATGCCAGTGTCGGAGGCGTGGAGCTCATATGGTTCGGTGTGTGGCTCGAGATCATATGGTTGACTCTCTGGGCTGGCCGGATCGTGGCTCGAATGATCCCATATCCCCTAGGCTTGATTTCGAGCCTGTTCACCAACAACTCGAAAAAATGGCGCGATTTAGGTAAAGCTTTGGAGCTACCCGCAACCATCTTCTTCTGGTGGCTCGGTGTAGAGATCTCGTTCTTGCCTACCATGATCAACCATCATGTCAACAACAGGAAGGCGACCAAGGACTGGGAGAGGACCCTCAACAAGGTCATCATCGCCATCTTTGTCGGGGCCACCCTCAACTTCATCGAGAAGATCATAATACAGCTGATCGCGATATCTTTCCACCTACGCACCTATGCCGACCGCATTGAGATCAACAAGTTTCAGATTGGGAGCTTGACGAAGCTGTACATCTACTCCAAGGCCAAGATCGCAATGGAAGACGAAGAATTCGAAGAGAAGAATGTTGAACCGGGGTCTGGCACCAAAACACCCGCCATCTACGCAGCCCAAGCTCAAGAAGCGATTACGAAGGCCTTCGCCAAGGTGGGCGACGTCGCCGGCACCGTTGCTGGTGATTTCACCGGCAAGAAGGTCGAGAAAAGTGGTCATCCTTCCCAAGTCGTCCTGACATTACTCCACTACACCAGTGGCTCTCAAGTGCTTGCCCGGCGTTTGTATCGTACATTCGTACGGGAAGGTGCAGAGACGGTCTCGTCGGACGACCTCAAGCTCGCATTTGACAACGATGACGAAGCCGAAGCAGCTTTCAGCATGTTCGACAAGGATATGAACGGCGATATCTCCATGGAAGAACTTGAAGCCGTTTGTGTTGAAATCGGCAGAGAACGCAAGTCAATTACCGCCTCACTTAAGGACCTCGACTCTGTTGTCAGCAAACTTGACGATGTCTTGTTCTTCATCGTCTGCGTCGTCACTATACTGGTCCTCATCTCCCTGATCTCAACATCGGCAGCCGGCGTCCTTACCTCTGCTGGTTCTGCAGTACTCGCCCTGTCTTGGCTGTTTTCCGCCACAGCGCAAGAGTTCTTGCAATCGTGCGTTTTCGTCTTTGTCAAGCATCCTTTTGACGTTGGAGACCGAGTCTCTATCTACGGTAATACTGGGTCCTCGTTAAAAGGCGACGACTACTTTGTCAAGGAGATCTCGCTGCTCTATACCGAATTCAAGAAAATGGAGGGCCACGTTGTCCAGGCGCCAAACTCCTATCTCAATACCCTTTTCATCCTCAACATGCGCCGCTCTGGAGGTCTTGCCGAAGCTGTGCCTATCGTCATTAGGTTTGGCACCACGTTGGACCAGATCGAAGCGCTGCGCAATTCCCTGCTCGAATTTGTCCGGTCGGAGAAGCGTGAGTATCAGGGTAATATCCTTACCGAACTCCGTGAGGTAACTGAGGCGTACTCCTTGACTCTTAATGTGGTCTTCTTCTACAAATCGAACTGGCAAAACGAACTGCTTCGTCTCCAGAGAAGGAATAAATTCATTTGTGCTATGATGGTGGCCATGCAGGAGCTCGGCATTGAAGGTCCACGCCGCAACCAAGCTGGTTGGAGACCAGACGTACCCTACTTTATGCAACTGCCTCCCGGGGCACCTCCCTTAGTTGGTGGTGGTAATGGGGTCAACGACACGAATGGTGGCCACCCACCGGGCATCATCACAGGCGATCCAATACAGCAAACGCCCGCCGTTGGGGTACCACCGATGCAGTATCCTTCGATCTTGCGACGACGCCCCAGTACGGGTCAACTCGGTCGACCAAGAGGTGAGTCGCTATCATCCATGGCTAAGAGAGTGGACTTCTCGTTAGGGATGAGGGATGTCAGCTCCGGCGAGCAGTTGTCGGATGTGTACGAGGATCGCGACCGTTCACAATTCAGAGAGATCATCCAGGAATCCAACAGGATTGAAGACGAACGTCGAGTTTCTGAGTCAAGAGATCGGGAGGGCGCCGCTAGGTCGACTTCTCGTGACGTGGGGAACACGATGACCGGTATTCTACGCAGATCAACGACACAGAGTTTCGGTGGCGGCAACAACCATCGGGCAGCATTAAGGGAGGGCGGACCGCATCGGGCATCTGTCAGCAGCACTGATACCCACCGGAACCGGTTTTTGAACCGTTTCAACCGAGGCGGCCGCAGTATGGATCAACCCCGCGAGTCTCTTGCTGAAGAAGGCCATGCGCCGCCCATGCCACTTGTACCGCCGAATATCGATGCCAGATCTGGACAGGTCAGCTCTCAGGCGGTGCGCAATGATTCCAGTGCGTCTGGCGGCGAGAACGTGCCATTCCCCGCATTGGCGCCCGCGAGCAGCAGAATTGAAGATTTTGGGTTCAGGCCGCTGGGAGAGAGCTCCTCTAGCCAGCTGCGATGATCCATTGCAAGGCTAACGTCGTTGAGGAAGTGGTGCCTTTTTTGATTTCTTCTGACAAACAAAAGTTAATTGTGTTAGGGAGGGTTTGGGGTCCATCGGGACAGAATCAGTGGCTCTCGCCCTGTCGGCGTTGTAATTCCACTTCCTTCCTGGAAATGTTTAGATCTACGAAGTAGTCTGAATTGGCTGCGAGATAACGAAGATAGACTTAGAGCTAACGAACTAAGGGCGTGGCCGCTTGGTGAAAGACAAAGGCCTTGGGACGAGACACAATACATATTGTATGGTCGAATATGAGTACTTTGTTTCTTGGGTCACCAATGTTTATCCTGAAATGGAGAGGTGCGCTACGCCAATCCGCTTCCGCCCTAGAGTAGCTTCGGCTGACACATTCTGACTTTCTCCTTGCTCTCTCCCCATAGCTCACCAACAATCTAATTAAAGCAATCATCGCTTTCGGATGAGCTGCCGCGTGCGTCCCATCACCCCAACTCCCACTGCCTCCCACCCAACACTGCAATAGCAGCTCCTTCGTGGCTCGATTTCAGTGCTCCCAGATCCTGTCCAGCTCATCGCCATGCCCCGCGTGCACAGCACCACGACATGCTCGGCCAGCCCGTCAGACCCGTAGTGAACTGTGGAGAATTCTGAACCCCAGCAGCTTTGGCCTTCAGTTCGTCGACATCCCAGTCCGGCCATGCGAGTTCGCTCTTGGGGGATTTAGCCTGCGGACCGCTCAGCCGGACTACGAAAGAGGCTGCTAGTTCCCCTACGCAAGACATGTCAGCAGGGTCAGGTAATTACAAGCTGAGAGCAATCACTCAAGCGTGTCTATGGGTGTTATGCCCCATGCTTCCAGTCCAAGTCACTCAGGATGATACCGGGTGCATGCTTCGCGTTCAAATCACTCATGATGATACCCGGATGAAGACTAACAATGCGCATTTCCGGATGCTCGTCTTGCAGGAAGTCGAAAATCCTCAAGGCGGCAAGCTTGCTGCTGCCATAGGCTGAAAGTCCCGACACCATAGCAGTCGGTGCATGTGCTACAGCCGTGGACATGTTGACCATTGTGGCGTCCCGGTGGGAGAGCCAGGGCCAGTAATGCGCGAATAGAATCGAGGGGCCCAAGACTGCTGACTTCGAAGGAGGTCCACCACTATTCGGGTTCCGTGGATGCTATTGGGCCCAGTGAAGCGAGGTGGCCGTCGTTGTGGACGAGGATATCGACTGGGTTGTCCGCTTGTTGACGAATCTGCTTGAACGCGTACTCTAAGCTTGAGAAGGAAGAGATATCCCCCGTGACAGCGACGGGTTTCGTGCCCGGGTCTTGGCCTTTGAGTTTCGAAGTTGTCTCGTTCAGTGTCTTTGGAGTGCGTCTAGCTATACCGAGGTGGCCGGCTCCAGCTGTCCCGAGGGCCCTGACCGTTGCGAAGCCGATCGTGCCACCGCCGCCTGAGACGACCACGGATCTACCTTTTAGAGAGAGTTCAGGGCGAGAAGGGTCAATGGCTGGGTAGGCATCTGCATGCCAGCTCTTGACTGGGGCGGGGAAAGGTGGTGTCGCCCATTGTTCTGGGAGTTTCAAGGTCTTTTGGGGACTAATAAGGACAGTGTGGAAGTTCGAAAGAACTTCGTGGCCTGGATACCTACCTACCTGCTAGGTGAGCTTCTTACCGTATAAGTACCTTGTGATGCTGACAAAATGCCTTAGGGATAATGAACTCCAAGGTCTTCTGTGCTCATATGCATCGGCAGTGGGGCTGTGGTCATCAAGTTGCAGCTAGGTATACGTGCTTGCATTCAGAATCTACAAATATGGCAGTGGGCACGGCCATATAATCTCTAGTTTTGCCGCTCTACAAATCATATGTGGTATAGCGCACACCGTGCCGGGTCCTGGCACCGCGAGGCAGCCTTACGACACACAGAGATGGATTAGACTGGTAAGTGAAAAGTTTACCATTGAGACCTCAGTCCGGGTTGTGGATGCCCTGTAACAGCACGCGATCAGTGCTGATATGGCTGACGGACAATATAACGACCTTCACGGAATGCAGATTCATCTGGACACGAAAGCCGAGGTTTGGGTGAATTCATCCAGAGGGCATTATCCAGGACCCGTGCGGCGAAGTTCATGAATTGCAGATTGATCTGAGCACCAAGCTGATGTTTGTGTGAATTCCTCCACAAGTCATATGGGGGAAGTATGAGGCCAGTTCAATATCAGGCAACTCCTCGTTGACTGGAGGTCTCTTACGCTCTTTTGTGCTTCGGTTCAGTGCACGGTGAGAGATGAATGAGCTGTATGTGACTGTCAACATGGAGGACACACCTTACTTGTCAGCGGAAGATGAGTCTGTGTGGTGAATGCAAAGTTGTCACGCTGGATGAGGCGTGAAGCCAGCCTACTCAGTCCTGTAAGTGAATCTCATGGTCAGTGACATGCCTCTGCCAAGCGCACGTCGCTGTCGCCAATATTCTTCGTCTATAAGTACCACCTTCTTCCGCGCCTACAAACTTCCTTGATCCCTCTCGCCTCTTCGTCCTCCACCACTTCTCTTTCTCACCTTTGTCCTCGCTCTCACTACATCTGGGCAAAGTCCTCCACTACTCTCAATACTCTTCACCTCCTTGCTCGTGCTTTCCAACGACAACTGTCTCTGCCGCCGACATGGTCAAGCTCAAGGGTAAGTGGTAACGAGACTTCATTTTGAACGATGACGGAAGCTGGAGATGTTCGAAGCTGACTCTGATTGCTTTGTGCAGGCTGGCTGATGGGCTCGTTCTCGATCTGGCTTGCGCTCATCGTCTCTCTGTTCTCGGGTCTTCTCTCTGCTGGTCCTGTCCGCCGTGATGACTTGCTGACGACACCCGCACCCCATGGTTTCTCCTCTGTCGGTGTGCACTCTCTGTCTGTCACCCGGTCCAGTCATAACGGTCCTCACCACGGTCCTCACGGCCATTTCCCACCACACGCCACCTTTAGTCATGCACCACACGCCGCCCCTACTCATGATGTCAAGCTTGAGGCTCCCGGCACACCCCAGCTCACCAATCTGGATGTGGATCTGAACAACTACGCGATCAACTGCAATAAAATCAGAAGGACGCTGACGACTGTGCTAAGAAGGGTTTCTCTTGCAGCAGCAATGGTGTACTTTCGACCGCTCATCGGGTGGAGGACATCTTCTGCCGAGCCTCTTGCCGGTGCAATGTCTCTCAAGCAAAAGCTCTCTCTGACAGCACCCTTGACTCCACCACAATTGTTGAGAAGCGCGAAGCAGAACCCAGCCCTGATCACGCAATCCCGGCACCGGCGGAGAAGCGCGAAGCGCTCATCCATGATTACGCCATTGTCTGCTACGAGAATAGGGCCACAACCTCTGCCTGCGGTAAGGCTCCCTGGCTCTACACATGCAACGCCAATGGCAAGGTTGTCAGAGCCAGATATTTCGAGCTCTGCGAGATTACTTGCACATGCGTCAACCTCTACCCTCGGCCGAAATGCCCCATCTCACACGATGTGAGAGTGAAATGTGACTTGGTGGACAACACTATCTATGACGACAACGGCACTGTCCTAGGCAGTTCAACCGACGCCGTCGTACAACCAAACGGCACATACGATCTGACCAAGCTGTTTGCTCACGATTCGAACGTTGGCGACAAGTCTGAAACGGCGACAATCCCGGCATCAAGCACAGTAACCCACTCGCCTGTCCTTGCTGCAACCCCTACGAACAAAGCAGCGAAGGTGTCGATCCCAGTTGTGACAAAAGTGTCGGCTGTCCCTACCACTACGCCACCAAACACTCTGAACTTCTCAACACCAACCCTCTTGCCACATGAGAATGCCGCACGGTCCGAACCTGAAGTCACCTTGCAGTCTCTGGCCACTGCCAGCAGATTCGACGTGCAGTGCGCGGCTGACGGCAAATTCAGCCAATCCTTGACCGACCGCTGCATGGCTGCGCATTATACTTGTCTCCGGATTCCGATCTACCCGCTGGCTATGTTGCATCATACAGGCATCCCGGACCCGGAGTGCTCTGCTCAGTGCAAATGCCCGGACTCATTCCCCAAGGGCATCCTCGCAGACACTACAAATACGGTCCATCCGAAGCCCTTTCACCCGGCCAGAAGTGACACTGTCCAGTCTTCCGACAAGTACAAACTCAGCTGCGGCAACCGCAACGATGGTCCTGAGTTATGCGGTAGCGCCGACCTGGGCTACTTCTGCACCGCCAATATGACGGTGGCACGCAACACCACTGTGCCCGACAACGACGCTAACTGGTGTGACGCCTCGTGCAGCTGCATTTTCGCCGAAGCAGTGCCTTGCATCAATATGTGGGGTGTCCCACGCTGTCGCGAACTGATTGACGGCACAGTCCGCGACGCCAACAATCTGCTGATCGTCCTGGCATACACAGGCAGTGTGACTGTGCTGGCAAACGGTACGCTCGTGATTGACAGATACCAAGGTGGATATTTCCCGTTTGTCGCGGCCGAAAGCGGCTTTTTGCACGATGGCAATGGTACCAGCGTGGTATTCCCTGCGTCAAGTTGGAACGGCACCGGAAGCGTCCAAGGCGAGTCGCGACCTTGAAATGGCGTGTTATCAGGCGTTTCGACTCATGTACTCTTCCTTGAAAAGACACAGCACACGCGTCCACGAAGACTTCACCGAAAGGAACTCTACACTTCTATTGTTTGTTTACAGTTGGGAAGCGTCCTACTCTCAGGGGAGCACAGTAACCATCTCATCAATGCCTGAGCGGGTTGGTTGATGTGGCTCACATGATGAAGGTGAAGCGACCATCATGCTCTTGGGAGATAGCATAGACCAGTTGAAAAACGCTCCAGAGCATAGTCTTGGACACGGCAAAATGAACATGAGAAATGAAGTCTCAGAGATCCAAAGCGTTCCGTGCCTCGTAGATCTCGGCAAGTGACGGAAACGTCAAGTCTCGCACTGCTCTGTCTGTCTGCTTCCTGACGGCTCAAGTGTAGACTGAAGTGTAGACTGAAGTGTAGACTGAAGTGTAGACTATATAGCACGACCTAGATTCCCCAGCCATCCTGTTTACTTAGGCCAACAAGCCCTTATGCCTAATGGCGTAGACCATTCGTTTTCTGCCACTCGATCATCTCATCTCATCTCGCCTCGCCCCACCCATCTCCGGAATGGCCTCACTCCCTTCGATTTGGCTACCTCGCACTGGCCATCTCCGGAATCGGCCTCAACCCCCTCGCCTGCTCGAGCACGGACTCCTCCGTCTGCGTCCTGTCCTCATACTCCCTCCCCGCGTCCCTCAGACGCTTGGCCTCCTCCTCCATCCACCTCGCCTGGACCCTCAACCGTTCCGGGACAACGCGCCTCCTCTGGCCCGTGACTTTCCACCCCCTGAGCGCCTCCTGCCCGCCGAGATCCTGGATCGTCTTGAGCTCGACGAGCGAGTACCCCTCCGCCTCCACGCCCTCGCCGGCTCGGGCCCGGTCCTCGCGGTCAAACTTGAACGGCTCGACCAGCGAGACGGGCGGATTCGTAATGACGCGCGGCAGGCGGCGGCCGTTCTTGGAGGCGGTGTGCAGCGTCAACGGGTGCAGGAGGATGACGTCGCCTTGGTGGCCGGTCATTTCGTGGAAGGATTCCGGCGAGCAGGATTGGATGGTGTTGTTGAAGAAGGCGAGGCCCGGGTCCGTTGTCTCGGTGTCGGAGTCGGAAGTAACGGGCGTCATTTTCGGGGTTACGCCTTCCGGGTGGTCGTACTGCAAGAGACAGCGTCAGTAGTTGGTCGGTAACTAGAGGTTTTCAAGTTCACGGTGCGGGCGTCGGTATTAGCCCAGACAGTAGATGTTTCGGGTCCACGATGTCTGTGTCTGTCTGTCTGTCTGTCTGTCTGTGAAGGCGGTACGGCGTGCATACTTGAAAGCGTCGAAAATAAGATCCAGGATCGCAAGCGTGTCAGGGATCAACCACGCCCAGGATATTCCATAATTCATTAGTGACTTACCAAATGCTTGCCTATCCTCGCGGGTCCTTCACTGCAGATCCACGTCCCTCCGCCGTTGGGGAGGATGTCCGTGAACAGGGGGATCACCAGGAGCGCCTGCTCCGGCGAGTCGAGGAAGTGGATGAAGAAATCGCCTGGAGACGTAAGTAAGTACCCAACACATGGAAAGACGTCGACGCATCCTTGGATGCCTGACTGTACGCCCAAACACACACGTTACTCACCATCGACATGCCAGCCATCCAACTCCTTAGGATCGTACTCCTTGCCCTCATTCTCGGGCGTCCCCAGATTCACGATAAACGAATCACTCCACGTCTTGCTCATCTCCGTAACCCGCTCCTCCCCGCCAACTAGATCACAGATGGCGTCCCACGCCTTGGGCGCAAACTCGGGCACCTGTAGCCGGCGGTGTTCGGGCATGTTGGTCCGTTCGCGCGTCCACGTCGTCTTGTCACTGGGATCCATGCCTAGGCGCGTCCAGACATCTTTGGTCCATTCGTCGGAGGCTTGTTTGGTGAAGCATTGCTCGATCACGACGTAGCCGTGGCGCATGAAGTGGGTGACTTGGTCGGGGGTTAGGACTTTGTAGCCCGGCGAGGGCGTCGAGCTAGTCTTGTGTCCAGCCATGGTTGGTGTGTGGGTGTCTGGAAGGAGCTTGGACTGTGGATTGTGGCTCGTTCGCTTAGGTGACTACAGTAAGTAAGGGGGCGAGTGCTGCGTAGGTAATGAAAGCCACAAGGCAGTGGAAAGGTCAAAGGTATAAGAGAGCTGTATCTTATGTACTTCTGTGGTGGTGGGCGGCGCCGTTCAAATCTGGGGTCCTTGGGGATAACATCAAGGGATCATCCATTACTGTCCCTTGTTCTGTGGAGATATGAGACCCTGCGGCAAACAAGGATGCTCTTCTCTGATTCATGGAGAACAATCAAGTCGCTGCCTTGGGCTCACCCTTGACGCGCAATTGGTCAGATAGATTTTGGGGGGAGTGCGTACGAGCTTTCGGCAAACCCTCGTCTGTGATTGTTCGGAACCCTTTCCGAGCGCGTCTTCTGCCTGATATGTTGTCTACAAATGCATCAACGACCAGCCGATGTTCTGCCAACGGTCGTAACTTACAGGTTCGTGATGATCAATTTAGCCGTCTGGCAGTGAATACAATCGAGGTTTAACCGACGAGCCTATGAGCGTGAAAGAATGGGGTGACGGGGTGAAAAGAGTATGAGTTCGTGCTGCAGCCGTACGGAGTATGTACGGACTACTTTCCCGCTTCCCCGACACGTACTCCGTACCGGGCATATCCTTCAAGATATCGAGCATCAATACGTACTCCCTACCATCGCTAAGAACGTCCAGTGCTTGTCATCTACCAGTCGTCATCCTCGTCCTTGTCCTTGTCCCTGCCACCCATGGCACTCTGCCTCGCCCTCAACGCTTCCGCTAAGCCACCTGCAAGACTGCCGCCCCCAATGCTGCTAGGAGTGGCGCGCCCTGAATTCGTCCCACTGTTGGTGCCTAGACTCATCGCGCTATCTCTAGCGGGAGACGCGTCCGGTTTTCTCGCTACTGGCCGTTTGGCTGGTGGTGCTGGCGGGGTTGCTTTGGCCCGAGCAGCCACGGGTGGAGCTGCGGGTTTGGCGTGCCCTCCGTTGACCACAACCGATGGCGTTGGTACCGCCCGAGGGGGCGCAGCTGCTGGTGGTGGTGGTGGAGGCGGCGCACGCGCTTGCTCAATTTCCTCCACATATGCTGACGGAGTCCAGCCTTGCGCATCGGTGCGAGGGTTCTTGCAGAGCCACCAGCCTACATTAATTTTAGTCTGTATGACACAACTTCAAAATCTTGATTGACATACCATTGTTCTCCTTTTGCAGAATCTCGATGACCTCTCCTGCCTTGATCGATAGTTCATTAGCATTGGGCGAGTTGAAGTCGTATTTGACCTTGGCTTGCGGCTTCGACGGCACAGCTGCCGGAGCTGCTGCTGGTGGAGGGGGTGGAGGCGGAGGAGGCGCAGCTCGTCCGAATGAGGATGCCGATTCGTTTCGTGCATGCGACGTGGCGCCGTTTATATGTGTAGGGGTGGTATGACTTGCGGCAGGCGTAGGCACTGCCCGTGGTTGAGCTGCAGAAGAAACAGGGACCGCGCGGGGTTGAGCCGCTACTGGTCTGGCAGCGGGCACAGGACGTCTAGCAGCTGTCTTTGAAGGCTGGCCGCCTGGTCCACCAGGCCGGAGCAGCTTGCCACTTGTGATAGGCTTGGCAATTGCTTTGCCGCGTGGAGTGGGTCTTGAGACTGAAGTGGGCGATTCTCCTGGTCCGACGTGAATGGTACCTGATTTGTAAACATCGTCTCGCGGAACGGCAGGATCCTTTTGGACTTTGACCACTGCGGGTTTGTTCGGCTTCTTGTTGTAGTCAATCTGAGGTCCAATCTTCAAGTTCATTCCACCAACCGCGACCGTCTTGAACTGCAGGAAGAATTCGGTCTTGAAGACGCAGTTGATCAGCGGATCTGGTTCTTGAGCGGATCCGACGCCGAGAGCAAACCAGTCGTCACGCAAGTTCGAGCACGAGATGTACTTGACGGCGCCGATAGGAATTGTCCTCTCTGCTGAGATTTGGAGCTGGTTGTTCACAACGGCTTGGACAATGATGTAGACAGCCTTCGGGGTCAACACGAGAATCCGCGGCATTCGTTGCGACGATCGTCCGAATTTGGTGACCAGTAACTCGCATCGGGCGGAGAAGATAACCCGTTCCTGGGGGTTAAGGTGGACCGAATCCCTGAGCACTCGGCCCTGACCACCTGGCATGTTCATACCAAGATAATCACCGAAGAAGCGCCTTGAGCCAAGCAAGCTGTATCTGCGTCGTTCTTTGCGGCCGGCAAGGAGTCGGTGCCCTTGATCTCTGAACTCAATCTCCTTGACGCCAATCTTTGACTTGCGCCAGAACCTTTGGATCCTCGTGGCGGCTTCGGCGCGGTATCTGAGGTAGTTCCGCCAAGCACGCTGAATACGGACTGCCATGTTGTGCCAATATCGATCTCGCATATGCTCGAGGCCAAACAACGTCTCCGGAGTCTTGATGAAGGCTTTGGTAACACCCATCTGATATTCCTCTTTGGGAATGCTTGTGTCTTTGAAAATGATTTCCGAAGCGGTTCTGACATCTCCCGTGTAAGTGTATTCCCCGGCATAGGATAGTTTGGGTGAGAGCAGAGCAAATCTTTCGACAAATTTGTCGAATGTTTGACGATAAGCGAAACCGGCTCTTCGGATGCGAACGTTTTCTTGTAGACCCAGATACTTGATCTGGTGGAGCACGTTCGGTTCGTTGTATTCCTTGGGTGACTTGTTCTCGTTGGGCTTGATGGTTCGAATATACGAAGGTTGCGCTTGCATTAGGGTGTCGACCAGCTCGTTTGCGGATGCTTTGATCTTGTCACCGGCTGTGGGAGGCCGTCGCTTGTCATCTTGGTCGACCTGATTTGGGAATAGCTCGTGGACGAAAGTGTTTGAGCTCGCGCCGACCAGGTTCAGCAGATCCTTCAATAGCTGGTCCTTGTTCTTGTCTGTCATGCCCGCGACTTGATAGCTCACATCACCTGCGTAATGCTTGATGATGAATTGGCCTTGTCGGTTCTCGAAGTTGGGATTGTTGGAGAGGAAATTGAGACGCCCAACGAAGGTTTGGTCGGCGGCACCTGAATCCGCATGTGCGGTTGCGCAGGCGTCGTTGAGAGCAGCAAACACACCCGGTGGTCGCTTGTCTTCGATCAAGGAGCAGACGACTTTGTTGTCAAAGTACTTGATAGGGGTCCATTGAATTTGCTCTCGCTCATATTCCTCTTGTTCAGACTTCAGGGTCAATTGAATGAAGATCTGCTGCAGTTTCTCGTTGACGTAGTTGATGCATAGCTGCTCGAAAGAATTCTTCTCGAAGATTTCAAAGCCGTAGATATCGAGAATACCAATGGTGTTCTTCACCACCCCCTGCGATCGTAACGAGACGTTGGTTCGGTTTACGATCCAGTCAAACAAGTTGAAGTAGATGGCTTTGGCGAGAGCATCTCGGACAGCGCCAGCCTGTACCGGGTTCAGCGGAGACTCGTAGATGGAACCTCGGCGTCCTCCACCTCGAGCGGTTTCCACAATCCTAACGGTCAATGCTTTGTTAACATGTGCAGACTCGACTTCTAGCAGGTACGCGACGAAATCGACGACCGACTGGTCTGCAATGTCCACGCCTCCCTGGTCGTTTTCTCGGAAGGTGATATTTCCGATCCATAGAATTGCCGCAAGAAGGCGAAAGATGTTGTCCTGTTCAGCCTGTGTCAGACCAATAATCTGCATGGCTTGCAGCGTTTCCCGGAAGTCGCTCGCATCGTCGATCCCCGGCACGTCGAAGCACTTTGATTTGCTTGTGTAGAGGTATGATTGAGGCTGCTGAATGCCGTACGTATCCCTATACTCTTTTGGTGCGGCTTTTGTGAACTGGTAGAAGATGTGGAAGTTCCTCTCGTTTGTGATCTGTCCTACCACTCTGGTCTTCTCCAGTAGGTAGTTGGTGACCTTGGCCCCCACGGGCTCGCCTTGCTCGTTGAACTCGAGTTCGAGGTACTTTCCGAAACGCGAGGAATTGTTATTGCGCAGGGTTTTGGCGTTACCGAACGATTCGAGGAGAGGGTTGGTGGCTAGGACCATGTCCTTCGTCCGCTGAATCCGAGAGTCGGTGCCTCCGGATACGCTTGCAATGTATTGCATGAGGCGTTTGGCCGCCTCGGTCTTGCCTGCGCCCGACTCGCCAGAGATAATGACACACTGATTGTCCTTGTAGGCTTTCATGTTGTAGTAGGCTGACTCGGCGACCGCAAAGACGTGGGGAGGCACCTCGAGACGGTTCCGCCCTTGATATGATCGCAGGACTTGGTCGGTGTAGATCCCCAGGTCCCGGAAGGGGTTGACCGACACCAGCACATGGCCGATGTAGGTGTATATCTCGCCATGCTCGAAGCGCTTCTTGAGGTTGTCGTTGATGGCTTCATTGGAGACCTTGCTAAGCAATGTGAGATCTGAAACGCCCACTTCTTTCTTCTTTGTGATCTCAAACGTGGCCTTTTTGATCTGCGTCTGCCCGGAATCGGCCTGGGCTGACCTCCCGCCGCCGAAGAGTGAGGCTTTCGGTACACGGGATGTCTTTCCTTCGCGGCGCTTGGTTTGACCCTGTGCGTTGACCGTGAGTATATGTAGCACGAGCGCTCATAGTGGGGCACTGACCATGATTAGGACATGCGCGCGTAGAGGTGAGTGAGATCAGAGAGCGTCGGAAGCAATCGTAGGACGAACATGCACTTTGTCTTGGAGCAAGTGCGACGGTGTATGTAAAAGCGAAGAATTACAAGATCAGAGCTTAGAGGCCTTGTGTTGGCCACGATCAGATTTCAGATTTCACGAAGGGGCTGTAACATGTTTCTACATGCTTGCTGGGTTGCGACCGCTCAGGGTTGACTATGACATACAAACGGCGCTACAGCGGAGCCTGGCGGTTAGGCAGACCTGCTCTTCAGCCGCCGCTCACGATTACACAGTACTGTACGGTCTCCATTGCCACAATTGCGCCATGTGGCTGTGAGGCTACTAACACGCAATGCAGGGCTTAATTGATGATCCGTCATCACGCTTGGCTCCAGGCACCCGCAATGCCGAGAAAGGCACCGGTCCCTTTGCGGTGGGATTTTCAGTCTATGGTCAGTCTTTGATAATTCGTGGTATCTATCAATAACGTGTATATCATGTGAAAGCACGTCCGACGCAAGCACTTTACTGCAGACATGATTGAGCTTGTCTGGGGGTGAAGTTGAATGAGACCAACATCGACGGCTCGTAGAAGAGGTTCTTGATATTCCTCTGGCTTCCTTCACTTGTGCTACTGTATCTGCCATCTTTTGTCCCCTTAGTGGTTGACGACCTAATCTTCTCCCTGGAAATCAACGATATGCTTGGTGGGAACAGGCGCAAGGCACCTAGCGGTGCAGCGAAGGCAGGACACCTTCTGTTGACAGCGTGAGAAGAGCCCGCACTGGTGGGAAAGCTAGAAGTAACCTGAATATTGTCAAAGATGGGCAACTGATATGGGGATCGAGCTGTACTTGCCAACTCCGCAGGCGGAAGTATCCGCTCAAGACAGTACCGTGACCGGAGTTGCTATCAACTAGCACGACGCCAAGGTACTCATTGTCTTGCTTTCGATTTGCGCGAGATCTTCGGACACGCTCCTGGTGTAAGATCGAGGAGCCGAAAGTCCACAACAAGAGGATGTTGATCATTGGTGAAGAACGGTTCTTCGAGAAGGGCAATGATAGGTCGCACACGCACACGGTGTCTTCTGGTAAGTCTTGTCAGCATATCCTTGCAGTGCGATGCTTATTGGTACCTTGGAAGTCATCTGAGTTTCAAGCAAGAAGAGCAGGCCCCAGCGTAGCCATTTTGGTCGGGAACGAAGGTCCTGGATAATCTGGTTCGAAGCATATTCCAATGTTATGATGTGGAGTATATTTTGTGACAATGTAAATGTACAGTGATGAGTTGCGACTCCCGATCAACCTCATTTTTGTGCCGAGCTCGCACACGCCCTGCAAACACCCCCGCTCCCTGGACGAGACTCTTACTGCGTGGGACCTTGCGAAGAGGTTTCCTTGTCCCGTGGATCAAGAGCCTGCTGCTGCTTGCGTTTCTCTTCGAGTGCCTTATCAGACTGTTTGAGAATCTTCTCTGCGGGCCCAGGCTCGTTCTTTGCAAGTGAATCCTTCGCTTCCTTATCTTCCTGTTCCGGCGAGACAAGGGATTTGATTCGAGACCACCAACTGACAGGCTTTTCTTCCTCCTCCACCCTTTCTTCGTATATCTCCTTCGGTAGTATTCTTGCGGGTGCGTGGGGTCTGCCGTTCTTCTCTTTTGCCCTCAGGCGAAGGACCTCTCTCTCCAGCTCAACCAACGCTAACCGCGCCGCCTTTTCAGATTCTTCTAGCTCAGCCAACCTCTCGGCCACGTCGTTCCTTCGTTGATTCGTCTTGCGACCTTGCCGCCATGACTCAAACAATATCAAACTAGCCGCAACACCGAAGAGAAAGGCTTCGCTTATAAAATTGGCGCCCGTCTCAATTGCTTTGGCTTCGGAAAGAGGTCTGATCTTGGGCTTTGGACGGGGCTTGGGAGCTTCGTGTCCTTCCTTCGCAGCTTTTGCGGCAGCTTCCTCGTCGGCCTTTGTCTGGGCTTCGGTTTTGACTGTAGGAACATTGCCATGCTTGTGCTTCTTGGCGGCATCAGCAGCCGCATCTTTAGCGACCTGTCTCTCAATGGCAGCTGCATCTTGGAGAAGACCTATCCGCCATCGCATGTCAACTCTGTGCAGGGTCTGGGCGAAGGAGATGCAGGTCCGGCGGAAGCCCTCATGTTCACGAGCTTGTCTTTTGATGTAGTTCTTTACGTGTCAGTAGAACCTTTCCTGGTAGCCTTGCAGAGACACTCACAGCTATTGGTTTGGACAAAGTACGGACGGCAAGAGACGTGAATTTTAGAGCCAGCGACATGTTCAGACAAAGTCCTCAATTGGTGGAGTAGCCGCCATCAACACACGTTCGGAGCCACAGCTGGCCTTAGGCTGGCGCGGCCATTATACAATGCTCTCCCATCATCTTCTGGCTGACTTTGAGTCACCAGCTGCAGATGATTGTGAAAGCCACCGCCTAGGTGCAAGTTTGGGTTGGGTTCGCTTAGGCGTAAATCAGCCCGGAGCCGACGGCGGCTTTAACGGGCGTGCCCCTCACCCGACGACTACAGGCACGTGACCAAGCACTGCGCAAACGGCCCGTTTCCAAACTTGGCCTAGTGAATGTTTACTTTCTGCCTCTTTTCGTCCTGGTCTGCGTGCCGCTTGCGTTTGATCTTCATCCATCTCCTAGCTGGCCACTCGACTGTTAAGAGGCGCTGACAGGCGCTTTCTGCCTATTCACGCCCCTAGTACCTGCTATGGAGGTTCTTTCGCCTCGATCAGTGAATCTCCCCATGGCCCCTCCACAGGCCACCAAGAAAACCAAAGCAGAGTCAAGACCAAAGCCCGAAGAAAAGCCAACAAATCCGGACCGCATAGACGACAGATGGAGACCGCCAACCTCGATCACAGAGCCTGGCTCATCCCCAGAGACGTACATCATGGGTAGGAAATTGGGAAAAGGAGGGTTCGCGGTCTGCTTTGAAGGAAAGTCGAAAACAACATCCGAAGTATTTGCTTTGAAAGTCGTCAAGGCCAAAGTAGAGCAGAAGAAGATGATGGAGAAATTCCGGACGGAACTACAGATTCATGCGAAGATGCACCATCCCAACATTGTCGAGTTCCTCCGTGCTTTCACCATTGACGAGCACACCTACGTCGTTCTTCAGATGTGTCCCAATGGAAGTCTGACCGAAATGGTCAAGGTCCGCGCGTGCCTGAGTCTGCCCGAAGTCCGGCGATACATGATTCAGATCTGTGGAGGAGTGAAATACATGCATAAACGATCGGTTATTCACCGAGACCTGAAAATGGGCAACATCTTCCTGGATGCTCGAATGAATATCAAGATTGGGGATTTTGGTTTGGCCGCAGTCATGGCAGATGAGCACGATCGCCGCACAACTCTGTGCGGCACACCCAACTACATTGCCCCCGAGATTCTGAGCAAATCTAGCAATCGTGGTCACGACAACAAAGTGGACACGTGGGCGATTGGAGTCATCTGCTATGCGATGCTTGTGGGGACTCCTCCCTTCCAGTCGAAAACTCAGCAGGAAATTTATACCAAGCTCAGGACTCTAGAGTACGAATGGAAGATTGACAGCAAGAATTACATCCCGCAACAGGCCAAGGACTTCGTCGCCTCGTGCCTGAATCTCAACTCTGCAGAAAGACCCGAGATGGACGAGCTGGTGGAGCACGAATTCTTCACCATGGGAGCCATTGCTGATGTTTTGGACATTTCGTGTCTGAAAACAGAGCCTCTGTGGCTTGAAAATGCCGATCCTCGTGGAGACAAGGTAGTATCTGGTTACGGTATCGGTCACAGCAGGATTTGTCGTGAATGTGGTGTCGGTATCGGCTCAGATGGACGCCCTCGTGCTGGAGTCGGTGTGGGTGTAAACATTTCGACATTGGTGGAGATCGAGGCCGAGAACAGAGAGGGCTGTGCTCCGATGGTTCCCTTGCCGTCGGGCACTCTTTACAGGCAGTTCTCGGATGCACATGCCGAATGGACGGCCCGTCAGCAGCATCCTCTCCTCCCATCGCGAGTCCGCAGTCGGAAGCCTATAGAACAAAAATCAGAACAACCTGCGGCCTCGAAGCAATCGAAGCCCGAAGCTGAACTGTTACCGATTTCTGCTCCGAGAGCACCATCAACTATGTCTGCTGCATCGAGACCCGTTCAGAGCTTTGCGGCACAACAAAGACAACAAGCGCTGCCAGCAGGTGCCGTCCGACGAGCGCTCGTTGACCTCGAAGATGTTGACAGACCCAAGCAAACACAGCCCACTGAACCACCCCTCCAAGCACTCTTGAGGGAACGTCCTCTAAGAGCGGCCACGATCCGGACCACGAGAAGCACAACATTGCGAGAACCAGCATCACAGATCTCCAAGACATTGCCAAGATCGACAACAGCCCCTGATGGGGTAGGTGAGATTGCGAGGCAGACAGTAGGCCAGGCAAGGCCGGAGAGCCGGAGGGTCAAAAGTAGCACAGCCGGCCTTCCTGTGCGGTCGGCTGATAAGTTTGGAACAAGTGTTCAGCAGCCGGCAGAATCAGGACAAGCCATGTTGATCCGTCCCGGCTCCTCTTCCTCCGGTTCATCGGGGCCTTTGGAGGATGTCGGTACTCGGGCATTGCGGACCACCACAGGAAATGACTGGAAGATAGCGCCGGAAAAGCCAGACAAGGAGCAACGCGTTGCACGAGGAGCGCCGCAGTCCCTTGCAACGTCGCGGCTCGAATCAGTTCCGCATTCATCATGGCCCAAACATCAGGCCAGAATCATTGCCAAAGCGGATCGAGCTTCGTCAGTGCCTTATTCGTCGAGTCCGGCCGTTCTTCGTTCTCTGCGAGACTTGCACGCGGCGCTTGATCCTAGGGGCAATCTGGAGAAGCGACCAAGATCAGCATATGGCACCCGCAAGGTCCGACCCAGATCCAATTACCCCAGAGTCGACAAATGGGTAGATTACTCTACGCGGCACGGGATCGCTTATATACTCACTGATGGCACGGTTGGGATGGTGCTCAAATCGTCCGAGGACAACAAGATGCCTAGCAGCTGCGTTGTGGTCAGGAATGCAAGTGCTCACACGATCAAACGAGCGAAAGGGCTCGAGTACCAGTTTGTGCCCCAAGGACCAGACGCTCAGGACGTGGAATTCTACGAACAGACCGACTACCAGATGGGGATGGTCCGTCTCGACGTTCCTGCACGCAACTTCTTACTCGATCTCCAAAGCCACCCGAGTCAGGTGGCTGCAGCCAATGCCCTCCAGGCGACACTGTCTGGCGGCGAAGCCGAACGTATGAAGGAGGTCGCGCTCTTGGACAAGTTTGGGAAGTACATGAACAAACAAGGCGGCCACGGAGCGACCAGCGATAAGAAGAGTGAACACTTTATCCACTTTTACCAACGAGTAGGCAACGTTACAGTGTGGAGGTACACAGACGGCGGGCTGCAATTCAACTTTCCCGACCACACCAAGATCACAGTCTACAAGCAGATTTCAGAGGCGGACATGGAAGACAGCCATTGGCAAGTCAACTGCGTGTACCTGATGCCAACCGACGCCGTCGGCCTTGCAAACCACGGCATAGTGAGCAGTGAAGCAATGGAGCGACGCGACGAGTTGAGCTTGCCTCTGGAAGATATAATGGCAGATTCGTTGCGCCGCTCCGAGATGGAAATTGTGCGGACGAATGAGATCAAGGAGAAATTGTGCTGGGTCCGTGCTGTCATCGGCTGTTGGATCAAGGAAGGTGGATTGGGGAGGATGGGCGAAGAGAGACTCGGGTGGAGTGGTCTGCAGGAACGCCGAAGCGACAAACCGATGAAGCTGCAATGGGTGACTGTTGGGAGATTCGGCGGCGATGGTGACGGAGTGGCCAAAGAGGAGTCGAGGCATTCTTGATCAGGAGTTTTGGACTGGGGGGTTGTCTCAGTCTCACTAAGCGTTGGCGTGGGTGAGGGCATATGGCATCAAAAGCAGTACAGTTCAGTATGACTACCGACCGGCACTTGTACGACGATACGGCATAGATTGTTGCATGCGAGCATGCTCAGCGGATTGTGAGGCTGCCCGATTGGATTGGATTGGATTACTCATGACATGACAGTTGCTCGCATACCGTTTATCTCCGACAATGATATGATTTCGCCCCGTGGCAGTATTCCCACTGCTGAAGGTTGACACCACCAGTCGTCTACGTTTATCGCATTACCCTTCTTGGCTGCCAGCAGTGACTTACTGTGCCTGACTTGGTTTCCGTACGTCTCTTAAGAATTCACTCTCCCTCCTCCTGAGCCCATTCCGTGCTTCGTGTCTAGCGACAGCCACAATGGGCGGCGGTCCCGACAAAGAACACCTCCTCATCACCCTCTGGGAGCCCGAGCCGAAACACATCACCGCCGAGATCAAACGACGGTTCCCCTACATTGAGATTACGTACCTCGAACTGGAGATGTCGTCGAATCCGTGGGGAGGGGATCTGACGAAGGGTGTTCCGACAGGTCAGTAACTACGTCCGTCTGCCGTAAGGACGGCATCTCATCTGAGGTGTGAGAATCAAGTGGCGGAACGGAAGAGGATCGCTTCACGTATGGTGCCAATTGGTAAGGAAAGCATAGCATTGGTGTTTCTATCCTGCTTCGTTGTATGTTGTATGTGGGGGTATATGTATGCTGTTTGCTCTGCAATGGACTCTGATCAAGTGGAATCTCTTCGGGGAGCGACAGTACGGAGCCATCCAAGAAGGAAGGAATCCTTCTCCCTTCCACTATAAACATGCCCACGCTGCATGCTGGCGCTGACCGTGACGCGCCGCAACAGACCTATGGAAAACCGTCACCATCCTGATCACGCTCGGGACTCTGCCTGCCAAACCCGAGGACGCGCCAAAGTATGCCATGTCTCGCTGCTCCCGCGCACTGTTCCTCCTCCTCCTCCCCCTCCCCTCCCAGGCAATATCTTTGGCCCGCTAATATTGCAGCCTCAAACTCATCCACCTCTTCTCCGCGGGCGTCGACCACTACACCACCCACCCGATCTTCACGGACAGCGACATCCCCATCACGACGAGCTCGGGCATCCACGGGCCCCCGATCTCCGAGTGGATCATCATGGCCACGTTGGTCGCCAGCAAGCACTACAACGTGCTCTACGAGGGCCAGAAGGCGCACCAGTGGCAGCATGATCGACGGTTACTGATGAGCACGACGGATTGGGTGGGAAAGACGGTGGGGATAGCTGGGTATGGTAGTATTGGGCGGCAGGGTACGTCCCCCTTGAGGAGAAAGATGCCGGACGTTGTCTGTGCTTTGCTATGCTGGCCTGACCTTTGCTTTGCGACCCTTTGCCGTGCGAAACGGCGCTGACCTGACTAACTTCCCATGTGTGAAGCCGCCAGAATATTCCACGCCATGGGCGCCAACGTGCACGCCTACACGGCAAGTCCACGCTCCACGGCAGGTATGTACGGTAAATGAGTATTTGATTACCGCTCACACGCACGCACGATATCACGTAATTAACGCACCATAATATGCGTAATCTGCCTCTGCACCTGCACCTACTTACCATCCACTGCCTTGCCACTAACGCTGTCTTCTATCCTCGCAGACTCCCGCAAAGACAAAGGCTACATCGTCCCCAATACAGGCGATCCTGACGGCACGATCCCACGCGCATGGTACAGCGGCACCAGCCGCCGCAGCTTGCACACGTTCCTCGCCTCGGGGCTGGACTGCCTGATCATCGCTCTGCCCCTGACACCCGCGACACGCCACCTGTTCAGCACGGCCGAATTCGACATTCTCGCGCAGACCACGTACCCTGGCAAGAAGTCCCGGTCCGCGTTCGTCATCAACATCGCGCGAGGCGCGCTGATCGATCAGCCTGCGCTCGTCAAGGCGTTGAATGAGGAGACCCTCGTGGGGGCGGCCTTGGATGTCGCGGACCCGGAACCCCTGCCTGCCGACGATCCGCTTTGGGGCGCGAAGAACTTGATCCTCACGCCTCATGTTAGTGGGCTGGGAGCCGAGTATGCTGAGAGGGCGTATGATCTGTTTATCACGAATTGGGGGAGGAGGGAGAAGGGGGAGAGGATGTTTAACGTCGTGGATCGGAGGAGGGGGTACTAACCGGTATTGATGAGCGTACTTGTGTATGTTCAATGTCGTGGATCGGAGGAGGTACTGAATTAAATCTGCTGTCGCTAGCAGGTCGGCGGATTTTGCTTGGAGATGTGTACGAAGTCTTTGCTCCAGACTGAATCTAGAATCTGCCGTAGAGAAATACATAGAGTCCTCACTCAGGTGTAGAGCGATATCAGAAACTGGATGGCTGGGCAAGGCGTTACCTCTCATCACGTCTCACCCCGCACTCACCTTCCTGTAGGTCATTGTGATGGACGTTTGAACCCGAGAGAGCCATATGCGCAGAGAGCCAGACGCGAGACCCTGGAGTCTATGGCTCAAGGACTGTACGGAGTAAGTAGTGTGGCTTTGATCTCTAGACTTTAAGAGAATTTCTTTCATGCTTTGCCCGGTGCCAAGACCGCTGCCAGACCTCCACGGCATTATATGAAACCGCTATGAGTACGGAGTCCTTCTATACTACTGTGGTTAGAAGGTGGATGATGATTCATATACGTAACGCAGTATGAGACAGGTAGTGGAGTATCCTTGTCATAATCTCATTTACATATCGTAGTATCATTCCGGTGTGGTATTCCTCATCATTCACGTTCACTTCATAATCATCACATACCGTACCTCCGTTTGATTCTGCCTGCAGCTCGTCCTATAACATCCATGCCAGGCGGCAGCTCGTGGCCGAGGTGTTGGGGTGGGACAGTCGCTAGTACAGTCGTATGGTTGGTGGGTAGGTAGGCAGGTAGGTAGGCGTTCATTGGTTTCATTTTTTGACCGCAAGATGGAAAGACCGAGAGCCCACTCCTGAGCCCATCCTAACCCAACGTCCAGTTCAATAAAATGAGAACAACAGTTACGATCCTTCCGCGGTCGTCGTGACCTTTTTTCCACGGACATGCTGACTTTTTCACCGAGGAAACACAACGGCCATCCATTACATCCCGAGGTTGCCCTTCTTTCTTGTATCATGCGGCCTACCCGTGGCCCGCCTATTTGCCAAAGCAGCTCTTCAACAACTTCCTCGCCGGGCTCTGTTTTTGCAACTTCGCTGCGTCATCCACACTGGCGATGGTGCTGCCGCTCAACCTTGCAGGGCCGTCCTGACCCCAGAACAGCCAGTCGAGGACGTCGTTGCCGAAACGCCGTCTGGCATCGTGTGTCGTCCAGCCGTCTCGCCGGGCCAATCTGCCGACCAGGTCCCGCCACTCGGCAATCTCGTTTTTGAAACCACCGTTGGCACTCTCCTCGTCGCGGAGGACTTCCTCCCAGGGACGCCCCCTGACCGTGTAGCCGTACCATTCTTTCGCCCAGTGAGGGCGGACGGGCACTGGTGCGCCCTCGGAGTCTTTATATCCGGTCCACTTGTCGAGCACGCCCTGCGCGTAGGCGGGCCAGATGTCCGCCACGTTGTGGAGGGTGAGGATTTCGATCGCGCAGGTGCCAAGCTTGTGACCGCGCTGAGGGGCGAGGGTGACGTTCGAGCCCGCCATGATGCGCATCTCCAGCGGCATGCGTTGCGGGCAGGTCTTGATGGCGGCGTAAGCGGCGAGGATGGCGTCCCACCAGCCCCGCTGGACGAGGAGGAGGTCGACGTCCGAGGTTTGAGTGGGAGCAGGGGACGAGACAGCGCCATTGACGTGTCCGTTCGCATTGACGGCTGGAGGCAAGGTAGACTTGAGCTTGGGTTGAAGTGGAAACTCGACCTCTAGGTCTCGGACGCGCAGGTTCTGCACACCTCGTTGAAAGTGCAGCGCGTCGGGGACCCAGGTCTTGATTTTCTTGCCGTTAGGGCCGATGTCGTCTAGGTTCTTCATGGCCAGCCAGGTGAGCAGCTTGGTCTGCGTCTCTGGGAGAGCCTGCGTTATCTTCAAGATGATTGAGGCGTCCTGGGCGATCTGGGTGGCGAACGTCCCGAGGACTTGGAGAATGGTCTTGGCGTCGCTGGGATAGTCTACTGCGTTGGACGTGTCTAGCGTCTTGTGCCATGTGTTCACCCAGACTTCGCTCGAGTATGGGAACCAAAACCATTCCGCGTAGTCTGTCGTGGTTGCGCGGGTCTCGAAGTCTCGTTGAATCTCGGCTTTGCGTTCCGGACTGAGCGGCTGCTTAGGTCGTAGCGGGGCAGGGATCATCGAGTCGGGCATATCTGGTGGCGGTGGGATGGCTTCAATGACGGGAATCTTGCGCGGCTCCATCAGTGCGCATGACATTGGGTCGAGTTCCAGGACGAGATGTGTAACCACGCCGATGAGGCCGAAACAGCCTGCAGCTGCTCGAAGGATGTCTGGGCTCGAGAGATCGATCTTGCGAAGCGTGCCGTTTGCGTCTACGTATTCGATGGCCCGGACCAGGTCAGATATGGTGGGATTTCTGATTCCACCACCGTGGCTGTGATTTTGGTGTCAGTATTTCCCCCGAGTTAGACGGAGCGTGGCCATACCAGATCGTTGCATTGCTGCCACCCATGGTGATCTCAACCTCGACAATGTTCATCGGCATTGTGACTTTGCCAGTCTTGATACACCACCTGCGCAGTTGTTCGTTGGTCGTTGAGGTGCCCACCCTCACGTACTTCTTGCCATCTCGGAGCGGCGGCCCTCGGACATAGTTGTGGTCGACGACAACTATTGAATTCAAGTCCTTCGCTCGAGGCTGGAAGATGTCTGTCGGGAGAGATGTGAAGTTGGGCAATACAGAAGCATCGATGAGTCCAAGCGTCGAGATAAGAATGTCGCCGTTGGTCTGACGGTGCTTCTTGTCAGAACGCCCAAAGACCGGTGACCATGAATGCCCTGCTCATGGAGTCAGCTCATACATCTCAACAAGACCCCCACGCGGCTAAACCTACGGAAGCCTGAGACTCTAACACCCATGTTCTGCTTCTTCGCAAACTTGACGATGTCGCAAATGTCTTGAGCAGTGTTGGGCACACAAGTCAGAGCCGGGGTATTCTCAACGGTGCGACCATGATTGGTGAATTCCAGGTCTTTGTACGTCTCCGGTGAGTCAGCGGACTAGAACGCGAGCGTGGATACTCATCACTTACTGGAATGTACAGAGCACGCTTAGGGTCTTTCAGCTTCGGGAAGACCTTTGCAAAGAGGGCCCGTATCCGGGACGGAATGCTCGTCGGAGCTGCCAATAACAGATTGATAGGTTCCGCAAGGATATTTGGATCCCCTGAGATGGCGGAGGCGAGACCTCCTCTGCGTATGTCTCCTCGCTTTGGGACTCTGTCGGCCGTGGCTTGACCGTATCGCCGACCTGCTTCGGTGGCATCGATTCTGCCGTCTACGAAATCATTGAAGATTCTCTGAACATCGTCGTCGTAGTCTCCCACGATCTTCTCGTAGGTGAAGTCTTGGTCGGTCTGCTTGAAGACGTGCAAGAATCGCCGGATAAATTGCTCCGAGTCGACGGGGACATCGGGGTTAAACCAGTCGTCGATGAGTCCGCTGAAGCCGGGGAGCTCTTTCTCGTCAATTTTCTCCTTCAGCCCTAAGATACACTCGGTGACAGAGGTGATTGAGTCGTGCTGGTGATCGCCATGATTGAGACCTAGATTACTAGCCATTGGGGCATGTTTCTGGATCTAACTGCAAAACAAAAGAAATATACACAGTAGATGAATTTAAGAGAAGCCAACAGGCGCCAGCACGGTCAGGTCAGTGAGGTGGCATGCCGACGAGGTCGCCAAAATAAAGGGCAGATGAGCGGTAATGATCAGCTCGCCATGAAGCTCGGCCACAATGTTGCGGCGCTGACAGCGGAGCGCCTTGGGAAATCAGTGGCGCTTCGAGAGATGAGCTGCAGCAGCTAGCAGCCCGGAGCTCCATGCAAGGCCATTCATCTGGAGCATGAACCGAAAGCTGAGAAAGTGCCAGGGAGCAGACGCCAGTGAGAGGCAGCGGTAAGTACGTACCACGGGTGCTGCGCTGTCACTATGCCATGGACACGAAGGGGAGGCTGACGATGGGCCGATTTGCAACGTGGCGGCAACGCAATTTTTCTGGAATTGAACGTGTCCCGCGCGCCATGAATGGTCGGTCAGCGGAGCCTGCAGGGCCAAAGAGGATCAAGAACTTTCGCCATAGGCCTGGATCCGGAGGAATGGCTGGGGATGGAGCAGCTTCATGTAAGTCTCATGCACCTTGTGCGTTGGGCTCGAGACAGACTGCGGCACTGCGTCAGACTGCTCACCAAGGCCAATGGCAGATGCCGCCATGAGGGCGGAGCGTAGCACTCGAGGCAGAACCGGCACGAAGCTGAGAGGCGGCGCAGGAGGAATAAGGAGCTGGCTTGACTAGCGATGACAGGTTGACGAGTCAGTTGCCTAATGAACCAAGGATAAGTTAAACGCAGTTCATAATGTCTGTGCGTGTCGCCGTGTTCAGTGCAATTTGAAAGCTCACGAAGGTGGGCAGTCACGCGATTCGCTTCTGACGCGAGTGTTCTCGCTTCGCTGAGCAGCGCGCTACCAAGATGCTATGCTGGTCATGACTCGCGGCTGGATTCGAAAGACGTTTGCCAAAAAATCCTTATCTTTCTGATCACGACTCTTACAATGAGTTCTCAAGCTCGACGACTTCCTTCAACATGGCCTCATACTTGGTCACCTCGTCCTTGCTGGGCTTGGGCAGTGGGCGCCGAGCATAGCCGCCGTAGCCAAAGTATGACTCCAAGGCTGCCTTGGTGCCTGTGATGCCACCAGCGATGACGCCCCAGTCTCCTCGAGCGACGATTGCCTGCAGCTTCTGCGCTTCCTCGACCTTGCCCTCAGCATACAAGTTGAACACCTTGACGCAGGCTTTTGGCACCACGTTGCCCAACCCGGTGATGATTCCTGAACCGCCGGCAATCATAGTCTGCAGAGTGAAGTCCGCCGAGCCGCCCATGCACATCCAGCCCGACCCGGAATCTGAAGGCGTGGCAGCCTTGACCGCATGAGCAATTCTGTTCAGTTTGCCAGTGTTGCCGCAGGTGAGCTTGCATCCACGGATCTTGGGGTGCTTGGCCAACTTGATGATGGTGTCAGAGTCGAGGTCCACGCCTGCAACGGCGCCAGGATAGTTGTAAATGATGAGCGGGATCGGTGAGCCATCCGCAACGTCCTGGAAAAACTCGACAAAGTTTTCCGGCTTGTACGCCGCCTTATAGTATGAGGGAGGGAGAATCAGGGCAGCATCGCCACCAGCATTGTAGGCATCTTTGCAAAATTCAATGGTCTCTCGCACTGACTGGGCCGCACAGCCCACGACAATGGGCATGTCACTGAAGCCGGCTTCGTCTATGGCTTTTCGCACGGTGCTGGTCACTAGTATCCTTTCCTCCTTGGTCAAGTGTACTGCTTCGCCATTGGATCCTTGGCATGTTATCGACGTGAGGCCAGCCTTTGCGAGTCTGACGGCGTGCTTTGCGATGGCGTCCACATCGACATCCTCGTTGTCCTTGAAAATGGTGACCATGGGCACGTTGATGCCGGGCTTCAATTGCCGGATCTCGTGGTGGCCGTTCATATTTGCTGGGCGGATTTACCCGTGAGTCTACCTAGGTAGGGTGCGTGGTTTGGCGTGTAAAATAGCAGACGACCTAGAACAGTTTAATCTGGGCTTGATCTGTTGTCTGAATGTGGCTGCTACGAGACAAGAAAAGTTACTCTACGACGAAACCCAAAGGCCGTCGCATTATATGACACTATCAAATGTGCCACCTCGCCCGGCAATATGCCGAGCATTTGAGCCTGAGTTCGTCACGAAAGTCGCCAACTTTGCCCCGCAGAATCCGGAGACGTGGGGTGGGGAATTTTCTGAGCCAGCATCGAGCTCTGACCTGGAATGCTGCAATCCCAATCGTGCTGCTCCTGTACTGAAAATCAGCCAGCGCTTTTGTCCGGCATCACGTCTGTCCATACAGAGTATTCTGGCTTGTCGATGGTTGATCTCCCAGCTCAAAACGGGGCGAGGCATGGAACAATATGGTGGAAAGGGACGCTCCACGGAACATTGATATCCCATTTCCACCACCTGCCTCCACGGAGTGGGGTTTGACATTTGCCCCCCACGTTTAACCGGAACCAGGTCCTATGCGAAAGGTGTTCCCTCGACCTGCCTGTCATCAACGCGGCCTTTGCGCCGCGTTGCCCGATAGAGAACGGGAGTCAGCTATCTATCGTGGCAAACTGCCTCTCAGGGCAAACCCGTGGGGTCGACATCTCCAAGAGTCGGGCTGGATCCTATAACAGATTGCTTATTCACGCGCTTCTCTCCGCCGCTTTAATAATTCTGCAATCGGTATGTTGTCTTCATCGTAGAACTCGACATCTTCATCTACACCGTAATCTTTGAGCCGGTTTCCGTCGGAGTCTCGCCAACCTTCTTCGCCGCTGCTGGTGTCGTCCTCCGGATGGGCATAATCATCCTCCCCAGGCGCGAGCCCGTCCTGTGCGAACCGTTGATGGAAAGGTCTCCTTCTCTGAACTCCGTAGAAATCAGACCGCTGCTCGAAATCTGCTTGTTGTCGCTGCTTGAATGCCACCATCTCCTGATCCGGGGATAGGCTGCCGTGGTCATGCACAAAAGCGTCTCGGAGGTCTAGTGGACGTTCGACTCGAGGCATCCGATCAGGATCTGGCGGTGGCCAGCTTGTTCCTGGATTCTCAAATCCGTTCGTCTCGAAGAGTAACCCACTTGTCCTCGGCGTTGCAGAAAATGGCCAAAACCAAGCAATGGGATTTGCTGAGCCCATGCCCTGGGAGATGTTGTTCCAGATGCCAATGTCGTAGGGAAATTCTTGTTTCACAATCTTCAGTCGAATGCCATCGGGCCCATCCAAGTAGCCTCCAAGAGCACGAGCTCGACGGAGAAGCTGCTCGTGACGTTCAATCTCCCAGCTCTCGATGGTGGTAACGTTGGCACCTAGACCATAAAGCGAGCGGAAGAATGTGATGGAGACGAGAAAGACAGTGAGAGTATTGACGATCATCAGGATAAGAAGGTGGACAAGCTGCCAAGGAGATGGGCCTAGGTACTGGTAATTTAGGTCAGTGTCCTGGTCATCAGAAATGATGACCGGCTTACACTCGGCATATGACGATTTTTCCAAATGACGCCAGCTCGCAGGTATAAAAAGTACTCAAGGTAGCACATCGACAATACGGCGTACACCAGGAACCGCATGAAATGCGGGAACGAGAAATGTGACACACAGTTGACTGTCCAAGGACAATGATGATCCATTTTCGGGATACATCTGACCTAGTTAGCACGGTAATCAGGGACAAGGGATAAACGTACCTTTTGCACACCCTGCAGTGATGCGACCTCGGGGGTTTGATATTTTCGCACTTCCGACAATACCGAAGCCTTGAAGCAGCCCTCTCTCTGGGGTTCGCCAAGTCGATGCCTTCAGCCTCGTCTGCTTTGCAGCCAAGCGGTACACGCCCGGGGTTCGTCGTGCATGCACGTGCGTAGCTGATCCATATGCATGCTACCAATGCGTTGAACGTGATACTCTGCTTGAACGTAAGGGGACCAGGTTCAATATGGTCGAAAAGGTATTGAGACGAGTATGAAAGAAATGCCACCAGCGTCACAACAGCAGGCACGGCGAATTTTGCCAGTTGTTGGATGTCCATTGCTAAGCCGAAGATCCACCGTCGGTTTAACGAGCGTGGGACAAAATCCAACGTCCAGGAGCACTTTCATAATTTAATGTCGTAGGGAATCCCCTGAGTCTATTGCCAAAGTGTTGATCCGTGCAAAAGAAGCGGTTATTTCAGGTTAAACAGATGTCGAGAATTCAAACCACTTGTCAGGAGCAGGGATGAGGACGCATAGGTGTCAGCTACTCCTCCGTAATCTTTACAGGGCACGGAATTAGTCGATGGGAGAGCGGAAGCTGGCAGCTGGGCGCATGTTTCTCACATGGGACATCTTACTAAGTGCTTAGGCAAGCTGAGTCTGCAGGGGAGTGTGACAGGAGACTTGTCAATGTCGACTGATGCTGTTTTCGACATGGTAGCGAGTGACTTTCGTGGACAGCGCAGTCCGTACAGAGCAACAGTAAGCAATTTCCAAGACAAACAAACCTACTGACACCCACCATCCGTGAAAACGTCGCGAGCAGAACTGTTTACTGATTATTTGCAGAGGCACAGTCTCGGCCATGAGTGCCACATGTTGACGTCGCTCAATGTGCCGTCACCTTGAATGCTGAGACCATTTAATGGCAGTGCATCTTGTCGGTGGAAGGTCCGCCGTAGGCTGCCAAGCCGCTAACGACGCGTAAACTTCAAAGTCAAGACGCGTCTAGAGCGGGTCTCTCCTGGAACTGATTTTCACTTCACTGTCATCTCTCGACAGTCTCCCGGATATGTCGAAGACATCCCCAATGATTGCACGATGCCGATTGAAGCTCTGCCGGAGGACACCACCCGTGCTCTCGGCTCCTCTCTGGTCCTCAACGATGCTAAATCACTCGTCAAAGAGCTCATCGACAATGCTCTGGATGCCCAAGCTACAGCTATCAGTATTGAAATCTCGACAGATACACTGGACGTCATCCAGGTAAAGGACAACGGCACTGGCATCCATGTTCAAGATCGACAGCTTCTTTGTAAACGTGGATGTACTTCTAAGATTAGAACCATTGATGACCTCGGACGACTCGGTGGTGCCTTTCTCGGATTTCGAGGTGAGGCTTTGGCAAGTATAGTTGAATTGAGTCAGTTTGTGACCGTTACTACTCGTGTGGATGGGGAAATTGTGGGGACATCGATCAAATATGCTGCTTCAGGAATGATCAGGTAGGTGGTGTGAAGTTCTTTCTCAGGCTCATTGTTTCATGATCATTCCAGTTCTTCTTCAGCTTCTCATGCCGTCGGCACAACGGTACGCGTGCAAGATTTCCTCATGAAAATACCGGTCAGAAAACAGTCCGCTTTGAAAGCGACAACGAAAACTCTGGAGGCTATAAAATCTCTCCTTTTCGCGTTCGCATTCGCGAGACCTGAAGTACGCTTCTCGTTGAAGGTGTTGAAAGCGAAGAATAACAGGCTCAACTGGACTTACGCTGCAACACCGAACCAGTCTCTGAGAGAAATCACTACGAAGATTGTTGGAACGGAGCTCGCATCTGTATGTGCGCATCATACTATAACCTCTGATGACTGCCGTGCCACTGTGGGCACCGACTGGGCCATCAGCGCCATCTTGGTCTCCGCAACCGCCGGTATGTAAAATCTGGCAGTATATTGGTATATGCTGACACGCCCAGATCCTGTCAAGATACGCAACACCACACAGTATATTTCCGTCGACGGCCGCCCGGTCAACGCAGAACGACAGACGATGAAAGAGATTGCCAAGTCATATAAGCGGCACGTCCAGAACAGTGTCTTGTCGGCGACCGGTGTCTCGGTCCAGCGACCATTCCTCTGCATGCAGATACGTTGTCCCCTGGAGAGCTATGATGTTAACGTCGAGCCTGCGAAGGATGAGGTTCTTTTTTTCGACCTTCGCTCCGTTCAGCTGTTGTCATTGGTGGAAAGCTTGTTCCGTCGAGCATATCCCACGCCCGGTGATCGTGAAGAAGGGGCAGCGAACTCAGCCACCGACAAAGACACGGCGTCACCCCGTGCGACGTCCATCTTTGACAAGAACACGCTTCGTTCAAAACGCTCTGGCGCAGAGAAACGTGATGTGGTGGATAGTGAAGCTGAGCAAGAACCCCTAAACTCAGAAGGTTCACCTCTAGGTGGATCAAGCATGAGGAATCCTTTTGTCATCGCGGCTATGAATGCCAGAATCAAGCCCGTAAAGATGGGCAGCAATCAAGCAAGCGAGTCATCAAGGATGAGTGGAACTGCTGCGTCTGGCATTCCAGATGAAGAAGCCCTGTCGGACCCTCATCCGGGAAACTGCTCGCTGGGGACGACGCCCGAATCTCCTCTACTGGGCAGCGGTCACAATAGCCCGTATACATCCCCCCGACCAGGACCTCCCACGAAGCGAAGAGCCAAAGCTACCACCCAAATAAACGATGAAGAAGTGGTAGGCCCGATCGCTTCTGTTGAACGTCACGTTGCCACTCCTCAGCAGACAGGCTTACAGTCATGGTTAACCCCAAATGCTTCGTCACCTCCCCTTATCCGTCTTGGGAGTGCAAGTACAAACATTCAACGGCCTAGCTCGTCAGCAGATACCACCACGCGAATCCGTGATGTGACGCCTCCAGTATACAACGGGATTCGACTGAGCTCGCACATCGGTCGAAGCTTGGAACCTGGCCATAAGCCTTTCAAAGTTCCGTCCAAGGCCAAATCTCAAGGCCAAGTGTCTGGGGCCCTGCCCCCAACACCGCCATCTAGTCTTCACGGTCGGCATCAAAGATATCTACACGGAGGATCCGCAAGCCAGTCTATCGCCTTAACTTCAGACGAAAATGACGGTATGAGCCTGCTCTCTACCCAGCAACTTCGGCACAGGACAAGTACAGTTGGTTCTGCATACTCTCCGCTGAGCGAGCTGTCACGACATCAGACGGAACTGAATGATATCATGGACTTCGAACACCGAAAGAAGGCCGCGATAGCTCATCAAAAAATACAGGCGGCCGGATCGCTGTCAAGTCCGTCAAGGAACACATTAAGTCGCTCGAGCCAATCTGAGTCGATTGGTGCGTTGGCCGGCACTGTTGAGAAAGAGCCAATGTTTGAGGACTATGCAACCAAATTTGGCAGCAAGGAGGACGGCAACGTGAAACAGTCAAACCCGGATCTTGGTCGCGAGCATTGTAAGAAAGGCGTCAAGAATCTATCCCACTCTCATCCGGTTGATCCGGATAAAGAAAGCGAAGCACTTCTTGGTCCCGATAAGCATTGCGTCTCTCTGGCTAATAGTGCGGGGACTGCTCCCGATGCACGGCCTGTGGTCCCGTCCGATGATCCACGGGCTTACATGATGAGACAGCCACCGAGGCAATTACGAGGCAAACTGCACCGCACCAAGTCCTCCAAATTACCACTCGAAAGCATGCTTCCTGGAACCGAAACTTTCGGTCTGGCACTAACGACAAATGTCTTCGACAGTCTACAAGGCATCAGCAAGCACGTTCTGAGCCTCGCATCCATCGATTCGTATATAAGACATGGCAAAGTGGCCTGTGCAAATCTCGACTCAGCTGATGCATCAACTCTCCGGGACTGGGACTACTCCGTCCGCAGGTTAGTCGACACAAGATACCCTCTACAGACATGAAGGGAAGGGGATATGATTGCGAATTCGGACTTTACTGTTACTCTCCGCTCTCGCGAGACTGGGAGGTAACATTTTGTTGTTGTTATGAATTTGGGCCTACAATCTGGCCTACGAATTATGTTGGGTGGTCACTCACGGCAAGAGATGTGTTATGTGTTTGCTAGTCTGTTCTGCTACGTTGTATTATCGGTGATTGCCATGCTATTACAGTTGTAATGATGTTCTGATTTTCAGGCTTCAACCCTTCGGCGCTGCTCCTTCAATCCTGGGCCAAATTGCCAAAGATGCCTAACATCACACTTTGCCGTCTTCGTTGGCTGCCGTCGGAGCTGGGCCTTATCCAGTTTCTAGGGCTCTGTCTTCCGAGCTACCACATCAAACTCTTCGATTACGCTCCTTGGCTTGCTATATTTTCCGACGCGCTTCCACTCTGTCTTCAACCCAAAGAACTCGGGTCCACCCACTCTCAGCGCTTCTGCGGAGCCACTCCACAATGGGTGCGCAGGCATGCCTATTACTCTCACCTTGAGGCCATACCGCAGTTCCGGTGAGCCAAGGGGTTCGCCATCGGAGCCCAGAATGGAGATCAGATCCGGGACTGTGCAAATAATCTCCTCTTCTTCTGAGGTTGCTGGGTCGGCATGGTAATTTTGTGGGGAGATGAACCCGGCCGACAGGTATTCGTTTTGGAAAGGAATGGCAAGGTAGCGTGTCTCACGCGCCTGAGAACCGTTTGAAGTAGATGAAGGCTGGGGACCGATTTCGCCTTCCTCATCGGCGGAGAGAGGCGAGATAATGCAGCGGCCGACCGTGTACCCACGGGAGACATCACGAGTAACATCAATGATCTTGCCTGTGTAGAGCTGTCGAACGGGTGTTATGGTTGAAATTGCGTCGATGAAGTCGAGCTTCATTTGCCTCGCTAGATGGACTGCTCGTCCGAGGTACCAGGCCTGGGAAACGGTGTTGGGGATCGCGTACTGCTTGATAACATTGCCAGGAAGTGGGCGACCAGCAGCTCCTGTTGAATTGCCCATTTCAACACATGTCTGGCGTATCAGCGCCTCGACTCGCTTGTTCGATTCCGCGGACAGCACAACAGACGCATTGCCTTTGCAGTCAGCAGTCGCGACCGGCAACACAGGCTGCCCATACACATATGGAGTCCCATGCTCCAGCGTTGGATAGGCGCGACCCATCAAATCGCAGTCAACGACTGGCCGATCATACCGGGCACTGGTGGGAAATGTGACCAGACCGTTCCCGCCTCCGATCTCATCGGCCACAATGCCATGGAAGTCTTTGATCCCCATGACGGTGTTGACTGCGTCGATAGCCGCAAATACATCCGTACCATTGCCGATCCGCTCATTGCTCACCGAGGGTGCGCCATAGCCCGCGCCGAAAACACAGATGTCGTCGTCCTTCAAGGATCCAAGGGCGACGACCCGCATTTTTCCAGCGCCGCCCTTACGAAGAGTATCCAAGGTGTACAATGCCATGAGGTACGGAGATCCGCCACCTCCTGTTCCAAGCACGCCTGCGCCAGAGGCAATTAACTCAACGTCAACGGCAGAGATGTACCAGACCCCGTCCTTGACGTTCGGCCGATATGAAGCAATATCGACTCCAAGAGTCGGCTTCGCCATGTTCCCGTTCTTCAGGTTATGACTTTCTGCCTCAGCCGCCTCTGGTGGTGAGTCCTCGTCAACTTCCACTTCCCTGGACGGCGTGCCGTTGGGAATTTTGTCCGGCAAGGGCCCATCTTTCACTTTCAGACTACCGACCGCTTTTATGACCAAGCGTGTGGCTTTGTTGTTCACATATTGGAGGGGTATCTTCTGGATGTCCACTATTTTGACATCCTTTTCATCTGCCCCATTGGCAATGGCTGCATCAATTGCTGTCTGTTTGGCGGCTTCGATTGCATCATTCTCGTCCCGACCAGCCAGGATCTCGATAACGTCAATCTCACCAGCAACCTTCGCAATGGCCGCTCCAACCGCATTCGCAGAGTCATGATGAGGAGGGCGAAGACATTCTTCGACACCGTGGAGCTCATCTGTAAGAATGACAGATCCTCCACCGACTAAAAGCACGGACACTGGAGCTGAAGACACCTTCATCCTGTCGATGGCTCTTTCCAATTGTCGTTTGATATCTGATATCGCCCCTTCTATGACCTTCCTTGTAACGCTATTGACTTTCTCAGAGTCACCAATCTTTGCGTCCCCAGAAGCCACTACAATGTCGGTGGCGGTAAGAATTGAGCCACCAAACACGACTGCATCTGTTGTAAGTCGATGAGCGACCGAGTCCGGACCAACGGTAACTACTCCGTCTTCACCTACTTCTCGGACACGGCTTCCGCCTCCGAGGCCAATGGACAATACCTCCGGCATGGAGAAAGCAGTGCGTATTCCTCCTACCTCGACGAAGTTCGGCGCCTGGCGAGGGAAGCCCGAGGGTAAGAGCGAACAGATATCCGTCGTGGTTCCTCCAATATCCACGACCACAACCTGCTTGTCAGCTAATCTGCGATCTCCATGACCAAGTCTCTGCAGAAATGCGGCGCCCATCAAACTGTTCGTCGGCCCACTTGCAAAGGTCTTGATTGGCAGCTCTGCGGCCAATGTAGCGTCCGCCAGCGTGCCATCATTTTGTGTCAGGTACAGTGGACAGGAGAGATCAAGTTTGGACATGGCAAGTCTAAAGCCCGTGATTGTCTTGCGGGCGAATCCAAGGATTGCTGCGTTGAGAATTGTGGCGTTCTCACGAGTCAGCAGGCCTGGCCCACCGATCTGTCCAGAGCAGACGACAGACAGACTTGATTCAAATTGCTGCAGCATGGCTTTGCATCTCTCCTCGTGCAAGCCTTTCTGGTCGAGAGCTGAAAAGACACCGACCACGGCAACATACTCTATCCCTGCTTTCACAATGGCCGACGCTGTCTCCTTGATCTGGTCAGGGTTGAGATTCGATATCTCTCGCCCATCGATCTCAAGCCCACCATTGAGGTAGAAGATCGGACCTTCGATGATATTCCTCAGCGCATAAGGAAAGTCAGAGAAGGGAGGTATCTGTAACACAGTATGAGCCAGATGCTCAGAAGACCTGTAGGACGACGTATTACCTTCCTGGTGTACGGACCACACAGTCTCACGACCGCCACTCGACTAAGTCGTCTCGCATCGTTCTCAACCACTGCGTTCACGAAATGCGTAGTGCCGACCGCCACATTCAGGACTTTGCTTCTGTCAACATTGGAATTGGCGAGGACTTCCTTGATTGCAGTTTGAATTCCGAGAGTCACATGTGTCGTTGTTGCTGTCTTGCATGTAGCGAGGACACCTCGCGAATTGCTATCTAGAGCATTGGTATCAAGAATGGCAGCATCGGTGTTTGTTCCACCGACGTCAACGCCTATTCGGTACATGCTCAAGTGCGGTCGATGCCCGCGTCCAAAAGCGTCAATGTGCGCAGATGGGCGATGATACCGAGGAGAAATCTTGGTCAAGGCTGCCTTTCGGGAAGAATGGAATACCTAGCTATCTCATTCAACAGGTGAGGGCTCAGCATCGCACAATCATAAGATAGAGTCTACTCTAGATACAGTGCGAGGGATTCAGCAGTCATGACAAGCTCCACACGCTATCCAAGACGACAATTCCATGTATTTGTGGTCGAGACAAGTCGGACATATCTGCAGGAATGATCACGCAATCATTGGTCCAACAGCTCGATGGCGCCCAACCGTTCCGCAGCTCGCGACAGATGTCCAGACGGAGATCTGCGGCCGGCACAGATATGCACCGAGTTCTCATGGTGGAGAGCGAGAACGGGAGTAAGGAATGGAGGCCACTCGAACCAAGATGTATTCGATGAAGCTTGTCCCCAAGCAACGAACATGCTACATGCTGATAAGCAGGGGCCACAGGGTTGCATGGACTTCGAGTCCGCTTCTTCTGCTCGTAGGCGAATGCTCAGCGCCAGAAGATAAGACCGGATCCCCCTTGTCCATCACGCTTTGTCAATCCCACGCATCAACGGGAACTCTTTGCAGAAGCACGACTGTGACCGTGTCCTCGGTATTTGCCGAATGGCGGGCAAGCATCCCGAAAAGGGAAGGGCTATGTCGTGGATGATCGAGCACTGATCGCCCGGAGGCTAGAGCAGTCGACTGCGGATAGCAGGCGGTGTTATCGGGACTGCTAATTCAAGCAAAGTGCTGGTCCTGGCTGACGGGCTCCTGGAGTACATTTGTTCCCCTTACCCTCCTACCCCTTCCTCGAATTGCCTTCACGTCGAAGGTGGACTAAGCTGGGATCCTTTGTCGGGATGGCGCGACTCACAGGTCTCCTCAAGAAGCTCGAGGTGCCTTACGAGGGCGGCACCCTACCCAACCGATGGATCAACAACGACATCAAGCCTATCGAGAAGGGACGGCGAACATGGACGTTTTGGACCTTCCACAATCTTTGTAAGTCTTGTGGAGTTTGACAGGTTGACGTTGCTTGAGTCAGACTAACAGTGTGCAGGGGTTCTGACGAATACCAACATTTCGACTTATATGACCGGAAGTTCCCTTATCGCTCTCGGTCTAACATGGTGGCAAGCAATCATTGTCATTATCGTTGGCGCGATTCTGTCCACGGTGTTTGTAAGTTGCACAAACCAGTCCCGAAAGTGCAGGTCTGGCGTCGCGAATCGCAAGACCTCAGCAAGGTTCCTGAAGATGTTTGAAGCGCGACTGACAAGGGTTATCAATACACAGATCGTGCTGAACAGCATGCCCGGGGCGTTCTACCATCTCGGGTTCCCGATTGCAAATCGTTACGTCTGGGGCATGTACGGTTCGTCGTTCGTCATCTACAACCGCATACTTCTATCGCTTGTCTGGTACGCTGTACAAGCATGGATCGGTGGCCAATGCGTCTACGTCTGCCTCGAAGCTATCTGGCCCAACCTCGAGGATCGCATTCCGAACCATCTCCATGCGACTGGACTGACATCTGCGAGTTTTCTCACGTACTGGATCTTCTGCCTGATCTCCCTTCCACTCATCTGGATTCGCCCACACAAGCTGAAAGCCTTTCTGTACATTGGCGTCGCCTCAATCATGATCTTCGAGATTGTGCTCCTGATTTGGGCTTTGGCCACCATGGACGGATTCGGCGACACCATTACAGGCCACCCAGATACACAGGACACCTCGGTGGGCTGGTCGATCATGTATGGGATCATCAGCGCGATCGGAGGCATTGCCGCTGGCATCCTCAACCAGAGCGATTATGCTCGATTCACACGCAGACCGAGGGATGCCATTTACGGCCAACTTGCGAGTGCGGCAACGTATTCGATCCTGAGTTCTGTTGTTGGCATTCTCGTGACAGCAGCCACCCAAAGAAGATACGGCGCTCCCCTGTGGAGCCTGCCTGATCTCCTCATCGCTATGATGCACGCGGGCGGCTCTCGATCTCGAGCCGCAGGTTTCTTTGGCGGCGTCGCGCTTGTCATCTCACAATGGGGCATCAACATTCCAGGGAATGCGCTTTCCGGCGGGTTCGACCTGGCGGCCACATTTCCGGGGTATATCAACATCCGGAGGGGAGCGTACATCACGGCGCTCCTGTCAATGGTGGTCAATCCGTGGCAACTGCTGGCCACAGCGTCGACATTCTTGGCGGTTCTCTCAAGCTATGGAGTGTTCCTCGGCCCAATGACTGGACTCATGATCTCTTCCTACTACATCGTCAATCGCCGAAAGATCAACGTGGATGACCTCTTCAAGGGGAACAAGACGAGCATCTACTGGTATTCATACGGCATTAACTGGCGAGCTCCGCTGGCGGTACGTATAGTCCGTGGACCAGCTCCACTTCCTACATAGCTGTTATTTGCTGACTGCGCCGAGTGGGCCATCAGTGTGTTCCCTTGCATGCCAGGTTTCGTCTCGAACGTCAACAATGACATCCACATTTCCATTGGCTGGACTCGCGTCTACTACCTCTCATTCCTGGTGGGATTCGCCATTGCAGCCGTGGTCTTCGTCGCGTTGCATCACTTCTTCCCTGCTCCGAGCGTGAAGGATTTCGTCCTGGGTCCTGCTACAGCCAAGCAGGTTATGGCGGAATATCAGGCTAGGTGGGATGCCACGGAGGAGAATGGCATTGCCATACCGAGCGAGACTGTGGTGCCAAAAGATGCGCATGACGTGGAGAGCTTCCCGAAAGACATCTGACTACTTACGGTAGATATCTGGACCAACGACTGTTGACGAATTGATGATGATGGATGATTGAACGTGCCCTGTAGCGCGGATGGGATGTACAGCGATCAAGACGTCTACTTGGACGCGAATGCCAATGGAGCGTTCCCGCTCCGCCTTCAACGATGGACGGGACGTCCTGCGTAATTGAGCCAGGAGCAGCAGGATCCAATGACGACTGAATCGGGGGGAAAGTGGGACCCAGTGGGACCCAGCAGTGCTGATATACTGTGTAGGAGCACGAGCCGTGCGCAAATTGCTGACTCCTCGTCGCTCACCATGTTTGAGATTTGAAACTTTGGGCTCGGGCTCCGGGACGACACACCTCTACTGCAGCGTGACCGCCAAGCTTCACTGACGGTCCCTGCTGGGTGCCTGCGAGATATGCTTCTATGGTGGAGGTTCAGCTTGGTGCTATACTTGTACCACAGTAGCCTAAGAAATGACCGTGATTCCATTGGTGAGTCGGGTATCGTACGCTTGTTCCTCAACTCTAAACAGCCGAGTTCATCTGCAAGGGAAAAAGCCCCGGGTGCCCCCCTCCTCCACTTTTCGCCAGCGGTGATCTCGGTCCCACCAGTGCCTGACGCTATCACCTACAGTATCCGCCCACCCTGCGCTCAATTGCTGTGATGTTGGCTCAATCGCTCGACAGGTCGAAGCTCGAGCAGGTGACCAAGGCGACTTGCCCTGGTGTAGTAGATATGTGTTGGCGTGCTATTAGGTGGTTTAACTTTGTCTTGTCGACGATCGACTATCGACTGTTCACTGAAATATCCGGATGGATGAACCTGACGGCCGGCAGGAAAGTCACTGTGACCTCTCGGTGATTCTTGGAATGAGGCCTCCGATTCTGGGGAAGCGTTGATCATAACGGGTAATGTGTTTTGATGGCTCCCTGTACATCATTCAATCTGGTATCTTCCGGGTTCTGCACTTGGGAAGAGTCAAGACACAAATTCTTGTGGACAGGATCCATGGTCCATCTTATATAGTACCGAACAAAATGTCCGCTAGAGAAGGACAGTGATTTTTGGACTGATGGGCGTGGACGACCAGACTCGGAAATCGTGGCAGAGGAGACATTAACAACACACCTACTCCATAGAGATGCTCCAAAGTACGCAGCATTAATCCAGTGGATGAGTACATCATACATGCTCGTACAGACAGCCTCGTTAGGCCCGCTAGAAGTACCGTACCCTCGCCAGCCGCTGCGGAGAACAGCTGCTTTCATATATAGGAACTGACTACTACTCGTATCGACCTCTCTCAACTTTCAAGTCGATTTCGGCCGACATCGTCTTCGAAGAACTTTCCTCGGTTCACGCCGCTCGCCGGATTGGATTCTGCAGGTAGATGTGCGTGGCTCATTGGTCATGGCCTGTCGGCATTCCGAGTTTCAGTAGCTCCATGGTCCATATATTTTCGCATTAGTTGAACTGCGACGTTGGGTTCATGATTCATTTCAGGTACGATCGTGAGATGTCGTGCCGTAAGCAATCTCGCTGATTGCCCCCTGAGTCACCCTGGCGTAGCCGCTTGCTTTGACAATGGTACCACTGAAAGTGTGTCCCTCAGGAAGGGCTGTCAATGTTGCTTGGCCCACTGTTCCTTGGTGCGCCTGCACGTTGTCCGTGACACTATCGATCTTGAAATGGTATCCTCGTGAGAGCGAAGGTTGTGCCGTTCCTTCAGCGGCACCATGTTGGACCGAAGGGCTTGAGCCCGCCCCGTTTCCGGGCTCTTGCGGCTGCCACTGCTGCGACATACTTGGTGGTGCTCTGTGCGCACTTTGGTTTGCGACGATGTCAGGTGACTGGCTGGATACTCGAGGAGTCGTATCGGCGGCTGAGCCGATCGTATTAGAGTTGTTATTGCGGTTCATGACCTGTGTAGAGGGAGTAGGCTGCCCAAACGAGACTGCCTCTAGATTTGATATCAGGAAATCAAGGTCGTCGATCAAGATATCAAATCTCTGCTTGTCGCGTATCGCCCAGGTGGTCGAACGACGGCTAAAAGAGATACGACGAGTTCCAACAGCGAAAAGGTGGCGTCTGCCTTTCTTAGGGTTGGCAGCAGAAGCCTGGTCGCTCTTTGAGCCGTCGTGGTTGACCTTTGTCGTTCTGCGGGGTACGAGCCGATACTTATCTTTCAAGATGTCTGCGTTTCCAAAAATATCGGCAATTCCCTGCAGGCTTGATTCGATCACATTTCCCTGGCAAGGCCAGTTCAGGCATGGCTCGCTCCTCTCGTGTCTGGTGCGGTAGTCGTCGTGAAGCCCCAGGGTTCTGCCCCAAGTGTCCAGGCGCGACTGGAGCAGAGACAGTTTCAAGCATGCCGTGTTGTAGGTCGACTTGTAGTCTTTGCTTAGCTCGAAGTACTCCATGAAATCAATGCAAGTCGTGAACAGTGATGCCAATGCCACGGTCCCCAGAGCGAGGCCGATCGGTTCTGCCATGGCAGGTGGTCTTCGGGCTCGCTGGGGATGTGGTCATGAACGGCTTTCGAACAGTTAGGCTGGGATGAGATTGCAGAAGTTGGACTTCAAGTATGTTCACCCTGCATTGTGCCGGCTAGCACTGCCGCTGAACCTGTGCGTCGGTGGGGTGCTTGCGCGACGCATCGAGAAGATGCATGGCTAATTTGCATGAAGCGCTCAGCTGGAAGGCAACCGCCATGGTCGGAACCACGTCTGATTGGGCACTAATAAGCATGGAAGGCAGCCTTTGAACGCTCTTGCTGCACGTTCCATGCCAGTGGGATCGCTGAAGACTCAAGGCACTGTCCGCTGGCAACGGTCAGGCTGGCAAGGCATAGTTTTACTGTGCATTTTCTGGTCGCACCGTCTCCTTGCGCGACCTTCGTTCAGTCGCACGCCAACGGCGACTCACCATTGTCCTTCCAATTGATTCTCAGGCCATGCCTATGCGGCAGACCGGCGTTGTGCAAGCGCAGTCGAGACAACAGAAGTGGAGATTGGCGCTGGCACCACATGCCCAACGGGGGTAGCACTTACCACATCAGTGGCCACGCTCGCGTCCGCGTTGGTGATACTTCGCAAGTCGAACAGGCCAGAGACCATGCTTTTGTGGCCCAGGGGCAGATTGGGTCCGTAAATATGACGAATTCTCACAAGAAGACCCAAGAAACCCCAACGGCTCGGGAGGGCAGACAGCGTCCACTCGCAGGTATGGTAGAATCGGCGCATATCTACTGTCGCATTCTTCTGTTGACTAAAGTGTCTCTGGCCATAGAGAATGAAACTCCATCCGAGACCTCTGCCTCTAGTGACCCGGTCAGCTATGAAGCTATTCTCCTGCAGAAGCATGCTCTCTTAGCGGAAGAAGCCGTCACATATCAGGTGAAAAAGATCACCCCCAGCAAAAAGGGCTCGACGTCAAGTGAAGAGCCATGCGAACCTGTAGCCGAGCACTACAGCGACAACGAGAAGCATGACTTCAGAGTCGGGGAAATATACAGGATATGGCATCCTCTGAATGTTAACGTACACCTGGGTACCTTCTTGGTTATGGACATCGAAGGCACCGAAATGGTTTGTTTGAAGCTGAAGCATTGTCATCCCAACGACGTTGATCGGACATTCGACGAAACACATGTCAAGCTTAAAGCGTTGCCGCACGTGCCTGGCTCATACGTCCATCGGAGAGCAAGCAGCCGTTTGCGAGCCAAGCAACAGGAGGAGGAACAGGAGGCCGGCTCTGATTATGTGGTCTATATGGAAAACCAGCAGTGCCTAAAAGAGGACTCTTATATCAATCTGCGGAGGTCCTGGGACATCAACTGGCAGGACGACTATCAGTTCGTCTATTGCGGCAGGCTCGAAGAGAAGTCGTTCTACAGTGTTTTGGATATCCATGTGGATCGGTACAGTAACAACTTGAGGAGGCATGTTGTTCGGTGGGGAGATGCGGGATAGGCCTCAAATCTCGTTTAAGACGTACAGCTTCGGGCGTCAGGGTATGGGTTCTCTGGGAGGAACGCGTACTGTGAGCTTATGGTTTTCCCAGTCACAAAACAAATGTACTCATTCTCTTTGTCGAGTCATGAGCAATGTCAGCCAAGTACCGACATGGGATGATCTTCGAGGCTAGGCTCGAATGGCAAAAAAGGACGGGGAGATTGGATTCCTGGAACTGGCGTTCGTTGTGGGAGTCAAGCACTTTGTGCACAAGCTTTGGGATGATCATGGCACAACGATTTGGGGTAAGATTCGGCGCGGACGCTACGAAAGCCTCACGTTAGAAGATTTGTGGTATGATGTAAGAAGTACCCGACCTAAAGGACGTCCTTGTGCCATCCCACATAACCGTGATGAAGCCGGGGCTGGATGGAAATGCGGCATTTGCGGCGTGTAGCCCTAAGCCTATGCCTTGCCTCTGTGGTCAGCGAGAATTTCTTGTTTCAAACCGGAGTACCAAGTAGAGATCATGCTGGCGCCCATCCAGAGGGGTTTAGCACAAAGCGGCATCACCCTCGTTCCCCCTTCGGGGTGAGATCCACGCGGTCTTCTACAGTACTCATTCCCGCGATCTCAACCCCGAACCTTGTGGCTCCTGAAGAGCCGCACCCTCGTGTTAATGGCATCGGATGTCGAAAAGTCATCAGTACTTGGTATCGGGTGTCGCAGAGATTAAATGAAGCCAACTTTCAAATACAGAGTGTGTCCGGCATCAGAATGGGAAAGAAGTACTAATATCCGATCTCGTCTCCATGCTTGCGATACCTTCGATTTCGATCTCCTCAACTGAGAGGACGTTCTTCGAGACACTCGACCATCCACCAACAGACGAGACTCGAAAGTAAATTATTGAACAACAAGCGTGGTCCGCCAGACAGAGAGATCCTAAAACCGGCAATGTCCACAGTAGACACCTCCCACGCAGCAGCCGCAACAACCTCAACCCCCGCGTCCACCTCCACCTCGTCAACCGGAGGCGAAACATGCCTTCCCACCCTCCTCTCCACCCTCAAAATCACAATCCACCCGGAAATATACGTCTTCGCGACCATCCCGTCCTCACACTTTCATGGGACCGGGACCGGATCCGCCGCGTTTGCCATCCCCCTCTCCGACGTCCTCCTGTTCTTCCGCGAACCGTGCACCACCAGCTCGCACGCAGGTACAGGGACAGGTGCACGCGCAGAGACGCCCAGCGACGATCCAAAAATCACCCTGATCCTCCGCCGCGAAACAGCGGAGCGGTATGCCGCCCATGCCTCCACCCTCTTCACCCTCACGTACGAATTCCCGTGCCGTCTTCTGACATGTGACGTGCACTCTTCGCTTTCGGCCGTCGGGTTCATGGCCGTGCTCGCGACCAGGCTGGCTGAAAGGGGGATCAGCGTCAATCCTGTGGCGGGGTTCTATCATGATCACTTGTTCGTGCCCGTGGAGAGGGCCGGGGAGGCGGTGGAGATGTTGGAGGGGTTGACCGCTGGGTAGGGAGGATGGAGACGGGAGGAGGGAACGGGGGTAGGGAGTAAGGACGAGGGAGTAAAGCCTGATGTCTGACGCGGGAAAGACATCGGTGGGCCTATGCCAGGATGAGTCAGTGACAGAACGATGTAGTGCCTAAACAGATGACAGGTGTAGATTAGTTATCGTGTCGCTAAGTCCATAACCTCGTGGTATGTATCGTCGAGAGTCTCATGGTCTTGGATGGCTGTAGATGGCATGCGCGTTCATGAAAATTGCTCTTCGCACATCTGTAACTTGGATCGCGGTCACTCTCAAGGTTTGAATGGTGTGCTTCGTGATAGCATCCACATGCACAAATCGGTGATAATACATTGGCAGATCTGGTTATCCAGTCGCAGCAGCCATTTGCTTTCTCCGCCTCGGATCATTGCTCGTTGGATCCATCTGTCCAGGAAAAGCCTCGATAGGAGGACTCTTCAACCCATTCAAACTGGGCTTGCTCTCGTCTTTGACCTCCTCTTCCTTTTTCGCTGCTCTTTCTAAAAACCCCGGCCGCCATTTGTTAAGCACTTTGATGGTCGCCTGCTTGACCTGCTCATCTCCCTCGTGCCATATGCTTTCAATGGTGTCCAGCACCGCGTCTCGGACAGGCGGCCGCATCATGAGGAGGTATTGCATTGCAAGAATACACATGCTGATCCTTTCAGGATCTCTAGCCAGTGTCTTGACCCTGTCAAGAACTTCACGATCAATGCTGGGAATCTCGGAAAGGAAGCGAATCAAAAGGTTTTTGTCGCGGGCGTCGAGATAAGGGAGGAGACGATCGACCAGCCGATTCACCCAACGGCTGTAATTTGGTAGATGACCCAGCTCGGGGTGTAGCTTTGCGGCCAGCTTGTCCGAGTACCATTCTTCGGTGAGCCATGAAATGGCCATGTTAAGACGCGGTCGGAAATCTTCAAGGACGTACATGAATAGTGTTTGACGGATCCGATTGGCGACGTTTGCTGGCTCGTCGGCATTCTCTTGCTTTATGAGTTGGTTGCTGGCCGTCTCTACCTCCTCGTCGGTCAAGACGCCGGCGAGATCATCTAGGCCTGATGGTGCCCTGGTTGCGAGCCGCATGAGGATTGTCGCCCAGGAATCCCGGTCGTTGGAGCTAGCAGCTATGCGATTCAAACCTGACTTCTGCTTCGCATGAGCCTGTCCAGCCGCATCCAGAGAAGCAACCAGTTGAAAGACATGGCCAATGGTCTGGTCTGCCAAAGTGGCGACTTCGACGCTACTCAAAGGAGGTGGCTTAGGCAGCTCAAATGGCCCTAACTCGATCGCGGGCTGTGCAAGCTCTTCTAGTGCTTTCTCCGTGGTTTGAGAAAGTGCATGATCTGAAGTAGCAGCTAGTTCGGGGTCGTAGTCGTCTTCGTCATCAATACCGGTCGGGCCTAGCAGTGGCACTTCCGGAACGCGGGTCGTCTGGGTCATTTTCTGTAGATGGGCATACCTTTGTCGAATAGCATTGATTGCATCATCTAAAGAAGCCGCATCCACATGTTGCAGCAAGACAGTGGTCACGGTGCTGACAATGTCGGCCGGGAGGAGCGTGACATCAAATTGCTGGAGGCTGGTATCTTCGGTGAGGGTGAATAGATGAGAAAAGGTGTTTGGCGGAGGTGGCATGGGTGGATATTTTCGGGTTGCCCCCATCAGTCTCTGCCTTTTCGCATCGTCCAGACCATCAGTAGGTTCCGCCGGGCGTTTCTGGGCTGTGGATTCAGAGAAGAACGCGGTACGAGATTGCTGCAGACGCATGAGGTACCCTTGGATCTTTTGTTCCATCGGGTGATTGGGAACTGCCCTCAAAGCCCACCGCATTAAAGCCCTTGTCGTTCGTTCCATTGATCTCACAATGACCATATTTCGAGGTGTCATGGGAGCATTTGCCTGTTTCATTGGGTTGAAATTGAGGATGGCAGAGACAATCTTGGTAGATATGGAAGGCCGACTCCTGATGAGGATGGCCACACAGTTGAGGGTGGCATCGACCAATATGGGATCCATCGAATTTTCCTGGAACACGCTCAACAACCTGTCCAGCAGACCGGACGCTTCTGCCTCGAGATTGGGGAGCTGTAACAACGGATGGTTTCGTGGGACAAGCGCAATCGAGGTCTCATTCTGCTCAGGACGCTGGACAGCGTTAGCATCGAGACTTGAGATATGTCGAAGCAACTCACCCGTGGGTCTGATATCAGACCAGGAGTCTCTACTTGGACGACTTTCTGGACAAATTTGACGCAGCAGATCCGGACTGCTATGGGGGCAGAGTCCATCCGCTGGAGAATGTTCAACTTTATCCGGCTCATTTCCTGCCATATTGTAGACTCTGTAGGATGTGAAATTCTAGAAACGTTGTCAGGATCCGTCGAAATATCATGGCTATATGTCCCACACGTACACTCGTCTGAAAACCAGCGGGTATAAACTAGCAGCAGCTTGAACTGCACTCTTTGTGACTGCGGCATCCTCCCCCGGCGTTTCCAACATGGCTCGAAGCGTGGGTAGTACATCTGACGAGAGTTGCTCTTTTTGTGTGTTCGGCAGAGAAGGGCTGGCGAAGGCTTCGGCGAGGAACTCGGCGCCCCATCTTCGAACCTCAACATGGCCAGAGGGACCGATGATGGGTAAGATGCCAGGGAGGACTTGATTGTATACTTGAGGATCGCCCAAAGCGAGTTTACGCGCCGCTTCGAGTTGCGGGATCATCGCCGCCGCCGAAGCGGCTACACCAGCCATGGCGAGGACACGGCGTGCAGATCAACAGGGCGCAAGAGTCAGGCAGATGCACGATTCTACGGACGGGCAAGCTGGAGGGGGGTTTGTTTGTTTGGAGCGATGTCGAGCAAGCAGCATAGAGTCGGCTTCGTGGTGGCGCGGGTACGAGGGACCAAAGTACCTGTTAAGACAGCAGTCGAAGTGCAACGCGTGGAAAAGGTCAAAGTAAATTAATATACAGTGATCAACTTCAACCAAGGTGAATGTGAAGCCAAAGTGATGGACAAACTGAAGTCATAATGAGCAACGCACTTTGAGCCTCCAACTGCGGAGCGTTGCAGCCAATGACACAGCAGCCTGGCCTTTACCCTCAACTTTTTGTTCGTTGTGACATGATGAGCACCGCTCCAGTCACACAAACACTGCTATCGACCGTCGCCGGCGCCTCTCTGAGCTTTGACTAAACATCATCCAGGTGCTCACCTGCCGCGCCAGCGAGTGCGTCGAATACCGGCGCCATGATGCATCCATCGCGACAAGCATATGTGGAGGAGGAGCCCCAGGTAAGAAACCACCCGACTATTGTTCGAAGCGCCTCTTTATTTACAATTGCCTTCAAGGCTCGACCGCCTCTGTGTGTAGAGCGCCAACAGGGGACAAGCAAGGCTGACGGCAATGGCTGAGACGCAGGACACTGAGATGGGCGTTGATTTAGCCAGCATTCGTGAGTTGCTACATGTGCCCGAAATACTGTTCCTCTCCAGCTAATTGTTGTCTCTCCTAGCCATCGACCGAAATTATGAGTTACCTACTGGAGCTGGCGGTGTCGCGCCGGAAAAGGCCTCAGCCATCCTCTCTCAATTTGACCGAAAGCGAAGACTTGCCATGTTAGCAGTTCCCACAGACGACGGCAAAGTGAGGGCGCGCCTGAGAGAACTTGGACAGCCGATCACGCTTTTCGGGGAGGGCCCGGCTGAGAGAAGAGATCGTCTACGAGAGCTTCTGCTCGACCAGCAGGATACAGCAGACCGGGACGACTCGGTGGCCGATGTACAAATGCGAGAGGCGGACGACACAGGTGATCAGGAAGAGGAATTCTACACAGAGGGACTACCAGAACTACTTGAAGCGAGGCGACAGATCGCGCGATATTCATTACCAAGAGCAAAAGCTCGCATACAGAGGCAACGAGAGGACTCGGCAATCCCCCTCCGCACACATATTAAACACCGCAAAGAGATCAAAGAGAAGTTACAGGGGTTTGAACTATTTGGTACACAGATCGCAGGAGAGCGGCCGGTCAGTATCACTCGATTTGCGCCCAACGGAGAAATAATTGCGGCGGGAAACTGGGGCGGCGGGATTAAATTACTCGATGTTCCCAATCTGGACGAGAAGGTTACGTTAAGAGGCCATACCGGCATTGTTGGCGGTATTGCTTGGTATCCGGGAGCGACGTTGCCGGACTCAAACGTCTCTTCCGACTCAGTCAATCTAGCAAGTGGAGCTGGCGGACAAGGCGGTGCGAGCGATATCCATCTCTGGTCTTTGAACAAAGAAACGCCATTAGCGACTCTCCAGGGACACACAGACCGTGTCTGCCGAGTCGAGTTCCATCCTTCGGGGAAATACCTAGCATCCGCCTCCTTTGACACCACCTGGCGATTATGGGACGTCGAAACAACGACGGAGCTGCTCCTCCAGGAAGGGCATTCACGACAAGTGTTTGCAGTCGCCTTTAACACAGACGGATCTCTCCTGGCAAGCGGAGGATTCGATAGTATCGGCCGAATATGGGATCTCCGCACGGGTCGTACCGTCATGATCTTAGAAGGACACATTCGCGAAATCTTCAGCCTGGATTGGGGCATCGATGACTATCGCGTCCTCTCGGGGTCCGGAGACGGATGGGTCAAATGCTGGGATCTTCGACAAGTTCGCAGTGTGGGTGGAATCGGCGCGCACAATGGAAACGTGTCGGACCTGAAATGGTTTAAAGGCCTGGATGGCAACAGATCGTCCCTCGTGGAGAGCAACAGCGTAAGGCAAGAACACAGCCCTCGGAAAGCAGGCACCTTCTTTGTGACCAGCGGGTTCGACAAGAATGTCAACATTTATTCGGCGGACGACTGGTCGTTCGTCAAGCAACTGAGCGGCCACTCAGGCAACGTGCTTAGTGTCGACGTTACGGACGACGCCAAGTGGATCGCCAGCAGTGGGCATGACAGAACGGTCAAGCTTTGGGGCCGTGACGACGGACAAGGCATATGATGGCGACAAACAGACAAGTGATGAGCAGATCTTGCATGAGCAAGTAGCGTCCGAAACCTGAATCTTTGCAATGCGGTGGTGAAGCTGCCCGAGGACCAGCAATGCTAGTTCCTCGAGTACTTTGCACCGCCGCAAAATCGTCTTCAGGCAGCCTTCACCGGTCCTGTGGCACGTCTGCCCATGACGTTCCATGTCCAGCGCCGCAGGGCGTCACACCCAAAGAGGCAGTGTTGCATGGGGGCGTTGTAAATATGGTCCATCTCGTATACTGAAGACGGCAGTCCGAATACGAGACACAGCCAATGGAGCAAGTTAGGGATACGAGGCCGGGACAACATGCAATGCCACCACGCCAAGGGCATCCGAGCCTCGAGCCTCAAACTACCGTTCGACTACGTAGGCCCAGCTACGCATGTACCACACACTGTAAAAGTTGTCGTGTTCGTGTTCGTGTCGCAAGCACGACAGTACCATTATTCGTTCCGATCCCAGTTCCAGTCTCGCTTATGGTTCCGCCTTTTGGCCCCGCAGTTGCAGTTGCAGATGCACTTGTTCGTGTACGGTGTAGGCGCAGGGTTCGGGCGGAGTACTCTATGTATGTAGCGAGGCTGAATCCCGAGTGCGTACAGTCGCTCCACTCGAACCTGTGATGCCTGCCACGCGCAGTACTCGCATCTACTGTTGAGTGTGGTATTGGGTGGATGGGCACACTGGCAAGCAAGCAAGCAAGCCGCAAGAGGGAGTCGGCAGGCGACAATACACTAAGAAGGCCTCCCCAGATGGACAGGCACACAGCGCAACAGGAACGTGAAGCAGCGAACGCGCGACCCAAGCGTGCACGTTATGGATGTCCTGGGTATGTTTCTGGCTCTCGCTCTGAATCTATTCGTGGTGGACGGAGTAAACTCGTACGGGTGAACAAAATATCCTCCCATATCCTACCTATGAACCCCAGTCCCCAGTACGCGGTACCCTGGTAACGCGTACAACTGTACTACAGTAACTCCACGCGCCCCGTGTGGTGTCCACATACAGTAGTGATGTGCTTATCCCGCCCCGTCCCCCTTGCCGTGCGTGTACCGTGGAACAGTGTACCGTGCTTGCTTCAATGTACCGCGTCCGGAAGTACAAAGTACTTTGTAGTTGCCGATGACGATGGGCCCACACACCATAATAGCCTATCGGTCGGTCGATCGATCGATAGCCTTTCGTGCTCGGGACAGGCGAGTAGTATGGAGGGGCACGTAGGTACATATCATACCGTACATAGCCTACAGTACTCCAGTGTACGTAGGAGTGGATGCGGCCAGCAGGCAGCCTACAGTACGGTCTACAGCCTACGTACACTGTACTTGCTTACGAAGTACCGAGAGTTCCTGAGCCAGTCCCCTGTGCCGCTACCGAGATTCAACTCATGAGTACCGTAACTGGTGGTCAGGTACCTAATAGTTCTCCGTACTGTAGTGGATACTGTCTCAGTCTGCGGGTCCCTCCCCTTCGAGCCACATCTCAAACAGGGGTGGGATTCTTGAATCTCGCGAGCATTGGAGAACTTAGGTACGGAGCACGACGCTGGACTACATACTATGTACTTCTGCTTGTTGGGAATGCGGGACGATCTTCACGGAAACTGCACTGAGCAAGTACAGTATACATTATAGGCACCAGGCAGGTTGATTGGTTGTTTACATGTGTGTGTGCATGTATGCACGTCTGTGTCCCGCAGCATGCATCCTGCATCCTATGTGATGTAGGTATCTCATCGCCTATGGGTTATGGTTACGCTTACGCAGACGCCCTTGGGCTGTCAGGAATCAGGATATCCAGGCAGGTACATGCATACACACGTGCATGTGATCACCAGGTAGGTAGCCTTGGGGCCTGTAAGCGGTACACTGTACTAGACCACTTAGCAGCCCGTTTGTTGGTGGGTTTTCCCAATATACTGTACTCAGTTCCTACTCGACCCCCTCGTCAACTCACCTCCTTCTTTCTACTGTCCACAAAGATGCCCGCACAGAAGGTCCCACTGTCTCCCTCGACAGGTGATGCCCACATCACATTCAGTGGTGATCACAATCACAACGACCCAACGGGCGAGCCATGCATCTTGGACCTACCGAATGGCAAGAAGGTCAAAGTCCCTTCTTATGCCGATCTTCCAGCAGTCTCTGGCCTTCCCGCGGGCCGCACCTGGGGTTTATGGGACAATCTCTTAGGTCTTGATGCGCCCGATGAATTAGGGACCTTGAACCTCCTAACCCCCGGCACAGTTCTAGCCGCTAGGCAGGAGATCCAACATGGGATTAGCGTGGCGATCAACTGGTCGTCGGATAATTGTCAGACTCCGCATTCGAACAGAAGACCGCCCAGTCACAAGATCATGTCCTTGAGGGAGGCGCAGGGGAACGACTGTCCTTGGATAGGTCATGATGATGAGGTGAACATGAATACGCAGAGCGGGAGTCAGTGGGATGGGTTGCGTGAGTATTATTCACTTCATCTGCCCGTATCCGCGTAGCACGACTCCGTCCGTATCGTGCTGACATAGCTTGATGGGACAGGACACTGGGCGCATCAGCCGACCGGATTGTTTTACAACGGCGTAACAGCTGAGGAAATCACCGGCCCCAACGCCACAGGCCGCAATGGTATCGATCAATGGTCAAAGAGAGGTGGCGTCGTCGGCAGAGGTGTACTCCTTGATTATTTCTCTTGGGCCCAAGAACGAGCAATCTCATACTCGCCAATTGAGCGGCATGCGATCTCGGAGAAGGACCTCGAGGCAGTCGCTGCGTGGCAGGGAACCAAGTTTCGACACGGAGATATATTGCTGATTCGGTCCGGTTTTGTCAAGTGGTACAGGGAAGCCAACAGCGAGGAACGGCGAAAGGGCACGATAGATGGATCGACCTGGGCTGGCGTCGAAGGCACCAAAGAGTCGGTGGAGTGGCTTTGGAATCGGCATTTTGCGGCCGTAGGAGGTGATGCGAATGTATTCGAGGCATGGCCTGCGAAGAACGAGAGGTGGCGTAAGTGACGATCTCCCAGTCCCTCGTACTCCCCTCCCCCGTCTGACCCTTCGTGACAGGATTGCACGACAACCTGATTGCTCTATTCGGCATGCCCGTTGGAGAGATGTTTGACCTCGACGAGCTTGCGGAGAAATGCCGGAGGCTGAACAAGTGGAGTTTCTTCTTCACCAGTGCGCCGCTGAACTTTCCGGGGGGCGTCGCGAGTCCCCCGAACGCCATATGCATATTGTAAAGCGAGTCGAGGCAGCGCCCTGAATTGAAGCCATCAAGTCAGAATTCGTACTCAAAGTCCGCCCATGCTCCATCGTCAAGTATCGTGCCCCAGTCTGCTGGATAACTCATCGGCATGACAATATTTGAAGCTTCGGGGAAGAGTTGTCGTCCGAGAGGGTGACTTGACATGGTGTATAGCTGGGTCAAGCTTGGATCCTGCCCACACTGCAGTTTGCCATTCCCCATCAGAGGCTGTTCCTCGTTCGATATCTGGCCTGGTACGAGTGCCCCTGGGCCATGATGGTCAGGGCCCTGGCTCTTTGCCTGGACAGGCAATCCATTTACAGGCTCGTTTGGTAATAACTCGTCACCACTGCGTATTCTGCGTACAATCTTTGCGAATAGGCGGAAGATCCAGCCGCTCACTGGCCAGGTGCTCTGAAGCTCCCGCAGGGCTATCATTGCGAGGCGGACCTTGACAACGCCTAGCTGTTCGAGGATCGACTGCCCGGAGCATATATCCACCGCTTGCATCCCCATGGCTGCGAACAATGCTGGCACAATGTGAATGGGACAGTGCAGAATGTGAGATTGCGAGAGAAGTTCTTCGACAATGCGAACCATGCGGTTTGCTGCATCCATCGCTAGAGCATGAGCAGTCTTCATCGAAGGTGGAGACAGATCTTGGGGCGAGATGGAACGATGGGTGACGATCTCAAACCAGCTAAAGGGTAGAGGTCAGTCGTGGAGGCGCACAATAGTGAATCCCGCTCACCTGTGTGCTATGTGCAACATGCTCGTCCAAAGGCAATTACTTGTGTTCTCAATGGATAGCTGAGGCGGAAGCCGCGAACTCCACTGCTCAAGAGCGTGGGAACAATCCTGAAACATGTCGATATTGTCGGCTGTGGTGGCATTAAACGCTGTAAAGGACTTCTCAACAATGCTTTCGGCGATGAAGGAAAGCTCAACCAGGGCAATCACATAGAGGCAATCAACGGGCTCCGGAGTGCCGAAGATATCAGGTCTTGCGACAGGTTGTTCATCAAAGTCGGTAACATTGAGAAGCTCGACATCACAGTCTCTCCGTCGAGTGTGGACTGGTCGACCAAGGGCGGTCGCAGCATGCTTGTCCTAGAGAAGGTGAGCCTATGCCTGTCAAGAGTGTCAACAAATCCTACCTCTGCGAAGAGTGACCACCAGATCTTTTTCCATAGACACCGATCCTTCGATTTCATGTCTGAATGTTTTGTCGACCGGTGCATTCCAAGCGTGAGTGCCAGACTGATCGCGACGCCAAGCCAGTGCCACGTGTCTTTCTGATCGGTGGGCCCGTTCCACCAGAAACTGACGAGGAAGACCGCTTGCACGACGGTGACTTTGTTCGGTTCATGGTCGCAGTCATACAGAGCTTTGGCGCGTTGGAAAAACGTCTTCCGAGCGTGGTAGCGCGAATGGAAACCAGCCTCGATCAGGACAGAGAGATCACAATGCCCAGCAGCCATAAATAACACGGACTGTAGTAAGAGATAAGATGGCGGGTGTTCGAGATCAGTGTACTGGGCAGCGAAGTCGGCGCGGTCCAGGATAGGGTAATGAGGGTGGACATACTCGAAGTAGGTGCGGAACAACTGGTAGCAAGTGTGGACAGAAGGTATGGTGAAGCAGCCTTGATGCCGCAGCAACGACAGAACGAAGTCGTCGTCTTCCACGGGGTGTGTTGCTCGATTTTGGGGGTCAAATCGTACCAGGTAGTGTCTCTTGCGCGTGGATCGAGCAGAGTCCGCATTGGTTTGGCGTAGCAGATGGGTTAAATTGAATGTCTCGCCCATGTAGCAAGAATGCACCACGCCTTCCTTGACATCTCGAAGAGCATCCCCGTTAGTAGCTCTGTCGAGCACCTGTGCATAGAGGGTCTCTTGAGTTTCTTGTCCTGAATCGGGCGGGTCGGCGACACAGGTCGACGTAGACACAGTCCGGGGACGACCATCCTGCCCACTCTTCGGCCGAGTGCGAACCCCCTTCAATGGATCGTAGACGTTGCCCGGCTCGACAGTAGCTTCACCTGGAGATGTTGGCGCGAGACCTGGCAGGTCGTTCTCAATGGCAGAAGGGGAAGCTGTCACTTTCCGCTTCTTGCCTCGTTTGCTCTCGATCAAGAGGCAGTTGCGACGTGCGACCTCACAGTTCGAGCAGGGCGTCCCCTTTGCTGCAGCATTGCATTTGACGCGCCTCGAGTGACACCACGTGCATGCGACAGCGGATCGCTGCCGCGGCCGGCCACGTTGTGTCGATGAGCTCTGATGCGGTTGATCCATCATTTGGTGGAGTCATGCTCCGGAAGTCGGAAGGCTGTGAGAAGGGAGAGAAGACATAGGCTATGCCCCGGGGATTTTCCAGGCGCGATCCTTATGAATGAATGCGGGAGAGAGCAGATTGGGGTAACGCAGGCGTGCTCGGAGGGGGCAGGCGGGGCCTCACGCAAGGCTAGGGCTTGACCGTGAGCCATGAGTGTCGCTGACTGATGATTAGCACGACAATAAAGCAGACAGCAGGAAAAGAGGGGGATGGAGGAGGGTTACTGTCCGTTCGCTCCTGCGCATCACATCATGTGTTGCTGTACGTCAACCAGGCAGGCACATGTCCAACTTAGTGAACTTGAGACTCCCACCCAGAGCTATCGGCAATGACCACCAGAGAGGCGGGAGAAGGGAGTGGTCAACGAGAGTTATGCCGGGGTGTTGGAGAAGAGGAGGGAAAACCGTGACCGAGGCAACCCATGAAAGCCAAGGTACGGAGTATGTACACAGTACTGGTAATGGCTTCTTAGAACCTCGAACGAACTTTACCATGACCATAACACTATCGTTACGGAGTACATGCCTCAGGTCTGCAAGCGTGCGTCTATCCACCAACACAATCGCATACACAGTGTCCAACACCACCATGTTGCGGAGCTCACGCCAGCTGCAGCCAGAGTCCGTTGGCATCGGGCATATGTCGCTGCAAAGCCGGCCGAGTCTTTCTCCGGTTGAGTCATCAGCCTGGATAACCGAGTCGGCACGATATAGCCTACGCACAGGCAGACCCATAGCATACAGATGCTCGCGTCCTCGAGTCCTTCAGCGCCATTCTCGAGCCTAGACCCGCACAGATGCAAACAACGTATATCAATCGTGGAGACCCCACAGTCGACGTGCAGAACTAGCTACCTCCTGCGTCCTGTTGCCTTCCTTGCGTCGTGGTCGTCAACATGGCGCGGACATACACCTGGTACAATCTGCGCATCATCCTCGTCCTGACCTTGGGGAGTTTGACGTTTGGGTATGGCTTCTCGGTCATCTCCAATACCATCGGACAACCGGGCTTCATTCAGAAGTTCAACCTGCAAGCGAACTCAGACTACACTAACGCGATAACCGGTACCATCAATGGGCTCTATTGCGCGGGTGCGCTTTTCGGTGCGCTTCATGTGGGCTGGATGTGCGAGGCCCGTGGCAGGAAGGAGACCATGTATCTGGCGTCGGCGGTCAACGTCGTTGGGGGAGCCCTCGAAACGTGAGTCTTTCCAAACTCCTGGAGCAGCTTCGACCACTTCCCGGGGTTGCGTTGTCCGTGCCGCATTTCTCGTAGCACTAATCCGATGACAAAATAGTGGCTCTGTCAACATGGCCATGTTTTTGGTTTCCCGGTTCATCTCAGGCTGGGGAATTGGCATGATGGTTGTCCTGATACCAATCTATCAAGCCGAAATCTGTGAGTGCTGACCAGTGTCCTTGGTTACGTGGTTACTGACACCGTTGCCAGCGCCTCCGAATGCTCGTGGCTTCTTGGTGGGCCAGCACGGCACGTGGATTGTGATGGGTTATAGTCTAGCAGGGTGGGTTGGAGCTGGGACATATTATTCTTCAAACTTGTCCTTCCAATGGCGATTCCCGATTGCCCTGTCAATCATCCCGCCGTTGGCGTTGGCCTTGTGTGCTCCATGGATTCCGGAATCTCCACGCTGGTGTAAGTGGGGTCGGGAGACTCTTCTGTCGTGGTCTAAAGCGCTCACATCTTCCAGTGCTGACCAGGGATCGCCGCGACGAGGCATGGCAGATTGTCAACCGTCTGCACGGAGGCAGTGCCCAGGACGAAGGAAGTCTCCAATACGCACGTGAAGAATTCTACCAAATGTCTCAACAGGTCCAAGTCGACACAGCGGCATGGAGAGAAGGCGGCGGATGGGGCGGCATGCTCAAGAACAAGTCCTACCAGAAGCGGTTTTGGATGGGCTTCTTCATCCAGGTTTGATTTCCCCCAGGCCTCATGCCGCCCGAGTGCTGAACATCCGTGCAGTATGCCGCTCAATCAACAGGGGCGCAGGTTATCTATGGTAAGTCGACTAAACGGGATACACAGTCTGACCGAGTGGACCTTGTCTCACGCAGTTGTCGTCAGTCTACATCGTGTCCTTGTACCAGAATCTCGGCCTCACAGGCGGAGTTCCGCTGATCCTGGGGGCGGCGTATGTTACCGTCGCGACAATATCCAACTTTGTGGGCGCCCTGCTGCTTGACAAAGTAGGACGGAAACCACTGTTGCGTAAGTCGGGAATTTTCTCCAGACCTTTTGTCCGTGTAACGTCGGGATGGAAAAGCTGAACATGTGAATGTTGCTTAAATATAGTCGCCGGACTCACCGGGTGCATGCTTTCGGTATGCCTGGAGACCGCCATGATCGCCAGATATGCGGGCACGACGAACAATGCCGGACTTTCGATGGGCGTCTTCTTCTCATTCTGCTTCATCACATTTTACGGCGGCGGCATCGATGTGGTTGGCTACGTGTATTGCTGTAAGTCCATTTCCGGTTCTTCTTTCATCTTCCATGCATGCGCAGAGTGCTTTGCGACAGATATGCCGTGGAACAGTCTGTACGGAGAGGGTCCGGGCAGGACTGTATAGCCGGCCGGCGTGCCCGCTCCGTCAGGCGACCAGGAGCCATATTCAGCCCCGTGCTAGTCCGTATGCCCGCATGCATTGTTTGTCATGCCTAACATACTCCGTCGGACGGGTTATATCGGGAGATGCGGACGGGCCAACCCGGACTGCGGCGCTGACATGCATGTTTCTGATGCAGCGGAGATCTTTCCGACCACCATCCGATCGCAAGGCGTAGCCTGGTCGCTTGCAGGAACGTTCCTATCAACGTTAGTGTACGTTGAAGCCGCACCGACCGCTCTGGCAAACATCAAGTGGAAGTACTACATCATTTTCGTGTGCTTGACGTTTGTCAACATTGTGGTTTTCTACTTCTGGTGTCCCGAGGTAAGGCCTGTTTTAGACAAACAACGACCTCAGCTGCTGATCACAAGTGTAGACCAAAGGCAAGTCGCTGGAGGAGATCAACGCCCTGTTTGGCGACGAGGTGGTGGTGCATTTTGCGGACGCGACAGAAAAGCAACGGCACGAATTGACGGCCAAGGTCTTGGCCGAGGATGAAAAGGGCGACTTTGTCAGGCACGCCGAAAGCCCCAACGTCAGTACAGTGACAGCTCAGGCAAAGGTCTAAATCCGGAAAAATGGTCGTGTCACGACGGTGCAGCCTGAGGGGCTACTGTAACATTCCGACCATGCCCAACGGTATCCGGTGGCCCGGTGGCAGCGGCAGTTTCAGAGGTCGAGCCTCGAGTCTCGAGAGAGGCGAACACACGTAGCAGCTACCGTGGTGACAAAGGTACTTTAACAACCCGTTCAACAGTTCTCGCCAAATACAGAGTTTGACTTTTGTAGATGGCCGATCCTTCGTGATGATGGCCTCCATCTTGTCGATCAGTCCGGTCGGACGAGGGGTTCGCGGGGGGATCTTTCGCTTCCTAGCCAGCCACTTGGTGCTTCTGCATATCTTTATCGGAATGTGGTCACGAGTGACGTAGCAGAGTCCGGAGAGCACGGGTCCAGGGGACGGCCGGATCCCCTGAGGGAAACATTGCGTTCGCAGGGCAGGGCAGACACCCACAGCAGTCAAGCAAGGCCGTGGCTGGGGCCGTTGGGCGGGGCGGCAGCTCGATTGGCTGGCGTTGAGCAGTGCCTTGTGGCTGCATTAGGCTTCGGATATTAATATCCTCGCTAAACCCACACTAGCGAACTCTTTTGGACAGTCCGCCAATCAGCCCACTCCGGTATCTGGTAAATGCAATGCGATTCGTCCAACATCCGTAGCCACCCCGACGTATCTCGCAGGGATATCTTGATCCAATTTCCCGGGGGTTAAACCTGATCGAGGCCAGAGTTGCCCTGCCTCCAGGGGGCTAAAGTGAGACATTGCGACATGGCGAGATGGCCATGGGGGCAGGTCACCAAAGGTCAATCAAAAAGAAGGTTCCACACTAGGTGACTATCGAAATACATGCCTCGCCTGGCTCGCCTTTGTGGCCGCTGCGAAGAACGAGCAGTTCTGTGTTACCAACCACCAGACGACAACAACAACCTCCACCGTAAGGCGATACCACATGGACCGTTGCCGGCTCTGGCTCATCTAAAGTCACTTGCTCGGCTCGTCACCAACCTCGCCTTTTCTTGAACATTTGCTCTTCTTCGCTCCCCCAAGTCCCTCTGCCGGGTCCAACTTCGAACTTCAAACTACGTCTTCAGCAACAATTTTCAATTCCCCTGGACTTTACAGTAACCGGTCCAGGCGTTCGCTTCTCATGTTGTGCGAGATTGAGGGAACCCGCCGACTTTTCTATTTTGGTATAGTAAGGTGCTCGCTCGCTCGCTCAGTCGCCACGAGCTGCCCTTGTCCTACCGGTACGACTGTGGACCACGCGGTATCAGATGAATCATCCTTTTAAGGGGGAGGTCGACACGACGCCACAGCATTACTAGCACAGACACAAAGACGCCCAAGTGGACTTGGACTGCTTGGACTGCTTGGACTGCTTGGACTGCTTGAATTCTCGACAACACATTATTGTTTATTGTATGTAGCCCGCCGCGAGACGACACACCCTATCACCCTTGAACACATTCTTCAGCTTCAGGCGCCGTTGTTGTCTCACTCTTGCTCGCTCGCTCTCTTATCCTTTCTTCTTCATCCCCGTCCAACCGGTTGGGCTGGTGGCATACAATATCTTGCAACATACGGCACACGCCAGCAACGAGGTCAATTGCCAGCACACATAGCCGCAATGGCATCAACTTCTCTGGACGTGACCCCTGGCCTTCTGGATCTTCCGCCGGAGGTGAGAAACCTCATTTATAAATTCTCCTTTCAACAGCCGAAACCGATGCGGCTGAGATGTCCTTCTCAACGACGGCTTCGTCCATCGCGACCATCCAGAGACGATGCGCGTGGGCTGCTCGACACTTGTCACATGATCCGGTCAGAGGCCATCACCTTTTATTACAGTCTCAATGCTCTGGTTTTCCGCTCCGAGGCCGATGCTCTGGCATTCATGTCGGACCCCGACATCCATCCCTTGATCCGGCCGTCGTTGACGCACATTGCCGTCGATTTCGGCGACAGTAATGATGCCGACGCCATCCTCAAGGACCACATCAGTCTCGTGGACAGCTGCGTGGGAAGCCTGCCCCGTCTCAGGACGTTGGAGACGCGCTTCTACGCCCGGACGCTCGATGCTTGTTCGTCTTCACATTTCCGGACGCTGGCCATGGCCTTCGACTCGCTCGACACTGACATTAATACTCCGCCATCACCACGCTCGCCTCGGTCGTCGCCGCGACACTCTCGTCAGAGCTCCATCTCCAGCGCCAGCTCGTCGCCGGCATCATCACCCTTGAGCACATGCTCGTCCATATGCTGGGAATCGGAATCGAAACCAGAACCAGAACCCTTGCCTGTGCCAGACATGTCAGCTCTCCAGGCAGAAGTCCTGGAACAGTATTGCTTCACCCCTTCAGCGGCCATCGCGTTTGCACATTCGAAACTCAAGTTCTCGGTCGCCGCCTCGTCGGAACACTACCCAGGCGTGAAGCACGACAAGCTCATCTGTTACAACCTCCGCATTGGGGTCGATGGAGTGGCCAATGCGTTGGGTCCTGCCAAGGAGGCCGTCAAGCAGCGAATCACTCGCGTGGGCATGTTACCTCGGCCACTGAGCGACATGTATGACGACGCGATCGATGGCGGGTTTCACCAGAGGGTACGGTCGACGATCGCCAGTTGTGCGAGGATCGACGTGGGTGTTTCGTGATGGCAAACACCGCATCACGTGCAACAAGGGGCATCTTTTCTACCATTTCATCGCGTCGCTGGAGGTCACAGTGTCGCTTTTTCATCTCATCGTTGGTATCCGTGGAGGTCACCATTTGTGTTTTGACTTGTGGAGGTTGTCACTTCCTGAGGATTATTGTTTGCCTCGGGGAGGGAAGGCACCAGGGTTGGGATTGGCTCACACCAGAGAAGGCGAGGAACAGAGATCTGGGAACTGCCCTCGGATATGTCGCGGCGCCCCTTAATGGTTTTTCTTTCTTCATCATGCAGATACCCTGGTCGGCAGCACCTAGCATCATATTGTAATTACCGACATGAGATGACGAAATGAGACATGATGATGAATTTTGAAACACTGTTTTCATGTTTGTCTTTGTCAGTCGGGACAAGGCGTCTTGACGCAGATACCAAGTGTGCACTCCACATTCACTCACCCTGCCCGTTTCATGCATGAAGGATTTCCACGGGGTCGATGTACCAGGTTTGCTCTCACCGCCACTGTTTTGTTACCGAGTTTGCTCCTGTGCTTGTGCCTCGTGATCGGAACCAGGAAGCAAACACCCGCATGCTCAAACATGCGAAATCTGGCTTGTGCGACTCCGATCCCGGACACGCCCTCGGCCAAGACGTAGAATGCAGCCTTCTGGAAAAGCATCCGAGCGTTGCAATTTCACCTGCAGTGCGGCTCTTGAGCAACCAGGTGCCGAAAAATGTGATTCAGGTTCCCTCGGGATGGTAGCATGGTCGGGATGCCGTGACAGACCGATCTCTCTGACAGGTATCTCAAGAGCTAGACGTAGGTGATAAAGCAGCTGCCGAGATCCTGTGTCGAGCCCCAAACTCCCTTCGTCTTCAACACACGATCCAGCCAAACATCATCACCGAAGAGTGAACAGTCGACCCAGATTCAACAACCACAACGATTCACAAACCAGGTCGAGCGAGTCGGTCCTACGCCTCCCCAACACTACCCCGACTCATCATGTGCGAGACAGTCCGAATCCACTACCACTGTCCCCACTTCGGCTGCAAAGGGTCCATGTTGACCGAAGACAACCTTTGCAAGCACGCGAAAAAGAACAAGCCATGCAAGACTCATCGACATCGCACCCTCGCGGGAGAGACAAAGGACTGCGCGTCCCATCGCCGACAGAAATTCGAAGGACACAGCGGACGGGGCAATCCAGACTGGTGGGATTAGGTCCGCCCTGAGGACCTACAGAGCTCATCTGCTTTTTTTATGACCGGGAGTCGGTTTGGTGAGGACATGTAGGACCACAGCGTGTAAATGAAGTAAATGAAGAACAAAGTCACCGCCTGTGCGCCATTGGCTGGGTGAAACCCTCCAGGAAAGTCTTGTACTTCTCATGCCTGGATATGTCGGACGAACCAAGTTTGTAAAGATAAACCCAGGGACAAAAGCAGACGCAGGCTGGCACCTGTTTGATGTGAAAAATGCGAAGAAGCGCTTCATGGCATTCTTACCGCTTGAAGTCTAAAACCTTCTTGAGTCTTGCCCAGGCGGTTTCGACCTCTTCCGGAATGTCAATATGGACAATGAAGTCTTTTCCGCAGGGACCGTAGCCATTCCCATCGTCTCTCAGCCGAGGTATTTCGCCCATCAACAGGTCGAAGAAGCGTCGGTGGTCCCAAAGAGCTGCAGATTCGATGCTGGTCATTGACTCATTGGAGTCCGCTACAACGCGTGGGTCGCCTGCTCCGTCGTGATCAAGATATACCTTCGGTACAAAGGTTGGACAGGCGAAGAAGTGGGGTGGGGTTGCGAGATCCTGGTAAGTGTGCTGAAATGCCGCGAGAGTACGCAGTGACATGGTGGGATCCTGCACGACGATACAGGAGTCAATTTTCGCGATGCCATGGAGCTCAAGGACCTGCCGCGTACAGATGGCGTTGGCTCCGCAGTTTGTAGACTTGTCCTCAATAATGAGCTTGGTCCCGCCATCGTCGATGCGTTCTGCAAGCTTGGGGTAATATCGTCTGAGCATTAGCTCGTATACAGCCGCCTCAGGCAGATGATGAGCCTGGCGGGCAAGAGCACTGAATTTCTCACTGTCTCGCACTGCATCGTACAGGAACTGGGTGGAGTGGCCTATGCCGCCGCATATGACTAGTGTTCTCGTCAGTTCAGGTCGTGCCTCCAGTGCTGAGAATACGTGTTGCGCAATGGGGAGAATAGCGTTGCCGCAAAAGACTATAACATCAGCAGAATCACACGTCCAGAGAGACGGGATTTGCGAGCAGGCAAGGAAGCGAGAGATCGTGTTGACGTCTGAGATGTCATCCTCGGAAAGGGCGACCATCGCGAGTACTCCTCAGAGAGACTCGGATTTCTTCCACAGCTCCTAGTGTTTATCTCCCGAGCTGGTCTGACCGGCAACTGAAGTGTGACAACTCGCTCTGCACTGTGATTCCATGCACAGAACCGAAGGATTCAAGGATCCAAGATGCGAGAATTTGGCTAGTCACGTGATTGTGTTGCGCCAAGGGATTTGGCGGGGTTGATCGACATGATCTGCTCCACTTCTAGCAAGCGGCAGGCTCCGAGTTCATCCCCTGTTCATCTCAACCTCAAATCGATCTCTCTCCTGCGTCTCATTCGATTTCACTCGCTCGACCTCAGCAATGACTTCGGGAATCGCGCTGGACCTTCAATCATTTCTCCTGCGGGATCAAGACCTGGCGTGGCATTGCGACACACATCACTGAAACGTTTCACGAGCGACTGACGAGAAGGATCAGGTTCAAGTGCCTTTCTCATCTTGGCGAAAGAGGCACACCGTATGCGATGCAACTCTGTTTTGCACTCCAAGACCACTGCGTCTATGCCAAGATGGCTGCAAGGCTTGAGACTCTTGGTGCCACTGGGAAGCTTGATCCTTCGGACGACGCTTTGTCACTTAGGAAGCTCGTGAAGCTGCCTTCTGTCAATACCGTTACGCCTTCCTACTGCAGATGCGGAGAGCGGTCCGATAACAGGATCTCCATTCTAGTGACAGCTCCATGTCCACGAGCTGCGCGCAATATTACAGAGGCTCACCACTGCGCATGTCAATTGGTGTTCCTGACCTGCCTCCTCCACGCAGTATCCCAGTCTGGTAATCCATCGTGCCTTGCCGCAGCTAGCATTCGAACACCTTCGAGCACGCATGATGTAACTATCTGACCCGGCAAGTGATTGCGTTCCTGGTCAATTTCGTGTCCGATATGCGCAATCTGCAATGTGGCTGCACGTCCATTGCACAAGATTGCGGGTAGCTGCGGCAAAGGATCTTCAGTGTGGGCCATAGCAGAGCCACGGAAAAGGACGTGGAAGTAGGGTGGCGAGCGTCAAGGGCGAAGCACTTTTTATCTGAGCCAGCTCCCTCAGCATCCTGAACCTTCCTCTGTTCTTCAGCCACTCGACCAAGATGTATGCGCAAACAATTGTGGTGACGGCATTGGCTGTCTTGCCATTTGTTGTCACGATCACGCCCGAGTGCGTGTTCGAGTCGATTCTGCTGGGAAGCCTTCACTAACACCGTGCAAAGGCAGATGCTGGCTGCGCCGCGACGTAGCGAGCTGTCGCCCAATCCCTTTTGGGGGTAGGCGAGATCGGAGCTCGCAGCGAATGGTAGTACAAGGCTAATACTAGTGTCACAGGAACTCGGAATCTTCAGTGCGACGAGTTACTTGTGGGACGGCCACGAGTCCGAGACTGTTTGGAACCTGGTGAATTTGACGAGTGGAAGAATCTCATTGCTGTACAATGGCTCGGAAATCTCGGAAATCGCATGGGCGACCCGAACAATACGAGCATTCTTCAGATCAATGGTACCAACGAGGAAGACAATGGAGGCATAAGTCTTTATGCTGGCGACGCCACGGCCATCGATGAGGCGTATGAGTATACGGATCACTGGTGCACAACATTACTGACGCTCGCAGGTACCTGGTTGCCTGGCTTCCAGCGCCATCCTATGGGCTCAAGGCCGTTGTCACGCCGTCTGGGAACGTCAATTTCCTGTTGAACTGTCTGGCTTGGCCTAATGGGACCGCGTACAACGAGGCGTTTGCAGAAGAGCCTCTCAGTAGGGCGAAAATCTATGATAGCATCTATGTCCGGCATTGGGATACCTGGCTGACCGAACGGAAGTATGCTGTCTTCGCCGGTACACTAGCGGGTGGGAACAGACACTCTCTGCGTGGTAGTTTGAGGAATCTCATCACCAACATTACCAACGTCACACGGGCACAGAGTCCTGTCCAACCGTTCGGTGGCTCTGGCGACTGCGACATCTCCCCTGACGGGTCTTCGGTGATCTTCTTGACCAAGAATATTGACCTGCCACTCGCAAATTATACATCTGCCCAAATTTGGCTAGTCCCACACAATGGGTCAAGAGCCGCTGTGCCGGTCAACGCATTCTCTGGGAGCTCGACCCCACGAAACGCGAGAGGTGCGTCGGCCGCACCCTTGTTCTCTCCGGATGGTACGAAGATAGCGTATTTACAGATGAATGGCATCTCCTACGAGTCGGACAAGAACGAGATCTACGTCGCGAACGCAACCCCAGCAACTTCAACATCACCGTGCTAGCGGAGGATTGGGACACCACCCCTGGACAGCTCAAATAGGCTCCGGATGGCTTATCCCTCTTCGTGGCCGGTCCCGATCTTGGGAATGAGCGTCTCTTCCAAGTTCCACTGACGGCCTCGGCCACCTTCCAGCCGACTAACATCGCGAACGCTGGTGTCGTCGCCGCATCTTACGTGCTGCCAAATGGCAACCTCTTGGTATCGGATTCTAAAATCTGGTCGTCGCGGGACTTCTGTATTGTTGGATCCTGAGGAAGAGTCATCACTAGTATCCTTCAGTCAAACGAAGTCGATCCTGAACTTGCAGGTCTTGGTCCTCGGGGTGTGTCAGAGTTCTACACCGCCGGCGGTAATACCCAGGTTCAGAGTTGGATCATATACCCGACCGGGTTCAATGCGAGCAGGACGTATCCTCTGGTGTTCGTCGTCCATGGCGGTCCTCAGGGTGGCCATTACAACTCTTGGAGCACCAGATGGAACTTCAGAGTCTGGGCTGATCAGGGCTACGTGGTTGTGGCACTGAACCCGACCGGCATTACCGGCTGGGGTATGACTTTCCAAGCCGCTATCCAGGACAACTGGGGCAGCTACGTGAATTTTGCTATTCTTCGAATCGCCGCGCTATTCAGTCCAAGACCCGTCTTTGTCATCAAGGCGATAATGACTAACGTATGCTCTCAGCCTTACGAGGATCTTTTTGCCTTTTGGGAGTACGTCAACAGCACGTTTGACCACATCGACACCGAGACCGGCATCGAGGCTGGCGCGTCTTACGGCGGATACATGACGAACTTTATCCAGGGTCATGACTTGGGAAGAAGATTTAAGGCTCTCGTCACGCATGATGGCATGACCAATGCTCAAGGATCTTACTCAACTGAAGAACTCTTGGTTCACTCAACACGATGTGAAGTTTGGCATGCCACAGAAGGATGAAGCTGACGCCGCATAGTTCAACGGCACTCTTTGGGCCAATAGAGTCAATTATGACGAATTCAATCCACTCAATTGTATTAGCGAGTGGGCTACACCGCATTTCGTTGTGCACAACGAGCTGGATTATAGGCTACCTATTTCCGAAGGTCTCATGCACTTCAACATCCTGCAACTCAGGGGTGTCCCTAGCAGATTCTTGAGCTTTCCCGACGAGAATCATTGGTAAGATTCTCAAGTGCCAGCACGTGGAACATCTTGGTGACGTGTGTTCTCAGGGTTCTGAACAGGGAGAACAGCCTTGTTTGGCACAGAGAGATCTTCGCCTGGATCAATCACTATCCAGGCATCTCCAAGTAGAGAGCCTAAACAGGTGGCTATGGCTGCCGTGCCATTCTGCTTGCGATCAGCACGATAGTGAAAGTATGAGCGGGACTGCATAGGAGAGCTTCGGTAGAAACAGGAGCAATAATAGTATCGTACAGAGTACCAGCAGATGTTAGATGCACCAAATGCAACCCAAGACCGACCCCAGAAATTGCGTCATTCGGGCACTTTATGAAGATGATACCAAACCCTACCGGTCCAGTGTGTCCTCACCGTCCTCTGTCGGCAGCCATCAGGTCATGCATGTGCTTGTCGCATTTTGACATTCTGTCCCTGTTCCATTACGTGCTGCCAAACACGGTCTCGTGTAGCTTGTCACAGTCCCTGCAGGTCAGCGGTCCCGACTTCCACAGAAACGACTGAGTGCAGCCTCCTCGTTCTTGGAGTCTCTGCCCCACTGCAACGCGCCTACTGCACCATGATGAAACGCCAATAACCAAGAAATGACGAACAACGAATCGCTCTTGTCTCTGAGACTGACGGTGGACAACGAGCCTGGGGCTCCAAGATGATCTGCGGCGCGCATGCAGCAAGATGAAAATTTTGCGCGATCATCTTATCTTGATTAGATGAGAATTATCTGATCAGATTATCATGAGGCTTGCTAGGCACTCGCCGCCCGCGACACTGACACTGCGCTTCGCTTGTCCCCCCCCTAAAATGAGTCGGGGCTTCTTGCTCTATTCGGCAGCTGTTGAGCGCATTGGTCTTGCTCCGACATCGCTGTCGATGTGTATTGGCTCACTTTCGCATACCTCCGTCATGGTGGAGGTTATTTCGGTCAGAGGATGCCCTTGCTAAGTCACCTCGCAGTACATCTGTTCAGTTCACCTTGAGCAGCTCATATGGAGTCCTTGACGCTGATCGTGCTACCTACTGCTCGTGGGCTCCAGCCCTGATGCGCTCATTTGTTGTGTATGTTGGGTTGAGGATGGGTCTGATCGTCGGTCACTGCTCGGACCTCTCCTTCAGATGGTTTCATGGATTGATATTGCCCGCCCATCCTCAACCATGACTGATTCGAGAGCCTCTTCCTCACGTCTGTCAGGCTTGCTCCTGCGCTTCTCTTGCCCAGCTTGCCAGCAAGATGTCTGCCGCTCGAGAAGGTCGTTTCTCTGCAGAGGCCAGGCCATCGAACGAGACCACAATAGCGGCGAGCATTGCGTCCGCTGTCGTGGACGAGGAAAAGAACCAAACGACCGAGGATCGAGTTCAATCAGATTCTGAGAATGATGATGATAATCAGGAAGCCATGGACGCAGCCTGGGGCAAGCATGGGAGGGTTTGGATGTGGATAGGGTATGCCGCCCTCGGTCAAGTCTAAACCGACTGCTGACAGTAGACTCTAGCATCGCACTGATGTGGACCATCTTGTAAGTACAGCACATCAGAGCACATCGAGACCGTACTGACGAGAGTCAGCGAGCTTGACCACGCCACCATCTACAACTATCAGAACTATGCAGCTTCCGACTTCGAAGAGGTCGCTCTCCTGGGTGCGTTGATGACCGCTGGGACCATTGTCAGTGCCGTCCTGAAGCCACCTATCGCGAAGATATCCGACGTCATCGGGCGAGCCGAGACGTACATGGCCGTGGTCGTTTTCTATGTCGTCTCCTACATTCTTTGTGCGTCTGCCAGGGGATTCGGCCAATATACTGGAGGCTATGTCGTCTACTGTATCGGCCAAACCGGCATGCAGATCCTCAACCAGGTCATCGTGGCGGACATCACCTCGTCGAGATGGCGTGGTCTTGCGAACGGCCTGGTCAACCTACCGTTTATGATCATTCCTTGGTGCTCGGCATTCATTGTTGACAGCGCTCTCGCAAACATCGGCTGGCGGTGGGGCATTGGGATGTTCGCCATCATCATGCCGGTCTGCTCTGTAGCCGTCATCATCCCTCTACTGTGGTTTCAGCGCCGACTGAGACGGGCAGGCGGTACTGTTCGAAACAAGACAACAACCCGCGGATTCGTCTCTCAAATTGACCTCGGCGGAATGGTTCTGCTCAGTGGAGGCTGCGCAATGCTCCTGTTGCCACTAGCACTCGCCGGAAACACTTCTGGGCGTTGGCGAGCACCATGGGTTCCGACTCTGATTGCATTAGGAGTCGTCTTCCTCCTGGCACTGGTATATTACGAGGCTCGGATAGCGTCAAAACCCGTCATCCCGCCGCGCTTCGTCAAGAATGTCTCCCTGGTCCTTGCATTCCTGATAGGCTTGCTCGACGCCTTTGCCTACAGCGTCACGCACACCTACCTATACGCATGGGCAACAGTGGTTCACGAATTTACGCCGCGGAATGCGACGTTCCTGACCTATGCCGCCGGCTGTGTGCAGGTCCTAACAGGCTTGGGCACGGGCTTCCTCATGTACCGATCAAAGCGTTACAAGTGGCTTCTACTGATCGGCGTCATCATCCGGCTCATCGGTTATGGATTCATGATGCGCCTTCGTGGTGCAAACAACTCGATCGGAGAGATATTCGTCATGCAGATCATCCAGGGGGCGGGCAGTGGCATGGTCGGCACTGTGGTCATTGTCGTTGCGCAGGTAGTCGTCCCACGAGCGGAGCTGGCACAGTCGACCGCGCTGGAACTTCTTTTCATCTACCTTGGCAACAGCATAGGCTCTTCCATTGCAGGCACCATTTATACAACCCTATTCAAGCAACGGTTACGCTTCTGGATGGGCCCTGGCACCCCGCAATCGGCCATCAACAGCGTGTATGACACGATTACCGAGGTCGTCCCTCAGCCAGGCTCAAGCGAACGGATGGCGGTCAATCACGCTTACTCAGACATCTTGCGGTACATGACCATTGCCGCCTTGGTCGCATCAGCGATTCCCCTGGTCGTGGTATGGTTCCTGCCCAACCTCAAGTTGAGCGACAAACATAACCTTGCTGGTGATCAGACGAAACCCGAAGGGTCGGACACGGAGACGGATTCAATTGAGGAGACCCGGGTACAGAAATGGAAGCGAAGGATACGTTGGTGAGCTTTGGCATCCGAGGTTACCGCATAGCATGGAATTACAAGGCGCTACGGTGATGCATACGAGCGAGGGACATCAGGAGCCCTATGGAAGTAGAAAGTCACGGCGCAGGGTTACGCAACGGTTGATGTCGTCAAGGAAAGTCATGGAGGCATGGTCATTCTCGGCTTACTGAGTAGACAGCATTGCGAAACAGAAGCTGTGTATAGAGATGGTGGGAAAGTTCACTCACTGTGGCCTGGCTTATGTAAGCGGTTTTGCATGGCAGTCGGCGCCATTTGTGTCCGAGTCTCGTGCAAAAGACGGAGGTCAGACGGCTTGCCACGTGACCAACTCACAATGCCTACCGCGCACATCTGCTCGCCTGACGCACTATTTCTCCCACGCGATCGCCCCACGAAATCTAATCTGATATGAGTCTGTCGGCTCCGAAACCTAATCGAATGACCACAACCTCTTCTTCGCGTGACAAGCACTGGCATAACTGTGTTGACAATCTGGTCGCGTCTTAGACCGTTCCCTTCCACGACGTCAAGGCAGCTGAGCATACGCCGCGAAGAAATTGCCGTCGAGCGCGGCTCGTCTCTGCGCCAAGCCACATCAGCAATAATCATCGTCTGCGTCATCATCGAAATGTCTTGTTGACCCTGGACCTCCCGCAAAATCACAAAGTCCGCGCAGGCACAGGGATGGCGCTTCAAAGGCCACTGCCGGTGGAGACTCTCCTACCGTTCGACCAGATTCGGTCCTCGGAAACGCGCGCCATCCTGCAAGACGGCGACCGGCAAGACTCCAACACTTACAGTCAATCCCCAGATAGCCAGGAAGACGACGACGCGTCCGGCACTGAAAAGCCCAAGCGCCAGAAGCGCTCGCGCGCATGTGTCGCATGTCGCAACATGAAGATCCGGTGCCTTCCCATAGAGGGTCAAGAGGCATGCAAAGCATGCTCCAAGGTGAATCGTCAATGCATCATGCCGGGGCCACCGCGAAAGCGACAAAAGACCGTCCACAAAGTCGCCGAACTCGAGAAGAAGATCAACGCACTGACAGAAGCCCTACTGGCAAAACAGCAGCAGACGGACACCGGCAAGCTGGAGGCTGAGTCGCCGCCCAAGGACGCTGCAACAACTTCAAGCTCCGAGCCAGCCCGAACAGAGGATACCTCCAACACCAGTCTGGACAGTTACCATCGTGCTATGATAGAACAGGCATTCCCGCCAACCGCTCAACCCCGATTCAATACGAGTTGCGGTGGCGGGCCTCCCTTCGAACCTCTTGCGAGGGACGATTATGTCGACGTCGTCGAGCGCGGAGACTTGACCGTAGAGTCCGCCACCAAGCTGTTCTCCTTCTGGAGGGGTCGCATGTGTGAAACCACCCCGATGATCGTCTTTCCTGCTAGCGCTGATATCCAGGGGATTCGGAAAACTCGGCCCATGACCTTCTTGGCCATTCTGACGGCTGCGAGCGCGGTAATCCAACCTTCAGCCCAGCCTGCCCTGACCATCGAGCTCAACCGCCAGATCTCGGAAAGGGTGCTCTTCCACGGCGACAAGTCCTTGGACCTGATCCAGGCAATGCTGTTCAATTCCCAGTACTACATCAGGCCTAGGACTGCTCGAGATATGGCGTTCAACCTCAACATCCAAGCCGCAAGCGTCATGGCCCTGGAGCTTGGGATAGGGAAACGGTCCAAGGTGGTAAGGAATCCTGAAGAGGAGGCCGAACTCTGTCGGACATGGCTCGCCTGTTATCAGTCGAATATCACGTAGGTGCCCGAGATGCGCGTGCAACGGGCTAGCTAATTTCCGAGTACAGTGTCACCAACATCCTTCGCCTTCCATCACTTATAAGGTTTGGACCCCGTGTCGAAGAGTGCCTTGAGACGCTCTCGAAAAGCCCGTACGCTGTCCCAAGCGATAAGTGGCTATGTGCGACCGTTGGTCTCGCCCGCATTGCCGAAGAAGTCTCCGCGGCTTTCGACATGGACGATCCAGGTGCCGAGCTCAAATTCACCGAGCCTAGGATCCAGCATCAGCTGAAATGCTTCCAACGGCAGCTGCGCTTGTGGGAGAAAACAGTCGACGTCTCTATTGATCCGCGTAAGTCCAACCGGAATCAGTGTGGCCTCTACAAAACTAACACGGCGGAAGGTCTCGTGCGACACCACTCAGCCTGTGCCAATCTGTACATCCACGAGATTGCGATCCACCACGACCACAACGTCGACGACTTTCGCGTCGCGGCGCAGTCGCTGGAGGAGCGCAAACAGCCCGAAATCGTCACCGCGGCGCACGTTGAAGCCCTGTCGACCCTGCTGACCAGCAGCCACCAAGTGCTGGATACCTACCTCTCCTTTGACTCCGACAACGCCCGCATCCTTTCCAACCTCTACATCGTCCGGAGCGCCTACGCCATCATGGTGCTCATGAAGCTGCACTGGATCTTCAACTCCCCCGAATCCAAGTTCGGGTCCGTCTTCCTCCCGGACCTGCGCACGAGTTACTATCTCGACGCACTGCTCGGTCGATTAAGCGAGATCTCGGCCGACGGGATGAACCCATGCGCCGCGGCGTTCGGATTCGTCTTCACGAAGCTCAAAATGTGGCACCTGCACCGCACGGGACAACTGCCCGAGGACGAAGCGGCTGGCGCGACGAGTATCATGCCACAGAACCCTGGGCAGGGGCAGAGGCAGGCGGTTCCCTCGGCAAAACGGATGGACATCCCCGGGATTTTAGGGCCCGTTAGTAGCAATGATACGCCGACGACGACTCTACCGCATCAACGCCCCTTTACGCCGAGCTTCATGCCCGGGGGAAATTGGAACAATGGCGAAACTGTCGGGAACCTTCAATCCGGCCAGAACTTGAATGCCGCGTACGATGCCGCGAGTTATGGGCGGACGAATTGGGAGCAGTTCAACTTCAGTACCGAGGAGTTGGACATGTTTGATATATACATGAACAACAGTGGATGGATGGGGTATTTGTTGTAGCGCACGGAAGAATGCAGGGGGTGCTGTTTGCTTAGCACAGCGGCACCCTGTGTCTATTATTCATGGTTCGGAACGTACCTAAGTAGCTGGACATCCACTCGTCACTGACTCCTTTCAAATGCCGGACCGGACGTCTCCTTTTCACCACTCTTGTCATGAACCGCGTGCCTCTCGCGTCCATACCAAGCACAGGCTAAGAGGGCCGTAATCAAGCATAAAGTGCTCGGATTTCTCGGTCTTTTTGGGCGATCCCCAGAGGATGTGGACCTCTCCTTGACACCTCCAACTAATAACACGGAATACTACACCGATGGACCCATTCAAAGACGTGCAACGTGAAATGCATACCACTATCAACCAATTCAGCCATCCATAGCGTGCCTTGTCATATCCTAGCCTACCCATTCTGACCAGTTCTGTCCTGTTCCGCCATGCCATGCCACTGCTCTCCACAGTCGCGTAAGTAAATCAATCCCATATTTGACACTCCATATCTCCAAGACGCGTCTAAACAAGTTTGCCCTCCGTTTCGCAACCGTGACCGTGGAACCGTAATCGCGCCCGTATGAAAAGTCACCTCACCTCACGCCACCCCACCTCGACTTGGGTACGTGAGTGCAACTCAACTCAACTCAACTCCACCCAATAATCCCCTCCCCTAGGATCATTCCGCTCCGCCGATCGGCAATCGACACGGTCCGCCCGACCACGCCGTCCCCTCCGACACCCAGATCCAGTCGACGGCCAGTACATCCTCTGGGGGGGTCATTCATCCTGGTGTTCATGGTGACGGGGAAAGAATGGACGATGGGATTTGATGAGGTGGAGTCGAATTCTGATTCCGAATCTGAATCTGATTCTGATGCTGAAGCAAGGCTGGGCGTCGAGGTTCGTGATGATCGTGAGGACGGCGAGAATGAGAGTGAGGGTGAGAGGGATAGGGGTGCGCCGTATTTACTGGAGCGAGCGTGTTAGTAAGTCGTCATTCATCCAAGCGATCAAGCATCAGAACATCAGGGCAGGAGGCAGAGGCAAGACAAGGCAAAGCCAATCAATCAATTTCCGATCAAGTGACTTGGTCGGGGAACCAGCCAGCCAGTCATGCGTGGGTGCGTGCGTGCGTCTGTACAAGAAACCACATAACGGCCTGAATGCCTTTGCTTTCCCTCCCAAGTCACGACGAGGGCCGCGATTGACGGTAAGAGCGAGTAGTAAAGGGTGTGATAAAGCGAGAGAGTAAGTGCAAGGCAGAATAGCCAGAGTCCAACAAGATTCGAGTTCACAGAAACTTATAACTGATGAAGACGGCCGGAAAATAGGAAATACGTGACTTACTGGATTCTAACGTTCAACGACACTCCCGCGGCGTCGTCTGCAGATTGCAGCGTCGTTGTCGTGGTCTCATCACCCGGTCCATTCGAGAGACTTAGTCGCGCGCGAAATGAAGGGTCGGAGAGGGGATGGATGATCGCGACGCGGATGGCCGAGTCTGGTGCCGCGGGACGATTGGAGTCGGTGCACATATTGGTGCGCTGAGGTGGACGGCCGGCAGGTTGGTAGATAGGTTGGTGGGTAGTTGATCGGAGTCGATGGTATGGTCTGGTGTCCACGACTGGCTGTAGGTTACAAGATACTCCGTATGTGGTGAACTATGGCGTAGAGCGAAACACAAGGCGAAGGACGATGTAGATGGACAGATCCTCCGTACGGGGACACAATGATGAAAACAGATTCTCATTCACAGTCTTATACCAAACATGAGGCCGGGGTCGTCGGCCTAGCGGTGAAGATGGAATTGGGATTGGAACGAATGAATACCTGCTCAGCTCATTTCGACTCGACGCGACTCACCTTACTTTGCAAGCTACAGAATATCCAAGCCTGCTGCATTCGGGCACAATTTCACGCCTCAGCCTTGATATTGGCGTTTTGAGCAAGATTTCGAGTCTCGTTCCAGCCTCGCATGAAACCTCATCTCCGTGGCGTGGTGGGAGTGAGCACGTTTTCGGAGGCATCGCGGTGTGGTGCGCGTGTTTGGACGAGATGAGGCTGAAGGGTGAGCAGGTTTCGCTAAAATTAAATGCGGGGGCTGAAGCGAACCGATTCGGAGGGTCGCAGCTGCCCAGGTGGCTTGAGCACGTGCTTGGGTGCTAGGCATCCGCATCGGGGCAGCTGCACTCCACAGTAGAAGCTCGAGCTCTACAGAGGCGCAGCTGATCTCATGCGCTGGCCAAGCGTCGTCGCTGATGCTATTCTTCTAGCGCGATGGCGGCTTTCTTCTTCCACCATTGATATCTCTACAGCCACTTGGAAGCCTTGTGTCTGCGCGTGAGAGTATGAGGCAAGGTCGGACGCAGGATGTCCAAGCCTCAATACTGAGTGATCCAACCAACGCCGCTTTTGACCGTTAGGCGCCTCTAATACATTGACTTCCATCTGGAGTTTCATTCAGTTCCAACTCAGCTTTCACTCAGCACGACCCTTTCCGCGCCCTCGCCACAGTAACACCAACATCCGCCCTGAGCGGAGTCTGCGGCTAGGTCGGCATGTATGTATGTCCCCACTGAGAACCGTGGTCTAAAGGCACGATGGTCGAAGAGATGATTCTCGGCCAACATCTCTGACACTCCCTACAAGTGAACTCTCGGTCCCAGACATGGAATAGAATTCGCTGCCTCACATTATCCACGTATTCATCTACAGTTCACAAGGATCATTTCCACACTCTACCAACGCACAGCTTTCACAGTGCTACAGGCATTTCTCAGCGGGAAAACGGTAGTGCATTTCATACGGCTGACACATATCGACTGTATATCTCCGGAAAATGCTGTCTTAGGCAGTCGTTAAACTTGGCGCGATCCCCAAGTCCCATTTCCGACCACAACCGAAATGCCACGTGCAGTCCACCGATCTCTTGTCGGTCGAATAAGTCAAGTCTCGCAACGTCCAGAAAGACTTCCAAGACAGACTTTTTGTAACATACCTCCAAGTTTTTTTTCCACTGGGGAACCAGCTCCCGCAACCCGTAGACTTTGTCCTTTGGATCACAGCATTCATGCCGGGCGTATACCTCAATCACTTCCGTAATCGTTGCAACATCGCCTTTTTCTGACATCTTGAAAGTCACCGAGTGGGGAGCCTCTCCTCCTGACTCCAAGTCCAAGGTCTCTCTGCGTCGTCGGTGCCCGTGAATGGCTTGGATGGTTTTCCATCTTCTCGAATTCGACTTCGGCTCCTTCGATGCAACCTCTGAAATCCATTTATCAGTGACCTGAATCCATGTGGACAAGTTCTCATATGTACTCACTATCCACGGTGGATACCTCCGGATGCTGGCCCGTGGTCATGGTCTGGTCCGGCAGATCCAGTTCCATCACAGGATCCTCCTGCTTGGGGACCAACGGAGGGAAACTTTTGGCAATCTCGATGAGCGCTGTATAGTCTGGTTGGACATCATAGAAGCCTTGTTCGAATGATCCCCAGTCGAGGCTGAGGCCGTAAATATCGTGCAAATCAATGCACTTGGCTCCACAACAGACAATAACATCCTTTGCCAGAATAAGCTCCTGAACAATCCAGACGCGGCTCCAGAAAGGCCGTATGTACAAAGGGCGTAGCCAGTTGAATTCTTCATGCAACCTTTCATCGTCCGATGCTCTCGCTTCGGGTAAAGAGCCACCTCTCTCCACGTAGATGTCGCGAAACAGTTCCCTATGACAACTCAGTTGTTCAGCAGCGTCCAAACCTGCAGGCAATTCGAGCTCCATCTTGCGCTTGCGAAACTCGCGTAAGACATCGAAGATGCAGTCCGTGTCGGAGTCCGCTTCTCCCAGCCATGCGTAAGCTCCCATCGCCCGCCTGAATATCTCTCCCATCATCGATACTTGCTTTGACTTCTCGGCTTCGTCATCTTGGTTGATACATAGCATGTCCAACCAGACACGAGTCACTCGATGGTGACGATAGAGGCTGTCCAGCATTACCGCCACATGCCTTCGAAGTGGAACTTCATAGCCATTGACCCGGACGTGGCAGAGATCATGGGCTTCTCCCCAGCAATAGGAGACTGCGTGGTATCCTGGGGTCTCTTTCACGCATACGGTCTCGAGACTGAAGTTGGACTGAGAATGGATGGTGAGCAGACGGATCTCTTCGTTTCCCAAGGGCTGATAGAGAGTTCGAGGCATGTCAACACCCGGAGGGGCACATGTTGTCATCTGTGCCCTTCCTGGGAAGGTAAATACATGACATCTCGTCTTCAGCACTGAGCGGTGCAAGCATAGCAACATCTAGCAATGAACAAAGCGAAGTCAAATCGACAAGCAAGCCGGTTGCCTCCGAGGCTAAGTTTCAACGCGACGTCAAGTCGGCAGCATTTGCGGATAAGGCTTGATGCCGAGCATGGGATGGTGACCATGGCGGCGACGTTGATTGGTTGTAGATTGAAACCGGTGAAAGGAGACTGGAGATCGGTGATCCAACCGCATGAAAGGCTTAGAATATGCGTCGTGGTCCGGGGCAGGGCAGCTGCCGCAGCACGATGCGAGACCTGCTTGGAGGACGATATTTCAACATTGTAGTCGGATAAATGGCTCGCGGCATTTCCTGCATCGTTCAAGCAGCTCAGTGGTTGACCCAGGTGCAAGGACATGGCCAACACAGTAAGGCATCAAGGTTTGTGGAGTGCCGGTCGACATGCCGTGTCCACCTCGATGCCTGTCTTGGTTGTTCCTGCCAATTACTTGACTCTTACGCGTAAGTTGTCATGTAATTAGTTATTGTTGAAGGATGAACTGTCTGTGCAAGTGGGGAGCGCACATTTTTGGGTTGGCCGTGATCACGTGACTCACCACGTGTACCATTCTTGGCCACATAAGACGAGGTAAATCGACGGCGAGCTCACGTGGGCACTCACCCACTTGGCGCCGCTTTCAAGGGTCGCTCACCTCCCACACAAGGACATCGTATTAAGACATCTAAAAGCTACTGAAGTGAATCCATGATGCTGCCGCATAAGTTTATCAAGCTATACACACGCCATCGCTATGAATTTGCAGAATGAGTCTCCGGATAACGACTGCCTCGTTGTAGCCTACCAGCCATCCCTATGACTGCGTCTAATTATGTAACATCTTCTCCCTGCTCGGCCTGCTCATCGCTGTACACGTAATAATATTCGTGATAAGCTCTCTTGCTTTAAACATGTTTGACTGTAGGGGTCTGGGCCGTAGGAGTCTAGGTCGCAGGAGTCCGGGTCGCAGGAGTCTGGTCGGTTGGGTGTCATAGGAGAGTAGTAGCGACAGTACCACCCATTGCAACAATTGCCACACTGAATATCTTCGTATTCATTAGCAGATGGTATATAGTAAATAGGAAGATCACTCACAGCGAAGAGCATTCGGAACAAAAATCGATTCTCGAATCTGTCCAATCTCGACTTCATGTCCGCATTAGAGGCGCTCATGTTCGCAGTAAGGACGCTTATCTTCGCAGAGACAGTTTCAGTGAAGCTGTTCATCTGCGCAGTAAGGTTCTTGTTGAGGTGCATCATCTCCGATTCAAGGCGTGCGAATTTCAAGTCTGATTTAGACTCGTTCGTCTGTATGCTTTCAACGAGGCGTGCCACTTCCGATTTCGTCGCGGTCAACTCTTTGTTAAAGTAATTGAGCTTCTCATCGAGAGATCGGCTAGATTGAGGGGGAGAGCCGATGTCCTTATCACCGCTGTAAAGCGAACCTATAGACCTGTTAATAGCTTTACGATCGAAGCTGAGTGATGTGTCTTACGCGTCGTTGTCTGCAAGGTGCGGTTTTGAGATACGCATAATGAAGAGATATTTTGTGGAGAACGTGTAACTCGTTGGAGAATGCTGCTTTTTCGAAGGCCGAAAGCTTGGCGCAGCATTTTGAGGATGCTGTCTAGAGAGGATTCGAAGCGGCATTGAGTTGAGTGAGGGTGGTGGTTGTAGGGGAGATGGTGGTGGCAAAGGTCAGGGTGGTTGCAAAGGTGAGGGTGAGGAAGTCATCTCGGTGGGGGTGAGCACATGCACTGCAGGGCTGCATCACCCATGTCCCAAAGAGGGGTGAGCTGCGCCGTCGATTTACCTTCTCTTGGCAGAGACGCTGCCAGGCCACGCAGATCTTTCATCTTCCATCTCTTGATTTGCATCCGATGATGAAACTGTTGCATACTCAAAATCTCACTATTCGGCTAATACTGTAGTACTTTACTGACATCCGAAGCGCCTCATCTGCCTAGAGCTTCCTCAGCTGAATGTCGCGATCTGAGGTCTGAGACGCCGAATTACTCTCTTGAACGTTGTCCTCCCATTTCACGTTGCGCAAAGAAGCCTCCTGTTTTCGAAGTCGACGCTTCTGCTGCCTGCGACGCCACAAGTAGATCAACGCGCCAAAGAATACAGCCACTCCTACCACCACACCGACAACGATACCGGCAATCGCGCCTTTGGACAGACCTGCAGATGACTCTTCGTTGGCTTCGATGATCTCAGACGTCGCCGATGATCCCGGCGCCGTATCTGAGGAACTCGGTTCAGGGTCAGCATCAGAAATCTCGAAATCCTCGACGGTGGCATTGAAACATGGCACTTGGTAGGTGAATTGGCTGGTTGGGACGTAAGTGATATCAGCGCATGCATAGTAGGTCTCGTTCTTGTCGTCTTCAAAGTCCGAGGTGTATCGGATTTGCAATGTTGCGTTCGAGAAAGCCTCGATATCTGCTGACGGATTTGGGATCGGGTAGCACATGTGCCCCTCATTCAATTCTGGAATCCTCATGGCAGGAATCACAGTCTCGAACTCATCGTTCGACGACGGGTCTGACAGGTTTGTGAGCGCCGACAAGAGAAATTCTGGAGATACGCGGGTTTACCTACCGTTTCGATGAGAGATTGCAACCTGGATGGACCAGGATTCGTCTTGAGCGACAAGCGCAATCTGACCATTCACTGGGACGAATAAGCATGAACACCTTCGCAGTGAGATTGACACCTACGCAGAGGAAACTCAGTTCTGTTCACCACCGCTGCGGCCGAACCACAAGGGGCTGTATTGTCTTGAGCAGCACCCCATTCGCGATCAGGTGGCCACATGAAGGCGACCGGGCCCATCGTCTCCGAGTATTCCTCCCCATGATCTTGAGCGAGGATGTGCTTCGCCGCGAAAGCGAAGATAAGAAAGACAGCGAAAGTGACAGCACCCATCGTGAACGGCTGGGCAGGACGATAGGTCACAGCAGCAGAATGACGCCGACCTCGACAAAACAATGAGTACTTTAAATGATAATACCTTCGATCCGAAAGCGGCCTCTGGCAGAAACAGAACACCAGGGAGACCCCTCATCACACCACGGCCATAGAGGAGACTGCAAGATATAGTGGAACATAAAATCACTCTCGGTCACAAGATGCCAACCCTCCAAACCGCCCAGCCGTGGGGCCTCGAGGACTCCAACCGAAAACATGAGTATCGCTTTGGACGAAGTGAAGCAAGAGCTTTGTGGAAGTCCTCGGCAACGCACCTTCTGCATGTGAGACTCCGAACGCCGACGAATCGTACGATAATGTCAAGCTACTGAGGGAAGAGAAAAGGCATGCTCGCCCAATCAAGTCTCCATGTCATCTAATCAGATAAGATGGCGCCGACTTCGGCAATCCAGAACAAAACCTGCCTCTCGCCAGACGAATTCTTGTCTTCAATCGCGCGGGAGAAAGGCGAAATTTTCGGCTGTCAGTCTTGAAATTACTCAATCAGATAAGATAAATCGCTCATGCAAAGACCGACGGCGTGCTTGACCGTATCTGGGCGTTGTCTCTCATTGGCTACGTGCCACGGCAAAGCAAACCCGGCGGTGCCGCCAAGTGGTGATACCAAGCCAGCCACGCCAGCCTACCTTTTCTCAACGAACATTCCTTCTCTTACCTTCCCGCGGAGTGGAAAGGTCGTCCGGATTCGCAGCCGAGGGGGAGTCCCCTTGAGCGTCAAAGCGGAGACGAGGTGGACGGAGATGATATCGGCAAGTGTACGGAGTAGCGCCATGACCGTTACGTTCTACTACGGTAGCTCTGTGATTAGTTTATATGGGCAAGCCGTCTCCCTCTTCTCTATGTTCTTCGCACCCCGGTTTGTGTTTTCCGATTCAAGGCCTTGCATCTGCAGTGCCTTCCGCAAAGTTTTCGTTCATCACAATGCAGCTCTTTCCCCTGGTCATAGGGGCCGTTTCGCTCGCTTCCGTCTCTGCTTCACTTGCACCAGCCGTGTTCTCCTCTCTCCTCCGGCGCCAAGAACCTGGGACGCCGCAATACGATTGTCATTCGAATTGGTATGTCACTCGCTATATCTGGGATCGACCCACGTAACACAAAGTCACAGTGGAAACGTCATCGTCGCTGGTCGAACAGAGGGGTACTGTGATACAGCAAACTTCACCACTTCACTCGACGCCTGTCTCGGCTGCGCCCTCGAGTTCGACATCTGGCAGTACTACGGCGATAGTGTATCCGAGGCCGCCACAGGGTGTGGGCTTGATGCGACGCCCGTCCCAGCAAATGCCACGGACACGGACACGGTCACGGCGACGAGCAACAGCTCTGGCCCTGAGTCAACCTCGGTGACCGAAACAGCCAGTCCATCTTCAAGCACAGAATCAAGCACTTCGTCTTCATCTTCGTCTGCATCGGTTACAACAAGTTCTACGGTGGAGGTAGCCACAGCAACGGGTGGACCGGCCGGTTTGGTGAGTGCAGCTTAAATTTTACACATCAGGGAATTTAGAAGGCAACTCAACTGACAAACTCTGTTCTAAACAGGGAGGCGCCACCGGGTCTGCAGCACCTGATGCCGAGACGTCTGGGAGTTTTGGTAACAAGGTCGCTCTTAGCGGCGGACTTGCAGCGCTGCCTTTGATGGCGGTACTCCTACAGTAGGGTTGATGTACAATAGCGTACGAGTAATAGATGAAGCGTTTGCGATCCAACATTGTAGACACCATTGATTCTTGACGCAGCGCAAAAACACGCCACGCATGAGACTCTTCGGCGACTTGATTGGACGGCCTGAAATAAAACCGGCGAGGGTGACAGGAGTCCGATGTAGGTTTGCAAGAACATGGCTGAGTCGGTTTCGATGCTCGAGCGCATTCACCGTGAGAGTGCTGGAATTGGTAGACAGGACGAACTTAAGCTTCGTTGGTTTTGATCGGGAACGTTCAAATCGTTTCTCGGATCGATGCTATACTGGAGAGGACATTTCCAGCTCGATATCTGTCCCACGGGGTGTGGAAGAATTCGTCTGTTCGAAGAACAGGAACGGAGCAGCACAGCGAGCTTGGAGTTTACAGCAGAAACCGTCCGCAATCGGCGGCACTGACGGCCAAGGTCGGGAGCAAGTTTCCCCGAAACCTAGAAAAGATTCCTTACCCGGTGGGCAACCGCAGTGACTACTGTACTACAGTACATACCTTCGCAAGGCGTGACCAACCGTTGTCGTGATACTGACCTCGCGGATCTGGGTGATCCTTGGACTTGTGGACACGGAGCTGGCCAGCGAGTCTTGTTTTGGTGCGACGCGAACCCAAAGCCGCGTCCCATTATCATTTTGCCTTCATCCTGGCCTCACCTTTGGATTTCACAGCTCAAACAACCACTTAATTATCGCTGAACCGAACAGGAAGCGCTGTACTCTGTACACTGTGCGACCAGTTTCAAAACACTAGACATGCTACGTATCAAGGACCTTGACCAGTGGGCGGTCGTCTGATCCCAGGTTTCGGCTTCCGAGGTCATTGTGCCCAGTCTCATTCTCGGCTTCAACTACTATTATCACCATCGGCGCAACAACCAAGCCTCTGCCGTGATGCTTGATAAATAGACCCAACTTCTTACAGCAGCCATAGCTAGTCGCTTCCGGGATTCACGCAGATTTCCTGGCTTCCGTGGACTTTACGTCCAGGTGAGCCGTACCTCCAAACAGTACACGGGCTGCCTGTTGGAGAGCACCAATGCCACTCAGCCAGCTCGCGCGTGCGGAAAGAGTCCTGGTATGGTGATTTTGGTCAACAGATCTGTCAACAAGTGGGAGCCATTCATCCTTTATTCCTTCATCAACATTCCCTTGACTCCGAGCTCATCGACCGAACTCTGACTACCCTCAACTAACCAGTCAATCTAATCCCTCACTAAGCTGCATCCAACTCCGCTGGCAAAGTGCTTCGCAAGTGCGAAAGACCGACTGTGGAAGACAAAAATCACTCGCTCCTCAACCCAGATAGACAAGACATCGAAGACACCAAATAAACAGATCAACTCACCCTATTTCCCATCCAAAGCAACAGCCACCGCCCCCACGACCGTCCCAAGAACAAGCACCAACGTTCTCACGTAATTATGCCATCCCCACCGCTCGATCGCCTCGGCCGTACCCATGCCCCGATCCCGCTCGACGCTCCTTCGCTCGTGAAACGCATAGCGCAGCGCGATGATCTGACCATTTCTAGGCCCCGACCCAGCCAGCCGATGCGCCTTGCGCGACAACGCGCCGTTGGTGCGCCGGAGGATGGTCAGCGCGTAGGGGACCCCCGACGCGTTCAGGATCGCCGCGAGGATGTAGAGCGTGCGGAGGAATGACGACTGCGTGGCTGGCCGAGCCACGGCGTCAGCGGCCATGTGTCAGTACCTTTGATTGATTGATCGATCGCGGCGTGTTGCGCGCGGGGCGGATGAGAGCGTCTGGTGCCAGACAGTGCAGGCAATGTGGGAAACAGTATACTCCGTACTCACCCTGATAAGCCAGGTACGCAAACGACAGCCCATTGACGAAACACAGGGGTCTCGAGATCTTTTGACACGTCAATCAGCCAGTGAGTTTGTCAGACGTCGTCGGTGTCAAAGGTACATAACCCATCCTGGGTGACCAGACACTCACATAAAACCCCATCAAGTACTGATACCGCCACTGCTTGGCCTGGATATCCTCCGGCGCGAACAAGATCGGCGGCAGCGCGGCGTGGGACAGCGCCCAGGTGTACCCTGGGAACGTGGACACATCGGTGTTAGCTTTCGTGTTGTCTGCGTCCGAGGTTGGCCAGCGCTGCCTCTGCCGTGCCACGCCACGCCACGCCACGCCACGCCACGCCACGCCATGCAATGCGCGCCGAGAATGATATTCGCTGGAACAAGGGGGGCGGAGGGACAAATGACACAGGGCGAGGGAAGGCACATATGACACAGTCAGTATGCATGTACGCAGGACATGAGATGACATACCGGCGAAAATGCCCGACGAGGTCAACCCCAGAATTTTGGCGATCGCGACGCCATCCATTCTAGCGAATGTATAATGTATATATCGGCGCCGTCAAACCGCGTTCGGGTGAGATCCTCTCACGTGTTCCGAGTCCAGAGAACGGAATGCGGTATCGGCAAGCAACACAGATGTCCGAGCAATGCGGATCGAAGCCCTTCAGACTGGCCCAGAAATCAGGTACGCTGTGCTGTGCTGTGCTGTGTGCAGTGCAGGAAATAGTAATTACTGTAGTCTAAACGCAGACGGAGACGCAGACGTAGATGTATCACTAGAGCGTCACAGTAACCGCCTGAGAAGAGCGCCCCCTGGGTAGCCCATGGGAGGTCCCGTCTTACATTCATACATGCTTACATACTAGGTATGTACATACAGTACTCCGTACTGTTGGGTGACTGCGGTAGGTACAGGTATGTAAGCAGGGGCAACTTTCAGCGAGGTGACACCGCGGACCTACTGTAGGTGACTCCATCCAGAACGGTAATGTGGTACGTGTAAGTACTGTGTAATTAGGAAGGGAGTACAGTACGTACAGCGTATGTAGTGCCCTTCCTCCAGAACGGCAGTCGGGAAGCCGGCGACCAGTTCTCGCATTCCTTTCCTGATGCCGGCGTCAGATCAGATCGACGCTACAGTGGTATCTTAGGGATGAAGTAAGGTTACCTAGGTACCTATCAGTACGGAGTACTCCCCAGAGTGCCGCGCGACTACTAGTACTCCTAGCGGCAGCACATCTGTACATTGCTACAATACAGCGGTCACAGTCGGTACTAGGCTCCAAGCCTTCAATTCCCCTTTCCCTGAGCCCAATTAATTAGCCCAGCTGCATGGAATTCAGGTGAGCGAGGCAAGCTTCATGGCCCGCTTGGAGCCGACGAGCTTACTCCGTACAGTCTCCGACATTGGAGTGTTGTTGCGCCGGGCATGCTGATAGGCCCTGCTGCGTGGCCCCTTGAAGGTAGCCTTGCGCCTTGCATGCCGGGTGCATGCTGGCCTTGCCTTTTGGAGGTCGCGCTCCGGGGTGTCGTGGCCGGGATGTACAGTACTCCGTAGATCTCCGTAATCGTGCAGTGTGCAGGTGCTTACTCCGTACGGAGTACTCATAGTACTCTCAGGTTCGGCACCGTACCTCGTACGACGCGGGGAATGTACCGTACCGATTTCACTCACTTGCATGGGCGCAGGCCACCCGGTTTCATTTGGTGGGCTACTGTCATGAACCGCGTGCCTCCGGCGTCCATGACAAGCATATGACTTAAGACACCCAATAATCCAACATAAAGTGCTCGGACATTGAATCTTTTTTGGGCAATCCCCAGATGCCGTGGACCCTCTTCTTGACAGACACTCCGTACAGCCTGTCTGAAAAGGAATATGGAGTACATATGTAGGCGAGAACCCTACCTGTCTTCTCAGATCAATATGTATACCGCGTCCATAGCAAAGATAATGCCCATCATGTCTCCTCATTCTGCACGCGATCAAGTCAAAAACTTTTGCCGAATCCCAAAGTCTGTACATGCAGCATGCCAAAGCCCACAGCCCGTCCGGATGGTCCGGCCGAATACGCGCAAAATATAGCCGTTGCCTTGCGTGATCCGGACCAGAATATACCCAATATTTTGTCGACAGCCGTTGTCGCCCATGCGTCAATTCCGTTCATGCGACTCAGAAGCCTTCCTTGCAGTCCTCCTTGAATCCGTTCTAGTCAGTTCTCCTTAGAATGTCGTGTAGTTTAGCAGCAGCTGCAGTTCTTCTTGCCTCGAGAAACGCGTTATGCGGCTCCATGGCTAATGTCCTCGTACAACGTCGAACCGTCGAATTGATCGTTAGGTCATTATGGCCTGCCTGTCGTCCAGGCTGGGAGGATCTGGATCCCATTTTTTTGAACTGTTCTCGATCGATTCATTCCCCACCATGACACTGGGAATTGGGGAGCCGAACCAAGCACGAAGCTTGCCTGTTCATTGCACTCATGCCTTCCATGGTTCCCGTCCCGGACTGTCGTCTTGACAATGTCAATCCTTCCGTAACGGTAGGATGGTACTCCCATTCGACTTGGCCTCGATCGGTTGAACCTTCCCGGCCACGATGCCCTCGAGTTTGCTAGTAATCTTTGCGAATAACGGCTCCAATTTCAAAGTCCAGAAGTAGCTGGCGACTCCAACACAGAAACCCATAACGACGGTTGCTAGAAAGCGCTGGAAGGGATTTGGTAACGGATATCGCTCGACAAGTATCGCATGTCCGTCCTCTCCTTGCCCACTCGTGATCACTCTTGACTGGCCGAGGTGCAATAGCCGGGCAAAAATGGTCCGCAAGAAAATTCCGTGGAGGAGATAGATCGCGAAGCTGACCTTCCCGAGCCATAAGAGTGGTGGACGAGAGAGTGACCAGCGCGCATGTGGCGAAATAATAATGCCGGCAACCAGCAGAACGCCACCAAGCGAGCCATATATGCGGTCGGTGGCGTCGAGTGTGTTGATTGGGAAATAACTTGTTGCAAAGTCTCTAAGCCAGGTCGACCAGGAGGCAGATTCAACGAACGAACCAGGATACGACATGAGAAAGAGCGACAGAAAGATCATTGGTGGGGACAAGTAAGGCGAGTAAGGCGCCATCGCCATGGGGATATCGGACAGGCTGAGTTCGCCCAGGGAGATGCCTAGAAAGCAGCAGAGACCAGTCCAGGCTGCTTTACATTAGTCGGAATTTGCGGACAACAGCATGGTTCACTTACGGTCCCCAAGCATGCGGCTCCAGTTCAATGACCAATATGCCAGGAGGTACAGTGTCACTGTGCGCCATCGCGGAGTCATGGTCGCCACAAGTGATAGGCCGCTAATGATCATGACACTGCCCTCTAGCAAGTAGACAAGAGCCCATTGAGGTTGGTCGTACGGGTTCTGATCGCCAAAAACCCATGTCGCGGTGAGCCCGTGAAACAGGTCGACGAATGCTGAAGACCAATCCGGGCTGGGTGCAGGGGTATTCTCATGCAGCCAGTACGCGTCGCTCTGGGCAGATATGGAATAAAGCCCCAAGTTGCAGATGAGCCAGCTGATGGTCGTGGCCGCGGTGGCTGGAAGCACAAGCCGGAAGATGCGGCTGAATGAGGAAGATGCCAATTTCTGCAGAGCTTTGTCGACCTCGCCGGATCTAACGAGTTGAAGAGGCTTCAAGGCATTGACGAAGCCCATCAGGATGAAAAATATGGCTACCCATGAATGGCCACTGGCGACGAGGCGGAAGACCGGACGTTGAAACAATAACGGCGTACTGCTGGAGGGGGCGCAACATGGTGGAATCAATATTCGGGCGTAACAGATAACAACGTGTGATGAGACGACGAAAACTGCTGCAATTCCTCGCAAACCCTGTGGATCGGTGTCAATGAAGCTGGCTTCAACGTGGGCGACAGGGGTCATCAGAAACCTACATCTGCCCAGCCCGTATCTTTCATTGCACGCTCCTTAATATCGGGAGGAATCCGAAATGAGCTCAGCCATTGGAGGCCGCGGCTGGCTCTTTCCATGATGTTCATGGTTGGTCATGGACATAGCACAGAAGTTGAGGACACAGAGTCATCATACCTTCGCTTCCACGACAGGGAGGTTGTGGCGGCAGAGGTCGTGTTGAGCCTCAAACGAGAGATGTCCAAGTCAACCCTGAGAGCACGACAAACCTTGCATGTTTGATCGGCTGGGAGGAGTTCGGAAGGCAGGGACTGGTCTGAGTTGCCCAACGAGAAGGCGACGTCGCGTGCGGGCAAGAGGAACCACGGCGGTTGATGGCTTGAACCTGACAAAACGTTCAGCCAATCCTCACAGACAGATGATTGAGCCCCTTGCCGCAGGAGTGGTTCGTGCCTCTTGGCCCGGTATTGGCGTCTAGGCTTAAATTTGGCGAAAGCAGCCCAAGCCCAAAGCCCCCAAGACAAGCCTAGGCCCGAAGCTCCCGTCCATTCTGACAGCCGTCACAACTTCCTCAGATATACTGTACCTAGGTAGCTGTCGCGACTGCATCTGACACGGGAAAGTACCTACTTAGGTATATGCCTTCGTTGAATAGTGCATTTAAACGGACAGCGAGTCCGTGTCTTCCACTCACGGTACTGACTGCATACCCATGCTGAGCGGCGATCGGTGACGCGTCATTCTTGTCGAGACGAGGGATGGCGTTAAAGCGACTTCTGGTGAAACTCAGAAGCGGATTCCCTGACATGTGGGCCATTCTTAATTATCACCAAAGCCCACGACATTCATCTGGTGCATTTACTGTACATACGAGTACGGTCCGAAGAGGTGGAAGTTGTGGTGTAACAATGCGAAGAGCCTACAAAGCCGCAATCACACAACCTCGTAAATCCAGACTGATAGGCAAGCCATCTTCGTACAGGTGTTACTTTGCTTGTGGTACATCCATCAGATCCAATCATGTCGCTCGAGATAGAAGTTACAAACAGATTTTCATAGGACTAAACCACGAGGGCCATCTCTTCTCGATTCGAGAGCACGGTTCTCTCGATTACTGGCATATTAGGTGAAAATCGCCCTCTCAAATGCGGCAACGTCGCCACCAGCAACCATCACAGCCTTCTTCGCCGCTTCGCTCAGCTTCTTCCGCTTGTCTCTCGCCTCTTGCTCTCTTCTAGCCCTCGTCTTGGAACTGCCGCTGGGCGCCACATCGTTCAGCAGCTTCGACGCGTCTTTCGGCGTAAAATTGACGAAATCAATCACGGCGCCACCACCCGTCGCCGGTTTGGGTGCCTTTGGTGTCCGAGGAGGTCGCGATGATGATCTGGCCCGTTCCGTTGGGAAAGGTTCCTGTGCTGAGTTGTCTTTGATCGGCCCTGATTTGTGGATCGCTTTCCTGCGGTTCTGGCTGTAGTCAGTCACGCTCCGGTTTGGCGAACGCCGAGGATTGCGGCGCGGACTGATTGTTGCTGGTGATATTGGCGGCGAGGGTGAACGGGACGGTGACCTTCGTTGTTTGCGGGGAGTGGTGAATGGAGACAAGTCAGAAAACATCTGTGTTGGAGGTGGTGGAAGAGGCGGATATGAACACATGAAACTGGGTGCTGTTGTTGCTGCAGGGTATGGCACTGCAACACCAATGGGTGCGCAATTCGGTGGCAGATAATGCTGCGGCTCGTATAGTACTGCCTGACTCATCTGCTCCAGCTCAGGGGACAGTATTCCCAGTCCCGTCGCTGGCTTGTCGCTTCGTTGATGCAGAATTGGGTGAGGCATGCGCTGCGGAGTCGGAGCTGCTAGTGCAGGGTAAGTCTCCTCCGGTGCCAATGATGGGAGAGGCGGGTGAGCGGCAGCCAGCGTCGGCGGCCAAAAGACCGGCTGCGAAGATTGGATACTAAGACTGGTGTTCGAGGTATGGGTCCTTGCCGCTTGCGAGTGGATCGAACTGTTTGATGATGGCAGGCTCGCACTGATCGGAGATGGCATTGAGCTGAGCGCATGTGTGGTGAGACGATCCTGACAGTCGTGATTGAAACCATGGCCTTCCCGAGGCTTCCCATGTTGCGGACTGAGCAGCAGAGGGTCAATGGCGCCTGCTCCCGCATAGCCTGTCCCGCTATAGGTATCAACATACCCCGGAGTGAGACCGTTGACACCCTGATTATGCGCCATTATGGCAGCATTCATGTTGCGCGCCAGTTGCGCCTGTGTCCCTTGCTTTCCTGGGTTTGACTGCGCATGGAACTGACGATCATGAGGCATGCGCAAGTGGAAATCTTGGAGATCCTGCTGCCAATTGCTCGTGTCGGCATGGCCGGGCCGAGGTGAAATCGGTAGTTGCGCATACATTGGACTTGGGGATAGAGTGGTTTCGCGAGAGAACGGAAGCCGCACATATGTCGTTGGGTCATATCCACCAGCGGCAGGCGAGGTCACGAATCTCTTTGTCCGACTGGGAGAGGTGATCTCAAGTAGCGACATCGGTCCAAGCGCATGGTGAAAGTGATGATTGAGGTTGTTCATTGTTTGTGTGGGTTCTGCTCGCTTTGTGTCGAGTCTCCGAGTTTTCTCCACCGTCAATTTGGGAGGTTGCTGTCTTTGCTTCAAGCACCAGACTCCCTGTCGCCACGGTTGGGGCGAGTGTCCGCGCTTCGTTGCAGAGGTATCCAGCGTTGGCAGTTTGAATTCGTCCTGGTTGAAGGAATCGTTAAAGAGGTCTTGAAACTCGTCGAACGGAGTTTTGGTGTCCTCATCGCTACCGTCATGTTGGTACATATCTTCGTTGAAAAAGTCATCGAAGGAGCTTCCTTCATCGGCGACTGATGGGTAGAACATCTTCAAGCTTGATGTGGTCGGGTACGAACACGCAATTAGGTGAATCTGCTGGAGATGAGGTCAACATGAACAGACACTGTGAACAAGTAAGCTTGACCAAAGGGGCAGCAGCCAAGGATCAGATGTATGAATTCCATGGGGTAAAGTAAACAGATCTCCCATGTCGCCTAGGGACACAGCAACGCGGGCCAGATGATTCAGGAATGCCTTGAGCGGAATTCGTGATATCGTACTGGCCCGAGCGTCGCTGTTCGAATTTTGTAGAAAGATGACCCATAGACCACCACGGCACAGCTCTTGTTTTCCCGCTCCCTGTTGTCTTTTTGCAATGCAAATGATGCACCTTCTGCGACTGACTCCTTGACTGCTATCGTGTGCTTTTTGTGAACATCCTTTTCTCAATCATGGGGCCAAGCCTGCGAACACGTATATGCTCAATAACCCATAGTGAGAACTCCTACCTGACGTGCGTGTAGGTGCTACTTGACAAGACAGACATATGAGCTTCGGCTTAGTCGGATGACAACCATTGAGATAATTAGTGGCAGGTCTCGGTATTACTGTGGTATCAAGTACGGGCCAAGAGGACTCAGTACCAGCAACCAGACTTCCATTATGAACGAAAGCAGTGGCATTCTTCTTGTGCCAATGTCTTACTCCGTCTAAAGGCGTACGTTCAACTGCGAAAAAATGTGAACGGAAGCACGTAGAGCACACCGAGGCTGAGCCAGGAGAAGGGCTGAGTCATGTTGACAGGGCTGGTGCCACGCACGTCATCAGGCTGACTTTGTGGGGGAGGCAAACCGTCCCACTCCAAGGTTCCAGACCCAGATGCTGGCCGCTCAGCTTGTCACCAAAGCGAATTGCTCGGGTATGATTTTGATAACAGACGTGCAGAGCTGCAGAGAAATGAGGCTCCTTGCTGAGAGCCCCTCGCACCCTACAATGAGTGGGTACCGTGTAGAACTCTGCACCAACGTGGGGGCCTTGAGGGGAACGGGAAGGAGATGAGCGCCGTAGTCGGAGGGTAAGTGCTCACGTGGCCTACAAACACAGGCATTACCAGCGTCAGCAACCCGCACTTTCAGTCTGCGGGATTAAAAATATCGTCAGGCTAATTCAATTTTTCATTGAAGCGCGTGAAAAGCAAAAAGAATGAGAGGAATGACTGAATGAATAATGATTTTCTGGTGAAAGTCGGAGGCTTCCGCTGCCTTCTGGCTGATACTAGCGGGATGTGGCCACGAATTCTCATTGGTCCGGCCACTGCGGGCGCCACTTCAACTGCGCTTGCCACCCTGTCACTGCCTGCCTGCCGCCCTCGGACCATTAATCACTACTTAAGCAAGCCTTCTCAACCCGCACCTCTTCCTCTCCTTCTTACCACCACACCACCTTCAGAACCACCAAAGACTCAGAAGTCTTCGATCTTTCATCTCATTTTCAAGTCATACATCGATCACTACATCCTCTCACTACCGCCAGTATGCAAATCTTTGTCAAAACCCTCACTGGCAAGACCATCACTCTTGAGGTTGAGTCCAGCGACACAATCGACAATGTCAAGAGCAAGATTCAGGATAAGGAAGGCATCCCTCCTGATCAGCAGCGCCTCATCTTCGCTGGTAAACAGCTCGAAGATGGCCGCACCTTGAGCGACTACAACATTCAAAAAGAGTCAACCTTGCACCTGGTTCTCCGCCTTCGAGGTGGCATGCAAATTTTCGTCAAGACCCTCACCGGTAAAACCATCACTCTCGAGGTGGAGTCCAGTGACACCATCGACAATGTCAAGAGCAAGATTCAAGACAAGGAAGGCATCCCTCCTGATCAGCAGCGTCTTATCTTTGCGGGCAAGCAACTTGAGGATGGCCGCACCCTTTCCGACTACAACATCCAGAAGGAATCTACCCTCCACCTTGTCCTCCGTCTCCGTGGCGGTATGCAGATTTTCGTCAAGACCTTGACTGGCAAGACCATCACGCTCGAAGTCGAATCCTCAGATACGATCGACAACGTCAAGTCGAAGATCCAAGATAAGGAGGGCATCCCACCTGACCAACAACGATTGATCTTCGCTGGCAAGCAGCTTGAAGATGGCCGGACACTCTCAGACTACAATATTCAGAAGGAATCCACCCTCCATCTCGTGCTCAGACTTCGCGGTGGTATGCAGATCTTTGTCAAAACTCTGACCGGCAAGACGATTACATTGGAAGTCGAGAGCTCAGACACCATTGACAATGTCAAGTCGAAGATCCAGGATAAGGAGGGTATCCCACCTGACCAACAGAGACTGATCTTTGCCGGCAAGCAGCTTGAAGATGGCCGGACGCTATCCGACTACAACATTCAGAAAGAGAGCACCCTGCACTTGGTGCTCAGACTGCGTGGTGGTCAGTAAATGTTGGTGGCGGATCCTGAATTGATGAATAACGTGGCGTTTGACATGGCTGGCTATTGGGATTGGTGACACAAACAGGGCATTTCATGATAGGGCAGCGAAAGAGCATTGCTCACGTTGGCTTGAATGCCAAGCATGCGAGAAGTAGCATTAAGCAGAATATACACCTGACTTCCCCTTCTCAATTATTTTCTCTCGTAGAGTCCGCCTCGATACTTCTATATTCACAATGTCTGTTCGAAGCCTCGAGACGTTCTGTAGAACGAATCCAGTGACTTGCCACTGCACTGTTCCTGTGACGGTATCGAACTCTGCCTTTAGTGCTGCGTCGGCTTCCAGTATTGCTCAACCTTCCGTTATTTTCTCACTTGCCTCTATCTGTATTATACCACAGATTCCTTTATGCAAGACGTGAAGCCATGCGCTTACAATAATGCCAGACTATTTCTTTCACGTGGCTATTGAACTATTTACTGAGTCGTCGTTTAATCCCAGGCAGACTGAAGACCAGACTCCTCCGAGCGTGTTGCCTTTCTTCAAGGCGCTGAGACCTTTTCGAAGTACCCCAGGGCGACGTCAATCGAGGGACCATTCGTTCGACCAGAGAAGAGAAACACCTCAGAGTAGTGGTCGTATTCAGCCCCCGGCGAAGCCTGAACAACCGCACCTTGAGATCCCGCATTCTGATTCCAAAGACCACCGGTTGGATAACATTGTCCTCGAAGGCGCAGACATGTCGGCCAAATCTGAAGGCGGAGTGGCCATGGCTAAAGAGGAGAACATAATCGAAAAAGGCATTGGAAGTGCAATATCTGGACATCACATGAAGGGCAGGTTCGAGGCTTTACCACGTCACGACGGAGCGGAGGGCTGGGGTATTGTGCACCTCTACAGGGATTCTGAAGAGACGGCAGGATTGTACAAGGACTCGGCATACAGGTCTAGTGATCTCTGGAGCGATGGGGTGCGCACCTCAGCATCAGCGAAGCCTCATCCTCCTCCGAAGGATGAAGAGTGTACGACGCTCTGTATATTGGCCGTTCCCTCCTATATGACTCCTTCAGACTTCCTATCCTGGGTTGGTGAGAGCACAAGAAACGAAGTCAGCCACTTCAGGATGGTGCGGACGTCTAGAGCGAACCGATATATGGTTTTGATGAAATTCAAGAACGGGAAACGGGCAAGAGAGTGGCAATACGAGTGGAATGGAAAGGTCTTCAATAGCATGGAGGTGAGTACTTTAGTATGTAAGTCGATTATGAGCTGAAACTGACACTTGTCTTAGCCAGAAACATGCCATGTCGTCTTTCTCAGGTCCGTGGAACTGATTCAGACTTCATCACTGGAACAGAGCAGTGGACTGAGCTCACCTTCAACAAGCTATCCTCGCATGTCCGACGATCCTTTCATTCCAACCTCAACGACCACCAAACCTCTAGCTCCTCGGACGCCCTCTCTCGTTGAACTCCCCACTTGCCCTGTTTGCCTTGAGAGAATGGATGAAACTACCGGCTTACTGACAATACCCTGTCAACATGTCTTCCACTGTACATGTCTCGAGAAATGGAGTGGCGGTGGATGTCCTGTTTGTCGGTACACCCACGATGACTTCTCTTCACGGCTCACGCTGTCCAAGTCCAAGAGCAAGACCTCTGCTGGAGAATACGAAGCCTATGACGGACCGCTGGAGTGCGAAGTCTGTCATGCCGACACAAGCTTGTGGCAATGCTTGATATGCGGCAAAGTCGGTTGTGGCAGGTATGAAGGCAAACACGCCTATGCACATTTCGAAGAGACTGGCCACACATTCAGCATGGAACTGGAGAGCAAGAGAGTTTGGGATTACATTGGTGATGCTTACGTACATCGCATCATCCAAGACGCTGCGCAACCGGGTGAAAAGCTAGTTGAGCTACCAGGCCGACGGCGTGAACCCACTGCTCTTCAAGGGCAGGAGGATATTGAGATGGCCAAGTTGGACAACATTGCTTTGGAGTATACCCATCTGCTCACCAGTCAACTGGAAAGCCAAAGAACCTATTTCGAAGAGGTGGTGCAGCGAGCTGTTGACAAGGCGTCCGTTGCTATGAAGCAAGCTGAGCGTGCGGTGGAAGAGAGTCGATTAGCCACTGAGAGACTCCAGGCTCTCGAGAGCGAACATGACGTTGTTGCTAAAGGGCTTGTGCCAGACCTTGAGAAAGAAAAGGCACGTCTTGAAAAGCGCAGCACCAAGTTCGAGGAGATGGCCCGCAACATGAGCCAGAAGTTCCAAGAAGAACAAGCGATCTCAAGATCGCTGATGGAGCGTATGGAGCACCAACAAACCTTCCAGACGAAGGAGATCCAGACACTGAAGGAGACGATACAGCGACTGGAAGAAGAAAATGCCACCAAGGATCTCTTGATGGAAGGGCTGAGAGAGGAACATCGTGATGCCATGATGCAGATCTCTGCCCAGCGGAAGCTACAGGAGATGGTGGCGAAGGGGGAATTAGAACCAGAAGACCTTGAAGGTGCGGTCATAGAGGCTGGGCCAGCAGCGGTGAAGAAGACCATACCTGTGAGAGGACGGCGGAGGCCAGCCAATACGTCAAGCAACGGTCCTAGGCCATCAAGTCAGCCGGGTGCAAGCACCTCAACTGCACCACCACCTCCCTTCCGCGATGAGCTTGAAAAAGCAAACACTTCCCTTTTGAACACCATCTTCGGCTCTACTTCTCACGGCAAGGACTGGGATGACGACAAAGTCAAGGAGATCCTCAGCGGGTGCCGAGCCAAATTGATTGGTGAAGGGCTTCTTGTTCCATCCACTACCACGCCACCAGCTACGCAGATCGACACTGAAGGCAGTAGTGGTGCCGAGCTTGATGGTGAGCCGACTGGTGGAGGCAAGGCAATGGCCCCAGCAAGGAAGAAGAGAGGCGGCAAGAGAGCGGGCAGGAGGTGAACTGGAAGTGGCCAACATTCTGCTGAGTTTGTCGAGGATACCAGCTGGCGACGTGAAGGGGTAGTTGGGCACAGGGTGTTGTGATGCCTCACTTTATGAAATGTGACGATGGTTGGACACGCATTGATACCCTTGTTATGTAGCGTGAGTTGAGCTCGAGCTCGTTTCGGCCTTTCATACAGTGAGGCATACTCTGATCCTCACCCCAAGTGTACACCTGTACCCCGTACATTCGAGCTTTTCCTGTTGATCCTCGCCCTGGATTAGTACAATATCGTGACAATGTATGACGGCGTCCTTCCTGATCCATCCTGGCTGTCGCACCTGTTTTCGCCTCCATCTGAATGACACATCTGTCCTACCCACTGGCCACTCCAAAGCCTGCTCTGACTCAATCTGCCGAAAGGACCGACATCCTCCATTCACGTAGCAGGCACCTGTATACCGCCTGTGTATCCTTGATAACACAGCGGAGGACCTCAGATTCCGGAACCATGATTGCCACCCATTGTGGCTCTCATCCGGTCTATACCTAGGTACCTCCCCTATCACTCCAGTTTCTGAACCCCAAAGAAATAGTTCCCGAAGTCTTCACTCCCCGTCACGTTCCTCCAGCCCAGACCAGGGAGATACACCACGCCCTGCGTGACGAAATCCCCCCACCGCCCAGGCGCGCCGCCACTCTCAAAATACCCCCGCAATTCGCCCGGGTTGATGTATTTGTTCCAGTCGTGCGTGCCCCTGGGCACCACGCCAATCAGCGGCGCCTCCGCGATCAGCTTGGTGGTAAGGTACGCGATCGGGTGGCGCGAGATTGTGCTTCCCACAAGCCACCCGCCAGGCTTGAGATGGGGGATCGCGGTCTCGAGAAACGACGCGGGCGAGTCGATGTGCTCGAGCACTTCGAAGAGGGTGATGATATCGTATTGCCGGCGCCCCTCGGGAGCGGAAGGCGAAGACTCGGCGGCAGGGGGCCCGAGGTCTTCAATCGCACAATTCAGGTATTCGAGTTTGTCGGACCGCGAGAGGATCGGATCGGTGCGCGCGTGCGATCTCGCGACCGCGATCACGTCGGGCGTGGGGTCGATGGCCGTTACGTGCGCCGTAGAAGGGAGGCGGGCGGCCGAGGAGGCGAAGATGCCCCCTCCGCAGCCTATGTCGAGGTAGGTGTATTGGTAGTTTTGGTCTGGAGGCGGCGATCGCCGGAGACAGGCCTTGATAAAGTCGTGGCGGAGGGGGTTCATTAGGTGAAGGAGGCGCGAGGGGCCGTGAGGATCCCACCATGATGAGGCTAGGCGGGAGAAATGGGAGACTTCGGAGGCAGAGACGGAGGAGGAAGCGGACGACGACGACGATGACGACGATGGCGGATGACCTGGCGAGTCCGCGGTAGTAGTAGTGGTGGTGTGGTGTCGAGTCTGCTGCCGTAGCCAGGGTTGTCGTCTTTGGCACGTCGTCAAAGCCGGTCTCTGGGCTCTGGATGTCAGGTCTCTGGGCGATACGGCGCACCTTCGCAGCCCCGTCAGCGATATACTCTTGGCGATGAAGGAGGCATGTCGAGCGGCGCCTTGAAGGGCATGCGAGGCCATGAGCGGTCTCTTGACGAGGGGTCGGGCTGTTGCAGCTGCTCGGTTGTCACCTTGTCACCGTATCGTCTGCATACTGGTTGTGTCGTAGCTGCGCACTGCTCAAAACGCTCTGGCTGTCCCGCCGGCGTGTTCTGCTGTGTGTACGCTTAGAAATGCGAGTCGGGAGTTTTGAGATGAACATTTCGTCGATTGATACTCCGCAGCTAACGGAAGAACTTCGGTAGTGGAGTCGCGAGGCTTCACCCGGACGCCCCCGTCTGCTCTGCTTGCTGGATGTTCACAAGCACTCAGTCCGCTGAGCAGGAAAGCATGGATCATATTACTCCGTATTCTGTTCTTTTAACAACATCTACCTGACTTCGAAATCGTCGACCATCCGAAGGGAACGAAACCCCGATAACTGTATGCTCTCCCTATCCTCCTGTACCGAGGACCAAGTCGGAAAAAAGAGTTTCGACCCGTCCTTACTTTCATGACCTACAACAACGCACGCCTGACGCAATATCTCGTCCGCAGTTGGAACAGAGAGCTACACTCATAGCTCAAGATATTCTGTTTCTGGGAGATGTTGGGTGCCGGGGTCCGGGCCCAGTAAGGGGTCCTAAAGATCAATAATTCAAGAGCGGGTGACACTTCGGCGTTGGCTAAAGCAACAGGTTCATCGTGGACACTCGTCAGGGAGCAGGGTGGCTGCCTCGCTGCATCCTTCAAATTGCTGGCGCCATCCTGTTAGGTTGCACGAAGAAGAGTCATCAGGCTACCGGTCGGTAAGTGTACAGCATCTGTCCCGGCTCACCAAGGCACCTCAGATAAGGCTCAAGGCATGGGACGAAGCAGCCGAAGAAAGTGACTCTCGGCATAGAGATGTTTGCACCAGCATCATAAAAAAATCACGGCGCCATGCATATAGGTTCAGGAAGGTCGAGATGGCCTGCCTGCGTCAAGGATACGAGTTTGTTGTGCAGACGAGAAGCTAGAACAGGACGCAGCCTGACTGTGTACGAGTTCAACGCAGCCATCGAGTACAATCTCCAACGAGCAGTAGTTTTGTCGAATATCCGCCAATCGGGGTCGAGATCCGGACTCCTGGCCATTGGCTAATATCTCTCAGCATGCAGCTCCGCCAATTTCATCCTCGACACCACGAACCGTGCATCTACGTACACGAGAGCCAGCACCGAAAAGCTTTTGATGTGTCGACTCGGCACGGGTTATGTTGATTTGTTTCGATGGGAAGTTATACGTCACTATCTCCCGCTCGAACCCATGCTTTCATTTCGCAAGACCCTACCGACGCCGAAGGGGAAAGGCCATAAATACCAGTGATGCCAACCCGAACTGCAGTGTCGTTTTATCTTTCAAGCTCAATGCTTTTGACAGCCCACACAATGAACGATAGACACCCTCGATGCTCGTCTTGGTAAGCCCTTCTAACATGCCCATGAGAAGCTGCTTCCTTCTCTCGTATTCTTTGTCCATTCCGCGGCTCGGCCACTCTTGGCCTGCTTGGATACGAGAGCCCAGTCACGATCACGAACGGAAGCCGACCATGCAAGAAGCTGGCTGGGAAGATAAAGGGTCCATGTGTCCCACCCTCCTTGCGGTCATAAAACACACATACACACTCTCTCTCTCTCCCTCCCTTTCTCTCTTCCCACAGCATATTCGTCCTCCGCTTTCTATGCACATTTGAAATCCCCACCCGCGAGAAACCAGTGGCAACAGAGAACAATGGCCTGCCCCTCCTCCCAAACATACCAGGATTTCGGCTGCGGCGTGATCCGCTGCTGCGACTCGGTCAGCTGCGTCGTCAACGTCTCGGGCCCCTGCGTCTGTGCCGCCTATTTCGAATCCACCGACCACGGCGTGTCCAACTACTCCTTCATCGCCAACTGCGCGTACGACAGCGTGACGGGCACGTCGTTGGGCGCGGCATGCTTCTCCACGTTCGGCCCTCTCGCGCAGGAGCCTTATACGTGCTACTGTCGCCCGCGGACCAGCGGGGATGTTGGCAGCCTGGGCGATCAGGAGGATGGCAACTCGATCTTCCCCTGGAATGGTGGGTGTGGGTATTTCGGGGATTCCGATACATCCGCAGCGACGACACCGGCCCCTCCTGGGACTACGACTCCCGCGGACACGCCCACGCCGGCCTCTTCGACCGGCGGTTCGGCATCATCGAATCTGGCGGTACGGCAGGTCCCTACGTTTGAAGTGTGTCTCTTGGTCTTCGTTCTCGTGGCTGTTTGGAGACGAGTTGTGTGACTTAGGGAAGACGTGCTCGCAAGTTACAACCTCTTCGAACGTGTGGATATCCTGGAACAAATGCAGACTACGTCCTGTTGTGCACAGTTGAGTGAGAGAGGCTGAGAAACAAGTCCTTTTTCAAACCTTGGAAGGTGCTTTACTCAAGCTCCACTTGGCCAGCTACAGTACCGTGGGCGGGGCAATTCAATCGTATAATTAACCCACGGGTGGGTGACCCACGCCTACTCTGATTCCTAACGAGATGTATTTACGGTATGCTACTCAACGCTCTCATCAAGTATTCGAATTTTAACGTAGCCATGCATGCCCCCCATCTTGTTTACTACAACATAGTCGGGCAGTGGATGTTTCGAGGCCGGCAGCATTTACCAGCCGGGCACCTAATCAATCACGCCTCTAGGCTCGCGCAGACACCGTGATTCGAAGAACCGCAACAAAGAGTAAAAGAAATATCCCGAGATACATACATAGATATTTACGTAGATACGTAGATCAAAATCTATACTTCCTCTCTCACCCTCGGTAATGCGCTCCCTTGTGCCTGTGCATGACCAGGCCGACGCGCGTGGCCGTCGACGGTAGCATCCTCATCCCCCAGGACGGTCCTCTTCTCCTCACTCTTACTCTTTGTGAAACTCCTCGCCATGGTGAAGAAGCCCTGCCTCAACCCGAGGGCCCCACCTTCGCGTCTCCGGGCCTTCATGCCCTCGGTCTCCTCCTTCTCGAACCATCTCATCGCCCTCTTGACGTACTTCCACGCCTCCATGCCGCTGACGAAGACAAACACGCAGACGATCGCGGGCGCCCATTCCCAGCTGATGCCCTTGTGCTTGAACACACTGGTGTTCAGCCCGGGGATGTAGACTGCGGGGAACACGGACACGGCGCCCAGCACGACCGACCAGAAGAGGAACTGGTTCTCCCAGATGTCGCGGAAGAAGGGGAAGCTGTGGGTCGAGTGCGGGTCGATGCGGAACATGCTGCGCCGCATGGCCTTGAACTCCCACGCCGAGATGAGGATGAGCCACGTGAGTTCGGCAAAGACGGCGGCCCGGGCCCGGAACACCACGTCGCAGGAAGAATTGTAGCCGTGGTTGCAGTCGTGGCCGAGGCCGTCGGGGCCGGGGCCGTAGACGATGAACACAAACGTCATCAGGCAGCACGTGCCTTGGATGGTGCCGTAGACGAGCATGTCCGTAATAAGTTCCAGGGTGAAGACACCGCGTTTGTTGTCGTGGGGAGGCCGCTCCATCACGTCCGGAGAGGCCTTTTCTCTGCCGAGCCCGAAGGCTGGGAACGATGAGGTCAGCATGTTGATCCAGAGGATCTGGAGTGGCGAGAGTGGGAAGACGGAGAAGCCGGATCGGTCTTGGAAGCCCAGACCGCAAATGAGGAGGATGACCTCGCCGACGTTGGAGGTCAGCAAGTGGAGAACGAATCGTTGGATGTTGTCAAACATGCGGCGCCCCTCTTCCACGGCGTTGACGATGGATGCGAAGTTGTCGTCCGTGAGCACGATGTCCGAGGCGGATTTGGCAACATCGCTGCCGTTGAGGCCCATGGCTATGCCCACGTCGGCAAGTTTAAGAGACGGAGAGTCATTGACGCCGTCGCCCGTCATGGCTGCGAACTTGTTCCGGCGGTGCAGAGCTTCGATCATCCGGACTTTTGTCTCGGGTGCACAGCGGGCGACAACAAGGGGAAGAGTAGGCAGCGCGTCGATCTCTGCATCACTCATCTTGTCGAATTCGGTGGCGGTCTTGACGATTGCGGCCGCGACCTCGGGGGACAAAGTGCCCATGTTTCTGGGGATGATTCCGACTTCTTTTGCGATAGCCGTGGCTGTGGACGGGTGATCGCCTGTCAACATGGAGACGGTGATTCCAGCGGTCGTGCAAGCCTGGACCGCGGCCTTCGTCTCCAACCGTGGTGGATCGTAAAGGCCAGCGAGACCTAGCAAGCAAAGGTCTTTCTCGACTTCGGAGCGGTCGATCATATCGTCGGAGTGTTCTTTGATTTCCATGTCTGTGAATTTCCGAGCAATGGCCAGGACACGGAGACCTTGTTCGGCGAGGAAGGTCATTTGGTCGAGAATGCTTTCCTTGAGTGCTGGTGTCATCGTCTCTTCATGTCCACCTACGCCGACAGATGTGCAAAGATCGATGATCCTCTCAACTGCACCCTTGGTGAAGATGATCAAGTGCTCCTCGCCGGGCTTGCTGTAGACAACCGACATGCGCTTGATGGAGCTATCGAACGGATATTCCATCTTCTGCGACCAGCCGTGTTCGTCTTCGAGCGTCTTTTTGCCGTACTGGAAGCGGTGGGCGAAGACCTGTAGAGCGATTTCGGTCGGGTCACCGCCTGTCTTCCACTTCTCTTGTCCATCTTCGGTAATCTTGCGCACGGTGGCCAGGTTGCAAAGAGCGGCGGATTCGAGGAATGCTTGGAGCTCTGCGGTGACCTCGGGGCTTTCCTTGTCGGCTGTCGCTGCCAGAGTTTCCTCGGATGACTTTTCAGCGTCTTTGTGCATCTTCTCATTAGGCACATCGAAAGAGATACCCGCAGTGCTTCGTTTGCGGTCAAGGGCTTCTTCTCTGGCCACACGCTCGGCCTCGTGCTCCTGGCGTGACTTCGGCGCCTTGCCCAAGATGACGGTTCCTTCTGTCGGATCGGAGGCGTTGCTGGACTTCTCAATGCTGTAGATCCCGACTCCAGGGATCCAGGCCTTTCTAGTGACCATTTTGCCTTGTGTAAGGGTGCCAGTCTTGTCTGAGCAGATGTTGGTCACACCTCCAAGGGCTTCCAGCGCGCTGAGTTGCCGAACCACGACCTTGCGCTTACGCATTTGGGTCATACCAACCACCATCGTGATGGTCAAGACCGCAATCAAGGACTCTGGGATGATAGCAATACCGGTGGAAATGGCGTAGATGGCAACTTCGTTGGTGACGTTGAAGCGATTGACGCCAAAGACGATGATGGCGAGGATGAGCGCGCAGCCGAAGAGAATGTAGGCGAGCTTGCTGAGCTTGATCTGCAGGGGCGTACCGCCTGTGAGGCCCAAAAACTTGCGAACCCCATCGTAAGTGCGTAATGCACCACCCTTCACAGGCTGCATCCGACCATATTTCTTTCTCGACATTGATCGATTGGCCGGCCGGCGTTTACCCTGCATTGACGCGGCGATTCCTCCTATTGCGGTAGACATGCCAGTAAACACCACAATACCTCGGCCACGTCCTTTCGTGACGGTTGAGGACGAATATGCAATGTTCAATCGATCTCCCAGACCCAGATCTTCCTTGGCCGTACCGTGCTTCGCTTCGAATTCGACTTCTTTGGCAACTGGAAGGGCTTCACCTGTCAAGATGGCCTCGTCACATTCCAGGTTCATGACCTCAAACATTCTCAAATCCGCGGGCACTGTGTCGCCAGTCTTGATGGAGACGATGTCTCCAGGAACTACTTCTGCCGAGGGAATGGTCACCTCATTGCCGTCACGCATAACTGCTGCTGAAGGTGATGAGAGGGACCGGAGAGCGTCCATTTTCTTCTCGGCTTGGAATTCTTGGTAAAAGCCAATCAAAACATTGAGAACGATGACAGCAGTGATGACAGCGCCTTCGACGAAATCTTGCACACCGTACGAGAGTGCCATGGCGAGCACGAGAACCTAAGAAATTGTCAGCAAGCTTCAAGCCGAGACCTCCAGATCCGCAACATACCAGAATCATTGCATTCGATATTTGTTTCCCCAAGATGGAGTACCACGAGATCCCTCCATCTCCTTCGAGCCGGTTCGGGCCATATTTCTCCTGATAGCGCTGGACTTGAGCTCTGCTCAAGCCCGAATCGATATTTGTCTCGAGATGGCCGGAAATCTCATCTGGTGTAAGCAAGAATGGGTGCTTAGAATAGCTTTGCTCGGCCCTTGCATTCTTCTTGCCCATCGTGGGCGGACGACAGATGTTGTTCTCTGATGATTATCCGCAGATGTCTCGACAGTGACTGTGATATCCGTAATGGCAATTGGATAAAGTTATACTGGACCTATTTGCTTGGTGGATACCTGCCACAGTAATAGAGAAATATTTTAGGTTGTTTGGACGCCGAGAAGAAGTGGAATGCTTTCGCGAAGGAGCACGAGCCAGGTCTTATGTAGACGGGAAGCATAATCTGTTCGGGTGACGGACTCCGAACCACCGCACCCGCCTTGACACTTCACAGAGTTCCGTCATTTTCTTATCCTTGGAGCCAAGAGCTGGACCACAAAAGATGCTCTCAACAGCCACGAGTCCTGGCTTGGCAGGGTGGTGTTCGCGCCCCTCACGGTGGAAAAGTGGCGATAAAGGCAGCATCACGCCCATACGCGCGGAACGGGCCAAGCCTGGGCGGGGTGGGAGTCACTGATAAAGTCCTAGAAGGACGGCTCGTCCAAGAGCGTCCAAGAGATCAAAGGAGGAATGAGACCGCAGAGTTCGTGGGCGCTAGGACAAAGTAGGAGGCGATTCTTGGGACCGTGGCCTGAGTTGACGACAGTCAAGAGCTCCGAGCTTGGCGCCAAGCCCTCGCTTAGTCCGATTTTGCCGTGCCGCCACTGCTCGGCCTCCGCGGAATCTATGTCCTTGGTTGTGATGAGCGCGTGGGGATTTGGCTCAAAGTGCTCATAGTGCTCATCATCGTGGTGACCACTCCCTGCACTATCAGGTCTGAGCGCTTTCAATACCAGCTCGCGTCGCGGCAATACTCTCTGCTAGAGCCCGCACGGCGAGTTCGTGCTTTTCATCTGTGGTTAGCGCTTCAGAGATACTCTCCAAAGCGACACGCCTTCTGTCCACCGTTTGTTCAGAGGTATGCAGGATCTGAGCGATGTATTGGGCAGACTGTCGCTCAAGTGTCCTTGTGAGCCCATCGAGTTTTGAGTCTAATCCTGTGATTTGAGACATTTCACGAACATGCGTGGAGATGTTGAGATGCTGGAGCAGGGCGTGTGCTGCTGTGCCAGCAGTGTCGTTGGATCCCGCTCGCGCAGCAACCGTGACTGGGTTTCTACGAGGACCGTCATCGGCTTCAATGAGCCGGAGCTGCGCTTCCAATTCGTGCAGATCATGTCTCTGAGCCTGCAGTGTGTCTACTCTTGCCGTCAGGCCTTCGAGGGCCTGCGTAAGAGAACAGAGCCTTGTATATACCTGAGTGAAAGGCTCGGGTCAGTATGGCGGAATGAGAAGCAGGAATAGACCAACCTTCTCGTTCGTAGCCCGCGTCTCCTGCATCTGGGCATGGCGAATATCTTGGAAAGCCACCCCTAATGCGTTCCCGTGATCATGAGCCACCACCATCGTTACCATATCATCAATCTCCTCATATAATGAACTCAATTCTTCTTCGGCGGTGCTCTCAGCAGGGTCAGACACATCGTGAACATCCCGAATGCCAGCAGCGACGTCAGCAGCGTGGAGTGACTCCAGGTAGATACGATCAAAACGATCCTTGACGGCTGTGGCGCGAAAAAGGTGTAATGCCCGAGTGAGCTTGTCCACCCGAGCTTGCAGCTCGTCCACTTCGAGGGCATCTTCCTGCTTGACGCTGACGCACAAGGAGAGCTCATTGAGCTCAGCAAGGGCACGATCGTCCGCTTTGATCAGTTCAGATGCAGCGGCAGGAACGGATTTGACTTCTTTCGCAAGACGTTCCGCCTCATCTCGGAGGTCTGCACGGAGCGATTCAGAAATCTGATCATTCTATATTACAAGTTATATTACAAGTCAGCGCTTGACTGACCAACTGATCATAATAGGCTCGAAAGGGGGAGCCTGACTTACGACAAACTTGACATGCTGTAGCTCCGCGGCGTGCTTCTGACTCAGGCGGTGAATATGGCCTGCTTGTCTATCGTTTATAGCGCCTTTGGCGCTCGCTAGGCGCTTTAGATGGTTGTTTTGTGCATGGAGGATTGCCGTACGCTTTTCGTTCGCTTGGGTGGCCGACCGAGACTCCTCGTCAGTCAAAGGACGGGGAAGTGAGTCACTTTGGTTGCTCTTGGAGACGGTCCTTCCTACTCCACGCAGAGCCCTGCCATCTGTAGCCATCGTCAGAACCTGGAGGAAGGCTGAAAGGTGTGAAGGTTGATACTCTTCTGAACGCGGTGGCGTAGAATCAATCCCGTCGTCGGTGGTATTGTTTGCCCATAACAGGCCAGCTTCAACTGAGGTAGGGACCGTGATCGCACCATCGGAAGAGTTTGTTCCCTGCCCGAGAGTTGGTCGTGCCGGTCCAGCAGTCCAGGCTTCAGATCGAGACATGAAGAGAAAGCCAGCTTCGTAAGGCCTAATCCAGCAATATATGGTGTGCGTCGTGGCTTGGCACACGGCATACCATCTAGACCTAAAGTTAGGCTTAGAAGCAGACGATGTCTGGAATTTCAGATGGGGCGTGCTATAATCATTACGAGTTTACATAGCTATGTAAGTACGGTGAAGACAAATGGAGGCACCTGCATGGCGTCCATTCGTACGGAGTACCCTTTCCTTCACAGCCTCCCATTACAGTATAGGCGGACGAGCAATCTTGACGGAATCCTGTTCCCTATCATTGGAGCCCCGTAGACATTGTGATGCCTGCTATCGTGTAAAACAGAGAGGAGCCACGTTCCCTCTGAAGGACTTGCTCTGGCGGCGAAGCAGAAGGAGTCATTCGCGGCGCTGGATGTTCCCTTGTCTCTTCGCCGGCGCCAGTCGGAAGTGACTCGAAACCTTGGATAATCACACGTCGTCCCGATTTCAAGGGTGAATCTGCTGGCAGACAGGTCGTTATGACTGTTTGGTATGTCCATTCACTGCGAACCCATTGGTATTCCCGTTCGTCTTCTGCGCCTTCGACTCGCGGAACTTCGCAATATCCTGCTGTACCAACTTATCCACCCGGTTCTTCAACTCGGGCCGGTAGCCGAGAGCAAACAGAATCTCCAACCACACAAACAAAGGAGCCAAGAAGAAGGCTTGGAAGAGATTGTCCAGTAACGCAGGTGCTCGCCCCTCAAACATGCCGTGGCCAGCGAACTGTGCAACCCAAGAACCCACAAATGCAGAGGCAGCCCAGAAGTTGGCGGTCATACCGTGCACATCGACAAGGTGGTGTCCGTATGCGGTGCCGGCGAGAAGGAGTGCGGAAAAGGCCGTGCCTGCGACCGGCTCGAGTAAGATGTATAACCCGCAGTAACACAGACAGAAGAGGGTGCCCGCATTGAGCTCGAGGTGTGGGACGGTCATAGATGGCGGCAGGGGTATCAGGGTGCCCGAATTTGTGAACTGGAAAACTCGTGAGCCTTTATGGTCTCATCGCTGGTTCGTACGCTGTGCGCGTTCATACCAGGACGAAGGTAGTCCACAGGATGATCGGAACGCAGACCATATGTATCCCGATGTTGACCTAAAACTATCAGCGACTGTGTTCCCTAAGTGCGTGCCGTGGGCCGTACCGGGTCATGGTGGTATGCGCCATACTACCGAGTCGAATCGTCAGTAGAACTAACATGGACGGACGTGTTCGGAGAGGCTCACAAAGCGTAACTGCTTTTCCAAGTTGAGCGACATTGTGGGTTATTGCGAGGCAGCCAGCAAAGGCAGGCGGATAATTAAATCATCGAGAGCAGAGGCGTATGGTGTGAGGACGCACGAAAGTGTGGAAATGGAGAGGCGGCAGTGACTGACAGAAGTGCATGTGGGCTTGCAACATCTCACCACCTCGGCGTCATTCGGTGCCACCAAAGAATTATTCCGTGCTTCTCCGCAAACAAAAGCAATACTCTCAGGCGCCCCTCAGCGCTTGTCGCCGGGAAGCTTTTGCCATTGCTAAATGAAGATTAGATGTTATTCCATATGGCCCGATTTGTTTTGCAGGCTGGTGCATTAGGTCCTCTAGCCTCTGAAGGAAGTACAATCCCTGGGACCTGAATGCCTGCTGTCCGTAAAATCCTCCAAACAATTGATCCGCCCAATGCTTGCAGAATCAGAGTACGTTCCCCGATAGGCCCAAAACCAATGTCATCTCTGGATGAGCGCGGCAGCCAGGCTTGATGATGCTTCGATACGAGAGTGGCTCGACGATGCTCTGACACGAGAATGGCTCGATGGTGCTCCAATGAGAGCGTAACTTTGTTTGCGCAGGACCATACCCAAAGCGCCCTCTGTGATAGTGTATGGTCGCTCTTCTGGCTGGATTATATGACGCCGTCAAAACCCGAGCTTCCGCTTCTTGATCCTCGGGATTACACCAACGAGCACAAGGATGCTAGCAACGATGACTGCCCAGAGCTTGATGTGTAAGATCTTGACATTGTAAGTTGTCTGTGTGGCCGCTGCAACAACGGCCAGCATGTAAATTGCCAGAATGTATCCTGAAATCCTGTTCGCTTGTCAGTCGGATAGTTCTTGGTCGCTGCTGCACCGTGTAGCACATACCGATGGTACTTGTAAATCGACTTCGCACGATCCACCTCGAACACGGAGCCCTGCAGGTAGAACATGGCAGCGCCAATGAACCACTGGAGGAAGATGAGAATATAAGCCACCAGTGCCATCTTGCCATGCACGCTCTGGAAGCGAGTCTCTGGGTGTGAAGCTTTATTCATTTCAATCACCACTAGGCCGGCAATGGCCAGGGCCACCGCCGCCGTGTTGATCACTGAATGGACATATGCGCCTGTGACCTTGTCCTTCTGGGTGGCTGTGGGTTGGAGGACCAGTATGCCCTCGACGAACAACAGGACGGCCAAGGAGTTGAGGATCGGGTGGTAGGAGAAGAAGATGAATGGGTGCTCGAAAATGGCGGCCCAGACCAGCGCCGTGAGGATCACGATGCCTGCCTGTGCGAGGATGGCTGAGCCTGTTATTACCAAATGCCATCAACAATGCTGGGCTCAATGCAGAGTTTACCTGTGCCTTTGACAAAGTTCCATTGCAGACCCTGATCGGGTTGTTGTGTCGCATCTCCTGGTCCTCCCAGGAGGGGTGCTTCTTCTTCGAGACGTGGATTCTGGGCTGGGATACCTGTTGCAGAGGCCATGATGGCTATCGACGTGGTCGGGCCGCGGTAGATGGGTGCGACAGCGGACGGTCTATCAGGAAGGAATGAGTTGAAGCAAATGATTGTGCCTACCGGCGGACACTGGAGGCCCTATGTCCATCTTCTAATATGTAATACTCCGTACCGCAGATCGCGACACAGTCTTGCGGAGAACCATGGCCCCCGCTAGACATGGATGTTCTGTGCAAGATGACCAATTCCATTCGATGATTGGCCGCACAAGTGTACTGTATGACGCGAAGCATCGCCAGCTGATCTTATCTGATTCGCTGCTCCTCCTCCGTCGAACGCGGTTGATGGTTTAACCCGCATCCTTCGGATACCGCCCACTGCCTGCGGGCATAATCCAAGCCAACGTTTTCATAACTCGACCGGCCTCTCAAAGCGAACGAGGCACATCGCTATGAAGCCCACAGCAGCAGCAACCGAAATGACATCGTACGGTAGACCAAGCCACGGCCCTCCTCCCTTCTCAATCCCTACATTGAACAATGCTGCCGTTAGAGGATAGGCCATCATAATGCTGAGCGTCTCTGCAATGGCCAGTACTGAAAATACCCTACCCCTATCATCATCTCCTACGAGTGCTGTCGCGATTGCTCGCAACGTCGAGGGGAACCCGGTCGATAATGTTTCGATCAAGAGCCCAACAAATGTGAGGAGTACAGTCGGTGCCAGTCCTATCAGAGCATATGCCATGGACATGACCAGAAGTGCAGCTCGGGCCAGGACCACATTCTTTTGGATGACGCTGAACCTGTATCTCCGATCGATGTGACCGGATATGAAGGGCAACGCGGTGAAGAGCACCAGGCCGGCGGCAACCGCTTGAACCGAGTAGATCAGGGTGGCATCGGCGAGCGTCCAGCCGTAGCGGTCGGAGATGTATCGCTGAAGCATATCACCCAAGGCATAGCATACCAGCCGGAACGGATAAGTCAAAGCAACAAAGACCAGGCGCCAGTCGCTCCAGACTTTCATAAGGTGTCGTAAAGCCAGGAACCTTGGTTTCTGGACGGCTGGGTTTGAATCTCGGTCCACTTGATGCTCGTGGATTTCGACTGGGCCGTCTCGAGGCTTTGTGCGCCAATGCAATGTTTCAGGGACAGCTGCGGCAAGAATGACGGGAATGACCAGGAAGGCAAGTCCACAGTAGACAGCCAGCCATGGGTCAAGACGCATCAAGGCCGCCGCCATGGAGGGTCCAAGCACCTTACTAAACTGGCCGAAGGCGGTAGTGCGAAAGAAGGTCTCGGCTCTGAAGGATATCAGCAACGGAAGCAAGTATCGTTATCCACACCTACACTTGATCGCTAGGGCTGATGTCGGTCAGAAGACACTGCACGCGCCTGGTGAGCATCCAGACACATGCTGTGCTAAGAACAACTTACAACATATAGAAGCTCCGTGACAATCATGCCACCACTAAGCAGATTGAGACTGGCCCCCAGCCAAATAGCACGAAGCGGGATTCGGCCATCAAACCAGGTGACGAAAGTAGTCCAGACCTGCGTCAGACAGAGGACCGACAAGTTGAGGATGATCAAACGTCGTCGGCCAATCTTGTCGGCGAGGATGCCCATTGGGATACTCAAGAGGAGACCGGGTGCCGCGCTGAAGAACTCCAGCCACCCCTTGAGAGTGGATATCTGCGTTTGAACCTGTGCGATTTTGCAATACGATTCGGGTATGTGGCTGTGGCTGGGAAGCTCACTAATGGGATGCCGCTGATACCATTGCGAGCAGTAAATCGACTCATAGATCTGAATCTGCGCCGGCTGCAGGATCTGCGTCCCGAGATTTAGACAGAAAACAATGAGATAGATCCTCAGCAAGAGCTTGGAAACGGCACGAGACTCGTCCTGCTGATTATCCCCATGGCGAGTCGCGTGCAACAGAGAGGCAGACTCGGTGGCCTCTTCCTCGTCGCGACCATGTTGTGCCTCTCCCGGTGTCATCGTGGCTCAGGAAAGCGCAGGGCTCAGTGGCTTTCAGCAATATCGAAAGGGACGTGCCATATTTTATCCTGACACAAGAATCAAGGATGCCTGGAACCCAGGGGTGTGGGGGCGGGTCGGCCATACTCCCTTCATCGCATCAAAGAATGCTGCAGCCTGCGCAGCTTGATGGCCCGTACCTGTATCTATATGCCGATCTGTCCAAGCAAGACCAATACTTTGCGTAGCATCTCGAATGTTTCTATCGCCCAGGCTGCTTGTATCGGACTACCACAGATAACAGGCGGAAAACCGGCAGGCATGAGATCATCGATGAAGGCGGCAGTACATGACCCAGATTGGTCGAGTCGCGATGCAGCTTCATTCTTTTCATCCAAAGTACGGAGTATTGTACCTATATAACTTCGAGATTCTAACATAGGCCGCGATATCGCGGAAGCCTTTTTAAATATATGTGTGTATACAGCAGTTGAATGGGCCGTTTTAAAGAGGGTTCCAGGGCCAGCCAATTAACTACACGGGGGGTGCCTGAGTCCAATCCGAAGCTTGGCCCGGGCATAACTGTGCCACCTAAGAAAGCCTAAAAAGATGTTCTGTAATTACAGTGTCTGCATGCCATGGATGTGCAAACAACAGCAGTTTACCCAGCATAAGGTCGCGTCCTCGTCTCCATTCTCTTCTGTTTATGTTAAACATATCAAACGGCACGAGATACTGTATTGTGCATTATGTCTATCCCTGCCCAAAGCGACAACCCTAGAATTTACTCCATTTACTCCTCGCTCTTATCCGCTTACCATATATGTAGAACACGAACGGCACGGGTATCAATGCCACTGAGAAGAATCCAAATATGCTCGTCCCCCAAGGTACGCCAACATTATGGTACAGTGGCGTAACAACGAGTGGAAACCTGGGATATAGCGTCAGCACTCACGCACCAATACTGCGACAGCAGACCAAACTCACGCTCCAGCAAAACATGACCTGAGGAACGTGTTTGCAGCCACCGCACTGGCGGCATATTTCTGGAAAGTGTCGACAAGATAGTTCAACGCCGCCTGGAAGATGGTGAAAAAGCCCAAGCCCGCCAGGTAGAGTCCAATGACGGGCGCAATCCAGTGGATGCTGGGATCTGCCGTCCATCCGGTCACGAAGAGGCCCGCGGCGAACAAGAAGGAGCCGAACATCATGGGCGGCAGCCTCAGCTCGGGGGCCACTTTGCCGCCCGCTTTGCGGTTGTACACGATCTGATTGAAAATGTTGATGACGGCGCCCGTGACTGCGCCAAGCAGGATGGCCAGGAAGGGCAGTTCCGAAGGGACTTGCTTCCAGTGTCGATTCTGGGCAAAGATGATGGGGATGGCGCCCAGTTGCATGTACAGGATACCATAACAGAAGCTCGCGTACAGGGCCACGAGCGCGCAGATCGGGGTCGTCAGCAACTGGAATGGTCGGATCAAGAACTGGATGATGATCAGTCAGCATGGTTCAGGCTTGAGACTGTCAGAAACTCACCTTGTTCGCCAACTCCTGGATGGATACGTCCCACTCCTCGAACTTTGCATGGAGGGCCCAGTTCCCGCTTTGATGGCGCAGCCGTCGGGCCTTGTATACAAGGAGCCTCGGCGGATAGCTCTCGTCCAGGAAGATGACGTCGAGAGTGAGGATGAACAGCTGGATGATGCCCGTGAGGTATTCGGTCCACCGCCACCGAAGGCCAGGTTGGACCACGAGCGCCGCGCCAACGATGGGGCCGAACACGGGACCGATGACAACAGCCATGGCATATGTGGCTATGGCAATGCCTCTCTGTGATGCCTGTGCCCACAGTCATTAGCACGAGAACAGAACGGGAGTAACACGGTCCCAGGCTATTAACAGGTAGAAGGCAGTCCGCCTCCGCTACTGTCAAGGAATATGCACTCACAGGGAACAAATCAGCCAACACTCCGCCCGTATTAGTGACGGGCGCCGAAGCAAAGAATCCCGCGAAAAACCGCGTGATCATGATAGTCTGAATGTCTTTGGCCGCGCCCGCCCCGAAGGAGAACATGGCCGCCACAAACATCGGTGGAAGCACAGCGTTTTTCCGTCCAAAAACTTCCGACAGCGGCGCCCACAGCAATGGCCCAAGCCCGAAACCAAACAAGAACAGCGTCGTGCCTAACGTGGACGTCTGCGTGCCCACGTGGAACTGCCGCGCCACCTGCTCCGTGCCGGGACTGTACGCGCTGCTCGCCCACGTCGCACTCATGGTCGTGAATCCATACAGCGCCGTGGTGACAACCTTCTTCCTCATCGCCCAGTTGAGCGGCCTGTAGGGATCGTCCGGCCCGTCAAAGTCCACCAGGTCGTCAACAGTCGTCTTCTGGTGCTCGAGCTTGTGGCTGAAGTTGCCGAGCGGCGGGCGTGAGCGGATCCGCGACAGGATCGTCTCCCGCCGGGTCACCGTCTTCTGGAGGTTGAGATCGTTCGACCGTCCTGTTGCAAAGGATGAGCGACGGCGCCCCTCGGTCTTTTCCTTCTCCGTGTCATCGTCCGGCGACGCTTGGTCGCCGTACTCCGAGTTCGTCGTTTCGCGGGCCAGGTTATCGGACGAGCTGCGCGTGCGCGACATGGACCACATCGCGTGGTCTTGCGACTGTACTTGCGCTTGCGGATCTGGCATCCTGGGCGACTTGCTGGTCACTACTGCAGGTAATGATGTTGATGCCGCCGGTAATGTAATGACTTAGGACTGTGTATTTCGCATTCCATGTATCAATGCCACACTGACGACGACAACATCGACATCAATCTGGATGGGAGCACCAGGGTCTAGTACACACAAATCATATTTTGATTCCTCGAGGAAGACGACATCCGAGACCGCACGTCATGGCGAGGGCCACCGGAAAGATTCCAGCGACAGGGGCAAGGTCCAGAGACTCGAACCTAGTCACTACGTCGTCGTACGGCTGAAGCGACCCGCTTTGCCCATCGTGGTAAGTGATGACAACGCAATCATGATTTCAATGGTTTCGCTTGCACGCCCCATGCTCGAGGATCGGGAATAGGAACAGCAACATGTACTATGACTGTGTGATGTACGAGTATGTCGTGCTGGATAGAAAGTGGCGCGCCCACGCCGATCGCCGTTGCGAAGACTCTCCATAAAGATTAAAAGGTTAAGATTTCAATCGGCCGCTCGTGCTACATATTCCGGTACGGATCACCTCGTACTGTACGAGGTACTTGCGTTTCTTGGCCGGCGTTAAGCGTCTGCACCTGCAAACCGTACTCGATAAAAAGTGGTCAACGGGGTTAAGCCGTCACCCATTTGCGGCATTTTGCGCTAAAATTGCCTGACTGCCTTCCCTACTAATGCTTAGTTATATATTCTTCGATACCTTACACAGCTTCTGCTCAGAACTTTCGACTTCCCCGTCGGTTCTTCTCCCAGAGTCTTATACCGTGTGGGTGTCGCAACGCTGGGCCGCCTCTTCGTCCAATGCTGCGTTCTCTTTGTTGAGCCTGTAGGTTCTGCAGGTGCCTGCTGGAAAGACTCCTTGACCGGCATGCACAATTCCTTCACTTTGGGCATTGACTGCAATTCGACAAGGCCCCTTGCAATCGCTCCGAGTAGGGCACCCATCCTGAGGCTTCTCATTTCGAACACCTGGGATAGACCACTGGGGTAGCGATAATCGAAGGTCTTTGCGACAAAGGTACGGTTGTACCGCTATGAGTCTTTGGTGATGCACTTCGCCATAGAACGACAAGTTGCTCGAGAGCCCTCCCTCGTTCCGGTTGCCCAGGCTGCACCTTGGTCGGACCTCAAACGGACTCCTCCCGACTCAGAATGTAACACGTGGAATTATCATCGGCATACGCAGATTATGCCAGTGCGCTCAATTCTGTGTCCGTAGTGAGAAATATCTGGACGTTGTCCTCGGATCACGGAGTCGCGAGGGTTGAATGGTAAGAGAGTTGGTGATAGAACAGCGACTTGGTTAGGCCAGTTGGCAATCAGGTCGATCGTGCGAGCACTCCGATAATGAAGGGAGTCGGTCTTATCAACCAAGTGCCGGACTTCCTGCGAGGACCTTAAGACGTTTGGCACTCACCCATAGGCAGCCTTAAGCTTTTATGGCTCGAGCAGTCACTGGCTTAGTGGTCAAACGCTTACTTCTTCGTCTGTGCAATGGTAGCTGATCAAGTCGCTAGATTCAGTGACTCAGACTTGCCATGGCGAGAAGGATCCTTCGCGTCGTATGAACTTAGGGCCGCGCGATGGGTCGAAACCGGTGATAGTCATGATGCGGCTGACCCGAGCAGCAGTGGCTGGTCATTCGGCTTCGTCATGCAGTAGGGCTCCTAGTATGGCGGCAAATCTTCTCGCAATCTCCCAATGCCCTATCCGCCTCAAGAGATCAGTCAATCCGCTGAGTGATGCGTTGGTCTCGGTCGTCGTAGGCTTCCCGTGTTTGTAACCGCTGGCTTGGAAGAGCAGTAAGGCGGGATTGACGCCGATTAGTTTGAACTCGGGGTACTCTGTGCTCTCGGCGGTAGCTGTTGTTCGTTGCCCACCATTCTGCTCAGAACCGAATCGGGTGTAGCAAAACCACGCAATACCTGCGCGGAACATTGCTCTGGGCACATGGATTGCAGGCTCAAAGCCGAGGGGCAAGTTCTCCAGCTTTTTCTGGATGATCAAGCCGTGGATGACGCACCGCCGGGCTTGGTCTGAGTTTGCCCATAGCGTGACTGCATGCAGGTCTTCTGCTGAGAGCTCAGAGCCATCTCTGCCAATCGCTCGCTCCAGGAGGTCAAAATCAGCAAACATAATCATAAATGCAAGGTGCCACAATATGCTCATGTCCATATGGTCTGCTTCCCAGGCGGCTGATTCCTGCAGGAAGTGTCGATGAAACGACATCAACGTGGTCAGGATCTCATCAAGCCTCGATTGCGTTGACCCATTCAACCCGGTTTCCACTATACTAGCGCAGATGCCTTCAAGAACGGTATAAGCTGTAAAGTAGCTGCTGTTGGGCATGGCGAGGAGGTCGAAGTCTAGATGCTCATCAATCGAGGCCGGCGTCGTATTGCTAGTTTCGAGGTTGCTTGGGTCGCTGAGGTATGCCTTGCGCCACTCATCCGCCCGAACGGCCATAAATGTCTGGTTTGATGCGGCGACCGGTAGCTGACGAGAATTGTGGCGGAGAAAAGGCTCATGATGGAACATGGCGGCGAGTTCCGCATCGTGGATATGGACGCTCAGCGCGATTCGGATGAGTTCTTCGTTTCTCGCCCATTCTCGCCACTTCTTATCCAGCTCCGCCGAGGACACGTTGAGGTCGAGGCCGACTATCTTTTTGGTCTTGAACGTTGCAGAACGTCGCGCCCATGAGATCAATGTCCCGTTGAATGCATCGACAATTGCAAGATGTCTCGGCTCCCCAGATAGTAGACCGAAGGTTTGTCCGATGATAGCAGTCTGGATGAGCGAAATTTTCTGGTCAATCCCTCGGGCAATGAGCCGATCCCAATTGCCAAGCACTGCTTTATGTAGCCGGTCATATATCTGAACGCCTTGGCGGACTGCATGTACTGATCCAGTGAAGAGGCTGCCCACGGAACAGATAGACAACAGTACCATCGAATTCGCCTTCGAAGGGCGGAATGTCGGGGCGTGTACGACTGGAAAAACAGGATGGAATCGTGCAAAATATGACCTGACGCAAAGATTGAGGAAATCTGCTGACGGAAGAGCGGTCTGTTCCTTCATGGGTCGGATTTGAAGGCTTTGTGTCAGTGTTTGCCGGTACGAGTCGTCTACCTCGTCGCGAGATCCAGGAGGTGTTGTAGGTCCTGACTGAGGCATGACGTCGTCGCAGTCGTCGTTTGCTGTGAACCAGATCCGTTTCATACTCGACACAGGCCTGTAGCTAGTAGTCCCACCGAATGTGGTATTTGGGCTTTCTGGCCAGCCAGGCCGCAGCTCTGCCATAGTCGCCACCAAAGGAGTATCTAAAATGCCGTTATGGAGGTCGCTATCAAGCAGCCAGGAAGGGAATTGGGTCTCGAGATCGACGCTGAAAGGATCCAGTGACATGTCCAACCCACCACTCAAATGACTGGTCGTGAAGTTGAAGTTGGTCTGGTACATATCGACCGAGGCGTCGTTGGTGGTTACTTGGCTTCTTTCAGCCGAGCTTGCCGTGACATCGAGGGCGGCGGTATTGCTTGCAAAGACTTGCGAGGTACTGACGGTGACTGCATCGCTGGGACGGTGCTGTTCTTTTGCGACAAGGACAGAAGGGTCGTCCAAGTGCTCCTTCTGGTGCCGAAGCAGTGTATCGCTAGACGTGCTTTTGAGCAAAGTTACAGTGTACTTTAACAAGACTTACTGTCGACCATATTTCCTGCCGCATTTCGTACAGATGAACGGCTTCTCCTTGGTATGAGATCTGACATGCCTCTCTAGATGATCCGTCTTAGCGAAAGTGCGACCACACGTTGAGCACTGTCGGATCTTGGCCGCACGGCGCGCTCTTGAACCATCTTTGGGATTCGGCGTTACTTGAGGTGCAGGCATTGCCTAGAGTGGTTGATATGAAGGACGAATGATACCCCATCGCATTAGCATGGAGATGTCATGCCACACGAACACTGGTCCAAAGGACAAGACTTCGGTTGCACGAGGAAGGGTACGTACCTGAGCTTGTGGAGAAGGAAGTAAGGATGCCGCAAAAGCTGGGGAAAGCGATCTCTCGCGAGTCCCTGACACGCCACCGTGAGCCTTCAGGGCCGCCAGTTCGGCGGGGGCGAGCTTGGAGCAACTTGGGGCGCCTTCCGAGGATGCCCTTAACTACTCGTAACCAGACGCACTACGTACTATGTACAGTACGTTGGCCTCGGCTAATCCCCTGCCATTGGAAACCAATCCTACGAGCTTGAGCACGCCATTATCATGTCCTGGTTTCTATTCAACTTGCGATCAATGTCAAAATGCTCATCAAACGGAGGTTTCCTTCGGATGCAACATCGACATTTGCCATATGTCATATTAACGCAGGCATCCATCTCTAGGTATGTAGACAGAAACCCTCCTAACCGATAGTCTCTCGTTGATCCAGCACATTGGCACGTGGTGCTTGGCCGTAGGAGAAGCGGCGACATACAGACTCTGGGGATCACGGCCCAGTGACAGGTGAGGCTTGACAACTCAGTACTCCGTACGCGGTCTGGACTTGCACGTCGTTGATGAGAACGCACAAAGGGCCGATTGTGGGACGTGAAAGAATCCCCCACCACAAGTCCCACATTACAAGAGGCCTCCGGGTTTGGATCTCTTGTCTCAGCATTTTGCTGCACTCTGGAATCAGGCTCTTGCGTCGTGACACTGCAAGGGTTGGTCTTGATAGCGAGCAAACAATCATTAGTTCCATTCGCCTTTCCTTACCTGTCCACAATCTTTATATAGGTAGGGCAGAGGCTGCCTCTCACTGCAGTTTCACCCCAACCTCAAACATCCCAGTTGTATCCTATTGGTTTTCATCATGACTTCAAGTACACCCCATATCGAAGAGACAGGCGTGATAATATGCGGCGGAGGTCCCACGGGCGTTGTACTTTCAGCGCTCCTTGGAGAAATGGAAGTACCCAGCGTTGTGCTAGAGAGGGAGAAAGACATCACCACTGACCCCAGAGGAATTGCGTTGGATGAGGATGGAATCCGGATACTGCAGTCGATTGGGATCTATGACAAGATCTATACAGAGATCGGGACCTGTAAGTGCGCCAATCTTGTGACGGAACCGAGCTGATGGTGAGAAGGTATGGAGATCTTCAACTTTGTCACAGGTAGCGAAACAAACTTGTACAAGAAGCCGCTCCTGACGATGGACTACACAACCACCGAAGGTGGCACCGGCCACGTTGGATTCATCTGCCACAAACAGCCTGCAATGGAGAAAGCAATCAGAGATAAGATTCAGAAGTTACCGTCGTGTCAGATCCGCACAGAATCGACAGTGACAGGTATATCTGAGGACGACAAGCGGGTGACGGTCGAGTATACAGATGCACATGGAAAGACACACAAGCTCTCGGCGCCATTCCTCGTCGGCGCAGACGGGAAGACAGGCTACGTCCGCAAGAGATATCTTGAACCCAAAGGTGTCGCTATGGAGAAGTGCAAAGAGTGTGTAGGATGTACACCCCAGGAAGTCTGCCTTACTAACTGAGCACAGATCTGACTACGACGAGACTTGGGTAGCGCTAAACTGGGAGATCTCCTTGCCAACACAAAAGACACACCCTGACTTCCCTCTCTGGCGGTTAGGATATACGCCCGAACAAGTCTATGATCTCTTCTTCCCCAAGCAGTTCCGGTTCCTGTGTAACCACAAGCGACCTTCAGTTTGCGGGCGGTTCGGCCTAAAGACGGATCGATTGTGGAGATTCGAGTTCGTCATATTACCGGGAGAAGATGGTCACAAGATGGCGACGCCGGAAGAGACGAGTAAAATCATCTACCCTTACATCACGCACCCTGGTAGCTGGTACGGCTTGGAGCAACCTGTGAGGTTTCCTGAGGACTGCATCAAGACACTGCGGTCGCGGCCTTTCTCCTTCGTGGCCCGAAGCTGCAACAAATGGTCCATGGGACGCGTGATCTTAGCAGGAGACGCAGCTCACGTTTTCCCTCCATTTGGTAGGAATTAGATCTTTTCCGTTCGACCAAGCTAACAAGGAGATTAGGTGGCCAAGGCATTGCCTCCGGATTTCGAGACGCATCCGCACTGGCCTGGCGTCTGGCCTTGCTTCACCGGCGTCCTACAATCAACCATGAGGCGGTCCTCACGGCATGGTATAGCGAGCGCAAACAGCAGCTCGAACGGTCTCTAGCTGCGACCATTCAGAATGGCGCCTATGTGACCGAATCAGACCCGATCAAAGTGTTCATTCGAGAGTGGTATATGTGGGCGATTCAGCTTGTTCCCAGTTGGAAGCGAGAACTGCAGAAGGGAGCCCGAGCACAGGGCATGACTCGATATCGATATACCCCAGGACTGGCATTCCTCGCAGATTCGGTAGGCGGCCTGCTCTTGCCACAAGTGTACGCCTTCAACTTGCGAACCAACAAGGTCGCATTCACCGACGATTTGATCTTCTCAGAACACAAGACTGGGTTGTTCCAACTGCTTGTCTTACCAGATCAAGCCGCAGAAGTGGAATCACTCACGCAGGGCCTCGAACACATTAACGGTCTGTCTGATGGCTTGCTCCTCGCCGAGGAAGCGACCGTCATCATCCAATCGACGAAAGTGTCAATGTCGGCCGAAGACGTGCCAATTCGGCAACAATTAGCCCGCATTGCAGGCGGCGACGAGTTTGCGGCCGATCCTGTTCTCTGCAAGAACCGACCACCTCCAATAGGCTACGACGAATTGCGCCTGCGGAAGGAAGTGGGAGGGAGAAAGTACGTGATCCTGAGACCAGACCGGTTCGTGTTTGCAGCTTGTGATACCTTGGCCGAGTTGGAAGAAACCGCGTCCAAGCTGTCCGGTGCGTTGCATATTTGTTGAGCCTACGGAGTACCAGAGACGATGTGGTCGGGATATCTGGATGAGTATGGAGTTAATTCAACTGTCTTCGGTCACACCTCGGTTGCTCCGATAATTTATTGGGCGAATGTCGGCCGCAACCGGAAAGCCTTCCAGCAGCATCATTTGTCCATGTGCTTGTAATGCGTACTCGTACCTGCGCCGGCTCTTATCAGTTTCCGTCCTGGTGGCTTGCGCGATCCGTTTCCGTTGGGTCAGGAACGGTGTAATCCCATCCACAGGCTTGACCACTACCGAGAAGCGGTCAGCATATCCGCTGATCCTCGCGATGACGATGTGGTGTACTGGGTGATTGAGGCTAATCTTGCATTCTGCACCCCTGTTTCCACGCGCACACACAAATATGTTGGAATGTCCCGTGCCAGTCCACCCACCACATTGATCCAACCCACCTCAGCAAGCCCAGCCCAGCCTTGTCCCTCTGTATCTTTTTGTTGTGTGACAAGCACCTGAACACGCGCCATTTCAGCCCCAGCGTCTGATATCTGCACACTCTGTTGACTCGCAGAACGCCGTTTGATTTACAGTGCTTGACCTACATTCTTCTCTACAGCCGATAACTAGAACGCGTGGGACCCGTCCGTGCGGCAGCGGGTGAAGCTGCCTGCATTTCTCCCTCTTCAAATCTATACGAGCCTCCCGATGGCAGGGACATCACTCCAAACACTCCCCCTAGAGATCCGCCTACAGATATGGTCCCACCTCGTACCGCCAACCAAGATATACCCGTGTGAATGTGAGTGCGCTCTCGGTTCCCTGCAGTGCCAGGCTCACCCTCCGGGAGGTTGCTGCCACAACCGCAACAACATGAACTCGACCTCCCGCCACTGCGACACCGGCGTCCTGCGCGTCAGCCGCCAGATCTTCGCCGAAGTCCAGCCCCTCGTCCAGCGCGCCGCGAAGAACCGCACGTTCATGCTCTGCAACATCAATCTCTGCCTGGACAATTTCTTTCGGGCGCTCAACCCGGAAAACTGGAAACGGGTCAAGCACCTCCAGGTGGACCTGTTCGTGGGCTGGGCCAGCGACAACCACGACGGCGACGACTGGTTTCTGTGCCAGATGCACCGATGGGCGCGGCGGTACGTGGCGGGCGCGTTGAGCAAGTATGATCAAGGGCGCGAGGTGACGATCCAGCCGGCCGACGAGGCGAAGGAGGACGGCCAGGGGAGACGGACGCTTACTGTTGACGTCTACCTAAAGTAGCATGAGCTACAGTTCGAGACTGTGGGGAGTGAGAATGACAAAGTGACGGCATGAATATCCACAACTGTCTCTGATGGGTGTCCGGCTCGATGCTGGTTTCGCCGGCTTTACAGCAGTCATCCGTTCATGCGCGCACTTTACCCACTTGCAAGGTCGGTACACACAGAGCAATGACCGCATCCGGCGCGCTTGAGCTTGGCGTTATTGCCACCGTGGCCGAAGCTATCCGCTCGCTGTTTAGGACACGCCATTAGCTCTGGAAATACGAGGACGTGGCCAAAGAAGAGTGCGGCCGAGCGTGATGATATCGGTAACAAGACAAACCTTCAAAGGCCGGTTTTCTTGGCTGGGGCTCAGACGGAGTAACCCCAAGCGGCGAGCGGGTGTGATAACGTCGTGCTCGTACAGGACGGGTGGACTTACCTACCTACACAGTACCCGAAAAGTAAACCGCGTGGACTGTGCGAGCTGCGGACTGCTTTGGAAAGCGTTCTAGATACGCTACACCAGTCGCCGTAGTAATTCTGTATTCGAGGCATCAAGATCCAAATCAAGCATACTGTGCAGGCAAGCAGTACTCGTAGAAGCACGGGCCGTCCTCCACACATACATGATGATAAACTCAGTTGGGTACATAAGCAAGCGAGCGGCCGGGCTAATTGTTGAACAACCGTGTTTCGTCTCCGTCTTTCGTCCTCTGAACGCGCGTGTCACGTGTGTACGTGTGTACATGTGTGCGTGTATGCGTGTATGCGTGTATGCGTGTATGCGTGTATGTGACTTGAAGCTGAGGTTAATGTCCACGACGAACAAGATGCATGCTCTGGAAGGAATTACCTATCTCGGCTACCGCGCCGGCGAGCTGCTACGCTAAAAAAAAAGTCAGTCTGTAGCAAGTACCGTCTCTCACAGGCTGAATTCCTAGGATCTCGAGGTCGTACCCGCTTGGCCTTGCGCGGTGAGGCTCCAACGTCATGTCACTTCTACACAAGCGACGGGAAGTAATTACTTAGTGCTCGTCCCCACTGGTCGGGGTTATCATGCTGATGTGGCCCTGTACGATACTGTCATGTGCACGACAATCCACTTGTCGGTACGCTGGAGGCGGCATCCCAAGCCCTGGATGGGCAAGGCTGCGAGCTTGGTGGGAGACGGGATCCATTCCGAGTGTGTAGGCCAGGGCGGGCCTGAAGAAAGCCCCCGCGCTCTTGTAGAGGAGTGCAAAAGGCTGTTCAATCTCTCGAAGGGCGTCAGCAATTACTCCTGCTTGAGGTACGAAAAGATGTCAGGTGGACGAATGGTTGGTCGCATTGACCTTGAATGTCAAGCCGGAAGGAAGACGGAGGCCCGTCGACGCTCGTCTCGATGAGTCGTTCGCTTGGCCGCTGAACATCATGATCGATTGCACGTGCTGATCGGAGTAAAAGATAGCTGTAGGTACCCAACGTATCGAGTAAGCTACCTAGGTAGCAGGCGGGTTGGCTGACTGTCTTGCGCTCCGATTAATAATTACCATATGTAGCAACACCAACACCACCACCAACCTCGCCCCTTCGACCCCATATTCAACCACTATCTCGTCCCGTCGTCGTCAATATCTCGTCTGTTCCGTGCTGCCTAGCTCAATTCTGGCTTCTCAGATCAACCGACGCGATTTCGACTAGACGATTTTTAGTCGCGTGGCTGAGCTGGCTACCACAATGGCCAACGCGGGCTTCTTCGCACGCTAGTTCGGGTAGCCGATCAGAGACGTCTGAAGTGTCACGAGATGACCCCCCGGTGGGCGTCCTGTCTACCAAAGAATTCTGCTGGCACGGTGCGTCTCTCGTCACCCATGGTAGCCGTGTGTGTCGTGCTTTACACGTGGAACTGGGCCTTGTACCGCGTCTCGAGCGCCGCCTTGAGAGCATCGCAGGTCTGCTTCGCGTCGCCAAACAGCATCCTCGTGCCGGGCATGTAGAACATCGGGTTTGGAACGTCGGCTAGAAAGCGTATCGGTCAGTAATTATACCCGGCAGTGATTGTGATACTCACCATATCCACTACTCATGCCTCTCTTCATGACCACCACGGTCTTACTCTTCCAGGCGTGCAACACTGGCATTCCTGCAATGGGACTCCCGGGTTCAAGGGCAATCGGATTGACTGTGTCATTGGCGCCAATCACCAAGGTCAGATCCGTTTCGGGGAAATCTTCGTTGATCTCGTCCATCTCAAGCACAATGTCGTATGGCACACTTGCCTCGGCCAAGAGCACGTTGCACTGGCCCGGCATTCTTCCAGCAACCGGATGGATCGCGAATCGCACCCGGACGCCTTTGGAGCGTAAAAGGGCCACCATCTCGGCGATGGCGTATTGCGCCTTGGCCACGGCCATACCGTATCCCACCACAATGATGACGGATTCCGCCGACGCCAAGGCATCGACAGTTTCTTCCACCGTGGTTTTGGTGACAGTGCCGGTGATTTCCTTGCCCGCGTCCTGCGGTATGGCCGCGATACCGCCGAAGAGAACGTTCGTGAGGGACCGGTTCATTGCCACGCACATGATGTACGAAAGAATGGAACCGCTCACGCCGATCAGAGAGCCCACTGTCAGTAATAAGGGGTTGTCTAGCATGAATCCTTCCGCAACAAGCGCAAAGCCCGAGTAGGCGTTCAAAACTGTGATGACCACGGGCATGTCTGCGCCTCCGATAGCGGCTGTGGTGGTATAACCCTGTATGAAGCTGAGTGCGGTATTTGCGGACAAACACACCGCAGCTACGGCGGGCGCACCCGGAGCCATGGTCACAAACGCTCCCATCGTGCCTGCATTGGCAGCTAACAGACTAGAGTTGATAATATGACGACCTGGAAGTATCGTGGGTCTGGATGACATCCGGCCTGCAAGTTTCATGAACGCGACTAACGAGCCTGTGAATGTGACGCCACCTGCAATTCGTTAAATGGAAAGTAACTGAGTAGACAGAGCGGGAAGCACTCACCGATTAAAACACCCAGGTACGCCGTGACCATATGTAGTGTCGAAATATCCGAGACGTCAGTCAGCACGCTGCCAATGCTGGTGAGAACAGCAGCAAGACCGACGACCGAATGCAAAGCCGCGACTGTCTGAGGAAGGTCGGTGGGAGTGATACGTCGACCGATCAAAGCACCAACAATACCACCGATGGTTGCAATTGCGCCAAATTGAGCCATGACCTCGGGCGAGAAGCCCACTGCGCCCAGGGAGGCAATGATGCCTGCAAGGACGCCCAGAATTCCAAGTAGATTGCCTCTGCGAGCTGTTGCTTGAGAAGCGAGACCTTGAATGGATCCTGCAAATCAGACGTCAGCATAATATGCAGACCGTGGTACAAGCGCTAGGAAACTCACCAATACACAGAAGACTGCTGACTAGATATCCTGCTTGCACAAGCCCAGCCATACCTGTGCTCGCCGCCACAATAAAGCCGCCTCCGAATAGCGCACCGGGAATGGCATATAGCCACGGATATTCAGGCGGATCCGTCGGACGCTTGAACATATCCAACATGCGCTTGGTGATGACGAACCCGCCGGAAACATTGACGAAAGCGAGCAGGACTGACAATGCACCCATTGCTTGCGGGATAGTCTCGGGCAAGTAGCCTCCACCCATGATGAAGAAGCCACCCACACCCACGATGCCGGAAATGGCGTTCGTGACGCTCATCAAAGGTGAATGGAGCGCGGGAATGACGCCCCAGACTGACCGATAGCCAATTAAACCTGCAAGTCCCGCAGTGAATGCGCTTCCCATGAACAAGGGGGAGGTGAGCTTGCCGAGTGCAAGAGCCCCGCCCATACCAGCAGTGACTGCGGCGGCTTGACGAGTTTGGGCTTGCCACGGAGTCAATTCGACAGGCTTAGGCTCCTCGTGATGTTGCTGCTGAGGAGTTGGAGGAGGAGCAGGCCGTGGAGCAGGAGGAATGATTTCACCGTTGTGCGTGACAATGGAGCCTCGGACGACCTCATCCTCCAGGTCAATACCGAACGAGTTCTCCTTGGGAGCCATGGATAGAAGAAACTTGGCGATGTTGTTCGAGTACAGACTGGCAGATTGCGTAGGCAGGCGGGACGGGAAATCCTTGTATCCAATGATGGTGACATGGTTGTGCACAATGAGCTTGCCGGGTTGCGTGACTTCGCAATTTCCACCACCTTCTGCTGCCAGGTCGACAATCACGGAGCCGGGTTTCATGGCACTCACCATTTTCTCCGTGATGAGCTTTGGCGAAGGTTTTCCTGGAATGGCAGCAGTGGTGATCACGATGTCCACTTCCTGGCATTGCTCCATGAATAGTTTCATCTCCGCCTCGATGAACTCCTTGGACATTTCCTTGCTGTAGCCACCAGCAGAGCCGCCTTCTTCCTTGACGCTGACTTCCAGAAAATCAGCGCCTAGGGATTGTACCTGTTCACGAGCGGCAGAGCGGGTGTCGAAGCCGCGCACAATAGCACCAAGTCGGCGTGCGGTCGTGATAGCACTCAAGCCAGCAACACCAGCTCCAATGACCAGTACCTTCGAAGGGGGAATCTTTCCTGCAGCGGTGACCTGACCAGTCAGGAACCGACCGTAGTGGTTCGATGCCTCCAGCACGGCTTTGTAACCAGCAATGTTTGCCATTGAGCTCAATGCGTCGAAAGCCTGCGCACGGGATATTCTGGGGATCATGTCCATGGCGAAAGCTGTCACACGGCGAGACGCAAGCGCTTCGACGAGCGGTCTGTTTTGCATTGGCTGAATGAAAGAGATCAAGGTGGTCCCTTCTTTGATGTTGGGAACTTCAGACTCAATGTTTGGTGGCCGAACCTTGAGGAGAATGTTGCTCTCTGACCAGACGGTCTGGCGGTCCACCAAAGTGGCGCCGACATGCTCATAGACCTCGTCCGTAAATTCGGCTTCATTGCCAGCACCACGTTCAACGAGGACACGGGAGAAGCCTTTCTTTAATAGCAGAGGAATATTCTGCGGAGCAACCGCGACGCGTCGTTCACCTTCGAAAGTCTCTGCCGGAATACCGATGGTGAGCTCCGAGTAAGGGATGGCACTAACTGGTAATTCGGATTTGTGTCTTGACCATATCGTGACTGCCCGAGGTGGCAACCTTATGAGGCTTTTGTGCTGGTGTTGCTGTGTGTAGCTGAGCGGAACCCGTCCGCCAGAAGATGCCCGCACATGTTTCTTCGCGTGGCGGCTCTGCCGCACACAACCATAGATGGCGCTTAAGCTGGGGACTGTCTCGACACGTCAGCATGCAGCTCGATACCTCGAGAACGATGGCATTTTCCAGTATTGAGAATGTACCTGGCTCTTTGAAGCTGAAACAGCCGTTGGCAGATAGTTTAAGCGACAGAGATCGGGTGGTTAAGGAGGCGTGAGCCATCCTGTCGGCTGAACTAGGCGTGGCCTCACCGCCGGAAGACTCGACAAGAACCTTGTACTGTCCGATCTCGAGCTGCAGATGACCGGGATGACCTGCATGTCAAAATATGACGCGTCCGATTGACTGGTCCAGCTCTATTTCATGCTTTTGAGGCGCAAAGAGAGACACGTTGGTCGTACTGTAGACAGTACCACCAAGAGAAGTAGGAGATTTGGAGGGCAAGACGAGGAAGTAACGTGGCAGGCGCGCCAGTCGAGAGACCAATTTACCAGTAGCAATCAAGCAGGAAGAGCAGTACTCCTTGGGAGCGGGACATGAGCTGGGACCTCGCACTGCCGAGGCAGCCATGGCAACTGATGGATAAGCTGCACGGAGCTGCACGGAGCTGCTGTGGTTTAGCAAACAGTCGTCCGTGCATGGTTGTAGTCAGTGACTGCGGATCGCGATCAACTCTGCCCCTCCACCGTGGGGTTCGCGATGGTGCGACTCCGGGGTGCGGAGTTGGGGAATTTGGGGATGATGAGTGGGTGAGAAATGCCCGAGCCCCGCCGGCCAAAGTGGGATGAATTGTTCTATGTACGAGGTAGGGACCTACCTAGCTACTGGGGACAGACGGTGGATCTGACAGCAGACTCTCCGCAAAGAACCCTAATATTAATATACCTGGCCTCGAAATGTCGCGTGACGACATCCAGGTCGACTATGCTGTAGTATGCCTCTGGACAAGACCTCGCCCGAAGCCGTTAAGCACAATTCAAAGAACATTCAAAGTTCCATCCTCCAATCCTGATTAGAGAACCCGTCTCTCTTGTACCGTGTACACCTCGTTATCCGGGCTGTAAGCTGCTCGAAGTTCTAGATAGAAGAATACAACATCGCTTGGTCATCCGGTTCAGGCTCTGCAGGAGGCATTCTGATGCTCATGGTTGACACCAATGCACAGCAACCCAACGGTATGATCCAAGCTGCGAGGTGGACATCCGGGTTCCCAGAACTTCTCACACAACCTTGCTCAGCCATGCCCGTCCAAATCGTGATCCATCCCAGCGATCGGCTCCAGAAACCCTCGGAACGTCGTCCTGGTGACCTCCCAGTCCTTCTCGAAATCGTCCTGATCCTCATGATCTTGCGCGCCGCACTTTGCAGTCGCGAGAACACCCTCACCACCAGCATGGTCGACGCCGTTGTGGAATCCCTTCTTCTCTTTGATGTCCAATGTCCATCTCATGCCAAAGCCCCTCGCATTTCTGATTTCATAGACCGCTACACCGTGATGCAGAAGCATGACATTCTTCCACACGGCCTCTGCGAGCATTTGCTCCAGTATCTGTCTCGCAATCTCCGTCTTGTTCTCGTTGCTCCCCCTCGGCATAGTCCAGAAGGGATGAGCGCGACCATGCTCAGAGGACGCGCCCCCGCGTTCGAAGTGCTTGCATAGTGCAACGGCCCCGGATGACATGCGCGTTTTAGGTCGAGGAGGGGCGTTGAATGTCTCGCGCAGGACCGAATCTGGTGGGGGGAGGAGGAATAAGGTGCCTTTTGTTCTTACCAGGCCGGCCCCACGGTAGGCCTGCTCGCGCTCTGGAGGGTCAGCAGACCAGGGGAGGAGGAGTGTGGAATACATGCTGGCACGGGTTATCTTGCCAGTGTTCTGGCATGTCAGGGCGCGAAAGGATGAACGAGCGTGGAGCATGATGGGACCGATAGCTTGTCGCCTCGCCTCAAGGGTATATACGCCATGATCGATGCTGTTGTGACTTGGGAAGCAGAAAGCTACTGAGTCACCTCTGCATGCTGTGGAAGGTAAGGGCAGTTAGTGACATCTGGGTCATGGCGGATGGTGCAGTGACTGTTGTGTGCAAATCATTCATCTAGAGACAGATTCGTTTCCGGAACAATGTGCCCCCGGATTAACTCCCAACCCACTCCGCCTCACCTTGACGCCTTGTCCGCCTGCTTCTTGCGCTGCATTCGTGATTCAGTCGTGGAAGATTTATAAAGCTGTCTTTGACTGCTGAATTGCTTGTAGTTGTGCTCTTCGAGGGCCCGTCTCAAGGGAGTCCACGGGCTGTCCCCAAACATGGCTGAAGAGTCAGGTTAATGAGCTTCTACGACTTCTCGGCTACTTGTTCACAAATCAATATCGAGGTGATTCCGAGGTCCATGAGGCCGAAATACGCAACGCAACCAGGACTCTATAGGGCCCTTGTGCCCCAGGAGCTCTTAAATATGTGTGAAACTTCCTGGTCGTCCCAATCTCTTCGGCTCTTTGTATATTCTATTTCGCAAGTCCCAGCAGCTCTTTACCGCACATTCAAGCATTCAAGATGTTGCCAGACCCAGTAACGGTGCAGATTCCCAGTTCCTATGAAGCCCTCCCGGTCAAGGATATCAAGGTCTCACATTACCCCGAAGGTGCTGCGGAAGCCACTCCGGTGGTCTTGGTCACGCTAAATCGCCCAAAGCAAGGGAATGCCTTCACGGTCCAGATGATGCGCGACTTCGAGTTGGTGTACCCGATGTTCGACCTCGACGAAAGGGTTAAATGTATTGTGATCACCGGCGCAGGCAAGTTCTTCTGTGCCGGCGCAGATCTCGATATTGGCTTTCCAGGTGGAGGTGATCGGGAGAGATTGGTGGACCACCGGGATTCGTAGGTATAGCTACATAAGTCCCGGACGGCGTGTGCTGACATTGGCAGTGGCGGCCGTCTTAATCTCTGCATCTATCGCTGTCGCAAACCCACCATTGTCGCTTTCAACGGTTCCGCTGTTGGGCTCGGGATGACCTTGAGTCTGTCTGCAGCGATTCGGATTGCTCACGCATCGTCGAAATACGGCTTTGTCTTCGCTAGGCGCGGAATCACCATGGAGTCGAATTCCTCATTCTTTCTGCCGAGACTTATCGGCCACAGTAATGCTCTATATCTCCTCACAACGGGAGATACATACAGGGGCGACTCGAAGCATTTCGGAAGCTTGTTCCAAGAGGTTATCGAGGATCAGGCGGGAGTGTTGAAGAGGGCGTTGGAGCTCGCAACCACGATTGCCGAAAAGACAAGCGTTCTAGCAGGCTTTATGAACCGTGAACTGATGTGGAGAGGCAAACCTTCGGCTGAAGAAACACACTTGCTTGACAGCGCAGTTCTTTACCACATGTTTGCCAACCCAGATTGCAAGGAAGGCGTACGGAGTTTTCTTGAGAAGCGACCGGCGAAATTTTCTGCTACTCTCGAGCAGGACGGGCCTCCGCTGTATCCTTGGTTTGCTGAGGTGGACACAGGATCAAGGCCGACGGCCAACACGCCGGGCAAAGCGAAGCTATGAGAAGTGGGAGCCATTGGCGCCTTGAATGAAGGGCTATAACCGCGGCGGCACTATAGCTTCGCCCGAGATTGTTGTTCGTTCCACTTCTTCAAGGCGTCTTCCTCCCGTCTCCTTGCATGGTTCCGCATTCTATCGATAGCGCTGAAAACCTCGTCATCGGTGAGCTTGCTCAGATGTTCGAAATCAAGTTCCTTCGGGGCAGGCGGGTTCGAGAAGGCCTTTACCCAGACCGCTTTACTCGAGGTTGGGCCCGCGTCAACAACAACATTCATGATGAACTTTGCTTGTCGCTGGTAACAATCTTTGCCTTTCGGGGTGGTAGGGAATATCATCGCAAAACAATGCGGCATTCCTTCGTAGCCAACGAAGTGGACCACTCCACCTCCCTGATGCATCCTGCGAGCAAGGATAGTGATCTCATCCTCTAGCCCTTCATTGCCCAAGCACAGCCAAGCAGGTGGCATCCCTTCCCACAACTCCGAGAGTGCGGCCAGTGGGGAGACGAGTGGATGTGCCAGCATTGAAGCGTTGCAGAAAATCTCGGCTCGAGGAGGCCTCGCCGGCCACAGATCATCTGGGAGCGGATCCGCCTTGGATATCCCTTCAGCAGTAGGCGGATCCAGGTAGTCGAATTGAGCATTCTTGTGGATTGAGGGCATCGAGCGCGAGATGTCTGCCCAACACGAGTTGAGCGCCACGCCAGCAGGAAGCTCAATAGGAACATCGACGCCATGGAACTTGATATTCCGTAGGCCGATCCGTCGCAGCGTCAACAGCAATTGCAGTAGGGTCACGGCGAGATTTGCGCCCGCAGAATCTCCTGCAAAGACAATAGATTTGGCAGGTACAGGTTCATGAAAGGAACCGCCAGGCGGAGATAGGAGAGACAGATACGCTATTAACGCGTCCAGCAGTTGAGCAGGAAAGGGGTTCTGAGGAGCGAGGCGATACCTCACAGAGTAGCCTCTTCCTCCAGTCAATCTTGCAAGATGGGCGACAGACTGTCTATGCGAACAAGGATCCATCAAAAAATAGGCTCCGCCGTGAAAGTACAGAATCGTGGTCTCATTTGACACGCCTGCCATCAATACCCGGTACTGGTCCGCTTCAGGGAGGTCGGGCCTAGGCTCATTCTTTGCGACGCCTTTTCGATAGCCAGTCCACTCGGCTTCCACGTTCACAATATCCGGCAGGGTGTATGTTTCGCTACCGTCTCCCAGCTCCTGAATGGCCCTAACGATAGCAACTCTTGGGCCGTCCTCGTCTGTGGGAGGTGGTATTGTCACTTTCGCAACCGATATAGGACCTTTGATCCCAGGATCTTTCATGGAGATATGTTGCAGATAACTCATTGTCTTTCTCACACTGATAATAGACCGTATGATAACCACAGTAAGCTCGGTTTGTAAGTCCTGTTTTGACGAGTTCGGCGATAAAGAGATTGTGTTCAAAATGGCGGTCGTGAGCAACAATGGTAGACGCGGGACGAGGAGTTTAAGGAGGGCTCTTGGTGATATATCCATGATTCAAACGAGTGATAGCCGCCTTGAGTCTAATGCGCCCGATACTGAAGGGCACCTCCGGTAAAGAAACGAAGCAAGCCAGCGAAGACAGAAGTATAAACAGTCTATACAGGACAATCATCTACGAAGAGAGGGATAAGATGGCAGCTTTGCGACAGCGCAGGTCGTGAACGCGGGTGGGCTTGAAATGACAACGTCATAGACGATGTCGGTTGCACATTCTCTTGCTCTGCTCAAGGTTCTTCCTGGGCTTCATACTCCGTGCTGAGTTCAGAATTTTGTCACCGTCCTCTCAATTGTCACCTAGTTGTATAAGAAAACAATATATTAGCTCATCGGTGGTCATAGGCTTTCCCTCTGATTGAAGTCTGCAGGATACCGACACCACAGCGCTTTTTTGCATGATCGCCGCCTGTGCCCCGCTGGCCCCGACCTCAGCGATATCCAGCAGTTCCTGGCAAAAAACCCCATAATCTACTCTGAGTACTGTAGTAGTCTGTGTAGTAGGACGGCAATACTCGTGGATGGCCTGGAGCGCCAGCTGAGATACGGACAGACACGGCGTGATTTTTCGTCCGAACCGTCATTTATGCCTCACTCATCCCTCGCTTTGGAGTGCCTCGTGACCAACAACCACACAAACTTCCACAATACCGACTCGACGTTTGGTCGCGCGTCGATCATATTCCGGAAGAGTCATCCACGAGAAAAGGGGTTATCCAGCTCCCTGGAAATACTCGTGGCACAGGTGGACCTTCCCTGGTGCCTTCCGCTTCTGCCTGGCTTCTATCCCAGTCGACGGAAGATTGTCGATGCCTTTAAGCTGTTTTCGGTAGGGGGGCTGCCAGTGCGATAGAGCAAACAAGACGCCCGCTATTTTTGGTAGTAGCCCTAGGGCTTCTCGCTCGGGTTCTGGCTCCATCGCCAATCCAAAACGGACAAAGCTTTTTGACCTCTGCTGTTACTCAGTATCACCCACCACACGCCAGTGGATTGGCTACTGTATGTGGTATCCATGCTTGCTTTTCCCCTCATAACGTGTAGTGTTGTTGAAGACGTCTCGACGGGTTCTCTACCCCAGACCACTGACAACTTTTACTGGATGTTATTTTTTTGACAAGATGGGAAGGGCGTACTCTTGTACACCAGGTATCCTCGTCAAATTTTCCCATTGGAGCTGGCCAACGCCTCTGCGTCACATTTCTCGTGTTCACCAGTTCTTGGACGGCTCTGACTCCAGGCTGAAACGTTTCGTTGCATGCCGATTTACTGCACAAGTACGACCTGCAGGTTCAAGTATTCGGTGACTTGCAACATGCTTACCGCGTTTCTGCACACCAGGGCTCCCCACGGCCGTAGCAGCCAGCGCGACCAGGGACCAGGGAGATGCCCGCAAACCCCAAGATTGCCCGAGTATGCCTTGCGCTTGGCCGAGCATCGCCGACTCCATCCTCCCAGTCCCGTGGCACCGCTCATGCCGACGGGTCTGCAACCCCTGTCAACGGCACTAACTAATTGACGCTCGGTGGGTTCCCGACGCATACACAGTACTTACAACATCCAAATGTGCTGGCCCTTCAGCAGTCCTGAATTTGTGCACTCAATGTAATCCTGTACACCAAGATGACCTTGGACCAGAGCAATACAAGCGACACTGCCTCTCCAGACCCCACCTCAATTTCTCCATGGGACTTCTCATCCGACCCGACGACTCCAGGAAGCAATGGCGCGCAACGCGACAGAAAACACAAAACTCGGACACTTGCGCCAAATCTAACGCGACGATCGCATAAAAAGAGCCGCGGCGGCTGCTTCTCATGTAAGCAGAGGAAGATCAAATGTAACGAAACAAAGCCGGCATGTGGAAGTTGTTTGATGAAAGGACTCACTTGCGTTTACCCGACCGAGCCAGCACCACGGAAATCGAGCAACCTGCCGTTAATGAAGCGCAGTCCCAATAGTTCACCGTCCTTTCCAGCTGCGAGCTTCTCGATCCTGGACATGAGATTCTTCCACCACTTCCTCACGATCGCGTACCCACATTTGCCAGTAGACAACGACCATGTTTGGGTCCACGACATTCCCCAGTTCGCCGAGCAGCACGAATATCTCATGCACGCCTTGCTCTCGCTGGGAGCATCGCACCTCAGCCGCCTCACGGGTGTGGACTATCGACGAGAGTCTCTGGTACACCGCGGCCATGCCATCGCAGGACTCAACCAAGCACTTAGCCAGACCGCACGCACGTTTGGTGAATCGGATGCCATGCTCGCTTCTTGTTATGCGCTTACCTTTCAAGCGTCATACATGGGCGATGGTCTCGCCGACTTCATCACAATGGTACGAGGCTGCGCCTTGACTACCGAAAAGATCAAACAAGAACAGGCCCCGACAGCGTTCAACCTGCAACCAGGTTGGCACTTCAAGTATATGGCGCCACGATTGCAGAACTTGCCGCGGGTCGATCCTCGTCTCCTTGAGGATGCGTATGATGGTCTGGAGAATATTCGACCCTTCCTGAGTGGCACTACGGAGATTGATTTCCATGCCGCGCTGGTCGACGTGATTATCTCCCTCCAGGCGTCGCCAGCCTCGGGCTACCTCCAATTTACCGGTGTGTATGATGTTTGGTACGAACTGTGCCACGATGCGTTCAAGACTTTCCTTGACCCGAACAACCTCGTCGCGCAACTCCTCCTTGCATACTTCGTGGGCCTTCAGTTACTCATGGTCCCACTGGCGGCTCTTGAATGGCCTCACCGCGCGGACGTAAGTCGAGTTCGTGTCTTGCAAGGTTCAGTCGAGTGGGCACAAGGGATCTTTGAAAGGCTCGGGGATTCGGAATGGTCAAACCATCTTGAGTGGCCTAGAACTGTTATCGCCACAGTCATTGCCGAGATCAATGGCGAAGTACTTCATCTGCCACCAGTGCTACAGCTTCACTTGGCAGCACAGGACATCACTCCTGAGACGACTATGCTAGAGTTAGAGCCTATATGAGACTGACGAAGGTTGATGGAGCCAATGAGCAGATCGACGATCGAACAGAAGCGGCTTCATACTGTTACCCTTGACTTGACAAGATCTTATCACAACATAAGATTGCGACTCACCGATGGCCGACGAAATACGGCGCAATGTCCCAACATTTTGCGATATCTCCAATTTGTACCAGAGCTTCGTGGATTTCGAGAAACTACTTCTGTAGGCTTATGACTTTCCGTCGCAAGAAACTACATCGGGCGGGTCGACAAAGCATGCCCTAGTGGACGACGATAACTGCGAAGACATTGCCTCAGACCAACATCCCAGGGCACGGACGCCGAGTCCGGAATAGCGGTTGCAGCTTCTTGACAGGAGTAGGACTGTCCTCTTCGTTTTCAATCGCAGACCAGTTGAGTGGCGCGACGCAAATGTAGCGATGTTCCAGCGTTTTATGGCAAATCTTGACTGTTGTCTGGTGATTCTTGACTCCTGGACGCATTTGCTCTTGATTTGATGAAGGCAGCTTCGAATCGCAAGGGAAGTCTCAACGACAGCCATCAATTGACCACACTGCCTAGTGCGGGAGTGTTTGCGATAATCTATGTCTCGATAAGAAATCCTCATATTCGCATTTCACCACATTTCAGCGTTGCTTCCAGCTCACGCCATTGACCAGCTTCGCTACATGTTCCGCAGTGGCATATTCTTGTTGGTCGTGATTTCGGGAAGCGCCTCAACGCCCTTCTTTCGTCTCTGTTGTCAAAGGCATATGACATTGCATTCCGCGTCGAATCCTCACCCGGCCAGTCGCGACGAGCCGCACCATCCAAGTCCGTCTCTTTCGTTCCCCAAGTCCTTCTGTCGTCCATTACGCCACTGCGCCTCCCTTGTTCATCCCAGTGATCTTGCTCGGCCGGCTGGTGTGCGCGTGAGCATCTCGCATGGCAAACTCGGCACTCGACTTCTGCTGCATCCATTTCACAGGGTGATACCAGGCCAAGACGCTCAACGCGATGAACATGGGTGCTGCCTCAAAAACATACAAACACCACTCATGCTTGAACAGATATCCGTCGACGCCCATGGCGAACTCGACGACCCGGTACACGGAGCGAACCTGCGCGACGCGTTAGCAGCCATACCATGCGAACCAAGAGCGGGAGGCATGCAAGGGACGAGAGAGAGGAGACTAACCTGCACGAAAAACCCAGCCACCCATACCCCCAACACCACCTTGCTGACATACGGATCCATACCGGCCTGTGTACTCCTGGCCCTCTGGCCAAACATCCACAGCACGCAAAGGAAGACACTAAACGTCGCGAGCTGCAGAGACAGGCCCACCAGCAAGACGTTCGTGCCCACCGTTTTGAGGTCGCCTTCCCAATTCCCCGAACTCGCTATCCCAGACCCAGAACACTGCGTCAAAAACGAGAAGACGTCCGACGTAATAAAGACGCGACCAATCCAGCGGGGCGAGATGCCGAGGAAGATCTGCAGTTGTCCAGCAAGGGTCGACCGGATCAACCGCGTGAGCAGAAGGTAGAGCGTCGCGCAGACAAAGATCGGCGAAATGACGATGTAGCTTGCGCTGACGGCGTACAGGGGGATCGAAGACACATTGTGGATGCTGGCGATGCGGACGGCCCAGCCTGCTGTGGAAATGACGCAGGCCACGAAGAGGGGGATGGTGTATTTGTGTTTTTGGGACACGTGGCGTGTGCGGATGAAGTTGATGAACCCGTGCCACAGGGCCAAGGTGGCGTAGAGAACGGAGAATATAATAGCTGCGGCCGTGGAGGGGGAGTAGAAGTAGAGGTTCAGGTCGTCGTTGGAGTTGGAGGGATCATTGGAGGGGGATGTCGAGTTGGACATGGTGGAGTATGATTGTGGTGGGGATGAGGTGCTGATGGTCGTGGTGGTGGTGCTGCTAAGGATGGTGGTGGTGGTGCTGCCGCCGGTGCGGGTGGTGGCGTGGTGGTGGTGCTGTTGTCGACGCTGCTATAGTGCCCTAACCTCGTAGAGCCAACGAACCGCGCACTTCGCTTCAACTGAAATGGAATAACGTACTCCGTATATGGTATGATAGGGTTTGGATATCAAAAGGGGACGAACACTGAAGAAGAAGTCCCTCCACCAAGACACAAAGGGACCCAAATCCCCTGATATATATACCTTACCTTGCTTGCGCATCCCGCGGAGGCAGATCCACAAGGGTCGTATACAATCCCAAGCGCTAGTGATATCCAAGAGGTCGCTGCTTGCGTGGTGCTGGTACGACCTCTTCCTTCGACAGTACTGTTGGCTGTCCTGTCGTGTCCTGTCCCGATCATCGCACCCCAGTAATCTTGCATGTTTGCTGAAGGTCGCGTCTCGTTAAGTGGTTCCGAATTCGTCGTATCCAGAACATAACCTAACTGGGAAACCCGGGTATCGTATTCTGAGATCTTACCTGAAGGGGGAATTAGAGAGACAGGGCCCGTCACGCACATGTGTTCGTATTCGGGTTGTCGTCGAACGGGGAGTGTGAGTGAGAATGGGAAGGAGAGTGCGTTTTCCGCCCCGGCCAACAGCCCAGTCGCGAGGCTGGGCTGTGTACTCTCTGGATCGCGCGTGTGCCTTGCCGAAACCTCATGCGAGGCGAGGCGAGGCGAGGCGATCAGTGGATTGCTTGAGCGCATGCAAGTGGGATGCATTCCCCGTACCCAGGCGGGACCCCATACACGGTACGTAGAGCAGCGCACAGCATACCTCGTAGCATGGCGGAGCAGAGCCGCCAAGGCCAGGCACGACCCATTTCCGAGCCAACGATACGTCGAAGTCAAAAGTCGTCAAAGCTATCGAACGGATCTACATGGTCCACGCTTATACTCGCGCGGTCGCCTTCGCGATGCTTCCTCGATAGGGAATGGGCCCGTCGAGCACCATGACCCTTGTCCCCTGAACTCGCGAAGACTTCTCGATACTGAATAGGGATTGTATGGGATCTGGTTCTATGACCAGGTACCCGGTGCTGGTACTGTTCCTTGGTTAGTAGCTCGTAATTACTCGTTCGTAATAGTGCGTTTGCTGGGAGAGGAAGGCTCCGTATCAGACCGGAAAGAAGAAGCCATCTGAGGCAGGCACGCAGGGTATGTATGTCGTGGGCAGGCAGCATGATTTCTCTGTTTCACGAAACATCAGAGTTCACGCTGGGGGATCTAGAGATTGACACGGGGGAACATCAAACGTTCAGTGGCCAGCGGACAGACAGGCTGCTCGGATTCGGATTGGCGCAGGGCTGGGCGGCGTGCGTGGCGTGCCTGCTACTGTAAGAAACGCGAGTACGGAGTGCCGGGGTAGAAGTAACTACATATTTAGTTAGCCATTGACAGGACCCCGGACTTTTGACCGAGATCAGACCATCATTGGTTGGTCGTGGAGAGTTCAACGTGGGGGGTGATTGCGAACGAGCATGGATGTATTGTCGCACGAGGTGTACCTTGTCAGCCACGGAGGGGACTCTGCATCAATATCACTAGTGGTCGTCGGACACAGGGTATTGTGTAGGACTGTAAGACATAGAGGAAGCCGAGAGTCACGATTCAGGGACCAGCAAAGCCAGGGTCACGAGCAGCACTTGTCAAGGTAGGGATGCACGTCTGACCGCTTCTCGTACAACAGCTTCAAGTCTTTTAAGTCTCAAGTTTCATTTCAATCATGTTTCGTGGTATACAACGTTTAAATACAAGATGCTTTGCTTTGTCATGCCCGCAGATAAATCCTTTAACCGTAGACCAAAGCTCGGACCTCAATGCTCTCACGGCCCTTGGCCCCTTCCGGAGTCCTGGGATCAACGAAAGCAGTATGCGGCACGCGCTGGCCAACACCGTCCTTGCTGTCGTAACACTTCAAGAACAACCTCTCGTCATTGTCCATGCCGGACCAGTAATGGAAGGTTTGCTTCGGGTTGTACCGCACAGCAGCAGTTTCGCCCGTTCGGTGAGGATATCGGTGCTCGACGGGCACCAAGTCGTGGTCGTCAACGGTGTCGGCTGAGGCAAAACCCAAAGGATGTGCTTGGACGGTGCCGTTGATGGGTCGCCACACGTTGATGATCCGATATCTGCCCTTCAAAAGCTCGTCTGCCTCTTCTGGGTTATGAAGCTTGACGCGCCACTCCGTCGATCGCGCCGTCTGATCAACGTGTACCCTTGTGACCGGGGCACGGGGAGCGTCTGGGTTGGACCGTCGAATGGTGTGGTCAAATATGGTGACTTTATGAGCACCAGGCACTTGGTCCAGCAGCAGTTTCTCCACTTCAGGATAATAAACCTTCTTGATGTGCTCGTCGTCGACGAACTCCGTCTCCTCTGAAGGAATGCCCTTGATGGCTTGAAAGGCGTCTTTGTCAAGCCAGAACTCGTTTTCTCGGTCGCGGATATCGTGCATCTGGACCTCGACTACGTTCTCGCCGAAGTTCCGTTGCGGCTGACCTTCAGGCGGCTTCTCGACGTAGTTGTGTGGTTTCGAGCCATCTTCAGGGTCTTTGAAGAAGTTCAACTTGGTCTTCACCGGGCCTCGAGGAACATACGACGAGTCTTGCGAAGCCGAGAGGGTGGTCGAGACGGAGGTCTGAGTCGTGGTGGCAGACATGGTAGCGAACGCGGCGATGCTGAATCTGTGCGAGCGGATTATGGATGGTACCAGGAGTTCAGTTCAGGTCGCAGTCGCAGTCCTTATATGCGGCGCAATGAGCACGCAATATCGTTTAGTATTAGAAATCCAGTCGAAGCCGAAACGTCATTGCCGAACCGAGGAATCGCCGCTTTACCCCATGAATTTTTACGCGCATCTCCCCGCACTGCCGTTAATGCCGTGGGCCCGTCTTCACCCACCTTGAAAGCTGCCTCCCGAGTCAACGTAGTCTCGGATGGCGTATGCGCCTTTCGAGAATTCTAATCCTTGCGCGTGCTGTTGTCCCATAGGCTGACCTGTTGGGTGAAGATGAAAGCAGACGAAGGCTGGACCCCGCCGCTTTTGATATCTTTTTCTACAACTCGCCCTCTTCGCTACCGTAATCGACCTTTTCTGCATCATCAATATCGTTGATGACATTCGGAGTCGGTTCCACTCGTCCCGTCGATTGACTTGGACCTTCGTTGGCGGGAGGCCCAAGAGGGACACGACGGACTGCTCTCGCGTGCTCATTGCTCTCACTCTGACTGTACACCCCGTTGTCTCGACTTTCGGGACGACTAGGAGGTTGACCTTTGTCTGGGTGACCGTTGCTATACGTTGAAGGGAGATTGTTCCAATTCGAGGCCCCCGAAGAATGTCGCCTCGAGGAGCTACTTTGGTATGAAGGTTGCGAAGGTTGTGCAGAAGGTCGCCGAACTAGGCTGGGTTGCGGTACGCGGCCAGACGACGCGTTAATGATCTCGTCGATCCTCTTCTGCACGTCGTCGCCCGAAACTGCAGAGTCGTCCGGGGGCCGGCCGTCCGCCGGTTGTGGGGGCACTCGTTGTGAAGATCGTTGTGAGAGGCTGGGGTTGTCCTCTGTCGAATGTCGTCGCATTCTTTTGGGTGAACGGGCCGAGGGATAGTCGCGGCCCGGTCGCTCAGAAGGCACGCTTGCACCCCATTCCCCCGATTGTTGGTCGTCAGCTGCATCTCTGTCACGCTTGACCCCTTGACTGCCGCTCCTCGCGCTCATGGTGGGCGACTGGTCAGGCTGGGGAGTGGCCGGGTGCCGTGTTCTGTCGAACATGGCGAGATCGTCGTCTTTGGTGTATGCATCTTTCTGGCCTTGACGTGGTAATGCTGGATTTTCGTAGACCTCGGCCATCAAGTTACAACCTCGCTGGATCTCGTGAATGTCAAGGCCCAGTTGCTCCCACCACGGTCTTCCTCGCTCGTCATCAGACAGCGCGATGCCTGCAAATTTGACTCCCATGTACAACGCGCTCCCGGCAATTGTGGAAGGCGTCAGTTGTAGGCACATGGTAGTGACAAGAGAATCGTTCAAGAATGCCCAGGACGTATTTCGCAACTGCTTGTTTGCTTGAACATCGTAGTAACGGAGGAAATCGAGAAGGAGGCGGTATGGCTGTTCGAGCTGCAGATCGAAACACAGGGCCTCGAGCAGAAGGTCTTCGTTGTGCAAGATGGTGTCCCGCCATTTCCAGTATTCCTTGCTCTGGTCGTCAATCACCAGGTTGGGTGACTTCTGCGCGACCCGACAGCATGCAACGACCAGCTCTTTCATCTTGCGGTAATTCTCCTCCACCTTGGTAGCCAGGAAGATGGCCGTTGCGGCGACGGAATAGTGGTGGAGGCCTGGTTTGTTGTTCTGCACCATGGCGTGACGCATGAAGAAGCGATGCAGATAAACCGACGCCGTGGCCAGGGTCAGTTGAGGTAGCTTCAACATAATGCCCACCTGTGTGATGAAATTGACCCCCTTCTGTCTATTGGCCAGCTCTTGTGCCACAGGCATCCCGTCGAGAATGCTGGGGGACAGCAGGAGTTCTTGCGATGTGAACAGCCACTGGGACTGGGTTCTTTCCAAGACGGCATTCTTGGAGAACGACGGCGACGCATCGTGACGTGTTGTTTCTTGAAAGGAGGGCATCGTGGGTATTTCGACTTGTTCAGATGAGTCTGAAGTGAAACGGACCGGATGAATGTGCGAGGCGCGCAACCGGACTCGGTCTATGCGTCAAACTGCGTAGGGAACATTGGACCTGAATTCGAGGGTTGGCTAGCCCCGATGGGATTCAGCCAGCTAGTCGCGTGTCGGAGTGAGGGTCGAGAAGCGCAAGTTGGGCGACTGGAGATGATGGACAATGCAGATTGGAAAGTCTCGCCAGAATTTGACGCAGGCGCAAGGCTGGCAAGCGGGTCAGATACTGTAAGGCTGAATTTAGTGGTGATCGTTGGGGAGCTGGGATTCTATCGCAACCACCTCAAACATTTCACTGCTTGGAAGCCATGAGACGCGCCTATTCTCAGAGTACGTGCTAAATAGCAGCGTCGGGATGTCGCTGTTGCCACAGCTTTGCCAGTACACCCAGCTAAAGGGCATCTGCGACAGATGCCCTTCTTTGCGGATTTCCTGGTCCGACGATGCCACTCTGCACGTGGCGAGCGTCCCCTCACAACTGCTGCGTGGAATGGCTAGATGCATGGGGCTTGCGCCACGATGCAGTTCGCATATGGTCTGCCATGTTTGCAAAACCCGTCTTGGTTCTACCCTCCCAGAAGCACAAGGACATCCAATTACGATTGTCGACTGTGGTATGCCAGGCTATCAGGACTGCTCATTTACAGGCGTCGGACCCGAAGCTTTCCCATGCCGTCCGCTTGTGCTGCAGTCCGAGGCGCGAACACGTAGACGCAAGCAAATTGCCTCCAGGGGCTTGTACAAAAGGACATGAGCAAGGTCAAGAAATGTCCAACGCGAACGCCGAGGAAGCGAAGCCGATTCTTCTGTGCCGACCCTATCACTGCTATTGCAAGCATACGGGTTTGGCAGTTCCCAGAAGCGGGTCCTAGAATTCCCGCTTTTGTCGTAATAGGTATTGGTGTAAGAGGTGCGTAAGAGGTGTAAAGGTGTTGTCAGACTGAGTTGAGTAATATAGGCGTAGGTGGGTCGTAGTTGCCGCGCCCCAACACTGCTACTGCAACTAGGCACGATCATTTGCAGTTTTAAGCGGATTTTGTGAGTTTCTTCACAGTAGCCTCCATCGACCTGTACAGGACTCGGTTGCCTTATGATTGTCGACCTCGGTCGAGAGGTTCAGGTCCTTGAGATAAGGAACGCCAATTTGTTGCCCAGTACGAGCGCAACCAAGTCCTGGTTATCGTCGGCCAAAATTAGTCCTGCAGCGAACGCTCCCTTAGCACCTACTTAGGTAAGGCAAGCCTAATGACGTCGGTGAAACTGTAAGCGCGATTTTGCATGTAGCTCGGCATGTCCATCACCGTTGACACCCTTTAGTGATCACGCAGCTCCACCTTCCTCACACTCTCACATGGGTTATGCTCTTGCGACGTAACGAGGCCTTCGGTCGTTCATCCCTTATCCGAAGCGCGGACGATTACGGACGATTATGAACGACCGCTGCGACTCGGGCGATCTTGGAGCAGCACAAACGAGAACGTACCTCGTACTCTGTACACCGTCGTTGAAACGGCTGCGCTCAATTCGGATCTGGAGCTACGTCTCGTTCGAAGATCTGTGGGTTGGCTCGGCTAACAAGATACAGGGATCAATAGCCGTGGTAAAATCCATCGAAGCTTCTCAGGTTCTAGCGCTTCCATGCCCTGCCGCCTTACACCTCACAATCTTCGCTTTCTTTCTCACCCCGACCTGTTACGACTGCCTCCAGCTTTCTTCGAAGCTCTGCACAATTACCGGGCTTTCCACGTTTCGCCCGATCGCTCATGTTCACCCACGACGTTACCTTACCTCATTACAACGTGGCTCGGAGGATGTGGCTGCCGTGATTGCTTCAGCCGCCCGGGATAACCTTCGCCATGCGCCGTATCGTCGAGAACTCCGGTGATGGTTAAGATGCATTCAGACGTTGGTCGAGGCTCCCGGAACGCTATGCCTTCTCAGGTCATGCGCCGCCAGATGAGTCTCCGCCCCAGTGAGGACGACTCAAGCTACAACCATCTCTAAGGTAAGTCCGGAAGAAGGGGTGGATGCAGATATTGAAGAGAGCATACCATCCAGCCGCATGTGCTAGTGGCGCTCGCCAGCTCAATCCCTCTTAATCGGCTAACCATGGCACGTTGTTGGATTATCGCGGCCAGATCCCCTTCTGATCCCGTTGGCCGGATACTAACGTGATATACAACTCGCCTCGGTCCCGTCCAGCGGGCAATGCAGACTTATGCACATTGTTGACGGGCCTTCAGATTCCAAGTGTGCATGAGATAAATACACTTGGGTCGGTGCATCACCTACATTGACATGGTCGTTGCGCCAGGCCTGACCTACAGCAAGACCCTCAAGCTTATAAGCACACCAGAGAGCCTCGTTTCAAGGCAGACGTAGCCGCACGGGGGCGCCGATCCGCTCATATCAGCTACCTACAAGCGAATCCCTTGCCGAAGCACGGCAACACCCTGCAGCTCTCCGGGGTACCAGATACCAATACCGTCGACGGTCGATGTATCAGCAGCGACCTAAACTCAATCAGGAGAAAGCCACAAGTCCACACTACCCCAGCTCCTGCGCCTTTTGGATGCCAGACACCTGCATCATCTATCGACTGACGCCACCATCCGCTGAATGTCCTAGTCTGTCCGGCATTGTCATTTCGGAGCGTCAGTGTCCAGGGATCTGCCGTGCGGAAGAGTCTGTCGGATCAATCTTGGGTTTTACCTAATCTGAGTACGAGTCGACGGTGCACAGCTCATCAGTAACTGCCCAGTGATTCGAAATAACCAGCAGCGGGTCATGCCACCAAAAGCTAACCGATCAAAGTCTCCCGACCCCCAGTACTTGTTCGTCAATGAAGACGCTTCAACGGTGACCCGGACCACCAAGGATGCTGAACTGGACAGAACAAAACAGAGCCATGTACAACGTCAGAATTTCGCTCGCAAGCGCCGTCTGCGGGAGGGATCCGATCCCGCGCCGCAAGCAAGCAGCCAAAGCTCGGTCCACCCCAGTCCTACAGTGGCTGCGCCGGCAAGTTTGTCATCTCAAGAAGCATTACCTGACAACGCAAACTACTTCGACATCCTGCAGAACATTGATCTCGGGGATCCGTTCTTTCCGTCAACAGGTCCTCCGTCTGTCTTCCAAAGTCCTCTGGATCCTTCGCTCTCGGCTCTCCTCACCGACCCATTCGCTGCCACGCCAAGATCGCCTCCCACCACCCCATACACAGAAAACTTCTACGGCCCCTCGCAGTCATACCGTGCAGGTCATTACTTCGACGTACCACAGTCAGGATCTAATATAACTCAATCCTTGAGAAACCCAGGCGAGGTCACGAGTCCCCCAGCGCCATTGGCAAGAGTCTCGAGCGTCCCCACCAGTACTCACCGTGCACTAGAACAATGGGCACCGCCTCTGATAAAGCACTACAACACCGTTGTGCTTCCTGAAAAGTTCTGGAAAGATACGCAAAAAGTCCCGCTAGCTGAATTCCGGCACGCCGCCCTGATACACGCCGACATGCGGGCATGTATGGCAGAACCGGCTCACATGTACGCACTGCTGGCCACTGCAGCCGCTCAAATGGTCGCTCGGGAAGGCAGACTGCTGGTATCGAATGTGCCAGAAGACGAGACGCAAAGAGTGCCTACATTCTTCAAGACAAAAGCCATCCAAGCCCTTCGCGCCAAACTAGGTAGCGGACAGCTCGACCACCACACTGCCGTTGACACCCATCGGCTCTATGCCGCATGCATACACTCGAACAACGACGAAGCGGCCGAGCCTCATTTCCAAGCCTTAATATCCATGGTCGCAGCGCTCGGTGGTCTGAGCACCTTTGACGACTATCAACTGGAAAACTTTTACATCGTGGATTGTATTTCCGCGCTAAAACGCCTCGGGATTCCTCGTCTTATTATGACCCTGGATCCGGGTCCACCGCCGGAGGAAATATTGTCACCGGTCGTGTCGCAAAGCCCACGTCAGTTCCCGCCTGGCTCGATGCTAGAGACATTGTTGCAGACCTCCCCCCAATGCATTGTCCTTTCAGAGAGCATTGTGGACTTAATGGAAGTGGCCAGAGTGTCAGCCTACTTGAACAGCACCTCTCATTACGATGAACAACACTACCGATGGTTCAGCTGGCGCATTCTGATCATTTTGCACAAGCTACTCTCGTTGCCTCTGCACTGTGAGATGGACGAGAAGACTGACAGCGCGAGGATCGCGGCAGCTTTTTGGACCGCCCTTCTTCGCTCACCAGCGGTAGGTCGGCGCGCAGCCTCCAGGTCGGTCGCCACCTTACATGCAAGGCTACAAAACACAGATCTCGGAACATTGTGGCAGCCTCGCACTGATTGCCTGCTTTGGATTTCCGTCTTTGGCGGTATTTGTTGCGCCCAAGGCGAGGAACTTGACTGGTTTGTGCAGCTGGCAAGGACTGCGGCTATCGAGATCGGACTGGGAAATGCGAGGGAGTTGGAAGACGTTTTGATGGCATTTCTCTACGATCCGCATTCTCAGAAGGATCTTGTACTGGAGTTTGCCGCCAGGATGTGGCCTAGCAGATGAGTGCAAAAACAACTACACGCAAATGTCCTTTGGCCAACAGACACCACTTCTCTCTCGGCAGATGCTTGGTCTTCGCCACCACAGAGAGCTGTATCGAGAAAAATGCAGATGACGGGTGTCTTGTCGTGACGTTCGCCGGGCTCAAATCCGAATCTTTCAAGTTGGCGGCTGTAGGCTATCTCATCGCTTCCTCATGGTAAGCGTCCAAGACCTATTTCTGGAATGCAACAGGAATAGGCAGGGGCGGATACTGATTCCACTCCAGCACGACAGAAGTAGCCTTGCATCCACTGCCTGGCGTGTGATTAAGCGGTGACGCTCAGGGTTGGTTATAGGGGAGGCTTGGGCAGCCTACGTTTCAGCTTGAGAAGGTCGTATCGTTGTGTGGGCTGGCTTGCATCATCTACCACGGGAGTCTCGAATCACGCCTGGGCTGCTGTGATAGGCACCCAACAACCATGACTCCAGATTGAAAGGTCACTGATTGATGAGGTGCAGACTCGACGTTGACTGTTGATGCAAGTCTCGCTGTGAGTCATCGTCAACCATATCACAATATCCTGGGATCATGCTGTTGTCACTGCTAAGTTTCTACAACTGCCTTGCGAATTTTCAATCTGCAACACGAGCCATCAGACATTGGTAAATATTTACACAGTGATTGGTAGGGCTGTAAGTCATAGCTCTCCAATCATACAGGACCTAACTAGGTGGCGTGGATCCACATCCGCAGCTGGGATGCAACTCCGATCCAAAGAAGCCAGTTCGACAGTTGGGCTTTCGTTGTGCTGTACCTCGTAGCAAGCTTTCAGTGTGTCGGTAGGTACAAAAGAGCTCAAGCTTTCACCGGTAGAAACGGCTTCATCCACGATGCCTAGGTACATAAGATCTCAGCTTGGCATCAAGACGGTGAGACGGGCGAATCATGCAATTAGGTAAAATTTTGGCCATTTTGGCGAAATTTTTCGATTCCTTTCGTCATGCGAGGCGAAGCATAATCTCCATCTTGTCCTTGTCCGATCAAGTCCTGCCTTCTCCGGACGCTGAGGATGACAACATTGGTAATGGAAATGCTCGTTCGGGGGTGTTCGTTATTGTAGTTTTCCCACGCCACGTCTTCGATGAAAAACAACGTCCGAGCATTTCACTCCGGATCTCTCTTCAATGGAGTGTTTCTTCGCCTGTCCTTCATCACACCTCAGCCGCGTCCGTTGATCTTGAGTAACCGCGGAGCAGAGCTGCGCCGACATAGCTGATGACAGCCTTTGACTATGAACCGAAGGAAGGCATTCCCATCGAAGATGGTACGCCGACAACAGCCACCACAACCACGTCCGCGTCTTCTTCGGACGAGCACAACACGCTCCCAGACCCGAACGGGATAGATTGGCTGCCCGACGACCCGGAAAACCCGTACAACTGGTCGGCGTCCAAGAAATGGGCCATCACCGCCGTGGCCATCATGGCCACCTTCACCACCATCCTGAACGGCACCATGATCACGGTGGCCCACGCGGCCATCAACGATGAGTTCCACGTCAGCGACGAGACATTCCCAAACTCATACTGGCCCGTGACGAGCTGGGCTTTAGGAGGTGCGCTTTCGGGTCTAGTCATTCTGCCCCTGATGGAAGATTTCGGCGTCCGCCCGGCCTTCCTGACAACATACGTGGTCTTCATCCTGTTCATCATCCCTCAAGCCGTGGCCAAGAACTTTGCGACGCTGATCGTGTCGCGCTTCTTCAGCGGCGGCTGCGTCTCGGTGCTGAGTAACACCGCGGCCGCCCTGATCGGGAATATCTGGGAAGGCGACCGCGCCCGCACCATCCCCATGTCTCTGTTCGTCACGCTCTACCTCGCAGGGAGCAGCATGGGCCCCGTCATCGCGGGCGTCATCTTCCAGACTTTGGGGTGGCGCTGGATCTCCTACATGCAAATCATATGGTACGCGGCGCTGTCCCCGATCTACATATTCTTCTTTCAGGAGAGCCGCGGCACCATCATCCTGCACCGGCGGGCTGTGAAGCTTAGGCGCGAAGGAGGTCACAGTCACGCCGGCGTTGCGGCCACGCCCAAAGCGACCAGCGCAACCCTGGCCCGCAAACTCGCCCGCAGCACGCAGCGCCCGCTACGCATGCTCTTCACCGAACCCGTCCTCTTCACCTTTACGCTCTGGTCGGCCTTCATGGTCGGCACGGTCTACCTGTTCACGCAGTCCGTCGAGTTCGTCTTCTCGACCCTCTACGGTTGGAGTGCCAGCCAAGCCGGCTACGTGCAATCGGCCATCGTGGTCGGCGAGTGCGTCGGCTGGACGGGCGTGCTGGTGTCCGCGCGCCTCTATTTCAACTCGGCTTCACGTAACACTGAAGTCCCCGGGACACCCGTCCCAGAGGCCCGCCTGTACGTCAGCGTCGTTGGTAGTTTTGTGGGAGTGGCCGGCGGCATGTTCGTCTACGGCTGGACCGCGTACCCTTCTATCCCGTGGATCGCGCCCGCCATTGGCCTCGCGATGGTCGGGTATGGCGTCGAGGTCGTCGTGCTCGCGATCGCGGATTACGTCGTGGACGCGTACGCCATGTATGCCGGCAGCGCGGTCGCCGCGGTCGTGCTGGGCGAGAATCTGTTCTCGGCGTTCCTCCCGCTCGCGGCGCAGGCCATGTATTCGCGCCTGGGCCCGCGGTGGGCGAGTTCCTTGCTGGGGTTCCTGGCTTTGGGACTGAGTTTTGCGCCCGTCGCCATTCTCATGTACGGGTCGAGACTGAGGCAGCGGAGTCCGTTCATGAAGGAGGCCATGGTCGAGAAGAGGAGGAATGTGGATGTGCCTTCGCAGATCGCGAGGGTGACTTCGAATGGTGGCGGTGTGGTGTAGATGTGGCCGTTCCGGTCCCCAGGGCTCGCCGTCTTATGGGGATGCGTGCTCTTCGAGGAGTGGGGCATGGAGTTTGAACATAAAAAGTGCCGACGGGTGTACATGTGTCCGTTGCATTTGTCTATATCTGATGAACCACGTTTTCATTTACAGTACCTCGATGGGCAGGCCATAAGCGCGTGCGGCGGCCCTCTTCGCTGTACGAATAGAGCATGCTCATCGTCACCTGTTGTGAAGGTCACGTATCCCCGGTAGTAATCTCTGTATTGCCACATTGACGAATATATGCAGAGTTGTAGAAAGATCCTGTAATATACCCTATTCCCTATCTTCATGAGTCTCCTGGGTTCGATCTCAGCTCGTACCTATCTGCGTGGTCTGGCGCGTTAGGTTCTTCTACCTCGTATTCGTGAACACATCTCGCCAGAGTTATGACTACTCGTGCCCGGAAAATGAAGGGGCCATAACTGCTGCATCCGCGCACCCTTGTGGCAGACTCCCCTTCACTTGCGCCTTCACGTGGATTTAACATTATAATCAAGCGTTTTGACGTCTTTGCCCTTCTCCTTCATGTCATACTATCATAGATGTGGCACGGCCAGACTCGCTAGTATCAAGTTCAGGATACTCACCACGCCCTCTCCAAGGATCAATCCACTTGCCAGGACAACGACTCTGGTCTCCCCTCTTCCGAGCCATTGCATCCACCACAGCGATATGAGACCGCCGGCAGTCCTCGCCAACGTGAAGCTCGGGGTATTGTACATGCCCACGGCGACGGCAATGCCGCCCGGGATGAAAGGATGGAGCTTCCCACACCACGGTTTCGAGTCCTTGTACGCGAGTAGGACGATTCTCAAAGTGGTGGTGACGACAAAGACCGCGCCGAACAGCAGTGCAAACTGCCACGCCATGGGCGGCAGGCCTTTGCCCGTGACGAGCCGGGCGGTAAATATCCAGACGTACGCGGTGGGGATCTGGAATAGATCACCCGGAATGGGGTAGACGTGGACGTATAGCTTGTAGACGGCCGCGGAGACGAAGGCGCCCACCACGCTACCGATGAGTTGGCCATAGAATTGTGCCTTGGGGGACGCGCCGATGAGATGCCCAGCTTTCAGGTCTTGCAAAATGTCGCCGGCTTGAAGAGCTCCGGCTTCGCTGACAGCACCAGCCAGCAGATTGATGATTATGGCGTGGTTTTGATGACGTCCTGCTGGTGTGATGAGAGCAAAGACGAGCTGCGTGAGTTTGGAGATGCCGCTGACCGGGTTCAAGTCTGTTTCACCCAGGGCGCGGACGCCCATTACCGAGAGGAGCAAAGCAAGAACAATGGCAAGGATGTTGAGGCTAATGGGAATGTAAGTACCGAAGGTGATGTGGATGCATACCACACATACAAGGAGCGTGAGTGGGAGGAGGATGGCAACCGTGCGGTTCGAGACGAGGTGATGTGGTGGTGCGTCATCTGGGGGCTCGTCCGAGGATGTTCGTGCAGCCTTTGTGGTAGATGGTGACTGACTGGCGTTCGGAGTTGTTGCGAGTGCAATATAGCCGGTTACTTGCTTACCCAGCAGGAGTTCATACCACGAGGAGCTATTGCTGTAGTGCTCTTTGGCAGCTTGGACCCAGTCTGGCCCGTACCGAATGGTTGGGCGCAGGATCAGCCAGCCAAGGTTGACAATGGCGTCCGCTAACATGATTGCGAGACTGACCCAGACTATCCAGCCTTTGCTGCCAGACTCCCAATCATCAACTGGACCGGCGGCCCAACCCTTCTTTTTTGCCAGAGGGCTCAAGATTGCCCATCCTGTAATGGCACCGAGGAGCATATGGAAAGTGGTGGCAGGCCCCATGATGATGCCCTGCCCTACATATGCTGGTGACGGATTGAGAGTCCATTCCCAGGTATGGGCCAGATAGGTGCCGAATATGGGCAATTTGTGCAGGATCGGGAGGAAATACTGAATAAGCGTATAAGCACCAGAACCGAGGAACGCGATGAGAAGAAGCCGAATCTGCCTTTTCCAGTCAGCCCGAAGGTCCTGCTCTGCAGCTTGACCTGGTTGATTGTCTCGGTCGCTCTCCCTCAGGAGTTCTTCACGCTCCTCTGTGCCCTGCGTTTCTATTTCTCTGTCTCTACCTTCGTTGCTCTGGGCGCCACCGTGTAGCACGCTGATCATCAAAGCGGTTGCTGTGCCGCTGGGGAACTTGAGTCGTTCACGAATGATGACTTGCTTGCGAAGTGGGACGCCAAAGACGACCCCAAACAGGCAGAGACCGACCCCCCACACGATCAGCCGCCATAGACTCAAGTCGACAGGCGCGCCTTCACTCTTCTTGAGCAGAAATTGCAGACTCGGCATGACTCCGACGAAGCCCAGGCCCAGCGGCATCGTGCCCACCGCTCCGGCAACCGTCTGGACAAGCACATTCTCCACAGGCGTGAATGGAAGCACCAAATATCGAGACAAGGTCTTGAAAACAGCGAAGCCAATCAAGGAAGCCGGCATTGCCATGCCAGACACCCAACCAGTCTGTAAGCCAAAGTATGTGTTCGAAAAGCATATTATTATCCCAATCCCAATGCCCACTGCCACACCTCGAAAGGTGAAATTGGTGCCATCCAGGGCCGAGTCATTTGCTCCCGGGGTAGCATAGCAACCATGGTCGGAACGCACGCGAGCAACATCGTGGTGCTGGCTGGACTGCGAGCGCAGTTCGTGGTCTTCGAGGTCGGATGGAGAAGGGGATAGAGAGGGCGACGGAGAATGCAAGCCCCTGTCGGGCGCCATTCTGAGATACTGGTTATACAGGCGCACAGGCTCTTACGACACCAATGTCGACAGTCTCACGGCATCGAAAGCCATGGATGAGATGCGACGCTGACGAAGCTGCGAGCCAGTGGGATCATGCCACCAGTCACGTGGGCTCAGGCCATCACCAAGCGGCGCTCAGCATCTGACTGGTGGAATAGGCGCCACGGGCTGCAGCCTTGCGTCATTGACTCAAGGCGTTCTAAGCCCCCGAGACCCCTCACGTGGTCTTTGGGCTTCTCTCTGCGCCGGCCAGAAACGGCCTGGAATTCCCATCGACAAATGCTGAATGCCGTGAAGCGATTGTGAAAGATCGGTGATGACGCATTCTTACCCATTTCACTGGCTTGACGGTTAAAACCCAGCACATCCATCCCCCCATAATCGCCCTCACCTTACACGTGCCTTCCCTCTTCGACCACCCTATTTACATATCTTTCATGGACCCTTTCGAATACGAGTAACGTTGTGCTCGCCACTCCCCTCTTAGCTATTGGTATCTCTAGTCGTAACCGCGCCCGGTTTCAATGTTGCGTCTCTCCCTGCGAGGCCACGATAATGAGCCAAGTTGAGCCTCTAGTTTTGTGCATATCCCTTTCTTGTTCAGTAGTGGTAGCAAATCCCAGCTGGCCAGCACCGTGAGGTGCAAATAGACATGGCAAAAGAAGGTGCGCGAGAGCGCGAAATGCACAGGTATGCATTATAACAACACATTCTACTCCGAGCACCACCATAACTCACCGCCTACTCTAGGTATTATCAGCCATGGCTCGAGACGTTTATGTCCACCGACTTTGAACCTGCCACGTTACTGCCGCCACCTGCGGGACAAGCAGATGGTCACCATCCTCGGTCGTCGCGAGACAAAGCTCTGACCGCCTTTGCGCAATTGGGCTGCCTGCGGTTGAATGTTAAAAGATGCGTAGTCACGCTGCTCGGCACTACCAAGCAATATATCATTGCCGAGGCCACCAAGACCCTGTCCCTGTTAGACGATGCACAGCATGGCGAAGGCGATGAACTATGGTTTGGAAATTCTTTCATCGAACGAGAAGGTGGAATCTCAGCGGATGCCATGGATCCTGATCCATATACCGGCCATGACCCAGACGGCTCCGCGTTCGCTGCGCCGGCCTTGGTTGTCAGCGACATTGCCGCGCATGAAAGCTACAAAAACAGAGGTTATGCCGGTCATGGCGTGAATTTCTATTGTGGCGTACCCATCACCACGAATCATGGCCAGGTTATCGGAGTCTACACTGCCACCGACGATAAGCCGCGTGACAGGCTCTCAGCTACCGAGTTGCGTTTTCTCGTCGATATGTCTGCTATCGTCATGCAGCATCTGGAAACCGTGAGAAACGACCGTACCAGGAAGAGGGGAGAACGTCTTATTCACGGTCTAGGGCGCTTTATCGAGGGCGATGAGGGCGAAGAAAGCGATAATCAGGACCACGTCGCCAGCTCCAAGGAACCTAAGAATAACGCTACTCTCGATCGACCCAAGCTTCCGCAGAACGACAAGTCACCTGAATTTCTAGGCATGGTCATCAAGGATGCAAATGAGCCATCTGAAGAATCCAAGCGCACAAACAGTCGGCCTCCGAACCGCCCGGCTGAGCCACTACGGCAGGAGTCCTCAGGCGCAGGGCAGAAAGCCGACCTCGGCCAGGAGACCAATGCATCATCGAACCCACAAAAAGCGGCAGCACGCAAAGAGAAGGTGATAAGGGATTCACAGCACGTATTCGACCGCGCAGCGAGTATTCTCAGACAATGTCTGAGCTCAGATGGGGTGATTTTCTTCAATGCCAGTTCCGCAAATCTGAGTTCAGGTTCTCGAATGGAAATGTCTGGATCTGTGGCGAGTGTCCATCATTCCAAGTCGAAAGAGACCCGACCGTCCACGAAGCATGATGGTGCAGAGGCCCAGGATCAGCAAGCGGATAAGCAGACTACTGGTCAGTCACTGTCTAGTGACGATTCCGCTTCAACAAAAGGCCAAAGCGATTCATCATCTTCGCAGAAGAAGGGGCGGCAGAAGGGTGAAATATTGGGCCTGGCCGTGCTCGATTCCACCAAGGCAGTCAGTATTCCGGAGCAGGCTTTGCGCCGCTTAGTGCGACGTTATCCAAAAGGGAAATGCTTTACATTCGACCAATTCGGGAAACCTGCATCAAGTGACGAGAGTTCCGAGTCTGCGTCGGCAAATGATACCGCCAAGGACGCGCACGACCATACCAACGCTAGCAGACACGTCTTTACAACAAGCACTCTGCTAAAAGCACTCCCAGGAGCGAGGACCATTATTTTCCTACCACTATGGGATATTGCCAAGCAGCGATGGCACTCTGGACTGGTAGTCTGGAGCAATGATGGAGGAAGTCTGACGAATATCGAGGACAACATGATCTATCTGAAAGCATTCAGCAACGCGATCATGAATGAGGTCAATCGCAGTGACCTCGCCCATTCCGACATGGCTAAATCAACATTCCTGGCAAACATTTCGCATGAGCTTCGTTCGCCACTCCACGGCATTCTGGGGAGCATTGAATTCCTCCACGATACTGCGATGGACGATTTCCAGTCATCCATGGTGATAAGCGTTGAGACATGTGGAAAGACCTTGCTGGATACCGTCAATCATGTGCTTGATTATGCCAAGATCCACAATCTGTCGAGGGCTCACCGTCATGCCAAAGGAGCCATCCAAGGTCCTGAACAACCGGGCAGGCCCGAAACCAGTCTCACTGAGGATTTTGATCTTGCTATTGTGGTCGAAGAGGCCGTCGAAGCAGTCTACGCTGGTCAGGTCTTCCGCACTGCCAATGCTGACGCGTTAGAGGGCAAATCGCCCATTCAGACAGCAGCGAGCCGCGCTATGCAACAACGACAGGACAGGAGAGACAACATTAGCAAAGACTCCGCTCAACGCAAGAGTCCTGTCCGTCTGACTCTGAATATCGATGACAATCTCCAATGGAGAGTCAGATCCCAGCCCGGCGCTGTCAGACGGATCGTCATGAATATCCTGGGCAACGCATTGAAATACACGAGCAAAGGCAGCATCAATGTGTCTCTCGAAGTTGATCGCTCCCGCAGCAAGACTTCGTCGAATTTGCACATATTGCTTCAGGTTTCTGACACAGGCCACGGCATGTCAGAAGATTTCATCAAGAACCATGCGTTCACTGCCTTCTCCCAGGAAGATTCGCTAGCCAGTGGCACTGGGCTTGGACTCAGCATAGTTCGGCAAATAGTTGACTCACTTGGAGGGAAGATAGACCTGTCCAGCGAAAAAGACCTTGGCACCGACGTACGAATCTGGCTCAGCTTTCCAAAGAGTCGAAATGAAGAGAGCGCGGGTACGGACTCACATATCCTCCCGGAGATGAGGGAGCGCACGACCGGCCTTGAAATCTGTATGCTCCTGCCCTACGACGAGAAGAGCACCGAGAGCGGTATCCGCTCCTTGATCCCTATGCCGACAATAGAATCATCCTTGCGGAATTTGATTGATCAGTGGTTCCACATGAAAGTGACCACCACCAAGACGATGGAAGGTCTCTCACCCGATTTTTTCGTCTACCCTGAACCGCCACCTATCGACTATCTGATGGATTTTCATGGGAGGACCAAATCAGATTTCGAGATCCCGGTGATTATCCTGTGTACCAATGCATTCGAAGCAGCGTCACTGAGGTCCAACGGGGTGCATTACCTTACGGATATTGGTAGAGTCATCGAAGTGATTGCTCAACCTTGCGGTCCTCAAAAACTGGCAAAAGTACTTCACCGCTGCATGCAACGGTTGCAGATGCTGAGAGACGAAAAGGGGAAGAAGAAATTCACTCAGAACGTTTCCATGACACTGAAGAAGAACCGATCAGAAAAGGACTGCTCGCCAACACAGGACCATACTGGTTCCGACCAGACCGGGGCCGTAGAAGACCACAGCAAGCCGGCGCCTGACCCTCCGCCAGCCAGTCCCGGCCCGGCTGCAAAACGCGCTGATCCGTCAAATTCCTCGCCCGAGAACCAGTCCCGGTCAAGGCGGAGGTCTCCGACGAACACGAGTACAACAGACGAGACGGTGTCGGCGGACGCGGTAGCTGCCGCTGATGGCGAAGCCATAGCCCCCACGCTCGATTCCGACAGGCCGCGTGTCCTTGTCGTCGACGACAATCAGATCAACCTTCACCTACTGGTCACTTTCGTGCGAAGATCTGGACACCCTCACGATTCTGCCACCAACGGCCTGGAGGCAGTGCAGGCGTACAAGAAGTCCGTCCAAGAAGACGGAGGCAAACGCGCGTTCAAGTACATCCTCATGGATATCTCGATGCCCGTGATGGACGGCATGTCTGCCACGAAAGAGATCCGCAAGCTTGAGAAGGACCTGGGCATCAAGACGCCCGCCAAGGTTATTGCCCTGACTGGAATGGGGAGCGATATTGCGCAGAATGAGGCTCGGCATGCCGGGTTTGATCAGTTTTTGAGCAAGCCGGTAAAGTTCAAGGATTTGGTCAAGTTGCTCGTTTGATGGATCGAGGTCGAGGTCGGCATGTGTCGACAATCGACAGCAATGTCTTTATGCATGAGATGACTCCTGTATACGCAGTACTGAGGACGTCTGTATGTGATACCCCCCCTTTTAGGCATTTCCGTGGGCGTTGGCATGGCGCAGCATGTTCGGGGCACTGGACCAGCGTGAGGGCATGACTTCTTGACCTGCTTGATCGCTTTGCTTGATTGCATGACATGACGAGACTTGAAAGATCCTGGGCAACAAAAAACAAACATGAAGCGTGGCCTGGCGGACTTTGGCCCGAAGACAATAGAACCTGCCTTTATTCGTATGAGTACCGGTCTCGGCCTTGGCATTGGCAGTACAACTATTTGAGCCTCGTCGTACTGTAGAATATTGCTTTACAGGTGTTTTGAGCCTTGACTTGAAGCCCTGTGCATTGCTGTACTCCGTATATACACTCCCTGTCTGTGCGGAGTAGGACTGTAGCGATATGCAATTTTGTCCACGGGAAGGGGTCATCAGTCACCGCTTGCCGAACGATCACACATGCTGGACTGGAGCCGGAGCGTATTTCACAGGTCTCTTGACATTGGAGTACTGTTTCCGGATGTCTTAAGACGTCTTTTCCCTTAGGTATCTATGCAATGCCATGCCATGCCGTGTAATCGCGCCCCGGCCCCGAAATCCCGCGTGTCTCTCGAAAATCTGCATGCCGCCTTCCGGCCCCGTTGCACCCTACCCCTCCTTCACCGGCTCCGGATACAGTGTGTCCCTGTACGTACTGTGGGCTCTGGACGAAGTGGAAACCGCCGCTGCGCAAGTAAAGAGAAGTAAAACCGGAAAAGAAGATCGTTCGAAGGCCAATGTTGGTCTATTGTTGCTGGTGTGGAAGTGACACGTACAATATTTACCGAAGAAGGCAAGAAAGCAGGAAAAGGAACGCTGGGCATATTGCGCTTAACGCGGACAAGAGTTCTGCAATTGGTCGAGAAAGGCACGCGGAAATGATTTGCCGTCGTCTGTTGTACACAAAGGTCATTAGAATCTCCCAGGAGTCTGGGTCGTAGATGTTGCTGCGAGCCAGCGATCGGAGGTGAAAGATTGGATGGAGGGAGGGATAGCACGGCAGAAAGGAAAGAAGGACCTGTCTTAATGTAGACCAAAGAGTCCTTGTCCTTGCCTGGCGCGCTGGAGTTATGGAGCCGGGACCGGGGATGTCTTGCCTGGCCTGGCCTTGTTGCACGAATCGAGCATTGAGAGCGTAGGCCTAGAGCTGGCAGCATCGCTCGCTATGTGGTTACGTTGGACTTGGAGGCTTTATTGTTCCAGGAAGTATCCAGGTTGTAATTCCAGTCTCAGTCGTCCCAGCGGCGTGCCCAGAGAGATGAAGCCAGCGTCTCCTCGTGAAGGCTAACCTGGCTCGTCTCAAGGCGAAAAGATATCCAGAACTGCTGCTAAGGTGGCATGGTCTGATGCGATGCGAGTCATCTCGAATAGTAGCTCGAATGAATCAATCCTTCAGGTGCATCACTTTCTGTAAGTTATTGCAGGTGATCGAATTTGGTCCGCCCCATATTATCAAGTCGTGACACGCTTAATCCACAACCCGGTGGGCTGCTCGTAGAAATCATCCTTGTCTCTCCGTTTCTGCACTCGGTGCAACTTCAATTGCACATCGTGCTCCTCGTTCTTGATGTCCTGCATTTCCATATGCAAGTTCGTGATCATCTTGTCGACCTCCTTGCGTTTTCTCGCGTCATAGACGATCGCGTTCTTTATGAGTGATTCTTGCAGTTCATGTATGATTTTGTTCAGGTTGCGCTTACGGCGGGCTAGGTCGTCGAGGCGTGCCTTGAGCGATCCAAGTTTGTCGGCGGCTTCGCTGGCTTGTAGCTCGACGGGAGTGGGTGGAAGGGATTTCGTCGTCGAGAGATGAGACATCAGCGAAACCGCACGAGGTTTACCGTTGCGGTCATAAGTGGAATTATCGCCGCCAACGGCTTTGCGAAGGATATTGGTTGAGGACTTTCGGGCAGAGATGTTGGAGAAGGGAGAGATGCCACCATAGTTGTCGAAGCTTCTGTAGCCGCTGTTATTAGCCGCAACTCGTTTTCGAAGAAGGATTGGTATCGTATCGGCTGAGTACGAGTGTTGCGACATTGGAGGAGGGCTGCTGGTGAATACTTCTCGTGCTATCGGACTTGATGGAATGTGGTGAGCACCATCGTCGACCGTGCTGGTAGCGTAGGTGTTCCAGCTTGAGCCGGTGTCGGCTTCCCGTTGTAAAGGTTTCGCTTTCAGCATCGTTTCTACTGAGTCCTCACTGGAACGTCTTTCTGGCTCAATGATTGACGGTGCATTTGAGCCAAGCGTGGGACTGTCCGGTCCATAGTCTTGAATTGTGCTCGGCGCTGGGCTGGCTGTTGACTCAACGATGGACGGAGATGGACCAGGACTTTGGAAGGGGCTATCAAGGTGTAATTGAGCATATTCCTGCTGTTTGGGGGACAGTGCCGGAGGCGACACGGCTTGTGGTATCTTTCGCGTCTTCAGAGGTGCTACAGGCTTGAGGCTTTCTTCAGACCCAATATTCCTGACCGTCGGTAGTTGCGAAGCAGCGACCGAAAGCGAATCGATAGGAGACATGGGTGTCTTGCTTGGTGATATCGAATCTTCCGGCGTCGGGCTTTCTGCCTCTCCTTCGGTTTGCTTTGGACGCCCTGATAGCATCAATGGTTTGGTTCGAGCCTCGGGTGTATTCTTTACAGGCTCGACTATTGCATGCCGACCACTAGCTCCTCTCCATGGAGGCCGCTGCGGTGGGTTGTCCAAGGGATCCGCAGCGGCTGGCAGAGGATTTCTGGTCCAGGCTGAGTTCTTGACCGCCTCTCTGTCCTTCAAGCCTGCCAATATCTGCCGTGTTCGCTCTTTCAGCTGAGGGTATTGTTGAGAATCAAGCGTCGGAACCACGCCTGGGCGAGCAGAGGGCGGCTTGCCCGCCTGACTCGGCTCGCCGGAGTACTCATCCCACCGGGTTTCTTCGTTGCCTTCTTTCTGTAAATTCCATCGTTTCTTGATGCCTTCTTCCGGAGATTTCTGGGACAGCTTCCGGGGTATTTGGCTTCTAAAGGTCTTGTCCGGGTGTGTAGACTCGACAGGGGATACTAAGGATGCATCGGAGCCGTTGGGGTGCAATGAGGTCTGGCTACTCAAAGGCGACACACTAGCTTGAGAGATCTGATGGTTATGGTCTGGCTGGACTGAGGGATTTTCTTCGAAGGATGCCTCTGAATAGATCGATTCACGCGGACCCATGGGCGGTACGACCCGGCTGTACAGCAGTGGTCAGTGATCATCTGGAGGACTTGCGGAGAGGGCAGAGCGAGAACGTACAAAGGGAGTTCTGGGAGAGCAGTGGCCGCAACACTACTGCGGCGACTGTACAAAGACTCGACTTCATGTATTGTCTCCAGATATCTTTCATCCATTGTTGGCTCGTCCGGATATGGATAGGACTGATAGCCCATCTGGTAGTCTGGAATGTTGTTTCGTCGCCACATGTTTGCGCTTGGACTCAAGAGAGCGTGGTGAACGAGAGTGAAGGTTTGCGACGCTCGGACAAACGGTTCGTCATATCACGGACAACTGCAGGAGAGACTGGTCAGGGTGAGTACTGTGCTGTCTTGTTTGTCCATGCTCCTAAGTGTCAAAGCCGAACAAGTGTCTGCTGGCAGCGACACTGACGACGACAGGGGTCGGTCTTATTTTGTTGTTCAGGACTCAGAATGGCAGCCCAAGGGGTCGCCGATTGGCGGACGAGGCGTCAATCACTAACCGGACTGGCAAATAAACCTGAAACACCCTCGACTCGGTTTTATATTGAAGGAGCATCTCACGACCGACACAGCCTCACAGTCTCTGGCTGTCGGCAGTCCTTTGAGGACAATGGCACTAATGGCAGCAGAATGTCTCTGACCTACAGTTACTTGCATCTGGTGTCTGTCTACGGAGTACGCGCTGTTCAAACTCTATTGCCAGTGCTGTAACTGTGGGTTTTGGGCACGCCTAAACGGAACGCGTGGGCACGGAAAGGGGCACGCGGGGAATGCCCCCGTTCAGATAAGAGCCCAATTAGGCGCGAGCCTCAAGCTACATGCCTGTTCAGGCGTCGGCTACGTCCAGCGAATCGGGAATCATTTCCGTCTCATGTTTGCTCGCCTTACTCTTTCCTCACCACACAGTTTGCCATATTTCGAAGTAGTTATAGTCACCTGACAACTCTGGCCTCTGCTGACATTCTTACAGTGTCTGTTTCACTTGTCTAGACACTCTTGTATCTAACCCCCTTCTGACCTCATCTGTATCGGACTCCTCCCTCAATCCTCGTGACCTCCATTAGCAGGCTTCTTTCGTCCTCCCTGACGACCAATAGTTAAGAACGGCACCAGGAACATTGCCAGGACTGCTCCTCCCAATGACACCCAGAATGTCGCCTGGTAAGGCCGGTACCTTAGGGCTCCTGCTCCCTCTGCGGACCCGCCAGCGGTATTATAGATGCTGGTTTGGATCCCTAGACCCACAGTGGCCACGAGCCTGGTGACGGTGTTGAACAGCCCTCCTGCAACTGACTGCTGCTCACTCGGTAGTGAGGACATGACATACATGTTGGTGACAGTGAACTCCAAATCTTGCGATAGTACGCTAAATAGCAATGCTGGGAAGGCCAGCGCCCAGAACGATATGGACGTGTGTATTGCACTGAGAAGAGCAGAAGCAACAACCGCACTGGCTGCACCAATAATCATGATCAGTCGGTTTGAGATCCGATGCATGATCATAGCTGCCAGCACATTGACGAGAATCCCCCCAATGCCTGCCGGAAGAAGGTGCACTGCCACCATCAGAGGCGAGAGTCGATTGATTCTCTGCCAAAGCAGAGTCAACCAGAACAGATTGCCCGCAAAGCCGTAAAAGCCGAGACACAGCACTGTCACGACGAGGGTGAAGTTTCGGTCTTTCCAGACCCTCAATGGCATGAGAGGGTACCGAAAGACACTCTGCCAATAGATGAAGCCTGCGACCAGCACGGTCCCAACCACCAGCAGGGCGATCACATACGGTGTCGCCCATCCCTTTGGTGCGTCCCCGGCCAGAGTCAGAGAAGCCGTGAACATGGCGATCCCTCCGACGGCAAGGAATGCTCCTAGTAGGTCGAATTTGACAAATGTGTCCATGTTGAGCCCTCCCAGTGTTTGTTCGACGTCTGGAGGCGTCGTCCACCATGCAGCGAAGAAAAAGAATGCGTAAATCACGGACATGACCCAGAATGCTGCTCGCCAGGAAGACACCTGCATCGTCACACCAGAGATGAACGCGCCCAACACGAAGCCGACCGGGTTGCCACCAGAAAAGCAGGCAAATGCTCGGTTCTTTCGTCGACTCGGCCTGTCGTACACCGCCCCCAGCTTGCCGATTGCCGGAGGAACGGAAGCCGCTGAGCTGAGACCGAGCAGGCCGCAAAATACATCCAGAAAGTACGCATTCGTCGCGAATCCCGTGATCAGCAGGCAAATGCTGAAGAATGCCAGACTCAACAGGAATAGAAATCTCCTCCCAAACAAATCAGCCACGCGGCCGAAGAAGAGCAAGAAGGTGCCTGCTGCGAGCGTTTGGGCAGCATTAATCCAGGTAACTTCAGCAGCTGTCATACCCAAGTCCTCGCCGATTGCATTCGTCATGCACAATATCGCGCCCGTGAAGATTGAACTCTGTCCCACGGCGATGGTTGTGGTGAGGACGAAAAGGCATTCTTGAAAGAGGCTGCTAAAACAAGCGGGACGGCTGCCGTAAGGATCTGAGTCGACTTGTGTCAAAGGGGCTCCCAGGGACGTTGTGGGCTCGGTTATTTCAAAGTCGGTAGCTTGCCTACTGGCTTCTGCATCGCCATAGTGAGGCGACTCAACCTGAACTGGCTGCTTCTCCATTGCCACAGCACCACCAGTTTTTGGGACAAAATACGGTCAAGACATGCAATCCAGACTGAGTGAGACAGCGCGCAATTCTCAAGAAATAGAATCAATGATGGCGCTTTTACCTATGGGTATGTACAATTAATTCGGGCACCATCCAGGGACGAAAAGAAAAGGGGACTGACGGACATGGAGTTCTGTGACTTGCGGTCGAGAGCACCGGCTAAAATACCTAGCATGGAAGCTGGGGTAACCGAAGCATCCTTGCTGCTTTGACTCAGCGCCAGGGGCCATCGCGGATCTGCTTCCGCTTTCAATGGCCTCGATTGCTGATCAACCGAACTGTATTTCACGACGGAGGATCCAACACCTCGGTGCTGCGCGGAAGGGTTAAAGCTGACATGCAGCTTTAGCACTTCTTGCTCTTATCCAGGGTTGGCATCGACTAATGTATAAGCGTGTTCAGGCTGATTACACCTTGCTTTTGTCTTGTCCTTCGACCTCAACGGCAATGGTAGCCTCATCTGTCTCCTCTTCTTCTGGCCAGGATTCAGATCTCGCATACGCTCTGTTTACTTCGCCCGCTTTCGAACCTCGCTCGAGCTCCGCCCACGATTTCAACCAGCTTACTCTCGACCGTGTCGAGCTTACATATTCCTTCCTCCCGTCACCTCGATGGTCTGCCCGTTCACATAGCTAAACAGAGGCGACACAACAGCCAGGATGGAGCTAGCGGCCTCGGTTGCCGTGCCAGGTCGTCCAAGCGGGATATCCTTATATGCAGCCGCGTCATCTCCTTTTCGCTCAGAAATTTGCTTCCCTGGGATACCCAAAGCAACACGCTGACCGTCGGCCGTTGTGATGAACGCACCTGCCTCTTTAGCGCGAGTCAGGCGGGTATCGATGTGGCCGAAGGCAATCGTGTTGGCACGCACGCCGAACTACCCCACATGTCAGTGTTAAAATTCCCAGTCGACTGAACTTTGACACATACCTGCGGACCCCATTCCTTCGCGATTGTCTTCGTCAGTCCCAACACCCCGGCCTTTGCCAGACTATAGTTTGCCTGTCCCGCATTCCCGTGTGTCCCGCTCGTACTTGAGATGTTGATAATGACTCTCCTCTCTCCATCCTTGACTCTAAAATACTTGCTCGCCTCCCGAACCAACCTGAACGGTGCTGTGTTGTGTACAGCGAGGATGGTATCCCACTGTTTATCCGTAATCTTGTGAATGACGCCGTCCCACGTATACCCGGCGTTGTTTACTATTATGTGGATTTTTCCATTGCCAAACTGCGCGGCCTTCTGGACGAGGATGGGGAAGTATGCGGGATCCGTAACGTCGCCAGGGACAGAGATTGCCCTCTCGGTGCCGGGAGTGGCATCGTTGATGGACTTTGCAACGGCTTCGGACTTCGAGGCGTCAACGTCGCAGATTACCACTTTGGCGCCTTCATTTGCGAAGAGCCGGGCGCATTCGGCGCCGATACCCTGGCCAGAGCCTGTGATCTGTCCATATGCGTCAACACATACAACGGTCTTGTTCAATCGGCAGGTGGGAAGCATACAATGGCGACCTGGCCGTCCAGGAGACCACGAGGATAGTTAAGATGCGACGCAATCTGCTGAGCTCTTTGCGCCATGTTTGGAGTCCGTATTAAAACAAAGATAGCAGACAAACAAACCAGGAAAGGAGTTCTACTTGTGAGAGTATCGTAAGAGAGAGAAAGGTAACGAACGCAACGACTGGTGGTTGTAATTGTAGAGCGCTGCCTTCGGATCGGATAGCTGACGTTGTGCCGAGGTTCAATTTAATCGATTAGCCGCACTGCCGCCCACCAAGTCGACCGATCGTCGTCGAGCAGTACATACTCCGTACTGTGCATGCGGACAACCAGTAGCCGATATGCTCCGGTGGAAGGGAATGGCCTCTTAAGACCGAATGACAGCACAGCTCAAGGACACCAAATGCGCTGGGTTCCTGGAAAACAGCTAGAAAAGGAACAGCGGGACGGGTTGTTCTCACCTCTAACTCACCATTCTCTCATTGCCATCTGTAAATCATGTCACTACTGCCAACATCTGGAGAAGAAATGTGTTAGGCCTCCGCACCCACTGGCCGTCTCTGACAACCGGTGCTTGCCTGCCAGCATCTGGATCTTGCTTGCGAATGGGGCGTCCGGAAGGCCAGTGTGGAGCGTTGACGGTACTCCCAGCGGATTGCATTCAAGCTCTATTTCACATGAACGGCGGATCTGATCCCCTGTCGACAAGTCGAGGAGCACGATCAGATGCAGCTCAAGTGCGTCAACAATGGTAACTGCCAAATGCTGGGATTCGTCACGGTCGCTAGTCCGCCCAAAGATCGTTATCACCGACCCCCACGCGGAGGTGCTTGACCGGGTGAGTCGAAGCGAGAAGTATCACGGAATTGTACGACTCGAGTTCTCTTCATCCCTGATCATCTTCTGCGAGATGATGCCGCCATCCTGACATGGCCGGTGCTGGGCTACTACATGTTGACTTGGCGACCCCATTGTTCCTTCGAAAAGCGTGCTTCCGCCTTTCGCATATGGACGTACAGAATTTTCACTGCATTCCTGGCACCTAGCCCGGAGAAGCCACATTTGGACATTGCTGAAGCGGCAGGCTCCATGCGCTTGCCCCTTAGGATTCAATTAGACCCTCCCGTGGCAGGAAGGTGAGTATAATTTTGTACGTTCGAAGCCAGAGCTCATGCTTGAATATACCGCAGGCTTTTCGCGCTATTCGTGCGAGTGGCAATCCTGCAGACATACCTCTGCCCATGGCTGTTGCCACATTGACGGCATACAGCTGGCTCAGCCTTGTGGGACGGACTCACTCACCGTCAGTATTCTCTTCATTCATGCTGCTTGACTACGCTGCAGACCTGGACCAACGAACTTTCGCTCCACGTTAGCTGATACTCACCCACCAGGCCGCTTCCGTGCTTAGCCTCCGATATTCCACTGGCCAGAAAGCCGCTGGCGAGCATCCCACCCCAGGCTTGACGGGACTGGAATTCTCATATCTGCCAAATGTCGCGCAGATGCCGTCGAAGTTTCTCGATGTTCGCAACGAAATGCCAGCCAGCCTGCCGCCGTCGTTACTCACATGCTTTAAAGCCTAATCTACCTTCACCTTTGGCTATGTATAATGCAGCAAGCCAGAATTGGTCTTCACGCTTGGGCTTCGTCCCGTACCCAGCGTACTGCATTTTCATCTGTGCATGCTCCTGTTCTGTGTTTGTCTGTCAGCAGGAGGTCGTGAAGCCCTGGACTCTCTTACGCGTTATACGAGCCGTAGCCGTTTCAGATTATGCTCGGTTTCTGAGATCTCAGCAATGTCGGAAACTGCCGACCGCTGCTAAGCCTCTGGACCCGCCTCCTGGCCAATTCGAGACCCTACGGAGAGAAGTCAGAAGACAAAATCGAACCCGAGTCCTTGTGGGTGATGTTGCTGATGAGAGAGTTCGAGGAGGAGCTTGAGCTCGACGGCGCAGACAAGCGCTGATGGGATTACGCTCTTTGTTCGACTCTTAGGCCTCCCTGTAGAGGGTGCTATTGTGTGCGCTCGCAGTCTCCGCCTTCTCCCAATGGTTCGGCCAGGCTGGCGTGCTTTACTTCTTGCCCAGCATGCAGTCGACCAGCGGCATCACCGACACGACGACCACTCTCGACATCAACCTCGGCGCCACCGGAACTCCGGTGCCGCTGCCGTGTCTGTGATCAGTCCCATGGCCGAAAACAGTCCTCATCCCATATTGCGGCAAGACTCACGGGCATATGGGGCCATCATGGCGGCCTGTAGGGGCGTATACTAGATGTCAGCATAATAACGCCGCCGCGGCAAAAGCATCCGCGGCTTTCTTCTTGATCGACATGGTCTTTGGCTTCGCCTATACGCCCCTGCAGGCCTTGCATACCGTCGAAACCGACCCTGTCTTACGAGCAACGCGCAAAGGGCATGGCACTGTAAAACATCACAGGACAAGAAATGCCGCTTCCTTGATAAACATGTTTACCATGCCTATAGCTCTACAGCAGATCACCTCAAAAACATACTTTGTGCTCATGGTGACGTGTGGGCTCGAGGGCCGTGTACTATTGGTTCCTAATGGTAGAGACCAAGAGCTATACGGAGTACATTGGAGGAGATGAATGTGGATGCTATTTTCCGAGGCCAGGAATCCCGCGGTAGCCGGTTAGTCTGGTCATGAAGACGAAGTGGAACAAGCAACGACGAAGGGTGCAGGAACGTGGTAGAATTGATGGAAAGTACTCCGTCCCATGATGATGATGCTTCGGGTAACATGTTCCAGTTTCACCCCTGTCGGACGCAAACGGGTGCGGTGCTTCGAGTTATATCGATGGTGGCAGTGATACAATACCACGGTACAGTACCTCCAGTCGATTGACAGCCTGTCCCCACTCTTTCTTGCCTATAAGTGGTATACCAGAAGCCCATCACCTTGTTCCAGCTTGTTTTGCACAATGCTGTACGAGCCTTTCCGGACTGTCTGTCTCACACCAACGATCAAAGCTGACCGATTAAGTGACACCAGATTAAATCAGCATGACGCCTAAGCAGGCGACAAAGCGCCTTTCAAAGGGTACCGTCCTCTGTGTGGCAAGCGGGCAACAAAGCGCCTTTCGAGGGGTTCGTTCCCTCCGCCACACAGTAGACACGCGAGCCCAGGCGCAGAACCGACGAGGTGGTGGTCGACAACATTCTGGCCCTCGAGACGAGCGCGCCACATGCTGGAATAATCCCTTCCTAGATCAATGCCCATCCCCAGCACGGAAGAATCAACGCTGTGTGGCTGTCCAGTAAGCATGTGAGCTCCGCCCAGTCAGCAAATACCCGATAACACGTGGATTGGGTGAGTTGGGCGCATGTCCCAATGCAGAAAGAAGAGAGCGCAGCGCGTGTCCTGTGTAAGCAGAGTTTTGGGCCTAATTGAACAAGCCCGGACAGCCATGTCTCGGCCGCCCAGCCGCGGCTCAACGGGCAGTCGCTTAACTGGCATAAGTCCCTAACAGCCCCTGCGAGCCCCGGTAAGTGCCTGGCGTCACTCAAGTCAAATTCCGTCAAGCTCGGTCAAGCTCGGCGCGCTTGTCTGAGAAGGGAAACAAGGAACAAAAGTGTTTACGCAGTGCTGGACTGGCTCAAAAGTCAAAATACGGAGTAACACCAACGTCATCTCCATTCTTTTTAAGCCGCGAGCTCCGCGCTCCCAAGTCTTTTTGTCGAGTTTCCAGCTACCATACGGAGTACTGTGTATAAGCCTCCGAAGATGGACAAGAGAGAATTTGTCCATTTATAGCCACACGACTGTCTGCGCTCCTGTTTCGTAATACGTCGCGAACATGCCGCCCAGGAACAGGCACTTCGCTACGCGCGAGCCCTTTGAGAGTGATGACAGATTGACACTCCAGCGCGCGGAAGGGCCATTTGGCTTCCTGAACCCAACGCGGGCGCATTTTAACCACTCAGGCCTGGCGACATTGAAAACAACAGCACCATCTGACGATATCGCCACGTCACTCTCACACGAGAGCGTCAACGGGCACAGAACCCCTAAGGCATTGGAGGAGTCGAATGTCCCGGCCAAGGACATCGGGTTTCTATGGCGGTCGCGCGATAATCGCAAGGGTCGCCACCCGTTACTCGTTAGAAGACCGCAAGCCGGTGAGGAGGCCTCGTTCCTGACGCCGCGGCGGACGTCGCATCCTCGGGAGGTGCTGAAGACCGTCATCCGAACATTCACCTATTATCCCGTATGGGACGTTTCGTGGCTGGTGGCCTTCATCTTCACATTGGGCAGTATAATCTGGGTCATTAATGTACGGTTCCGCGAGATTGACGCGTGATGTCGCTTATTCACCCATCGCTACTGACGGACTGATCGTCGATAGGGTTTCTTCGCCTGGCTGCCCGTCGCGGCTCCCTCGACCGAGTTTGACGGCGAAATCTACTATGGCGGCGGCATCACTGCTTTCATCGGCGCGATCCTTTTCTTCGAAGTCGGGTCGATACTCCTCATCTTCGAGGCAGTCAACGCCAACAACACCGGCTGCTTCGGCTGGGCCATCGAACAGCTCGTCGACGACGAACGTGCCGCGGGTCGACAACGGCTCCGCATCGTCGCGAACAGCCACCACTGCCATCACCACCACCAGAACCGACACAACTTCGTGGGCAAGCCCTCCGAGCTGACCGTCCCGGAAGCGATGCCCAAACCTAAATTGAGCTCGAAGTCCGAGGCGGACGACGTGAACGCGGACGCGAAGAAGCAGTGGCACTGGTTCGCCACCTGGCACGACCTGTGGACTCACTATTTTCACGAACTCGGCTTCCTGGCCGGCTGTGCCCAGCTCTTCGGCGCCACCGTCTTTGGCGTTTCGGGAATCACCGCCCTTCCGGGCATCATCAACCACCTCGAGCCCCAGTGGAAGCTCAACGCCGCGTACTGGATTCCCCAGGTGATAGGCGGGAGTGGCTTCATTGTCAGCAGCACACTGTACATGCTCGAGACGCAGCAGAAGTGGTGGAAGCCGGCCCCACACCTCCTAGGCTGGCATATCGCGGCTTGGAATCTGGTGGGCGCATTCGGCTTCACGCTGTGCGGTGCCTTAGGCATGGCGTACAAGAACTCGGGGGCCCAGTATGAGGCCGGGTTGGCCACTTTTTGGTGAGACGAATCCCTGCAGCCCTGAATCCTTGAATCCAAATCTCTGAATCTCTGAATCTTTTGTGTAATGTGGTACTGTGTTTATCCCTTCGTTGCGTTTTGCCTTTCATTTAATTCTCTGGGATACCCGTGCTAACGCGCTGCGGCATGAAGGGGTTCCTGGGCATTCTTGATCGGCAGTTACTTGCAGTTATACGAGAGTCTGAATAAACATCCTGTGGAGGAGGTGTCCTAGGCGGAGGCGTCCAGAGCCAGACGATAGCCGAGCTGTCTGCCTGGTATCATCGTCCGTCAAGTCCGTCGGACGGAAGACGAAGAGCCTGTCCCTTCCAGCAAGGCCTGTATGGTCTCACTATGGAACGCCCCGTGGGAATGCCGTTGCACCAGATGGCGATGGCTGCCTCGGAGCGCCAAGATATCGGGACAGGTTAGCCAATAGGAAGATACAGAGTACCTTTTGAAGAGATCGCGCTCATGCAGGACAGGGGCCTCTTCATTCCGTTTCAGGCATAGTCGAGATCCTTTGTATTTCGCGTCTTCGTACCGGTCACGAAACAGACCATCGTACAACATGAAAGTGGTGGACGAAGAGCTTGTCTAGGGACCTGTTGGTAAGCCCCTTTGGCCAGTATGGTCCTAGGCGTCGCATTCGGCCAATGAAAATGATGGATGCCTGTCGACGACCGCGATTCCTCGAAGAACTACATGGTATATAAAATGGCAAGACCTCGCAGACACCATTTCTTTCACAACTTCCTCCTGGATAAACACCACACTCTTCTTTTGCCATCTCCTTCTTATCGCACTCAAAAGGCATTTGGCAACCAGTCACCCATGGCTCCAGACACCCTTTCCCTCGCCGGGAAAGTCGCTATTGTCACGGGTTCAGGCAAAGAGAATGGCATCGGAGCTGGTATTGCTTATGCTCTTGCGCGCAATGGTGCTTCAGTCGTGATCAACCATGTATCTGAGGCCACGGGCCCTCGAGCAGCAGAGGTGGTCAAGAAGATTGAAGCAGCTGGGGGTAAAGCTGCTGTCGTCCAGGCCGACGTAACCAATCCTGCAGGTGCTAGCACCCTGGTGCAAGGAGCATTGAAGGCTTTTCAGGCGGAAAAGATTGATATCCTCGGTGTGTTTTCCCTTATCCAGCTGCATCTTCTATGTGCCCACAAGCTCATACGCGATGAACAGTGAACAACGCCGGCGGGGGCGCGACAGGTCCTGCTCTGCAAGCCACCGAGGAGGACGTGCTACGAACCTTCGGGGTGAACGTGTTTGCGTCGCTATATATGACGCAAGCGGTCGTTCCCGTCATGCCTCGTGGCGGCCGCATTGTCAACATTGGCTCGATCGCGTCCAAGATGGGGATGGCGCCGATACCGTTGTACAGTGCTTCCAAGGCTGCGTCGGACACGTTGGCTTACACCATGGCAACAGAGGTGTGTACCTTCACTGAAAGCCTTTGACAACAAGAGTGATGGAGTGTGTACTCAAAAGGATTGGGATGTTTGCTAATCTCTGGTGCCAATAGCTTGGACGGGGTTACGGGGTCACCGTGAACACTGTCGCTCCAGGACCCGTACCGACAGGTAAGGAAATCTTGTGGATTTTGAAACGAAGCTGACATGGTATCATCACAGACGGACTGCCCAAGGGTCCAGTGGCTGATGCTGTGCACAACTTCCTCCTCCCGATGACGAGGGCTGAAGAGCGAATGGGAACCGTAGAAGATATCGCTGACGTTGTCCTGCTTCTTACTTCGGAGAAGAGTCGATCGATCACTGGCCAATTCATCTCTGTTTCGGGAGGTATAACGGGAGGTTGAATTGCAGTAGGACCAACGACTTTGCCAGGAAGAGTCGCCGCAAGAGTGTCCACTCAAGCTGCACGAAGTGATGCAACGGGTTCGTTGAAGTGGGAAGCTTCTGGGGCAATGGGGAGGAAGCGGGCAGCACAATTGAGCTCGAACTCGAGGCTTCTGGCCCCAGCGTCCATCAAGGGATCGAGCCAGACGAGCTTCTTTACGCGCGCAATGGCGTCTTCGCCGAGGTAAATGCCCATGTTTTCCATAAATATAGAAATGGCACCGACATAGACATTTCTCCGCTGCTCTGCTTGCTCCATTGTTGCAACGATGACGGTGGCCCACAGAGAAAGCTCCGGGAATCTTCTGTCAAAGTATGTTGAAGTACGGATCATGAGCGAAAATCGCTCCAGGAGGGTGTCAAGTTCATCCGAGACTAGCGAACATGCTTTCTTCAATCTTGTCAACATGATAAGTAGGGCAAGCCGTACAAGCTCACGCATGGCGATCTCGGGGAGTACAGTGCTAGGAGCCTCGAAGTCGAGTGGCCGCGGTAGCGATAGCAGAAGATGCATGACAGGCGTGATGCGTCTTGCTGCCGTTGCACCGTCTTTCCAGAATCGTTGATTGTACGCATTCTCGTTCACGAACGTAGCCAGCTGCATAGAGTTTTCAAGAGCAGTTGCTATCTTTTTATCTTGGTCGGAGCCATCTGAGAGTCGCAGGAGGAGTTGCTGCAGCGCCGTGGACAGTGGGACCTGATGTGAGGTCGATGTGGTGGAGCTCTGAGGCAATGGGAAGCGCGGCTTCGTGTCAAAAATCGAGGATCCGAGCACATCGAACCTTCCACAACTCAACTTCCTGTCTCATTGGGGCACGTAGCTTGCTTTGCTGGGTGATACTTACCAAGACACGAACATCGCGACAGTGCTCTCAAGACGCTGGAAGTTGCCGCGAACCAGAAGGATGTTCTGCAGACCATCCATGTGCATGGCATACCGGTCCCATCTGCCAACGGTACACTGCCATTCGTTAACGGATATTGATATGATGGGATTCAGGGAAACAGACGTCGTGGCAGAGAAACCCAAGCACCGTGGTAATAACACCTTCACTGATATTCTCGGGTTCTTGTTTTAGCCTATGCACGACTTGGTTCAGACACAGACTCAGGTATTTCGAGGACTCTTCGAAGTCGCTGTGCTCGCTGCCTGTATTTATAGTCTTCTGGTGGAAGAACAACGCAGCATTTGCTAATGAGAGGTAGAAGGCGGTGCAGTCTACAACAGCCATTGCCCACCACTCGTTTCGAAACGGTCGGTATAGGTAGTCGCCCTCAACATGCACTGGTGATCGATGAGCCTGGGAACATTAGACTTGGTGCGATACAGAAGCGTACTAAAATGTATCAGCTGCCGAGCTCTAGAATCCGTGTCGACGGGAAAGATGCTATAGGGATGCAGGGTTCGAGGGACTTGCTCGCCCCATTGCGATCCCGGATCCTGAAGCATAGCCGAGTCCTGAACGAGGTTGTCCGTACTAGGGACAACCCCCATATCGGACTCAGATGTCGTACACACCAAGGTCCATGACTGCGGACGTCTTCTGCGTGAATCGGCAACTCTTGTCATAACATGATGTCGAATTGCTTTCTGGGTATTTTTCTGCTTTGATTCTTCTGGGTGAGAAACATTGATAAATTTGAAGCTGGCGCGATTTTTTTCCAGGACACTTGGTAGTATGACAGGGCGTCTACGTCGCTTCATGATCTTGAGCCGAGAGCATATCAACTCTAAAGGTGAGAGCGGTTACAGAAGGTGAGATGATGGTGAGACAGAGGTGAGCACTTGGTGAGCTTACTCTAATGGAAAAGCCAGGAGAATGCAATGTCTGACAGAAACTGCCATACCTAATCAGGTGGGAGCATGCTTCTGTCAGACAGTCAGTATCCACTATTGATGATTGGGCGTCTGCTGTTCCCACCCTCGCGATCTAGCCGCAGGCTCAAAAGTTTCGCGACGAACCTCGCGATGGGGAAAAGTCAACGACATCATTGAATACAGTACACGAGTCTCGAGCAGCCTCCTTCCACAGCGCATGGCCACGACTCACTCTCATCGCTCCTCTCGCTTTTACATGTCGTCCTGATCCGCATCACATGCCTTCCAAGTCGATCTATCCTCCGGGTCATGCGCAGATGCTTTGAGCAACTTCCCTCCAGAAGTCGAACCCGCAAACTCGTGCTTGCTTCGCATCTGCCGTCCCTGCGGCCTCGACATAGCACGGTCGCTGCCACCTGCAGGACTACCTACCTCAACTTCTCAACTCGTAACCCTCACCTCTTCAAATCAAGCGTCAACACTCCATCTCGAGATGTCTCAATCACATTCAGTCATCCGGACGATGCAAAGTACGGACATAGAACAGGGGTCTCACGAGAGAACAGGAGGTCTACAAAGAAACCCCGTGGAAGCTCTGTTGAGGACTGTATAGCTCAACTAGAAAGATACCTTCCGAGAGGCTTGAGTCAGTTGGATTTCCTTGAGTCACGAACCGTCGTTACGGGAGAGCCAGTATTTGCGGATGTGCTCGCTATACTCAAGCATGGTGATAGGGAGAGTGGGATGGATGTTCTGGCCTTTATGGTGATACATCAGCGTCGACACAAGGCTGCCATCCACCTCGCCGAGGTGCTGCTGAAGCAGGTTGCGCTCGCCGTCAACGAGCCGTTCAAGGACGAGCTGCCTTCAAACATCAACTGGCCTGATGAATCATTCCGGAAGAGAAATGGTGCGCCTATTGAGCTGGAACGTACTTTCCACGTAAGCCGCCGATCTCTGGGAACCTCCCTTGAACTTTTCGACAACGCTTCGCAAGGGGATGACAATTCCACTGCTATGGAGCTCATCTGGTCTTTTCTGGCGGATGTCGTTGTTGCATCTTCCAAGCTAAGCACGGACGAAGGCAAGCAGGTGATGACTACTGTCCATCAGATCCTGGCTCTCATTCACAAGTTGGGGCTCGTCCCATCCAATATCTATGCTCACTGCCTGCCACGAGAAACCACCACTGTCCAGCAACCGCCGGTTCTGCACCTCCTAAACTCGAATATCCTGTCAACGCTCTCGGATGCTGTTTGGCATGCTTACCAGGACGAAGTGTCTGCCCGGTCAAAGAAGGGTGAGAGGAGTTCTTGGAATTTCTTCCCTGAACCACCAGGCAGTCCTCTACGAGCCAAGGGACGTGAGCTTGGTCCTGACGTTTGGGTTGAATTCATCCTTTGGTGCTGTGTCGAGGCTGGCTTTGCATCGACCGGCGTGAGGATCCTCAAGTCATTGCGCGAAAATGTGGCAAATCCCTGGCGGGCTGTTCCCTGGACCGATGTGGGACTGCCTCGGAGTGATCAGAATCAGTCGGTTTATCAAGAGCAACAGACTTCTGGTGACGCAGTCTCTCGAGAATTGCGCTCTCCAGACGGCAGTCCCGATAAGTTCATCAGCGCTGAAGTAGTTGTTGCCGTTGCCGACAGTCTGATCAACATTTTCAACTCAGAGGCTGGGAATGGTACTCTTTCCATCTATGAAGTTCAAACCGAACTCCAGGAACTTGTGTCCTTCCTGGGATCTGCGGGTGTTGCCCCGACATACATTGACTATCTTGCTGTTCGGCTGCTTCAGACTGAGCTTTTGTATACCTCGAACCAGGTCGGCGCCTTGCACGCCTGGGCATCCACCCTGATCCGTCTCCGCGATCTGCAGAACGCCGAGGAGCAGTCCCGCCACGAACCTGGGCTTACGTTCGATTTTGTCCTGGATCGTTCAGAGCTGCAAGCGGGTGTTCTGCATCAATCTCTTCAGGCTTGCATCGAGAACAACCTCGTCAAGAAAGCAGTCGACACCTTTACAGATATCCAGAAGATGGTTGATGGAAACAAGCTGCAAGCTATTGGAGAGTTCCTTACTCTTTCTCTTCGTCCGGAAGACGGCTTCTTCACTTCCAGACTTGGCAGAGGACAGAACGAGTTCCTCAAATCTTATGGGCAGCTTCCTGCTTACAAACTGGCAGCTTTCCTGGATCTGGTTGGCCATGCCAAGCTATTTGGGCTTGGCGATTGGCTTCTCTTTTCAGACGATATTGATGGAGCTGCATTGCCTGTTTCAACATGGGGCCAGCCTTCTGTTGCAGCTGCGCTGACTCGCTATGCCGCAGCCAAGGGAGACCTTTCCCTGCTGGACAGAGTTTTGTCCATTTGCGCTGCCTCCAACAGGAAAATGACGGTGAACATGTTGAGAGCTTTTGTGATGAGCTACGTTACTATGTGGGAGTGGGAGAAGGCGGCACGAATGCTCCAAGAACTGAGACAGGCGGAGGGTGGCGGCTACAGCCCCCAGATCGTGGCCTGTCTCGCAGCTACGATATTACGCCTGGAGGTCGATCCCGAGGTCTTGCTACAGGAAGAATCGATGTCTGACCTTACCAAGGCGCTTTTACTCTTCTCTACAGTCTTGGACGGTCTCTATGATTCATCACCAGCAAGCTTCAGGATCGATCAAAAGAGGATTTTCAAGCAGCAGATCGGCTATCTGCTACGTCTCCTGGAAAACGTGGCAGACAGCAGAGTGGTGGAGACTGTGAGCAACTTCAAAGCAAAGTTTCCGGCCAGCAATGAACCTCATCTCTCCCCAGAGACGTTCAACGTGGTCTACTCTGCCATCGTCGAGACCAAAGGCGCACTGGAGGGCCGCAATGTCTGGCACTTGTTCTGTAAAGATCCGAGGGAGCCTGACACTCTACGCGACGGGGGACTGCGTGATAACGATGAGATTATGTCTGACGAATATGGCCCCAATGAGGAGGACTTCCCGGAGTCACACGCAGAAGAGTCAGCGGAGCGGGGGGCCGGCATTCCTTCTGGGGCTAGTAACCATTTGTCGATTTCTGGCATGGACACTGAAGCCCTGAATTCTGAAGACCTCACCAAAAGCTCCATGGAGATGTCGTCCAGTGGTCGGACTCTACTCGCATACCCAGCGTCACTCAATATAGATTCTACCTTACCACAAGACGGACTCGCTTTCCCCGGCACTCAGAACATTGGAACAACCATCACCGAAAGCGACGGCCTGGAGATACCTATTATTGGCGCTGACACCGAGTCGGAGAATTCGGCACAAGAGCTCACTCAGCTTGTTGTTCCTGACAGCCGTACTTTGCAGATTCTAGTGAGACAGGCTTTGAGCGAAATCGCAGCGAGAAAGGCGCGCAAAAGGCCCTATACCGACCTGGAAGAGGTTATTCAGTGGACAGGGCAATTTTACGCCGTCTTCAATCTTGCGCCCGAGGATATCAGGACAGAGTTCCGAGTGTCAGAAAACATGCCGCGTGCACTGAGAGTTGCTACCAAGCATCGAAGGAGTCGGGCTGGACATACGGCACCAGCACGAGAGAAATTTAGACCTAACGTGTCCAGCCAATTCTCGAGGGGAGCATTCAATACTCGGTTACCTGGCACTCCTCGCCCGCGAGAGCACGCAGCTCGAATATTTGGCGTATTCCAGATGGATGATGATGAAGTCAAAGGTGATGATCGGAATGGACCTGTCTATGATCAGAGGACGGAGCGGGATGGACATGTCGCTCACGGGTTCAAAGTTAGGAAGTTTGGCACGTCGGTCACGCATAAATCTTGACCTAGCATAGCGTCGGCGTTCGGGAGCATGAAGTGATCTCACGCAAGGTATGGTTCAGGTGCGTGCTTTCCGTGTACTATATTGTACATCCATACCCTCTATATATATAGACCGGGACAAGGGAGGCCCTCCTCAGTTCGTCTAATCATTTTAGCCAAGATCCCATGAGACCACTCGTATGCCAATATCTTTGGTTGGACCGGCTTCACGGGTCGATCAGCCGACAACACTAGCCTATCTGCATCCCACAAGTTCTTCTCGGCGCTGTCAACGGCGACAACATCGCGAAGACTGGACGCGCACGCGTGCGGATATGCATGTCGGTACTTCCATGCCCAGCATCACCACGAACGCCAGCCAGGAGTTTCCCCGCTCCCATCCGTCGGCATCGTACTCGGCGCTCGCTTCCCGCGGGTTCGAGGGGTTATGGCCTATGGCTCAGGATATTGTAGTCGTGGTGCCCAAAATGCTTCATAAGAACGCGGGGAAAGATGACGGACCCGCGCGTGGGAACCGCAAGACTCGACTTCAACTGCCTGTCTACTTGTTTGTCTGCTTGCTTGCTTGCTTGCTTGCTTCTCCATTGATTGATTACGCTTCCTATACACAAACCCTTTAATGTACAGTCCCGGCCAACAGCATTCTGTACTATTGAGTACCGGTACTATCGAATCCATCCCAGCACCCGTCCCAGCAAGCATGTCTCAGACAGTCGACAGGAAGGAGACGCATGGTTGGGGCTCGACGCCGTCCCAGAGACACTATATAAGTCACGAGCAGGCGATAAAGGTGCTTGAGGCCGGTGTCAAGCGGGCGAAGGAGATCAAGTAGGTCATGATCCTCTCTGCTCTAATTTGGTCTGATTTGGTCTCGTCTGGTCTCGTCTCATCTCGTCTGGTTTGCATCCTCGTGAGGTCTCTCGAGGCTGGCTGGGCCCACAGCTCCTTTCCCTTCCCATTCCTTCAAAGCTCAGGGCCGGGGAGTCAGAGAGGAGTCTCGCATCCCTTATTGTCTCTCATGCAGAAGAACGTCGGAATGACGAACCTCGCACCCCTCTTCCCTCTAGCCAAGCACAGAAGAAAGTTGGATCAACGAGCCTGGCACCCCCCCTCTTTCCGCACAGGCACAGAAGAAAGTTGTATTAACTAACGAGCCAATGAAAGCGTCCCGCAGAACATCGCCGTCCTCGACCCCTCCGCTTGGCTTGTGGCATTCGTCCGCATGGACAACGCCTTCTTGGGCAGCATTGTACGTCTTTCACGTCTCGTCCTTGCTGACAGATTGCCTCCGTGTCGGATGAACGGTTGATTGATCGACCGATCGATCATGGTGATGCGATCTGAGCTGATCTGAGATGTGGCCTCTCACGTCCCGTCCCTCACGCCGTCACGCCGTCACGCCATGCCGTTACAACTTACCCACTGATGAATGGACCAGGACGTATCCCAGAAGAAAGCCAAGACCGTGGTCTTGTACAATGGCAGTCCCTCCGACGCGTTGAAACAGCGCAGCGAACCCGGCGGTGATCTCTTCGCTATCCAGGAAACGAACGGCGGGACCGTCGTGTTTGGGGGTGGATTCCCGATTTATGATGCCGAGGGATTGTGAGTGGCCGTCCTACCTGAGTTTAAGATTGGTCCCTACCTGCAAAACGGGTACGCTTCTTGTTCGGGGTCTCGGCTAATTTGTGGTACCTAGCTTTATCGGAGCTGTGGGCGTTAGTGGAGGATTGGTCGATCAGGATATTGACGTTGCGAAGGCGGCCGTGGAAGGCAGTGGTGTTGGGACGACGGGGTGATTGCCGATCGTGGCGAATTGGGTGAGGGAGAAATGGCGAGTAACGAGGCGAGCATACCTTGTTCGTGTCATCCAACGAAGCTAAGCTGCTTGAGATGAGTATGGTGGTAAGGGGGGGCTGTACTTCGTACTGAAGTACGAATAGGAAAAGTATTTCCGGATAAAGGAATACCAATGCTCCATCCACCATGAGAATTCCATTCGAATGAGGCCTGCAAAGACATCTGACTACCACTACTCGCTTACCCTGGTGGAATTAGGTTTTCGAATACCTACTGAGCCTGAGTCCTGTGTCCCGTGTCCTGGGCCGGAGAGAAGTCACATGCTGTACTCCGTAAGGAGGCCGTCTGTTGAGTGGTTGTTGCCCTCCGTATAGTGCATTGTCCGTCATCTCACGGTGTGATTCTCAGGCATCAGGCCGCGAAACCGTCCTCCCTGCCAATCAGATCTCGCAAGGCTTACATCCGTGCTTGTCAGCAAGGATAGAGACCCGGGGGAGATATATATCGTAGATCGAGAAGAGCTGGGTGCCTTGTTGAGTCAACGTCTCTCCCAGCAATCACGTCACTCATCCTGAGCTGGACACCTTTATTTCCGCAGTAAAAACAAACGCCACACAACGCCACGCAGGCATGACGAACCCCCGGAGTCGCAGGGACTACTCCCCGACCAAAGACGAGGCGAGTACAACTTCTTGGACCAAGCAGGATGAAAGGACAGAAGGACACGCGCTTGCCAGAGCTGGATCCTACAGCGCAGAGCGATGATGATGGGTCGCTGAGCGGGCTGAAGGAGAAGCTGCTGAAGAGGAAACCGAAGGAGTCGAAGTGGAGGCGATTGTTTGGGCGGAGGCGACACAGGTACATAGTGTGAAGGAAGTGGTGGAAGGAAGGATGGAAGGGAGATCGGATGGCGGCATGACTTGCATTCTCAAGGGGCGCCAAGTCGGTGGACAACTTGCGTCCGTCCTGTGGTACTGTAATTAGTCCACTGGTCGATGCGGGCGAAAGGAATGTCTTTGGGCGCTGGGGATCCTGCAAAGGAGATTTAGGAAGGCGGATTCCACGTCGCTTCGGTTCTGGCGGAGGCTGGAGTTGCCTCAGGACAGGAGGACCAGGCTCAGGAGGTCATTCGAGATAATTGGTGTCCTGGTTGACTTGGACGCGAAACTTCGCGACCAAGCTGGGCATCGGCTACACCTCCCGTGCGGTGTAGGAGATGTGCTCCATTGTCGAAGATAAACCCTTCGTATGGTCTGATGTCAACCGGTATAGCATGTTTCCTCGTTGAGGGAATGGTGCACTTCCCGGATCCCGTGTAAGGTAATTAAACGGCCGCTAAGTCATGTTCCTGCGTGGCTGTGGCTGGTCCGCGGCTCTCGTCTTGATTCTGTCCGTGTTCTGCGTATTGGTGACACCGTGGTGGGCATTGGAGACTATGTGATATGAATTCTTGAAGTTCGGGTGATATCTCTGAAAGTGGAAAGACTCACTCACAGGTGAGGCCGCACATTATCCCAAAGCTGGGCGCCAAGGGTGGTTGAGAGAAATCGCGTCCGTCCCCATGCTATATGTCCGGCTAGCTGTCGCATGTGCAGTGTTACATGTCTCAAAGCACGAAAGGTGATCGAAGTGGAGGTGTCTTGCAATTGCGGTCAAGTGCCCGTCCTAGAGAAGCAGTGTCTGCATTGCCTGATGCGAGCCGTTACGTTCCCATGGTGTGACATGAATTACCTTGCCATTCTCCCAAGGGCCCTTCTTCCGGGGAGCAGCACACAGCATCAGCAACGGTCGTACCAAGTACATGTCAATAATGATTCCAGGTCCATTCTCCGTCCACGACGGCGTCCAAGCCATGACTTCAGCTTGGGTATCAATGTACATGGTACCGATTGCTGTGGCCAGGCGTTGTCAAAGACGCAAATCATCCTAGTACGTTGTCATGGAAGGCAAGAGTGGAGGGTCTCAATGCCAATGGAAAAGGAGAGACAAGACGGATGTACGGAGTAATCAAAGTGAAAGTGGTAGTCGAAGGCCTGGCAGATCTTCAGATCACATCCTGACGCGCCGGATGCGGCGTTTTCAGTTTCAGAGGCAAGTGCAGTCTTTGCGGTGTACATGTCCTCGGATTTCTTAGTATTCCAGAGGTAGACAGATGTCACGCCGATGCTGTTCGGTGGAACTGATCAGTGCAGAGCATTGCAAGAGCTGATGTGCGAGAGCACAATAGTCCAGTACGGAATATTGCGTTCAAACTGCAGATTAGACTAGACCAGACCGAGCGAGATGAAGACAGCGATGAAGAGAGGAGCACGAGATGCCATGATGATGCAGACTCTTCGAATATTCCGTTAGATTTACAGAGTGAGTTTTTAGCGCTATAGATATCGTTTGGAACGAGACGAGAACTACGTACGGAGTACTGCTACCGAAATCTGAAGATAGGAGGTCTTTGTAGGCGTCGAAGAATCCAATACAACGCTCAATGTGATGCTTGCGTACAATCGTTTATCGTCTATCACCGTTTACACGGTGCTGGTGCTAATATACAATGCGTCGACGTGCGATTTGAGTTGTCATCTCATCCCTCGTCCTCCTGATGCGGTCGACAGGGGACTCCGGTAAGAGTCAAGTGGCTGCTCCTCTTGTTCGAGTTCGGCCTCGACCACAAATATGTCGTCGAGCTTGAGCTTACTCTGGCCCGACGGACCGCCCATCTCCTGCCCGCCTTCATCCTCGCTCAGTGATTCCTGACTACCGGCAGCTGCGGAGGACCAGTCGTGCAGCAAAGGTGTGCCGACGATAGGCGACTCGGCGTTGTTCTTCATCTGCCAAAATAACCAATAGACTGCACCCATACCAATAATAGCGAGTGACGTAGCTGGGTATGCATAGTACGCGAATCTCTTGTTGCTCGTACTGTTGCTGCTCTTATCTGATCCGGGATTGATCCACGGAAAAATGAGCAGAAGGGCGTTACTGGCAAGGAACACAATCGTGTGCAGCCGGGGCGCAGGACATGGACTCAGCCAGCGCTCGTCCGACGTATTTTGCAGGTAGAGAAGACCTCCTGCAATGGCGACGGACAGGACGGAGACCGGGTAACCACCGATATTGACGAGGAAGGTGTAGATCTCTCCAGGAGGAGGTAGGACGATGACCAGGACGCTGACGAGCCAGTGGAGGAGGAGACCTGACGCTGGGGCTCCTGCGGCGTTGTTTCTCCGCCAGAAGCTCGACGCGGGGAGAAGTCCTTGAACTCCTAGCTCTTGATTTACTCGAGCTTGGGCGAAAGAAGTGGCGGCGATGTTGCCGAAGGCTGAGATGATGATAAAGCAGGGCAAGATTCGCTCGCCCCACAACGAACCGAATATATTGCGGAGATAGTGGCTAGCGACAACGACACCTGAAGAGCGGAAATCATCTTTCTCCACCGCACAGAAATACGCGACGTTGGCCAGAATATATCCGAGCGACGCGAGGGATAGGGCAACCGGACCCGCGACTTTGATGGTGGAGATCGGGTTGCGCACTTCTGACATGACCTGGTTCGCTGTGTTGTAGCCGCGAAAGCAGTAGAGAACTTGCAGCAACGCAGTCGCATAGTTGTACGGCTTGGAGCTGGTGCCAGCCCATATCGACGTGAAGTTCTGATGGGCAATGGAGCCCGGCCCTGTCGTGGCCGGGACTCGACCGATACTGGCTATCCCGCTCAGGATAACAGCTGCGAGGATCAACATCTTGGCCACGCCGAGAACGTTGATGATGCGGAGCCCTGCGGACGGCGCTTGGGAATGCAGGAAGCAAGCCAGCGAAATGACAAAGACAGCGACGCCGCGTACGCCCCACAGACCGGGCTGAAACCCCGAGGCTGATACCGCATAATTTCCCAAGATAATGCAATTCGGTGTACTGAATCCCAAAAGGACGACGTATGCCATGAACATGCTGGTGGCCAGCAATTTCGGCCGTCGGAAGATACGTTCAAGATAGACTCTTTCTCCGCCTGAGCGAGGCAAGGCAGTGCCAAGGTCGAGATATACCGACAATCCGCAGAACGAGATCACGGCACCCAGAAGCCAGATGACGAGTGTCATTCCAACCGAGCCGACCTCAGTAAAGACGGACGACGGGACCGAGTAGACCCCGACCCCAATCGTCTTGCCCAGTATGAGGTTGATGGCGGAGAACGTCGTGAGTTCATTTTGCCCGAGAACATGTTTTGGTCGATCTATCAGGCTTGGTGTTATTGATTGAGCACTGAGTGGAAGAAACTGGTGGCCGACTTTATCCCGGCATAGTGAAGAGAGGTGTAGTGACTCCGGCTTGAGGCTTGCGGGTCTTGTTGTCTTACCCTTCTTGAAGCTGCTGTGGTGACTGGAGGAGTTGGCCTTCGCCGGTAGGCCAAAGCTCGGTCCAGAGGAGATGATGGGGTGTGCGTCTTCATCCTGGACGGAAGCAGGGGTTTCCGGTTGCGCAAGGCTCGACGCCGAGCCTGGAATGCTTGGTGTTCTTGGTGTCCGCGGGATGCGTGGAGTGACGGGAGAACGACAATCGTATCCAGGGGATGACAAGAAGGATGTTGTGATTCCGGCGGCCAAGGTCTCGCCCAAGGATCTTGGCCGTTCCATACCGGGATGAAAAAGTGCTTAATGGGGCGGTTTACTTGCTCAATTCCTAATTCTTGCTCGGACGATGGGCGCCAAGTCGGCTTCCGTGACCAGTACGTGGATCAACGTGGAATTTGTCAGATGATATACATCTGTGCTGCGACAATGCCAGAACCTTTGCATTTGGCAGAGAAACGAAGAGGAAGGCAACGCATATGAGAATTTCGTGACCGAAACTGCAGTGAGAGGGACTGGTTCCGAACAGGTACCATCAGCCATGACGGGCAGAGGGCGCCCACTGAGAGTGACACCTAGCTGCGATACAGTCCACTGCTCAACCGCTCCCCCCGCCAAAGTTTGACAATCAGTCGAGACGAGGGATGATCCGAAACGATGGGACTGCATTTCACCAATGTCATTTTGTTTCAACGCGTGTCGGTTGAAGGTCCGGCGGCCCGCGATGAAACAACTCTTGGCGGGGATCAGGAGAGATTGTCACAGACCGGCCGTGCTTGACTCCACTGGCATCTGGTGCCGACGGTTCCACCGCCTTCTTTGTTCGAAGCTTTCGGCTTATGTTCAATAAGCTTCAGAGTATCCGTGTTCTCGAGCTCGGTGAAAATCGTGCTTCGGGTCAAGACATGCCAAGATCAGTCTACTAAATTGTAGGCAGGTACCATAGCAGCTGCTGTCAGGAGTCAAAGCACATACAAACACAGTCAAGCGCCATCTACAAGGTCAACTGTAAGTGCGTCTCGAAGCTGAGACGGCCAAAGTGCACGGTCTAGCTCTACCTGGCGCCGTCGCAGATGTGAACCGGCGCCACACTGGTGGGCTCCTGTTGATCTAGGTACAGCAATAGCATTTTGGATTCACCTAAAATAATCTGACCTCCCGCACGACAAAGCTGGTTTATCGTTGGGGCGAAAGCAATAACCGTGCTTCCGACAATAAACATTGCCGACGTGAAGTGCCATATTATCCCAGACATCTGAGACTATAGGGTTGATTCGAGTGGCAATCCGCTTGAAGCATTGTCAACGACTGAGCAGAACGTCTGCTAAAGGTCGAGTGTGGCGATAGTGATGGATTTGTTTTGAACAATGTGCTCGGATCTAAACTCGGCCAAGCTACATAGTCGACACGAGAGTCGGCTCCTCCCACTCGGCGTTGTTGTTCATTGAGTTGTGCGTTGTGGACGACGACTGTCTGTCTAGGGGCTCAAGCTCTACGGTAATATACAAGATACGACAAACCAATTCAAAATATGGAAAGGTTGTCACCTGGTTGGCTAGGAAAGATTCCGAGCCTCACACCTTTTGAGTACGGAGGACGAGGTCTCGCAGATCGATAAAAAGAACAGCCATTCGCGTTCTTTTGTCCCTGCCATAATATCCTCTGTATACAACCGGCAGGGTTGCATCTGGGGCTCAGTACCCTTTGCACTAGCTAGAGGTATTATTGGCAGCAATGAGCAGCTGCTTCTCCTTCTTCAGTCCCTGAGCTACCGATAGGTCAATCTTCAAGGTATTGGCCACGATATCCGCCGGCGTCAACGCGAGCCATTGAGTCAGGGAAATATCTTGAACTCTGTCACTCTTGGTAGATCTCGATCCAGACGAGATCGTCAGTTGGGGAGGTGTTTTCGATATAGTGACCTGCAGGGACTTCGTGTCAGCGAAAACAGTGGTAGTAGAACCTAGGGCTAGTACGGTTGGTCCGGGGGGTACACACCGCTGTTGTCCGGGAATACCGCCGTGTCGCCAGGGCCAAAGTCAAAGGTTCGAGCATTGGCATTGCCAATGAAGACTGTGGCTCTGCCTTGTCCTTGGTGAAAGTATAGCCATTCTTCCGCCTATTGAACAGTCAGTCGATCCCGGGATGCTAGTGATACCAGGCATTCTTGAACACACATTCGGATGCCAGTGTAGCTCCCGCAGGCCTCCGGGGTTCAACGTCACGTATGTCGCAGCGATTGTCTTTGAGATCGGGAAGTTGGTCGAGTCGATTTTATAGAAAGTGCCGCCATTGCCGGGAACGGGCTCGGAAGGATGCTGCAAGGTTCGGTAGACGAAGGAGGAGTTGCCGTCGAGCTGAGGATTGATTCCAGAGACCGTCGAGTTTGTTACTGTGCCGTTCAAGATGTACGGATCTGTCGTTGGAAGATTCTTGAAAACGGTTTCGTTCAGCCCGAAATTTTTCGCAATTACCGACTTTGGTGTATGAGCGAGCCTGCAGAACCGTTAGGACGTTGGCATTCCCGACAACAAGCCCAGACGGTGCAATGGCCACCAGCACCATGTGAGACTAGAAGGCCGGCCACATCTAGTAGATGCCAAGCCCTAACTATCCAACTTCCGCAGAGAAACCTCGGCTTACCAGTCGTCAACCATAAACGTCACTCTGGCCATGAGTTAGCCCAACACTCTTGTCGAGTAAATGAATCAATCGCTGCTCACCCCACGGCATTGAAGTCACCATCGTCGAATGTCAGAAGATACTCGTTGTCGTCCTCAAGACCCTGTATTGTATGGGCGACACCCTTGGGAAAGTACCAGATGTCACCAAACCCCAGTTGCTGAAGCTGGTAGTTTCCATCAGCATCGACTGCCGAGATCAGGACGGATCCCGAGTACACGAAACCCCATTCGGCCTGTTGTGGTCAGATTACATCCCGGATAGTGGCTCACATCCATGGCGTACCACTTTATGCCAATGGAGCTCCCGGAGGGCTCCCCTTCTCAAGTGCTGCTGTGCGGCTGCAATGTCCTTACTCTGAGGCAAGTCATTGATGTCCTGAGTCCTAGTCCATCCGCCTAGAAATATCTTGGTTTTCAACAGAGAAAAGGGCCACTTGAAATTCGGAACCGTGCCAGCATCCGTGGACTGTTGCCCGAGACCATCCGGGTTCTTGATGTCGAGCTGTGGATCTGTGCCCCCTGAGTTGACCGTGAGACTAGCGTCTAACGAAAAGATTGGTGTGAACACCAACCAAGAATTGATGCGCCTTTTCCAGTCGCAGGGTCGTATGGATGACCGCTTGAGAAGCTTCTCAGCTGCTGCCGGACCAAGGGAACGGCACCACCAGTAGCGGCGGCGAGCAGGAGGACGAAGGCTGATTTCATCGTGACGGGGTGGCCTTGTGTAAGCAATCTGAACCAAAGTGAATGAAGACAGAGCTTGCACGGGAAACAGAAAGAGTGCACAGCTCATTGCAAGACAGCGTGATGTGGCGCCATTAAGTACTAGACCTAGGGCGTACTGCTGCTCTCCCACCATCAAGTGACAATCAATCATATCGTGCATGACAGCAACCTGCGGAGTAACAACGACCTTCCCATTTAGCAAGACACGTTGCTGTAACTTCTCTGCATGCGGGAAGATGGCTTCGAAACTTGCAGCTTCGATCGGACGACACCATAGGCTGGAGTTGCCGCAGCACCGAACGCCAGAGCGAGGAGAGCGAAGCTTTATTGTCGTGATAGGCAAGATCAATGGCGCGATGCTTGGCCAAGTCTTGGTGCTGAGGTCGACCAGAGACCAAAGGTCCGGAGAACCGGCGGTTTGCAGGGCAAAATAGCATTCTCCTGTCTATTTTGTGATGGTCAACGGTAGAAGGACTTATATCCAACACGTCGACTGGAGCCCTCTGGGTAGATGATCCCACTCGAAAAGGATGGCACACGCGATACAGCATAGTAACACATACTTGTATCAAGAGGTGTGGACGGAATTGTCGCGCTCTGGGGGCGCTTGGGAACAGTCCTCCACCGTAGCGGCTTGCCGACTTCTCCGAAGTCAGCCTCGCCTTGCCCCGTCCGCTGACATCCGCAAGGCTGCCACCTTCGGCAACCTTCAGTATACCTGCAAGACTCGAAATATGATGGTCGGTTTGTACCGCTATGTCCGTTCTCACCGGGTAAGAGCAGTGCTACAACAAGATGTGTTGTATGGGGACGAGGACGAGGATCATTATCAACCACCCACCAGCAGGATAGGCAGGGAAAGGTGGTCGTCGAGCAAAGGCATGAAGAGGAAGCGCCGGAGAAATGTCGCTGTGCGTTAAGCCGATATGATCGCGGATCCCTCGTGAGTTGGCGTGGCTGGCAAATCCGCAGTGCTAGGGTAATTTAGCAACTGGGTACTCTGTACTCAGACATGGAGATGGAGCATATCTTTGGAACGCAAGTCTTCGATTCAGGGCGACTTTTTCTTACTTTTGTGCCCCATAACACTCGAGTGTAAGCTATGCTAATCATAAATGGTGTACAAGAATGGATGTTCAAGCCTATCCTGCTTTAACCGCACACCCATCTCTCAGTCAGTCCCCAAAAGTCCATCCAACCCCAAGCCCCCCGATCCTAACCTCGTCCAGCAAGACACCACAGCTGATATTTACCCAATTCATAACCACATGTCATCCTCGCGAACTCACGCAGTGCCCCGACTCCTTGTTCTAGACCCAATACCTTCAGTTGACCGCGGTGTAGGCTCTTTCTTCTGTTTCTTAGCAGATCCCGAACCCTTGGGTCGACCGGCTTTCTTCTTCTCTGCTGGTTTGGCTTCTCCCTTCTTCTCTTCCTGCTTCTCCTCTTCCTTTTCCTCCTCTTTCTTCTCTTCAGCCTCTTCTTCCTCCTCCTTCTCTTCAGCCTTTTTCTCTTCAGCCTTCTTTGCCGCGGCGCCCTTCTTCCCCTTAGCGGCCGCGGGCTCTTTCTTCGCCGGCTCCTTCTTTTGCTTCTTGGCAGCAGGCTCTTTAGCCTTGACAGTCTTACCCTCGGCGTTCTCTTCCAGGGGTTCGTCTTTCTTCTCTTCAGCCTCGGCTTGCTTGTCTTTTTCTACTTCGTCGTGCTTTCTTTTCTCGCCATTCCTGGTCTCAGCCTCAGTCTCGGTCTCTTTCGGCTCGTCCTTGTCACCAGCGTCATTAGCGCCAGCATTACCGTTGGCCTTCTCCTCGATATTGAGCTCGGAGGCCCTTTTCACGACGTCGTTGCCAGATCGCTCGACGTGGACCGCAGGGTTACTCGGGTCAGCGTTCTTCTTGACCCTGTTGCCGCGCTTGGACGTGATGGCGAGCTCGCCCTCCTTTTTGGTTTCAGCGACAGTGCCGCCGGGTTGACCGCCGCCCCAGTTCCATGTTACTGCAATGACAATCAGTTAGCGCGAATGCGATCAGGGACACGAACACCACAGATATACGCGTTCATCAGGACTGAACCAAGTGGCCCAAAGACGGACGGCGGCATAGCGACGCGTGCGCGCGCCTCGATGAAGTCTCTTGTCATGCTCTGCGGGGTGTATTGAGGACGTACCTTTGTCTCCTTTCTCAGGTTCTTCAGGAGGCATAGTGACGTCAGCGCGTGATCGCTGGTCGAGTGGATGTCAAGCGCCTCCGATGGGAGAGTGCTGAGATGCAGATGCTAGCAATGTGATCGCAAAGCCTTCGCGACCAAGATGATAGGTAAAGCGAGATAGTTTCAGCGGTAGAGGGATGGTAAAGAGAGGGAGAAGTCGAAGAAAGACGTGTTGTCAGGTCAGCTCTGGGAAGACAAGGTAGCACACACGTCGCGATGCGGCCCATCTGCGCCCGTGGCTGGGTTGCTGTGGGTGAGCATTGCGGGCGTGCGGGCTCGGGCCTGGTGGGTTCGTTGGCTTCAACTAGTTAGTTAGGCGATAAGCCCCAGCCTCCCCATACTGGAAACCCATCGCATCAGTGCCCACAGTGATGCCACGCGCGGGAGATGCAGGTTAGAGTTGGTCTGGTTTCAGCAGCTTCCCAGCCAACAGCGTGCCCAAACAAACGCGCGTTGCGCTTTGCTCGTACGAAGCTCCTCCATGAGCCCATGTCCGTTTTCGAGCAGGCGACATCTAGTGGCTTGCTTTAGTGCAGGGCTATCTGAGCTCCCTTCTTGGCCGGGCGCGGTCGATTTTTCGACTTCCTTGATCTGGACGGAGTAGAGAGCAGGTACGAGTAAACGGCCAGGAGACAGACACATTCTCTTCATTGGGACTCAGGAATATGTCGGCAGCAGTATGGTACAGTTTGTTCAACACCCGGATTCATGTCAAGCGGTTCTGGTTATGTACAATGACTTGCTCCCATAACTTAGCACATACTGTGTATCTTTCGAGCGGTAGGATCGGAAAGTGAACAAATTTGGATAGTCAAATTCGAGGCAGGTACCTTCAGTTGGCCACCAAACCGCCAATTAATTGACCGCGTCCCGTCGTGGCAACGTTGTCACGACGATATTCTTGTGAATACTTGCGGGTTCGAACACAGTAATCATGCAGCTTTGAGCAAAGAATGAGTATTTAGGTGCAGTAAGCCGAAGGGACAGGTTCACTTCGTGGTGCATCAGCCGAACGCAAACCGAAGTTGGCAATAAGTATTGGATATTACATTGGCTATCTTTGTAATGGTACAAAAGGCCCTAGCCCTTCACCTCATTAAACACTTTATGGGCTTCCTATGGGTTTGGACCTCCGCGAACAGCGCTGGTGCCATCTTCTGGACCTGGAAGGCCTTCCTCGTCACCGGGCTCGCGATAACCGCCAGCCTTGGCCGCTCCTCGAGTACGCTCGTCGATAATGTTGCTTTCATCGATTGCGTCATTGTCATCGCGAGCTACACGCGACAGTTAATATGAAATAACGTCCGTCGGAGGGTTATACTCATGGGGCACGAACCTAGCTGAGCATCGGAGTCGGCTGTTCTCTCGTCGATGGGATCCTCAACGTTGGTCTCATCGCCCACGACGGGGATATGGCTTTGGCCAGTTCGAGACTTGTAGTCGTTTTGTGTAGTATCCGCGGTGTGTGCGGCTTCAACGCCCTCATCGCCAGGCTGGTATTCGTCGCCTGGTGCAGACATTGTGAATGAGGTATAACGGGTTGATCTTGAGATTGCAATGGAACAACGTTTGCAGAGTAGATGAGCTGTATCGGGAGGAAAGACTCGGGTGTCAGCATACACACCCGATATATATGCTTAATAGACTCGCTGACGAGGTCCCTTTCTTGTCCAACTGAGGCTGCCGCCTCGATTTCGTCACTGCTCTGTCGTCATGATACTCGTATTGAATGCTTCGAAAGGCAGTGAGGGAGGCTGTTTGACACAAGGTCTGAGGTCATCAAAATCCTAATCACAACCGTGCTGATGCTCAGAAGCACAAGATGCGGCGAAGGTGGTGACGAAGAGCGGGGCTGGCACTCTGGGGCATCGGGCCTTAGCCTTTGAAGCAAGCCGGTGCAGTATATCGACGAGGAGCCGGCGTGCACTCGGATCGATCGCTTAGATCAGGTACCATCTCTCAAAGCATGCTGTGGGAGGAAAAGAAAGGGAGAACAGGGGCAAGGCTGAGTGTGGTCACCAATGAAACGTCACAGGAGGACTCAGAACTGAGTCGAAGACGTCAAGATCATCCACTTAACTCTAACTGACAGTCGCTCGATTCGCTTCGGCACCCTTCCGTATTCCGATCAAGCATTCGAACTCCAGATATGCAAGCACTAGGGAACAGGGTATCAAAGTCCTACGCCAGCAATGAATCGATGTGAGGCCCCAGTCCCGGAGGTGTAATCCGTGGCATGTTTGGCCCAAGGATTGTGTAATGAAAGATCGTTAGAGCTACAGTACTGTGACATCCCGGCACGACGCGTTGTGCCCCATAGATACGACAATGGCTCCCATCGACTTGCTGCTGTATGAAAGGTGGTATCAAAGAGCTGGAATCCTCGACCAAGGGATTTCTGGATACATTCTGCTTCGGGAGGGGGTGGGAGGAGAGGTTCACTTTTGGAATGATTTCATAGCATTGTGGTCACGGAATGCCAAGTGAGACTAGCCTGTCGGAACACTGCATCCGATCTCCGGCGACCACACACCTACACAGTACGAGGTACGAGGTACCACAAACTCGAGCATTCTCACTATCGCCTCCCACATGTTTGTCCCTTATGGTGGTGTGGTATTCTGTCACGATACATTAAGTTCAATCCTGCGCTCGTCAGGTCCTCTAAGATTTTGATGTCCTTGCCCGTATCCATCTTCAACTCACCCTCCTGGCGTCGCCTCCAGGCCTGTCTATGACAATTCTGCCCTCCTTACTATCACGATACGAAAGTTGTCAGTCAACTCTCCAGCGATCAGTCGCATAATTCCATGGACGTAGCGTTATCCGCTGGTTGTCCCGAGAAGAGTAGCATCCTCCAATAGGACGAAGCATGATGGGCATGTCTAAGCCCATCACGACGCCATCTTAGAGCCTTCATGAGATGATTCCTTTTTTTCTCCCGTATGATCTCTGCCTTGGGCTGGAAGGTTTCGCATCCTCTGCACCACATCGACTTTCCATATATTGAGTGCAGGCATTGACCTCCAGCCCATCACCCAGGAGCGCAGCTCAGTTACGACGCTGACAGGGGTTGCCGTCGCCAGAAACGTATGAAGTTACATACCTTGGTTGGTATGCGGCTTGGGCGTTTTTGAGATTGCGAACGACAGACTTCACAGCCAGGTCATCGTGCTGATCGTCTGGAGCGAGCTCCGTCAGCCTAATCAAACTCGCCGTGTGGGCAAGCAGAGAAGTCTAGTGCATTGAGGCAAAAACAAGCAGGCTCGCAATTTCCAGCTGGACCAGGAGACGTCGGCGGGTGACCTAGGGATCCAACCCGCCAGAAGCGATATCAGGCCCCGAGGCGCTTGATCGTGCAGAAGGTGCTCCGTACTCGTACCTAGGTACTCAAGCCACCTCGAAGGCGACGAATTGCCCGAACTTGACTGGCTTGTCGTAACCAACTCACGGGCATAAACTCCGGAGACATTAAGGCCAGCAGTTCTGTCAAGTGCCCACGCATGGAAACATGCTGCCACTAAGGTAGGTAGTTGAGAACTATGTAATAATTACTCAGGCGGTGCTGACTTGGGAGTGGTTGCCCCACGTGCGGAACGTTGCCGGCAGACCGGACGAGCTCGTGCCGACGCTTCGGAAGAAAGCTTCTGTCCCCATGCGGCCTCTTGTTCTCCAGGTTTGCCATGGTAGTTAGGCAGTATCGTTAATCTTACCCCGGATTTACCCTCTTCCATTCGAACTCAGTGGCGCCTCTCCCACCACGAGTGTTTCGACGACGAGCCTAAGCCGATCGGAGAGGGCTGCTTATACTCAAATGTCGTAACCGCTCAACCCGCGTGTCCGCCATGGGTTTGACCTCGATATCGCAATACAATCCGAATGCCTGACAAGCCCACGACCGTGGTCGCCTATGCGGCTGGTGCATCGCTAGCCGCCATTGCCGCCTTCTACGTGTTTGGGCCGACATTTTTCATAGATGGCGAGAACTCATACAACACCAACGATGGCCGGAAACGAACAATCATTGGCCTCTCGAACCCGGCAAACGACTGCTTTATGAACTCTGTCCTCCAGGCTTTGGCCGGCTTGGGTGACCTCAGACTCTATCTGATCAAGGAGCTGCATAAGAAACAGCTCGACGGGCCTGAGATATACGATTCCGTTCCGCCGGTGCTGCGCAAGGGCGAAAAAGCTGAGAAGATCGTTGGTCTGCAAAAGGGACCCGTCACAAAGGCGCTGAAGGATATGCTGGACGCCCTGAACGAGAGACCCATATACAAGAAGACAATCAGCGCACGGCCTCTTATAGAGGCGCTGGAAAGAGCCTTCAATACGCGGATTAGCCGGAATCAACAAGACGCGCAGGAGTTTCTACAAATCGTCCTGGAACGGCTTTGCGACGAGTATCATGCCGCGCAACGAGCACGCCTCAGATCGGAGAATCCAGATCACACCGACGAAACAGACATAGCCGACTCAAAGCCGTCAACCGCAACTCGTGCATTGACTGAGGTCACCGTGGGAACGAGCGAAGGTTTTCCTTTCGAGGGACGGATCGAGTCTCAAATACAATGCCAACGTTGCGGCTTCAGAACAAAGCCCACTGCAACAACATTTGTATCTCTGACACTGAACGTTCCACAGAAAAGCTCAACTTCTCTAGACAACTGTTTTGATATTTTATTGAAGAGTGAAGAGATTGACGATTTCAAATGCGACAAATGCCGGCTCCAGCATGCCTTAGACTGGAAGAATAACAAACTTACGTCTGCAAAGACTGAAAAGGATCGGGAAGAATTAGAAAATGAGATTTCCTTGGTGGAACAGGCGATCCGAGACGACCCTGAAAAGGCGCCTGAGGGTGTAACACTGCCTGAGTCAAGCCTTGCACCAAAGAGCAAGATCAAAAAATCAACCCGGATCACCGTGTTTCCGAAAGTGATCGCCATCCATCTCTCGCGCTCAGTTTTCGATCCGGGGAACTACTCCACCAAAAACATGGCAAAGGTGTCGTACACGCAACGACTCCGCCTTGGAGGACTGCTCAACGAGCACTGGTACAAGCTGCTGGGGGTTGTATGTCACAAGGGCAGCCATCACAGCGGACATTACGAGTCATTCCGACGGAACCACCTGTATGCACCATATGCTACTCCGGATCCATTCAGCGCATATGCAGCCGCAAGCCGCTACCCCAGCTCTGTCCCTTCAGTGACGCCTAGTCCGACCATAAAGGCCGCCCAAAATGGTGGTCTTGACGGATGCAGTGCGCCTGCCGATGGACAATCAAGCATATCACTGTCATCCGCCTCATTATCGACCGGAAATAGCAGGCCAACCTCCAACGGGGTGGATGCTATGGGACCGCCTGCGGAAGACGGGCCGGCTATGACACCGGTACAGAGAATTGACACCCAGCTGTCAAAGCAAATAAGGACGACAGATCCGGTGCCGGGCAAATTCAGGCGGCGGAAGAAATCCAATGACAGGTGGTGGCGCATCTCAGACGACAAAATCAAGGAGGCGAGGCTGTCAGATGTGCTCTCAATGCAACGTGAGGTCTATCTGCTGTTTTATGAGCTCGAGCGGCCAGGCGATGACACTGGCGCTTGACACCATTGCATTCGAATTGGCTGCCTGTTCGCCATTGCGTCGAGCTACGCAGAGAGTTGTCCGTGTGGCGGATTCAACATGGCTCTCAATTTTGTCCCAGGCTACATCTCAGGTTGGCCGGGGACTGCGTTATAGCGTAGATACGGAAATGAGGACTGAGTTCGGCTTGAGTCCATGACTCTCGTCCTTCAAATGCCGGTCAAGGGAATCTTCCCGCACACTCGGAGTCACCCCTTTCCCTCTGGGGCAGAGGGGCACATATCCCGAAAGTTCCCGTGGGAAACACAGTGAATGGTAGGTGAAGCATGGACGAGTAGAGCGACCACAAGGGAAGAACCGGAGCCTCTATATGTGGAGATTGGTGGGAGCAGCGACGTGGGAAGTTCTTTCCAACACGAACGCTTGGCCGGTGATTTCATTTCCCTTTTGCTACCCCTCACACCCACTCATCCATCCAAAAGCTCCGTATCGGCGAGCGAGTTCATTTTTCTCAACCATCTGAGATTCTTTTCTTTCCAAACTATCCCTGACTTGCGGCATACTCGTACACCACTGAGTTTTACGTTCTCGCCCTTATTCATAGCTTGAACCTTTCAGAAAGCATCCTCACACCGTATTTATCACCCCTCAACCTGCTTCCGATAGCCCCACTCAACAATCATCAACATGGGTGTTAAGGACATCTTGTCACGCAAGGAGGGCGTCATCGTTGGTGACGACGTGCTCAACCTCTTCAAGTACGCTCAAGAGCACAACTTCGCCATTCCTGCCATTGTAAGTCTGGTGGCCCTTGCTCAACCGCACCCGACTCTGACCAGAGATTGTCCAGAACGTGACCTCATCTTCGACTGTCGTTGCAGCCCTGGAAGCTGCTCGCGACGCCAATGCGCCTATCATTCTACAGGCCTCTCAGGGAGGTGCTGCTTACTTTGCTGGCAAGGTATGTCCGCGAGATCTCCGTGTGAAAGCACCACAGCTGAAGCAAGTTCAGGGCGTCAAGAACGACAAGCAGCAAGCGTCTATTGCCGGTGCGGTTGCTGCAGCTCACTATATCCGTTGTGTAGCGCCTGCCTACGGCATCCCCGTCGTTCTGCACACCGACCACTGCGCGAAGAAGCTCCTCCCTTGGCTCGATGGTATGATGGACGCGGATGAAGCCTACTTCAAAGAGCACGGCGAGCCTCTGTTCTCCTCACACATGATTGACTTGTCTGAAGAGGCTGTCGACTGGAACATTGAGACAACTGCCAAATACCTGAAGCGGGCCGCTCCCATGAAGCAATGGCTCGAAATGGTAAGCACATTGTGACTGAGAAGCTGTGCGGGGACTTATACTTTGGCAGGAAATCGGGATCACTGGTGGCGAGGAAGATGGTGTCAACAACGAGGACGTCGACAACAACTCTCTGTACACCCAGCCCGAAGATATCCACCTCATCTACACCACCTTGAAAAAGATCTCTCCCTATTTCTCCATCGCAGCTGGTTTCGGCAACGTTCATGGCGTGTACAAGCCTGGCAACGTCCGTCTCCACCCGGAATTGCTCGACAAGCACCAGAAGTACGTCAAGGAGAAGGAGTCAACTAAGAGCGACAAACCCGTCTTCCTGGTCTTCCACGGTGGCTCCGGCTCGAGCAAAAAGGAATACACGGACGCCATCGGCTTCGGCGTGGTCAAGGTCAACCTCGACACTGACCTGCAATATGCCTACCTGACCGGTATCCGCGACTATGTTCTCAACAAGAAGGACTACCTGATGAAGCCAGTCGGCAACCCTGAAGGTGAAGACAAGCCCAACAAGAAGTACTTCGATCCACGTGTGTGGGTCCGTGAGGGCGAGAAGACAATGAGTGCCCGCGTGGCCGAGGGACTGAAGGACTTCAACACCGCGAACCAGCTGTAAACGTCCAGCATGAGGATATGCACCTGAAGCTCTTTTGTGCGGTTTTTGGAGAGATGAGCTTTTGTGGTCTCACAGGTGGCTCGTCCCGTCGAGAACAGCACTTTATAAGACAAGAAAAGCCACAGTGTGCTTGATAATCACACCTACATAGCTACCAAGCAATGTGAAAACAATCCAACTGAAGTCTCAAAGACTCTTGCCCCGCTTCGGGCTTAGCGACTCTGCTGGGTAGGCAATAGCCGTCGGGAGATAAAAAGCTCAGCCACTTCATCTGTGGCGTTTTCGAGTGGCTCGTACGATTCGGAACTCAACAACAATACGTCACCGGGATTGCGGCGAGATGTTGCGTGGGTGTTGAGAGCAGATGAACAAATACACCCGTCAACAATTGTGCCACCCTCACCCGCTCGTTCCTATACAAATTCACCCTTCGCTCGCTTAATTCTGAAGATCTCGCCTACCGATTCTTTCTTTTTTTCCGTCTTCAGTCCTGCACCCTTTCGACGGCCCACCTCTACCTCACTTTTACCTACGCTACCCCGCTACCATCATACTCCAAAAACATGCCTGAAGTCGAAGGTGGAGCGGTGCCGTCTCAGAGCAAGGGTTCATGGTCGTCCTTTTTGAAGGTAAGTCGAGAAATGAAATCCGTGCAGCATACACTGACAGGCGTGCGTAGTCGATTGCCTCTTTCAATGGCGACCTGTCTTCGCTGACCGCCCCGGCTTTCATCCTTTCTACACAGTCACTCGTCGAGTTCTCCGCCTACTGGGCTGAGAACCAATCGCTGTTCGTAGCACCTGCCCTAGAGAAGCATCCTGCAAGGCGCGCACTGCTGGTGCTTCAGTGGCTGCTGAACACTCTTAAGCAACAGTACAGTTCGCGGTCCGAGAAGCTCGGCTCAGAGAAGAAACCGCTGAATCCATTCCTGGGCGAACTGTTTCTGGGCAAATGGGACGATGACTTCGGCCAGACAACCCTGGTCTCGGAGCAAGTCAGCCATCACCCTCCTGTCACGGCCTATTGCATCACCAATGAGAAGCATCGGATCCGACTCCAGGGCTACAACGCGCAGAAGGCTAGTTTTAGTAGAACTATCCACGTCAAGCAGATCGGACATGCCTTCCTGACTTTACATCCTCCTGGCAGCGACCAGGCCGAAACCTACCTCATCAGCCTCCCTGCCTTACATATCGAAAGTCTGATCTATGGCGCGCCTTTTGTCGAGCTGGGCAAATTCATCCATATCATCTCCAGCACGGGCTACGTGGCCAAAATTGATTTTACTGGCAAGGGTTGGCTGTCCGGGACAAAGAATAGCTTCACAGCGGCACTATGGAAGGAAGGTGAGGGGTCGGAGAAGAACCCCTTGTATACTGCGGCCGGCCAATGGTCAGACTCATTCACGATCAAAGAGGGCGACGCGAAGCGAGGTAAGGAGGTTCTTACGTTCAAGCCTTCGGACATCAAACTTTCCAGGCTCAATGTCGCGCCCATCGAAGAGCAAGATGTGGTGGAAAGCCGGAGAGCCTGGTCAAAGGTAGCACAGAGCATTGAGAAGGGCGACATGGATGCCGTCGCACATTACAAATCACGGATAGAGAATGCTCAACGGTCGTTGCGCAAGAAGGAGCAGGAAGAGAAGCGTGAATGGGACAGAGTATTCTTCTCACAAGCAGACCCGAACGACAGGCTCGAGCAGGTGTTCAACAGCCTGGTCAAGGTTGCAGGGAGTTTCGGCATCAATAGCTGGGAAGGTGTCGCTCCGGATAAAACAGCTGGCATCTGGAGGTACGATGAACAAAAGGCTGCAAAGGCACGCAAGCCTTTCCATCCCAAGGAAGGTTTGTTGGCTCTGGGTGAGAACACAGACGGTTCTTCAGCGCCGGTGAGCAGGGTTCCAACACACCAAGAAGCGGGACCAGCGACCTGAGGGTAGCTTCACTGCAGGACGTGGCTCGTAGCCGGTATCGGTGCAGCAAACGACACACACAGCCAGCAAGATAATCTTTGTATTAGTAGCCTCTCATGAGCAGCGAGTGAAATTCTCATCAGTAACGAGAAACGAGTGCTTTTCTTTTCGCCGGACTCAAATCAGACCGGTGGTTGAATACTCCGTAGATCTCGGCTGACTGATTGTCAGTGTCAAATCACCCAGCGTCGTATCAGGCCATCCAGGCTCGGAGTTCAAGCATCAATTTATGCAAAGGTCTACATGGATTACCACTAAGTGTTGCTCAGAAAGTCTGTGGGCCTCTCGATGCCGCACGAAAAGATGGCTTTATGCCAGTGTGGATTGGTAATCGAAGGCATGTCTCAACGCCCAAACAGTCCCCAGACGTCGCATCTTTACTCCGTATCTCCATCTCGACGTTACCCTTACTCGGTGACCCACTCTACCCCAGTCGCTTGGGTTGAGCTCTGCTGGATCCGAGCCGCCCAATACCTCTGCCCGGAGAAGACAGACAGCTGTCATTGCTGACCTAACTCGCTGCCACACCCAAAGAAGCTTCCCAACCCGGTCTTGGCAAGGATAGGCCCCGACATACCACGTACCACTACCGTAAATACGAGGCGTTCCGCGCTGCTGCACGCCCAGGTAACTGTCGAGGAGGGAAAACAATCCGTATCTATGAGGAGAACACACCTCGTGGGGGATGTTATTGGGTTGACCCTCCCCCATGTTCGTCCAAGCACCTGCAAGCATGCAAAGCGAGGTATAAGAACCCTTGGGGGAAGCCTCTCCACTACCACGACTCCACGACCACGGAGTGTTGGACCAACACACACCTTTCCATCACCGGGGTACTCGTACCGACAATTTCAAACCTGTCAGAGGCAGCACCTTCGACTCGATCCTTCACCACCGGCCACGAAGTCTAACCGCCGCGGATCCAACACCATGTCGTCACCCCCGTACAACGCCTTGACGCTCTACACGGCCGGCACGCCAAATGGATTAAAACCAGCCCTGGTCCTCGAAGAACTGGATCTCAAGTACGACGTCAAGCCCATCAACATCATGAACAACGACCAGAAACAGGACTGGTTCCTGGCGATCAACCCGAACGGACGCATCCCGGCGCTCAAGGACGGCGATTTACGCGTCTTTGAGAGCGGGGCCATCATGCTATACTTGACGGATATGTATGACCGGGACAAAAAATTCACGTACGAGTACGGTACGGCGCTGTACTACGAGATGATGAGCTGGTTGATGTTCCAGATGGGCGGGATCGGGCCGATGCAAGGTTAGCCACCACGCCACGCCACTCTTTCTTTCGAGCTCGTCCTGCCGAGTGGGGCGTCGCGTTGCAATTACTGTATATCTATCTGCTGACGAGACGTGGACAGGCCAAGCGAACCACTTCCGCGCCTTCGCTCCCGTGTATTCGGCCTACGGGATCAAACGGTACCTCGACGAAACGAAGCGTCTGTACGGCGTGCTGGAAATCCGTCTGTCCAAGGCCGACTGGCTCGCTGGGGACAAGTACACCGTGGCGGATATGGCGAATTACTCGTGGGTGCGTGCGGGACCGCCGTTCTTGGATATCGATATCGCCGAGTTTCCGGGCGTCGAGAGGTGGCTGAAGCGCATCGAGGAGAGACCGGCTGTGCAGAGGGCGAGGAAGGTTCCTGATACGGGTCGGAGTGAGGAGGAGATGATTAAGATGGTGCAGGGCGCCAAGGAGAGGGTCGACTCCTTGAAGGGCACGGGTAAGGACGAGCCTTCGAAGATATAGGGGGTGGTGCATCAATTGTTGCGGGAAGAGAGACCATAGCTTCTTCTAGGCGAAGTCATGGTTACAGTGCAGGTGGCTTGTCATTTTGCGGAAGCCGCGAGCCACTTCGACTTCACTTCACTTTCACCTCGACTGACAGCCGCCTTGAAACAGCAGTCTTGCGGGTGACAGGCTAGCGTTGCTGCCGCGCAGCTCACAGACGCTCAAGCGGGCAAGGAAAGTGACATTGGAAGTATTTGCAAGTTGTTTGAAAGAGTGAGGTGTGTAAGAGTTGCTGAATAACTGCTACGTCTTGGACCTGCCGTTTCTGCCTCACATCTCCCAACTCTAGACTACGAATGATACATATTCAGAACGAAAGGTTTGGCACGGATTTGTTTTCTCCATTTTCAAACGCCGTGTCTTGAGTCATCCTTGTATGCGCCTATGAGACTTTTTCCTCATCCTCTACCCTCTTCTGTTCCCATCGGCCTAACTATGCTGCGAATGCTCTGACATCCCACCTCGAACCACCACCACCACCACCACACAGAAGGACTGCGTCAGATAGTCCGAGCTGGCAAGCAACTGAGTAGGGCTCAAGATCGCGCCATACGTGTTAAGGCGGCGAAGTTTGTGCGGCAGACTAGGACTGGGATTGGCACTAGCCTTGTATCGGTGGTATATGGAGAGCGGAATGTCGAAAAAGGAGAAGGAAAGCGATACGAATGCCGTGGGCATTGTACTTCGTTGTGGTCATGGGAAGAAATTGCTTGATCTTCAACATCACGACGTTGTGACCAGATTTCTGACATCTCCCTCACCTCCGTGAAATCTCTTTTCGGGGTTTTTCTTCAACACTGCATGTCATGCATAGTTGCACTTCTTCGTGGTTTCTCTTTGGATGGGTTTGCTTCGTCCACTCGTTTCACCGTCTAGTCGCAACTTCGCGACTTCACGACTTCGTTGCAACTGTGTGGCGAGAACCCTATCCAGCTCGGTATACTCACATACTCTGTCTCCACTCGTTAATGAACAGGCCACATGGATCAGCGCGGCAGCCATTGTGTAGTGCACTGCCGACTGCCAAGCGGGCAGGGTCCTGATACACATCTGTCTGCGCCTTTACAGGCCCTGTGCAGGTTCTTATATGCTTTTCCCTATAACAGTATTGCAATGTTCTGCGCTCGAAGCAGGGAGTATTGCTTGTTTGACCGGCGGTTGGTCGCTGGTGCTGGTGATATGCCTCTTTTCAGTGGCTTGATCAAAAGGGCAGGGACCAAACAAGAATCCCCAGCTCGGGGGGCCCTTAGCGGCTTCCCTATGAGCAAGACCATTCTTCACCAAGTGTGTTTTGCTTCGACCCTCGCTCACACTAATGCCTGCAATGCAGGGGCTGTTGCAAACCCAGACGACCGGAATTCTTTCTTAACAAGCATCTCTTGTCGCGCCAATTGCAGTCTCTCGGCCGTATCAGTCTCTTCCTCGTGAGGCCGCAAGAAGTCCGGATACGTCCTTTCTGCGAACTGGAGGAATTCCCGGGCTTCATGGTCATGACCTTGGGCTAGAGATAGTTCGGCGGCATCAAGGACGGACCCCAACAATATCTTCCGCACCACCTTGTTTGGGCTTTTCTGCCACTTAGCGAGTTCGTCGACAAAGGAAGAATTTCTCAGCTTCTGATACAATCCCTTTGCTGAGGGAGAGTCTGGATGATAGATCTGGAGAATGGCAGGGTCGAAGGGGGAAATTTCGATCGGGAGGCCAGATTTTAACAACAAGTTGTAGAGTAGAGCAGGGACGCGTTTTCGGCTCAATTTGTTTTGTAACAGGATTGCTCCGGCCACCTGACGCCAGGAGTGCTGAAGTGGTTCGGGAGCGGGTTTCCCTCTCGACAAGGCAGACTTCAAACGGTATTCATAGGCTTGTGTGTAGAGTTGAGCTGCCTCTTGCAGCCGACTCCGGCGAGCGGTTTCCTTGATCATGAGAGACACAAGACGGTCCTCCGCTCGAAGATAAGCCATGGCATCTAGAGCAGATCCGTCGCCAGGGACGGAGGTGAAGTTGTTGAAAGAACATTCGTATAGAACATGCAGCCACTGCCACACTTCCCGTTCGTAGCCATCAATATACATGACAGACACGAGGGGTTCCATGTACTTCGAGTTGAGCAGGAGGTCTTCTTTTTCCGGAGCCGACATAGCATTGAACCACCGAGCCAGTCTCGGGGCCAACCCTTCGTCGTTGTTTGGTAGACTGCCTCGTTTCTCGCGGCCTTGAAGATATTGTAGGGCGCATGACTGCACGAGGTACGAATCAAGAGCCTTATTCAGCAGGGCGTTGTCAAAGGTCTTCACTGCTGTCGCAGCCAGGCCGCGGGTTTGGAGAAATGTAAGAGACTGTTGCTTGAAGAGAGGATGACCAAGAATGGTATCCAGATGAGAGTGGGTGGAATGGGTCACCCTTTGTGCGGGATCAGGGATTGACTCGGAGGCATGGTGAGCGTCGTGGCCGGCTTTGGGAGAAGGATGCTTCTCATCTAGACGTCGTTGGAAGGCGGATTCGAGGACATTGAGGAGCTGCTTCGACTCGCGGGGCGACTGAGGCGATATTGGAGAATGGATCGAGGCCAGCAGCTTACGGATGTAGAGGGACGAGCTGAGCCTCATCTTGAAGCCAGTCAACCAGAAAGCATTGTAGGATGCTATAGGGTGTCACAGTACATCATTAACACCTGCTGTGTCGGAGCTCGATCAAGTGGTGTGTGAGTGGTACGCGAATGTGTGGGGAGGGCTGGCCCAGGAACAGGCGCCACTGTCGCACCTTCGGGCTGCGCGCCAGCGGGAAGCTTGACGAGGAACCTTCCCCCAGAATTCTGAGGCTAGAAACTTGTTGCAGCCCTTTGAATGTGTCTTCTCATACATTCATGTCAACATTGGGATCACTGTGCTTTCACTTCCACCTCACCACTTGTACTTGCCTCTCCCGGTGACAGCTCTTCTCGTAGGAGCCAGCTGCTCTGCTAGAAGCTGCGACTTCCACTAATATCACGTCATTGTCACCCTCTGTTCACCCTTCGCTCAACCGAGCCTGCACCTCCCTGCCTCTCCACCACCGCATCACACCCAGCCCTACACCAATGGCCGAAGTCCAAAGCCGCACAGGCGGCTCTAGAGGTCGCGGCGGCTTCAGAGGTGGTCGAGGTGGATTTCGTGGCACAAGAACCACATCCAGAAGTCAGCACAAACCAGACTCCGAACAGGAGAACACGCCTCCCGCACCGCTCGAAGATCAGGGTGAAGTCGGTGAATTGCTCAGAAAATATGGCGACAGAGTTCCTCTGCTCAAAGAAATCTGTCCTGGTTGGAGTGACCAGGACCTGGTCTACGCCTTGAACGAAACTGACGGCGACGTGGAAAACGCGTTCGACCGCATCTCAAGTGGTAGAGAAGAGCCCCATACTCATTCTAACGTTCTTGCTGACCATTGATGTGCAGGTTCGATCTCACAATGGGGTGAGGTCAAGAAGAAACATGTAAAGGCCAAAGAAGCCACTCCCGCGTCAACCGAAACGACTGCCCGAAGCCGTGGTCGTGGTGGTTTCGAAGGTCGAGGCAGAGGTCGTGGTGCAGAGCGCGGCGCTAGAGGCGGCCGTGGTGCAAGGTCAGGATCTGCTGCGCACACCAATGGTACCAAGTCAACTGGCGATGGTTGGGATACTCCTGCTACCACTACCGTGGAGGCTACCGGAGGTTGGGATACGGCCACCACTGATCCTGCTCCGACCAATGGCGACACTCCAGCACATGCTTCAGACGACTGGGCAAACGAGCCTGGCAAAGATTCATTGTCCTCTCTTCAGACCGAAGAACCCAAACCCGCTTCAAGTGCTGCGCCATCTGCGGTCAAGCCTGGTGGATGGGCCGGATTGTTCGCTAAGCCTACCCCGGCACCAGCTCCCAAGAAGGTTGTCGCACCACCTCCTCCGGCTACCCAACCCGAAGAATCCCTCCTCGAAGCAGAGCCCGAGCCCACGATCGAAGTCCCGGCTGTGGAGACGCCTGAGCCGGCTCTGCCGCCTCCAATAGAAGCAGTCGAGATCAACGAGGATGGACCGAGTGAGCTCCCCTCTGCGCCACATTCGGAAACAGGACAAGAGCTTACCCCTTCGAAAGATGAACTCACAGAGCACAACTTGGAGAAACTCCCAGACACCTCTCACCCTCCCGAGTCCGCCACTCAAGCCAGTACTGTTGCAAGCACCCTAGATCCCCTTGCGATGGCGGATACAAAGATCACTCCCCGTATTCCCCTGTCAGGCTATCACGCAACCGCGCTGAAGGCTACCGGAGGGACAAGCCGATCTGCGAGCTTTACAAGGAAGGTCATGGAACAGCAAGAGGCGGTGGTTATGCCCGGGAATCACGCGATCGAGAAGGCGGCAGTACAATTTGGCAAACTGGGATTGGGCGCGGACGATGTGGATGTGGACGAAGACAGAGAAGATCCAGAGACTCGAACTCAGCTTCCCGATGACTCGCCTGCCGCTCCACGCGCTTCGCTTCCGCCAGCCTTGCCTGAAGCACAGCAGTCGCCCGCCGCAGCTCAGAGTCAACCCTTGGCTGAAGCACCGTCAACTGCCCAGCGACAAGCAGCTGGTCTTCCCCCGGCTCCTCAACAAGCGCCTGAACCATCCCCTCAGTCTTCTTCTGCATATGCGGATCAATACCGCTATGGGCAAGGCCAGAAGCCGTACGACCCGTTCGGACAACAGCAACCGCAGACAAATCAAGCGCCAACCACGCAGGAACCCTTCTCCAATCAAGTCCCTAGCCAGCCATCTACTGCCACCACCCTACCAGACTATGCGGCATACTACGGTCGTGAGGCTTACAACTACTACGGTTACGGCCACGGTCAAGATGCCCAACGCAGCGGCAGTGCTTTTGGCTCCTCGGCTCCTGATAATCAAGCTCATTACGCGACGTCACGCCCCCAGCAGCACGGGCTGGGTCAGCAGGAAACACAAGGAAGTGGCAATAACACTCCTGCACCGGGCTTGCCCGCACAGCACACCCAGCAACAGGCTGGTCATGTGCAACAGAACCAAGGTCACGGATATCCTGCATACGGTTACCCGAATGCGTACAATCAACAGTATCCCCAGTACGCTGGAAACTACATGGGCAATATGAATCACCGCTACGGAGCAAATCGACCAATGTTTGACGATGTACGTCGTCAGGACAGCGACTACTACAGCAGTCAGCAGCAGTACAACTATGGTCAAAATCACTACGGCAATACGTACAAGTCGAACATGTACGGTCAGCCTCAGCAAGGTTACTCCTACGAACATGGTTCATCTCCAGCAAACGTCGGCACATTCGGTCGAGAGGCAGGCTATGGCCGAGCCGGGTCTGCTCAACCTTCGGAGGCTCAGCAAGGTACGGCTGCCAGTGCCGGCTTCGGAGGCATGCCTGATCCCTTCGGCCGATCTTCATCTGGGTTTGGACAGCCACAGGGTCTAGGACAACAACATGGTGCGCACGCCGAAGATCCTGCAAAAGGATCAGGACCAAGCCCTTCGATGCAAGGTGGGCGTCCTGGATCTGCGGTCAACAGTGGTTTCCCAACTCAACAGGGTGTCTTGCCTCCGCCATCACAGCACTCTGCGCAACAAGCATTTGGTGGCTATCCCCAGTATGGTGGTAATGTTGCCACTAGTCACCAAAACACCCATCAGAACACCGCATACGGCAGCTATGGTTCGAACAATGCCTTTGGCGGCTACGGCGGCTACAGCGGTGCTCGAGGAGGATGGAATGGCAGCTACGGCTCTGGCCATTAGTTGTACTGGCGCGATGAACCTAGTGTGGATCATAGCTGCATCGATCTCTCCTCTGTTTCTTCTCATGGCGGAAAAGGGCAGGGACAGATTGTCGAAACTGTTATTTGCGCGGACAATCATGCAACTTTGCCGCGGGGGATGAGGCTTTTTGATCTCTCGTTGCCGAGTCTCTTTTTCCGATAATGCAAACTGTACTTGTACACAACAGAGAGGTTGAGGATGTGGAAAGGGTGCCTAGGCGAACTCCAGTTCCACGAAGCTGTCATTATGGATAGGGAAAGGGCAAAAGTGATAGGTCATAGCACTACTACCGGGAGTGGAGACGACAATGGCAGCACAACCTCATCGACGCAGGGCGTATTTGATGGTGATCAGCGGAAACCTCGTGGAACGAAACACCTCTCGATCTCGCTGGACTTGTAATCTTGTACTTAGTATGTGACGCTGATGCTCCGAGTTCTCTTCGTGCCTCGGTCATGTGATCGGCTAAACCCGGAACATCTCTGAAGGCGCAGCTGAGCGGGTGATCAATGCTATTTCACCGCTGTCCATGCCCCTCTCTTTGCTATGCGCGCAGGGAGGTTCCACTGCGTAAAGTCTCGTTGTAGCCTATCCTCGCGCGCGACGAAATTCCGGCTGAGGCTTGTTGTCCGCTGACAAACGGTGCCCGGGCTCAACGCGCTGTGCTGAGTGACGCATTAATTAGGCGGTGATGGTGCACCTCGCTGAGCTGGAACCTGACTGGGACGGCACGAGCAACCTCGAATTTCGCCGACCAGTTCCTTGATTTGTCCTGCCCCGTGGCTCCGGCGGGAACCTTTGGCCGGCCACGCGTCGTATCCGCGACTGGGGTTCCGCCTCCCAAGACTCTAGGCGACCGGAATTGACGAGGTCCCTGTTGATCATGGCCAGGTAAGCAAGCAGGTTCGTGACACAGTACACATTTCATTGATCGAAATTAGCCTGGCGGAGGCATCCGCTGGCAGCACGAATAACGGCCGGACGTATCTGTGGCTTAGAGCGCAGGTAGGTGAGCGAGTTACGGTGACACCGTGCATGTCACCCACATGTCCACATCTCTATATCATTGTATCGGTCCTGGGAAGTTAGTGCTGGCCAACAACCACAAATCCAACCACAGCCATCATTCCACATTACATCTGTCAACAAGATGACCACCTCGAGCAAACCTCGCCTAGTCGTCATAGGCTCGGGATGGGCGGGCTTCTACCTCGCCGAGAACATCGACTTGAACGCATACTCCGTTACGGTGATCTCCCCGCGTCGCACATCGGCATATACACCCCTCCTAGCCTCAGCAGCAGTCGGCCTCTTCAACTTCTACTTGGCTGAGGAGCCCGTGCGCAGCAAATCCCGATGCGCGCTCCGCTTCATCAAAGCCAACGTCCTGGACATCAACTTTCCAACCAAGACATGTCGATGCGCCCCGGCCTTTGACGAAGATCCGCAGCTCGCGCAGGACGAGTTCGACGTCGACTACGATTATCTGGTTATCGCGCCCGGATGCCAGCCCAACACCTTCGGCACGCCCGGCGTGGCCGAGCACGCCATCTTCATCAAGAACGTCTCGGACGCCATGAAGGTGCGCAAGACCATGTTCGACCTCCTGGAAAAGGCGTCCCTGCCCAACGTTTCGGCGGCACGCGCCAAGGAACTTCTTCACATCGCCATCGTGGGCGGCGGGCCCACGGGCATCGAATTGACCGCCGAGCTCGATGACCTTTGCCAGGACGAGCTGCGTCACATCTACCCGCAGGTCGCCGAGCATGTGAGCATCTCCATTTACGACGTGGCCCCGCACATCCTCTCGGCGTACGACAACAAACTGCACGAGTACGCGACCTCGCAGCTGCAGAAGCGCCACATCGACATCGCGCCCAACACGCGCATCGAAAAGGTCGACGGCCAAGCGCTCTACATCAAGGACAAGGGACGCGTGCCCTACGGCATGCTCATCTGGGCGACAGGTAACAAGAACGTCGCCCTCCTTGAGAGAATCGACGTCAAGCTCTCGGAAAAGGGCCTCAAGCGGATCCTGACGGACGATCGCCTCCGCGTGTTCAATCCCGGGAAGGAAGGCGGCGTTCACGACGGCGTTTTCGCCCTGGGGGATGCCGCGGACATCGAGGGCGCCTCGCTCCCCACGACGGCCGAGGTCGCGGTGCAGAAGGCCGAATATCTGGTGCGGAATTTCAACGAGCTGGCCAAATCTTCTGATGGTGCTGGTACTGTCTCGGCCTTCACCCAACCGTTCAAATACTCTCAGAAACAGCTGGTGAGTTATATCGGGGCCCACGACGGGGTCATCGCAGGCAAGGGACCCAACAGTGAAGGGTGGACCGGGCGGAGTGCGTGGCTGGCCTGGCGGAGCGGAAGTCTCATGTGGAACCGCAACTGGAGGTCGAGGGTCATGATTGCGTTGACGTGGATTCTCAATCGGGTCTTTGGCAAGGAAATCGCGAGGATGTAGGTGTAGAGGACTGAGACAGTGAACGGGACTGAGGGACGATGGATCTGAACTTGGGCCGTTGTCAAGTCCGGGTTCAGATTACTGCCCTTGGGGGATCAACAACACGGAGCCTTTGATTCAGTTATCATGGGAAGCGCAAGTTGAGCTACACATGACAGGAGTGGATGTGCACGAGGCCAATACGCCCGAAATGACTCCAACATCAACAGCCAGCCCTCTCACTAGATATTGTTAAATACAACATTGTACTAAGTATGTACCTTGATCGTCCTCTCCTGACTGGTGCGAGGCATCGGGCGAAGAGTCTAACACAATAACTCTACACCACGGGTGACTTGACTGCTCCGAGACCACGGATCCTTGTCCTTGCCCATGGCCCTTTTCCCTCCCTGTCGACGTCGTCCTCGTCCTCACCTTCGTGGAGATAGGCACACCACACCATAATGGCACACCATCGCGTCGTCACATCCTGCCCTACCTGACAGCAGGTACAGTGGCGCCAGCCCTTTATTTTGTTGAATTGATGCTGTACACCATCTTTGATCCGCCCAAGTCTTTCCCAGACCATGCGGATGCGCGCAGAAATAAGATATAATTAGCGACGTATGTTGTGTCGTGGCATGTAGCGAGCTTGCGATGGACAGCCTTTCGCTCTTGATCATCGATGCCAGCCACGGAAAAGCAATTCCCCGGAATGCGGCCACTGGTGAGAATGGAGATGATCTACCTGATGGAGTATCTTGATCGTCTTCGACGAGGCCGCGGTCGCATCGAGCTTCTGTACCGCGGCATGCCGCGTCTGGTACCCATTCATGTCCACTTACGTAGTTCAGTATGGACGGGAAGTGCATTCTATGTACTTGAAGCAAGCGCAAGCGCAAGCGCAAGGAAGCTCCCATTCACGGTCCAGTCCAATCACTCCGTACGCAGCGCAGAAAAATGAAACTTGAGCTCTAGCTTGGCCTGGTGGTCCTACAGTAGAGTACATACAGTCGCAGTAGGGGGTACAATATCAGCGCCGAGAATTGACCACCAGCCAGCCCGCTGTATCCCGGAGGCAGTCGCCTCCCACGTGTTGTCCTCCCAGAGCCATGACTTGGGCTTCAAAGAAATGAGAACCGCCTACTCAGTACTGTAACTCCAACGGCTCCAATGCGTGCAGGTTCTTTGATCGATCCTTCAGTCCGTCCAACTCCAGGCCAAATCTTTAGAAACCCTTCCATCCTGTGGCCGCACAAGTTTTGTTCGTAAACGCATTTCATACCAGTTCGTCATTCATCATACTCAATCCCTCGCTTCCATCAGCGCCGGATACAATGCTTTGAGCCACCTTGACCGCTGACCGCGTCGCAGCCGCCACAACACGCGTTGCCCTCTCGTCATCAACGAATCCATCGCTCCACCCCACGGCCATCGCAAACACTCGATAAATCGCAACAAGCACTCTGCCGGCCCCATCGAAGATATTTCCCAGCATTCCTACTACCACGGATCCATACTGTCCAAACAAACCCCGGCAAAGCATTGTTGGCAAAACGAATGGGAACTCCGGTTCCGTGACGCCAGGTGGCGGAAAAGTATACCGCTCGGCATAGAGAGGTCGCGCGTACAGCTCTGTCATGATGCATTCGAGGATATACCACGTCCAGAAAGTTAGGATGAGGTAACCAAGCCATGTCGGCCGGCCGGGGAGCAGTATAAGTGTCTTGGAGTTGGATCCTTGAGTAGTGGCGACGGCGCGAGGATGGAAGAGAAGTGGAACGGGGAGTGTGAACGTCGTGTACGTTACCGGGAAACCCAGCCATGATGTGACCATGTGAGAAAATGGGTGGACATGGGATTTGAGGTCGTCGTTGGCTCGGCCGCATACCATGCAGGACTGCGTTGGTTCGTGCACCGCCACGAGGGCTTGAGTCTGTTGATCCGGTGCATGCCAAACTTTCTGTTCTAGTCTTGAGATGCCCTTTCGTGCTTCGTGCAGATTCGACATTAGCCTCTCCATCCGGCTCGCCAAATGCCCGATAAAAGCGACGTCGGACGTGGATCCCACCTCATCACCTCGGGTAGCAGAAACAATAGCATCGTTTCTCTGCCTTAGAGCAAGAACCTCCTCCTCGGCACTTGTTCGGATAAGCGAGGTTAAATCCGCCGTAATGTCCGCAGCGTCGGTGAGGAGGTCTTCCATGGACTGAATGGTGGCATCGCCTAGGTTCAGGGTGTCTGTATCGTCACGGGCATCCGAGCGAGCTTCATTGATGTCGCGTGATACCAGGCGCTTCTGCTTGGCTTCGTTAAGCACATTTGTCAATGCGCTGGGAGGGAGGATGATTTGCTGAGTTGTGGCAGGCTGTGGAACTGCTTCTGGCCGCTCTTCGCCTGTTGCTGCTGACTGGCCCATTTCGTCTTCCGCACCGGCCAGCTTCTCGCTTTGCTTCTGGGTATCGGCATTTGTGACGGGCTCAGTAACTTCCTCGACGACTTCAGGAATAGGGACAGTTGCCAGGCGGGCACCATTGGGCAAAGGAGTATCAATCCATCCTCCAGCACTGATGTGAGGGGTCTGAGCATACTGCGGCACTTTCTGTGTCTGTTTTTGTGTCTTGACCGTATCAGGCAGGATGGTATCAGTCCACGCGCCAACAACCTTTGGCGTCTCCGCAACTCTTCTACTGAGGGCCACACCATTGGCACGAGTTTCTGGGGACCGCGCCTTTGGATCTTCTTCAGAAGGTGGTAAAGGGATGGCGGAAGCTTCCTCGATTTCTCTGACCATGTCATTTAGAGCGGGACTTGCTCGGGGAGTTGTGCTTACGGCCCGAGCGAGCCTCTGCAACTGATCCAGAGAATCCGACACTGAGCGTTGGGATGATTTCGATTTGTCTGTGCTCTGGCTCGACGACCTGTACACAACAACTGGCGTGTCCGGAATTGCTTGACCCACCTCAGGGTTACCATGGAACTGACTGACCGGCGATTGCTCTCGTGGTTCCGTAGGCGCTGGTTTGCGTTCCTCGGGAGTGAAATTGCGTGACGGCTTCCGTACAACCACGTTAGGGTCTTTCACACGGATTTCATCCAAACGGTCTGAGGTCACAGCCCGTTTCATAAGATCTTCCATCTCCTTCTCCCTCAATGAGTCGTTCAGGTTGTTCCGCCCTCGAATTGGTGGGCTTTCAGAGACTTGGAATGACATGCCAGTGAAATCGTTTTCCCACTTTCTTATTCGGTCGACCGAGCTCTGCTTGGAGATGGAAGAAGGCAGCGTCTTCAATGGGGTGCTGTCTCGAGGCGTTGAACTCTGTTCGATCGATGGCAATGGGACGTCGGCCCCTGCTGCCGCCCAATCGATTTCGGACTCGGCATCGTCCCCGTACTTTTGCGAGATAGCAAGATGTTCTTCTGCAGCTGCTGGCTCGGGATCGGACTCTCTTTTGTCTGCATCTTCTTTCGCTTTAGCGGCGCGTCTCTGAACCGCGTCGTGCCGCCATCTAGCAAGGAAGGCACGTGTTGAATCCCTAGTCTGCTTATCATAAGTGCCTGCTGAAGTAGGCTCCGAGTGCGTCGAAGATACCGACGCGGTTGTAAGGTCACTCTGCGGCGGTCGGTAATTGCGTGTCCTCGAGGGGTCTTGATAAGGTCCGAGCCCACCATAGGAGCGAGAGAATGCCGCCGCCCTCGGGTCTAGACCAGGTACCAGACCTTCGGTTCCTACCACAGACTCCATGTTTTGGCGAGCTTTGGTCAGGTCGACTGTCCTTTCCACTTCCCGAAGTTCATCTGGTGTGTCACTCCCAGAACCATCATCTTCCGGCACAGCCCTGGGCTCCAGCCTACGACTAATCTTGCTGAGTGGACGAAGCTTTCTTTTCGGGGTGGTATCGGCGCTAGTGTCTGAATACGCCTTGTGCAGCCCGTTTGCGCCAGCACCTAGGATATTGTTGAACGATATGGGGCCACGATTAACGATACTAGCCAGATCGTCGCGCCGATGTCCGCCATCAACCTTCCCATTCGCTCTGTCCCCAAAGTTGATTGGCACGCTTTGTCGCAGTCGTTGGAGTCTTGCTCGATCCCGTGCGCGATCAATAACATGAGGCGTCAATTTTTCGGCCAGCACACGGTCGGACATCTCGTTCTGAACGAAATCCAACGTACCAAGGGTAGGAGGTGCAGATAGACTCCCGGTCCGGTCATCGATAGGCGATTGAATAGGTGTCGTGTGGTTTGATGCACGGTCCTCATATTTGTGTCCCTTACTTTGTACATCATCGGGGACAATGGCGTTCATATCTAGCTCTATGGTGTCCGGCTGGTCTCTTTCAATTCCCTCCTCGTCACTGTCAACGTCTCTTTCTGTGGCCGCAAGATCCTCTTCGTCTGCTATTCTCTGGTACGACTCATGGAGGCCGCCAGGAGGGCTCGAGAACTCGCTGGGACTCCTGACGGGTGGCCCATGTCTGGACTGCGGTGGTGTGGTGAGTCCATTTGTTCGTGTAGGACTCGGGCTCTTCCTCTTCGTAAGCTTGGGCGACGATTTTAGCTGCTTGCTTGTGCGCGCATTCGTGTAATCCAACAGCGAGGTACGACTCTGTTTGTTGCCCAAATCTTTGGCTGTCTGCAACGCTCTAGTCGCAGGGAGGGCGCGTCGGGGTTTGACTGCTGCGGGCTTCGCCTTCGAAGGTGATGGAATTAGGGAGGTGCTGGAGAGACGCGAGTCATCGAGCAGGCTGTCGGTGAAGAAGTCTACGCTCGGAGGATTTCTGGAGTGCTGATCATTGCGCCTACTTGACGACAACGGGTTGTTTTCCTTGTTTCGAGCCATGGCGCGCAAAGTCGCATGCTTGCCCTTGCATGCTACCTGATACAATGCAGTGACGATACTGGTTGTAATGCCATGTGGAACAGGCGCGCGCGGAAGGGAGAGTGAGGACTGCGACAAGGTGCAAACAAACACCCAAAGCGGGATCGAGCGAGATGCAAGATGCGATCGCGAGTGGATTCGCCCGGTTCGATAGATGCCAAGCATTTTCTTCATTAAAGCAGCGAGACCTTTTCATCACCACTTCCTTCACAATCAAATGATAACGATATCGTAGGTCAATCTCTTAGTCCAACGCAGTGCCCAAAGTGGCCTGACACAAAGCAAAACAATACTCCAGTAACGCGTATAGAAGGCCGAAGCAAGGATGTGGCCAGTCAACCAGCAGAAAGATACTTCCACCTCTCCCTCGCCTCACTCTCCCGTCTCTCCTTCTCTTCCTGGCTCATCATCTCTGTGCCTTGGGCGATTCTTTCATCCCTCGACTCAAGAACCCGTTTCACCTTCCACGCCATAGCCGCAACAAGCGCATACAATACTGCACTGACAAATTGCAGCGCGACCATGACATCCCAAATACCCTCATTTCCCCCTGTTCTAGAAGGGCATTCGTTTCGCTGTAACGGGCCGTTGGCATCGTTGTTGACGCAGGACCCAAGGAAGAGGATAGAGCTGACGAAGTGTAATATACTGAACGTCGCCGAGAACCACAATGCCAATCGCGGTGGGTTGATCCGGGCGAGGACATGCAAGTGAAGCGAGGGGATCGCATTGAAAAATGCGAGGCCTGGTATGAGGATGGGTTGGATAACTTGGCCACTATATCGCACTGTCAGCTTTCCATTGCGCGGGGCTGTGAGTGCCCACCAGTATTTACGAGGTGCAGGACGTACAAGTTCAGCTCGGTCTTCAGTGAAGCAATCCACACGGCGCCCAGTGCTATCTCAACCATGCTGAGTATGCCGACGGCAAGAACGAGCCAAGGTGCGAAGCCTGTCCATTTCGCTGCTTTCCGCCATCGTTCGTCGCCTCTAAATGAGGCATCGGCAAGGCCTTCGATCCCTAGCATGACGAAGATCGTGTGACTCTATCGCGTTGAGCGCTCTGGACACCTATCCGAGATGCGGGTTCTTGCTGAGGGGCATTGACTTTTGCTGCTTCTCCGAAGGTGGACCTTACAATGCCGACTCCCTGCTCGTTTCCACTTCAACAGCAAGGTCGTTGCTCGAAGTGTCCTGGAGCACAAGCACACTGTTGCATCTCTTACAAATGCCTGGGGTGAGGCGATGGTCGAGGGCTGCTATTCTACAATGTCGCAATAGAAGAAGATTGGAGATCAACGGAGGCTCTCATAGTCTTAAGTCATTGAATGCGGGTAGCAAGGTCACAGTACTAGTGGTAGCGTACATATGCATGTTGATCTTTCCCCAGCCCTAATCACATTGCTATCCCGCGTGTGGGGTTGGTGTGGGAAGCCTGACAAACCTGTCGTGAGCCGTTTAGGCACCTGGAAATCATTATTCGATGTCGCAAAAATAGCCGAGCCAAAGCTTGTGATGGCTTCGCACGAATATAAGCTTCATGACGATCGTTGTGCCGGTACCCGAGCCGTGGGGCCTAGACAGTACTGTGCTGGTTCGTGTTGACACGAACTTGTCGTCTCTAGCCACGGCTAAGGTAGAAGGTCCGACGATTGGCGGTACGGGTTTTAAGCCCAGCATGTTACTGTATGTTGAAACCTTTTGGTTGCTGCCGCAATGGCTGATGAATGCTATGATGGTCAAAGCCGGCGACTCTTTCATGTCTTCATAAATCTTAACCGACCCACATTCATTGAGGGAGGCTGACGGCGCTCATGCCCATATCTCTGCAATTTTGGCACTGAGCGTCTTGGCCACTTTCTTCCTCGGGATCACATTTCCAAGTCGATCACTTATCATGGAGTCCCGCGGCGCCCCTTTCTCCCGTCCTTCGTACGCCTCTGCCAAGGCACGGGGAGTAGGCCAGTTCTTCTGAATCTCGACAGCTTTCTCTCCGGTCACGCCTCTGATGCACATCAACATCTTGAGATAAACGTCTCTTAGTGTCATGCTCTCGGACTTGTCGCACATGGCACTAAACACCGAAAATGTCATGCCAAATACTCTGTCCGGCGAGGTCTTTCGGAGACGCCCCAACAGCAATGTAACTGCTTCAGTCTCGAAACTTTGAGCAGGTATGACATTGACGTCCCTCGCTTCATACAATGCTTTCAGGGTCCTGGTCATGCGCGCCAAGTAGGAGATAGTGTCGTCAAGCTTCGTGGTCTGCTTGACGAAGAAGTTATCGACAACTTGCATACTGGCAATTGCGCTCTCGACAGCATCTTCGTATTTGTCCATCCTCTCCTGGGAAACTGAGTATTCTTCAACCAGGTATGTAACGTTCTTGATGCCGGACTTGTGAAGCCGGAATTTCTGCTCATGAAACCTCCCGTCTTTGATACTGCTGATCAAGTCATCGAGTCGCTTGCGCTCAAGGATGTGCTCGAGCACAATTTCAATTTTGGCGTCTCCTTCGTCATCAATATTAGCACCCTTCAAGTTATCGTTGTACAATGGGCTGACTTCTGCGACCCAAAGCACGTCGCCGAGGGGAAGAGAGCGGATAATTGGAGTAATACCGAGCTTCTTGAGCTCCTCGGAGATGTAGTCTCGGTCAGTTACACTCCGGACCTCGCGCATATCGAGCACGATTTTTACCTCAAATGATCCGGCTGGTAAGATGATGGTGTCTTCTGTCGAGGAGCCGGCGCTCGTAGGTCTTCGACCAGTCCGCCCTTTGACAGTTGTTAAGCTCATCTCTGGTTCCGAATCAGGCCAGTCATTTTCGGAAGCAGATACCAGATCAAGGATATCAGATGGCTCTTCCGGACCTGGGACCTTCGTGCTTCTGTGCTGTGGTCGAGGTGCTGGCGGGGGTCGACTGGAAAATAGCTCAGGCGTTATAGACCTCGTAACAGTGGTTGGAGGAGCTGCTGCAGGGTTTCGTTTGGTGACTGGACCAGGCAAGGCTGATCTCGATATCTTCTCGTCCCCAGCTGGTACGCTTTTCTGCTTCCGCGTCAATTTCTCCACGAGACGGCCCTCCTCGTTGGCCTTGATGCCATCCGCGACTTCCCACCCTTCATCCGATAGATAATATTTCTTGGTTGGATGACCCTTGGTGCACACAAGCTCTTTTGATTCCAATGTATTCATGGACTTCCACGCAGTAAAGAACTTTGTGGTATCACTCGGGACGGTGTAGCTCGAATCGCAGTGTTCTTGTGCTACCCTAATAAGCTCTGCCTTTGGAATAGCTTGATTGCTGTCCCGGTCCAATGTGCCCAAAGCTAATATCAGGCCGTAGGCACCAGAGCGGTATTTTGGGACATATGGCTGGACCCTGCGCTTCTTTTGGACAGGAGAGGATCGTTCGGCTTCGGCAGCTGTCGCCGCATCTGACGCTATGGCCTCCGATGCCCTCTTTGCCCTGCGTCTATTTTTAGTTGGCATAGGTAGACCATTTTGCTCACAGTGCTCTTTCAGCTTGTTTGTCAGTCTGTCGCACAGTTTTGGCCCGAGGCCATTGAGCGATCGGGCTTCGGAGGGGTGGCTGAACTGTATGGGACATGCTATCACCGAGTTGTATGCTTTCTTGTAGCTTTATCTGAAGTCAGTCCTGCGCTTTAGCAAGCATGAGTGTGGTAGCATACACAGTGTAGCTTTTGGCACTCTGTTCTTTTGCTTGATCCATCCATTCCTTGAGCCATCCCGCCAGTAACGGGTTCATACATGCTTCAGTCATTTTCTCGAAGACTTAGAGGTACAAGTGCGGTCGGCATCGATATTTAGGTTCGATGCCGCAGATCTGAGTGGGGAGCGAGTATGTGCATTGTCGCTTCTGGCTTGTCACTCGATCATCGGGTAAACAATCGTGACGATACAGAAATGCCCACCCCGAGGTTCTTCCGATCCGGGCGCGCCGCGACCTCTTGACGCGAGATCATGTGACCAGGGCCGCCTGCGTTCTTAGCCGCTCCACTTTTGGGAAAGCAGTGTACGAGACAAGTTATCTGCACTCTGCCAGTACAGTAATCTTGTGCTGCCTGTGTCACGACAGACTCGAAAAATCTCAGTGATCATGACGTGGGAATCCAAGTGCCGAACGGCTTTGCTCCTATGATCGTACTGAAAGACTGACCTCATATCCGGTAAAGCCACTCAACTCCGTCTCATTCATTTGTCCCGACTTTCGCTTAAGCAGGTAATGAATCATGGGAGAGAGATTGGCGAGATGAAGGCACATTCCTTCATTGCGCTCGCGAAATATTGCTTGACCAGCGCCCGCGTGTTTACTACCGGCCTACAACATTGAATGGGCTTCGAAAGTAGAGCAATTGTACTATCGGATAACTGTGCACTCCGACCAAAGTTTGCAGCTAAGCTGCCGAGCTATGGCGCATGATTGCCGGCGGTATGTGGAGGGAGAGGTAAAGAGTAACTCGCTCCATGATCTGCTATTTCACATGCAGGAACAGGGAGGAATTGGATCATCCACCACCAACCCTTTCTCAAACCCGAACCTTATTTCGTCATGGTAGACTCGGGAAATATCCTCTCGGACGGCTTCCCGGCGGTACCCGTGCTAGTGCTTCTCTCCGCAGGTCGTGCGCGTTCTGACGGAGAGGGCTAGGAAATACTGATGACGGTAATGACAGCGTTGAACGAAGATGTGTTATTAAAGTTCGTTTCTTCGGTCGAGGCTTTCTGTCGACCCTACTCAAGAACTGGTACGTACACAGCACTACCAACAATGTCAGTGGTTCTCGTTCTCGCGTTAGCTTTCTGTGGAGCTTCCAGCGCTCCAACTCCTCAACAGAGTGGTGGAGTGAGCGGAGGTGAAGGTGGCAGTGGCGCGCAGTCCAGCGGCAGTGCTCTACAAGCAAGCAATCCCATGACACTGACCAGCGGCGGAAGTGCATGGCCTACCACCTCCTTACTTGGACCTGAGAACAACATTGTTTCCGTGACCACGGAATCGGCGAACCAGCCAACATATACGCTGGTGCCGAATCAGGAAGCCCCGGCAGACAATGGCATGATACTCGATTTTACAAACGAGGAATACCCACAGGCAATCAGGGGTGATAATGGGGCGAGTGACTTTACTGGATTCAATGCACCATATGATCGTCTCAATCCTAATGCCTTTGCCCGGCCTGGAACCGATGCAGGGGATTCGCCAAACTTCAAATGGCCAATGGGTCTATCGAGCGCTCGTTCCGGCACTGGTGGCGGCAACCCAGGGTATGCACGACAGCAAAACATTGATGAGCTTCCCATATCCCAGAGCATGGCTGGAGTTGGTACGTTCTCAGCCCAAGCCTGTTTTGCCCATTGCGGAGCGTTTACGGTGGCTTCCCTCCTTGCCAAATCTGACTAACAAACGTTTGCAGATATGAGACTAGCTCCGAATGCGCACAGAGAATTGCATTGGCATTCCGCGAATGAGTGGTCCTATGTCTTCAACGGCAGTGCGAGGATTTCTGCTGTAGACCCAGCTGGCCGCACTTACGTGGACGATATTCAAGCAGGCGATCTGTGGTTTTTCCCCGCCGGAACGCCGCACTCGATCCAGGCAAGCCCAGATGGAGTCGAATTCCTCCTTGTTTTCAGCCAGGGCGACTTCTCCGAGGACGCCACAGACCTTGTATCAGAGCTTTTCCTACGGAACCCCAAGGAAGTCCTAGCGAAGAATTTCCAAACAGACATCAGCGACTTTGACAACCTTCCCCAGGACGAGAAATACATCTTCAATGCGGCACCTTATCCAGAAAATCTCACAGAGGTTCAGCAGAGTGTCCTTGGACCGACTGGCCAGGTGCCCTCCGATCAAGCCTACACCTACCACCTATCCCAACAAGAACCTTTACAAGTTCCAGGTGGTACGATCCAAATCGTCGACCCGACAGTCTTCCCGGTGGCAGAAAACTTCTCCGTGGGATTTTTCACCATTGAGCCAGGAGCAATGCGCGAGATCCATTGGCATTTGACCTCTGACGAATGGAATTTCTTCCTATCCGGAAACGCACGAATCACGAGTTTCACTGCCCCCGAGTCATCGCGGACATTCGACTTCGAGGCAGGAGACGTGGGATATATCCCAGTCGAGAATGCTCATTATATCGAGAACACTGGAAACACGACAGTTAGGTACATGGAGGTTCTGCAAGCTCCTCAGTACCAAGACATGAGCGTTAGTCAATGGCTGGGTCTGACGCCTGCGAATGTGGTGTCGGACACATTGCATCTGCCGCAGAGCCTCATCAGTCGTCTGCCCAAGGTCAAGAACTACATCGTGCCTGGCAATGCGAACTACTCGACCACGAACTTCACCGTCGAGCCGTCGGCGGTTGTAAAAAGGAAAGAGCCAATGGGTTACAGCCGGAATTCAAGACTATTCTAAGTCTGCCCTGAGAAGTAGCGCTTCCGGGCGGCGGGATGATCCGTATACTAGGTACCCATAATAGCAGCTCAGTACTTTCAATCTAACTGTATAATGGCGCAGCAAAGAGTAACATGTTTCTCATTGTACTAATGTAATCCCAGGGTGTATTGTACACAGAGTGAACCCGTTACCACGAGTCACTTCCCGTGTATTCGGTGTATTCCAGAAGCCTAACCGACAGAGAACGATATTGGTTGGCCCTACGCGCCAAGTTCGTCAAAACCGGACACGTCGCAGCATTTAGATACGAAAGCAACGTCGTAACGTGCTGTGACTCACGGTACAGCTATAAACTACACCAATATTCGATTTAGTCATGGCACCTGCTGAGATCCTCTACTGTTCAGCACCTGCCCAGCATGAAGGTCGTCGTCGAGCCCTACAACCCCGCCTGGGCAACGCAGTTCCAAGAACTTAAGTCTGAGCTCGAACAGATCCTTAGTGGGGTCACGTACATCAGCATAGAGCACGTCGGGAGCACATCCGTGCCCGGCCTCGCTGCGAAACCCACCATCGACATATCGGTCATCAGCGAGCGGCAGGACATCCCCGCTGCTATTGAATCCTTGACGACCAAAGGCGGGTATGTCTACATGGGCAAAATGGGAATCCCAGACAGGCACGCATTTCGCAAACCGGGAGTGGCGCCGACGAGAAATCTGTACGTCTCGGTCAAGGGTTGTCAGAGTATTAGGAACCAGCTTGGAGTCAGAGATCTTTGTCGAAGTGATCCAGCCGTGAGATATGCTTATGAGAGGAAGAAGTTGGAGCTAAGCCGGCAGGAGTGGCGGAATGTCGACGAATACTGCGAAGCCAAAAACGACATCATCGCCTGGATGCTGAAGAAGGCGGGAATGGGCGAGGAGGAAAGAGAGGAGATCAGACAATTGAATAAAGTGAACGAGACGAAGGCGGGGGGGACGATCGCCTCGCTAAAGGTCCTCAGAGATCCTTTTGGCACCCGTCTAGCCCACGGCTCAATCCCCTCACCGATGTGCGCCATGGCAAGAATGGGCGAGGAAGCACGAGACCGGAACAAGTGTCTGGACGTGGCGACAACTTGGTGGCCGGATACCCTTGTGAACATTGTTTTGTGCATTCCTGATCCAATTTTTCCCAACGATAGTCCTGTAGCCCTTCTCTTCCTTTGGGAGCGTACGAGGTCCAACAGTGGCATGAGACTTTTAGCCAGTCGAGATGAATGAACCTGCTAAATCCTGCGAATACTGTGCACAGTACACAGTACAGCAGTACACGGTACAGTGCACATTTTTGACCGATGCCAGATGACATCAGTGGACTTCATATCCCCGAAGTTTGCTGTTCGTCACCACGCCTAACGAGGACGAACACTTGCAGGCGGGGCGAAGAATCGCGATGGCAGTCGATTTTGGTGGAGTTGCAGCATCACTCTGCATGTGGTGCAATGCCTCTGGTGACAGTCTTCTGCATGACATGTGCACACTGGAAAGATATGGGAGGATTGCGCGCAACAACTCTCGATCCTCAAGGCCTTCTTTGTCTCCATCACGATGATGCTGCTGAGGGGAGATAGAGCAAAAATGAGCAGCCCACTGACACCTGGCGAATGAGAGAGTTTTCAAGTGAGGGAAAGCAGTGGAAAATTCTGTGGGACATATTATGGAGTACGACCACACACCGAGACACCTCTGTGTGCTGCATGCACTTCGGCCCAATAACAAAGGCTAAGGCGTTAAGTGTAGTGGCGGCAGCTAACTAACCGAAGGATTTGGCGACGGCCAATGGGCAGCCCCAGGGCCCTGAGCACGACCCTTGGCTGGCATCATAAGCGTTGGGAGCGACAAGGGTCCATGGCCGTTTCAAAGCGCTCAAATTGGAGATTCGGCGAAGCGCGACATGCACCACGAACCATTTCTACGCCTTCGTTTGCCTCTGAAACACCTTCATCTTCCCAGCTGTTAGATATTCTTGGACAGTTCCCCTTGTTACATTCTCACATCAGCAACACATTCGCTCAGGATATTCTTTTAGTTCGTACAGACAGGTCTCCTTTACGCATCATTGTCTCTCACTGAAGCCCGTACACCTCCTGAACCGCACTCGCCTTTGTTCCCGAGCCGGAAATCCATTGTTTACAGAAATACTCCAGGAAAGCATCTTGGCAGGTCGTTCGACCAGCGGCTGTCAATCACTGCGGTCTTGCACCCGTATTATGCGAGCATACTTGTAAAGTTCTGCATTGCAGAGACAGAAGACCCTCGGAACAACATGTCGGCGGCTCAGACTCTGTACCCGCGCCAAACATCGTTCGCCCCAGATGCCAATCTTTCACCAGGAGAGCAGGTCCTCCAATTGATTGCCAACCCTTTTCAAACTTCAGTGCGTATGCCCACAGCTCCCACGGAGGCACACCCGCTAACCTCTTTCCCAGCTTCAAACCGGTGCCTTTTGGGCTTCTCTTGCAACATCACTAGGAATCAGCGCCGGTCTCGCGCTCCTTTTCTGCCTCATCCGCCCTCGAAACAACGTTGTCTACGCTCCACGACTGAAAAATGCAGACAAAGATCACGCTCCACCACCGATTGGCAAGGGGTTGTTTAGTTGGGTGGCACCTGTTAGGCAGGCGTCTGAGCCATTTCTGATGGAGAAAATCGGAGTGGATGCCGTGATCTTTCTGCGGGTCACTCGCATGCTGAGGAATATGTTCCTGGTCCTCGGATTGATCGGGATTGCCATCATGATCCCAATCAACATCACTCAAGGCAACAGAGCAATCACCGATGGGTTGGACGCCTTCGCCATCATGACACCCTTATTCATCTTTGGCGGTGGGTTGTGGGCTCAGGTGGTTATGGCATGGCTGATGGATTTGGTCGTGATCTACTTCCTTTGGTTTAACTATCGTCGAATCCTGAAGCTGCGCCGAGCTTACTTGGAAAGCCCGGATTACCAGAGGAGTCTGCACGCTCGGACACTGCTGCTCCGCGATATCCCAGGCCAACTTCGGAACAACGAAGGCATCGCACATGTGATCGATGAAGTCAACCCCACGGGTGCAGTCCCGAGAACCACGGTTGGGCGGAATGTCAAGGTCTTGCCCGACTTGATCGAAGAGCATGAAAAGGCTGTCCGGGAACTCGAGTCTGTCCTTGCAAAGTATTTGAAAAACCCAGACAAGCTACCACCGAACCGCCCAATGATCAAGGCACCTGGCAAGTACAGAGGTCAGACCAGCGGAGGCAAGGTCGACGCCATTGATTACCTGACCGACCGAATTCGAGCGCTCGAAATGGAAATTTCCGATGTGAGAGATCGTGTCGACAACCGCGATGCCATGTCCTACGGGTTTGCCAGCTGGGATCAGATTGCTCAAGCGCACACGGTGGCCTTCCAGGCACGGAGCAAGCGGCCACAGGGCACCAAGATCCAATTAGCACCTAGGCCGAATGATCTGATTTGGGACAACCTGGCACTCTCTCGAGCTTCCCGGAAGGCTAAGCGGATAATGAACGGTGTCTGGATCGCTGTTCTCACAATCATCTGGACCCCCATCAACGCAGGCATCGCCGTCTTCTTGTCCAATCTGTCCAACTTGGCTCTTGTCTGGCCGGCTTTCAAATCTCAGCTCGAGGCGCATCATGCGGCCTGGTCGATCGTACAGGGTATAGCAGCCCCTGCCATTACCTCGCTTGTTTACCTGCTGCTTCCCTCCATCTTCAGACGACTCCAGGTGCGCGCCGGAGATGTGACCAAGACTGAGCGAGAACGCCATGTCTTGCGAAACTTGTACAGCTTCTTCACTCTCAACAACTTGGTGGTCTTCTCGATTTTCTCCGCTGTTTGGCAGTATGTGACGATTGTGATCCAGTACAACAAAAACAACAACGACCTTTGGACTTCTCTGAGAGAGGGCCAATTCTTCCTGGTTATCACAACCACCCTCTGCCAGATCTCCCCTTTCTGGGTCACTTGGCTTCTTCAGCGAAATCTTGGAGCCGCGACTGACCTGGCACAACTCTGGCAGTTGACCTACGTCTGGTTCGCAAGGACGTTCATGTCACCCACGCCCCGACAAAATATTGAGTGGACGGCACCTCCAGCATTCGACTATGCCAGTTACTACAATTACTTCCTTTTCTACGCTACGGTGGCCCTCTGTTATGCAACGCTCCAGCCAATCGTGCTGGTCGTCACAGCATTGTATTTTACCATCGACACGTTTCTCAAAAAGTATCTCTTGATGTACGTGTTTGTCACCAAAACCGAATCTGGTGGCCAATTCTGGGTGACCATATTCAATCGGATGATTTTTGCCACCATCTTGTCGAATGTTGTCATTGCCGTTGTGGTGAAAGCGAGAGGAGAATGGAGCCTTGTCGCCGCAATCGCTCCTCTGTTGGTCATTCTGATCGCTTTCAAGTGGTACTGTATGAAGGCCTTCGATCTGGACCTGAAATATTATGCTCGTGGTGCCGCCCAAGATTCAGAACGTATGGCGGCCGAAGGCAAGGCTGGTAAGGCGGAAAGGATTTCTTCGAAATTCGGCCATCCTGCTCTTTACCAGCCTCTGATGACACCGATGGTTCACGCCAAAGCTAGACATGTCCTAGCCGAGATCTACCACGGTCGCCTCAACTCGGAAGCAGGACAATCCATGACTTTCTCCGACATTGCCATGCAGCCCATGAGCGAGACCAGCAAACCGCCTCAGAACGTTCCTTTCGAATTCGTTCCTGAGGCACAGCAAGATTTCCAGTTCTACAGGAACCGCGAGGATTTCCGATCAGAGGCTGGTGACGACTTGCTGTCCGGCTCGAGAGCTCAGACCCCAGCTCCGTCAATTGGGAAGAACGAATTTGGCTCGGCTCCAAGTACTCGGGACTCAAGCCCTGCCCCAACTGTTCCGCGTCAGCCTGTCCACCGCAAGCAGTTTGACCAGTCCAATGTGCCTGCCCAATTCCGAGTGAGTCCTGCCGCTCCTCCTGCCGGCAACCTCGAGCCCCGTCACGGTCCGTACACAGATCCATACGACGACCGCGCGAATTTGCTGGGAAGTGCGGGAGACATCAGGACGCCGAATGGAGAGTTCATGGCGTTGGATCAATTCCGGACACCCATCGAAAGTCGCGACGGCAGCGAATATCACGACAATACACCGAGAGACGAGTTGAGTTATGACTATTTCAGGAGCAAGAGGTAGGACACCTCACGGATGTTCGCTTAGAGTATTTCTTTTTTGGCTCTTGGTTTCAGAAAAGCCAACATAGACAAAAGCTGGCGCATTATGATGACATGAGATCGGGCATGATTGTGATGATGATAGAAGACACAATTGAGGACATTAGAACTACCTCCTCTCCACCTAATTACCATACCATGTTCCTTCTGACTGACAAACATAATCTATGAGTGCAGGGCTACCTCGTACCGTCTCCGAGCGCTCACTGAGTCACGAAGACGAGGTCTTAGCATCAATACGTGATTCAGTCGGGTTTGTCAACTTCCCCTCACATCTGGTTCTTCCCCCGGTCCTCTCCTTTGGCAAAGCAGTGCAAAGCATCGTTACGGATGTTTATGGTCGTCTTTCAGTCTTCTCCATGACGCAAAATCCATAGCACCTGTGAGCCTACCCGCTGGAGCCTACGGTCGAGTTTACCACCTCCCCCTTCCTGCCTTGGCCTGGTCTTGAGGCGGGGTCTTGCGAGGCAGATTACAAAAAGCCTGCCACGTGTTGCGGCGCCTGGGGGTTGAATCAGCCTCGGTGGCGCAGACAGGATGCATCCATGCAGCTGCTCCAAGCCGCCTGTTAGGAGAACAGAGTATGCGGCTTGGATTGGTGACGGCGCCAATGGGCCGCATGGATATGTGCCGCAGGTGCGAAGCGCCAGCCTTACTTCAGTGCTTGAAGATTTCCGAAACCTCTTTCAATCGTCGCAAACTCTGTCTATCCTGCTCTGCACGCAGACTGACAGGATTTAGAGTCAACACTCCTCGTAATGTCCGGTCTTGAGGCAATCATCGGCTTGACGGCTGGCGGAGCAGGTTTAGTCTCGTTGGCCTTTCAACTGACCGAGAGCACGATAAAGCTGAAAGGCATCTACCAGGCAGCCCAAAATGCACCGACTACCCTGTCAAGGCTGACTTTCGACTTGGAGACAATGGCCATGGTCCTACGTCAGCTCGACCAGCATCGCCAAGCAGGTACTCCCACTGAAATTCTCCTCGCACGCTGCATTATAGCGTGCCAACGGGGTACAGCCGAAATCAAAGAGCTGGTCGACAAGCTGGAAACATGTTTGGCAAGGCACAAAGACACGCGGCAAGCTATATACGGCTTTCAAACAACACGATGTCCGTGGGCTTCTAGATAACTTGGAGAACGCAAAAAGCTCACTCCACTTTGCATACACAATGTACTTGGCCGAAGAACAAAAGCTGCGCGACCTTGCGCACAGCAATATGGTGGCGGTCCAGAGTGCCATGATTGGCGACATGCAAACTCAAATGCTGATGCGGACTGCGAGTCTTTCGGATCAGCTAACATTGGTCGCGCAAGCATCCTGTCTTCCGCACCACCAACATGGCAGCGCAAATATCATAGGGCCAGTGGTTTCCAATTTACCTCCCCTGCCAGAGGACCAAAAGGGCTCTGTTGTGAATGATCGTACCGACACACGCAATACGACACGGAAAGGCGCCGGGCCAGAGAACACCAAGTCGCGCTTCCGGGTGACATTCCAGCTTCCTAATTGGATTTCGCGCCGAACATACGATATTGCCTTGCTTCAATTGCAGTGCGGCTGGGATGTGTTACTGCGAACATATAACACCGTCCCCTCTGACTCACTCATCTTTCGCTTCGTTAAACACGGAAATCTCGCAGGACTTAGAGGGCTCATTGTAAGCGGGAATGCGACACCACTAGATGTTCGGCCTAATGATTTTGGAGGTCTGATGGGGAGCTTTGGCCCCTGGCAAACATTGCTTGAGGTGAGTGACACCTAGGGAGGGTAATGCTAATGCTACCAGGATAATTTAACGAGTAATAGGCTGCTGCGATAGATGGACATGTTGATATTTGTCGCTATCTTCTTACCCAGGCCACTTGGCCGGACCATGACACTATTCTGGGTAGAGCCCTTGGTACTGTTAGCTGCGTGTACTGGTGTAGTTGGCATGACAGCTCTGAGTGGTACCGCCTATTCATGGCCGAACCAGACTTCGACGTTGCTCTCGACAACGGTCTTCGGTACGGATGGCTGCAATTTTGCACTACAGCGGAGACGATGGAAATCATACTACGCAGTCAAGCCTTTGCACTCGAGACGCGCCCCGTGGAAACCAGGTTTGAGCTAGCTTCAAGACTGGAGAGTATAGACGCTGCCAATTTCCTCAAATGGGTTGGTTTGAACTCCTCAGATCCAATGCTTGCCGTCCTGCGTAACAGCAAAGGGAAGACTGTGCTCCATGTTATTGCACACCATCTACGAATATACTCGGCCTGGAGCGATAAATACAGTCGAGATATCCAGGGATGGCTTGACCTCGGTGTTACTGTCTTGAAGAACGGGGCAGATCCGTCCAGTGTTGCAGAACAGGATGGAAAGCCATGGCTGACCAGTCCAGAGATACTTGAGACAGAGAATGGACCTTCGCCCCGAGCTCCCGGTTGGTCTCCTAGGGAGACGCTCTACACGCCCCTCCTTCTGGGCTTAGCCATGATTCCTTACTACGGTGACTTCGGGCACCCCGAATGCCTCAAGCACAAACTGCCATACCTGCGCCTGTGGTCCAAGATGGTGCAATGTGCAGGTTTGGACCTATGTGATTATGGCGCAAGTGAAAGTGAATTTTGGAGGTCGATTGTGGGCCGTCTATCGGACTCTGGGTCCGGTTACACGCCGTTCAAGGTGGAGCTTCTGTATGGAGCTACGCCAGAGGAATGGAGTTTCCAAGCCTACCATACGTGGTCAAACCCCCTCTACAGGCTACAACCACCGCCGGGAGCATTCCCTGAGTCGCCTTGGGTACCATCAACAATTGCATGGTTGCCGACACAGATGGAGGAAGATGAGGGACCCTGGACACTCGTTGAGGATAAGCAACACATCACCAACGATGGTGACATCACAGATTTGATCCAGCATTCGACAGAGCCTTTCGAAGACCTCATGGATTCCTATCAAGACGACGCCGGAGTCATCATGCTCATGCAGTACAGTGCCTCGCGCCGACGGAGCACTAAAGCGAGGTCACACAGCGAGCCTCCCTGTCTACGTCGGAAGGAGCTCGGTGACTGCGAAAGGCAAGAATCGTGGCGCTGGTGGTTGCCACCTTATCATTTTTGCCCCGAGCTTCCGTCTTGGAGGTTCGGCTGGACTGGAGGGTATGAAGACCCCTCCTTGATTTGTGATAGCATGTTAAGGCTGATGTTTCACGTAACCAGTTGTGTCAAGGGCATCCATACGGCGTGCTCGTCGGTTCAACAGTCGAGGAATTGGCACTATCACAGCTTCCTGGCGGAAATTGCCGACTGCCAGAATGACGTCGTCTGTACTGGAAGCACTACATATCATCACCCTCGTTGCCGTTGGCCAGCGGGCTGCAGGAATTTCCACCTTGAGCGACTGAATGTACCTGAAGATCTGCGTGACGATCACCCTCGTCGCCGGTACTTCCCTAACGATGAAGACAACGGTGAGAATGGCGGCTCTGTAGAAGGATAAGTCTACGAGCGGAGGTTGGAACTTCACAGCCTTATCTCATAGCTAGAAACGTCTGGTATATACATTGCCTCGGAAAGTCAAAGCAGTCGTGGCATCCCGGTCGTGCCTTACAACATATGATACCATCGACTCCTACACGAGACGACTGCCACAAGTCCTATAGGCTCCCCCAATCTACCAAGAAATTGGCGCTCAACGCCTCCACTGTAACGTCGGTTCGGAACCCTCCTATCACGCTCTGCACGCAAGCCGCACCCGAAACGACCTTACCAGACAGTCTATTCTTCACCCAGGGGAGGCCCTTCGCCGGGTTCGCTTGTATGAAGGGGAAGTGGTCCGTATTCCGGTATGTGACAAACTCGAGCGACTCTTGCTTGGGCAGGTTGCACGTGTCGTTGACCAAGGACGACAGCTGGCGGACTGATACGATCTGGTCAGCCTCACCAGTAAGCACAAGCAGCGGACCCTCAAACTTCCGGCCGCGCTTGTGCGATATATCTGCATATTTTTGGACAATGGGATGCGTGTTGTAGCCTGACTGAACAAGTTGGTCCGGAGACACGTCCGCAAACACCTGGCTTGCCGAGGGTAAGCAACCCGACAAAGGCACCAGGACATTCATCCAGACATCGTTCGATAGCGGCATCATGTTGGAGTGCGGTGGAGGAAGGAAAGGCGGCGGAGACGGCAGCGACGAGCACGTGGTGCTGCGCTGCGATGAATGGCGCTTCCGCGTTCACGGCTTGGGCCAGCACTCGTGCAAGCAGTTAGAACTGGCGTGTCGGCGGCGGTGCGATCGCCACAGTCCCCTTGTATCCGGCTATGCTCGTGTTGGCCATCCGCTTGGAGAAAGAAAGCCTAGGCTGCGGCGACTCCGCCCTGAGACTGCCCTACAGCGGCGAAGGCGTTTCCCGCAGATAAATTCCACGGGGAAAGCCTCGCGAGCAGCAACGACTACATTGGCGAGATCTACAGCCTCATACGGCCGTGCAACCCAGTTATAATCGATGCTCTGCCTGCCGCGAGTCCGACATGAACGGGAGCAACCACCGCCACCCCCTGCAGAGCCAGGATACATGGAGCCATGAAGTGGTACTGCAGGCTGCGGTAACTAGCTGCTGGGTGCACATGCTCCGGAGAAGCCAGTGGCCCCATGGGCCTACTGGGAGGCCACCACCAGCGGCAACTGGCTCTTCTTCAGCGCCTGCCGAGACGCTTGCCTGTCCTCCCGTCTCCAATGCCATTGACCCCTTCCAGACAACAAACAGCTAAATTACAAACTCTCCCACGTCCTGCGCAGCACGTCATCTTCATTCTCACGCGGAGCCTGGTCTCTATGCTCGTTCCCATCAAGCTGCATCTCTGACGGATCGACCTCCACCTCCACGCCCAGTGCGCGCATATGCTCCTCCAAACGCCTCTCCAGATGCCGATACAGCGCGATCAACCGTGCGCATTCGTTGTGCGTGAGTGCGTCTCTTAACAGACTGCCTGTGCGGTGGCGCTCGAGCTCGTCAAAGTCCCGGAGTACTTCCTCGATGTGGTCTTCGAGGCGGAGGTATGCGGTCATATGGTGGGTGTGATTGTCGTTGTCGTGGTTGTCGTGTTGGATCATGTGGATGTTTGTATTCGCGCTGGGGCTTGAGTCGTTGTTTCTGGCGGTGTCTGTCTCTGGGTCGGTTTCAGCCGTAGGTGGGTAACTTTCTGTCCCCATTCCCCTGTCTACTCCTGCGTCCGTCTTTGAATTCGCCTTTGTGTCCGGGGTCCTTCGAGAGCCCGTCCCGCCCCGAAGCCTGGCGTTTCTTTTGGAGATTTCCTTCGAGCACGGCATGAGGACGTTGTCGCCATCGAGTTCCTGGACGGGCACTAGTCGGGGAGCGACTCCGAAATGCAAGCTCCTGACATCGGATTTGCGGCTCTGGTGGACTGATGTTGGTTCAGATGATGGCTCTGGCCCCTGCCGTGGTTGTGGCGTCGTCTCTGACTCCGACCTTGTCCTTGTGCGTGTGCTCTCACATGTCTGCACTTCATCGAAATCGAGCTCCAACCGCAGATGACCACGATGGCATGGCCCACGTCCCTGGACTACACCCTTGCAAAGCACCGGATCTGACGCCTCCCATGCGAGCAGGACTTTCGGGGCCCGGGATGACGGTTGGACGGCATTTAGAGCACCAGACGGCTTGTCAGGCGAGGCTTTATTGGTGTGAGACGGTCCCTTGACGCCGTCGGAGACGCTCCACCACAAAGATCCCAGCTTGATGGCCACGAGAGCGATGAGGAGGCAGGTGTGCAAGGAGAGATACCAGGCTATGATCGTCGTGTGGTTGCTGGGAGGCGACGCATCCGGATGCTGGTGGGAGATCATGACCTCGGACGGCTGGTGAGACTGGGCCGGTGACATCCTAGCGGCCATCAGATACGTGGCTGGTGAAGAGACGATGGGTGGAATGGAACGACGACTGAAGGACCAATTTGGCTGAGTTCGGATTGCACTCAGTCGCTTTGGGCCCTCGTTGCAGCGGTGGTGGATGTCCCTTCATGATTGCTCGGTGCTGAGAATTTATGGATGTGACATGTTGGTTGGTGCTGAGTTTGCTGAACCGTGGTTTGTGTCTTGTTTAGTCAATCGCTCATTGTGCAAACGATGCGTGCGTGCCTTCGCTTTGACTGATGGCTTGCTGATGATAGGAAATCAACTGTCCCTGGCTAGCTATATCTTCGGTAGTACTGTGATGTGCTGTGTGGACTGCTCACTTGTTGTTTGTCCTGGTGTGTGTCGCTTTTTGTATACTGTACCTGCGCTTGTGGCGAGTTCGTTTCCACCGAGTGTTCCTTGATGTGGACTGGTAATGACCACCATATGGAGATGGCAGCAATGGACCGGACCGACTGCCGGACTGTCGGGAATGGACGGAATCATTGGAAGGTTTGCAGGAATGAAATGTCATTGTGTGGCCATGTCATTGCGCGTTCACTGGTGAAATCGACACGTACCCCAGAGACTTGGTCACGTTGCGCTGAAGCGATTGATTGAACGATCCTTGTCCAGTGTCAAGCCGGAGGTGTCAGAGATTGTATGTTCATTCGATTGCTCTTCCTGACGCGGAGCTCATGAGCCAAGGCGGGCCGCACTGACTTCATCAACAGCCACAAGTACGGCGGATTTGAGTCTGGTTCCCGCGATCAAGCCTTTGCTCGAATATCCATGGTCACTGTCTCGAAAACTCCTGACTGAGGCAACGACCGCTGAAATCGACACAGACATACTTTGTCGCTGATTCTACCTGCATACACTATCAAGAGCCATTCGGTAGCTTCTCTCCGTTGCCCTAACCTATTCTGCTTCTCATTCCTCAGACTTTACCTCTTCAAAGGTGTTTTCTTGTTCTTCGTCTTGACCGACGCTGCAACAGTCTATGCCAGCTGCCGTAAGTGAGCCGGCTTGTGATCAGTGGAAACAGAGGTCGACATCGTGTAAGTCGCAGCTCGTCTGGAACTTGAAGTGCCCAGACTTGACACATGGGAGACAGAGCCCACCAATGGCTTGATAGAGCTGCCAAATGGTTTCTGGGGGAGTGACATCCAAATGTCTTACCCGAAAGCGGCCACAATCAATATTTAGGTGATTCGTGTTGTTGCCCTGCTGGCGCTTCGGCAGATCGTACATATCCTTGACGTAGGAGCCGAATAGACTTCCTATTTGTAGGAAGGGCTCACCTCTCCGATCCTCCCGCAACCAATTGATGTTCTTGGTTATGACCTCACGATGCCATCTTTGATCTTGCGTGGCTGAGGCGCACTTTCCACAACCCAATGGACCCTCACCATGGTGATCCGGATAGAAAACCGTGGGCAGTCTCGAGACCAGATCCCTTCTTAGCCGTAGCGCTTCTCTCCTGAAGTTCTCCGCGTAGTCAGATATCCCGGCAACATCCAATGGGCCCAGCTTTTCGATCTCTCCGTATGTCACCGACCACATAATTGCCCGAGAGGCTTTGGCGAATATGCCACACAGGTTGAGTAGGTATGAAATTTGCAGGATTTCTAACAGGGTGTTGGGTACAAGCGACTGCACGGCAGTAGTGGTCACCGGCAGCATGGCTGTGAATCCGAACAACGGGGGATTTTTTGGAAGCCTAGCATTGAGCGACTCAAAACACCACGATGGGAGGCGGCCAACGAAGAGGTACTTGTCGCAAAGTAGGCCGACCTGTTTCAGATCCACTCTGGACGATAGGCGGACCACATCACCTTCATGACAGAAATGAAGAAACGTGACAAAGTTGGTGAAACGTTCCTCTAGCACGAGGGGGTTGGAAGTGGTGAACACGCGTCCCTGTGCCCAACGAGTACTGAACTGCGAGCGGAAGTATTGTGAAGTGCGACCCAGAGCGCGAGTAGAGACTCGGACCAATACAGTCGCGTCGACTTGGAATGGCGAGTTGACCGAGATGTATGCGTCGCCTTCCGCCGCCACGTCGTAAAAAAAATGACCTGACCGACCAACGATGTCCCCAGCTGGATACCAGCCATTGACCCTGGTGCCAATTCGTCTCGCCATGTTGGACTTGCTTGCGAGCCTATTGTTCTCTCAGAGGGCGGGTGACGATTGGTTAGAAAAGCTCCTTGTTGTGAAAGGTTGCTTTGCAGCAAGGGTAGAGTTACTGTGTTCGAAGGGTCGAGCCTGGAGAAGGAGTCGTCAGCAGAAAAGGAGGATAAGCGGATGCCTTTCACGGAAAGTGAGGCAGTGGCTCACCACGTCCACAGAAACAGGGCAGTGGCATGTGAAGTAAGGAAGTCGTCGAAGCAGTTGACGCGCCATGGGCTTCACATCACACGCGTACCGAACTGCCTAACAACCAACCGAGAAGTGAAAGGACAAACACAGCAGGTTAAGTGGCTCAGCTACAGCGCACTCTCACGGACTGAGAGCCTGGTTTGGTGCTGTATCATGCGGCTGAGGCCTTCGAGTCCAGTAGAAGTCATTGTAGCCGCATCACCTCTAAATACTTTGGCCGCTGTGCATGATGGCAGTTCCAGCTATTCAAGGGATCGACCATTCCGCGCTGCTTGTAACTGGGCAACATATAGCATATCTGGAGGGAGATTCTTCCCTTTCGCTGTCATGGCAAGAAGAAGCTTCGGCAATGCTAGATTGGATTCGAACATTGCGGTATGCCGTTTGAAGGGAGCTTTGGCTGCCGCGTGTTCAGGTTGATTAGCCATCCCAAGTGAGATGCTCTAACCGTGATTAGATGACAATGCATTCTGAGGATGAACACCGCGCAACGTTCTTGAGATGTTTGACTCCGAAATGGGGCTTCAATGCCTCAACCTGGTCCTTTAGCAGAGTGTCTGCAGCGAGCTGAGAGAGATAGCAAGAAATGTAAGATAAGAAAGAAGATTTGTTGAAAAATTGGAAGTGGCCCAAGCATGTCTTGGCGTCCGCGGCGTCTCAAAAGGGACTCCGTAGGCAGGGACCAGCTCGGGAGCATGCCTTATTACATACCTATGAGCCCCTTTCCTCACCGTGGCTTCAGTCTCAACGCACTCTCAATTTACCCCTGGATGTTAGGATTCAATATGCTACATTGTACTACCATTGATATCCCACAGATTCTGCTTGTCATTCGACACAAGTCCGTCAGATCATCTTGCTCTACACAGCTCGATGCACGACGCTCTACCCTCCACTTACCAGCATACGCCACGATGAGATCCCTTCCATGTAGTTCTATCTCCGCGCTCTAAACCGCAAATCCACTTGGTTCCCACGGGCAAAGATACTCGTAAGTGTCTTTTGAGGAGATGAAGGTCGCGAGGCCCTGACTCCGTCAGCACGATGGGCGAAACGAACTCGAGCTGAGATTGAGACCAAGTTGAAGTGGGATTAGGCTTTGAAAGTGGTTGTGGTAGTGACTCCGAGGTAAGGTTGTGGAGATGAGAACCTCTCCTCGCGTGTATGGAGTATGGGGCGAAGCGTCCGGCTTGTGGCGCGTTGAGGTTCGGTTGGGTTCGACTTCACAGGCAGACATGGGCAATACAGTAGTTCTGCCCCGCCAAGCCTGACCAACGTCGGTGTTGACCGATTGAGAATGTCTGGACTGGCCGATCACCGGGTGCCTCCGTGTTTTGCCCGGGGACGGATGCGTCGTAGATACTGTATGATGCTGTTCACTCAGCGCGGAGGAAGCGCAGCCTTGAGACATAGAGCCCTGCGTTGGACAAAGCAAGCGTAAGTCAATCCGTCCTTATTCGGGCACTGTCTCCGATCTTTGGCTGTGGTTAGACGCCGTCCTGCGAACCATCCTCTGTCATGTCGAAGGCCGCATGGCGTAGCGTGCCTGCCAATCCTTGTAATTACCGGAAGGCTCTTCATATCCCGTATATAATGGATGCACTATTAGATGCCTGGAAGTGCTAACGACTTTGTCAACATGCAGCTCCCACACCAGTTGCGACCTGTCTTCACGACGCGTCAAGGTAACCACAGCGCCGCGAGCCCCATAGGCCCCATAGAATTGGATGTTTAAACCTCGACGCCGACATCCTTTCAGTGCCCATCCCTCATCAGGACAGCTCCGGCGATCTATTCGGCCTTCATGGAACGCATCCCATGAATACGTGTCTAGGGAAGAGCTTGACCAGTCCCAGTCACTGCCCGGTCGTCTAGCTCGCTTCATTTCGTATGAGTTCGAATCTCCCAAGAAGCATATTGGATTAAAGTCGAAGTCAAAGCCAAGGACAATCCACCGGAAGTGCTCATGCTCGGCTGAGAAATTTATTGTCACAACACGGCCCCAGCCACAGTCACCAGGTTGCAAAACCGCAGTGCGGCTGCTTGGTGAATACTGTGTGGCGATAACTTCGGCAGATGATGGCAGCCAGCCGGGCGCAATTTTGAAGCCATATATACGGCTCTTGAGGCAGTCTCCGTCCCAAGTTCTATCCAGGGTCTGACGGACGAATAATCGCCGCTCCTCCATCAGCCTGTCATGTGGACGCGGAATGCTGTCTGCGGCACGCCATAGACCTCTTCCTGAAACACTCACCCTCGTATATTGATCATCTTCGTTGAGGCGACGCAGAAAGATGCCCAACGTGCTGGATAGCGACGGATGAATGCGCTCAGCGCAACCAAGGCCTGCGAGATAAGTGTCTGCGGACCAAGGCGTGATCTTGAGTTTGATTGATAAACCACGATTTGTCATCGAGAAAGGTTCACGCCCTCTAATAGACATAATAGATTTGAACCCTCCGCTCTTTGAAAAGCATGTAGGCGCCGGGGCGAGCAAGCCAGAAGTTTCTTTTCCGCCCATGGACCAGGCAAAGATAGAGTGGTCGTCATTGTATTTGATAATCTCCTCTTGGAGTCGAAGAAATGCCCGGTCTCCTTCGCCATAGAGCAGTGGCATGTTGACCCCGAACAAGCCCATCAGACAATACGCGATATCTTCTGCGCGAGTGGTCTCTCGGTCTGCCGCCCATGACATCTTTTGAGCAACGGAATATCGACTGAGATCCCTGGTCTCTAGGGCTGCCGATTCAATACCAGTTGTGCGTGAGATGACGCTTGCCAAAGACTTTTTGTCGCCCAAAAGCTGCCACTGTCGATCGTAGAACATGACTTTCGGCGGGGCAAGTAATTCCTGCAGAGTCCAGCCTCGCGTGAACCACTTGCTCTTAGGGAAGGTTTCCTGCCAAGTATCTTTGTCGACATCGTGGAGATAAACATAGCAGTACTCTGCGCCTTGATACCATCGATACATTGAATTGATCGCTTCGCTGAGTTCGGCGGTGCTCTGTTTGTCTATGCAACACGTGTCAATCCATATGTACTTGAGACCATCACTCTTGGCTTGCTGGAGGCTTCCCCAGAATTTGATATGATTTGAGGTTCGTTCCGAATTCCTGGACTGAATATCCGGGAACAAGATCTCGTCTTTTGTCCAACAATGAGACAGCACCGCGTATCTGGGCTCTGTTTGGGCCAGCGCATCCTCCAGCGAACCTGTATGAGTGTTTATGAGGCGCATGTTGTGCAGAACTCGTCCGAGATTGCAAAGAGGAGGAGCCGGTTCGATCTAGTGTTTGTACTCTTCTCCTCTGACATGTCCTAATCGTTTTGCTAGTTAGTGTTGTGCCGAAAGCAAATACTCAAGACAGCACTGTCGGCAGGCCTGCACGCAACGGGAGACGCGCATCATCCGCGGAAGGGCTCTGGAAAGAGCACTAATACTTCCTAATTATATCTGAAGCGTAGTCCGACAACACCAGCAAAGTAAAGAATAATTCATGATTTCACGATAGCAACCTGCGGCTGACTGAGTGAAGGTCGAGACCAACGTTCCCCGCACGAGATAAGGCTGATTGAGGCTGATTGAGGCTGAGATCCAGGCAGACGTGTACTCCGTATAGAGATCTGTGTCAGACGAACCAGGTACTGCCCGAATCGAGAACCGGTGAGTCGATTGTAACTGGTAACGGATGGTCAAGGTCGATTGGTAGATGTTACAGCTGGCTACCAGGGAGGCTTGACGTGGTTACATATACTGTTCAGATGGCACCAATCCGCGATCCAGAAGAGACAAGAGAGTGACATGAGAAAGCGGGTTTTGCAAGTCCCTGTCTTTTGTAGGGAGGTCGCACTCTAGTCTGCCACGAACGGACTCGGCCAGGCTTCCAAGATGGATATGCACAATGCAAGGCAAAACGCTACGGCAACTGCAGAACCATCCGTGATGCACACAAATTCCCCAGATAACCCTACGGTACAGTCCTAGTGGGCTCGACCGCTCGACTTTCTCAGATCTGACCTGAATCAGAGGGATGTTCGAGGTCGTCCGGAAAGATCATCTCGTACTAGGGCTTCCGCGAGGGAGGGTGTGCGATGTACTCGAGCGGAGCGAGGGTCTTCCTCGTGGAGGCCACGGTACCTTGATAGTACGCACTACTGTAAATCGGAAGTGCGTTACATCGTACCAGGTACCTAGCCTTGTCGCCGACGAGGCTGTCGATGTGGAAGTCACTTGTCTCGTCTTGGCACGCCTCGACGTCATCGGCGGCATGAAAGCTACAACGGGCACACTCATGACTCGTAGTAGGTGTTCCTACACAATGCTCGCACGGACTTGTGCACGACGTCGTTCGTCCAGCTGAATATCACTCACCTCTCGAACTTCGCAAGCGCTGTCTAGCACCCTCTCCACCACAAACCGTGCCTCTCTCCAAAAATTCAGCACGCCCAAAGTAATTACACAATACCCAGGACGCAGCACGGAACCTTACCTACGCAGCTATACTCCGTATTTAAATCGAAAACGATGCCAGACCCCCAGATCCTCTCGATATCGGACCTCTCCACGTCGGAAGCAAAATGGGTGGCCCTCAAGAAAGTTGACTTTGTCGACCAAAAAGGCACGCCTCGCTCCTGGGAGATCGCCGTCCGCAAGACGACCTCCAAATCCGGCGTCGACGCCGTCGCCATGGGGAATATCTTCGTGCACCCGTCGAAACCCCCGGCAACACTGCTCGTCATTCAGTATCGACCTCCCGTGGGGAAGTACACGGTCGAATGGCCCGCCGGGCTGATCGATGAGGACGAGACGCCCGAGGAGGCCGCGATCCGAGAGATGAAAGAGGAGACAGGCTACGAGGGGAGGATTTTGGACTCGAGTCCCGCTGTGGCGAGCGATCCGGGGCTCACGAACGCCACGCTCAAGCTGGTCATGATGGAGGTGCAGTTGAGTGCGGGTGAGGCCGAAGATATCATGCCGGAGCAGAAGCTCGATGACGGGGAGCTGATCGAGCGGGTGATGGTGCCGTTGAGTGAGCTGTATGAGCGCTTGCTGGGCTGGGCGGCGCGGGATGACTTCATGATTGCTGGGAAGTTGTTTTACTTCGCGGCTGGGATGCACTTTGCGAAGAACAGCGGCTATATTTGAAGGTGCACAAAATCAAGGGGAAGCAAGCATTTGACGACTGTTTGATCGACCGATCGACCGATCGACGGAACAACGGACCGGCGACATTAATCCTGCCAGGCTTTATGGCATTCCCGAAAGGCATCCAGGGTTAGCCTCCGAGCAACGCGCGCCGCCATCCAGGTGTGAAGGGCCTGGAAGCGTGGGTTGTCTGCCAAATGACAAGCTCGGTCGCGGCCATACGCAGAGCTGAAGGCCATCATGACCCGTATAACCGGACGTTGTGGGAATTATGTTGCGGCTCTACACGTGGTAGCCGTTTGTCCATAACCACAGGACCGTCCATTGCGGCTACGTTTGGGCACCTAGACACTATTGGAATCTACACAGCGCGTCGGCACTCCGCCACCATGCAATTCAGCATCAACATCGCGATTCCCCTTGTATCCGACTCCAAGCCAGCAACTCCGACGCCCGTGCGGCCTGACTGGCATCTCCAAGGCAGGTCGCATGTCCCTTCTTTGATCTTCTACTCCCTGAAAATGCACATACTACTTCCGTGGAGCAGCACAATCTGCGCCTTGTACGAGGAGCATGGATTTCATGACCGTGTTCACGGTCGCGCTATCCAGTCATGAAGGTATTGGAGGTATGGCCGGTAAAGCCGTGAGCAGGTCATCATCCAATGGCCCCGAGCAAAGCCAACGCATCTGAGACACCCATAAAAATAGTACTGGCAGGCTTTCTCTGATGAAATTTGTCCCGTATTCGATATTGGACAATCCTGTATTGAATTTGTCAGATCATCGGCCTGACCTCCACAGTCCGCGGGATTTTTCATTGATCGCTGTTCAAGCCCTTGCAGGCGGTTCGTGCGCGACGCTTGCCATGTTTCTGTGGAGACCGTACAGAGTCCAAGCCGGTCATATCTCTCGGGCCTTCCTAGACTTCAGGCAACAAGAGTGTTTGGCTCAATATGGTAGTTGCCTCGGTCTTAGTTCCGTAGAACCCGTGACAGCAGAAAGAGCCGTGTCGGGATATACCTCGTGGACACCACATTTGACGCCAGCGAGTCTAGTGAAATTCTTTCCTTCCGCCCTGACGCAAGGCAAGCAAAACCCATGAGTCTTTTCCAGGAGCTCTTTAGCTGTCTCTTTGACCATATAGGCAGAATCTAGCTTGCAGGTATCACAGCGCCAGTCTTCACAACACATCTCACCACCCTTGAGCATTTCGGCAACCTGAATAAGCAATTCGACGGCCGCCTTGACAGGTGTACCAACAAGTGACTTCCCTCCGTTCCCAGACTGGTTCCAGAGTCCGATTGCATGCACGGCGCTAATGTACCTGGCTTGTCTGGGTGACTGAAGCATACAGACATCCGGAATACCAACTTCGGTGCCGTCGGGAAGGGTTATGAATCGGCGAATCTTTGATGGAAGAAACTTGCCTACCAGATCCGTGCATTCGCGCCGGATTGCCTGCAGGCGCGCCATCTGCGCTGCCTTGACTGCGTCGACAAAGCCCTCTGGCAACGTGTCACCAAGTCCTGCCCTAAAGGCCTCTCCAGACTTTGCCATTGAAAGGTACTGTACTGCTGCTTTTGTGGACTCATAGAATACCTCAGGGACGTCAAAGAGATAGGATGCTCGAATGACTGCGGCAATGTCCTCTCCGAATGTTGCGTCGGTTGGCGGCAGCCTCTGAAGCAATTGAGAATGAAACCAACTTGCAGTGGCGCTTTGGCAGCCGTACATGTCACTGAGAGTCGCCACTCTGACGAGGTGTTCAAGATGTACGGGCTGTTGGGCAGCTCTACCGTGATGAATGATCTGGCACAGTGTTGTCATTGCCTCAACATCCTCCACGTCAAGGTCCAGAGTCGGAGGATTCGTCTCGCTCAGCGCGAGCTGACCTTCCTGGAAGTTGCCTTTCAGCATGGCTTTGAAAAAAGGGGACACGAGCGTCATGATGGAGGTAGATATCCGCAGCTGCCTAGCCTTCTCTGGAGTCTCCATCTTGCCGATTTTCAGAAGAAGGTCTCCGTTGGGGTCGAGATTGATGACCGTGTCTGAGGCTGTAGCTGAAGAGTCGGAGGCCATAGCGCAGGTGGTAGAGATGATCTGGAAGGTGTGACAAAATTATGAGACTGGGTTTGAGCTGTTGACGAAAGAAGATCTTTCGGAAGAAGATCTTTGAGAAGAAGGCTTTTTCAGTGGGAAGAATAACAGAAGTGAAGTCAAAGAGTGAAGAAAGGGCAACCAGAGCAGCAGGCAGCCGGTCGCTTGTTGCGACTCTGCCACTGGTAGCTACAGTGAAGTACAAACGGCATTTTGATACACTCCGCAACGACTCAAACAACGGTCTGAAGATATCAAAATCACTCAGCTGTAGGTAGATGCATGGATTCAGGTTAGAGAATGTCAGATTTGCAGCTGGAGATTGATGCGTGCTGAGGGCAGAAGGACTGAGTACCTGGTCGGCAGTACTACGTGCTCAGTTCCTAGCCAATCTCTTGGCACCCTGGGTTCTCAATATCAATGCGTCTTGGCTCTTCGATGACCAACTCCGTAACGACGGGGCGTAGCCGCTTTTTCAGAACATAATATCTATGCAGTACCCCTTTCGACTCTGTCAACCCCCCATCATACCTTTTGTCTTCACATTTTGTACAAAGACTATGAGAGAGATGAGAAGAGATGAGAAGTCATGAGTACGTTTGACGGCCAGGGCGTTGATGAAGTTTGGAGCGATACATTGTGGAGGAAGTGAGAGGGAGTACTCTATGTGAAAAGGTGGGAACACTTTCGAGACACCTTCTATAAACCGGCCTGGCAAATTCTCCGGCGAGTAAGGACAGCAACTGGTCGGGTTCGGCGACAGGAAACAAGCAGTCCAAAACACAAGAGGCGCCAGATGAGCCTCAGAGCAGGATTGACCACGGCTGCGGCTGGCGATTTCTGGACAGATTCAGGCGCGTAGCGGTGGATTCTCAAGCTGCTGGGATCTGTCGCACCATTCACATGCTCAAGTCATTGCTGTATGACCACTTCGTCTGCACCGTACGAAGACTGAGACAGATCTGCCGTATCTGTCGACCACTATGTTGAGGCATTGCGAAACAGCGCATGCCTTGGGGCCTTTCCGATCTTGACTTGAGCCTGTCCTGATTAGATTTTGTGATAATACCGCCCGTGAGGGACCCATGGCAGAAGCGAGAAGTCGAGCCTCGTAACAAGAAGCCTAAGCCCCATGCACCGACATGACCACTGTGAACCCATTCTCCCTTGACGCCGCCACAAAGTTCCATTACTCCCCTACGACCAGATACTTTCCTTCCTCCCCGACTCCAGCTCCTCAAGCTGCTTCCTCAACACATCCGCCCGAAACGACCTGAACGCCTTTTCAATCCGCTCTCTTCGGTCGGGATCCGACGTGATTGTCCTCCTGGCCGACCACGTCCCGGTCAGTAGGCCCGTCTCACCTCCCAGAAACACCCCAGCAATGCTAAAGAACGTGTATGTCATGACATCGCCCAGGCCTGTCGGCTTCAGCAGCGGTGTGATATCCGGGATGGCTTCTTCTCGACCACTCGCGAAGCGGATGTGCGTGGGCTTCTCGGCCGCACGGAAGGCTTGGTACATGGCGTTGCGGTTCGCTCGTATCCGGAAGGCAAAGTACCCGCCCAGTGCCAGGCCAGCCAGGGAGCCGATAAGGGCGTGTGTCGAGGCTTTGGTTGCCGCGCTCTTGACGAGGTCGCGGTCTTCTTCTCGGAGGCTAGGTAAGGCACATACGTGAGCCGGGGGGTCCCTGGAGCAGAGGATAGTAGCGGGACATTCGGATTCTCTCACTCACTCATGCTTGAAGTGCTCCTCTGCGAGCTTTGCTAGTTCCTCGCCCTGCGTTTTCCGCAGCGCCGCGAATGCTTCTGCGGACATGGCGGTAGCGGATCGGGGACTTGTGGCCTAATCGTGGTAAGTTGAATTCTCACTCTGAGGTTCGTCACGCGATATGTGTAGAGAACAGCTGGGATGCAAGTAGCTTTAGTTTTCTGTTGAATCGAAACAATATCATCAGACCACGGCCACGCACAGCTCAATCAGGGCATCAATGAACTGACTGCGTCATCGCAGGAAGCTCTCAATCCGGAAAGCTCGGGACAAGATTACCGAAACGCCGGTGATGATCGCGCATGGCCCAAGCTCCACTGGTCGTGAACTCCTCCGTAGAGGCTACTGCCGTCGCTGTGCCAGCTCTTCGGTACATTGTGCTCACTAAGGTACCAGACACCCAACAACTCATCTACCCAGACAACAGAGCCTACATCGCCACGTCTACACGGGCTGGAGAATGTCCCACTATGAACACAACTTTGACTCCCTTGCTCCCCAAAGGACACATGTCGAAAACCTTATTAGGGAACAAATCAGCCCATTCCTTGACGTATCTCGACGACTTCAACCACTGTCGATCGAAAGCCCGAGCACACGGTAAGTGCGCAAGTGCTTACAGACCAGGGAGGAAAGCTTGACTTTACTGTCCTGTGACACTCTTATGCTTGGCTGGAGTTGACACACCGTGACACTGGCCACTCACGATGGCCACAATTCTGACAGCTGGCGGGGTAAATACATGACGCGCTCACACAGCCTTCTTCTGAGTTCCCGTCTTTGGTGATCTCGTATCTCACTCCGCTACCACATTTGGCGTGAAAGAGCTCCTCCGGTTCGAAATCTGCCTGACGGACGTCCGAGCTGCTTAAAGAGAGAAGCAGTAACTCCTGCTCATTTAGGTATGTGGGATAGACATGCAAAACGTGGTACCGATGCTGAGGGTCGCAGCGAGGCGTGTCCCAGCCGCACAAACTCCCAAGATGGGCCCATTAATTTTGATCCCCGTCATGGTTATCGGGGCGGGCGTCTGCATCGGCATATTCGCAAATTTCTCTGGAAGTGGATCCAAGACCAAAGAAGAGTGGGGCGCATGTATCACTGGGGAAGGAAACGCTCTACACAGGCTGGAAACACGAGAGCAGCATGAGTTCTGGTGTCCTTACTATCCCGACAATCGGCGGCGTAGTTGGTAACGCCCAGAAGGTGGTGGAGTACTCGGAAGCATGCCGTCTTGCGTGCGAGTAGAAACCAGGGAGATTACCGCAGGGCTAGAGGCAAGAAGTCGACTTGCTACAGGATGGGAAAAGGAACGAGTTCGACGCTGGAGAGAGCAGGGAATACACGGCAGAACCAGGAATCATGCTATTGTGTGAGCACGATATCATATCGCAAGGCTCCGATATATCCGGGCTCGTTCAGATGGGGAAATGTCCGATTCCCCAATAGATCCCATCGCTTTGCGGTGTTGCTGCTGTCGAAGTGGACAGAGACGGCGCTTGATCAGCAAGTGTACGGTCCGAATCAACAGTATATGCATCCGCGTTAGGTTTCAGTAGAACAGCGGGTGGTGTGGGCGCGATCATCGTCGTCTGGCCAAATCCTGCCTCTTGGGCTCTGCTGAGTAAGTGCTTGAGGGAGGCAACAAGGAGCTTTACTTCGCGTGATGATTCGGAATCCTTGGACTGGAGCCATACAATGTACGCACTGCTCAGTGCGTGGAAGACCCGGTCGCGCATTCGGTTACTGGCATTGCCCCCATCCTCTGAAGCAGTGGTACCATTACTTCCCCACGCCAGATCGACAAGGGATATTTCTTCGGCAAGTTCCGCACAGAGGATGGCTGTTGCGAACAGGAAGTCCTGGACGAGGAGGATCAAAAACTTCCAGCCGTGACGGCACAGCTGACCACCTACTTGAGTTTCCAGATACAAAACCCATTGATGTTGCAAGATGGTAAGAGCTGCTTCAATGCCGACCTTGCGCGAATAGGTGAATTGCTTGTACTTTCGCCCTGGAGCGATGTACCTGCGATGTAAGGCGATTCGAGCCCTGTAGTAAATGAAAGCGAGGAACGTGCAAGCCATGCTGAAAGAGGGAGCAGGTTGCGAAGCAGCCGGCATCGAGTTCTCCGATTGGTCTTGAGGTTGCCACACGGAGATGATCGATTCATATGTACTCGTAAGGTCGGCGTCTAGTTTGAGAATTTCGGCGTACGAAGCTGCAGACTTGACTGACATTGTCAAGTCACTGATTTTGCCAAAGATTTCGAGCAGTCGATTCTTGGCGACGTGGAATCCGGGGACTGTCTGTGCCGAGTCCGGCCTCGGAGGGGGCAATTCCAGCATATGCTCATAGAGGTCTTCGTCTCCCAGATTTCTGGGTTCGTTGGTGTCGCACAGTGACAGATTGATCATTGAGGGCACGGCAAATTGCATCGACAAATATAGATCCCACCCGACCAGAATTGCCCAGACTCTTCGCCGTGTTTCCGCCTGAAAACACGAAATACCAGGAAAGTTTGAGCCGTCTCTGTGGTAGCCAGCTTTGAAAGCGATTCGAACGAGATTCCCCCACTGTATCAAGGGCCCATCAAGGCCCTGGATTCTTTGGCGACCCAGTGTCTCCATGAAGAGGTATATTAAGAGTGTTTCGACCGCATAAGGCGGCGCGTTAGTGTACTTTCCCAAAGTGAGGCATTGGATGGCCTTTGTGCGGTAAAGTCGAACGAGGTTTCCGGGGTTTGACTCGATAACCTGGAGGCGTCGTGCTTCGTTTGGAGAATATTGTTGATATTGCACTGCGAGACACATGAGACTGAATAGCAGCCCAACCCATATGATAGGAGTTGACGAGGGATCTGCCCAAAATCTCTCGTACTACAATACCATTAGTATAGGGATCACTCGATTATGTGCTGAGAGACTACTTGCCTCTTTGTGAAAGGTAGGTGGATGTACAATCACTATTTTGATCAGCCTCTCCCCAGTCGCCTGAAGGTGCACAAACATACTTGCTTCATTGTTAGTGTTTGTGAAACATACCGCCACCAGGCTGTCTGCGAAGTCTTTGGAAGGAATCGCATTAAGAATATCTTGCCGATCTACCCTTTCAAGGTATCCCGTGAGGGCGGGTTCACCATCATCACCCTCTGCAAACACATCGCCATCCTTATCCGGGACGTCGAAACCGCTATCGAAAGCATTGGCCAACTCGGGAATCTGAACAGTACACTCGGTCAGCTAATGAACCTGAGCATCTAGAGTCAGTGAAGCCGCACGTTTCTCAGGATCGCCATCCAATGGGCACCTCCCACGTAGGTAGTCTGCGACTCGGACAACTCGAGGTAACCAGCTGAGTCGGTAATCAAAGCCGATGCCTCGTAGTTGGCGTCCATGTCATCGCTTTCAGGCGAAGGTCTTGCAGTTTGAGAGCCAGACGCGGCATCCAGCGTAGTAGCCGAGTTCGCCTGCTTCAAGGCGCCCATGAGGATGTCAACCTGTGACTCGAGCTGTCTGACCCGGTCTTTGACGTTCGGTGGAGCATACTGGCTCGGACTGTTCGAGTCTGCTGGTTTGGCAATGTTCGACTCTGGGAATGTGCAGGAGTCGGCCAGTCCACGACGGGAGCAGTTGTGGCAGGGTTGGCATCGGTCGCATTTCAGTCTATATCGCCCAAGGTGAGCCTTTGGTTTCTATTGTACTCAAGCGGTAGCATTCACTTTCGCTTCCGGCAGAGATTGCATGATAGTTGAGGCTTCTCTCTTCGCCGTCTCGCCGCCTTCTCGAGCTCTTCCAGAGACTGGGCCATTTCCTTGCTGTCGATCGCTTACCGGTGCATGAGGGATTCGCTTCGTATCGAGTACGAAGCTGTGCGTGGCTTTCTAGCAAATACCGATGGGAAAATGAACAGGAGTCGAGACCATCGAAGATGTCGGTACCTATTCGACTGTTTCTCGTCCCGTCTGTACCCCGGTCGACTCCACAAAAATACTCACATCTCCGACCCTCCGAGGGACACCATACGAAGAACAGCAGGCTGGCCCAGGCCCAGAGCGGCACTTAATGACGACATGAAGTTTAGCGCGGGTAATGCCAGAAGCAGCATAGCATAGTTGAACTGTAGCAAAACGCTGAGCGATGGCTTGAGTGTCGTGTATTCAAGAATTGACAAGAACGGCAGATCGACCGCCGACAGTTTTCTAGTTTTTCTAATTTTCTGGGCGAGATTTGCAGATCTGCATACGGAGGATCAAGTGAGACTCAGATGTGATTCTCGATACTCTACCGTATTTTTCAGCCTCACTATTTGACTTGCGCTTGTAGCTTCTTCCACAGCTCGCTGCAGCCTTGACTCCATGCAATTGTAGCCCCAGCCGTTGAAGTTGAAGCCGAGGCCTACTACAAAAGACGGTAGGTGTCATGGCCGACAGCCACCTTTATGGCGTGAAGCAGTCCTCCAAGACCAAAGCCAAAGAGATTTCCTCGTCCACGTCCCTCGCATTCTCTACCAATCTCGCGTCACTGATCTCCAGCTCATCCTCTGTCAAAGCCAAAAGTGGCACGGCCCGACCGCGCCCGTCCAAGGACAAGTCCGATATCTTTACTGCTCACAATAAGAATGTCAAGAAGCGGTCTGCGGCCGACCTTGAAGATGGCCAGCAACGCCACCAAACCAAAGCCGACATCGGCTCCGTCGAGGACGCCGAGTTGCGCAGATCCAAAAGGAAGATGGAGGACAAAGTCCGGTTGTACAACGCTATGAAACGTGGTGAATACATCGGGCGGGGTGATCACGATGATCGAGGGCTGGTCGACTTTGACCGCAAATGGGCCGAAACCCAGGCAAGTGGAGGAGCACATAACTCTGACAGCTCCGACTCCGGTGAAGAGGGCGCAGAAGAGGATGACGAAGTTGTGGAATACCTCGACGAGTTTGGTCGATTACGCAAAGGAACAAAAGCCGAAGCCGAACGGGAAGAGAGGAGGAAACGAATACAAGCAAACGCGGCTGAGGAAGAGGAACGGCTTGCCGCAAAGCCCTCTATGCCCGCCAATGTTATCTATGGAGACGCTATCCAACATCAGGCATTCAACCCCGACCGAGTCATTGCCGACCGCATGGCGGAAATTGCGAAGAAGCGGGACAAATCAGCCACTCCCCCTCCCGACGCGCATTACGACGCGACTGCTGAAGTCAGGTCCAAAGGCACTGGCTTCTACAACTTCAGCCAGGATGCAGAAGAGCGGAAGCGGGAAATGGACGCCCTGGAGAAGGAAAGACTCGAAACCGAGCGAATTCGCAAGGAGAGGGAGGACAAGAAAGAACAAAGGCGCAAAGAGATCGAGGAGCGGCGCCGGCTGATCGCTGAACACAGAGCTAAAGCTCAGACCGACAAGTTCTTAAGCGAGTTGGATATCGAGGGAGTCTGAGATGCTCGCAGATTCCGAGCACTTCTTTCTTCAAGTGACAAGTCTGTGATGAGCTACGCCCTCGTCGAACCACCAACAGCCAAGCCTTCCTCCCACATTGCCAGCCAAGACGGCACAGAAAAAGCTTTGTTCTGATGCGGTGTTACCTAATCCTGTGGAAAAGCACAGACCTGTACCCGTACGGAGTATGATCACGGGCGATTGCACCGTATTTTGACTCCGTGCCTGAAGCGAAGGCTACGCTAGGCTAGTCGCGAGCCACAAACCGCCAACCGAAATTTTTGTCTCTCACCCAACTCGACCTGCTTCGCTTATATCGCTTCATCTCGTGTATACGATTGTGGTTAGCCACGCGCGCACCGCATTTGGCCATGCATGCATCTTCTCACATTATGACGACGAGCAACCCGCAACCATGTCAAGTCACATACGGACTACTGTACCTCGAGAAGCCTGCCAAAGAGGGTGCTGGATTCGACATACTGTACTCCGTAGCCAGTAAACTTTGGTGTCTCTCCGCGCAACGCCGCTCTTTGTGTGGCCGCGGTTGAAGATATCCTTGGAATTATGCAGCAACCAGTGTGGGGAGGAAATAATGGGAACGATGATCCACTGCGCCATACGCCCGACCATGCTACCTGTATGTTATGCCCGGAACACGAACAAAGATGTAAATACTCCGTACAGTTTGAATGCAGATACGGTACAGTACCTAGTCTGTGTGATACCGTCCTTGAAGTCTGATTCAGCGAAGAGGACGTGTCGTTCACAGGTCACAATTCGGTTTCCATAGCTGCCATATCCGTGCGTACGTATCTACAGTATCTGTCGAAGCCCAGTTGCCATGACAGCCCAAAAAAAAGCCAGAGACACGGGATACGTACAATGCAAGACACAGACGGAGTACCAATATAACGATCGAATTCATTACTACCTATTACTTGTACTTGTACCGTACACTATATTCTGTACACTGCCCCGTACTCTGTGCTCCCTTGATCTTTGCCTTTTTTTTCTCAAATCCATTCAAAGCCCATAACACTTCGGAAAAAGCATGCAGCATGCAGCGTTCGTGCGATCGCGCGATATGTCAAGCTCAAACCATAAACGCAACACCGGCAACCACGCCGGCAACGACACCCCACGCGACGCTCTGTCTGCTCGCCGCGCCGGTGAAGGTGGCGGGGCTGACGCCCGTGCTTGTGCCTGTGCCGGTGGCGGCGGGCGCGAAGCTCGTGGCAGCGACGGCGGCGGTGGTTGCCGATGGCCATGCCGACGCAGAGGCACCACCTTGGGCCGCACCGCCGTTGGTGCCATTGCCGCTGCCACTGCCGCCGAATCCACCAGATCCAGATCCACCGGACGAGGAACCGCTGCCGTTACCTGAGCTTGAACCTGAACCGTTGCCAGTGCCGCTGCCGCTGCCGCTGCCAGAGCCAGAGGAGCTGGATCCACCCGTCGGAGTGGCTGTAGGCCAAGGCACCAGGCCGATTTCAGGTGTTGGGCCAGCGTTGCCCCCACCAGGAGCAGTGGGTGCCACGGTGGCGAACGTGACCTGCGGGACTGTAACGGTAGCGGTGAATGTGCTGCCGCTCAGGGTCTTCGTGAAGGTCACGGTCGTCACGGGGATGGCGACAGGAGGTGTTGGGGCAGGCGGGGCGATACCGTTGCTCGAGCCCGGAATGTTGGGTCTGGGTCCCCGGCCTGCACCGTTGGTGATGGTTGCCGTCTCTGTGACTGTGCCTGTTGCGGTGACGGTGCTCACTTGGGTCTCAGTGGTTGGGGGCGCAGGCACCAATGTAATGGTTGAGGGCACACCAGTGCAGATGCCAGGGTTCTGGGGCACGAAGTCCGCGCAGATGCCGGCGAGGTAGCTTAGTGCGGCGGTGATCTCATCGTTGGAAGAACCCCACGCGGAGACGCAGGACTGAACACTGGCGATGAATTTGGGGGACGGGCAGAAACATTTGGTGTCCGAGTTGGACTTGCACGAGGGGAGGATGCTCAGCCAGGTGTTCAGGCACGATGGGAGTAGAGGTGGGCACGGCGACGTTGGCTGCGACGGCGGAGGACCGGCTGGTGAAGTTGTAGAGGATGAGGTAGGGGGAGTGACTGGTGGGAGAGTGGCCGTCGACAAGGTCGAGGGAGGAGGACGAGTGCAGTCTTTTTCTTTGCACAATGCATCGGTAGTTGTCTGGCTCGTCGTCGTTCCAGTGCTAGTCTCAACAGGTTTGGTTGTGGTAGTCTGAGGTACCGGAGAAGTTGTAGTGGTAGGGCTATTGGTTGTGACAGGACTGCTTTTGGTTGTAGAGGTGGTGTCGGCCTTGGATGTGGTGGTTGTGGTTTCAACCTTGGGCGTCGTAGTTGTCGTCTCTA